TCACAGAAAAATACCATAGGCGCTAGAGAGCGCGTAGACACCAATTCCAACACACCCCCTTGATCGAGCACGTCCTAGCGCCCAACTCCAAGGCCAGAGAGCGTTGCCATGTGCTGCAGTTTGACCCGGCCTAAGGCCTTGGTCATCATGTCAGCCGGCATGTCCGCTGTCTGCAGATGGACAAGGCGGACGCTGCCGCGATGCACCTCATCGCGCAGCCAGTAGAAGCGCAGGTCCAGGTGCTTCATGCGCCCGTGATGCTCCGGGTTCTTGGCCACCTGCAGCGCCGAGTTGTTGTCAATGTAGAGGGTGGAGGGTGCGCTCTTGACCGAGTAGCCACACTCGGTCAGGAAGTTGCGCATCCACAGGATCTCCTGGCCGGCAGAGCACGCCGCAACGTACTCTGCCTCAGTGGTCGAAAGCGCGACTATAGTCTGCAGCTTGGACGACCAGGAGACCGCTCCACCCGCCATCATGACGATCTGGCCGCTGGTAGACCGACCGTTGTCCGGGTTACCGCCGTGGTCCGCGTCGGTGTAGGTGTAGAAGAGCTCGGAGCGCGCGTTCATTGTCTTGCCGTCATAGGTCAGCTTGTAGTCAAGCGTGCCCTTGAGGTAGCGGAAGAGGTGGGTCAGTGCGCGCCAGTGCGAGCGGCCGGGGTTGCCGGTGAAGCGAGCGAGGACTGAGACCGGGTAGGCGAGGTCGGGACGAGTGGCGAGGGCGAGCCAGGCAATGGCGCCGACGGCAGAGGCATACTCCTTAGCGCGGGTGGACATGAACTCGACGTCCTCCGGCGTGACAGGAGCATCGGCGGCGCTGAGCTTGTGCGAGGGGTCGAGCGGGGTGGTGACCGGGTGGCAGTCGGCCATGCCAAACCGCTCTAGGACGTCCACGGCATACTGGCGCTGCGAAAGAGACAGCGTGCGCTGGCTGCGCTCGCGCTCAATGGCAACGCCCAGCAGCCAGGTGGTAGGACCCAACTCGCGCAGCTTGAAGTGCTTCTTCAGCTCGCCAATGATACCGAGCGCCTGCGCGTCAGTCTTGCACCCAATCGTCATGTCGTCCACAAAGACGGGCACGAGGATGCGCGCGTCGCCGCGACCGTACACCCACACGCTGTGGTCGCAGAGGATGCGCGTGAAGCCCATCTCTACAAGCACCCTGTTCAGCGTCTCGTGCCAGACATGACTCGCCTGCTTCAGCCCATAGAGCGACTTCTTCAAGCGCCAGACATAGTCCTTGTCAGGATCAATGCCGAGCTTGAAGCCGGGCGGTTGGCGCATGTAGATCTCCTCGGCCAGGTCGCCATTCAAGAACGCGTTGCTGATGTCGATGGAGTAGAGGACGAGGTCGTCCATGGCGGCGAGGGCGAGGATAGCGCGGATGGCGGCCCACTTGGGCGTAGGGGCGAACGTCTCGGTGTACTCGAAGCCGGGGCGCTGCGAGAAGCGCTGCGCAACGCAGCGCGCCTTGTACCGCTCGATAGACCCATCAGCATTGCGCTTGACCTTGAACACCCACCGGCTGCCAATAGCGCGCTTGCCGGGCGGCAGCTCGACCACCTCGAACGTGCCGTTGTCCACCAGCGCCTGCACCTCGTCAAACGCAGCCTCGATCCACTTGGCCTTGTCGGGACGTAGCAGCGCCTCTGCAAACGTCTTGGGCTCGCCCTGCTGCGCGTCGGACGCGACCGTGGTCGAGAGGGCGTAGTTGAGGGCTTGTTCAACCGACCAGTCCTCCTCAGTGATGCCGCTGAAGACGTAGTCGAGGCCGGCCTGCATAACGTGCGCTCCTGGGATAGGCGTGCTGTCAGTCAAAGCGAGCTCATCATCACTCCCAGCCCAATCCATCATCTCCTTCCTTGCCTGCTCTCTGTCCTGCGCCTCCTCATCCTGCGCCTGCTCCCTGCACTCCTCCTGCTCCTCCTCCTCCTCATCCACCTCCTCAATCTGGCCGGATAACGGCGCAAACCGGTTAGGGGACGTCACCTGCGGCTGCGGCGCGGGTGTAGACGATGTAGCGCGGCCTGTAGAAGGCGGCGCAGGCTGCTTTTGCCAAGCGCGAGTCGTCAATTCGCGCTCGGATAAGCTATGGGTCGGCTTGGTTGCCCGAGGCAGACGCGACGGTGGCGGTCCGCTCGAGGTAGACGGCCGAACTGTCTCCCAAGCAGGGGACGGACTGCGCTCAGGGCGCGGCGCTGGCTGCTGCTCCTGCGCGCGCTCCTGCCTGCCTCTCAGCGCGGCCTTGCTAGGCGGCGCAGTGCGGGACGGGCGGGGCGCAGATGGCGGCGGCGGACGCGCACTAGGCGGCGTGGTAGGCTCAGCTGGCTGCTGAAGCGGCGTGGATGGCTGCTCAGGCGTGGTGGGGGCGCGCGGCGGCGATGTAGGCGGCGGCGTCTGTAGCTGCGGACCAGCGGGAGCGGGCTGTCCGGACGGGGGAGGTGGCTGATCATCATAAGAGACGACATCATCGTCATCCGCGCTATGACGATGACTAGGAGGCGACGGCACATCACCCCCTTGATCAGCAAAATCCCCAAAGTCCGGAGGGCCTTCACCTCGGTCTATAATCTCCGCAGTGATGAGATTGAGGCTCTTGAGCGACGTCCCCGGCATGTAGCGCTCGTCAAAGACCGCATGCGACGAGATGACCGTCTTCTTGGTGGCCGGGTTGTAGAACAACCAGGCCTTGGTCCCGGGAGGGTACCCCAAGAAGATGCACTTCTGAGAGTGCGGCTCGAGCGCGCGCCGGTGCTTGTCCTTCACCAGAACATAGGCCAGACACCCAAAGACGCGGAAGTAGCCAACATCCGGCGTCTTGCCGGTCCAGGCGATGTGTGGGGTGGTGTCGCCAGGCAGAGCGGAGGTAGGAGCGCGGTTGGCGACATGGTTGTAGGCGGCTATAGCGTAGGCCCAGAACGAAGGCGGTAGCTTCGCCTCATAGAGCATCGAGCTAGCGCCATTGGCAAGGGTGAGATTAGCACGCTCAGCAACGCCGTTCTGATGCGGCTCATCTGGCTCTGTGATCTCCAACCGCCACCCCTCCTTCAGCGCCGCGTCCTTCATGACGTTGGAGATGTACTCGCCGCCCCCATCGCAGCGCAGTACCTCCAAGCGCTGTCCGCTCTCCACCTCAGCAGCTGCCTTGAACTGCTGGATAGCAGCCCAAGCGTCGCTCTTGCGCTTCAAGTACGCCACCCAGCGGCGCCGCGTCTTGTCGTCTATGAAGGTGATCCAGTAGAGGTTCGCCCCCTCTCTGGATGCGACCGGCATAGGACCCTTCAAATCGGTGTGAACCAACTCCAGGGGACGCGTAGCGCGCTCTCCTGGACTGCGCGGTACCGCCTTGCGCGTCTGCTTCCCCATGATACATGGCTCGCAGATCGGGTCCGGCGCCTCCTTGCTCTCAAACCGCATGCCCCTCACCAGCTTGCGCTGCCGCCGCTTTGCGATGTCTCCATGATTGACGTGCGCAAAGCGGCAGTGCCAGAGCGCAGCGTCGAGCGGGAGCGTGGTAGAGGTGGCGCGCTGCGCGCTGTGCGCAGGAGGAACGACGACGTAGCCGTCCAAGTAGCCCGTGTTCGAGTCATCCACTGTAGCGGTGCAGACGAGCACCCCAGCGCGGTAGACTTGCAACGCGCTTGTCCTTGATGCTGACCTCGTACCCCTTGTGCGCAGTGAGGTGGTAGATGGATAGTAGATTCGAGGTAAGCAAAGGAACATGAAGGACGTCAAAGAACACGATAGGTGTAAGCAACTTCTCCCCATCCACCGGCTGGTACTCCACCGACCCGATGCCCGCCGAGTAGACGATCGCGCCGTTCGCTAGGCGAACAGGAACACGATGCGGCGAGTAGGTGACGAACCAATCTCGCCGCGGCGTCATGTGTAGAGACGCACCTGTGTCGGTGTTGAAGTTAGCCGCAGCCTTGGACTGGAGCCACTCCTTGAGAGCGGGGGAGGAAGTGAAAGCGCTTGCCTGGCCAGCAGACTCGACGCGCGCAGCAGCGGCGGAGGTAGACGGCGTCGACGACGACGCATCGGAGGGACCGGAGGAGGGCGCAGAGGACGCGCCAGACGCGTTGGCGCCGCCCTTGTTCTTCTTCTTCTGCTGGCGCTTCGAGGTAGAAGCAGCGGCGGCGGCCTCCTCCTCCTTCTTCCAGTCCGGCTTGAACTTGGGGCAGTCGCGGATGAGGTGCGGGCCCTTGCAGTTGTAGCACTCGGGCGTGTACCCGGCGCGGTTGGCTGCGAGGGGCGTGCCGTCCGCCGTCATCCGGTGCGAGGCGAACTCGCGCGCGATCATGTCCTTGACCGTCTCGTAGGTGAGCGCCTTGTCGAGCAGAAGGGAGGTGTACATGTTGGCGTGCTGCGGGTTGGGGGAGGCGGCGAGCGCGCGCATAGTGACCATCGCCTTCAGCTCGAGGTCCATCTTGTCGATGTCGTAGCCGGTAGAGGGGCGCAGCGACTGGACGCGCGTCATGGCCTCGTCGACGCGCGAGAGGAGGTCAGTGAGGGCGGTGGTAGCCTCGGCGTCGTCGCCCAGGTTGACGTCAAAGAAGTCAGAGAGCGCGGCAAAGCGCGTGCCGGCCTCCTGGATGTTGAAGGCGGCCTTCATCGCGTCATAGAGGTCCTTGGGCGTGCTGCGCTTGTCCTTGAACTGCGGACGAAGCGACTCCTCCATGGCAAGCCAAAGCTCGCCAGCAGCCTTCTCCAAGCGCTGCTCATACTCCTCTAGGGTGCGGTACTCCGCATCAGTGACCGCGCTCGCGTCCTTGGGCTTGGGCTTGGTGACAGTGCCCTTGGCATAGCGCCAGAGGCCCTTGCTGGACAGCCAGGGCTGGATCTCGCTGTCCCACCAGCTCCAGTTGAAGCGGGTGAGGATGGGGCGGCCGTCTGAGTCACGCTTCGACATGGCGCAAAGAGACGGTTGTTGGAGACGATCGAACCGGCGAAAGTAGACGAGAGTGGGGTCGACGTGTAGGGGAGAAGGGCGCGGAGTGACTAGAAGTTGTTTGGAGAGGAACGGACGCGAACTGCGTGCGCGACGGCGAATATGAGGGAGGGTGTAAATTTGCGGTGATCGGAGGTGCTGGACTTCGCACGGCGATAGCGGCGGTACTGGCGATTTTCGCGGAGCGCGGCTCGGGCACAAGGTAGAGGAGGGTCTTGCGCGTCGAATGCCGCTCGAGCGGAGGGAATCGCAGCTGGTACGCGCGCACAGCGGCGAGTTTGAGTCGGGGTGTGGAACTGGCTGGTTGGGGCAGCTAGAGCGCGGGGCTCATAACCTGTCCGAGGTAGAATCGAGCCAGTGATCACACTAGAGCGACAGCAAACGAGTCAGATTCATAAGTAGCGAGATACAACGCATAACTACGCACCTAGAGCGACAGCAAACGAGTCAGGAAGAGAAAAGACTCGGATGCGCCGCTCTAGGCAGGAGGGCACGGCAAATGCCGAGGAAATATGTGGCGCTCGGCAATAAGGCGCGAGCGCATAAGTAAGACTGTAGGTAAGCGTACAGTACCGGGAAAAAGTCCGAAAAATCACAGAAAAATACCATAGGCGCTAGAGAGCGCGTAGACACCGATTCCAACAGAGCTCAGCGGGGATGCTTTCACGAGCTAAATAAGCGCAGAGAGCGCAAGACCTCAGTCTTCCTGCATATAGGATAGCGACTCAATTCATACCTAAATAAGCCCAGAGAGCGCAAGACTAAAGTACAGTCAGTATAAGTAAGAGTAAAGTAAGTAAAAGACATACCCTCAGTCTTCCTGCGTATAGGATAGCGACTGGGGCAAGGGGGTCCAGAACTAAAAATAGCGCACCAGGGGTGGGGGGGGAGGGGGGGTCTGAGGAGGCCCTAATTTAAAAGTCAACCCTCCTAGAGTTTTAGTGATGCGTGCCTTTCTGAGCACATATAAGGAGTCCATAGGCCTTATTCAACCTATACAAGTATTTTCTCGCTTCTTTTGATTCTTCAGGATTCCCCAACCACCCCAGCGAGGCTTGGCAGCACAGGCACGTGGCCTGGGACATCTGAGCCTGAGGGTACGAGCCACGTGCTTTGATTATTGAACTTTGTCATTTTGTTTAGAAGGGCTTTGAGTGCGATAGCAACGTCAATACATGTATACTCTGACTGAAATTGGAAGAATTAGCGGATTATTGGGGAGGTGGGAGGGCTGAGGCTCCGCGAGCGTCATTTCGGCATATGCCGGCGGTCACGTGCGGGGGGAGGGGGGGAGGGGTAAGGGCCTTAAGCTGAAAGTCGACCCGCGGTCATTTTCTGCAATCCCGGACCCCCCTTGGACTGGGGGCAAAGAAGGAAAGAATACACGCGTATGTACGGGGCCACTGGGGCAAAGCGTGGGGAAAAGTCATGTGATCATGTGACACCAACTCTGGGAATGTGACACAGTGATTCCTGGAGTTGGGAGCGGTCATGTGACTCCGGGTGAAGGCAGACTCGCCCTACCGACCACTTTTGACAGACGCGCGCGGCATCGCCGAGGGCTGCAGAGGGGCCACCTCTGGCGCTGCCGGGGCAGGAGCCACCGCGATTGTGGCGGGCGCCACAGGCGCACCCGCCACACTCGCCTTTGCCATCTTGCGCGCAGCTGGGGCAGCTACAGCAGGGCGAGCTCGCGTAGAGCGACACAGGGGCACCGCCCTGTTGGTCTGCAAGTCATCCGCCAGCTCAGCCTGTGGGGCCTTGCCCTTCTTCCCAGTTGCAGTCAGCATGGAGAAAAACCCAGAAAAGAGGAAGGGACACGTAGATAACACAAAGAAAAGTCGAAAGAAAGTCGAAACGTTACACGTGAGACGACTACGGTAAGACATAGGTGATGCAGATTTGACCAATGTCACCTGACCTTGTGTGACAGGCCCTAGATCAAGCGCATTGTTCCCACGGTTGAAGGGCGCTGCGAGATCGCCTGTGTTCGCAGTATATGACACGCGACTCGCAATCTGGTAAACGGGATATGTACGCGATAGCATTCTGAATGTTCATGAGAAGTTTCGTAGCATAGTGGGTCGGACTGAGCATTGAATTGTTTTCACCAAATACTATGCCTTTGACGTGCTTCAGCTGCTTCGTTGCATCTCAATGGGCTGTTTAGGAAGCCTTCCAAGTTCAATGAGTATGTAGATGTACTAGTTGTGATGTCAGTAGCATAAAGTCAAGATTACATGATATGTTCGATGAAAATACGGCTAGAGAGCGCTGCAACAGACATGCAAAAGAACAAGAGGTAAATATGGCCCACAGGCTTGTCATGACAGAGTACGGGTGAGGTGAGCAGGAACAATGGCAGGAGAGCTATGATAGTGACGAAAGCAGGAGCATGGTAGACAAAACTTAGCGCTTCTTGGCCTTCTCGGCCTCCGAGAATTGATTGAGAATATCTTATGGAAGTGTTCGGTGACCGCGGTACTTCTTTGCTGCCCAGGCTGTGATACGACCATCTGAGCCCCTGCGGTACGTGTCAATAAATTTCCAGGCATGCCTCGCATAGCTACAATACTCCCCTCCACAATTAAATTTCACACTCTGGCCCGGTGAACGATCACGTGCCTGATGCGCGCGCGCGTTCCGGGCGGTCCCGTAAAACACACCTTTACAATCTACACCTCGATGGTGTTGGGATTGGTGTGCTTGGACCGGCCCAATGGGGAAGTCCGCCAAATTAGGTAGTCATTGTTCCTATTGTACTCTTTGTCTCGAACCATCATCTTCGTGTTTGTGTTTGTGTCTGCCGCCGCCTTTTGCTCTCAACAGGTTATGAGCCCCGCGCTCTAGCTTACTCTACACCTCCAAAACAGTCTCTCTGCTTGCTTAAACCCTCATAAAACCTTCACAAAAATTTCCTGTTATCTGATCACCCTCTCTCGGCTCATCCACCATGTCTGTCATCTCTCCTGCCCTTATTAGAGGTCTGGACAATGTTCCCAAGCTCATGGGAGAGGCCGATTGGCATGCCTTCAAGGAGCAGCTGGCCCGCTTCTTCCGCGCTATCCAGGCTGGGTATATCACCGAGGACCCTGCTGCTGCAGTGCCTGAGGCCAAGAAGCCCCTCGATGCGGAGCTCGAGTGGCTGCTCTTTAGCAAGCTTGGCCCAGACCCCATGGCTCTGGTCAAGGAAGCTGAAGGGGGCAAGGCACTCTGGAAGGTGCTGAAGGAGAAGTACGAGAAGGCCACACCCTGGAAGCGCATGCATGCTCGCAAGGCATTCCAGCAGTGTCGCCATGACCCCTCGCACCCCATCGAGACGCACATCGCCAACGTCAAGGCGCAGAAGGCCATCCTCACTGGCCTAGGCGTCACCGTCTCTGATGACGAGGTCATGGACGTCATCCTCATCAATCTGGATGACTCTTTCGACCAGATACGTATCAACATCCTCTCCCAATCCTCCCTCACTCTCGACGTCGCGATCAGCATGCTCACCTCGAACTCTGGTGCGGCGTTCAACGTCAAGCAGGAGGAGTTCACTCCCTCGCTCCTTGCTGTCAACGCCGCTCGCGCTGGCCGTAGCCGCCAGGAGCAGGAGAGTCTGTCGGACGAGCGCCAGAATGACCCCACTACATTCTGGATGGACGACAAGGGATACCGCTGGTGCAACGTCAACAGCAGGGACTGTCACCGTTGCGGGCGCTCCGGCCATATCGCCGCCTTCTGCATGTTCGCCATGCCTGAGGCGATCAAGCAGAAGATCATGGACAAGGTGCACTTCAATGCGAACATGGCTGCCTCTATGGCGGAGCTCGACGCGGAGGCCGAGCAGGGGTACCAGATGGAGCAGGCTTATGGCACGTATATTGTTCCTGCCCGTCGGTCGTCCCCCTCTCCTCCTCCTTCTCCGCGTCCTGCTTCCCCCGCCCACTCGTCCTCGGCCACCACCCCCGTTCACCAGGGTTGTCCCCCTCGCTCGTCGAAGAACAAGCAGAGGAGTGCGCCGAAGATAATGCTCTTCACGTGATGGATATAGGAGGATGCGAATTTGGTGGGAGTTGCAGGATCCGGTGGGAGCTTGGTTAGGTGGGAGTTCTCTTGTGGTCCGGCGCACAGGTGGGAGTGTTGGGATTGGTGTGCTTGGACCGGCCCAATGGGGAAGTCCGCCAAATTAGGTAGTCATTGTTCCTATTGTACTCTTTGTCTCGAACCATCATCTTCGTGTTTGTGTTTGTGTCTGCCGCCGCCTTTTGCTCTCAACAGATGGCTACCCGCGGCCCATACAACCATTATGACAGCCCTCAGAAAAACCGCTTCATAGGGCGAGTTTTGGCTCAGGGTGGTGAGAACATCAAGCATGCCGCTGAGGCGGAGGGAATAAACAGCCGTACCGGATACGACATCTGGAGAAAATTTGATGTGGATGGACGGACACATCGTCGGCCTAGCTCTGGACGTCCTCGCATCTTCACCAAGGCCAAGAGGGCTCGTGCCATGCTAGAGATCCGTCGTAACAGACAGCACCCCTTGGACGAGGTCGGCGCCATTGTTGGGGTCTCTGCATCAACGGTACGCACCTACCTTCGGTCGAAAGGCTATCGACGGTATCGAGCGAGGCGTGTATACTTCCTCACTGCAAAGAACAAGGTCAAAAGGTTCGAGTGGGCCAAGCTATTCACCCGCCGTCACCAGTGGGACAACATCATCTACTCCGACGAAAGCTACTTCTATATCGACACGAAGAAGGACGCGGGCTTTGTCACTTGGCGCCCCGACGAGAAGTACGAGGAGGACTGTTGCATACCCACCTTCAAGCAGGCCAACATCCGGGTCATGGTCTGGGGATGCATCGCGAAAGGTCGGAAGGGCCCACTTGTCATTCTCAAGGGGGGTCCGGGATTGCAGAAAATGACCGCGGGTCGACTTTCAGCTTAAGGCCCTTACCCCTCCCCCCCTCCCCCCGCACGTGACCGCCGGCATATGCCGAAATGACGCTCGCGGAGCCTCAGCCCTCCCACCTCCCCAATAATCCGCTAATTCTTCCAATTTCAGTCAGAGTATACATGTATTGACGTTGCTATCGCACTCAAAGCCCTTCTAAACAAAATGACAAAGTTCAATAATCAAAGCACGTGGCTCGTACCCTCAGGCTCAGATGTCCCAGGCCACGTGCCTGTGCTGCCAAGCCTCGCTGGGGTGGTTGGGGAATCCTGAAGAATCAAAAGAAGCGAGAAAATACTTGTATAGGTTGAATAAGGCCTATGGACTCCGTATATGTGCTCAGAAAGGCACGCATCACTAAAACTCTAGGAGGGTTGACTTTTAAATTAGGGCCTCCTCAGACCCCCCCTCCCCCCCCCACCCCCTCCTTGGGCACCCAGGAAATGTTGGCTTAGGTGTAAGTTTTGTTACATTGTCTGGTGTGTTATTTCCACAAAATCTGGCGCAATTATCTGGCAGACATGTCTGATCATTCCCAGATTAATCTACTAGCTATAGTACAGATTATTCTGGCTCTATATACCCTACCAGACAATTCTGGCCCAGACTTATCAGGAGTTTCCCTCGCTATCCAGAGTTTTCGGAGTCAGCTCAGATTTGTCTGGCGTCACAAATTTATCCCGATATCTCTGGCAGTAATATCCTCCAGAATTATCAGCTGGGCTTTTGTCAAGCTTCCAGACAATTCTGCTCATAAGGATTTGTCCCGATAATGCTGAGCACATCAACTGCAGACAATTCTGGTGTACCCAGAGATCTCTGACCTTACAATCCAATAGGGCAGTTCAGACTAAATCAGCACAAGAGTATTGCTATATAACCACATGCATACATACAAACAAATGTAAAGCTGAGAGGGAGAAGCCTTACCTTGCACCACTCCTATAGTTCCCTATCTGCCTGGCAGTTACTGGTGAGGGTACCAAAGTGGCGAGAATGGGAAAGGGACCTGTGTAAAAGCTGTAGAAGTTAGGGATGCCAACACCCAGCATATGGCGAGGGCATCCCAACACGGCAAGTGAATAGCTACACTCACCTAAGTCAAGTGAATGAGGGAGGGAGGGGGAGAAACTTGATAGTGAGTGGTATCTGCATGTCAGTGAGTAAAAGGGCACGAGGAGCAGGGGGCGGGACGTACCGAACTGAATGACCGAATAGCGAAAGGGCCCGCAACGGCTTAAGTACGTGTCGTGGCAGCTAAAGTGAGGAATCCGTTAGTGAGAACACGCGAAGTTGTGCGGACGACGCACCGCCTGCTAGGTGGATGCTGACACGCGATCGCCGGCCGTGCTGTTGAACGCGCTAAGCACGTCGGACACGATGTCTTTCTGCGCAGGTGCCAAGCGCGCGCTCCCGCGCGTTTTGCGCGTCGACCGGCAGTGCTAGACACGTCAGGCGGGGCGGGGTGCCCCGCTATCGCGCGGTAGTCGTCCTTTTCGCAGGCGTCGCGCGCTGGTCACGGCGCGATGACACGTCATCGTTGCGCGTGCGAAGGAAGGCGGCGGCGGCAGCGGCGCGGGTGCGGAGACGGCGAGAGGGAGAGGCGGCGGCGAGAAGGGGAGGCGGTGACGGCAGCGGCGGGTGAGTGATGGCGGCGGCGAGAGAGAGCGAGAGAGAGAAGGAAAGAAGGAAGAGGTGACGCGTCAGCGCCCCGGGACGCGGTCCGATCGGGCCGGCCACGTGTTCGGCCCGGTTCGCTCCGACTCCGCGCAATTTTCGCGAAGTTCCAACTCGCGCTCCTCCGCCTCCTCTCCTCGTCCGCCTCTCCTTGCTGCCCGTCCGCCGCCGCCGCCTCCCTTCCTCCCCGTCTCCGCACCCGCGCCGTTGCCGCCGCCGCCTTCCTTCGCACGCGCAACGATGACGTGTCGTCGCGCCGTGACCAGCGCGCGACGCCTGCGAAAAGGACGACTACCGCGCGACAGCGGGGCACCCCGTCCCGCCTGACGCGTCTAGCAACGCCGGCCGCCGCATAATGCGCGCTACTTGCCTGTGCGGAAGGACGTCGCGTCCGACAACGTGCTTAGCACGTTCAACAGCATAGCCGGCGATCGCGTGTCCAGCGTCCGCCTAGCACATGGTGCGTCGTCCGCACATTTTCGCGCGTTCCTACTAACCAGGTCCTCACTTTAGGTACCCCCGGGTGTACTGGAGCTGTCTCGCGCCCTTGCACTACTCGGCCACGCGCTCTGGTACGTCCCACCCTCCGTTCCTTGTCCCCTTTTACTCATTGACGTGCAGACATGGCCCGCTACAGAGTTTCGCCCCCCCTTCCCTTTCATTCATTCAACCGAGGTGAGTACACCTATTCTTGCCTGCCACTCGCCACATCGGGATGCCCTCGCCATATGCTGGGTGTTGGCATCACCGACTTTCAGATCTCGAATATATTATGCCCTAGTGGCAGCACTTTCATCGTTCCCACCCCAGTACCCCCGTCAGTCACTGCCTGGCAGATAGGGAGTTACTGGGGTGGTATCAGGTAATGCCCCTCTCCCGCCCCTCATTAGATTACATTTTACTTGTACATATCTATTCATTTGGTATTTTACATGGGCTGATCTGTCTGGATTCCCGACTTACGTCTCGGGTGCACTGACTTGTCTGGTGCATTGGAGACCAGACATGTCTGACGCCCAAGAGGTGCGCCAGACTTGTCTGGCATTACCGATTTACCCAACAATTCTGGATGACCCGATATCTCTGTGGTCCCCCGACAATTCTGGATGAGCTGACAGGTCTAGACATCCAGATATCTCAGGATGACTTGACTTGTCAGGTGGACAATTCGGGTGAACCCGATATCTCTGCGTCCACCTGACAATTCGGGTGAACCTGATATTTCTGTGTCCACCCGACAATTCGGGTTGTCCCGATATCTCTGTTCAGCCGACAATTCGGGTCTAACTGATATCTGCACCATCCCGACAATTCTGAAGTCCCGACAATTCTGGATGTCCAGAGATATCGGATGGATGCAGAGATGTCACAACGACCCGAATTGTCGGCTGAACACAGAGATATCGGGTTGTGACATCCAGAGATATCTGAGCATCCAGAATTGTTGGGTCATCCAGAATTGTCGGGTAAATTGGTGATGCCAGACAAGTCTGGGCTGACTCCGAAAACTCTGGATAGTGAAGGAGACTCCCGATAAGTCTGGGCCAGAATTGTCTGGTAGGGTATATAGAGCCAGAATAATCTGTAGAGTACCTAGTAGATTAATCTGGCAATGATCAGACATGTCTGCCAGATAATTGCGCCAGATTTTGTGAGAATAACACCCCAGACAATGTAACAAAATTTACACCCAACCCCGGCATTATCTGGCAGCCTGAGCTGCCACCCCTGGTGCGCTATTTTTAGTTCTGGACCCCCTTGGTCATTCTCAACTATCCTGGGGGGAAGGGAGGGGGCATGAATGCTGACTGTTATCGGGAGGAGGTTCTAGAAGGTCCATTCTTGCCTTTCTACCAGGAGATGCGGAAGGAGCTGTGGAGGAAGGTCTGTTGGAGTTGGTGTGCTTGGACCGTCCCAAAGGGGATACTTACCTATAGTCACGTATCACGCTGTCACTTAGCCTTGTCTCTGACCGTCATCTTGTGGTCTGTTGTTTGTGTCTGCGCCCTCCCATCTCAACAGGTTATGAGCCCCGCGCTCTAGTCTTTACCCGAAAACCCCCCAGACCTCTCAGAACTCGCTTTTTTCTCCAGAAAAACCCATTCTCTCATTCTCAAAAATTTTCACTTGATCGATCGGTCTTGTCTGCACCATCCACCACTCATCATGTCTTCCCTCCCCTCCTATGCTGTCGCTATCTTCCAGCAGTCGGAGAAGCTGCGAGGCAAGGCCAACTGGCACTCGTTTGCAGAGGCTTTCATTGACTTCTGCACTGGCGTCGGTGCCGAGCACATTGTGGCTGACTCTGCGCTCGATCCGTCCAAGACAGCGCTGGACAACGCCATTGGGTATGTCCTCTCTGGGATGCTGGAGAAGGATGTGAAGGATGGGGTGCCAGGGAAACGTGGTGGCCAGGAGCTGTACAAGGCGCTGAAGGCGAAGTACACTGTCTCGACCAGGGCCCGGCGTGTTGCTGCACGCAAAGCGTTTTACCAATGCTCTCACGGCTTCCCCACCCAGTCGCTTGAGCAGTTCATCGTCGAGGTGCGGGCCAAGGCGCAGGTCCTGAAGGATATGGGTATCGCCATCTCGGACACCGAGATTCTGGACGTCATCCTCATGAACGTCCACCATGCCTTCATCACCACTACCACCATCCTCCTCGCGCAGACCACCGAGCCCAAGCTCGATGAAGCTATCTCTACCCTGACGTCTTCCCCTGCGCTCGACGTCGACGTCGTCAAGAAGGAGGAGTACTCTCCCAGCCCGCTGTTGGCTGCAAATGCGGCGCGAGGGTCGCGTGCACCGCGGCGTCCTGATGGTCATCAGGCTGACCTGACTGGAGGATGGGTGGATGACAAGGGCTACCGCTGGTGCAACGTCAACGGTGAGGACTGCCATCGGTGCGGACGTGCAGGTCATATCGCCGCCTTCTGCATGTACAACATGCCGGAGGCCATCCGGCAGAAGATTTCGGACCGCGCACATCTCAACGCGAACATGGTCAGTTCGCTCGCGGTCATGGAGGCAGAGGGCGAACACCAGCACCTCGCCCAGTCGGCTTTTGGTGTGTACACTATCCCAGCTCGTCGCTCTCCCTCTCCTCCTGCCTCTCGCTCGCCATCTCCGCCGCTGCCGTCTGCCGATGACGCCAACGACGATGCCTTCGACTTTTCCGGTGCCGGTGGATCGTGGGGAGGAGTCTCTAGGCTGTACACGTGATGGTAGGATTTGGCTGGTTAGGTGGGAGTTGCTGGATTAGGTGGGAGTCTCTCTGCGGTCCGGCGCACAGGTGGGAGTGTTGGAGTTGGTGTGCTTGGACCGTCCCAAAGGGGATACTTACCTATAGTCACGTATCACGCTGTCACTTAGCCTTGTCTCTGACCGTCATCTTGTGGTCTGTTGTTTGTGTCTGCGCCCTCCCATCTCAACAAGGTCTGGTTCCAGCAGGATGGAGCGCCTGCCCACCGGGCCAAGTTGACACGTGCTTGGTTCGACTCACGGAAAATCCCCCTTTTCCCCCACCCTGCCAACTCTCCGAACATGTTGCCTATAGAACCTATTTGGCACATCCTCAAGCATCGCTTGCGTGCACTCCCACGGCTCCTGACCACGCAGGAGGGGTTGAAGAAGACGATCAAAAAGCTATGGGATGAATTGACGGTGGAGGAGATTGATCATTATATTGCACAGATGCCGGAGTGAGTTTGGGCTCTGCTCAAGGCTAATGGGGGACACACCAAGTACTAGTTTATATCCATGCTATGGACCAGTGGCGGAGGCTTTCCCTTATGTACAAAAATCAAACAATTCAAACGGATGACCTCAGTGTGAAATTTTTTTGTAGGGGGGAGTAGATCAGCAAGGTTTGCAATTGAAGACCGCATAAATAAAATTGGCACTCACTGGCGCATCGTCTCTAGGGAGACTGTATCCAGTGCAGTGTGCACGTTGCGAACCAGGTCCTCCTCCGAAGACGACGCCGGATACATGCGGTAAGCGTGTTTAGCAGCGCCCCATGCCTGCTCAATGAAGTTGAGCTCGCAATGGAACTTCGGAAGGAACAGGACACAAAAACCGCGAGCGCTACACACATCCTCAAGGATAGAGTGCTTGGCCATGAAGTCGGGCTGGTTGTAAAGGAATTGCCGGCAGCAGCATCGCGTTGCGCCAGGTGCACATCAGAAGCCATTGCACTCGCAGAGAAGGCCAGCCTCTTCGCGAAATCCACGCTCGGGCAGGAACTCAGCCATCCCCTTGAAGCGACCAGGCAAGTCCGGGTGCTCCGGATCTAAGGGATGATAGAGACACTGCGTCACCCTGAGGGTCTTGCCATCCGGACCCACCTTCGTGTATGACGTATCCTTCATAGGCAGCCAGACTGTCTGGCGTATATGGCGCTCTTCCATCGCGGGGGCATCGCCTTTTGGGACGGCCCCCTTCGCTCCCTTCTTGCGCTGCGGCTTGACCATTTTGAGCTCGTGAAGCACATTTCCCTTGGCGTCGGTGACCGTCTTCTTGATGCCGAAGTTGGTGTCTGCGTCACCGGGCTTTTTGGGATAGGGAGATGGCCCCTTCAGCATCCAACGCGCGGACAGTGTGTCATCTGCGCGCTTGCGGTGAATGGTGGTGTTGTCGTAGACGAACCAGTGTTCTTCGTTGGGGTAATCATGCTCGAGGATGTTCATAGCGCGTTCAACCTGCCAAAACATTTGTCAGATCGCTGCAATCTGCTTGACATGTGATGCTGGGACTGACCTGCTTCATAACCTCTTCACTTGTGAAGTACCTATCTTGGTTGACCCCACACTTCCAGGTCACCCACGCGTCTTGGTCCGAGCTCGTTGCGCACAGAAAACCATAGTCGGCAGACACGTAATCGGCCACCATATACGATGCTCCTTCTCCCTTTGCTCGAGGTGTAGGTGTGCTGTCCTTGTGAACCCAGACAACATCGCGTCGATCATTAGCGTAGAAAGTAGACTCATTGTGGAACCTGATGACAAGCAAGCGATTACGAGGTAGTGGGCCGAGCGTGTCGAGGTGTGTGAGGATCCAGGTGCATGTTTGGTGCTCTGCCTCAGTGATAGCGGGCAAGAATTCCTTCTGGCAGTACCATACGACATTGCGCCGCTCGTGACCATCAACGTACTGCCCGCAACGAGTCCTACGCCATCTGTAGCCCATCCGCCACAGCCATTCCCCCGCAGTAGCCAGCGATATACCCTTGTGGATCCCGTATCGGCTCCTCACATCCGGACAGTCGATATAATCGACGACATCCTGGCGTGAGATGTACTTGCCCTTCGACTGGAGATGGAGGGCGAGCTCGTTGCACAACGCCTCGTTATCCAAAATGCTGCGCTGTACCGATGCTGCGGAATGGCTTCCCGATCGCGCAGTATATCCTTTGCATATGCGCACACACGCCTTGCCCATGCAACACCCTGCCCATTCATCCGTGCAGCTTCGAGGGATGCTGCGATCCACTGACCCGCCTTACAGCCCGACATGAAGGAGTTCAGTATGTCGACTATCCATTCGAGGCGGGTTCGAGTCCACAGATCGCACTGGCACACCTTGTGCTTGTAGCCTTTGTTGCGCGGAGGTCATAGATAGGTGTTCATGATGTGAGTTTGTAGTTCTGCTGCCTGAGTGACTGTCGGAGCTTTGCGATACTGATAAGAGAGGAAGGGCTCAAAAGCAGTATCGGTTCCTTTCTTCATCTTCTGTGCCTTCCGCTTGCGCGCGCAGCGCTCGGCGGCACGCATCGACAGACTCGGGCGAGCAGTAGGCGCAGGTGAGGCTGGAGGCACCTGCGGCGACGCATCGGATGCGGGCGAGGCTAGAGACGTCTGCGGCAACGCATCAGGCGCGGACAGCAGCGCTGTAGAACTGGACTCCGCCGCCTGCAAAGCTTCGAGCTTGAAAACCTCCAGCTTGTCCTCGTCAATCTCCCATTCTGAATCGGGCGCAGAGCGGTCGGTGGCATAGGTATCATTCGAGGGAAGGCTCATGTCATCCTCCGCATCCAATGTGTACTCGGAGGGCGCATACGAGTCTTCAGATCGTGCATCTGATGATGGGCATGGCTGTTCGGCGGGTATGGGGAACTCCGCAGAGCAGTACGTGGCTGCCCACTCGGCTTGCACGCAGTAGCGGGCTGGTTTTGACTGCAGGGACCGACTGTTCAGGAGCCAGACGGTAGGATCATCAAGAAGGCGCTCTGACGGTGGAGGGGGGATGCAGGGAGCCTTGTCGCCTCCCGGGTCCGCATCTGCTGACATTGTCGATGTGGCAGGAGGCGGCACTGAGGGCAGCTTGCAAGTTCGCTTGTATTCCTCCTCAATACGAGCATATTCAACTGCCGCGCGCTTGTAGAGTGCTGCATCGAATAGGTGGGGGTTCTGGGTGTTCGGGACCAAGGGAGTCAACAATACAGGCGGCTCATGCATGGGTAGAGCGGAAAGGGGTCGGCGCGGGAGAGGCTTGATTACGCGTCTGATTGGCGCGCTAACACTAGTGCTCGCGGCGGCTGAGCCTTGGCCGTAGTATCTTGTCAAATGTCAATGGATGCAGCCAAGCCATGCCAGATGGCAAATGTCTCCAACCACAGGTGGGCGGCTAGCAGTGCGGATGGACTGGCCGGGTACGCGGGGGGCTGAAAGATCACGGACTGCGGCATAGGGAGCAGATAACGGGCTTTGAGCAATTGTGCAACTTGATGAGCTTCAGAGATAGAGGCTGTGAGGACAGGATCAGGGACATGGCCTGAAGCCAGCGTCGCAGCCTGCGTGGTGACTCTGGCAGTGAGCGCTACGTCGACAGTATTCTTGGTGGTCTTCCTGCGCTTCAGTGGCACTGCATATGGTCAGAACAAAGGGAAGGTATGAAGATGTAATCACACACCCTTGATGGGGCCATGATTCTCTTTCCCATGGTCGATAACCACCTCTCCGTCCTCTAAGGTGCGCTTTCTTAATGAAGTATCATGCTGATAGAGGATGAGATATAGCCTATGGAGATACGAAAGGCTCACCTGGCCCCGAATGACCTTTGACTCCTTCGGCCGTGCCTCTCCCTTCCCAGCTTTTCGCCCATCTGCATTGGGGTGAACAGTTCCACGGTGATAGTGGGCAATATTGGAGACCTTTCTGCGACCCATACGACAGACGAGACTGGCATTGCTGCCGTGTCTACAGTGCAACAACACTCAGTGGACGACACTCGGGGTGAGGAAGGCATTTGGATTGCGGGTAGCTTATTTATGAGGATTGAGTAGCAATTACAAGGATTCACAGGGGCTGTAGTGTAGCCAAGGGTCTTCTCTGCGTCTCCCATTTGGCGCTTTTCCCAAGAGAGACCTTTGTTGACGAGCGCGTGAGGAGGAAGGACAAGACGCGACGCGATGCGTCGACGCGTTGTCACGTTTGGTAACACTTGGTCACAAATCGTCACATCAGGTGACATTGGTCGAATCTGCATCAGCCATGTCTTACGAGGAAGTGTATGTGGGGGTGGGCACCACCCGCCACCGGATCCGGCATATTTGTACATGTTTATGCTGCGCCAACAAGTGGACTTCAGGTGTCCCCGAATCGTCATCCGGCAGGTGCACAATGGAGGGGTCATATCGCTTACCTTTGTATGGCAAAGTTGTTCAGAATTGTATGATCTGCGCTGTAATCTACTTGAACTACGCTCAGTTCATTAGAGACAGCATGCAATTACTCGACAAAATAGGTCAGACTCGTTCCTGTCTTCTCTCAACAGTTCATAGTCAAAGTGCGCATCGGACCGCCTCAGAAAAGTCCATGTTCCAAGATTGTGATATTTTGAAGCAGTTCTGATACTTTACCCACTGACGCGAAGCAGACTCGCCCACGGGGAACCCAGAGAAGGGAGAGTCTATAGCAATATAGAGCACGACAACAGCAGCCGAGGATGAGAGGTTATGAGCAGCGAACACCTTCGTGGGGTCCTTGTAATGCCTGTTCACGCGCACCGGGTGAAAAGATCTTTATACCTGATGCACGCGCCACTGGACCGTCGAGGTCGAGGAACAAGCGGTCGTGTCACACATGTCACAGTGCTTTTTGGCCCATGCGTGACTGATCACATTTCTCTATCTCCTCCATCATTTCTTCGTCCCCTGGCTCGCAAAATAGCGCGTTCGGAAGCTACATAAAGGATCTACATTCTGTCGTCGGATTTCAACAATAGCACATCCAGAAGCCACAAAATTGAGAATCTAGGCTTCCTCCCAATGAAATACTAAAAATCGATGTGGGATTATAGCTATAATTCGCCGCTTTCCGACGCACCTTATCCGGAAGCGAGCGTCAGAAAACTGACGGAGGAGATACGGAAACACTGCGGAACGGGCGCCAAAGCGTGACCACAACATGTACAAATATGCCGGATCCGGTGGCGGGTGGTGCCCACCCCCAGTGTATGGTGGATGGTGGGCGGAAGAGAGAGAGGTGCAGTCACGTGCTCTCTTCCGCCACCCCTAGCTACTGGGAGTGGGCACACACGGTTCCAGATCCGGCTTGTTTGGTTGTGTTGATGCCCCTGCCAAACGACACATGTTCGATGTCGCCGCGTAGTTCCCCCTTTAGCGAGCGACGTAGGACTCAGGTGACTTCAATTTGTGAGAACAATATATTCCCAAACATCCATTCTATAGTATTCCTGATTATAGAGACCTCCCACCAGCTACTCACAGGAATATCGGGCACATGCCAATGAGGACACCATCAGGTATGACTTTAAAGAGTCCTCAACCGCAGACTCTGTTCCGTCCATAGTATAGTCACTCCTCGCATTCTCAAAGGTCTTGCTATCATCAGGGTCAACTTTCATGGCATGTATGATATCGCCCAACGACTCTATAGCGGCTCTCAAGGCAGCATGCCAGAACAGTGCTGGCAGCTTTGAGGCGCCGTGTCAGCTGTTTCGGGGGCCATGCAAGTCGGGGAATAGGGCAGTATAGACCGTAAAAGGAGTAAAAGAGCCACTCAAGCGTGTGCGAGGGTGCTGGTCGAGTCGGATTGAACGTCGACGTTTGGGCCAAGGTAGAGGGTCACTAATTAGTGATGGCATCACTGTTGTGGTCACTAGTTGACCGTTTCGATTACAATCTTGCCGACCTATCTCCTTTCTCAGTTCTGCACCAAAATTCATGAAAAGTAGCGCATTTCAAGCGGAAACAAGGAAGGAACATTTCCTTGCTTTGATATCTGTCTTTTCCATTCCAGCCAACGGATTAAACGCCAATTACAGCATAATGTATTCGGCCTGAATGATAAATTCCGTTTCAAAGCAAGGCCTCGTGGATGTTCACCTCAGGAGGCCATATGAATATTTTCAGGGCGCAGGTTGACGAAACGCAGGACGAGATAGATTTACAATGCGACGACAAGGCCCTTGGGGGAGATCAACACGACCAAACAAGCCGGATCTGGAACCGCGTGTGCCCACTCCCATAGCTACGTCCCGAAACGGCGCGCCTGCTCCTCCGTGTCTCCCCCGCGTCGCTGTCACGCACTATCACTAGACGGTGCGCGCGCTGACCCTCGGCCGCGAACAGCGGGTCTGGTGCGTCCAGAGGATCATTGACGGCGTAGTGTCATCGAAGACAGCAGCAGGCGGAGGCAGGTGACGATGGCGGCGGGACGAACAAGGGCACGACCCAATTTGGAAGTGATCGAGCGCGCGCGTCCTGCTCCTGCCCACCACAGACGCGTCCACGCGCGACCCAATCCGCGTCCATCCTCAACCGCTCGCATTCTCCCCACCCCATCTCCTCCCTGCCTGCCATGGGCGACCGCGTGCGCATCTACAGCGCGCTCAACGTGCCCACCGTCACCGCCCACCCGTCCCCCAAGACTCTCCAGTGGACGTCCGACGGCCAGCTCTGCTTCCTCACCCGCGGCGCGGTCTATATCATGGTAAGCCCCGTCGCTCTTGGCCGTCTGCGCACGCGTGCTCGCCCATTGCTCTACGCGTCGTCGATCGGCCTTGCGCGTCCCTCACCCTCCTCCCCTTTCCTCTATCATCCTCCCCCGCCTCCAACATCCTCTCTCCCCACCTCCAACACCCCTCCCTCTCACAGACCTGTCACTAACCCTCCCCCCAGACCCCCGAACACGCCATCTCCTTCGACACCGGCGCCCTCCTCCGCCCCGCCCCCGACCCACACCGCCACGCGCCCGATCCCCACCGCCCGTCCGCCACCGCCAACAACCTCCGCTCCGCCGCCGCGTCGAGTGCGTCCGCTGGCGGTACGTGCGCCGTTCGACTTTTGCGATCCCTTCGTTCGCTCACTGCGGCGCTTTCGTCTGCTCACCCCCCTCTCAGCCGGCCCCTCAACCACAACCACCGCACCCACCTCAACCTCCAACATCCCCTCGCCGCCCTCCCCCGCCCCCACCATCGGCTGGTTCCGCACCGTCATCCCCATCGACAAGACGATCGCCTACCAGTGGCCGGAGCACTCGCAAGGTGAGGTTCTCGCGCATACATCCCCATCTGTCATCTCTTTCCCCCTCGCACCCTCTCCTCTGACCCTTCCCCCTCCCTCGCACCTTACCCCCTTCCCTTCTACACCCCAAAAATCATCACAAAAGTCAATGAACGCTCACCACCTAACCGCCCCTCCCAGCCTACCCCCTCCTCACCCTCGGCGCCATCGACGTCTCCCTCTGGTCCCTCGCCACCTCCCCGCCCGGCCTGGCGCCCGAGAATGGGTGCGTGTTTGGCTGGTTTCGTGGTTCACGTTCATCCCTTCCCCTCCCTCTCATCCTCCTCGCTTCCCCCTCCCAAACCCCTCCTCAATCCTCCCTCATCCTCCCCTTCGCCCTCCTCGTCCCCTTCCCTCTCCCCCTCCTCAATCCTCCCTCCCCTCACCCTCCTCGTCCCCTCCCCTCCTCCCAACTCCCCTTTCTCCCCCCCCCCCCCCCCACCGACCAAACCCACTAACACTCCTCACGCTCGCCCCTCCCCTATACACAACCCTAACACCTATACTGAACACAAAAAGTACTAAAAATCCCGCCAGCCCCCTCCTCGCGACCCTCACCTCCAACTGCGACCTCACGCTCTGGGCGGGCGGGAAGAACGCCGTGCGGGGCGAGTGGGTGAAGGTGAGTTGTTGCTTGTTTAGTAATCTTGGTCGTTTTAGAAAGTTCACTTGGCGTGCGCGAGAACGTTCCCGTCCTCTTTCGTCCGATCGTCGTCTTTCGTCCGAACTATCCTCTGTTTTCGATCCTCGTTATGCCCTCAATCTCCAATCACCTCTTGATCTATACGCGATATCTACACACACCCTCCGGTACGGTGCAGCGCGGTACGGTGCGGTGCGGGGAAGGGAAGGGAAGGAGGGAGGCGCCGTGCGGGAAAGAGAGGGGAAGGGAAGGAGGAGGCGCCGTGCACTGTGGTGTCCCCTTCCCTGTCCCCTTCCCATCTTCCCCCTCACACCCTCTCCCTCTTCCATTGCCCCCCTCCCCTTCCCCCCCTCCCCCCTCTCCCACATCCCCTCCCCCTTCCCTCTTTGACCCACCCCTCCACTCTCCCTTCCCACTCTTCCCCCACCCGCCAGGGTGGGCCTCATTCCCCCCTCCCTCCCCCAAGCCCGTTAGGGCGCAGGGGCCCCTCCACCCTCCCCGCACCCCCAATGAAATTAACATCCTCATAAATCGTTCGCTAACCCCCACCTCCCATATCAAAAACTAACCCCCTCCCCCAGCTCGCCCCCCTCACGCCCTTCCTCCTCACGCTCTGGCCGGCGCTGCCCGTCGTCGCGCGCGCGCTGCGCGCGCAGGTTGGCGGTGAGTGTTAATCGGTTGTTTGTTATTCTGTTTTTATTGTTATTTTCGATTGGGTGGTTGGGGCAGTTTGGGAGGGGGAAGGATGGGGGTGGAGGGGTTGGAATGGGAGGGAGGTGGAGGGGTTTTTTGGCGAGGGAGGGAAGGAAGAGGGACCAGGGCAAAGACGCGGGTGGTGGACCCGCGCTTTCGGAGGAGCGTGGAGAGGATGGGAGGGTCCGCTTCGCCCTTCGCAGTAGAAGGCGCGCCTCGCCCTTCGTAGCTATCGGGCCTGTCTCACTCCATCGCAGCCGTCGAGCACGTTTCGCCCCTTCCTAGCCGTCGAGCACGTCTCGCCCCTTCGCTGCCGTCGGGCCCGTTCTACCCCTTCGCAGTAGAAGGCGCGCCTCGCCCTTCGCTGCCGTCACTTCTCCGCTTCACTCTTCGCTCTTACCACCTTGCTAACCGCATCCCGCCCAACCCACACTAACCCCAACCTCCTCCCTCCCTCCCCTTCCAACCCTTTCCCCTTACACCCTCCAACCCACACTAACCCCACCCCGCCCAGCCCTCACCTGGTCCACGCAACCCGCCTTCCCGGTCCCGCTCGCGTCGAGTACACGCCCCACGCCTCCCTCCCTCCCCACGCCCCCCTCTCCCCCCACGCACCCGACGCACCCCACGCCTCCCTCAACCACGCCCCCCACGCACCCCTCAAGTACACGCCCCTCAAGTACACACCCCACGCCCCCCACCCTCCCCACGCACCCCCCGCTCGACGGCTCGCTCCTCGTCCTCGGCACCCGCGCCGGCGTGGTGCTCTTTCTGCGGTGAGTCGTAGTTATCTTCTTGTGCGGAGCGAGTCGTCATCTTTCTGTGGGGAGTAGGCTGTTTTCTTTCTGTGGAGAGTAGGCTGTTTTCTTTTTGTAGGGAGTAAGCCGTTATCTCTTTGTGGGGAGTGCGTCATCGTCATCTTTCTGTCGGGAGTGCGTCACTGGGTTGGGTTTGCTGGCTCGTTTGGCGTGCGGCGTTGCCCATCTCCTCTCACGAGCGAAGCCCCCCCTGTCCCCCTCCCCCTCCCTGTCCCCCTCCCCCTCGGCCCTCTCCCTCACACTCCCCTCTCTCCCTCTCCCTCCTCTGCCCCCTCTCCCTCCTCCGCCCCCTCTCCCTCCTCCAACCCCCTGACTACCTCCAACCCCCTGACTAAACTATCGCCCTGAACCTCGTGAAACCCCATCCCCTCTGAACCTCGTGAAACCCCATCCCCTCTCCCCCCGCCGGATGCGGACGTTCATCTCATTAAACTAACACAAACCCGAATACTAACACACAACCCCCCAGCCACGCCCTCCCTCACCCCACGCTCCTCGGCAGCGCGCGCGTCGGCGCGCAGTGGGTGGCCGAGGTCGCCGTGAGCGGGTGGAAGGCGGAGGATGGGAGTGGGAGTGGTAGTGGAGGGAGCGGGGATGAGAGTGGGTGGAGTGAGAGGAGGGGGGATGAGAGTGGAGGGAGCGCGGGGGTAGATGGGCAGAGGGGGCAGAGGGGGGAAGTGGGTGGGAGTGGGTGGAGCTCGTCCACGGCGAACCGAGCACCCACATCCACCCCGACAGTCACCGCCCTCCTCGCGTACGCGCTCGCGGACGGCGCCGTGGGCGTGTTCGGCGTGCGGCAGCGGCTAGTGCGTACGGACGTGCGGCAGGGGCTAGTGCGTACGGACGTGCGGCAGAGGCTAGTGCGTACGAACGTGCGGCAGGGGGTGGTGCGGACAGGTGCGTTGGTTTATCCTTATTTCTCCTGATTGTACACCCTTTCGTCGTACTTTCCCCCTCCTCTGGTGCCCTTCGTCCCTTCTCCTTCGTTATCCTTGCACCTTTCTCCTTCGTTATCATTGCACCCTTCTTTTTCGTTATCCTTCCCGCCCTTCTATCGTCCTTCGTCCCTTCTGCCGTCGTTCACTCCCCCTTTCTCGTTACCCCCTTCCCCCTCTTCCCATCTGCCGTCTTCCCCCTCCGTCCCTTTTATTGTCTTCTCCCTCCCCCCCCCTCTTCCCTTGCTAACCGAGCGACAGACGACAGCGGAGACGTCCTGGCAGGAGAGCGTAGCAGAGACGCCCGGGCAGGCGACGCGTCTCACGAGTCGACGTCAAAAGACGCGCCTCAGGGGGACTCGCCAAAAGACGTTCCGCAGCCAATGCCAGAAAACGCGCCTCACGCGCCAACGTCAAACAACGCCCCGCACGAGCCCAAAGACCCCTTCGCCTTCCCCTACCGCGTCTCCTTCGAGACGTTCGACCTGTACCCGTCCAGCGGTGAGCCTGCCTTTCTCGTCCTCACACGATTGCCTCGAGTACCAAATTCGTCCACCAGCAGAGCACGCAGCTGACCAACGCGAACCTCACGAAGCCGACGAACCCAGTCAACTCGAGCCCGACCACCTCGAACCCCTCGCCGGCACCCTCCTCACACCCGCCGACGGCCGGCGCGTGAGCGCGCTCGTCTGGGTTGACGTGCGCGGGCGCGGGGTGAGTGATGTGGATTCTTTTTGGCGAGGGGATACTCTCTCTTTAGCGTGCATCCCCCTTACCACCCCCTTTCCTTCCCTCACCTCTCACACCGCCACCCCTTTAACCCCGCTCCCTTACCAGCCCTTTCCCTCCCCTTCCCACACCCCCCTGCTCCCTCACCTCTCACCCCCATCCCCTCACTCCCTTCCTCACCCCATCCCCTTACCACCTATCCCCACACCCCCAACCCGCACAAAGACCAAATACTAACCCCCCCTCCCTCCCCAGCCCACCCTCATCATCTGCAAGCCCGGGCTCGTCTCCCTGTGGTCGGTGGGCGGGGCGTTCGCGACCGCTTCTGCTGTTGCTCCCAAGGGGTTCGCGAGCGCTGCTGCTCCGGCGGGGTTCGCGAGCGCTTCTGCTCCGGAGGGGTTAGCCACCGCTGCTGCTCCCAAGGGGTTCGCGGGCGCTTCGGCGCCTGCGGGGCTCGCGGGCGCTTCGGCGGGGTTCGCGAGCGCTTCGGCAAGGCTCACGACCACCTCCACCAGCGAAGCCTCCACTTCGAGCCTTAGCCAAGGTAGCATAGGACAAGATGCAAGAGACAGGCCCCCCACCCCGCCCACCCCGCCGCCCGCGCTCACGCTCCCCCTCCCGCCGCTCAAGACGTCCATCGGCTCCTCCGCCTTCAGCGCGGTCGTGGGCGTGCACTATGTCCGGACGCGGGGTGAGTGGTCGCTTTCCTCCCCACGCTGAACTCCTCACGCCCACGCGGAACTCCCCACACCCACGCTGACCCTCCCCCTCCCAAACTGACCCCCCCCCCCCAGACACCCTCCTCCTCACCCTGCACGACGGCACGATGCGCGCGCTCCAGGGCCTCGCCACCGGCGTCGTCGGGTGGGCGGAGGAGGGGGCGAGCGTGGTGCCGGGAGCGTCGACATCCGCACCAGCGGCGAGAGCGTATGCGGGACTTGCGGGTACAGCGTCGGCTTCCGCCCCAGCGGCGAGGCCTCCACCCTTCGCGCCTACAGTGTCAGCGGGACCTGCGAGTACGAGCGCGTCGGCAGCGGGCGAAGGAATTGGTCCGCCAGTGGGTGAAGGAAATGGTCCGCCAGTGGGAGAACGATCGCGTCATGAACAGGACTCCGACCCCACCACCCTGGGAAACCCCACCACCCTCGACGACCCCACCACCCTCGACGACCCCGCCACCCTCGGCGACCCCGCCACCCTCGACGACCCCACCACTCTCGGCTACCCCGACTCCGACGTCGAGATGGGCGACAGCTCGTTGCACGGAGAGACAGAGTTTCCCGACCCCTCGACCTTCGCGCTCGACCCCGCCTTGGCCGCTCTCAGCCCCAATCCCACTACCGCAGGCCCCATTACCGTCCCAGGTGCCAGCCCTACCGCTACTCCCCTCCCTGCCGGCTCGACATCAACAAAACTGATACCTGCGCGCCCAGTACCCATCTCTGCGCGCCGGACACCCAAACCCCTCACCTCCCCCGCGCTCTCCGCGCACACCCGGTCCGTGTTCACGACGCTCGAGGGCGGGCGCGCGCCGGGCTCGCGCACGGACTACCGGAGCGAGAGCACGGCGGCGATAAGGGTGGGCGGGGGTGCGAGTGGGGGTGCGAGTGGGGGCGCTGCTTCCGTCAACAACGATTCTTCAGCCGACGCAGCCGGCGGGCCTAGCAGCGCAGGAGCTGGCGGGCTTAGCGGCGCAGGAGCCGGCATCACCAACAGCACAGTCGCAAATGCCAGCGGAGGCGCCCCAGGCCCGAATGCGAACACGACGGGAAGTGCCGCCACCGACCCCTCCTCCGGGCGCATCACCAAACAGGACGTGCACCGCATCACCGGCATGGCGGACTACGACGGGCTGGGCGCGATGGTGTGGGTCTACGAGTGAGTGGGTGGTCGGTTGGTTGGCTGGCTTGCTTGCTTGTCGTGTCGATGTTGTGTTTTTCTCCGTTCATTCGATGCCGTTCATTCGATGTTGTGTCTTTCCATCCATTTCATCCCGTCTTTCCATCCATCTCATCCCGTCTTTCCATCCATCTCATCCCGTCTTTCCATCCATTGCATCCCGTCTTTCCGTTCATCTCATCCCGTGTTCCCATCCATTGCATCCCTTTCCATTCATCTCATCCCGTGTTCCCAATCATTCCATCCCTTGTTCATCTCACCCCGCCCCCTCCCAACAAGCCCCAAAAACCGCGCACACGAATTACCCACCCTCATACTAACACGCCCCCCAGATCCGCCCGCCCCGCGGACTTCAACTACAAGCACGACGCGAAGAACGGGTCCACGCTCGTCGTGAGCGGCGTGTGGGAGGGGCTCGGGAGTGCGCGGGAGGGGCGGGCGAGTGCGCGGGAGGGGCGGGCGAGTGCGCGGGAGGGACTGGGGAGTACGGTCGAGATCCCACTTCCGGACGACGACGATCATGCACAGGTCGCGGCTGATAATACGCACATCGCGGTGGCGCACGAGGTGAGTAGTTCGACCCCCACCCAACCAGATAAACTGACACCAAGACACGCTCAGACCACAGGCGATCCAGAGGACGCCGCATTTCTCGCGCCGGAGGACGCCGAATTCCTCGCGCTCCTCACCTCCACGCTCACCTCCGCCCGCGCGTCCGCCTCCCCCGCCCCGCTTCCTCTGCTGCGCCCGTTGCTCTTCCGGCTGCAGGACCGCGCCCTCCTCGCGCGCGTCCGCGAGCGCGTGCTAGGCGTGCTCGGGGGAGGATCGGAGGGCGAAGGTGGCGAACACTCATCACACGCGGGTCCATCGGCGCAGCCGCCCGACCAGGATGAGTCCGCAACAGCAAATGCCACAACAGCGAGTCCCACAACAGCGAATCCCACAACAGCGATTTCCAGCGATAACTCGACGCCGCTCACGTCAAATCCGACCCCTTCCATCCGCGCGCACTTCCGCGAGTCGCTCGCGCGGGCGCTGTTCGGCGGGGACGAGCTCCTGCGGCTACGGCTCAAGCTCGCGGTGGCGGATTTCATGAGGGTGAGTGAGGGGTGGTTGTGTTTTTGTCCTCCTCTGCAACCCATTGCCCTCAGTCCCTTCCTACCTCCCTCCCACTCTCTACGCTCCCCTCGCTTACTCCAATGGCTACATCCAAATCGCTAACCCCTCGCCCAGAAAAACCTCTCCACCAGCACCTCCCCCTACTCCCTCAACGACCCCAGCAACGCCAGCGCCCCCCTTTCCGATCCGGACGTCCTCGCGCACCACCGCACGTCCACCCTCCTCGCCGCGATCGCGCAGCGCGTGCAGGGTATCATCATCGCGCATGTGGTGGCCGTGGTGCCGTTCTTGGGAGGTGAGTTGGATGGTGTTGATCTCTTCTGTTTTTATTGTTCTCTTTTGTTTTTGTTCTTCTCTTGATCTGTCCCAATGCGTCTTCCCCGCCCCTCCTCTTTACCCGTTCCCACCTCCTCCTTCTCCTTCGCGCCTTTCCTCTCTCTTCATGCGCCCTCCTCTTCACACGCCCCTCTCTTCACACGCCATCCTCTTCATTCCGCGTCTCTGTCGCCCCCCCCCCACTCACCCTCCCGCAGCCCCCGACCTCCCCTTCGCCCTCCGCCTCGCCCTGCAGGCCACGCTCCCCGGCTCCCCGGCCGCCCTCGCCGCGCGCGGGCGCGAGCTCCTGCACGCGCTGCGGGCGAGGGGGCTGCTGTCGGATGCCGATCTTGCATATCTGGCAGGGCTGGGGCGGGCGCAGGCGGATAGGGATGTGGGCGATGGAGAGGCGATGCGAGTCGATGGACACAGGATGCGAGTTGATGGACAGGCGATGCAAGTCGATGGCGCGTCAGGTAACTACCATTCTCGCACTCATAGGCCGCGCATCCAGTCCTCACCAGCCGCAGGTGGCGCACACCCGCACTCCCCCATCGCCAACGACGCCCTCCTGGAGTCCTGCCCCGCGTGCACGCAGGCCGTCCCGCTCAAAGGGACCGCGCAAGGTGTCTGTCCCTCGGGGCATACGTGGGGTGAGCTTGATTGAGCTTCTTTCCCTTCCTTTAGACCCATTCCCCGTCACCCCTCCCTTCCCTTCTCCTACTCCACCGTTCCCCATCCCCACCCACCGTCCCCCTTCTCCACTGTCCCCCTTCTCCATCCCCACCTCCAAACATCCAACTAACCTCACCCCATCCCCCCCATGCCCCCATGCCCCCATCCCCCCTTCTCCCACCCACCACCCGACTAACCCCTCCCCCCAGCCCGCTGCACCACCACTACCTTCCTCCTCTCCACTCCGCACGTGCGCACCTGCCTTCTCTGCGCGCGCAAGGCGCTCCTCCCTGTCTCCTCCGCGCAGGCCGGCAGCGCGTACCGGCTCGACTTCCTCCCGCGCGCCGCGCGCTGCTGGGTGGTGGACGAGCTGCTGCAGAGCGTGGGGCGGTGCATCGTGTGCGGGGGTGGGTTTGTGAGTGTGTTGTGACGGGGGCGAGTGTGTTATGAGGGCAGACGAGATGGCGAGTGTGTTGTGAGGGGGCATGAGGTGGCGAGTATGTTGTGAAGGAGGAATGAGATGGTGAAAAGGCAGGGTGTGAGATGGAGGAAAGGAATACGGAAGTAGAAGTGACAGCCATCTTGGACGCAGGAAGAGCATTTCTTGTCATCGTAGTCTTCTTGTTCGCAGCCACCTGGGCTGAGCCTACAGACATTCAAGTACTGGGAGGTATGCAAACGAAAGTGCGATCGATAGCCATCACATCTGAGCGTCGACATATCCTTAATCTCCTGTAGCGCATTCTCTTCGTGACCTCCATCAAGATTCAAAAGACCCGTCCCTCCCCCCAAGACGAAGCGCGGTCGCGCGGCGTGAAAGCGCGACCGTGGTATTTTTTCGCCAGAGCATACGCCATAGGCTTGTTTGCCCGCAAACGCTACATTCCAGAGTCGGCCCTACCTCCCCGCTATCGGTCTCAAAAGCACTTACTGTGTCAATCGGCGCGCGGTAGCCATCGTGGCTCGTCCTCTGTGTCCAGCTCCTTCTTAAGCTCGTCAACAAGCGCGGGGTCGGGCAAGCTTCGCTCCTCCTCAGAGTAACCCTGGTTGTCTGACAGCACCAACGCGATGCCCAACCTCCTGCTGCGCTTCGGATCAGCGTACACCAGCTTGAATGAGGCGCACGGAAGATTGTACACATGGGCGAGGATGCCACAAACGAGGACTCGCAGGCTCTTCAGGTGCAGCGCCTCGTTAAAGGGTTCCTGGCCGTCGTGAAGATCGGTGGGGCAGCCGCGGCGACAGTATGCAAGACACATCTCATCCGTGATCGCCCATCCAAGGATGTAGTGGTGCGTGGAAGGGGGACGCTCCGTCTGCCAGCTGCGCAGGGCTGGTGAGGACGCTTGTATACCGGTGGCGGCGGTATTTGATGTTAGAGCCAGAGCAACCCTCGCTGCAGCACCGTCAGCAGCCATAGTGTGCGGTGTTGGTAGATGTTGAACGTTGAGAGACAAGCCAAGAAGCCGTCACATCAGGTTCGCGGCCATCGCCGAAGCGGTGTAAACACCACATAGCAGAAGCAAGCTGGGCTGAGCCAGAATGTATATAATATCCTATCCGAACAAACCAAAAGCCACCTTCCATCAAGCAGGGCCTACATATATACAAGTACTAGGAGGTATACAATAGCACAGAACGAAAGTGCGATCAATAGTCACATATGAGCGTCGACATTGCTCCAATCCCCTCCGGCGCGTTTCTTCTTGACCTCCTCCAAAACCCCATTCCTACCCCCGAAAACCGCTTGATCACCTCCCCGGGAACGCCCCCGGAATCTGCAAACGCCTCCTCTCCGGATGATGGAAGTACGTCCCATACCTCGACGTCCTCGACGGCGTCCCCTCCTCCCCGACCACCGAGTCACCGGCAACCGAACCCTCTCCGACAACGCTCTCTCCGCCTCCCAGAACATCCTCCCCGCCCAGCTGGATCGCCCCTCCACCCTCACCTCCACCCCCACCCACCTCCGCCACGCTCCCCAAGCTGCCCACGATCCCGCTATTCCGCATGCCCGCGTCCAGCTGCCGCGCGGGCACGTCAAGCACCTGCCGATCGAGCAGCCCCTGCCCGCTGAACGTCCTTGGCCTTGGTTGCGAGCCACTGGCCACCCTCTGCGGTCCTACGCTGCCCTGCCTCCCCTGCCCCATCAGGCTCGTTCGCCGCGACGGGTTGTGCACGACGATATGCTGCACCGTCCCGTAATCCTCGTCCGAGTCCACGTCCTCTTCGTCCTCCGCTGCGGCCGCTTCCTCTCCCTCCAACCCGCCGACTAGCCAGCTCTCGTCATCGGGCAGATTGATCACGCCCGTCGCCTGATCGAAGCTCAGCCGGTGGTGCAGCGGCGCAGGCGCCGTTCGCGCCCGCCTTTGACTTGGACGCGCAGGGCTTTCCTGCTGCCACGGGTTGGCGTCGTCGCGTGGCTCGCCGTTGGCGGCTTCGCCGGAGAGCAGGTCGGGCGCAGCGGCAGACCGTCGCCGGTGGACGACGCTCGCGCGCTTGCGAAGGCTGAGAACGACGGCGGGTTCGCCATTGCCAGTCGCATCCTTGTGCAGGTGTTGAGAGTTGACGAGCGTCTGGCCCTTCTTCAAGGGCAGCCAGGGTTCGGGGAGAACACCGTTGAGTGCGGGGTGACCATAGCGGCGCTTGCCAGTGCTATACAAGGTCGTCAGACGAGAAGGGCACAGCAGCGAAGATTCAACGTACTTGAGCACGCCGGCATACCAATTTGCCATTGGGGGTTGCGACTGCGCAAACATCAATGAACGCTCAACGAACAGGCATCACAACGTACGTAGTCTGTCCGCTCATCCTCCGGTGCGACGTACAGGGTATCGTCGTTCTGTGCATACCGTCGCCGGTTTAAATTGCTGACAATGGATGCGTCAGCCAGCTACTCATTTCTTCTCCTCGGTACAAAAGTACTGACCTCTGGCTCCACGTTACCGGATGGCCCGCCCGCAGCCGCACAACATCAGCAGTCTCCTCGCCCCTCTCGACCTCGCACACGGAACTCAGGCTGACAAATTTCGACAGTGGCGCCAACGTGCGGTCAACCCACCACGTCCAGACAACAGTGAATCCCAGGAGCGGGACCTGTTCATCTTGAGCGACAGCAGCGCAACCGGAGCAAAGAAACTACACTGACCATGATCGTCGAGATGATATACGCCTTCTTCAGGAGGAAGAAACCGACCATGAAGATTTGGAAGATGACCACGCCCCAAATCAGACGGATGAAGGTGATTGGCCAAGCCTGCCCCCTTGACTCGTAAGGCTTGTAGAAGACTGCAAGGAAATCCATCAGCAATAGCTTCAAGCATATACCACGCTACTCACCAAAGAGCAGTTTGTACTTGTACACCACGTAGCCGATGCCAAAGTACAACGCGCCGAAGACAACAATGAGGGGCTGTGTGACGCTGTACAGCAGGGTAACGACGAAGATGAGGATGGCTTGCGGGTACACGACGCCGTAGTTGATCAGCGGTGGCGCGTTCAGCTCGGCGAAGTCTGCATGACCCGCTGTCAGCACAACACCATGCAGCAATCGGGACTCTACTGACCTCTCGGTGTCCGCGTCACGAAGATACGCATGAGAATACGCGGGATGACGACTCCGAGGTTAAGTAATTGCAGCGGCATGATACCCAAGCTCTGAAGGATCACGTAGGAAAGGAAGAAGTGCCTGTACGACCGATGTGTCAGTCCAGAATACTGCAATATGAATACGCCGAATACGAACCTCGCCTTGCCTGCGTGCAACGCCTGCGCAACCTTCTCCGGAATCTTCGCCGGCGAGTTCGCCAAATCCATAACCAGCTGCAGGTACGTCGACGCTAGCAGGAAGATGAAGACAACGTTGATGAGCAGGAAGAGGAAGTATCTGCGAGAAGTCCTTCAGTCACTGTACGACCATAAAGTCCAAGCATCGCTCACTTCTTCAACAACGAGTACTCAATCCAACTCCTCGCGCGATAACCCTGCGCATACGTCAAAGCCTCGAGCAAAAAGGGTAGTAGCGCGTTCAGCGTGATGATCGCCGCAGAGGGTAAGGAGTTCTGCACAATCGCCTCGATCGTCTCGTTCCGGTCGATGAGGCGTGCCAGCCAAGGAATAGTCTTCTTGATCTCCTTATACGACAGTAAAGACGCCAAAGCCGATGTGGGAATGACCCTAGAATACGGTTAGGTGATCGCGCCGACGTAAGGAGGGCAGACAACTCACCAGAAGAACAAGAGCAAGCCCATGAGAGCCATGACAACGGTGTCGCGAGTCATGATAGAGCGCTGCGAGGGCGTCATATTGGACCTGCGACCGAACATGAGATGAGTGGGACAGCGAGGACTATCCCCACATACCACACGATATCCCTAGGCTCAGGCGCTGGCTTCGTGACAGTCTGCAGGGGTGCAGGGGCATGCGCAACCTGAATGGCCACCTGCGCACTCGACATCTTCTCGAATGTAACGAACGCTGTCTACGTTGCTGTCAGCCATTACCCACGCATACCAGGCTGAGGCGTGCTCACCTCCGTCGCCTTAAACCTGCCGTTCCTTCGCCGCTTCTTGAACTCGTCGTCGAGAGCACGGAAGTCCGATTCGAGGTACTCTAACGCATCGACCTTCGGCGCTAGCCATGGGACCGGGAAGGGAAGGCAGGCGCATCGCCTGAGAGCGAACCATCGCGGTCGCAAAGTCGGTCGAGGGCGATGTGGGACTACGAAGCGCCTTCGCTCGTTGCTCGTCGCCGCGTCGTAGTTGCGGAAGCCACCTGTCGACAGTGATTAGTTAACAATCCGAATCGACCATCAACAAATCACGCGCCATTGGCCTCCAAATCCACCTCACTCCCATCCTCCACATCCACCAACTGCGCACCCTCCGCCGCCTCCGGGTCATACTCCTCTACCGCACTCGGATTCCCCACATACCTCACCCACGCCCTCTCCAGCCTCAACAGCGCCTCCGTCCTCGCATCCAGCAGCCTCTTCAGCGACCCCACCTCCCTCACCAACGACACGCTCTCCACGCTCAGATCCATTGCCTCAAAGTACTCCGCGAGCGCGCGCTCGGACTTGAGGTGCTGCGGCAGGCGCGTTACGAGAACCGTGCGCGCGGGGATCGAGTGCACAAGCTCGAGGGAGAAGAGCTGGCGCGCGCGAATGAAGCGTCGATAGTTGCGGCGGATGAAAAAGAGGGCGAGCGCGGTGAAGAGGTAGGTGAAGACGAGGTGCGCGGAGAGGTATGAATTTGCATCCGAGATGAGGTCAAGCCAGTCGCGGCCGGGAACAGTGCCATTCGTGGAGTTCGGGGGGACGGTCGTTGAGGGTAGGATAGCGCGCTTGGGAAGAAGGTACGGCCAATCGTCATTCGGGTCGCCATCGTCGCCGTCATCAAGTAGGTCTTTGTTGTTCTGCGGGAATGTGAGAACGAGTGAGGCGGCCACTGTAGTGCATACGCACCTGAAAATTGATTGGCATAAGGACGGCGACCGCAAATACACTCGCAGATGCGAATAGATAGAAGCACATCTTGAAGAACGATAGCAAAACGGCCGCGTCAAGGCCAACGATCTGCAACACGGTGTATTCAGAAGTGCGAATGGTTGGACCTATCCATGCGAAGGGGGCGAAGAGCCTGCAGCGTTTCCGTCAGTGTCCTTCATTCGCGAGATGGATGATAAGCGCACCATGCGAAAGGGTGCGCAGCGGAGGGTACAGTGGGGCCGGGAGCCTCATGCGCTTCATGTGGGGAGAAGCCTACGCGCGGTTAGCTGAGCGACTCAGGTCCACAGCGTGCAACGCACCTTTCAGCTTCGTCCTCGGCGCAAACAGTATGGGCCATCGCGTCCTGCAATACGAGAAGATGATGAAGGACGAGAAGCCTGCATGCGCGATCAGTCAATTCACCTTTGATGACCGGCATCAGACGCACCAAGAGCACACGATATCGTCAGCTGCGTTTGGAACCAAGGTCCCTCAAAGGTTCGCGTTGGAGGGGATCCGGGGGGTAACGTTGGGTCTTCGCCCTCACCGAGCGCGTTCGCGGTGGCGAAAGCATCGAGGGGGACGAGCAGCATATGCGCCGCCTTCGCCGCGAGTGTGTATGCGGCGGACGCCATGTCGCGTCACCGATACTCTATCCAGGTACTCTCACTCGAGACTGGCAAGAAAGTGACTTGTTGAGCTTGTCGTGGCGGACAACGACGGCGACAGTGATGGCGGAAGCAGAGGAGATTCGGTCCGAAGCGTGAGAGAAATGACGGATCGCGTTCGAGGTCAAGAGTTCGACCCTGTCCGCAACTTCCATATATGAAGGTGAAGAACCTGAAAAATCTCACGAACAGCGGATGCGATAGTCCCATAAACTTCTTTTACGCCACGAAAGTTGCTGATAGGTCGACAATCCGTCGATGTGGAAATGATAGGGCAGTGAGCAAAAACTGTCTAATCCCTCGACCAATGCATTCGAACCTCCGTCTCCCTAGCAGCAAACCTATGGCACGGCACATCAAGGCTGTGCTTGCTTCAGCTCGTATCTACTGAATCAATCCCAAAGTACTCACTACTGAGTCAAGATATAGTATTGACTTCGCGCCGTCAGTCGAGCGCTTTGAACCAGCGAGGCTCCTCCTCCGTACCCAGCCATCCCTTAATCCTATCCACAATTTCCGGCGATGGCACGCGCCGCTCATGCGAGTTGAGACCCTCGCTGTCCGAGATCACGACTGCCCATGAGAGTCGCGAGCGCCCCCGACTAGTGTAAACCACTCTGGATCCTACACAAGCCAGGCGGAACACGCGAGCAACGCGAAGGCCGAGGGCTTGCTCAAGATAGTCGACGTGATCTTCCATGCTCTCGTTCTCCGTCAGCTTCCCGTTGGCGTCGTGGAACGACGTGGGGCACCCGCGAAGGCAGACACCACGGCAGAGCTCGTCGGTGGCAAGCCACCCCAGTATGTAACGCCCGTCGAATCTGCGCCGTCTTTGCCAGATGCGAAGGTCTGCTGAAGGAGTCGAGTGGTGGGCGCTGGGGTCAGGGCAGGGGACTGCAGGAAGTGCGCGAGGGTCGAAACAAGTGATAGTCATGGGTGAGGTGGGCAAGGTCCCGGGCCGCGTCGGTGTTCAAGACAAAGTGTTTCTCTCATACCACACGTGTTAACCGTAGGTTCGCCTCGTGCGTTCAGCGTGTTTTCGCGATAACACCTGGGGGCCTTACTGCGGCTACGCAGCTGAAGTTTGGACTATAGGAGCATCTATGCTCATCAACCGCGGGAGTACTTTCCCCATCTCGAGGAGGTGCTGATCGTGATCAATATGCTTGGCCGAAGTCGTTCCCAGCAGCAGAACAGATTACATACGTAGCACAACAAGCAGGAGAAACAGCATAAATCATGACGAAGCATTGTAAGCGAGAAAGTATGAGTTGGCGATCATGCAGGCGCCTCGCAACCCGAACGCACGTTCAAGTCGCGCTGTTCGTGATTCAGTCGAAAGCTATCGAACAGGATCAAGAGCGAGCTCTCACCAGCTAGTCAAGGGCTTTGAACCAACGAGGCTCCTCCTCCGTATTCAAGAACCTCTTGATTTTGTCCACGAGCTTCGGCGACGGCACGCGTCGCTCTCCTGGGCTTTCGCCGCCGCTGTCCGACACCACAATTGCCCATGAGACCCGCGTGCGCGCCCGATCGACGTAGACCACCCTTTTTCCCACGCAGTCCAAATCGAACTTGTCAACGACGAAGGCACCAACATCTTGCCGGAGGAACCGAATGTGAGCCTCCATGCTTTCGTTCTCCCATAGCTCCCCATTCTCCTTATGAAAGGGCGTCGTGCAGCCACGACTACATACGCCACGGCATAATTCGTCGGTGGCGAGCCATCCAAGGATGTAACGCCCAGAAAATCGACGAGGTATCTGCCAACTGCGAAGGGTTGGCTGATTGTTCGCGTCGTGCGCGCTCGGATCGGGGCAAGTGACACAAGGACGTGCCCTAGGGTCCGGGCAGGCAAAGCTCATCGATGATGAATGCTCGGTGCTGAGGACAAGCCGCGAGTCGTTCAGTAATTCATCAATGCATCATATCGCACATGTGAAACGCATGGAGGCCTCGCGCATTCAGGGTGGCATACATGATCTATATGTTAAAGGTGTTCGCGCGCCCTGACTCGGCGTCTTCATGAGCGTTAGATACCATGTGTAGTGCTTCAGAGGACTCACCACGACTACGTAGCTCGCAGAAGCCACTGCGGTTCCTCCTCCGTACCTAGCTCCTTCTTTATCGCGTCAACAACCGCCGGTCGGGCAAGCTGCGCTGTGCTTCGCCCCGACCTTGTCAAGACCAAGGCAAACTCAATTTCCCGGTTGCGCAAGGTTGGATCGAGGTAGACGAGCTTGTATCCGGCGCACGGAAGCTCATACTTCTCGCCCAGAAGGTCACAGACCACCTCCTGTAATGCCTCTTCATGGTATTCCTCGTCCAGGTCTCCCGGTTTACCATGAAGGTACGTAGGGCACCGCAAATCACCGGTGCAGAACCTCCGGTATATCTCAGGCGTAATCGCCCAGCCCAAAATTAAATGGGCTGAGGTGAAAGGGCGCTTCTTCTGCCAGCGGCGCAGATGCGGCGCTTGGAGGTCCGTCTGGGTTGCAACGTCTGTCCTACTACCAGCCATGCTACCACGAGCAAAGATTACGAGCGCAATGCCTCACCAAGATAATTCTCGGCTGATTGAGATGGAAGAAAGTGAGGCAGGCGTCGGGATGGCCGGTGTAGGCAAGAGAGAAGGCACAACACGAGTCGCGTGCCCCTGGAAACGAGACTTAGACTCAAGTCGCTGGGGCCCACGTGATCGCCTCGTGGCGATTTCGGTCACTCGATGTGACTTTCCACCTTCGTCTTGCCTTCTCCCTTCATCACCTTTCCTTCATACATGTCTGGGACACGCTCATCATCCCGCCTCAAGGCTCTTCGAGAGCGAACGCCTGCTCGACAGGACACGCAGGGAGCTGCTACCGCACATGCTCGGTCCTCCACCAACGCGCGATCTCGACCGAACAAGAAACCTGCCCCGAATTCACGATCGGCGAGGACGTCAAAGTCTTCTGTCCCGGAAGGAGACAATGCCGCCTCTCGCGAAAATGTCAAGAAGTCCGCACCAAGGGCAAACAAGCGCCGTAAAGTAGCAAATCCCGAGCCCGTGCCCACAGTCGACGACCCCGATGCCGACGTCGACGATCCCGATAGAATTACGCAGGGGCTCACCGATATGCCGCTCGATATCCTATTTGAGATCTTCAAGCTCTGCAATCCTGTCGACATCCTACGCCTTGCGCAGACATGCAAGGCGCTCCGCGGGACCCTCCTGCTCAAGAGCTGCAAAAGGATCTGGGAGTACACGATCAAGCACTATCGGACCACCGTACCACCCTGTCACAACGGTCGCTTGCCCCTCCCCCAATACATCAACCTCCTGTTCACTACGAATTGCTTCGTACGTCGGCTTTGTGGATATCGAGCTGCGTTCGCCCATGCTGACTTTGATACAGGAATGTGGCTCCGACAAAGGAAAGTACGCGCTCTGGGCCTTCTTTGAGCGCTTATGCAACAAATGCATCAAGTCGAAGTGCGCACCAATGCCACACTTTGACACTCACATCTGACGCCTTTTCGCAATCCGCAGATACATGGTAGTCGACAGGAAATGGGCTTACTATGGCGTGCGCATCTGGTATAGACTTCCTGGGAGCAAAGGTGCGTCAACAACCGTGCCGATGACCTGACATATACTCAACCTCTACCCAGTCCGCCGCGACCAGCTCATTGCGAACGTCCACGAGGCGCAGAGGATCCGGGAAGAAACCAAGCCGATCAAGGACACCAACGCTCGCCACCGCCGTCAAGACGAAATAGACCACGAGTCCCGCAGATGCATGGCGGTACGGACAGGCTTAGCAAGTGCGTGTCTCGATATATCTGACGCCTTGCCCTTCAGTTCGCCAGGACCATAAGGGACTTTGTCGCGGCTGAGAATAATGAAGACATCAAGGAGCACCATCGTATCTGCCAACGCCGTGCCGACTTGTGCGTAGTCAATTTCATGGTGTCTTCTACCTCTGATTCTATTTTTTTCGCAGCATCGCACGCAAGCTGACAGAGATGGGATACGGCGACGAAATCCCCAAGCTGCGATCTTGGAGGCCCCATTACCTCGATGAGTACACCGAAGGCAAAGAGGAGTTGACAGAAAAAGGTGAGGACCATAGCCCCTGCAGGATTAATTCATGCCATGCTGAGCTCCTCCCTCACAAAGCTTGGAAGTCTCTGGCGCCGCATGTTCGAGACTATATCGATGCACTGATTCGATACCGCAAGAAAGATGCGGCGGCCAACACCTTTAGCAAAAGGGCCGCTCGACTGAGTCTCAAAGACTACCCGAAGCTGGCTCCTCGCTCGTTGCGGCCCCGCTGGCCTGCGCTCGCGGTGAAGGAGCCAATTGCTACACTTCTCCTACAGGATATAGAGTCCGGATCGACGGACGTGCTCTCGGCGCTTTCGGACGAACAACTCGTCGAACTCGCACGAGAGTGTGAAGCCGAGGCAGCCGCCTTCCTTCGCGCCCTCATCCCTCGCGAGGGGAAAGGCAAATCCGCGAACAAAGCGCTCGATGAGGACACCGAAGACCCCTTATTCTTGGCGACCACATATTTCAAGTGCGCCAATAAGGCATGCAAGGAGCCCATGCCGTACCCTCGCGCGGCGATGCACGAATGCTTCTACACCCTCGAAGGCAAGGTTGACGACTACGACACTACAATCTCGCTCGCGACAATGATCGCGAGCAAAGGCTGGACCGACAAACCATTTTATCACCCCGACGCTGCCCCAGGGAGGATTACCTTCGACGCCGAGGCCAGCCGGCACGCGGAGATCCTCATCACGGCTTGCGGCCTCGACCCAAAGAAGGCAACGTTTGCGGATATGGAGTCGCTGAGCGTCCACGTCGAGTGTCTCGCCTGCAAAGGCAAGAAGCGCCTCGCGATGGGCTGGCGCGCAGCGGTACGTACAGCTCCCTCGAATTTCTGAACGAGTCTCATGATGTCTTTTCCAGCTTCTGCACTCGCTCAATGAGCACGGTGCCAGACTGAGGAACGGCGAACAAATCTCCTCTCGTTGGTCCGTGGTCAAGAACGCGAACGACCTGAAGCGCATCATGGCTGAGGAGCTCAGACCTCCCTTGTGGCAGAAGACTACTAGGATCGGGCTGCGCTGTACTCTCCCGAACTGCAACGCACACATGATCTGCCTGAAAGGCCAAAGGGATGCGTTTGATTGGCATAGTGCTGTTGCGTGAGTAGTGATGTGAATTTCGCCGCATGCGAGCTAACATGGTGTGTATAGCCACAAGAACCTGTCTCGCGCTTCCGACACGTCGATGGTCAGCCACTACCTAGCGCCTGTGCAATTTTAACAACGGTGTCGGTATCAATACCACGTTGACTTCGGGCAGACATAGCAAGGTCGATTCGGAACTCTTGTTTCGAGTGTATCTTGCATGTCAAATCAATGAATGTACTTGGAACGGAGACTTCGGCTTGTACACTATTTGACTTCCCATTGAGCGTGATGATACGCGCTATTTCTGTATGCACTGTATAAGTACTGATCCCGAGTTCAGCAATTACTACCTACTCGCCTGGTAGCCCTAGATCTTGGAGTCAATGCACTTGTACCATTTTGGTTCCTCCTCCGTCCCTAACTCCTTCTTTATCATGTCCACTACTCTCGGTGATGGCAAGCGCCGCTGCTCTGGAGTCTCTCCTTCGTTATCCGACACCATGATTGCCCACTTGACCTTCATGAGCGTTCGGTCCGCAAACACGACCCTGCCACCGCGACAATCGAGGTCGTACTTCAGCACAAAGTGATTCCCTAGAGTGCGCCGCAGGAAAGAGATATGGCCGTCCATGTCGTCCGGAGGGTCACCGTTCTCCTTGTGAAAAGGCGTGTGACAGGCGCGGCGACAGTAGTCACGGCAAAGCTCGTCAGTAGCTAGCCATCCCAGGACCCAATGGCCTGAGCGCAATCGCTGAGTCTGCCAGCTGCGGAGCAGTGGTTGTGGTAGTGGTGCGTTGGCGGGATGAGCACTGGGTTCGGCGCATGACACCCAAACGTGCGCGCTAGGGTCGGGGCAGGAAACGCCTGTCGCAGGGGACTCCATCGCGCGGAGACAACTTTCGAACGACGTCCAAAAGCTCGACGAAAATGGGCGCAAGGAACCCTGGCGCTCGCAGGTCCGCCTACGCTGTCACAACGATGCACGCGCAAAACGAACGGGTCTTGAACGGAAGGACCACGAGGCGTCTTGTTTGGTACCACGTGACTGCCTCGTTGGGATCACGGTCACTTGATGCGTTTCTCCTCACCTTCGTCTTGTTTCTGACCGCCACTCCCTTCCATCACCTCGCCTTCATAAATGGCCGGAAAACGCGCAGCATCACGTCGTAAAGATAAGACGACTGCGCGACAGGACGCGCAAGGACCGATTGCCACCGCCACTGCTCAGACCTCCAAAGCGCGATCTCGCGCCAACAAGAAGCCCGCTGGGAGTTCACGAACCGCCAGGAAGACGAAGAATTCTTCATCTACGACAAGTAACGTCTCTCCATGCGAGGATACGGAAGCCCCACGCAGGGCGAACAAGCGCCGTAAAGTGGCAAGCCCTGAGCCCGCGGCTGACGACAATGACGCCGACCTTGAGAACCCTAGTAGAGATACGCAAGGATTCAAGGACTTGCCACACGAGATCCTGCTGGAGATCTTCATGCTCTGCAATCCAGCCGACATCCTTCGTCTTTCGCAGACAAGCAAGGCGCTCCGCGGGATCCTCATGCACAAGAGCTCCAAATGGATCTGGGAACATACGATCAAGCATTACCGCACCGCCATACCGCCATGCTACAAGAACCGCTTGTCTATCCCCCAATACATGAGTCTCCTCTTTACCACCAACTGCCTCGTATGTCGACTGTTCGCCTAGCGGGCTGCGTACCCCGTACTGATAACGATGCAGGAATGCGGCTCCGACAAAGGAAAGCATGCGCTCTGGTGCTTTCTCGATCGCCTTTGTAACAAATGTATCAACAAGAAGTGCGCAGTAATCACCTTGATAATTCGTACTCTTACATCTGAGTCCTGACCTTCGCGCGATTGACAGGTACATGGTAATCGACAGCAATACGTCTTACTACGGTGTACGCACCTGGTACCAAATGCCCGGCGGTTATGGTGCGCAAACAACGACCAATCCGCAAACGCTTACTCAGCCGCTGTCCAGCCGGTCCCAAGCAGCTTGTCGCGGACCGTCAAGAGGCGCGAAAGATCCGGGACGAGACCAAGCGGATCGAGGATACTGGCGCATACTACTCCCGTCTGAGAGAAATAGACAAAGTATCTCAAGAGTCCATGGCGGTACGAGTTGAGGCTGCGCGCGCGAACTGACATTCCTGACGCCTTCATTTCTAGTTCGAGAAGGTCATGGAGGAGTTCCTCAGGGCCGAAAAGAAGGAAGACGTGAAGGAGCGCCGCTGTATTTGTCAACGGCGTTATAACTTGTACGTACCTAGCTTTGTCGTGTTAGCCCTTTCACTCAAATCTATGCCTAGCATCGCGCACAAGCTAACAGAGCTGGGGTACGGCGACGAGGTCCCCAAGCTTCAAGCCTGGCGGCCCCATTACCTCAATGAATACACCGAAGGGGACCAGGACATGACTAACGAGGGTTAGTACATTGTCTCCTCCGCTGTCTATCGTGCTCAACTCTTCCCTCGCACAGCCTGGGCGTCCATGAAGTTGAATGTCCAAGAGTACATCAATGCCCTGATCCCATACCGCAAGAAGGACGCCGCGATCGAGACCTTCAGCGCGCGTGCGGAGCGCCTACATCTCAAGGACTACCCCCAACTGGCACCAGGCTCCCTGAGACCTCATTGGGCGGCGCTCGCGCTGAAGGAGCCCATCCGGACGCTACTCATGCAGGACCTAGAGTCCGGTTCGACGGACGTGCTATCTTCAATCTCAGACGAGAAACTCGTCGAACTCGCCCAAGAATGCGCCGCGGAAGCCACTGCATTTCTCCGCGCTCTCATCCCTCCCGAGGAACCAAGCAAAAAGGAGAAAGGCAAAGTCGCAGAGATGCAGGACGCGCGCGCCGATGATCCCCTCTTCCTGGCGACCACCTACTTCTGGTGCACCAACGAGAAGTGCCTGGAGCCCATGCCCTATCCGCGCGCAGCGATCCACGAGTGCCTTTACGCCCCCGAAAGCCCATCCGACGACGGCGACACCACCATCTCGCTCACCACCATTCTCGCCTCCAAAGGTTGCGCCGACAAACCATTCTACCACCCCTCCGCCGCCAAGAAGAAGAGGGTCACCTTCGACCTCGAAGCCAGCCAGCACGCAAGAATCCTCATCGAAGCATGCGGCCTAGACCCCAAGAAAGCGACGTTCGCAAACATGGAGTCGCTGAACGTACACGTCAAGTGCATGTCTTGGTCTTGCAGAGGGAGGAAAAACTTCGCAATGGGCTGGCGCGCAGCGGTAAGCCCCATTCCCTCGATCCGCGCTGTAGTGCCTGACGCATGCCTCTGCTAGCTTCTTCATTCCCTAAAGAAGCACCGCGTCGAGGATGACAGACCACTCAAGAGCTACTGGGAAGTCGTTAAAGACGAGTGGGAGTTGAGGCGTGTCGAACACCAGGAAGTCAACAAACCTTCGTGGGGTGCTTGGTCCCAACAGCACTGTCCTATCTCACGCTGCAAAACTCAAATCATCTGCCCGAGCGGTGAGTTAGACGCGCTCGAATGGCACAGGGCTGTAGCGTGAGTTTCTTGCTTCACATCGGCGCGTGCGAGCTAATATTCTGCTTTTAGTCACAAAGACCTCTCCCGCGCCACCGACATATCTATGGTCAAGGACTACCCGGAGCCTGTAAATTATTAGCGAGGTCGATATCGCTCTATCTTAGGTGATTAGGTACAACGAGGAAAAGGAGTCCTCTATCACGCTACAACGATGAACTACGATTCTGCAACTTTGACTGTCCAACCAAGCTCACGAAACAAGCTTGTGATACCAAATTGAAGTACTACCTCCCCTGCGCTCGAAGTCTTAAGAGTATCACTGGCCTAATTGGGTCTGTGTTCACATAGATAGTCGTAGCGAATATTTACACAAGCTACCAAGTACCAAAGGGCCTAGATGCAGGTTAAAGAAAATCAACTCGACTGCAGAGATGGCCAGCAATCAAAGAACGCCGATACGCGCTCAGCCCAATAGGCGCCCCGGCCCGACACCCGCGTCGAACAACCAAAGCAAGGCCAAAGCGAACGGCCGCGATGATCTCACCGCGCGGCTCGCACCAGCCATGCGCGCACGCCCACCTCCCCGTCGTCGCCGCCAGCCCCGATGCTCTGCGTGAGATACGCGCGCCGCGTACCGCTCGCCCGATGCCCTGCACCCTCAAGGCGTCTCCCGGCGCGCCCCTTCACGCACGCGCACGCGTTCTCCGATCCGGGGACGCCACCGCGCGATCCCCCGCCCCCGCACACGGAGGGCCCTGAGGATATATCCGACCAGGAGTGGGAGCTGAGGACAGGTGCGCTGAGCGGGCTTCCTGACATATGCATACCTTGCTCATCGTGAACGCCGAATGCACAGGCCGCGGCATCTACGTCCTACAAGAGACGCTGCCCGACTTCTTCAAGTCGGGACTGGTCACCTCCATCGACAAGGAGACCGGCGAGCCACGGCGGTCCTCGCCGCTGCACATCCCTATTGCGCACGCTAGCCCGCTGGACTTCCTGAGGCATGATGAGGACATCGAGTCGATCTACAGTCCGAATGTGCGCCTCTCGTACACGCCCAAGGCGGAGCATGTATCTGCCCTGCTGCCGAAGAACTTAACGATCGAAGGTGTGCATCATCCTCAATGCATCTACCCCTGCCGTCACTGCCAAGTCGCTCGCGCCCTGTACTCACCTTGAACCCAGGTTACTCCTTCTACCTCGCCTCCTCCGTCCTCCTCCGCCGCGGCCTCAGCACAATGTACCACGACCTCCACGTCGAGCTCACCAAGATGCGCGTCACCACCGGCGGCTCCAAGCCTCACCCGGACATCCCCACACCCCCTCCCCTCGCCGCCGACTCCGCCTCCAAGCGCAAGAGCCGCGAAAAGAGCCTTTACATGCTCATGAAGGTTCAGGGCATCGCGCGCGTCAGCGGGAATCTGGCGGATTGGGAAGTGTGAGTAACATTTCCTGCTCAGCGGATTTTCTTTCGACCAGCGGTCGTCCGTTCGATTGGCGGTTGTTGCGCAGCTAGCGAATGCAGTATGCTAACATCACATGTACTTCAGAGCCACCACCTACACCTTCTCCCCCGCCACCGGCCTCATCCTCCAGCACACCATACACTCCATCCACCCCGAGCCCTCGCGCACGGTGTACGACTCGGTCGCGACAAGCCTGACGAATCTCTTCGGGCTCGGCGGGCCCGCGCGGCCGGGAGCGGGGACGGCGTGCAGTGGAGGGCCGGACGCCTCGGCTGCATGTAGCCCAGTCAAGGAGTCGGACTCGCGGAAGGAGCAGCGGGAAACGAAGCCCGAGCCAGCGCACGTCGAAGGCAGGCATGAGCCGCAAGCCTGAAGCTTGACGATGCCCGGACCTTATGCGCTTTGAGCATGACGATCCTACGCGAGACTCTCTGCGGCGACCTCTACTTTGTCTTGCAAGCCACCCTCGAGCGGCCTCCTGTTGTCGCTAGTAACCACCACTTCTACTCTGTAGCCTTCACTCTGCTGTAATAACCACTCAGAGCATACATGCGGCTCGTCTGATCAGCATTCTCTTGTCAACATCTGCACGCTTCCTTCCGCAGTCCAGGAGATTTCTCTCTCGAACCATAAGTATGCACCGTCCTCCTTTCGCCCACGAGGCGCTCAGAGCCAACGCTCAATTGCCAATTGGGGAGTTGTAGGTCCCCGCGTACCCTATCACGTGCCAAAGTTCAATTCGGTCACATAATAACGCTCCAAGGGTCGGCCCTCGAGGCGTTTCGAGCAGCTCCTTCTGGCCGATGCGCAGTCGCTGCCAGCGTATATAGCGGGACAAGAAGGTTGAGCGCATGCCCTTTCCCTTCGAGCTCTCCTCCCTTGCACCTGGGCTTGCTTTGCGTGTCTGCTCCTGCCTGTTCGAATCCGGCAGTCACGCCGGTGGACCCACAAACCTCCTACTCTGGGAAATTCCCTTTTCAGTCCCTGCTTGTTTCATACAAATGTCCTCCCCTAGTCGCGATGCCGACTACCCCTGCCTCACGACCAACGAACCTCCGTTATCTGCTGTCATACTCGAGGCTCGCGCTTACTCCGCCGCTGCTCGAGCCGAAGGTCTACAGCGATCTATGTCCAGCCTTTGTTACAACGTTTGCTCTGTTTCGGCTACACGACTGGAGTCCACAGACGTTCATGCGATGTCCACTTGAGCATGTCCTGTACATTGGGTCTTCCGGTAGTCCTCTGCGAGGCAGGCACGACGGATAATCCGCGTCCTTGGCAAGACTGGCAATTCCCTTCAAGGCTCGCTGGGCACGGCAACGCATTCATACCGAGGGCCTTCGGCGCTGTCTTCCGCCCCGAAAGCTGTTGTTCCCTCCGCCGGGACGCTCGTATGGACGTCGGATATCTGGCTGCAAAATGGACTAGAAGAATATTCGAAGCCGCGGGCAGAGCTTCCCGAGATGTATCTTATCATTGCTGATTGCCTCCTTGACCAACTGAGAAGGTATCTTGATCGTTTTTGTTCAACTTCAAGTCCGATTCCCAGCGCAAGCCCTTCGAACTCGTCGCTGTTCCCGACACTCGTTGCCACATCACTGCGAACGGTCGTCCACCACGTCCACAGGACGCCCCCATATGTTCTCTGCGGCGACCGGGGGAGGGGACATGGAGGTTGTGGAGCAGCACTTGGCGCCGGGCGTATCCAGCCGCCCGCCTGCCACGCGCTCGCCCATCAACTTCTCGCTAGGGGCGCTCCCACGGCGCACCCGCCTATTTCTTCCTCCCTCCTTCCCTGTTCTCTCCTCCCGCCATCATCTCCGCCGCTCGCGCCCCAGTCCCTCTTTTTGCCCCACGTTCTTTGTAACAGCCAGCAGCACCCGCAGCCATGTTCTCCAAGACCCTTGCCGCCGCCGCCGTCGTGGCGCCCTTCTTCGTTCGCAGTGCGTGTTGCGAGGGTCTTCAGTTCGAAGATGAAGCTCACATACAGCAGGCGCTTTAGCCGGTGACTGTGTCCGCTGGGCCACCCCCGAGGATGGCCAGACCTGCGACGGTCTCTCCGCCAAGCACGGTGTCTCCACGTACGTTGCGAACGCTCGCTTTCCTCTCCCCGTACCTAACATCCGCCCGCAGCTACCAGCTCGCGATCATCAACGCGGGTGTGATCAACGAGGATTGCACGAACCTCATCTCCGGCCAGTCCTACTGCATTGGTTACGACGCCGAGGACTGCTCGGACGTCTGGGTCGTCGAGGCGCAGCAGACCTGCGGCGACATCACCGGCGCGACCGGCCTCAACCAGACCCTCCTCCAGGAGAACAACCCGCAGATCGCTGACGACTGCTCGAACCTCTACGTCGGCGAGGTACGTTGTAGTTTCTCCGTTAATTCGGCCTGTTCAGTTCCTGACCCGTCCTGACAGGTCCTCTGCGTCGCCGACCACGCCGTGCACCCTCCCGCGAACGGCGACTGGATCCCGGCGCAGACCGTCCCCGCGACCGCGACCGCCGCTGCGTCCGCGACGCCCACCACGACCAGCGAAGCCGCGCCCACCACCGAGGCACCCGCCACCACCGAGTCGCCGACGACCTGGTCCGAGGCTGCCCCGACGTCCAGCGCCGCGGAGGAGAACGACGACGGCTACGACCCGAACGACGAGTCGACCTGGCCGTACTGCGACGAGCTCTAAGCGTCTCGCCCCTCGTGCCGTGATGCTCTCCCAGCATCCCGCTGAGAGGCCTCCTGCGGCGAGCTCCAAAACAGCCTGGTCTCTTGGCGCCGTCCCTGGACACCCGACTCACGCATGACACTGCTCCTGTTCCTGTTCTCACCACGAATCATGTACCTACTCTGACCCGGCTTTCGCTTTCCCCTGCCGTTCGCCTGCCATTACCGCTGTCACCCCTACCCTAGTACATCCCCCGCCCGGACTCTGCGCACTGGCGCACTTTATTCCCCTCACACTAACACGACGCATGTCCTATACCATTCTCCCCTTACATCCTGGATCCATGTCCCTCTCTCGTGTGGATAGGTGTCTCGCGGTCGAGCCTGACGTTGTCGTTGAACTCGGATGCGTACGCTCGCGGATTGGGTTGGAAGAGATGTGTTGTATAGGTGCTGGTTCTTCCGACGTCCATCCTGGTACTCGAACCCTTTTGTGTATGACTTAGTAGCTGGCTGTTATCGATGATGGCACTCTTGGATTGGACTTTCGAATGGCGTGATTGAGCTCTCACCAGGAAGAGTTGCTAGGAAGTGAACGTTTTCATTTCGATTTGGACTGCCTTGTTCGTAAAGCGTGTCTCTGGGGCCTTCGTTCACATATATAGGCAGGGCTCGTCTTCGTCCATGAAGATAGTTGCGAAGTAATAGTTTGCAACTGGTAGAGTTTATAATCCCCAATATCGCAACAGTGTGGTACATAAAAGGGTATAAAGCGGGCGGTTCTCCGACACCACAAATCAGAACGCTCCCCACGCGAACTTTTCTGCAATTGGGTCCCACGCGTCACTGACCTTGTTCTGACCTCTAGAAGCGCACAGCAGACGGGTAACCGCACACCATCGACAGATTCGAGGCGCACGACAGATCCTTATGGCTAAAAAATCAATCAGCAATGACCGTCTCGGACGCATACTCCCACTCACGCAACAGCCCTGTGCCAATCGATACCATACGACTCGCGCTCGTTCCCCACAAACTGGGTCTTGCATCCGCGGACGGGGCAGCGAAGTATCTTGACGCCCCATCTATAGCGGTGCGCATGGTCTTCCGCCGTATATATCCGTTCGAGATCGTCGGTGTCTCTAACAACGCTCCAGTGCGCGGTAATGGGCCCGCCGTCCGTCGCGTAGTGCTTCTTGAGCGAATGAAGGAGCTAGGCATGGCAGCGTCAGCATTCTTGTTCCTTGGTTGCGCCAAGAAAAAATGAGTCCACTTACTGCGGTCCGCCAGCCCATCCCGAGACGCTGCCTCTTGCTGCACGGGACGCATTCCACACGCACGTTCAGCGCCTCCATATCCGCGAAGGTCGCCTTCCTGGGGTCCAACCCGCAAGCCTTGATCAGGATTTCTGCGTGCCGGCTCGCTTCTTCATCGAAGAACACCTTGTCGCCAGCAGAGTCCGGATGATAGAACGGCGTGACAGAAGAGGCGCAGGCAGCAAGCATGGTCGTGAGCGAGATAGTCGTGTCTTCCTCTTCATCCTCCTGCTCCGAAGCGAAGAGACAGTGATGTACCAAAGCACGAGGGTAGGGCATGGGCTCTGTGCACTTCGCGCACTTGAAGTAGGTGGTCGCAAGGAAGAGACCGTCGGTGGTGTCTTGATCTTGCGCTTTCCCTCGATCCTTGCGCGTAGATTTGCCCTGTTTCTTCGCTGGTAAAAGAGAACGAAGGTACGCGGCTGCCTCTGTCTCGCATTCACGCGCGAGCTGTACGAGGGTCTCATCCGGGAATGAAGATATGACGTCCGTCGATCCAGACTGCAAGTCCTGCATGAACAGCGTCGCAAGCGGCTCCCGAATCGCGAGCTCTGAGAGGCTCGGCTTGTGCGCCTGCGGAGCCAGACTGGAGAAGTTATCGAGCCTCCGTCGCAGCACGCCAATGCGGGCCCTGAAGACCTCGACCGCGACCGCCTTCTTGCGGAGCCGGATTAGCTCGTCCATGTACTCCTTTACATTCTGCGCCATGAGTACCCAACCTAATCGATCCGCACGTCAGCCATAATATGATCATCATTCAGGACGATCCATGTACCTCGCGCAGTGAGCTCCGTGTCCCTATCAATGTATTTGTCGAGGTATCCTCCTTTCCATGCTCGAAGCTTGGGCAGCTCATCCTCGTACCCCATTTCCTTGAGCTTCTCTATGAGGCTGATATGGTCATTAGTAGGCAACACACGTTGGAAGCCGCCCACGCACAAATTATAACGCTGAATGCGGATGCGGGAAAGGTCCCGGTTATTCTTTCGCCTCTCCAGCTGAAAAAAGGCCTCGATGATGCCGTCAAACTATACCATGACACGTTAGCAATGCACAACGATGCGCACGGTCAGAGTCTTTTACCTTCATAATCCGACAGGCCTCATTGTGAATCTCTAATTCACGTTCGCATCGCTCCTTGCCGTCCTCGATGGACCATAGCTCCTGCCGTACTTCGTCGTACTCCTGTCTGCTCACCACGCGCTTTAGTTTCCGACCTGTCGAACCGTCAAAGTAGTTCCACGCAGAACTTGCGTCTATAGCAGGTTTAAGGTAAGGACGTACTGTTGCTCCCGGGCATACGATAACGAGTATGAACGCCCGAATGCGACACAGTGAAGGACGAATCCAAGGCCATATATCTGCACATTAATCAGATGTTGACGGTATATCTGAGACAAGTCACTGCGCACTTCTCGTGAATGCAGTCAGAGCACACTCGATCGAAGAAGCACCAGAGAGCGTGTTTCCCCTTGCTGGATCCACATTCCTGGGGTGTGGACGTCAGTTCAAATGCGCACGTTCAATAAGAATCAGGTCGACGCACGAAGCAATTCTGCGTGAACAAGAGATTGATGTATTGAGGAAGGGGAAGGCGATCGTCCATGCACGGCGGTATGGGTGTTCGATAATGCTTGACGGAGTACTCCCAGATCCATTTGCAGCTCTTGCGCAGAAGCGTACTGCGAAGCGTCTTGTTCGCGTGGGAAAGGTGCAGGAGGTCGACCGGATCAACCAGCTTGAAGATCTCAAAGAGAATGTCGAGCGGCATATCCGTGATCTGTTGCAGCTTTCCCTTGCGTTTGCGAGGCTGCTTGACCTGAGCATTGCACCCATCGCTCGCGTTGTCGTCAGCATTGACATCGACTTTCGCCACTTTGCGCCGTTTGTTCGCGGGAGGTTTGGCCTTCGATGCGGGTGTTTTGGCTGTCTTGCCTGGGGGTGCCTTCACCGCCTGTGCTGATAGTGTCTGTGCGTCGCATTCCGGATTGGACTTTGTAGCAGCCGTGGTGGCCGACTTCTTGCTCATTCGGCCTCTCGAGGCCCGAGCACCGCGAGTGGCGACCGTTCGTGGCGTGTCTTGCTGAACGGCCTTATGATCACGCAGTAGTTTGAGGCGTGAGGAGGATCGCGTTCCTGACATTTGAGTACAGGTATGAGATGGATTTCAGAGCTGATGAGCGGTGGTAAGAGGCAAGACGGTGAATGGGCCGCGTCACACCAAGTCACGTCAGAAGTCACGCAAACGCGGTGCTCACGTGATGTAAGCAGTGGCTAGACCGCCTCGCTCTGAGTTCCCGAAGTTCGACTTGAAGAGGTATGTGGCTACCGCGAGCGCTGTTTGATGTACATCTGGCGAGTGTCGAGAATTGACTCCGCAAGCAAATCCTGCTACGAATAATAGAGCATCGCAGTCGTGCGTCGGCAGCTGCCGGACTTCGGCCAAACGTCGATATTCTTCTTAGCCTTGCATTTGCGACTTCCACTGCCAGACTCGCATCGACGCGTATCACAGGCGCAGGTCGATATGTCTGCGAGTATGACCGCATAGTGCAAGTGTCGAGGGCCAGACAGCCTTATTCGTCGCTGTCTTTGATTCGAACCGCCGACCCGACGGCGCGTGCACAAAATATATTCCTTACACCTCTGCTCTTACTCTCTTCACCGCGACCTCCGTTAATTGTCACCCTCATCCAAGCCCCACGGGAGATGCTGGCATGTCTTTCTTCGGCTTCGAAACCTCGGACTTAGAAAAGGAGAAACAAGAGTTTCTCGAAAAGGGCGCTGCGAACGACGAAAAGATTGATGTCTATACGTGGGGGGAAGAGAGCTATGACGGCCTTGGCGACGCGCTCCAGGAGGGCGGCGATGAGCTCAACGACGAGACGTTTGGCGGGGCTGGCGCTGTAGGTGCGTGAGCGACGGTCGCTGTGATGCCTCATCCTGACCGCGAGCGCAGGCAAGGACTTTGATTTTGGCTCGACCGCTCTCCCGGGGGACGAGGAGCGCCAGCAGATCTCCCAGGCACAGGCGCAGACGCGCGGGACGCCCAAAGAGCTCGCCCAACCGCGCTCCTCGGGATTCACGCCCAAGCCCATAGCCCCTCGTGAGCCCCTTCTGTCAGTCGCATTCGCTGTATCGAGCCTGATCAACGGCCAGCCCTGCAATCTGCACCATCGCTCGAGTCGATATGGGACCGCAAGCCCTCCGCGCAGCCCCAGGCGCCCATCCAAAAGCCAATGACATTCTCCCCCTTCGACTCCGACGACGCACCCGCGCCCGCGCCCATGCACCGCGGCGCGGCACAGTCCGGCACGCTCGAGGAGATCGAGGCGGAGATGCGCATGCGCGCGCAGGAAAACCGCATGCTCGCCGAGCGCCAGCTTCAGCAGCAGATGCTTCTGCGCGAGCAAGAGGAGCGATTCTTGCTCCAACGGCAGCAAGAGGAAGAGTATCGTCGCCAACGTCAGCTGCTCCAGGCCGAGCAGCTGCAGCGGGCCCAGATCGAGCAGCAGCGCGAGCAGCAGTACCGCCAACTTCTGCTGCAGCGGCAGCTTGAGCAGGAGCAGATCCTCCGTCAAGAGCAACTCGCGATGCAGCAGCGTCAGGCGCAGGCAGAGCTCCAGCGGCGCCGCGCTCAAGAACTCTCCGACCAGATGCGCATCGAAGAGATCGAGCGCCAGCTTCGCGCTCAGCACATCGCCGCGCAGCTTCAAGGCAATCGTCAGTCGCCCTCCGAGCATCACCGCCGTTTGCCTTCTGGCCACGGTGGGGTGGGAACGCTGGCAGATCTGCACGGGCAACTCATCTCTGAGCAGCAGCGCGCCGAGGCTCGACGTAATCGCCCCCTGTCGCCGTTCAAGGTCACGCCGGAAATGCTGCAACTGCTCCCGCCGCAGGCGCGTAACGCGCTGCAGCGGCGTCTGTTCAACGGAGCTACGCAGGGCGAAGTGATTCTCGGTATGTCACCAGTGGAGCAGGAGTCGCTCCGGGAGGAAGCGCGTCGCAAGATCATCGAGGCCGAGCGAATGGAGGAGAAGCGGCGCCGCAAGGCGTCTAAGCTGCACTGCATGGCGCGCTACAACGACCTGATGACGCAGTCGGACAAGGACTTCATAACCAGAATTCAGGTTTCGCAGCTTGTGACACAGGACCCCTTCAACGACGACTTCTACGCTCAGGTTTATGCCGCAATTGTACGTTCGCGCATGGGGCTGCACGCGCAGGATGAGCGGGTGCTCAAGTTCGGGAACGTGGGCGGCGTTGGGCTCGGGTTCTCGCAGAATCATAGGAGCAGGCGTCCGAATGCGATGCAGCGGATGGAGCAGCAAGTTGAGCGGATCATCAGCAATGCGCGCAAACGAGAGGAGGAAAAGAGTCAACACTGTAAGTTCGTTCACTATCTTGGAACCCCAGAACAGGATCCTGACGATGGGGAGCAGCTCTTCACGCACTTCAGGGCGCACTCGGCAAGACTTCGGGCAGGAGTTACAAGGCTGCACCGCGGCAATTGCTGCAGGTCGACTCTGCTGGCTCGGATGCGCACGCGCATATCTCCAAAGACGACGCGAAGGACGCTGCTGCTGAGGCGGCAAAGCTTGGCCGCGAGGCTTTGGGGATCACTGGCGAGGTAAGGGTAGCCTCTCAGCGGTCTAGATACACATCCTAACCGGAACACTTTAGAGCAACGGCATAGTGGCAAGGAAGCCCTTCACGACTCGCGAGGTCTTGATGCGTCTTGAGCACCTATACGACGTTGTCATGCAAGCTGAGCGTTTGAACAATTCGCGCGTGGAGGAGGGTGAGGAGGGCTTTGAAGAGTGGTGAGTGCGTGCAGATCGGGGTATGAAGACATGCTGAGTGCGAGCCAGGCAAGCGGAGTACGACAAGATTCGCGAGCGGCTTGCCAACGGTATCGAGCTGTCGGTTCCACTTGAGGCTTGGTGAGTGACTGATGCAGATGGCATTGCGCTGCCCTGACGTCGAACAGCGACCCTCCGCCCTTCATCTCCCTCCTTGGACCGACCAAGGGCAAGCGCCTGCTTCCGCGATTGACGAGGCACCTCAGCACGGAGACCTCGCTGGCGATGGTAGCGCTACTCATTGCCGGGTTTGACAAGCTTGACGTCGTGCGGAATGCGCCCCTTTTGGACCTTCCTCCGGGTACGCCAGGGCAGGCTGAGGCCGAGGCGCAGACGCAGGCTTTTCTCTTGAGCGTCATGCAGTCCCTCCTTCCCATTGTCGCCAATTTGGAGCTACGTCTTGTAACCGGCATGCTGAGTGTCCTTGTTACGCGTACAGATGTGCCCGCCATTGCTCGTAGCAGGGTAAGCTTTTCATGCTGCTTTCGCAACTGTGATATATGCTGACTGATATATGTCAGCCTGGCCTCGCGCTCTTCACGCTGCTGCTCAGTCGTGTGGAGGTCATCCGCGAACAGTCTACCAGCGGTGCCGTCGCTACACCGGCGGATGAGGACTGGTCTTCCTTCCATACGATCTACGCGCACTTCGTCGAGCTCCTGTTGCCCTATCTCCCTAGCCTCTTCCCCTCTATGCGCCAGCAGGCTCCGGCGGGTGAGCGCATGCGCACTGACGTGATTGACCAACCAGTGTGGCAGTTCCTCGCCGCGCTCTTCATTCTCGCGCAGGGCGAGCAAACGACGGCACTACTTGCGGCCGTGAGGCACAAGGTCCTTGACGAGGTCAGCATGGTGAAGAAAGGCTGGGTGGCGGACGAGGAAGAGGCGACGACGAAGATCAACAATGTCAACCTGGTACTGCACTCCTTGGGCCTGGACGCGACGCAGATTAGCGTGTTGCAGTAATGATGAACGACGCCGCAAAACGACGGGTGATGATGTTTTGTTATGATTTACCTAGCTACATAACCGTACAGCATTTAACACTTGCTAGACGCTGAGTTGCGTGTGTCGTGGATGTGTACTCTAGGCCAAATGTTTGTCCAATTGCGCCTTGTATGTAATGCTACAATTGCCGTGGAATTTGGCGTTCGCAGTGCAGAAAGGCGAATGGTGACAAGTTCCCCGAGACGAACGTCTACCATCCGCCGTAGACCACACCTGCAGGCCTGTAAATACAGCGAAACCACTCTGATTATCTTTCTTACTCACTTTAAGAGAGAGATTCACTCCTGAGTCGCGCGCAGGGCCGACTGCCGACCAGGCGCGGCATCCTCGCGCCAGGTCGCGTGCTTCGGAGATTCGAACAGGCCCTTCCTATCTGATACCCTTCTAGTAGACCGAGATAGGTCAAGTGCATCACGACACATATAGACCTCGATGGCGGCATGAGAACGAACGACGCCGACGCTTTTATCAACCCCCCACGCCCCGGCAAGACACTGCTGCGATAGCGAGCTCGAGGCCAACCCTGTCTCTTTTCATTCTTCCTCCCATCCTCAAGACTCTGGGACTTGCAAGGCAGTAGAGAATGGCACAAGACGCGATCGAAGAGACGACGCCGCTGCTGACTGCGCGTCCGCCAGCGACACCGCTGCCGAGGTTGCAGCTCTCGATCCTGCTGCTCATGCGGTGTGCGGAACCAGTCGCGTACACGGTCATCTTTCCATTCATCAACGAGGTGCGAACCGAGTCAGTAGATGTTGATTGGATCGTTATTGACGGTGGCGTCCGCTATAGATGATGGAGGAAGTCACGCATGTGCCAAAGAGCAAAGTCGGGTACTACGCTGGCGTGAGTTAGCCTCGAAGATGTCCTCATCAGTCTAAGATAACCCACACCCTCCAGCTTGTCGAATCTGTATTCGCTATGGTCCAGTTCTTCACAGTTTACCACTGGGGTGCACTCAGTGACCGCCTGGGACGGAAGATCGTTGCGCTCATCGGCATCGTTGGCGCTATGCTTTCGGTCGCAGCCTTTGGTCTCTCCACAAGTTTGCCCATGATGTACGTCTTGTCATCCCACTCGCTGCGCAAGCTCAAGAATGCGGATAGGATCTTGACGCGTTGCATAGCTGGTGCGATGAACGGGAATGTGGCAATCGTCAAGGTTCGGAAACGACCTCTTTGACTATCCTTGGACTTGACAATTGATCCAACTCGCAGAGCATGATGGCTGAGATTACGGACGAAACCAACCAAGCCCGCGCCTACTCCCTCATGCCCGTTGCATGGGCTCTCGGTGCCACTGTTGGCCCTTTGCTTGGTGGATACCTATCCCACCCAGTCGAGCGTTATCCGGAATGGTTCGGCGGCAACACATTCCTGGTCAAGTACCCGTACTTCCTGCCTTGTGCGTGACGGCTGTCTCGGCATGAGGACGACCAGACTGAGAGTTGCGCGCAGGTTTTGTGGCCTCGCTCGTGAACCTGCTGGTCATCATCATTGGAATTGTGAGTACGGGCTCTTCATCGGTGAATTCGATTACTGATTATATCTCGCAGATCTACTTGGAAGAAGTAACTTTTTACGGCGCTCTCTCTCATACGCCTCTGACGGCTTACTGCAGACCCTCATCCACCACCCGACAAAGCAAGCGCCCTCTGAGGCGCCCACACTTAGCGATGGCACACTCACCCCTGTCAACGAAGCCGAAAATCCAGCCGGCGAGATCGCCATTGTCACCGAGGGAGAGCCGATGCCAGCCGCCCCCACCGACGCCGAATCGCAAGAACCCGCACCCGAGAAGCCGTCGATCTTCACTGACCAGATCGTCCGCGTGCTCAGCATCTCGTTCTTCATGTTCTTGTTGAACTCGAGCTATCAGTGAGTGAATTCTTCAGCCCATCATGTCTTTGTCCGTTGGCTGATCATCTGTCCTGCGTAGAGCCCTAATTCCACTATTCTGCTGTAAGTCCCGGGTTCGGAATGTACCAGGAATGGCGAAGACTAACCCTTGCTAGACTCTCCATACGAGGCCGGGGGCATCGGATTCCCTCCCAGTTCGGTGAGCTCGCGGCCTTTTGCGTGTCTCTCCTCTATACTGACATACTCACGTAGATCGGTGTAAGCCAGCTCGAGCGGTTCAGCTTGATGACCTGCTCACACCCCACTAGCTCCTCCTCTCCGTCACCGGCGTCGCCGCCATGTTCTCGCAGGCGTTCCTATTCCCCGTGCGTCTGCCTCTCCTCAATCCCCTTTCAACCGCCGTGCATGCGAATCATCCCCCTCATCCACCCACCCGCAGATCGTCGAACGCCGCCTCGGCCCCGTGCGCACCTTCCGCTTCGCCATGTCCGGCCTGCCCTTCATCTACGTCGCCCTCCCCGTCGCACACTACCTCGTCCCCCTCGGGCGCTCGACCGTCTGGACCGTGCTCGCGTTCATGATCGTGGCGAAGACGATCGGGCACATGGGCGTGGTGTGCAATAGCATCCTGATCAACAACGCCGCGCCGAGTAGGGAGTCCCTGGGGCAGCTGAATGTGAGTGGGCGCTGACTTCTGAGTGGGACGTCTGGCTGAAGGCTACCCCTAGGGCCTCGTGCAATCCACTGGTTCTTTGGCGCGCGCTTTCGGGCCCGCAGGTATCACCTCGCTCTTCGCATTCTCGCAGGAACACAACCTGCTAGACGGCCAGCTGGTGCATCTGGTGTTGATCACGGTGCGTGGGCGATTCGCACGATTTTTGGTTACTGTCCAGAGGGAGCTGCATGGCGGCGCCACAGACAATCACTAACGAGCATCCTGTAGATCGCTCTCATCGCCTACGTCTTGACCGGGCGGCTGCGTGACGTGCGCGCGGCGTGGAGGCAGAAGCGGGTGTGATGATTATTGGTGTGGTAATTTGGTGATATATAGACTGTACGGCAAGGGCGTGCTCAACATAGACAGAACAAAGGGCTGAAGATGCAATGAACTGCGAGTCAAGTCGGGAAATCTTCTGAGGCAACAGTCGAATTCTGCGCGTCGGACGGAACATGATCGTCAAGTTTACAAGGAGAGTAAAGCCATTATATTGCGGCCTGACATTCCTACACCCTTGCGCGATTAACAGAAGTAGCCAGTGCAAGAGGGGGTGGCACCGTACGAATGCGCATTGACGCCTTCATATGAGGGCTTCCTGAACGAAAGGCGCAGTCAGGAACGACCAGCATGTCCGAATCGGCCCCAGGCTCACTCGTAGAAGCACGAACATAATGAAGTGCGGGCGCCAAAGGATCGACAGGGACTTGTCAGATGGGCAGTAGGAGGTCGAAGTGTAATACCCTGTTTAGAGATCCTCGCCCCAAGGCGTTCGTTCCCATTGCGACAGCACTTTCAGGCTGAGGTTGTTAACACTAGACAGACTGTGCGCCGAGGCAGAGGTGATATAAACAGCTCTGATTCTGAAGGCTCGGGCTCGGGCCTATCGAGGTGAGCATGACATGCTCCGACCGACGAATGGCGATGACGAGAACGGATGTTTACATTCCTTCTCCGCATCGGTACTAGACTAGGGACCGGTCAATAAAGCTCAGTAACGGCCTATTGAATCCGAGGGGTCTGAAGAGGATGACACCCTTGTCGAAGCTGCATACAGTAGCGCAGCGATAGGATGATTCGAGTTGAACCTTGCAGGGGCGGGCTGTTACCCGCTCACAAGCAGACTAGCGCCAGACGATAGGTTCCCTCTTCCCGGGCAGACAGTGAGCGCTGAGGGACTGTGGTGGCAACAGCGAATCCAGAGTTCGATAGAGAAAGTCTTCCGTTGAAATTTGACGAAGATAGGTTTGGTTCCGCCGTACTCAGCGATAGCGACGACAGGCCCATCTCTGGAATCTCTGCCCATCTTCAATCTGTCGAACGAGTGACGAATGAAAGCGGTGGCGCCGTCTAGACCATGGTGGTGTGCTGTAAGTGGGCAGACATCGTTTCTCAGCGCCAGCGAGCATCTCGGCACACGAGCGGACCGCCGGAGTCGACGGGTCACAGGGCGAGTGATGGTGCCAGCAGCAGTTTGAGCGGCTTGGCAAGGCCGGGATGAGTTTGCAAGGAATTTGGGCAGGCTGAGCAAGATACACCAAATTTTTCCATCGGTGGGGACGAGTGAGACGACGAAGGCAAGACGAAAGACAGCGCGCCCTCCGGGGACGGAAGCAGCACGTGGAAGTCGCGTGGCGGGCGGGATCAGGAACGATCAGGGCTGAGGCAGATAACGGCCTGTGCCGCTGACCGTTCCTGCGCCCCCCTCCGGCTGGCGCGCCTGTCCGGCTTGCTCCTGACCCCCATCCCCGCACCCTACATCCCTCTCGTCGACACCGAAGCGCACCATTCCCCTCCCCTCTCGTACTCGACGACTTCCTTGCACCCCCCTCGACCCACATACTCCCGAGCTCCGTGTCCTATATCCCCTGCGAGGAGGATTGCGCGCGCCACAGCTTTTCCTGGCATCCAGATAGTCTCAGCGCGCGTTCTGGCGCCTGACTACTGGACGACGAACTCTCCGGACCCTCCCCTACCACACATTCAAGATTGCAGACACCAGCCCCGAGCGCGAGGCTCATGAGATGAGAGACGTCCTTCCCCGGGACGAGGAACCCCGCGGCGATACGCTATACACTATCCAAGATGTTGACGTCGAGAAGTCCTCCATCCGTGCGTGTTTAACCACTCCTCTTACACCTGAGTACTCACACGCAACCCAGAGTCAGCCCCCTCCCTCATCCACGACCACCTATCCGTCATCTCGAGCGCTGGGTCAGAAGTATACGAAGACTTTGACCCGAATTATGATTATGATAACAAGTCCGAGATTCTCGGTGCGTCTCATACCCCCTACATGAAGACCTCTACTCATCGGATCACGCAGACGAGGACTCCCCCTACCCCGAAGTTCGCAGTGCCGTCGCCAACTTCGATGACCCCTCCATGCCCGCGTCGACCATTCGCGCTTGGGTTCTTGGCATCATCTGGGCGATGGTCATCCCCGGCATGAACCAATTCTTCTACTTTCGCTACCCCAGCGTCACTGTCTCCGGGGTGCGCCACAGTCCCCCCAAACCCACCTACGCATGCTAATCACACCCCTCATAGCTTGTCGCTCAACTTCTCATCTTCCCCTTCGGTCGGCTCTGGGCGTTCATCTGTCCGAATGTGTCGATATTTTCCATCCCACTAAATCCTGGTCCTTTCACTATCAAGGAACACGTACGATCTCTCGTCGACCTATGCCCCTACCTATACTCACGACCCGCCTACAGGTCCTCGTCACCATCATGGCCACCGTCGGCGCCGAGACGGCCTATGCCACCGACATCGTCGCCGTACAGCGCGTGTATTATAATCAAGTGTGGCCCTTCGCATGTCCGTCTTCCCGTTTCAGCTGTTTCGTAAAGCGAGTTACTGAATTTACGCGCCTCTACAGATCAATGGATGCTCGTCATGTCCACCCAGCTCATCGGGTTCAGCATAGGTGAGGCGCCCAATATGGGAAACGTCGGTCGTATCTGATCACACGCGCAGGTGGCGTGGCGCGCCGCTTCCTCGTTGCACCACCCTCTATGAGTATGTCCGTCTTACTGTGCAGTCACTCACTCCGCTCTCTCCCTCCGAATGCACCAACTGTGCTGCTGACGCTCTGAGCGCTACTCTGAGCCCCGGACCCTAATACAATTATAAACCGCCACAAATGCTTTCCAACACGCACTAACCCCCCACCTAGTCTGGCCCAACACCCTCGTCTCCTGCGCGCTCTTCAACACCCTGCACTCGCAGAGCTACGCCGGCGTCGGGCAGTACGGCGGCGTCTCCCGCGAGCGGTTCTTCGCGTTCGCACTCGGCGGCGCATTCGTTTGGTGTGCGTACTCTCTGAACTGAACTATCTGCCTTTTCCCTTCCCAACCCGAAACGCGCTCCGCACCACGTATCATCTGCACATCCATATCGAGGCCTCTACATGACCTCGGGATGGCGTGTGCGCTGCGGAGACCGCCCCGCTTGTATCACCGTGGCGTTGCGCTCGTATACCCGTGGAGTCTCGCTCGCTTTTCCATGTCATCTCTCCCACGCCACTGACCATTCCCACTCACGCGTTGACACTCATAATCAGACACGAACTCGTATACTCACGCACCATATACAGATTTCTTCCCCGGGTATCTATTTGAGGCGCTCAGGTGAATGGATGTCGCCCTTGTCATCGGCTCCTCGTCTAACCGACTGGATCCGCAGTGTCTTCACCTGGGTATGCTGGATAGCGCCAAATAATGTCGTGAGTGATTGTTGATCAGCTTCGGCTAGAAGAGTCGGGCTGACCATGTATCCTTTCGCAGAAAGTCAACCAATTGTTTGGGTACGCATGCAGCGCTTCGTGCGTTTTTTCCAGGTTCTCATAAGTCATCATATTCCGCGCCCTGCAGCTACCACAGCGGCCTCGGCTTCTCCATCCTCACCTTCGATTGGAGTCAGATTGCGTATATTGGCAGCCCGTGAGTAAATTTGTTCTCTCCCGCATTTTCTCTGCTCACATCGCCCTCACAGACTGGCGACACCATGTAAGCAGCCATGAGCTATGCAAGTCATCTCCTATGCCGAACTGACGGTGATTTTTTTCCGAAGGGTGGGCGCAGGCGAATGTGATCATTGGGTTTTTGTTCTTTTTCTGTGCGTCTTATTCCTTTCGCCTTAGCTTTCACCTCACTGACATGCTCCAAAATTTCCTCCAGGGTTCCTCACGCCTATACTCTACGTGCGTATAGATCTTCTTCTCCTGCACCATTTCTCGACGTCGCTCGTTTGTATGATCCATCCTGACGCTCATCCTCTGACCCAGTACACCAACGCCTTCTACGCGCAATACATGCCCGTCTCTTCCCGCATCGCCTACGACAACACCGGGAGCGAGTACAACCTCACGCGCATCCTCACCGTCGCCGCCACCATCGACGTCGACGCGTACCACATGTACAGCCCGCTCTACCTGTCCATCACGTTCGTGATGTGCTATGGGCTCTCGTTCCTGGCGATCTCGGCGACGTTGACGTGAGTGGGCCTGCCTCTTATGCCTTGTGTTTCGGAATAGCGCTACTCCTTTCCTTCCCTTTACTTCCCTCCCAGTCCTCCAACAGCGCTCTCCCAGTCCTCCCTATCGTGTGGCTCGGCTCACCTCCTCCCAGCCACGCCGCCATCCACTTCTACAAGCCCATCATGATCAACCTGAAGCGGTCCCTGCGCGAGCAGCCTGACATCCACGCCCGGCTGATGTCGAGGTACCAGCAAGTGCCCGAGTGGCATTATGTCGCTATCTTTGGTGAGAATGTCGATGACTATCCGAAGGGCTTTACTGACCGTGGATGTTTCTCCTTTCTTATCCCAATCACTCGCTCGCTCTTGGCCCGCCTTCGTCGCCATACTCTCGATGCGCTATCACCACCTCGGCCGACTGGCTCGTCTACCTCGCTCGACAACTTATTTCTGTCAACTCGCAGTCGTCACCTTCATCTTTGCATGCGTCTGCATCGAGGTCTGGCCGTCGGGAATGACGATCTGGGCGTTACTAGTCGCCTTGATTATCTGTGAGTCCCATCACCCTACCATTGAGCCCACCGGATTTCCTGACGACGCCCTGTCCCAGCCCTCGTCTACCTCGTCCCCATCGGCATGATCCAAGCTGTCACCAATCGGCAAATTGGGTTGAAGTGCGTCTGCCGGCCGTATCTTTGCCTGAAGGGTGCTCATCGATACCTCCGCAGCGTCATCACCGAGCTCATCGTCGGCTTCATGCTCCCCGGCAAGCCCGTCGCGATGATGATGTTCAAGACGTACGGATATATCACGATGGCGCAGGGTGAGTAGCAGATCAACTCATGCACATAGTAACGATGCTTGTCCGCACAGTAGCGGTACTTGTGCGCATAGCTACGAGACATATCGACCACTTGAATTGCTTGCACGCATCTCGCTAACATCATTCCCCCCCAGCCATGCAATTCACCGCCGATTTCAAGCTCGGGCACTACATGAAGGTGCCGCCGCGGCCGATGTTCTGGTGCCAGATCGTCGCGACGATGATCGCGGGGACCGTGCAGTTGGCCGTTCAGGCGTGGTGCGTTGTCTTTTCTCTATTCGCGGCTGGATTCTCTGGCAGTGAGCAGCGAGTCAGCATCATACTGACATCAACCGTTGTAGGATGTTCACCAACATACCAGGTCTTTGTACCCAGAATCAGCGCGATAAGTAAGTTCTCTTACCTCCGCTTTCCATTGCCCCGAGACGACAGGCTTACCTTCGCTCTAGCTTCACCTGCCCCTCGACACAAGTCTTCGGCACCGCATCGATCATTGTGAGTCGCCGCTCTGACGCGCGACATGAAAGCTTACTGACCCTCTCGCAGTGGGGCGTCATCGGCCCAAAGCTCCAGTTCTCGGCTGGACAAGTGTACTATAGTGCGTGGCTTCTTCTCGAAGTCAAGTCGCCGATTTACCGGCGTTCACACTTCACAATCGACGACACCTGAACTTATATCCCCACCCATAGCTCTCATGTTCTTCTTCCTCATAGGGGCGGCGTGCCCTGTCATCTTATGGCTCATTACGAAGAAATATCCTACGACCATACTAAATTACCTCAAGTGAGCTCTCTACCGTCTAATCCAATTCGATACCTCATACTTTAATCCGATACCTCATACTAATCTCCCCCGTCCACAGCTTCCCCCTTGTATTCTCTGGCACGTCGGATATACCGCCTGCCACCGCTGTCAACTACGTGGGGTGGGCGACAGTCGGGTTCGTTTTCCAGTACCTAAGTGCGTGCTGTTCTGTTTTTGCAGCGAGCCTCGCAGCTTCCCGCGAACGCAACTCACCTCACACGCAGTACGGCGACGATGGTTCGGCTTTTGGACGAAATATAATTGTGCGTCTGACTCCTGGCGCCGGGCTTCTTCCCTCCCCGCTCATCACCCCCGCACTTCAGATGTACTATCCGCGGCCCTCGATGCTGGCACGGCGTTGGGGATCATTGCCGTCTACTTCTGGTACGCTCCTCCGCGCGAAGCTCTCCGTGCCTCGACACTGACGCCGCTGTCCGCCTCATAGCTTACAGTACCCTGCAAACGGGACCATCGGCGCCAACACGCTCCAGAAATGGTGGGGCAACACGGTCCACAAGAACACGCTGGACTGGTCCTCGACGCCCCTCCGCCGACTCGATCAGGGGCAGTCATTCGGGTGCGTGGGGACGTGCTCGGGCACGCACTGAGCTCGGGTGGTATTGACGTGATGCGCAGACCCATCTTGCAGTAGCTTCTTTTCTGGGTGCAGTGTTCTCGTTCGTTACCTGTAGATGGCCGGACGCTTTTCGAGATGCTTTCGATTGTATTTTTAGCTTGCGTATGCTACACCGCTATCACGCTTTGGGGGCTCTGTGTGTTCTCCAGTCTCAGCCTGGGTACTCACCCTTACGGCGCGCGGCCTGCAGCGATACCCGACAAGCCTGTGTGGCACGCGGCAGCAGTCGGGGGCGCGGTCATGCATGCCGCACGTGCTCGCTGGGCTCTTGTTTGACAGGCGTAGCCCCGCTCAAAAGCACGAGCGCCTAACAGGGGCAAATACCCTCCTCTTCCCTCCCGCCTGCCCGCCCCTCCCCACGCACACCCTACGCCTCCGCTCTCTGCCATCCCGTACCTGCGCGCCACCCCGCCTTGCTTTCCCCCGCCCCGCTGTCCCCACAACTCGCTTCCGATCGCTATTTCTATTCCCATTCAGTCCCAATCAATTCAGTCCAATACAATCCCGCCATCAGCTGCTAGCACCATGTTGGCGAAGGCGAGCGCACCGGACCAGGACGCGCCGGAGCGGGACATGTCGCTCCAGGCGCACGTCGCCTTCTTCGACCGCGACGGGGACGGCGTGATCGCGCCCTGGGATACGTGCGTGCTGTGCTCCCTGCCGCCGCGCCGCCGGCTGACTTGCGGCGCTTGCAGGTACCGGGGCTTCCGTGACATTGGCTTCGGGCTGCTCCTCGCGCTTAATGGGGCATTCCTCATCCATCTGACGCTGTCGTGAGTGGGCGCGCGTCCCCTCTCTTGCAGGCTAATTGACTGTCCATGCTCAGCTGGCTCACGTGCGGTACTTTCTTCCCGGACCCGCTCTTCCGCATACGCATCAAGCATATCCATAAGGTGTGCTATGGCCCGGCCATAAATTCCCCGATTAGTGACATCTGCTAAACAGGGCACGCACGGGTCGACGTCCGGCGCCTACACCACTCGCGGCAAGTTCAACCGGACGGTCTTCGACGACACGTTCGCCATGTACAGCAGCTATCCTCACACGCACATTACCCTGAAGGAAACGCTGCGAATGGTGCATGGAAACATCGACGCGTTCGACGTGGTACGTTCTGCTCTGCATCTCCATCCTCTCGCCTCACAGCAGACTCAGTTCGGCTTCCTGGCCAACCTCGCCGAGTGGTTGACTGCCTACGCCGTTCTATGGCCCGCAGACGGACGAATGGCAAAGGAAGATATACTGGGGATATACTCCGTAAGTCCTCCCATCCTTGTCTCTACCGCAATTCCACTCAATATCCCCAAGGGCGCCTACTTCTACAAAATCTCCGGCAGGACACCGCCCCCAAATCTGCGGTTCAAGCCGGTGAATTGATTCGACTTTGGGACTTTTGGCGATGGACTTGACTTTGGGACCTTTAGGCCTTGCTGTCTTTACACGCTCTTTCTTTTCTTTGGAACATGTTTTTACACGCTATCCACCACTCGCTCTCCGAGTCGCATATGCGCTACTTGCTATTAGACCCGCGTCCGCGCGGTCGTCCTGTCTTTTCCTATCCACACACACGCTCTTTACCGGGACTTTGAGGGGACTATGGACCTTGGCGGCAGGGCTGGCATTTTTATGTACTGAATATATACTATATACTACCTAGAGCAATAATCACTGGCCTGGAGGGTCGCGCTGCTACGCGTGAAAATATATCCCCTGGATGAGGATGACGCCTCGAGAGAGTACCATCAACGAGATTACAACACGCAGACGTGGGTAATGATAGCAGGCTGACGCGGGCTCTAGTAGACTTCAAGGACTTTATCGCCACAAGAGAGCGTTCTGAAGTTCAACTTGAATGGGCGCCCATGGGTCCACCCCCGGCACCTGCCGCGGATGCAGGGCGATTGCCGAACCCGTCGCCCCCATGCGCGTAGCGCTGATCCCCTTCGCCGCCACTCTTGTCTCCTTCTGTACATCCCGTTATCCCTTCTTCCCGTAACCTACGAGTCCAATTTCACTGTCTCTGTGTGCGTTCGCCAATCTGAGGGGAAGGGAGAAGCGGCAGTGTTGACTCTGCGCAGACGCCTCCATCGAAGACCTTCTGAACTCGAACGACCATCATGGTGCGCGTGCTGGGCCCTATACCTGAGCTATGCTGATGATATGGTAGAGCGATAACGCTGGTCAGTAGTACGCCATATCTCTATCCAATTCAGCGTGTAGGACGGCGGTGACTGCACGATACCTCTCTGAGGACGCGTCAGGGAACGCGCGCCTGGAAACCCTTCCTTCGTCCCGCGATGTCCGAACTTGTGCAGTGGAGCGCGATCCAACTGCACCATGTTCCTTCTGCGTCGACGCATACACGCGCAAAGCCGCGCTCTACATCTGCCATGACGCGCCAGGGCCCATCGTGCTGTCCTTCTCCTCGCACCGTCTCTGCGCCATAGTCCCTCCCAAGCCCTACCCGATCCTGACGCGCACCTTCAGAGTACAAGGAAGCCTTCGCGCTCTTTGACAAGCGCGGCACGGGATCCGTCCCAAGAGAAACCCTAGGCGATCTGCTACGGTGCGTGTGCCCTCGTCCTTGCGTCGCGCTGTCGTACCGCCACTTGTTCCCTTGCGCGGTCATTATGGCCATCTATCTGTCGCGTCGTTATACCAATGCGAACCCAACACTCCGATCGTCATGTACTCACCTTTAACCTAGCGCGCTCGGCCAGAACCCCACGCAGGCAGAGGTCGCCGACATCACTGCGAACGCGCCGAGGGAAGGTGCGTTGCTAGTCCTGCTCAGACTTGCGTCTTCGACCTATCCCTGCCCCCCTAACCTCCCTCCTGCGCTCGTCATCCATCCTCCACCTCCTCCTTTGTCCTGGTCATCCACCCTCAACCTACCTCCCCTTTCCCCCGCCACACCACCTAATAACCCCCTCCCACCCCAGTCGACTACAAGACCTTCCTCGGCATCCTCAACCGCCCCGACGGCTTCAAGCCCGCGGGCACGCCCGAAGAATTCATCCGCGGCTTCCAGGTGTTCGACAAGGAGGGGAACGGGTTCATCGGTGCGTGCGCTAAACCTGGTGGACCAGATGCCCAAGCTGACTAGCGCCGCGCAGGCGCCGGCGAGCTCCGATACGTGCTCACGCAGCTCGGGGAGAAGATGTCGGACGAGGAGGTGGACGAGCTGCTCAAGGGTGTGCAGGTTGGCGCGTGAGTGTTTGGTTCATCATTTTCAGCTTTCCTTCGCGTCCTCCTAGTGATTGCGTGCTCGCTGCTTCATTGCCTGGCCGTCTGTCCGCTTGGCTATTCGTCTGTCCGCTTGACTGTCTTCGACTGCACTGCCTGTCGACGGCCGGCCAGCATATATATCTCCCAATCACCTTCCCCTTCAGTCATCTGCTGCTCATCCCTCTCCATTCTTCGTTCCGCTGTCACGCATCCTTCGTCCCGCTATCACACATCCTCTTCCTTAAGTCATTTGTCCATCCTCACCAATCTCACATCCTTCCTCCCCAATCACCCCCCCCCTTCGTCCCGCAATCATGAACATGTACTGACCTGGCACCCGCAGCGACGGCAACATCAACTACGAGTCGTTCGTGCGCACGATACTGAGCCAATAGAGCCCTCGCTACCATTCGAGCACACAGTGTACTCGTCACTATTCGAGCACGCAGGCGACGTGTGGTGATGATGAGTACAGGTCCGGTGCAGAACGATACGGTCCGGTGCAGAACGATACGGTCCGGTGCAGAAGTATACTGCTGTCCATTTGTGTACACGATTGAATGATTTCCTACTTGACGTTCGCTGCCGGCGCTGGTGATCATTAGGCGACGCTCGTAACCATTAGGCGACTCTGTATTGTCAACAGCGCGGCAACATGAACGCCCATCGCCGAAGAGGCAAAGCCGAAGTGAGGCTCGGGCGCGTCTACAATTCACTGAGTGTCCTGAGTCCGTTGATTGCTCTATTCCGGTACGTCCATTTCTCGTTTCCACCTCACCGGGCTTTGCTTGTCTACGCCGGTACGAGAGAGTATACATCGATGCAAGGGAGTATACAACGATGCAAGGGAGAATACATCGGTGCAAGGGAGTATACATGGATGCAAGGGAGTATACATCGGTGCAAGGAAGGTACGCCGACCTTTTCTTCTATCAGTACCTTCCTCGACGACGACGGTCACTTTTCCGTTATTGTATTCCCGCTGCTGATCTCAACTCGCCGCGGACCTGCGCCGCCTCGGGGTTGCTCACGCTCGGACTGTACTCAACCCCCGGTGATCGCGGTCTTGCCTCAGGAGTCGGGTACGCATACCCAGCCCGAATTAGAGTAGGGGTTCGACGTTATGAGCGCGCAGGAAATGGTTCGATGGTCAAGGATTCGATGGGCAAGGGTGAGCAGGCAATATACTCGACTTCTAACCTTCTAATGATACTGACCCCGCGAGAGCGTGTAGGTCGCTGAGAACGATAGAAGTGCAGTTCTTCTAGCAGTCGCTATGCTCGCGGGAGTCGGCGAGCACAGAACTTCCAGAAGCTACACTCTCTTCTGTCTTCACCTCGGCATTCCCGGTCAAGTCCAGCGACGCTCGGAAATATGAATGCTTGTGCCAAAAGAGGAAATCGGTCACAAACCTCCCATCCCCTTGCACGAAACTCACATCCACTCGCACAAACTTCAAAGTCCACATCCTCCTCCCACGGTGTTCGCATCCCTCACACAATATTCACATGCGCGCACTCGGTCCCGCGACACGGTTTCCCGATCAAAACGAACTGCTCGCCCGACGCTCGCATCAAGCACAACTATCAAGCAATGCTCAGCCCCAGCGGCCGCGTCGAAGGTGGTGCTGTCTGGCGCGAATATTCATGCGCGAGAAAGCCCACATGTTCAGGCCCAGATCTAGCTTCATCAAGTCGGGTGGCGCACGCACGAAGATCTTCTTGCAGTCGTCAGTTCGCTGTTGAAGTGTCGCTCGTCGCTACGCTTCTCCGCGGTCCGTGACGTTCAGTGCTGCATCTGTATCGCGTCCCGTCCGGGCCCCTCTATGGACAGGAGGGACTCGACTGGAACTGTCCAAACTATCCACTCAGTGCACAGATCTGGCGGCCATACGATGTGACCACCGACCTCGTGTATACCGCAGCACCCGAAAAGTCACGTATATGACGCCCGCCATAGAATGGGCACGCTAGGCCGGACCGCTGCAGGCTAGCGCGTGCGACGCTAGCGTCTGGTTCTCCCAGTATAGAGATAACGCTGGCCTTTCGAAGACGACGTCGCGTGAAGGAAGGCTCTGGGCATCACGACGATGTGTATTTCGGTGGCGAGTCGTATTCGTCCACCTTCAGATTCTTACACGACGGGGGTGGGAGGACTCAATTATCAGGCCCAATACAATGCATTGACCCCAGACGGGTTTAGCACAACTCCAGCCCCGACCGTACCCCGACAAATCGCAAGATCAGCGCGCCAGCAGCCCGAACATCCGCGCTTCATCCATCAACGTCAAACCGTAGGATCAGTCGAACATACCTCGAGTATCACCTGGGCATCACCAGCGCGCGGCTTCTACGTGTGACGGCCCATCACCGCGTTTGATCCCCCCACCGCGCCTAGCGTGCGACGATTGGCGCGCCGGAATGCAGATGGCGCACGCGATGCGGGTGGCTCACGGGACGCGAGGCGGCGCGACCGCATAATCTTCGTGCGCGTGCGTACTTAAGGCTTCGCGCAGCACGCAGCGCGGACTTTCTTCTTCGCCACCCCGGGCTCACCCCGCCACCCTCCCTGCGGCCTTCTCGCTGCCCGCCCACGGTCCTCATCGCTGCCAGCCACCACTGCCAGCCCGCCTCATCGCGGAAGAGTCGACCAGCGCAGATCGAGCCCGCCTTTCCCGCCTTCTTGTATACACTTCCTTCCCCCTTCCCCCCTTCCTTCCTTCATCATGGGCGTTGAACTTTCCTTCGGGCCGATGCTCATCGGTGTCTGCCTTAACATGATCCTCTATGGGGTGCGTCATTGTCTTGATCTGAGAGGGCTAGCGCTGACCCTCGAGCAGATCGTGCTGATGCAGGTGAGCCTATCATGAACTAGCGGGGAGAGCAAGATTCCTCCAGGATCTCTCTCGCTATCGTACTAGGGTAGCCATGCTCAAGCCCGATTGCAGATGTTGTTCTACTTCCAGACGTACAAGGGGTGCGTGGCGGCGGTTGTTACACCATCTTGTAGTCTAACCTACTGGACAGGGACGCATCGTGGATCCGCTACCTCGTAAGCTGACCGCCCGCCTCACGTCACAAGCGTGTAGTCGTTCAACTATCGCCTCTCTAGATCCTATATCTCTTCATCATCGAGACTTGCAACACCGGGTTCGAGTTCGGGTTCATTTACGAGCCTCTCATCCACAATTATGGTGCGTGAAGCCAACGGGCTACACGGCCAGCGGGCTCATCCTCTATAGGGACACCCAAGGCGACGACGAACTTCCCCATCAGTGAGTATCTACAACCTTGTCTCGACAGTCTGCTGAACATTCCTGCAGTGCTTGCCGCAGAGCCCATTACCATAGTGCGTTCAAATGGAGAAACGTGCGCCGCGGTACGCTAAATATTGCGCAACTGTCAGGTATTCATCAGTTTGCCCATCCAATGCTTCATCGCATGGTACGTCTCAAGTGGGTCTCTCGGCTAGCTCTGTCGCTGATGCCTCCTCCTAGGCGCATTTGGAACATGACGAAGTCCATGATCATCCCCTTCGTTATTGTGCTCTTGGGCCTCGTATCCTTTGGTACGTCCTCACGGCCAATCCTGCCACCGTTCCGTTGTCTAACTCGCCCCCCTTCAGGCGGCGGCATCTGGCTGACCCAAAAGATCGTCGAAGTCAAGTACTTCGCGCGCAAGCCCGATTTGCACTGGGCTGCCCTCGTGTGGCTGGTGGCGGCCGCGGCAGCAGACATTCTGATCACTGTCGCGCTGGTGTGGAACCTTGCCCGTCGCAAGACAGGCTTCTCGCACACGGATGATGTGATCAATGCGATTATCAGGAGTGCGTCTTTCGCTGTCGGGGCGGTTGTCGCGCTGGCTGGCGCCTCGCTTTTTATTTTATCCGGTTAGACTGACACCTTTTTCTCTAGTGACCGTGCAGACGGGGCTCATCACCGCGTTCCTCGCATGTCTCGACTTCGTCCTCTTCCTCATATTCCCGAAGACTACGCTGTATGTACTCCTGTCCGTCGTGCAGAGACTGCATTTCTGACCCCATCGCAGGAACTTCATCTGCAACCTCTGCCTCGCCAAGCTCTACACGCTGTCGCTCATGTCCACGCTAAACGCCCGACAAGGCTGGAACCGGCACCTGTCCAACTCGCGCCCCGCCAACCCGCTCTTCGACAACACCACAAGCGGCTCCCGAAGGGTGAGCGCTCACATGGATTTCGTCACCGTCTCAAGCTCAAACACCTGGCTCTAGGACACGCACTCGCGCATACCAACAGTGAGCCCGGCCCTCAACCACCGCGCGCCCACCGCAATTACTAATGTCAGACCCCCTCGCAGACGCCGCACATACCCACCTTCGAGCTCTCGACGCAGATGTCCTCCACGCCGCGCACGGGGCACTTCAAGCGCTCCTCCGACGGGCTCGAGATCTCCGTCACCAAGGTCGTCGAACGCCTCGAGGACCCGCACCCGGTGATCACCATAAACGCCATCCCCGCCGCGCACCACCCCTACGGGCCCGGCGCGATGGCGCCCCACGGGACGCAGGTCGGCATGCTCGACAGCCAGGGCGACTCGTACGACGCGCGCTCCATCGGTTCAGCAGTATGAAGATTCGGACTAGGATTCGGGACTCGGACTCGGGGAGAAGAGAAGGGAGACATGCGGATCTAGAGCAGCGACTGGCCCGGACGTCGTCCCGCGCGACGATGAGGAGACACGATCTTACGACCACCGGTGGATGGGCCCCCGCCTGTTCCACCGGATTCTAATTTATTGTGGGGGCGGGCGCCGCGTGAGCACACCATTCCCGCCCCTCTCCACCTTGTCTGTGCCAGTACGCTCGTTTTGTACGACTAGGATTTATTTTATTCTGTATGTAGCGCGGAGGCTCGTGCAGTGTTGACGATAGTACGCGCGTGGAGTGTGCCTCAGGAAATTTGAAGGAGCTCTTCGCGGCTAGCCTGCATCTCACTCGCGTCCACCTTGGAATTCAGTGCGACACGATGCGCGTGCAATGTACCACCGGGTCGTGGAGAGACTGCGTTTGGGAAATGGTGAAAATGTTTCTCACGCACACGTTCGCCTGCAGCCGATCCCCTCGAGCATGATGGTCTGCTGATGAACCAGTGGCTCTCTCGCTGAACCATATTTTCTTCGCATGATGAGCACCTCAAATCTGCAGTGCGGGCGTAAAGCCCTTGCTGCTCGCGAAGCTTCGCGTCGTACCTGGCTTCGTGGCCGCATTCCCTACGTCGTGACCACATACCTTAAATTCGTGCCCCTTGCCCTTCCCTCGTGGTCCCATCAGTGGTCCTCTAACCCTCCTTCGCACATAGCCTTCATTCGCGGGCCCTATACCAGTCGGCCGAGAGGGCTTCTCTCAACAAACCTACGCCCTCTCTCAACAAACATACGCCCTGAAGGAAGCACCCTGCACGGGAATGTGCGCGAGGTTCGGGCGAGGAGATAGCGCAACGAGGACCCGCGGAGAAGGTCGTTCTCAACCAGGGCCCTGCGGAGGCGGTCATGCGCTTCGAGTTCATTCATTCAGCGGGAGATGCTGATTCACTCAGCGGAATATATTGTCAAGAACTGGGGCACGCGATTGCCAACCGCCTATAGCTCGGGGTCGATATAAACAGACGCGGGCCGTTGAACGAGTGGCGAATGTGCAGAGTGCTTGGCTATGACCACTGTCGAGAGGGTAAGGCCATAGCGGACAGGGTATGACCGGAGCGGGGAGGATGTAGCGCAGCCGGAGGCGGAAGTAACATGCTGTGATACTGCAAGTAGGTTGTCAGTCTTAGCCGAAGCACGTACCAAGAGGCGATCGACAGATCTCGAGTTCGAGATGGAGGTTTCCGGTGGACCGGGAAATCCCTTCCGTCTGCTGTGTCTCGAGATTGAAGCATGTGCGAAGGGCCTAACTTTTGCCTGTCGTTTGAATCGCTTCCATAAGCTGTTTGATTCACTACCAAGTGCAAGATCCAATGGAAGGTATTCAGTGTTCCCCACCGTCATAGTGCACCGCAAGGGTAGCCACAATCGAGTCCCATTCAGTGGTGAGGTCGCCCCATTGTCCATTCGCATAGCCCATCAGCTTCCCATCGCACTCTTCGGCGTAGAACTCAGATAAGGCATGAGAATAGTCATAGAGCCAAGATCTTCGCGCAAACAATGTACCTGGTCTACTCCGTGTCGAGCACGAAGGCGCTCGAGGTGGATGGCGTTTCGGCATTGATGTCAGCGTAGGCTGCGTGAAGGAAGCAAAGTCGAGCCGCTGTCCGTTATCAGCCCGTTGTACGGTGGATCCAATCGTGTGCGTGATGCGGCTTCGCGGCTGGCGAACGGGACTGAACAGTCGCAGGGGCGACGCAGTATCCCGGCAGCCGAGGCGAGAGCGAAGACTGGAGAAAGTTCACCGTCGGCCATTTTCAAGTCGTATAAGGTCGTGCGCAGGCGCAGGTACAGGGCGCGAAGGCTCTTGTGGGTGGCAAGGGAGACATAGAACGGGGTTACCACTTGCAGCCTGAATTGCGAAGCTCGGCCTCCAGATGATTCTTGTGCCAGAGTTACACGCACTACCGCATGTTTTGTCGAGCCATGCGTTTGTATTGTGTGAGAGATATCCTTTGATGGTCCAAACGAGCCCGTCACGCCCGCGAGCCGCTCGTTGATGCGAGCATCAAGAAATCTGTCGAGCATCAGCGTCTATTTGCACAGGCCGAATGATCAGCGCCGGGATATTTCTTGCATGCTCGAGGGTTGCAACTACATGTGATGATCTGCGTCGCAGGCCGGCTAAAGCTCACCCTGGACGCATCGGGCGGCCATGGTGGCGGGAGGAAACGAACCGGAAGCGTGACATAACGGAGTACAATAGCGTGATGGGTGCCGAATCGGGAAAGGATTCATGGACATCTGACTCCGTTCCGTTCCCCCGCGTGTGACGCCCGCCTTCTCGCCTCCAAACCACCTGATGGCCGCATCTCAGTTAAAAAGATTCATGGGAATTAGCCGGCTCGGATACTTCCCTTCCTCCCCCCATCATCATCGCGCCCAACGATGGCGATCCCTCTGTCGAAGACGGCATCCCCAGGGTCCCAGAGCCAGTCAACGCACAAGGCCGACCTCAGCGTCGACACCGTGTCCCTCGTCCCCTCGGTAGACCCAGCGATGGAGAAGGTCGTATGGCGGAAGCTCGACCTCTATGTGCTTCCCATGGTTGCCTTGTTCTACTTGCTATCCTTCTTGGTATGTCGCTACTTCTATCCCGAAGACGTCGGCTAACGTACCATGCTTAGGATCGCACGAACGTCTCGAATGCGCGGGTCGCTGGTATGCAAGTCGACCTCAAGATGACCAATCACGACTACTCCATGGCGCTTACGGTCACCTACATCCCCTACATCATCGCTGAGCTCCCTTCGAATCTGCTCTTGAAGGCATGCCACCTTAGCCTACCTGTCAGTGGCGCCGCTCATCACGCGTCCGTTAGGCTGTCGGTCCCAATCTCCTGCTTCCCGCTATGCTCACGCTCTGGGGCGTGGTTACGACATGTCAAGGCGGGTGTTAAAAAGGCCCGGAGAAAGCCCTCCACTTACGCATCAACACAGGCGTTGTAACGACTTACGGCGGTCTGCTTACTTGTCGGTTCTTCCTTGGATTGTTAGAAGGTAACGTGTAGCCCTTCTCCGACATCGGAGAGAAGACTTAATACACCTCTAGGCGGTGTCTTCCCGGGACTCGTCCTCTACCTGTCGTACTTCTACCCTCGCCAGAAGTTGAACTTGAGGTGCGCTTTTAATTCAACAAGCTCTACTCCCGCTAATCTGAGTTCAGGATATCGGGATTCTTCTCGTCTGCATCAGTCGCAGGTGCCTTCGGCGGCATTTTAGCGTACGGCATCGTCCACATGGAGGGCGTTGGCGGGAAGCCCGGGTATGTGCGTCCAGGCTTCCACCCCGGAACACCACTGATGATCTTCCAGCTGGTCATGGATCTTCATTCTCGAAGGCCTCTTCACGGTCCTCGTCGGGATCGCGGGCTTCTTCGTGCTGCCTCGGACGCCTCAACACGCACGCTTCCTCTCCGCGAAGGAGAAGGAGTACGTCACAGAGCAGCTGAAGGCCGCGGGTGCTACGGCACGCGACGAGAACGTGGACGGGTTCAGCTGGAATGAAGTGGGCAAGGCGTTCGGCCTGCCCCAGGTATGGTTCACTGCACTCGTGTACTTCTTCGACGGTGCGTGTTTGAGCGCTGCTTCACATACTCGCAGATACTGACGTCGCTACAAGGTGTTACTTTGTACGGTTTGGCCTATTTCGCACCTTCTATCGTGCAGGGCCTCGGATATGCAGGCGCGGATGCGCAATTGATGACCGTGCCGCCGTTCGCAGCAGCCTTCGTCTGTACGTATCTGCAGTGCCAGGCTATAATCACCCACTCACATCTATCACAGTCTCCCTGGCCTGCGCCTTCGTATCCGACCACTACCGCTGCCGCGGGTACATCACCATCATCTCGTCTGTGCTCTGTGTGATTGGATTCTCGATGTTCCTCTGTACGTCCATTTTCCCTCTTATCCCAACCCCACCTAACCCCACTCAGCCTCCCCGCACCAAAGCATCCAATACGGCTCCCTCTTCCTCTCCATCTCCGGCACCTACACCGTCGCGCCCACCGTCTCCGCCTGGGGCGCGAACAACGTCTTCCCCCACACGCGCCGCGCCACCGCCATCGCCATCGGCTTCATCATGTCCAACAGCGGCGGCATCCTCGCGACCTGGCTCCTCGGCTCCCTCTCCGCCGCGCCGCGCTACCACTCCGCGACGGTGACGATGCTGATCATGAGCGTGCTCATGATCGTGTTTACGGCGCTCAACCTGGGCTACCTGTGGTCGCAGAACAAGAAGAAGGCGCAGGTTCGGGCGACGTCGACGCAGGTAGAGGAGCGGCCGGGCCTGGGCGACCGCTCGGCGTGGTTCGTCTACAGCCTGTGAAGTGCTCTTGTGGCTCGCGGTGCTTGTTGCTCTTGCTGTTTGACTTCGGCCTGCGAAAACCTCTGTGATGGTCGATGTATATATCTCGGATGGATTGGGAAGGCGCCTTCTTCGAAGGTGCATGTAAATAGCTTGCCTGCGTTGCGTAAAGCATCGCGCTACATAGACCGGGTTGTCATAGGTCTCACTGTTGTTGTTGTCCTGGCTAATTTATCGTTCACGCTCGTTACCCCTCGCAAATACTGCAATGATTATACCAAGTCGTCAAAGACGAAGAACGAACGATGCGGCTTCTTTCTCCCAAGGTTGTCTGCGATCCGTGATCCTGCCTGTCCTACTGAACTCTTGTACAAATCGAAGCCGGACTCCCAGCACTCCCAATAGTTGAACTTTCGGGACCGAGGTGCCACGAGGCGCCCGGACCACGTGATCACCTTGTTTTGATGTGACTGCATGCGTTATCCGTGACTGCACGCTTCTTCATCTTGTCTCTTACCACCACACGACTTCGCATCCTTCTCCCTCTTCCCCTGGTCTCTATGTCCGGAACTCGATCATCTTCTCGCGTCAAGGCGCTGCATGATCAGAAGGCCGCCCATCAAGACATGCACCCGACGGTCGCCACTCGTGGTGCTCAAGCCTCCGCTGGTCGACTGAGTAGTCGATCGCTGCGACTGCGACCAAGCCGAAGCCGGAAAGGAAAGCGAAAACATTTATAGCCAAGTTAGCGAACAGTCCTGCGAACAAGACATTCAAAGCACCCACGTTGAAGGCCAGACCTGCGAACAAACGGCGCAAAGTGGCGAAAGCCAATGGGATCACCGACAACGACGCGAGAGATGAAGGTCATGTTAAAGGCAAATTCCTCGCACACGCAAGGAAACTGCAACAGATCACCGGCATGCCGCTCGACATCCTCTTCGAGATCTTCAAATTGGTCAATCCGGTTGACCTCCTCCACCTCGCCCAACGAAAGGCATGGGAAAGGCTGCTGGAGCCAAGGAAAAGAAACAGACCAAGATACCCTCGATTGCCTCTTCCTCGCGATCACCTACTTCAAGTGCGCGAAATGCACGGAGCCCATGTCCTACCCCCGCGCCCTGCTGCATACCTGCCTCTTCGCCTCCGAGCAGGAGATCGAAGAAGACAACACAACGATCTCGCTCGCGACCATGCTTGCGTCCTGCGACTCTGCTGTCACGCCGTTCTATTATCCGGATTCTGCAGGCAGCAAGGTGCATTTCGATGAAGAGGCGAGCTAGCACGCGGGGATCCTCATCAAAGCTTGCGGGCTCGACCCTAAGAAGGCAACCTTCGCGGACATGGAATCTCTGAACGTGCACGTCGAATGCGTCCCTTGTAAGGCAAAGCACCGTCTGGGAATGGGGCGCGCGCAGCAGTATGTAGTATACATTCTGTCAACCCTCAGAGCGCGTCTGACGCGGCCCATCTCAGCTCCTACATCTTCCCAAGGGCCACGACGCTACGGGTAGCGAGCCCATAACCGCGCAATGGAGCGTGATTACCGACCGCGACGATTGAAAGCAAATTTGCGCTGCTCAGATCGCTGCCTTCTCATGGATAGATTCGGATGGCGTTAGAACGCTGGGCTGACGCGTCCCTGGGTGCAAAATTAAGCTCATCGTGCACGACTGTCAGTAGCATAGGATGGATTGGCGCTGGGTTGCTGCGTGAGTCGTGTACTCTTGAGGCTGACTGTGATGACAGTGTTGATTATGAGGTTTGTAGTCATCAGAATCTGTCGTGCGCCTCGAACCTGTCGATGGTTTGCAGTACCCTTCTGTGGTTCGAGATTGCACATACGCAGAACAAAGTTCGCTAGAGACTGTGCTCATGAGGAAAGAAGGAAAGTACTGACTTGTTGTATACCCTATCGAATCGCAAGTCGCGGAGCGGAATCTACACTCAATTGATTGTAGACTGTTCAACAAGACTCGTGCCAGAGCACAGCTCATATCGATACAACACCTCAGTAGGATGAGCCTTGCCTACATGAGAACGAAACTTACTAGACTGGATAACACGAACGCTTGGTTTTCATGCACAGGCAACGAGGTCACAATGACCCCTCCCTTCCTTCCTCAGCACTTCGAATCCTCGGACAACATCAACAGATATGCAAGTCAGTATGGATAGTGTACAATTCGTGTAGGTCTATGTCGTTCGCAGGCGCGTACTGGTCGACGCTCGTAACCACTGCTCGCAGATGCGCGCCTAGAGCATCCCCGTCCAAGTGCCAATGAGATCCACGACGCAGACGGCATTGATGGGTATGTACTGCTTCGTGATCATCTTGATCACCTCCTGTGCAACCAATCCGCCGAGGAAAGCCGCCGTGTTCGGAAGGTCAGACGTTGGTGAACGTGCGCTACATGGGAGGGTCAGCTCAACGAAGAAGAAAGAGGGAACAGTGACACGCACACTTCGCCCACAGCCGCCTCAAATGCTTCTGGTAGCGTGGTACCCAGCGGAAGCAGCGCCTTCGTCTCCTCGGTAAGCGCCTCCACCGTGATCTGCGCCTCAGGCGTCTTCGCTAGCAAGTTGGACAGCGCAGACAATGCGAGGTGCGTTCCAACCTCCTTCCCATCGGTCTCCGTGATCGCCTTCGCCAGCGCAGTGCCATTCTTGTCCACATCTGTCCACTTCTCGCCGCGCAGTAACTTGATCCCGTGCGCGTTTTTCACGAACGAGTCGACGATCTCATCCGGCACGGGGTGCGCGAGGAGCTTCTTGAACGCCTCCTTCTCCTCCTGCGCGCGCGCCTTGTACAGCTTCTGAAGCTCAATGTAGCTCCCCGTGCTCGCCTTCATGTCCGGCAGCGCGGCGGATAGTGGCAGGACGTGCGGCGGCTGCGCGACGAACTTCTTAAGCGCGTCAAGGAGGATGAAGAAGGGTGGGGAGGAGGCGGACACGGAGGAGAGTTCGGGCGCGTCGAACAGTGCAGACACCTCGCTGGGCACGCCAGTCTCGGACCAGCAGCGATATGCCTGCGCCTCCGCCTCGTCGAAATTCTCCTCGTCAAACTTCTTCTTCATGGCCTGGACGGTGGCCTTGAACTCCTTCTTTTCCGCGTACGTTTGTGGCGGCTTGCCATCGTGCTGGACTAGAGGTGAGTGCGGTGTAGAAAGTGAAGGGACCCGCGCCACACACCAAGTTCTTCCAATCCTCCATCGCGCGAACGAGGATGACGACGAAAGGGACGTGCGCGTGATCGGTAGAGTCCATTTTCTCGAAGTCGAGGGACTCGGCATATTCGAGCAGCGCGGGGAAGGGTTTTGAGATGCGCAACGACGGCATCGTCTCCGAGTGGCTCTCAATCACTTAAGCGCCCATTAGCTAACATCGACCTCTCGTACTCTGCCACACACACCTGCGTGATTGTGATACTGCAAGAAGAATTCCGCCACAAATCCCGCGGACCGCACGACCGCCAGCGTCGGCGAGCTGTCCGCCTCCCACAGCAGGTCCGCTAGGCGCGTGAGCAGCCTGCCCGGCAGATTGTGCGCGATCACGATGCTGAAGGACGTGAGGTAGCCCGGGTCCTTGTCCAGAAGCTCTTCTAGCGACTTTGTGTTCGCCTTCCCGTCCACACTGTCGTTGAGCTCGCGCAGGAGGCGCACCTCTTCCTCCGCGCGCAGCTTGCCGATGCTGTCCTGCGCCTCGAGGAAGAAGTTGTTTCCCGCGTCTTCGGGGGAGACCCGCGCGTCATCGAGGATGGTGAAGTGGCCTATGCCGGGGAGGACGAGGTTTTTAAGGATGGAGGTGCTGGTTGCGGTGCCGGAAATGACCAATATGCGCGACTCTTCGAGCGCGGCTTGCCCGGTGGCGGCCCACAATCTGGTTCAAGAGGTCAGTGAGGTGATTTGGGTGAGATTGAACTGCGACGCACCGCAGCTGGCGATCGTAGCGCCTAGTCTTGCTGTCAGGCTGACCACTGAATCATGTAAGCGCCCTCGTTCTCGCAGGCATTCACAGTTGACGCACTCCACAATCACTGCAGTGGTAGCCTGGGGAATCTCCTGAGATTCTTGCTGCTGCATCGCGCTGAGGTTAGATGAGTGTTGGAAACAAGGTATACGGCGCGTGAACGCGTCGCTGCATCCATCAGTGATCGCGACGAACAAAGATGCCCATATTTGGAAATCCATTGTTCTTGGATGGACGCCTACCTCAACAGTCCTCTTTGAAGTATGAGAGGGGACAGCCGTATAACAAGAGCCTACGTTCACAAGCAAATCTGATCACTAATCGAAAATGTGATGCATGCTTGATACGGTGGCACTGGCGCCCACACCCAAAGAGAGAAAACACGGAAACCCATATTACATCCGGTATAGCAAGACCATTACACATATACTATGGTATATCCCGCGACGCGCGAGCGAACAAGACAAATCAAGAGACTTCTCAGCCTCACATAACTACACACCTCACATCCTCGGGCGTTAGGCCCAACTCCTCCAACTGCTCCTCCGCCGCCTCCTTCTCATTCGCCCGTAACTTCTTCCGAGCCTCCACCGGAAACCAATCCTCAATGAAGTTGATGAGGGCCCAATCCACATTCGCTATGTGGCGCACGTTCGTCAGCCAGCCTTGTCCACTTTTGGGCAAAGTTATATGAATGGACACTCACATCGGTCCGCCTGCAGCACCACGTTCGCGCGGCACATCGGGCACTGCCCCTTCCCGCGCTTCTGCATCTTGACGAGGCACCGGACGCAGAAGAGGTGTCCGCACGCCAACCTAATCAGCGCGTTAGTTTGTGGGTACATCATTTGTGGGCACATCACGAAAGGGCCTTCCGCAGAAGGGCAAAGCACGTTCATGAGAAGGCGACCGCCCGGCACGTACCGAATGGGCTTGAATGCGACGTCGGTGCAGATGAGGCACGAGTAGTCCTCCAGGTGTGGGATGATGGGCAGCAGCGTCTCCGTCATCGACTGAACAAGGAGGTGCGCGAGCGAGTTCGCGGACGGGCTGCTCTGCAGGAGGTCGATGATCACCGCCTGGTTCTGGCGCATCAGCGCGCCGTGACCGCCGTCGGCGTCTGCTGGCGCAGAAGCCAGTATGAGCCCGAATTTCTGCGACGCCAGGTCACGATTGTCGAGCGGCAGCGCCGTCCGTTTGGCGTGCTTCTTGAGGATTTTGCGCAGGGCCTCGGCGTTAGCATACTGCAGCTGAAAGGCGAGTAGATCAGATGACAGTTGCGCTATAATAGAGTTCAAGTAGCACATACCTTCTTCACGTTGAGGATAACGGCATTCAGCTCGAGGAAGCGTTGGAGGGCCTCGCGCGACTGCGTCAATTTGAGCTTCGAGGGGTCGGCAAGGCCTTGCTTGGCGATCTACAACATGTTTACACGATGGTCGTACATCTATCGGGAGGAAGCTTACTTGGTCCGCGAACAGCTTCAGCCGTTCTTCGGCCTTCTGGATGTCCCTTTCGCCACGATTGCGCTCGCCTTGGGACTCGAAGATCTCAGCTGAACAGAGATCAGTATGTGCTGTGTCGGTAAATATGCAGAGTTCTGACCTTCAACGTATAGCTGGAAGATAGATCGCCAAGTATATAGATCTGACTAAACACGACGATTAGTGGCAACTCGTAAAGCGGAGAGGTTGTGCGCACAGCGTTCTTGGCAGCCGAGACGTGAAGTACGCCGGGATGCTCAGCAGAAGAATGTGGGGTGAACTTAGGATTCGTGCTGGCGGCCAAGGAGGTAAGCTCGCATATCGACATGCCATTCGAAACCTCGACTCACCTGCTGACGGGCCGGGCAGTATCACTGATACTGCGAGCCAGATCTCGTAGGGAGTGCGCGAAGTCGGCCTTCAGAGACTCCAAGTGCGTGGAGAGGGATTGAAGGGCAGTGAATAGCAGCGCGAAGAAAGCTTCGTCCGATGGTAGGGGTATGATGATCTCCTCGTCCTCCACTGAATCGGGGGACACATGATCGGCAGTACTGATCTCTTCCACGGCGCTAGATGTGCTTGCATCCGTGCTCGATCGCCGCATGTCATGAAGCACGTTCATGGACGGACCCGCGCCCGAGTCCGCTTCTTCCGCGTCCTCGATGGTGGGCTCATCGTCTGTGTGTATGTTGCCGCTGACGCTGCTACGGAGCCGGTACAGCGTGGGTGCCAGATGAGGGAGCGACGCGCCGACGCGGAGGCGCAACCTGGGCTCGATCTTGCCGGAGGTGTGATTGAATTCGTAGACGACGCGCGGGACGCATGGGTCCCCCTCGCCTTCTGGGATGGGGCTGGGCTCGGCGCGCTGCTTCCCCTTGTCGTTTTCGGAGCTATCGTGATCGTCGAGCAACTCGTGCAGGACCTGCGGACTGAGGCCGAGCGCTGTTAGCTCGCGCACGACTTGATTGATGAGCTTCTTGAGCTACATGCGGAGACTTTTATGAGCGCTAATTTGTATATAGGTGGACTCAGCCACGCACCTGCCTGTACTGGATCGCATTGTCCCTCAGCTCTGGGGGAAGGTCCAGAAGAAGCTGGGCGTATGTCTTGCCGAAATGCATGCGTGATCACTCTACGTCGAGGGCGCGTAAGACAGAGGAATACAGACACAGCGGTCGCTCAGTCTCTAGATGCATAAGATGCTGAGGTGCGAATGCAGGTAGCTCGGACTCTGGGTAGATGACTGTTGAATGAAACATGCGCTCACCTCTCTCGTCGCCTGAAGGAGAATGTGGCGTAATCGCCTTATTTGGCAAAATGCGCTTTTGATGCTGTCCACGTGCTTCAACAAATACTTCGACGACTTTCGCTCGCCTCCTGGCGGCCTACGCGGTTGCGCAGTGTCGCGCTCTTCGGACTTGCTGCACGACGCGAGGTCATTTGCAGGCCTACTCTGGACCAGAGTAGATCAGCTTCATCACTTGTATCGAATACAGCAATCCAGTCCGCCGTCTATGCATTCCGATTCTTCAAACTCAGCGACACTCCTTCGACTTCGCTGAATGCTCGAGTCGGATCGGGACATACGCGCGGAAGCCAATTCGAGGGTGTGATAGGGCAACTAAGGCCACCCTATATGCCTGAAGCGGGCCTGAAGTGTGGTCCAGCCGACCGATACTGGATCGCGAGAACCGCCGAATGGACCTATTCGCCTCCTCACCTCCCCGTGTTCGGCACGCATACCGTAGGTATCGATTGTATCAATCATACGATGTGGTCAATCGCTGGACAGCTTAGCTGTAAGAACGGATAGGCGTTGGTCGCCGGCCTGTATACAGACTACTGGAAAGAGATAGTAGTAGAGAAAGAGCACCTCCTGGATATATGTGTGAGTTCGCCTTGTACTTTCGAAACTTCCTTCTGGGTCATGCTGACCTACATGCGCAGTAAGAACCCTAAAGAACCGCGGAAGAATGCCCTCCTGCAGGATCGGTGCAGGATCGCGGCTGGAGGACGATCATCGACCGGCATGCGCCTGTGTCCCAGTATGGTCTAGCGCTGTGACTGATTGGACCCACATCCCCGTCACAACCAGCTTTTCTGCATAAAAGCTGGCGCTCTGAGGCGCTCTGGCTGCTCTCAACCGCATCCCCAGGTCCCCCCGAGCCCCTTCGAATATTTGGCGCCCAAATCCCGACCGAAATCGAGCCCTTCCGCGCGTTTTTGCACGATCTGCCCTCACCTCCGTCATAGTCACGCCTGCTTCTCTCGGCGATCTGATCACGGTAAGCCGCCGTGCTTCGCCGGTCGGTCCGCCGCTGACCAGCCCCCTCCCTCGGCATTTTTCTGGCGGTGTTGTATTATTGCGTTTGACCCTGTCATCACTACATGCGACGACTGGCGCCCACGATGCGATTGCATTTTTCGTCCTCCAGATGTCTGGAGGACCCATCCCGTTTAACAGCCTCGACTTTACGAGGCGCCAGTCGAGCGATTTTTTGCTGCTCCCTGTATCCTACCATAGTCCTACCGAAGAGCACGACAACGTGCCCTACGCTGGAGGAGGCGGACAGCAAGACAGCCAATCGCCTGGCAATTCTCCTCCCCAGCCGCCGCCGCCTTCTTTTACCTACCCTTTTCCCGACGACGGCGCCAATGCCCCGCTCTATGGGCAGCAGTTTGGCTTCCCTCCGCAGCCAGCGCAGCCGGTACGTAGGCCGTTACTCGCATACGATAGCACGCCTGATTCCTACCTACTCGCAGCATCCTTACGCGGGCGCGGTGCCTCTACAGCAGCCCTATTACCCTCCCGTCCCACAGGCGCCGGACCCGTTGTTCTCTCTCCATGCCCAGCACCCCTTGCAAAATTATCCTCCGCGTGAGTCTCGGTGTGCCACATATCGAGGCGGCTCTAATGCTTGCTTGGTCCAGAGAATTACGGCCCTCGCTCGTATGAACAGTCGATCCATGCGCAGACAGCTTCGCCCCCGCTCGAACAGCTCTACTCGAGCAACATGTATCTCCATCCGCCTCCTCCCGCCAGCGACTCGTCCAGCTCTCCCGAGGCCTCGGAGGAGCCGCCGGAGGTCAACGCTATCCTGATAGCGCGCGACGAGCAGAATGAAGCCTATATTCGTAACAAGCTGAGAGTCCCCGACAGCGTCCCCGTCAACCTCGATCTCGTCCGGCAGCGCGGGCGTGAACGCCCCGAGGCCTCCCTCTAGGACTGATCACCGTCCGTGGCACGGCGACGGTGAGCACGGTCACGGTGTACCGCGGTCACGGCCGTGAGCTCAACGGACCGGGTGGCACGTCCCACAACCCTCGCACGGCACGGCTTGATCACGGAGACGGTCATCACGGTCGTCGACGGTAACACGAACATTGGCATGCTACTAGGGTAGTACGATATAACAAGAATGTGTTTGTAAGAAGTATCTAAACAACATACTTTCCATCAGCAATCTCAAGAGCCCGACGCTCGAGCCTGAGCTTGTGCTTGACCAGCATAAGGACACGAATTGTCGAAGGGGCTAGGCTTGCTCGACGCAGAGATATCGTATCTCTTCCCCCCGAAAAGACCCGCTCGACTGCAACAGCAGATCCTAACCCCACTGTGAGCTATGTGTACAAATAGTTACAGCGCGTGAAGCGTACCTGGGATGCATAGAATGTTGCAAGCCAGACGGTACAGCCTAGGAAAGCGAGATCGGTGCGCGTGCCACCACTGGATAGGATCGCACGCGTCGAAATCCTCGGGAGGCATCTTGTAATACTCGTCAAGCTCGTCGATGACGGCGGGTGGCGGGCGACGATAACGTTCGCCTATCTTGAGCTTTCGTGGCGAGCTATTGTTTGGATTATGTGCGGAGGATGTCGATGTTGAGGGGGTCGTGCTGTTGGGAGGCGGTGCGGTTGTCGAGGTCGAGGCTGTGGTCTTCTTCGCGTACTTGTCCTCATAATGCTCACGAAGCTTCGACTTGGCATCCTCTAGATACTCCATGAGGTCGGGGTCGTCTTGATAGTCGAGCTTGAGCCCCTCGTAGGATATGCGAGGGTCGAGCACTGTAAAGTGGTTAGTGTGGGCATGATGAGCCGGTAGAGCAACGTACAGCCTGCCCATGTATAGAGATACGACTCATCAACCTTCGTGTAGTATTCAGCGAGCTTAGCATGGGCCTCGACAAGCCCGTTCCGCAATCGTGATGGTGCCGCATTCGGCAGTTGTCGGAGTGCATCCTTGAGATGCAGCTGCAGCGTACGGAAAGTGCAGTGTACGCTGGAAAGCATGGGACGCGACGTCGTCGACATGTCGGTGGTGGCCTCCCGGAATGCCTTCAACCATCCCGTGACCATCTCGATCGCCTTCCAGTCACTCTCGGTGAGCTGGAGGTGGGAGAGCTCATGGAAGCGGTGGACGTAGGAATTGATTGCAGCCTTATAATGGAGCGCGCGACCTGAAAAATGTCAGCTAATTGCGCAAGGCTGCCTCGGAGTAAGGGGCTTACGGAGCATCTGATGAGTGGAAGACCAGCGAGTCTTGACATCGAGGATGAGCATCAGAATGCGGACGTCTTCAGATGGCGAGCTTGCGCGAACAAATCGGACTTCCGCGGGCCAGGCTTGACGGCGTTGTGGGCTGGAGCGGATGGCGCGAACGATTGCACGCAGCTAGAGGGTAATGTTCAGTCAAAGGTCAATAATAGTGATTTACAACGCACCTTGCCGACTGCTGTGGATACATCCTGCTCCGAGACTTGCTCATCATTGCCTTCCTCCTCCTCCTCGCTATCACCATCATCCTCGACTGCTTGAGCAGCGCCTCCAGGTGTCTTCTTGTTGCGGGAGGTGTTGGGCTTCGGGTCAAGGGGACTGGTGACGGAATCTTGGTAATTGACAGTCCGGCTCGATGCCTTGTCCGCCTCTGAGCGAGTTATGGCACCGATCGCTTCCAGTAGCTGCAAGATAATGAGCCTACGCAGTTTGTACGATGAGGCAGTACCGGCCTTGATGGCAGAAAGGTGGATGGTATGCGGCATGCACCGGAGGCGCGCCTGCGTGGCGGAGAAGCGTATGCCGTCGAGCATGCACAGCCTCTCAATCTCCTCGACCAGTGTATCATTGTTTGTCGCATTGTCCATGACGAAGGCGGAGATCTAGAAGGGATAAACATGGATACATAAAGAGGAGAAGACGACGCACCCTGCCTTTCAGTCCATATGTACCCAATGTTTCCCACACGGCATGCGCCATATTCTCCCCCGTGTGAGCACCAATCAGTTCATGGAAGTCAATGAGGAGCTCCTCTGTGCATGGTGAGCACCTTGTTAGACTGAATCGAGGCGAAGCGCACCTTGATGACCATCGTTTGTGACATAGTGGGCGATGATCGCGAGGAATGCGTACCCGTTGCTTGATGTCCATGCATCGAGGGAGATAGCAACCTGGCTCTCCAGAGCCTGGCGTCTGTATAAGCGGAGAAAAGATGTTGCAGTGAGCAACGTACCTCGAACATGTTCCGTATCTCGTCCTCCATTTTCGAGCCCATGTCCATTGCGCGTCGTTTGATTGTGAAGCGTCCCGGCATCGTGTATCCTGGCGGTGGCGTGTGGTTTTGCGCATAGGACATGAGGGCAATGAACTCGGGCTTCTCCACCTCGTCGAAGGGCTGATCGCAGGCCACGATCCACCGCGTCAACAACTCTTCGAACTCCTTCTCGTTCCATGGCTCCTTCGGGGGTGTAAGTATGGACATTCCCCATAACCAGCCCTTGCGACGCACCTGTCGCGCTGCCTGCTGCCGCTCAAACGCCTTCTTGATGCTCTGCTGGCGTTGATCGAGCTTCGCGCCATACTGGGCTGCGATCTCGTCCGTCATTGGTAACTTGCCCGACGCGAGGTCCCGTTCCTCTTCAGATATGCCTTCGTGCGGAGAGCGTTGCTTGATGTGCTCGTAGAGAAGGTAAAGGTTCGGCTCGCTCTTGAGTTGTGCAACGAGACCTGGGACCTGATGAGCTACGTTGACACGATGCAATAGAGGGGATGTACCGTTATTGTTGCCCTTCATCGCTTTTGTGATAGTGTGGACCTTGCGCTTGCCATGACAGAAGCGCCAGTGGGTTGAGCCTTCGCTTCCCCGCTGTCCGTGAGCATTGTACTCGACCTGTTCGAAGAATAGGTAGATGGGGTGGCGGCGCTAAGGAAGATGTCAGCAAATGCGACCAGGAAGGTGGTAGGAAGAAGAGAAAACTTACTCCGCGTGTACCGCCACTCCCGGTGGCGCCTTTCACCGCACTACCGCCACCGACCGGAGCAGGAGCGGGAGCGGGGACAGATGTGTTCGCTTTCGTCTTGCTTCGGCGCCTCTTCTTCTTGGTCCTCGCACCAGCATTGACCGCAGCCTTCCGCTTGCTTTTACTATCGGAAATCTTGGTCGGGAGGATCTCGGCGAGCTGAGAAAACAGTCAGTTCATGAACAAGCGATGGGGCGTGAAGCATGATTACCTCTTCATTATCAAGTATCTCGACATCACCGTCAGAATCCTCGGACTCAGTAATGTAATCAGCCTCCTCGTCAACAAAGTCCTCGTCTTCTTCGAGCTCAGATTCGACATCATCGCAGTGGATGGGGGCTGCCTTGCGCTGTCGCTTCTTCGGACGGGCATCTGAGCGACTAATGACTCCATCGGGTGACGCCGCGAGACTTTCGCCATCCTCGTCCTCATCCCGTTCCCTCCTACGACGTTGCGCTATAGGGCAAGCCTCAATGAAGTTTGGAGCTGACTTTCGGACCATAACTACGCACCTGGCTTGTCACGATCCTCCGATGGCTTGCCTGTACTCCCGATGTCGACGTCTGCGCTTGTCGAAGGAGAGCCTGTCGTGCTATCAGCACTTGAATGCAGAGGAGAGCTGTAAGAACTCACCAGGATCTCCGCCGATGCATAGGAAGCGAAGCTCAAGGTGCGCTCCAGCCCCTACTCCGATCTCAGCCATGGTCTCCCAAGAGCACAGGGGCAGGCGACGCCCGGGCTTGATGAGCACGGCCCGGCGGTAGGCCCAGCAGTCATCGGGAACGTGATGTCTCGCGATGAGCTGTTGTTTGAGCTGCCCGACAGTTGTCGTCGAGTCCACGACTGAAGGAGACGTGAGTAAACATGGTGGAACCGGGTGACTGATCACACACCGAAGGATGCTGTCCCGCCCTGTGTCCCACGCAAAAGGATTGAATAGGAATCCACCCGAATGAGCCTTCGAAGACGTCGTAGAGACATAAATGACCAGTGTGATCGATGCCGTCGAGGAGGACAAACGGCTGATGATATCCGGTGGTATGCAAAGAAATTGGGGAAAAGAAAAAGGATGGCAGAGAAAATGGCGACAAGGAGCTCAATGTAGAGTAGTACTATAGCAAAGGAAAGCTGAATGGTATTGATATGGGGGCCAAAAATGCGTTTTCCGAAAAGAGCGAGGGGCAAGGCCAGTCCTGCAAGTGGGACAAGGACGAGCAAGAGAGAGGATATAAACCACGCTCCCGAACGGCCGGCGATAGACGATTTGTGGGTGGGCGACATCATGCCGCGCGTGTATTCGGTAACTGAATGCATTCAGTTCATTGTCAGCGGCGAACATGCGCGAGTACTTCTGGATCTCACGAGAAGCGTTGGGATTCTTGATATCTGCCGCATACGCCGGGAGCGGCGGCAGGGGTGGCTGCACGACGCACTCCATGCCGAAAGAGTGTAGACACGGAGCCTTGAAGGAGAGATGGCGCGGACGAGAACGGAAGGATTATTTGCTCTCCCATTTGCTCAGGGATTGAGGCTCTTGACATACAGATGACAACGAATGAACACATTATTTTCAAAGGGCAAGGATCTGCACGTGCCCAAGTTCAACCGTGGGACGTGTCACGGCCGTGACGGCCGTGGGTCCGCGGTCTCTGACGGCAAATTCCGTGACCGTCCCCGTGCCGTCGACCTGTGGTCGACCTTCAGACTCAAGCGCTAGCGGCACGGACGACGTGGCCGTGCCACGGTGCCGTTGTGCCGTGACTACGGCCACGGTGCTCAGCCCTACCTCCCTCCCTATCCTCGCGATGCTCGCTATACAGGGCTGCTCGCGCAGCCCGAAGGAGCTTACGCTGAACGAGATAGCACAGGCGATCGAGCAGCATTTTGCTTGGTACGGCGACGGGAAAACGAACTGGAAGGTGCGTGTACAATTTCTGTAGCTCTGCCTGCATTCCTCACAAAATTGCAGGCCTCCATCCGCCACGCCCTCTCCCTGCACAAGATCTTCAGGCGCCGTTCGCGCCGCGATATCGAGGGCGGCGGACGCGGCGGATATTGGCACCTAGACTTCAGCGATGGCGAAGGTACGAAGCGCAGCCGCAAGCGCACCTCGCGTGCCCAGCGCTTTGCCAGGGACGACGATGATTTTGACCAAAGCACTGAGGAAGAGCCCGGCAGTTCCGAGTCGGTCGACGACGACGACACCGCGTCCACTGGCAGCAGTGGTAGGCACGCACCTTACCCTGCCGCCTCCTCTTCCTCCACCTCCTCCACCCGCGGCGGCCTCCCCGCCGCCCGCGGTCGCCGCCCCGATCGTCTCGGAGCCTCGCCGCTTCCTGCTGGCGCAGGGTCCCCAGGCACGAGCACCGCCAGCCCGCCCGAGATATTCATCCCCTACGCGCCCCGCCAGCCGCCTTTTGAGGCGGCGGGGCCGTCGCGGCTCCCCGCTGGTGGCATTTCGCGCGGAGGGCGCGCCAGCCCCGCTGGGCAGTACGGCCGTGGTGGCCTGCCGGGAGGCGCAGGCGAGCGTGATGCTCGCTTTGCGCCGGCCGGCTCCAGCACCGCGCGGGGCGCCCACATTCGGCCCCACGGGCCTGCCCACCGTGGTGGCCGCCCTGCGGGCGAGCCCGCGCAGGACCGGAAGGGCAAGGGGCGTGGCTAAATGGTTGCGATGCCGAGCCCTTTATTTGCTACCAGCTCGTGCGAGAGAACGGCCATTGCACCCTTGTTGCATTCTGAATTTTTGCTGTCCGATTCAGGACATCCGGCAGCGACTCTCGTTGACTTCCGTGTTCTTCATAGGTTGTTGTACCTTTTGACCGTGTCCACCGTGCTCCTTGCTTTCAACTCGGCTTTGTATAGCTCTTGTCATAAATACTCCGTAGCCCGGTGCTACTCGCTAAAAATCACTTTCTGTAGTCTTCACTATCCTTGTTGTTTGCAGTATCTAGTGTCGATATGCTCTTGTTTGTGCACTGCACTCGCTAAATATATTTTGTTTTCCCTGATCGTCATGTTATGGCGCTGTGCCACCTGCCTGATATCGTCTTCTTCCTCATCGTGTTTTCGTTACTATGCACTCATCGTTCCTTACGTTGGACGTACTTGCGCACAAGACAAGTATTGATGTCAGGTACGACCTCCCAGCTTCTCCCAATTTCTGAGGTCGGACAACGATAGCGCACAGGAGACATGGCAATGGCTGTTAGGCTTTCATGGGAATTTCAGCCATTGCTTCTCACGAAGGCACTTCTTCAAAAGGCGTTTACGCTCTCGATCAGCGTCTCTTTACAAAAGGAAGCTTCGTTCTTACTACGTCGCTTGTCCTTCTGTCCCGCAACTCCTGTATCGATGCCATGTCCTTCGTGCCTTCCACCTGCCCGTCGAGCGATACATGGTGGATCTGAAGGTAGTCTCTGTCCTTCTCAAAGTACCTTAGGTGGTCTTGATACCTTGACTGCCTTCCTCGCCAAGTTCTGCAAACAACAGTGATCGTGTAGGTGCGCATGGGTCCACAATGTTCAACAAGACGCGTAGCACGTGACTATTGATCGCGTCGCGGACTGTCGTAATTTCCGCTTCTGGACGACGCGTCGCTTGTCTCCAGCCCCCATTGTCCCTTGCAGCCACGATTGAAGCTACAGATGTCAGCTGCGAAACCCACGAAAGAGGAGGAAGATGCCTTCATGGCTGGCTTGATATCTGATCTAGACGAGTCCTTCTGGAGCGCGCAACCTTCACCGGACGCATCCCCAGTGAAGAGGAGGTCACCAGCAAAGCGCCGACGCGTCGAATCACCCGAGAAGGCTAGAGCTCTTCTTCTTAGCCCCCTTGCTAGCAGGGCCCCCATTACGCCGACTCGGAAGCGCCATGCGACTGCCACTGACTTTGATATGGGCGATTTCCTGGCCGGATGTGACGACTGGGATCTGGACAACGTGTCGGATATGCTTTCCCCCAAGAAAGTCAAAGCAGAAGGGCCAATTGTGGAGGTATGAGCCTGTGATGTACTGTAATTAGGGTAGCTGACATCGTCCAGCCTGCGTCGCGATTCCTGCGGGATCCATGTACACGATGTGTGGTAGAGTCCATAACGGATGACTTTGACTGTAAGGTACGCAATGCAGTCATCAGCCATGACTTTCTGCTTATTTCTCCCAGAGCTTAGTGGTCCGCGTCGATGGTACCGATGAACTACGCTCCGTACTACTGCGCGACCACTGGCGCTTCATGGACATTCGCTCAGGTAACCCACATCCAAGGCTACCTATCCCTCTCTAACGTATTTTAGGCGACATTTTGAACATCCTCGGTCAATTTGAGCTTCTTCCCGCCTCTTCCTCTCGCCTCACCTCCCAAATCATCATCACCTCTACACGCAACCTCCTCATCCACCACCCTGACATCCTCATGACCGCTACCGCAATCGCCAACGCGCCGCAGTGCCGCCGCAAGCCCCTTCTCTCGTCGCTCGTGCGCTCTTCATCAGACGTGACCCCCGCGCTGGTGTGGGGAAACATGCTGCACGAGGTCATGCAGTCATGTTTCCGAGCGTCACGGTGGGATGACAAGTGGTTCGAGGAGCGAATCGACGAGGTCGTGCACAATGGCCTGGGCGAGCTTGTCAAAATCGACGCGACAATCGAAACGGCCAAGGGCGAGCTGCACAAGCGCGCCGCAGGTCTGCGTGCCTTCTCCCAGCGTTACATCGCTGACATGCCCAAGGTAAAGCACCTTCGCTCGCCCTGCACAGTGTCTGATACTTCGACAGGACGAAGCAGAGCTCACCGATACGCGTGACAAGCAAGAGAAGAAGCTGCTCGCCATCGCCCGCATCTTCGACATCGAAGAGGATATTTGGTCGCCCACGTACGGCCTGAAGGGCAAGCTCGACGCTACCATAGACGCCGTCATCTCCGAACGCAAGACCTCCACCGATAAGGCCAACCTCAAACGCGGACCCAAGCCCTTCGAGATCAAGACCGGGCGCACGACCGCCGTCCTGGAGCATCGCGCGCAGACGATGCTGTACTGTCTCCTGGCGGCGGAGCGGTACGGTGTCGAGGTTCCCTCGGGCTTGCTGTACTATACGCAGCATGACGAGGTCGTCAACGTGCCCTCCAATCATCATGAGATTCGTGGGCTATTGTCGGCGCGGAACGAGATGGCGGCTTATATGATGCGACGTATGCGTGTTCCGAAGCGTCAGACGGCATGCGAGGAGGAGGCACCTGTCGAGGAGGCCTTCCTTCCGCCCACCATTGACGATGAGCGTGTTTGCAAGCGGTGCTATGCGCTGGATACTTGCATGTTGTACCGCAAGGTGAGCTTCATTCCTTTGTCCTTGGCTTCATCTGGTCTGATACGCTCTCAACCAGGCTGTAGAAAACGTCACCGACACCACATCACCGATCGCTGACACCTACGAGCTGAAGACCGGTCATCTCACCGCTACGCAAACTGAGTTCTTCAAGAAGTGGGAAGCACTCATTGCGCTGGAGGAGCAAGATCTCGTGCGCTTCCGAAAGGAGCTATGGACCATGGGCGCCGCAGAGCGCGAGAAGGCGGGTCGCTGCTTCAGCAACATGGTACTCGACGAGTCCTTCGTCGCCTCTGACGGGCCCTCCGTCTTCTCCAAGCACGACACCGCCGCCGCCAACAGGATTCACAGCTTCACCTACCGCTTCTCCCGCCTCGCAGACTCGTCCACCGGCTCCCTCCTGAACGGCCACATGTCCGTCGGCGACGCCATCACCGTCTCCATCGAGCCGCACCTCCTCGCCCTCGCGCGCGGCTTCATTCTCCACCTCACGCCGCACGAAGTCATCCTCGGCGTCGACCACGAGCTCGACTGCAGCATGCTGCGCACGCGGTTGACCCTCCTGAACGACTCCAACACCCTCATCGACCCCATCGTCTTCCGCATCGACCGCGACGAGCTATTTAGCGGCATGGGCCGCGTGCGCGATAATCTCGCGCAGCTGTTCTACGCCGAGGGCGATACTGCGCGCCTCCGCCTCGTCGTCGACCTGCAGCCGCCGCGCTTCATCGAGGGTTTCCACCTGCCGCCTGAGGTCGCGTCCTACTGCGTCAACCTCAACGCGAACCAGCAAGAGGCGCTGCAGCGCGTGCTGGCTGCGGAGGACTACGCCTTGTTGCTCGGCATGCCGGGCACGGGGAAGACGACCGTTATCGCAGCGCTCATTCGCGTGCTGGTCAGCATGGGGAAGAGCGTCCTGCTGACGTCGTACACGCATTCCGCGGTGGACACGATCCTGCGGAAACTGAAGGACGACTGTGACTTTGGGATCTTGCGGCTGGGCAATTTGGACAAGGTGGGCTCTCATTGCTGACGTGGTTGGATAATAGCTGACGGGTTCGAAGGTACACCCCGACGTCCGGGAGTTCACCTTGTCTGCGAAGCGTGCCCCGACGACGATAGAGCAGCTCGAATTTCAGCTGATGAATCCGCCGGTCGTGGCGACGACTTGCTTGTCCATCGACCAGTGAGCGATACTTCTGCGTATGATCGTGGTGTACGCTGACAGTTCTTTTCCAGTCCTGTGTTCAGTCGAAGGAAATTCGACTACTGTATTGTCGATGAGGCTTCTCAGATCACATTGCCTACTTGCCTCGGGCCCCTACGCTCTGCCGATAAGTTTGTTCTAGTCGGCGACCACTTCCAGTTGCCTCCCTTAGTGCGCTTTCCAGGCTCACATCGTCATGCACATAGCTAACCACTCACAGGTTCGTAGTGCACCTGCGCGCAAAGGCGGTCTGGAGATCTCCCTCTTCAGACGCCTATCGGACGCACACCCGGAAGCCGTCGTCGACCTCACATATCAGTACCGCATGAACAGCGACATCATGACGTTGTCTAACACCCTCATCTACTCGAACCGTCTACACTGTGGCAACGAGGAAGTCGCAAATCGATCCCTGGTTCTGCCGGATACCTCGTTCGTCGACGGCCTGCATGATAACGAGCAGAGCGCGCAGCAATGTTGGCTAAGAGCACTGGTTGCGGAAAGGTTCGTCTACAATGGAGTCCGCTATAATCTTGTCGGCTGATTTCCACTGCAGCTGTAAAGCCGTCTTCGTTGACACGGATGGCATTCCTGCGCACGATTCGCGCGTCGGCGACCTCGTGCAGAACGAGACAGAGGCGTCACTGGTCTATCAGCTCACTCAGACGCTCCTGCGCTCAGGCGTTCGCGAAGAACAGATCGGCATTCTCTCGCTCTATCGGCAGCAGATCAAGCTCCTCAGCCACCACCTGCAAGGGCACGATGGCATCGAGATTCTGACAGCCGACCGAAGCCAAGGTCGTGACAAGGACTGTATCATCATCTCGATGGTCCGCTCGAACGACGCCGAGCAGGTGCGCTGTTCTCCCTGTCTCTGTTTGATGATGCATGGCTCATCCTCACCTTCAGGTTGGCGACCTCGTCAAGGACTGGCGGCGCATGAACGTCTCCTTCACGCGCGCTCGAGCAAAGTTGGTCATCTTCGGCTCGCGCAAAACATTGCAAACGACACCCCTCCTCAAGGAGTTCTTCACCTTGATGGAAAGCAATGGATGGATTCTGCCGCTCGCGCCTGGCGCGGATACGGAGCATGCGCTGCTGCTGTTCAACGCAGTGGGCAAGTCGTCCGGAAAGCGGACGGCCGAAGATGCTACACCGCAGGAGCCAGACACTCCGACGAAGGAGAACGTCGCGGGCTCTCGCCCGATCAAGAAGATCAGGTTGCGAGCGGAGGAGGGTCTCTTGAAGGGCCGGCCTATCCTCCACGACCTCGTCAATGGCACATAGTATGGTATACTGCATCTGTCTGGATACAAGGCATGGACATCAGGATACGGACTCGGATTGTACACTACATCTCAATTCTTGTACGGCACATTCGGCCTCGAATATGCAAAGTTCCACAACCTCTCGATCTCCTCGTCGGTGCCCTCGTAACCTTGGACGACGTCGCCCCGCTCGCCCACGCTGCTGTAGCCCAGCGGGCTGCGGTAGACGCCGTACATCATGTACTCGCCGCACTGGTCCTCGGAGGTGGAGATGAGCCAGATGAGAGGCGTAAGGAGGTACCCAATGAGGCTGATAACCCAGGATTTTGATCGAGTGAAGAGTGGTGTGAACACCGCGCCCGGGTGTGAATGCGAGAATGCCACTTTGGGATGTCTTTTAGCGAAGCCCTGAAGTGATTGTCAATCCCAATCCACGAGTTCTGTTCATATCGTCGATGCTGACCTGCAACATCAAGTCCTGCATTGTGGGCATCTCCGATGGGAGTCGCCGAACCGCGTTCTTCGTGAAGTCCAGATCGTCCCAATCGACGGGGCCCCCCTTGCCCGCCCGCGCGACCGACATGACCTTTGCCTCCTCTCCAGCCTCCGCCGCCCTATCCAGTGCGGGACCCAGGTTCTCTATCCACCGGAAGCGCCCGAAGAACATCGGCGCGAAGAGCTTGCTGACGCCCTCCTCCGTTTTCTCGGCCGTGACCGTTGTGAACTCGCCGACTGTCAGGACGAGGTAGTTGATCTTGTCGACGTCGCGCTTGGCGAGCTGCTCGCATGCGGCATCGATATTGCGCATAAGGCTCGCCTCGCAGGGGATGAACTCGGAAAGCTGGTTGGCGGGGGCGGGGAAGGAGGCGATGAGCGCGTCCGCTGCGGCCTTGTTGCGCCCGATGATGATGAGGCGCGCGTTGCCCTTGTGGTGGCGGGCGAAGGCGCGGGCCATACCCCGGCCAATGCCAGAGGTGCCGCCGACGAAGACGCCAACAGGGATTTTCGCGGAGGAAGAGACGGAGTTGTTGTACTGCTGTACGGCCGAGAGCGAAGGCATGATTGCTTGTAGGTCGAAAGGGGTTTAGCTGTGAGACTTGAAAAGCACCGGGGTGGTATATATACAGGTAATTCTGTCTTCGGCACAGGTGACGTGTAGTGTTTCTCTCGGTTGGAACTAACCGAGGATGCGTGCGCGTTTGTCGCGCGTCGCGGGTGTTCAAGCCATAAACAGCCAGCTTGCGTGGGTCGCATAGGGTCCGTCCAGGGCATGCCAACCGTCGGCGAGGTCGTGTGAGCAACATCAAGCATCGCGAGAGATTCTACATCGAGCGGAGATAGGTGCCATCGGTAGTCGTACCGACGCATTTGAAGCGTGGATGCTGAGCTGCAGAGTTCGGCACAACAGAGTTTTGTTGACGAAAGAGATATCCAGCAAAAGAGAGGGAGAATTTTCGCTCCATGCTTGCTTCGAGTTCGTCAGTCGTGGGTCCGGGTCAAGGAAAGTGTGTGATCGCATTTCCTCCTCGGGCAAACAAACGATATCCAAGTTAGCCATAAAAGGTGATCCAGATCATTAATCATTTCCCGGGCGAGTCGGTTCTATCATCTAGCTCGCGATGAACGTCGTCCGAATGTCGCGCTCGACAAGGGGCAGGTCCTGCGACGCCGGCGTCTGCTGCGAGTGGCTGATGTAGCGTTTGGGCATGGTGGTGGAGGAGATGAAGAACGTTCGGGAAGAGAAGCAGAACGACCGCTCGGAGTGTTCAAGGTGAATTCAATCAACTTGATCCTATACAGTAGAACGGGGGCAGTGTGCAGCCGGCTAGTGGTGCCCAAAGGACTGGCGACGCATGAATGTCTCATTCACGCGCGCTCGAGCGAAGCTGGTCATCTTCGGCTCAGAATCGGCTCGCGCAAGACGTTGCAGACGACACCCCTCCTCAAGGAGTTCTTTACCTTGATGGAAGGCAAGGGATGGATTCTGCCGCTCGCGCCTGGCGCGGATACGGAGCATGCGCTACTCTTCAACGCAGCGGGCAAATCACCCGGAAAGCGAACAGCAGAGGATGCTACACCGCAGGAGCCGGACACTCCGACGAAGGAGAACATCGCCGGCTCTCGCCCTGTTAAGAAGATGAGGGTGCGAGCGGAGGAGGGTCTTTTGAAGGGCCGGCCTATTCTCCATGACCTCGTCAATGGCACATACTCTACTTATACCGGATTTATCTGGATATAGGTAATGGTCACCATGATACGGACTCGCATTGTACATTACATCTCAATTCTTGTACGGCACATTTGGCCTCGAATATGCATAGTTCCACAACTTCTCGACCTCCTCGTCGGTGCCCTCGTAACCTTGAACGACATCGCCCCGTTCGCCCACGCTGCTGAATCCCAGTGGGCTGCGGTAGACGCCGTACATCATGTACTCGCCGCTCTGGTCCTCGGAGATGGAGATGAGCCAGAAGAGAGGCGTCAGAAGGTACCCGAGGAGCCTGACGACCCAGGATTTTGACCGAGTGAAGAGTGGTGTGAACACTGCGCCTGGGTATGAATGCGAGAATGCCACTTTAGGATGTCTCTTCGCGAAGCCCTGAAGTGATTGTCAATCCCGATCCACGAGTTCTGTCCAGATCGTCGATGCTAACCTGCAACATCAAGTCCTGCATTGTGGGGACCTCCGATGGGAGTCGCCGAATCACGTTCTTTGTGAAGTCCAAATCATCCCAGTCGACGGGGCCCCCCTTGCCCGCCCGCGCGACCGACATGACCTTTGCCTCCTCTCCGGCCTCCGCCGCCCTATCCAGTGCGGGACCCAGGTTCTCTATCCACCGGAAGCGCCCGAAGAACATCGGCGCGAAGAGCTTGCTAACGCCCTCCTCCGTCTTCTCGCCCGTGACCGTGTTGAACTCGCCGACCGTCAGGACGAGGTAGTTGATCTTGTCAACGTCGCGCTTGGCGAGCTGCTCGCATGTGGCGTCGATATTGCGCATAAGGCTCGCCTCGCAGGGGATGAACTCGGAAAGCTGGTTGGCGGGGGCGGGGAGGGAGGCGATGAGCGCGTCCGCTGCGGCCTTGTTGCGCCCGATGATGATGAGGCGCGCGTTGCCCTTGTGGTGGCGGGCGAAGGCGCGGGCCATACCCCGGCCAATGCCAGAGGTGCCGCCGACGAAGACGCCAACAGGGGTTTTCGCGGAGGAAGAGACGGAGTTGTTGTACTGCTGTACGGCCGAGAGCGAAGGCATGATTGCTTGTAGGTCGTAAGGGGTCTGTGAGACTCTTGAAGAACACCGGGTCGGTATATATACGCAATTGAAGTCCCTCGCTGTTCCAGGCAATTCTGTCTTCGGCACAGGTGACGTGTAGTAATTCTCTCGGTTGTAGATAACCGAGGATGGGCTCAGCGTAAGCCGCGCGTCGCAGGGTAGACAGCCAGTTGCGTATGTCGCATAGAGTCCGTCCTGAGCATGTCAGCCGTCGGCGAGGTCGTATGAGCAACATCAAGCATTGTGCATCGAGCGAGGGTAGATGCCATCGGTAGCCGTACCGACACGTTTGAACCGTGTATGCTGAACTGCAGAGTTCGGCCTGACAGTGTTTTGTTGAGAAAAGGAATATTCAGAAATTGAGAAGGACAGCACTCGCGCAATGCTTGCTTCGAATTCGTCAGTCATAGTCCGGGTCAAGGCAAGTGTTTGATCGCGTTTCCTCCCAGGGCAAACAAACGATGTTCATGTTTGCCATAGAAGGCGGCGATCCAGATCATCAATTATTTCCCGGGCACGTCGGTTCTATCATCTATGTATCGTAAGTAGCTACTAGTGTACATTCCTATATTGCGAGGTGAGTATCGCCATCATGTCCACAAGGTCCCAAAGTGTATGTCGACTGTGAGTATCATCAAAGTGTATGTCAGCCGGGCATCCAACCCCAAATGGTTCCGTATCAAGTCAATTCAGTGCGGTCCTAAGTACTCAGCGTCCAACCGTCCAAGGCTTCCCTGCCGACCCCCCACCTCCCACCTCTCATAACATCAAATCATCATATCCAGGCATCCCCCAACACCCCTCCTTCGCCCCGCACCCTCTCAGAGCGGCCAACACTGCCGCCCACGCGCAGCACATACCCGCTAGCCCTTCGTACAGGCTATGTGGGCGATCGGGCACAAACATCTTCGCGAACACCTCCGGCGAGAGCACCAGGTGCGCGAGATGGACGGCCCGGTAGAGAGCTTTGCGTCCCTTCGCCTCCAGGTCGTCCAACTCCCCGATAATGGGCGTCGGGAGCGGCGAAGAGAGTAGGGACGGATGGTCGGCGAGGGTGGCAAGCGGCGTGGGGAGGGGAGTGTGCGTAGCGGCGGCGAAGGTGGCGGTGGGCGGCGTGGTAGGCGAAGTCCGTGGCGTTGGCGAGGCACTGCCGTCGCTGAGATCGCCGCTGTCGACGCGGGTGTGGCTAGCGTAGGCTGGGGTCTTGCCTTTCGTCCACGCAGGTGGAGGGTGGAGGTACAGCCTTGCGCAGGTCAAGAGCGCGAAGACAGAGCCCGCAACGCCGTGACATGCTCCCAAGCCCTTCCTCAGCAGCCCATGGCGATAGATCAGCGACGTCGCCTTGTCTATCGCATGCGTGAGCTCCGGCAGTATGTGATTGTACCGGCTCGCGGATGGATGGCGAAGAGAACGGCAGAGCAGCATCAAGATGCCTGGCGCGCCGTGACACCACTGGATGAGCTCGTTCTTGTCGAATGCGGCGTCGAGGTTGGGTGCTTTGGTCCGCCAGTTACCGTCTTTATCCTGCAGACGGAGCAACCAGGCGATGGTCGCCCACACGTCGGCGCAAGCGTCAGGCGAAAGGAGGTGCGGCGGGCACTGGAGAAGCATATGGAGAATGCCGGCTGTGGAGTCGAATGAGTGAATAGGCGAAGGGATAACACGGACACTCACCCACGCCGTGCGCGCCACCGAGATAGCGCTTCCCGCACCACGACCACATCAGGGGCGGCGCGGCGGCAGACGAGACCTCGGCCGCGTACGTCTTCGCGCCGTACCGCCCGTGCGCGAGGATGGAGTCCATGATCCGCTCGAGCGTGCTGTCCGCGGTGATCTGCGCATCGTGCACCGCGCGCGAGACCGGCGTCACCGACGCGTTCTCGAAGAGCAATCGGAGGCGAATCAGCGCGTAGAGCAGGCCTGCGCGCCCGTAGAGCACTTCGCAGCCGTCATCGTCCGCGATAGACGACTCCACGAGAACGTCATGGACGGCGCCGCGGATAAGGTCGAGCGCGGCGCGCCAGGGAAGGCTCTCGTCGTGGGCGTGCTCAACGATGAGGGTGGCGAGGCCGATGGGTGTCTCTAGGAAGGAACAGCGCGAGGGGGAGGTGGGTTTGGTCAAAGCGGTCGGGAAGAGCTTGAGTGCGGAGGCGAGATAGGCATCGTTGAAAGACAAGAGGTCCTCATGCGTGTGCCCGAGCTTGAGCTCTCGGGGCAGTGCGCGGAGGTGCATGTTCATGAGTATAGTACCTTGAGCGACTGCCGTCAACGACGTGCGAGGGATGGTGAGCATACGGATCCTGACCTGCGATACCAACGTACACTCCCGGGCTCTGCTTCACCTTCGGGTCCGGCGTATTCCTCAGGACCCGATCGACGCTCGCGATGAACGTCGTCCGAATGTCGCGCTCGACGAGGGGCAGGTCCTGCGACGCCGGCGTCTGCTGCGAGTGGCTGATGTAGCGTTTGGGCATGGTGGAGAAGGAGATGAAGAACGTTCGGGAAGAGAAGCAGAACGACCGCTCGGAGTGTTCATGGTGAATTCAATCAACTTGATCCTATACAGTAGAACGGGGGCAGTGTGCAGCCGGCCAGTGGTGCCCATGAGATCATCGGCACGGAGCTTTATCGACTTGTTTCTCGACTCGGAACGGCTGGAGCACTGCCATCGCCCGCAATGTCTCGGTGATCTGGCCCGTGGCGCGGTTTGCAATTTCTCCGCTACGTTGGCCACGTGGACAGTTATAATGGACTTCGAGTTCAAGCAGGGCCATCCTTGTGAGTTGAGTCGCTACATCGCGGCCCTCGCAGGACTTGACTGCAATTTGTGGAAAGCCAATCGAATGTGAGCCCGCGGAAGTGGCAGTAGTATCAGAGACCGTTGCCTATAGGAATGTCTATAAGTTGCTGTCATTCAGCGGGAGTATGAAGCGAAGTGTACGAGTAAACATCGACGGGGACCAGTGGATTTTACCAAGAGTGTTAGGAAGGATAGCTACAGAGGGTCTCATCACGCACCTTGCAATCCAAGTCGTCCAATGGGGGAAGAAGACAAGAGACGCGTAGTCCCAAAAGGGGAATAACAAGTCCGTGCACGCGATAGTCACGTGCCATGCGCCCTGTCGAACATCACGACTGGGGACCCTCGCGGGCCTAAGTTCGATACCATGTCAATGGCAGCCAGGCAAGACAAAGTGCCTCATCAAACGAGGGAAAGGGGATGCGAGCGCTATGCTTGTCCCAGAGGAAAAAAATTGGTTTTCGCAACTTCCCTGTAGGTTGTATCGACGTCGTTCGCTTCACAACCTCTTCCGGTGTCCTATCATTATCGAGATGGACTAACAGGCGTATAACCGAGTCGATGGCGAGCTTCACATTGGTTTGGCATAGCAAACGGCGGTACCATACAGCCGCCAAGGCACCCCATTTCGATCTCCCTTGCAGTCAGACTCGCAAGCTCAGCTCAGCACACTCATAATCATCTAGCAGGTCATCTACTGTACAAGGTCAAGGGCAACATATACATCCTCCATCCATCTACTATCCAAGATGATCGTCCAAAAACTGAAATTCGGCGCGATGCTACGGGGGACTATTCACGATGCTCAAGTGAGCATCGCACGACACGATGCTCTAAAGAGCAACGCTCGAGACGATGGCTACAGGGAACTACTCATAGATACTAAGCACTCGATGTGTAGGAGGCGGGACTAGGCTATGCGAGGAGAGAGGTAAGACGTGCGATATAGTCGAGAAAGAGATGTCGATAGTGTTGAGGTAAGATTTGGTCGAGGAAGACGGAGGAAGAGTATGAGTACAGGTAGTTTGGTTAGGATTGCTTGCATAAATAGGTCACTTTACACAGGTCGACGACACCTACGGCGCCAACCCCTGCCTCACATCCGCGGACCGGCCCCGCGCCTGCGGCTTCGCTGCCCGCCCCCGACGGTGCGAGCGCGAGATGACAGCGACGATCACCGAGATATCTGCACGGTGCGTGAGCATAACCACACTAACTGGTGCGAGCTGCGGCCACTCACCATCCCTCTTCCCCAGCCCACCCGCAAACGGCTTCCGCTGCTCCCTCGCCCGCCTCGAGAACGGCGTCTCCATCTCCTCTTTCTTCTCGCGCGTCTCCCCTTCAGCCCCAATCACATGCAGCCCCCGTCCACCTGCCCTCATCTCACTGACACGCCGCGCGCGCTGGCACAGCGCCTCGCTCAGCATGCCCGCGAGCGTCCGGCGGCGCAAATTGGAGGCATCGCGCGACGACGAAGAGTCGCGCGGAAGCGACCCCGAAGCATCAGAGCCCTGCGCAAAAGCCCGCCAGCGCGCGACCTCCTCCAGTACATCCTCGTCCCAAAGATTGTCGCTGAGCCCATCGCTGGCGAGGATCAGGATATCGTCCTCTTGCACGGGGACCTCGAAGACTTGTGCGGGAGTGGGCGGCGCATCGTTGTCCGAGCCCGGCTTGGTCGAGGGCGCAGGCGTCGCAGGCTGAGACGGATCGGTAGGAATAGCGACCAGCTCGGAGTGCTGAGGGCGAAGCTGGACGGGTGTATTGTACTGCAATGAAGAGTCAGCGACACGATGAGCAAAGCAGATTGGGATAACACCCACATTCCACCACATCTCCTCCGTCCGCCACACGATCTCGTCCTCGCGGATCAGCATACCCATACAGTCACCCACATGCGCAATCTTGACTGTCGCGACTGGCTCGCGACCCGCCACTGAGCGCAGGTGGGCATCTTCAGCGTCTTCATGCATCGACGTCCACGCAGGAAGGTGATCGAGAACAGACGTGCTCTGCCGCCTGTCGCGAGCCTCAGCGACATCGGCCGTCTTCGACAGCTCGCGCATGATCGAGGGCGATCGCACCCGGCTCGAATCGCGGGACGGTGCCGCAGATGGCGCCCGAGACGACCATCCTGTCGCAGATGGTGCGGAGGCTGACGGCGGCGCGGGCAACTGCTCCAGCACCGCGATAAGCGCCGTCGATGAGCCCGATAGCAGTGGTATTCGCTCCGGCTCCTTCGCTGGCTCCTCGCCCGCCTGCTCCGCCGACGCAGAAACACCTGCTTCCGGCCCCGCTGGCGCACCCGTCGCGGGCACCGTGACAACGTGCTCCCTCAGCGTGTTATCATATGCCCTCTGCAGGATCTGTAGCACATCCAGCGCATCCTCCAGCTCCTCGTCATACTCGGACCCCTCCGAATCCGAGAGCGCCTCGTTATCATCGCGCTCGGGATCCCGATATGAATCGTCCACGCGGATATCGGGGGCTGTAGCAGCATCCTGACGTGTCGTCGCTGACTCCGCCATTTCGCCGTTCACTTCGAAGCGGAGAGGCGAGGGTGTGTGCGCGTGCGTGTCCTTCCAGGGCCAGGAATATGGTGACGTCGCGCGTGAGAGCAGGGGAGTGGGTTTAGGATGTGACGGTTCCGGGGCGATGACTGAAGGTGAGCGCGAAGACTTGTCGGACACGTCCTCGTTGCGCCCGGCAAGTGTATGCGCAATTTCGTCGGAGCAGAAGTGCATCAAGCGGCGGGAGAATAAGGCACTCGGCGTTGGCGAGGACGGCGGTAGGGGTGGCAGGTCTAAATGATAGATGATCAGCGTGTAGCTCGCATGTATGTCACCCAAATATACGCGCACCTTTCACCCGAGCCCACCCGCCAACGCCGTCAGCAACTCCCATTGCGTTGTCGCGAAGAAAGTACGCGTCCTCGCCGACCTGGACTGACAAGTCGGTATACGGCTCCCCGCTGGGTCGGAGGTACCCATCGCGAGGACTGCTCGATCCACAGCGTCGTTTGGGCATGCCGTATGCGGCCAGATCGAAATGATACTTGTGACCCTTTCGCCTTCGTCTCCGTCCAGTTACGAACTCGGCCTCATCCGGGTGTCCGCCTTGTAATGAGCAGGACGTGGGGTCATAGGAGGCCGCATATGAGCTACTGAGCGAGTTCGCAGTCGGAAGTAGCGTATGCGTGCCGTGCTGATTGTGCGGTGACGTTAGAGCCAAGGAGTACGGCGCATGCTGGTGAGACGCCTGCGACGATTGCGTCGACTGTGACGACTGGCCGTGCGAAGAGTGCGAGGTCTGTGACTCGCCCTTCAGCCGGCTCGTCGAGATGCGCGGCGCCGGCGGAGGGGGTGAATCGAAGAAGGAGGAGCCGTTGGTGTAGGCGCCACCTCCGCCGGATCCGCCAGCGCCGTTGCTACTGCTGGGGGGATAAGGAGCGTAGTACCCCGGGGGAAAGCCAGAGGGATATGGGGTATGGCCCGCCGACGTGTAGAGCGAGTTTGAGCGGACCCGGGAGCGGGGGGTAAGGGCCGCGCTGTAGAGCTTTTGGAACGATCTCATGCCAGCGGGCACGGCTGGACGCGGGGCGCCGCCGCTCATCGTGGGGGGAGGGGACTATGGTGGCTTCAGGTCTTCTATTTCTTCGTCGGCGTCGAGCACGACGGCGGCCACGGCCCAATGGTGGGAGTTGGATTCAAGCAACGATCATAGCAAATCGGTATTTGCTTGCGCCGGTTTGTTCCGCCACTCCGCGCCGATGCCGAGCGGCAAGACCGGAGCCCCGCATTTTCGTCACTCTTCGTTCTCAGGCTCCGTCACTCATCCCGGTCTCTGGAAGGACTTCGCAGCAGCTGCTTGTGAGCTATATCTGCGCAGCGAAGCAGGGGAAGAGCAACGATACCCTCGCAGCGACTCACGACAGAAAACTCGATAGTCAACCAATATTCTGCTCTTCGCCAAGTTCAACGGGAGTATTCCTCGTCACTGATCGATACCCTCCTCGTCCTCCTCCTGTCATCTCCGCTCCTCCTCTACGACAAATCTCAGGACAGCGCTCAATGACTCACGTCTCTTCTGTAGTCACTTGCGGACTGAACTCAGAACCCCGTCTTCCTGCCATTGGCCTCCTTCGACGACCTGTGACTTCTGTCAGACACCCACGGTGTTGGCGACGTTCCTGCCAGGTGTAAGCCCGATCCCCCGATTGGCTCGTGTGACTGCCTCCTCTATATTGACTGTATACAGCGCCGAGGCATTTATGCAGTTGCAGTGGGCGCTAAAGAGAACCAGAGCGGTCTCGTCAGAGGTCTGGTACCCGTTTAGGGACTCGTGACAGTCGTCTACTCAATCTATCGTTTGGTTGGGATCACATCTTGTTTTTGCACCAACCACATCACATCGCGTACCTTCCTCTGCTGGCTCAGGTGTCTCGTCTATACCATATCTTTGCACCTTCAAAGCGCAATGGATCGACCTAGAGTACGCCGAATGTCAGCACCTGAATGCACAGAAACTTGCAATTGGTGGTGCCTTCTTCGCTGTCCCCTCTTCTCGTGTACGAATACCTGCTCTCAACAAGCTCGCTTCCGGCTCCTAGCGATGGACGTACACCTTCGTCAACAGTATTCCGCCAAATCCGATTGCGAACTCTATACCCTATCGATAACGCTGAAGGAGCCATCCAAGTTACGTCCACCTCAACTGCGGCGCTAAATGGCTCTCCGCTCAGCTAAACGGTTCTCCGCACACCACCCCGATGAAAGTCCTCATGTCCCTTCGCTCTTCCTCATCTCGTCCTTGTTCCGCGCGAGCTCGTCTTGTGCGGAGATCCGCTAGCTTTCCGAAGCTACGAACAGTCTACAGTGCGCTGCTGGTGTCGTATATACGCTGTTCACTCTGGCAATATCAATGGTTACTACGGCCTTGTGGTCAGATGCTGGCAGCGACTCTTATGAGTGTCGGATTCCCGCGCGTAGACGGTAGAGGGCCATTTATCCTCATCGACAGGTCAAATCTGGTCGACCTCACGGTAGTCCCGTATGATGTCCTCATACAAATTAAGGAAGTATGTTGGCCAATGAACTTGAAGAGAAAACCCGTCGCTCATGGTGATAAATGTCGCGGCAGCGCTGGCGTCAACGAGGGAGAGAGGGCGCAGTAGAATCAAACGCGAGCGCTCTAGGGGCTAGGCGAGTCCTACTGGTAAGTAGGGGCTCCGGTCAAACACACGCTTACTCCCCCCTAGAACAGCCATCGCGTTTTCACGATGCTCACCTCACGCCTGCTCGCCCAGCCCTTGGTGCAAGATGCGGAGGAGCGAAGAATAAAGAGGGAGACTGTGGTTATTGGGATGATTAGGTGATCAAGTGGCCGCCCGAGCGAGGATTCATAAGCCTGTCCATGCGTTTCCTCTTCACCTTCCGAGTCGGGCCTCGCTGCCTTGGTCGCTTTCTCTACCTTTCGAGTCGAGCGTAGTTGCGGATAGGTGTTTGAGGACGAGGGGGCTTGGGAGAGAGCGTGCAGGATACCCGAGATGTCGTGGGAGCCGTGGCCGAGATGAGAGAGGGCGAGGGGGAGAGGACATGACGCCAGCACCCACACGGCAGCGCCAAGATCCCCACGTACCTCTGGCTGCAATCGCGAATTACGGGCCACAGGATTGGGATGAGCGTGACTCTGTAGCCGGAGGAGTGAAGTGAGTTGGTTGTTGTTTCTTCTCTCTGCGTCGATCTTTCTACATCTCAGTTCCTGCTGGTGGGAGGGTGCGAGGGAGCGGAGAGATAAGAAGGCTGAAGGCGAACGAGAACAACAGAGGTCGCTGCACAAAAATTAATAAATGAATGGCTGGCGCTCAACCTTCCAATATTATGGCCTGGAGAAGTTGTTACGCGCGCGCGCTAGTGGTTGCTGAAGGAGACAGGTGATGAGGTCTTGCGCGAGATGGGGTATCGAGCCGCATCGCGAAAAGTAGGTCTCGTGCGTGCATTCGAGCTGGATCGACGAAGACCGCTAGTAAAACATATGCGCATGGCACATGGAATCCGGCTGCCCTCGCAGAACAACATCGCTTTCGGATGCGAGCGTCCAAGAAATTTGCCTGCAAGTGGTATATTCGCATGGAACACGTCCATCGTCACAGCCTTCCTACGCACATATCTGATAGACTTGTAAGCACGCAAAGGTAGCATGTTGCGCGCCTGAATATAATATGAAGTTCACAATCTTCTAGCTCCTTCATCCTCCCGTAGCAAGAACGCGGTGATTCGATGGTGCTCACCTCAGCAGACAATCAGAGCAATGTCAAAGTGACTGTGGAAAACGCCTTAACTTACCGCTGAATGGAATGGCTCGGAGAATGCTACAGAGGTCTTCAAACAAAGACTGGCTGACCCAGTCAAGTGCTTAGCTGGCTGCAGTGAGACGGAACAAAGAAGCGAGGTTGAAGGAGATACACAGCCCGCGTGGAAGTTGGTGGGGAACCCTTGATTGAAGTCCGCGAGGGAAAGCATGACCGAGCATCACATTCTGAATAATGGGTAGAGTGAGCTCGAGTAATAGTCTGGTAAGCATGACGGCCACTTCAAAGATCGCGACACGGAAGAACGGCTGTAGGATGTCAAAGGCAGAACTTCGCCACGGTCCAGTGTATATCAATATTTGAGGCTATTTGGTTGCGTAGCACGTGTCGAGCAAAAGTTGACTTTCCGGGAAGTATCGCGGCAGCCACATACGCCTGCATCAGTTCCAGGCTCGTCTGGGCACGTCCAACCCGTGTACCTTCCCCAAACGCCCCCTCTTCGCACCTTGTCCTATCTGGAGCTACGCAGGCAGACGCGAGCACGCGTAAGGACGTTGCCCGGACTAAATTTGCCGCCCCGACCTATGTTTGCGCGCGCATTCTATGTTTGCCTCGGCCTCGCGTCGGCAGCGGCTCATTGGAAAGGCAGTGCAACCGCCGACAAGCGCCGGAAGTTGGCGGGAATTCTGATGTTCAGCGGAGGCTTCGGAATCCCTGCGCGAATCATTCGTCTCGCATGACCAGCTCCAGCTATTCCCAGCACCTGCAAGCTACCCTTTAGCGCCGTTCAGCGCACGATGGTCATAACGCTAGACGCCCTTGAAAGCCTCTATACTGTCTTCTCGGGGAAAGAGACGCGAACCTTTTGTTCTTCATTTGGCTTCGCCAACTCACGCTCAGGGTTGGCGCAGAAGAAAGCGCCGTTACAATGTGACATGTGTGCGGAGCAGCGTGACGGCGGGGTGTTGCCAATTACGGCCAAACAGGCGGTTGCCGACCCTGACTGCTGTCGCCTTCTTCCACCGTCTCTCCCGCCCTCCCCGTTTTCTTGCGCCTCTCCCCCGCCGGCGGCGCCGTCTTCGACGAGCTTTTCATTGCGACCAGGTCCCTCGTTATATTCACATCTACTGTCTTATTTCCATCTTCACAACACCACACCCCATGCTACCCTCAATATCGCTGGCGGCCCTATGGCTGGCAGCCGCATCGCCCGCGCTCGCCGCCTCGGGCAAAGCAGGCACCATTGAAGAGGCCGGGGAGACCCAAGTCAGCGCTATGATGGTCAGTACACGAATCGACTGAGAAGTACGCGTTCACTAAATGAACGCCGCGCCACCAGATGTTCCTGGGCAACACCGAGAAAGTGTATATCCTAGACAAAGCGGAGGGTAACGCCGCGCAGGTGAACGGCCACCCAGCCTGGGGTGCAGTCTGGTGCGTGATCGGGTCCCTTTCCCTCGGGCGCTTCGGCTAACGCGCGCCCCGCCCCTCTCCTTCTAGGGACATTGCTGCGCGTACGGCAGAGGTGATGGATGTCAAAACGAACGTTTTCTGTGCGTCTGGAATGCACTTGCCCAACGGTTCGTTTGCGACGTTCGGCGGCAACGGTGCCGTCACCAAGGGCGGCGACGTCGGCTCGCAGCTCAACAACGAGGGGTCCGCCGCCTTCGACGACTTGTACCAGGACTACGATGGCGGTCGCGCGATTCGCGTGCTCAACCCCTGCACGTCCTCGGACAACTTCGACGATACCTCTTGCCAATGGTTCGACGACCCGGACGTGCTTGCCATGCAGAAGCGTCGATGGTATTCTGCCGCGGAGCCCCTCGGTGACGGTACTATCGTCTTGATAGGCGGCTTCACAAACGGAGGGTACATCAATCGCAACTGGCCAAACACAGATCCCGAGTTCGAAGGCGGTGCTGCGGATTGCACCTATGAATACTACCCGAATACGGCTGGAAAGGAACCGCAGACGATGGATTTCATGATCAAAACGTCTGGCCTGAATTCGTATGCGCATACCTATCTGATGGCGTCTGGCAAGATGCTTGTGCAGGCTAACTACTCGACCAGTGCGTTTTGATTGCTGCCCCTTACGATGCGGAGGGAATACTGATGTGCCCTTGCAGCTCTCTGGGATCATGAGAAGAACACCGAGACCGACCTCCCCGATATGCCAGGGCAGGTTGTGCGTGTCTACCCTGCTTCTGGTGCCGTTGCTATGCTTCCCATGACCCCGGACAACAACTACAGCCAGACCGTCCTGTTCTGCGGAGGCTCGGACATGCCGGACGAGAGCTGGGGTAACTACTCTTGGCCGTTCATCAATACCTGGGAGTATCCGGCGTCGAAGGACTGCCAGCGCTTGGAGCCGGAACCTCAGGATGGCTCTGACCCCCAATACGAGCAGGACGAGGATATGTTGGAAGGCCGCACGATGGGTCAGTTCATCATCCTGCCCACCGGCAAGCTCCTGGTCGTGAACGGCGGTGTCAACGGCACGGCTGGATACTCGACGATGACGGGTGAGACCCCGACTTACGCCCAGATGCCCTTCGGCATGTCCCTTGCCTCCGGCCCCGCTGGCACGCCCGCTATCTACGACCCCGATGCGCCCAAGGGCAGCCGCTGGTCGAACGCAGGCTTCCAGACCTCGAATATCGCTCGTTTGTACCACTCCTCGGCCATCCTCCTGCCTGATGGCTCCGTTATGATCGCCGGGTCCAACCCGAACGTCGACGTCAACCTCACCACCTACTACCCGACCGAGTACAGGGCCGAGTACTTCTACCCTGACTACTTCTCTGCCACGACGCGTCCCGAGCCCAGCGGTGTCCCGACCAGCCTGTCGTACGGCGGCGACTACTTCGACTTGAAGATCCCCGCCAGCTCGTACTCGGGCTCTGCGAACGATGCCGCGGACAACACGAAGGTCGCGCTCGTCCGCCCCGGATGGACCACGCACGCCATGAACATGGGCCAGCGCTACCTCCAGCTCAACAACACGTACACCGTTGAGGACGACGGCTCGATCACCCTGCACGTCTCGCAGCTCCCGCCAAACCCGAACCTCTTCCAGCCTGGCCCGACGCTGTTCTTCGTCGTCGTGAATGGCATTCCCAGCAACGGCACGATGGTCATCGTTGGCTCCGGCAAGATTGAGCAGCAGGCTACGGCCGACAACGCCGCGCTGCCCGACAAGAAGCGCCTCGACTCCGCGAGCGGCACCGCCGATGGCTCAACGACGGGCGACAGCAACAGCTCAAGCTCGAGCGGTGGCACGTCGACCGGCGCCATCGTGGGCGGTGTCATCGCTGGCATCGCCGTGTTGGGCATCCTCGGTGCGGTCATTGGCATCTGCGTCTCCCGCCGCCGCCGCGCAGCCGCGCGTCAGCCACCCCAGACGGGCTACCCGATGACGATGACGCCGAACGCGGGCGGCGCGCGCGGGGCCGCGATGCGCAACTCCGACTCGAGCGCGTTCATGCCGCTGCAGCACGACAACCAGAGCGCGGCGTGGACGGCGAGCCAGGACAATTTGGCCGGCCCGTACCGGGACCATAACGACTACTATGGCCGGGAGAGTGGGAACGGGATGAGCATGGACTTCGACCCGTACTCGAGCCAGGCGCGCTTGAGCACGAGCTCGCCGCGGCCGGGGCAGCAGCGGCAGGTGTACTAAGCGGCTGTCCGTGGTGCGCGCGCGATGCTCAGCAAGACCCGGAGCGCGGTGATGGTGCTGTCGACGGTAGGGATGGACTACATGTATTACCCACTGCAGGTGGCATACGGACCGGGGAGCTACTGGTACTTTCGGAATAATCCTTTCACGACCGCGCGCCGTGCATGGCGCCTGACGCTGGTATGTCGCTAGCGTTTGTGGCCGGTATGGCTCCGCTGTGTATATGCTGCCGCCTGCCTGCCGTGTATGCCCGCGCCGTGCATGGACGCGACCGAGAAGACTTCACACATTGTTTATATTTGCCCACTCACACCGACATACGGACTGTTCGCGACGAGTACGTACTTATGTTATTGTCACCCTTCCCCGATCCGCCAGCGTATCATAGCATATGCAGCCACACTGCACTACACGTTCGTTATATTGAGTAGAAGAGGTGCGCGAGCGGAGGGAGTTGTGAGGCGCTTGGTGTTGTTCCGCTGTGAGCTTCGTATCTTGTATGTATCCAGCCTCGCTACCTGATACTCGTTTTAATGCACCGAATACCCGTTCATCAATATACTTGGTGTGAGAGTGAGGGAAAAGAGAGATAGGGAAAGATGGGTGGGGGCACTGAAGAAAATGCAAGCGAGAAAGTGGGGGACCACATCGGTTATAGCGCCACGTGCAATCGCGGCCCCATCGTCGCAAACAATAGCAAATGTTGGCATGCATCGCGCCGCGTTCATCCGATAGATCGTAGCGGCCCTCCGCATCGTGAAGGTTTCGAGACACTCGTCCCATAACGGAACAATGCTCTCGACATCGGCCCTCCTCGACCTCCCTAACGAGCTTCTCATCCGCATCACCCAGGACCCCGACCTCACACCCAAGGATCTCCTCTCCCTGTGCGCCACTTCCAAGGACTTCCTCCGCCTCACCATCCCCACGTACCTTCAGCGGTACAACGTCCCGTGCGATGCTCGGTACGAGGCCCCTTGCGAGGCCTTCCCGACCATCGATATCTCCGGGCAGCGCATTGCGCCGATTCTGCATGGGCTGTCGCTCTCTCCCGCGCATCTGACGCCCTGCCACTGCCTGCGATGTGTTCTGAACATCGGGTATGCGGCTGTACGAGAGACGAGGGTGCTGGCGCGCGTCATTGCGCTGGTGGAGCAGGTGCGGGAGGTTGAGCTTGACCTCAATAATGTGACCTGTCCGCCGACGGCTGTGGACGAATGGGTTTCCTTGCTTGCGGGACTTCTGCACGACCTGGTCACGAATGGCAAGTGCGAAGTACTTAGCATCAGGCGGGGCGGGTATGTGCATACCAGCAATGCGGACAACGCACCTATGGACCGCTGGGATGCCAACATGGATTGCCTGGCTCAAATGATCAACAAAATGCGTATCGGTGACTCGGAGGGGTCGAAAAAAGCGGATAGTGGTGCGAAGGCCACCCATCGCTTGACCAACTTCACCATCTGCCACTCCCCCTTCCTTGCCCAGCCCTCTTTTGCGCCTTTTCTTCGCTCCGCATTCACGAGCCCAACCCTGACATCCATCACTATCCGCACCCTATCGCTCACGGATCCGCTCTGGGACGCCGTACTCGGGGACTTCCAGTCAAACACCCCCGGTCGACTTCACATGCCCGCTCTCCAGAACCTGACCCTCCGCAACTGCGTCGTCCGCTTCGCTGCGCTCAAGGATATCCTCGTCATGCATGCCTCCACACTGCGAAGCGTCGACCTGAGCCACACTGTGCACCCATATGGTGACTCTGCGACCATATATCGCGTCACGAATCTACCCGTTTCGTTCCCTCATCTGCACACTCTCAAGGGGATCTCTACCTCGCCGTCCGCGTTCCCCGAAGCCCTCCTCAGCGGCAAGTACCTAGCTCTCCCCTCCCTCACGCACCTGGAGCTTTGCGCGGACTTCGGGTATGGGGCGGGTCGTCAGCACGACGCGCCGGTGAATCGGGTGCTGGACGCTCTGGCGCGCGGAAGCGTGGGCCCAGCGCACCTGACACTCGCGCTGTCCGGGCGTGAAGGGGCCGTAGCATGGCTGCAAGCGGTAGCAACGCAGGCGCAAGGACCGCGCGCGCGGCGGCTGCCAATATGCGCGTTCGTTAAGCAACTGGACGTACAGTTGAAGGACTTCGTGGTCGGTCAACACGTCCTGCAGCGGGTGATGCCGCACTGGCTGGCGCTGTTCCCTGGGGTGGAGGAGCTGTTGGTCGGATGGGAGCAAAGAAGAGCTGATGTGGTAGGGGCTGAAGCAGCTGAAGAGACTGAAGAAGAAGTTGACGCGGGGAAGGTGGCGCAGGCAGTACGGGCAGCTGGAAGATGCTTGAGTCTGAAGCGTATCACGATCGGAGGGAGAACCGTAGGTATGTAGATATGGATCGGGGACTTGTTTGGGCATAATCTGGATAGTGATGGCTCGTAGAACCTGATAACACTGTGTTAAAGTTGATGAAGAGCCACCAACAAAACAGGAAATGTTGAAGTTCAACTTGAGCAGCCACGTGGAAAACCCCACGTGCGGGAGCGCGATCGCTCTTCAATTTCCGTCACTTGCTGCCCTCATCTACCCCTTCCCCTACTCGTCTGCTCTTCGTTCACTGCATCAATGGACGCCCTTATAGCAAAAGCAGAGGCCATAAAGCCCTCTCAAAGGAAGCGAAAGCTCCAAAATGACACAGGGGGCAAGCCCGCGAAGAAAGCCAAGGCCTCCGCCGATCCCACCTCCCAATCCATCGCCCGAAGCACCAAGCTCCCCAAATCCCTCGACCCCAGGTCTGAAGAACTACCTGCCGGGGTGAAGACGCACCAGCACATTGCAAACAAGAAGCTACGCGCGGAGCTCGATCGAACGGCGGCGAACAATGCACGATCGCGCGCACTGGCGGAGGACGCGGGGTTCTTGCTGACGGGGGAGGGCGGGCAGATCGAGGTGGAGGACGCGATGGAGAAGACGTGGAGGGTGGGGCAGAGCGAGATTGTAGAGGGGGCGGGGCAGGAGGCGGCGAAAGGGAGGAGGGAGATGAAGCTGGATGGGGGGCCGTATGTGTCGAGGTATACGAGGAACGGGAGGTGCGTGCATGGGTTGATGAGCATACTGCTATCTACTGATGACGCTCAGGCATCTTGCGATAGCGGGACGGACAGGCCATGTTGCGTCTTTCGACTGGCAGACGGGCCAATTGCACACGGAGCTGCAGTTGCGAGAGACATGTCGAGATATAACGTGCGTAATATGTTGTGGGGCCTGGGCGACGCTCACATCTACATAGCTACCTGCACGACCACTCGCACTTCGCCGTCGCGCAGAAGAAATACGTCTACATCTACGATCGCGACGGTGTCGAGTTGCACTGCCTGAAGTCGCACGTCGAGCCGACGCGATTAGAATTCCTCCCTTTCCACTGGTTACTTGCGTCTGTCGTGAGTTTTCACGCATATATGCGCCCTTTGCGCGTCTCACACTCATTAGGGCAATGCAGGGTACCTCAAGTACCAAGACACATCGACAGGCCAGCTGGTTGTCGAGCATCGCACGAAGCTTGGTGGCTGCCAGACCATGACGCAGAACCTGCACAATGCTGTGATTCATCTCGGCCACCAGAACGGCACCGTCACCCTCTGGACGCCCAACTTGCCCCACCCTGCCGTCCAGCTCCTCGCGCACCTTGGGCCTGTCGTGGGCTTGAGCGTCGATCCGAACCAAGGCGGCCGTTATATGGCGACCGCTGGGAAGGACGGCACTGTCAAAGTTTGGGACTGCCGCAACTGGAAGGGGGCGGTGCGAGAATGGGGCGCACGAGCCGGCGGCGGACCTGTCGAATGGAGTGCCAAGGGCTCCCTCGCCGTTGCATCCGGCGGCACTGTCAACGTTTACAACGCCCCCGCCATCTACACACCCCTCCACACCCGGGCACCCCCGCCGCTCTTCCTCACCCACCCCGTCCCTCACCGACCGCTCCTCTCCCTGCGCTTCGCGCCCTACCAGGATATCCTCACCATCGGGCACGCCGCGGGCCTCTCGAGCATCCTTGTTCCGGGCTCCGGCGAGCCCAACTTCGACAGCGCGGAGGCGGATCCGTTCGAGAACAAGAAGGCGCGCCGCGAGCGCGAGGTCAAGGGCCTGCTCGACAAGCTGCAGCCGGACATGATCACGCTGGATCCCGAGTTCGTGGGGTCATACGCGCCGGCGGGCAAAGGCGGCTCGGGGCCCACGCTCGACCACAGCGCGAGCTCGGTGCCGTTCGCGCGGCTGCCGCGCATGGAGCGATTGCGGCTGCAGGGGAAGGTGGACGAGACGGAGGTGCCGGGGAGCGACGAAGAGAGCGGCGGAGAGGAGGTGGACGAGGAGACACGGAAGCAGCGGCGGGAGGAGAAGGAGAAGAAGAAGATGCGCGGAAAGGGGAAGAGTCTGAAGCGGTGCGTCGTTGAGTTTTCGGTCTCGCTGAGTTCGCTGGGTCTGATGCAGCTCGCAGGTACTTGCGCAAGCATCGGAAGAACGTCATCGACCCGACTACGGTGAGTTGGATGTCGGATCGTCAGCCGCACTCAGTTTGCTTATATTTTGGCAGATCGCAGTGCGCGCGAAGTTGGAGCGGGAGCGCGCAGAGGAAAAGAAGGCTGCTGCCATCGCCCGTGGGGAGCTCGAGACCCAGAAGCCCTCCGCACTGGACCGCTTCAAGCGACCAGCGTAGACCTTCCTTTCCATCGGGGCTCAGGTGCGAGCTCGGTGTACCCAGTGTATCATGTCGTATATACCTTTCGAACCTTCTTGATTGGCCGCGCGTCACAAGTTCGGCCTATCTTTCCCTATGTGCGATGGCTGAACAATGCTGCCCCAGATGACTGCAGCTCTACACCTTTCGAAAACGTGTACGATGCACTGCGCCGAGAGCACGCGCGTCAGTACAAGGAGTGAGATTATCTACGAGATGCGCGTGCTCCCCCAAGTTTCGAAAAGCAAGGCGTGTGAACCGGATACGGCTGGGGGATATCCGATGGCCCGTGAGCGCATCGTCGGACGGCGGCTGAGCTGGCGGGCAGGCGAGGCGGGGGCATTGCGAGGAGCTCGGACAGGCTTATCATCAGCTTGCCTGCCTTCGGATGGAACTCAGATGAAGCATACGGCCAGCGGCCACCCTCGAAGCTGGTGAGTGTGGGTCCATAAGCGCTCGCGGGAGCTTATGTATTGGCTGCAGGTGCGATTTAGGCGCCCAAGGGCATCTATCATTCCACGCCTCTACGGCTAGCCTGGCCGCCGCGTCATCTGCGGGTTGGGCGTGTGATCCGGCGGCGAGAGACCCTGCGACCCTGAGACGTTCCTGTTGGGCATCGCCTTTGAGGACTCCATAAAGGGAGCGCGACGACAAAGGAACGGGGCCTCGTGTTGCCTCGTGCTGTGGCTGTGTAGGGTCGTCCAGGAGGATTAAAGGTGAATGGCAGATGGGAAAGTTGTGCCGCTGGTGACTGCTTTCGTCCATAGGTGCAACGCTGTGCGGAGGCGTTTCTTCGATGATGGATCGCTGGTCATGCTCGATGTTCTGCCGGCTGCGTTCGTAAGGACCTCCCGTCGTTTCCGGATGGGTAGGTAGATTTCCTGGAAAAGGATTTGCGATAGCCTCTCGATGCCCAGCTAGTTGGCGGGGCCCATTGACCAGCATGCATGATCTGCAGCAACCGGAAGCACCTCGTCCTCGCCTATGTTACTCGCGGTAGAGTCTATTCAATGGGCCATTATACTTTCTACTGATTTCCGCTCAACAGCCGATGTTTAACTTTTTCGGATGGGCGGTGCTGCCCCCGTACCCCGCCCTCCTCCCTTCTACGCGCGGCGGGGAATATCGCATCTTCCGTTCGCGCGGCGCAGTCGCACGAGCTCCTCGGAAATGAAGACCATCTAGGGGGGAACCCAGCGGTGGCGCCGGTGGGCCCACTGCGTACATATGCGCGCGAAGCGTTCGGGCCGTGACCGCTTCCTTGAAAGGGCAAGGAAGCTTGCCGAGGCTGATGCTTAACAGCTCTTCTCATTCGGTGCGGTTGTCTAGTGCGCCGCGAGAGCTGTGTATGGATGAGCGCATGCGCAGGCGGGCATGGGACCTTGTACAACAAGGAAACGAGGGGAACATGCGACTCCCGCCTGGTAGTGTATAGATGGACCCACACCATCAAATCGATTAACAGCAGAACCCGGAGGAACGAGGCTATACCGACGCCGCTAGGGTGGCGGGACACGTGTTGGGTGAGAAGGCACGCCCTTTCGTCGGTGAAGGAGGTATGACTCGAGCTCGCTCTCGGTCCCGGCTGAGCTGGAATGCCAGCTTTTGGCCTATACTATATTTTGAACGTCTTTTACAGGTCTACAACATAGACCGATGACTGCGCTGCACCTTGTCCGATCTCGCAATGAGTGTGGACAAGACGTACGGACAACATACAGGCCGGAGGATCGACTCGGGGTGTTGATGCGCAAAGTTTGTGACCTTGTTTCCCTATCCGGATGCTAACGTTTTCGTGACAATTCACGGAAGCATTTGGTGCGATATACCTCCGTAAATCGCGGGATCGCAGATTCATCGACCACGTTTATTCCCATGATACAGCACCTCGTCTCGCCGCGTTGCTCCCCCGAACGCGATTGCAGACAGAAGAGGGTAGTCAGGTCCCCGCTGATGGAATCTTAGGATACTAGGACGGGGCTTCCGCCTGTTCGGCACAGATCTCGGCCTGATGGCTGCACTGGACGTGCCCCTCAAAGACTCAGAGGGCACGCTCCGAACGCTTCGTCACACCGCCCATCTGCCCTCTATATAACGGGGCGCGCGCAGCATCTCATCTTCATCCGTCCCCTCTCCCATCTACGGGACGACCGACGCGACCACCCACTACTCCCCCGCTATCTCTTCGTATACTTGATCGACTGCGACATGGCTTCCAACGGAACTCGCTCGAAGGCCCCTTCCTCCAAGCGCAAAGGCGGCGCCAAGGGGGGAAAGGGCGCGCGGGGCAAGGCTTCGCGCTCTCGGCCGGCAGCAAGCCGGTCGAAGACCGGCTGCTATACTTGCAGGATACGTCGAAAGGTGCGTGCGCCACACTTCGTCTACCTGCCTCGTGGTGCTCACTCTTCGCAGAAGTGCGACGAGGACCGCGATGGCGACGGCTCTTGCTCGACGTGCAAACGCCTCAACATTCAATGCTTGGGCTTTGGCCGACGCCGCCCTGACTGCCTGAAGGTGGTTGTCAATCCACCTCCTCGTCCTCTGCTAACATATCTGGTGCTTCACTAGGACATCGTAGCCGAGTGTCTTCAGCGCATCAAGGACCACCTGGCTCGCTCGCCGTCCGGCAGGGCTGAGGATATGCTCATCCTCTGCTCTGAGTTGCTGCAGACCACCCCCGCCCCTGCAGGCCCCTCCTCCCCCGCCGGGCCCCTCTACACCCCTTCCACCGCTTCGACCGACCTGCATACCCCGAGCCCATGGGCTTTTACCGAAGCGCCTTTGGACGGCGCAGGTCCCAGCTTCACTATGTCCCCGTTCTCGCGGGACATGACCATCAAGGCGGAGGAGATGGGGACGGAGCCCGCCAGCAACATGGGGGCAACCTTCCACGATTGTGTGTCCCCTTCCTCCCGCCTGAGCCCATCTTACCTCTGACCTCAACCGGTAGACCCAGTCCATGGCGGGCTCGATTCGTGGATGCCCAAGGGGGAGCCAACGACCCCCATGTTATCCGCATCCCCCGCCGATCCATTGATCGACGCGCTGCAGGGCCTTGGGCCCAGCATGGAGAACCCTGACCTCCTGCAGGTCTCAGGTTCGGCACCCGAGGATGGGATGCTGTTTGCGTCCCAAGGCAATGCCCTCTCGCGCGGACCTTCGTTCGATCTTTCCTCGTGGCTCAACGACCTCTGAGGCGGCGAAGGTCGATTTTACTTTTATGCATCTTTTTTTCTCTGTTTTTCTTGTTATGTGTTCTCTTGCGTTATCTGTACTATACCTGCTTGCTGTCTCGTCTACATGGACCCTGCTATCCCCACCTGTCTCCATATCGTCGTGTACGCAATAGAACCGTGCGTTACAAAGGAACTTGTTTGCTGTGATGAGCGTCAAGCTCCCATCTTTCTTGGGCTGTCGGCAAGAACCTATCGTCCGACAACAGTTATGCAAACGTAAGAAAATTCCGACTGCTTCTGATCAAGTTCAGATATGAAGTGCATTCCCGATCTCACTCAGGGCAAAGGAGCTCATGCCATTTACTTGACGATAGAGTTTACGCCGCGGGCTGCGCAGGACAGTCAGTCTGAGTTATCCGCCAGCGGGGCATAACGCACCAGAAAGATATTCCTTCGCGGTACTGGGGGTCTGTGAAGAGAGCATGCCATTAGCTGACCAGCACGACGTTCACTATACGGAGAGCACTTACCAAACCCTTGATCATCTGGTAAACAGCCTTGTCGTGGTATCGGAGGCCGGTCGCAGGGTCCGTATACGGCGCCTGCCATTGTTAGTCCCTGCCCATAAAGAGACTGAAGCGGGAGTCGGACCCACCTCAAGACCCGTAATGTCACAATAGTGGCCCTGCGGGAGAACGGACGGTGGGGCCTCGATAGAAGCATCTGGCGATGAGTCAGAGGGTGCAATGCAGCAGGAGAAGGGAGAGAGGCCCCACAGGTGGGAATGTCCTCAGCTAAGGCGGGGGATGCGCCGTCGACGTCCATCTTCTCTGCGCGCAGGCGCTCGAGCTCCACCTTGTCCCGCTCCCGCTCCTGGTTGAGGATGGCCTTGATGTTCTTCGTGCGCCGGTTTGAGTTCTTGGTGTACTTGGGGTTCTTGAACGGTTTTGGGTAGTGCAGGAAGGAGAGGCGTTCGCCGAGACTCTGCGTGGTGATGGGTGAGCGGGAGAAGCTGCACCTTGAAGATGCTTCTAGACGGTGTTCCTTACCGGCCCCCCATCGTCCTCTTGAACCTGTGCTTTGCGTCTATACCCTTTGGGAGGCCTGATATCTTTAGACGTACGGTCCTTTTGTGGCACGGCATACTCACATGGTGGTTCGGATGCAAGACGGTTGAGGGCGAAGTTCAACTTCGCATCATTTGGTCCGCGCGCGGCGCCGCACGTGCTGGAATACACGTGGCGCTCGGTGAGCCCGAGCTCGCCGCCATCGTCCGCGACGGTCACAACGCTTGTGCCCTCGAGGGCATTCCTCCAAAATGCTGAACAGCCCAACGATGTCGAGCTGGATGCGCACGTCTCCCATCGAGATCCTCATCACGCGCGCCTGCGATCCCTCATTACCCGAGCCCAATTACGCGCTGCATCTCGAGGTCGCCGAGTATATCAACCAGAAGAAGGCGAACAAGTGAGTATCGGGTATTCTAGGCGACTGTAGCGGATAGCTGACGAGGGTAAATAGCCCCCGCGAGGCTGCGATGCTCATCGCACGCCTCGCAAACCATAGGAATCCTCACATCGCAATCCTCGCACTCGCCCTCCTTGACACGCTCGTCCAAAGCTGCGGCTATCCCTTCCATCTGCAAATATCTACCAAGGAATTCCTCAATGAGCTTGTGCGTCGCTTTCCCGAGCGACCGCCGCCTTTCCCGGGCCCAGTCATGTCCCGCATCCTCGACCTCATCCAGGGCTGGAAGGAGGGCATCTGCTCCGAGTCGCGCTGGAAGGATGATCTGGGCAACATCCGGGACATGCACCGCCTGCTCACCTTCAAGGGGTATCGATTCCGGGACACAGGACGCCAGCCGTCCCTCGCGAGCGCGTCGGTGAGTGCGCGGCGGGTGCGTTAGGGCGGGCGGTGCTGATGCGTTTGCTCACCGCAGAACATCAAGTCGGCGGAGGAACTTGAAGAGGAGGATCGGGAGGCACAGTCGGCGAAGCTGCAGGAGCTCATCCGGCGGGGCACGCCGCGCGACCTTGCAGCTGCACAGGAGATCATGAAGGCCCTCGCGGGCGCAAACCCGGACGCTAAGCCGGACTATCGCGCGCAGGCACTCACGGACATCAACAAGCTCGAGCAGAAGGTGATCTTGCTAAACGAGATGCTGGACAACGCGGATGTCGAGCACGGCGAGCGGTTCGTGGGGGGCGATGTGTATGAGGTGCGTACGTGATCAGCGGTGCGAGGGGGTGAGCTAATGTCTACTGCAGCAAGTGGCTACCATCCTGCAGAATGCGCGGCCCAAGATCCAGAAGCTGATCAACGAGGCAGAAACGGAGGATTCGGAGTCATTAGGTTCGTTTTGTGTGTCCACATCGCGTACTTCCCGTGTCCATCATTGTCTTGTGCTTCTCCCATCCTTGCGACGTACTCCCTCGCTCACCCCGCGTCATTGCCACTTCATCCATTCCTTCGTATTGCTCGGCTTTGCCATGTTGCTGACACTTAGCCCAGACACTTACCTCCAGATCAACGACCAAATCAACTCCGTACTCAATCGATACGAAGCCTACAAGCGCGGAGACTACGAGGCCGCAAAGAACCCCGTCCCAGCCGAGCTCGCAGGCAGCTCTCAGTCCAACGGCGGCGCAAATAACGGCATCTCCCTTATCGACTTCGACGACTCCGCCCCCGCCCCCTCAGGAGGCACCAGCAATGCCGACGACCTCATGAGCCTCTTCGGCGCGCCAAGCCCTGCTACTGCGACCACCACCACTACACCAGCCACCGCGTACGCGAACCAGACGCAGACCGCGCAGCCGCAGCCGCAGGTCGCGAACAACGGCAAGGGGTACGGCATGGCGATGCTCATGGGCAGCGGCGTCGCTGGGGGTCCGCCGTCATCGACGACGCCTCCCGCGGCAATACGGCTGCCGACAAGCCCGAGGCAGAACAGCGGTCCGTCGCATACGCAGAGCACGCCCGGGTCGAGGACGCAGTCGCCGGTCGTCTTGCCAGGCGCCAGGCAATCACCGGCGCTCGGTGGCGGGGCACAACATGCGCAATCACCCCTCGCGGGCGGCGCGCCGTCGCCATACTTCCCGCAGCACACCCCTGGATTTGGGCAACAGGGCCCTGCATACGGCCAGCAGTGGGGACAGCAGTCACCGTCCGCGTTCGTGCAGCAGCCGCAGTTCGGCCAACAGCCACAATTCCAGCCGGGCACCTTCGGGCAACCGCCAGCTTTCGCCCAACAGCCGCCGGCGTATGGACAGCAGCAGACGCAATCACCCTTCGCGCAAGGATCACCCATGCCTGGTACCCCGTCTGCTGCACCAGCGCCTGCAGCTGCGCCCCAGCAACCTCAGCAGAAGGACCCGTTCGCGGATTTGGCGGGATTGTTTTAGTGTGGAAGTGCTTTTGTTTGTATATATATTGCTCTCGCTCAGATAATGTTCATGGAATGCGCTGGCTGTTTCGTAGACTTCAGCATGGGGTGATGGTCGTATGGGGGGAGGGGGAGGAGGGCACTGGGACAGAGGGTGGTGTTGTTGTTCACTCCGAGCCCTAACAAAACTATCAAGCCTAGTAGTCGTGACTAGCTGGTACTTTTCAGGTTTGGGGGGCTGTCTTGTATGCGATAAATGGTCAGGCCAGAGTGTATAGTCATGTTGGTCTATTGGAGTGCTGTGGGCGAGAACATGTACACCGTGCACGTGGAATCTCGATCGGCGATCGCCCATCAAGCAATTGTTGGATCGCGCTGCCTCCGTCTACGCGATCTCCCTCACGGTCGTCCGACCAACTACCATTCCCCATCCTGCAGAACACGATACAACACTTGAAGATGGGCGCCTCAGAGAACAAGAAGCGCGCAGCGGCCTCGCAGGGCGGCCCTGCGTCGAAGAAGGTGCACTTGGACAAGGACTCGCGCAAGTCGAAGGACTTCAAGGGCAAGAGCGCGCTGAAGGGGAAGGACATACAGAAGAAGGACCATAATAAGGGCAAGGTCTCTGCATCCACCCCGAAGAAGACACAAAAGCAGAAGGAGGCTGAGGCTCCCGCGGCGAAGCGGAGAAAACCTGTGACGGCGACTAGCGAGCCGTCCGACGAATCGGAGGACGACGAGGATCTCGCAAGCGAGGGGGAGGATGCGGAGGAGGATGTTGATATGGAAGGGGACGAGGGTGCTGAGGATGAGGCTATGGAAGGAGTCGTAGAAGCTGATGGCTCTGCGCCCAATCCCAAGGACCCGGAGGGTGAGTCTTATCCCCTCCTCCCCTCGACAATATGCTTATCTCCCCCAAGCCGTTCGCGAAGCGCGCAAAGCCCAAAAAGCCGTCACCGCGCAGCGCAAGGCCTCCAAGCCGCACGCCTCGCTCATCGCGCAGGCAAAGGCCGTGTGGGCGCAGGCCCGGCGCAAGAACATCACGCCCAAGGAGCGCCAGCAGGCGATCCGCGAGCTCATGGACGTGATCCGCGGCCATGTGAAGGAGCTGGCGAATAAGCACGACGCGAGCCGGATCGTGCAGACGGCGGTGAAGTACGGGAGCGCGGCGGATCGGGACACGATTGCGGGGGAGCTGATGGGGAGCTACAAGGAGCTGGCGCAGAACAAGTACTCGAGGGTGAGTGGGGTGGCTGGGCATATGTGGAGGGGGAGACTGATGGCGATGTCTTGTTCAGTTCCTTGTCACGAAGCTCGTTCGCCTGTGCCCCAAGCGCCGCGCCGCAATCTTGCGCGAGTTCCAGGGACACGTACTGCGCCTGCTCCTTCATCGCGAAGCGAGCGTCGTGCTTGCCGACGCATTTGAGCTCTACGCAAACGCGGCTGAGCGCGCGATTCTCCTCTGTGACTTCTACGGTAAGGAGGCTGCGCTGTTTGACGTTGCGGCGGACGCGGATACGGCAAAGGAGGGCCTGTCGGGTGTGCTTAAGGGCGCAGAGGATGCGAAGCGGACGAGGATTCTGACCGCGGTGCGGGAGAACTTGGAGGCAATGTGAGTTTCGCTCGTGTATGCGGCGCCGTGCTCATCGCTGACATCGTCCTTCTCAGCTTCAACAACCCCGACAAGGGCGCGCTTACGCACGCAATCGTCCACCGCGCGCTCTGGGAGTATGTCGCGGCGGTGATCGCCCACCCGGACCGCGCGCTCAGCGAGAAGCTCTATCGGGAGGCTTTTGACATGTGCCAGGACACGCTCGCGGAGATGGTGCACACGAAGGACGGCTCGCGCGTCGCGCGCGAGTTCCTGGCGCGGGGCTCGGCGAAGGACCGCAAGCAGATCATCAAGCACTTGAGCAAACATGTCATTCCAATGTGCACAGACGAGGACGCGCAGCTGGTGCTCTTCACAGCGGTGGACGTGGTGGAGTGAGCACTTTGACTCTTTGAACTATAAGTCATAGCTAACCGTCCTCTAGTGACACAAAACTGCTCGCAAAATCCCTCATCGCACCTATTACGGCCGACGCGAGCACGCTGTCTACGTCGACCGCGGGCCGCCGCGCGCTGCTGTACCTCCTTGTCCCGCGGTCGCGGAGGCATTTTACTCCCGCGCAGATCAGTACGTTGGCAGAGACGGATGGAGTGCGCGATGGGACTGGCGAACAGGAGGGCACGAGCAAAAAAGCAGTGGAGGTGCGGCAAACGGAGGTAAGGCAGACGGCGAGCCAGGGCCTACTGGACTGGGTGAAGGAGAACGGGGAGGAGGCGATCAGGGAGACGGGCCAGTGTGTGCTGGTAGGGGAGATCGTGTTGGAGGCGGAGGGAGGTGAGTGTGATGTGCTTCCCGGAGACTGGCAATGCCATTTGCTAACACATGGTCTCCTCTGCAGACAAATCCGCCGCCACAACGACCCTGCTACGCGCAGTCAGCGCACCATATCCCGCTGCCGAGGACGCCCCGCCACATGTCATCGACCTCCCGCACGCGGCGCGATTGTACAAGACGCTGCTGCAGGGCGGGCACTTCAACCACGGCAAGGGCGCCGTCGAGCCCGCGCCGCGATGGGACGCGAAGGAGTTCGCCGTGCGGTTTATGGAGGCGATCGCGCCTAGTGAAGAAACGTCGGACGATGCCGATGCGCCGTGTCCTGCAATCGCGATGTGCACGCGCGGTGCGCGCGGGGGCGCGTTCGTGATCGCGGAGCTGCTGGGTGCGCTGCCGGAGGATAAGCGCAAGGAGGTCGCGGGATGGTTTACGAAGGCGGTGCGGAAGGAGATTGAGGCGGGCGAGGGGAAGGGGAAGGGTCTGCTGTTAGAGAGGTTGGGGAAGTAGAGCGAGAGGGATGGGTTGTTTGTTTGTAATTTCACCGTCACATTTCCAGAACCTGATTTGACGTGCGAGCTTATTCGCTCATCAAGTCAAGCTCGGAATTGACTTGAGCATACTGCGTCTGTAGGTCTGAGGTCGCTTTGCGAGAAAAGAATCAGTAAGTACGACGGTTTCAGCGCACGTGGATTGTTTGGAAGACGGTATGGCAAGCGAAAGCCCGACTGAGTAGAGCACACGGTAGCATAAGCCAATCACAAGTGAAAGTAGAGAGACGAGGAGGGCTATCGGCGTGGTTCGCGGAAAACCATTCAGCTGAGCGGAGAGCCGTTGTTAACGCTGCCGGACGATGAGCTCAGAGCTGAGATTCGTGTCTCCATACTATTTGCGTTGGGCATGCCGTCTCTGTGCATACCTGTATGTGCGTGTGTGGCCAGATCGCCTATGCACTTAGGGATGTAGACTACAACGTCGTGTGCGTATCTTGCACTCATAGATCCTTGTAGTCATGCACTCCGCATATTTCGCGTAGCTGTGTCGGAATTGCAGAGTAAGACCCTTCGGGCCTTGTGCGCTGAGAGCGGGCACCGTTGGGATCCTTTGCTACTGCCTTTACGCCGCCCCACCCACAACCTCCTCTTCCATCTCCTCCAGTAGCCGCTCCTCGTGGTCCGCCGCCAGCGCGCGTATGAGCGTCTCGAGGCCATGCCCCTGAAGTTTCAACATCAGCTTTGTCCTTGCTTCTCCTCTCTCCTCTTTTCTCTCTCCCCCGGGCCCCTGCCTCTCCTTCCGTCGCCTGTCCCATCTCAACGCCGGCAAGGAGTGCATCGCCCTTCGCAAAGAAAGAAAGAGAGAGAAGATGACCAAACAAAGAGACCCTCGCCTCACTCACCTCCATCACCGGCTCCAGATTCACGCTCATCCCTATCCTGTGATCCGTAATCCGCGACTGCGGCCAGTTGTACGTGCGAATCTTGTCGCTCCTGGGTGGGTGTTAGCGTTTGTGATATCTCTTCCTCATCCTATATCATCCTCCAACCCCTCATGCATTTCCTCTTCGAAGCTTCCCGATCACCCCATCACGAACGCGCTCGTCCCGTCGAACAAGAGCGCCTGGCAGGGAAAGCACGACTCAAGGCACCCACTCGACGGAAGCCAACATAAGAAGCGCCGAGGCACAATCGATACACAAACCCTCCCCACTTACCTATCTACCCCACTGACGAGACTATTCCTCCTCTTCCGCCTATCCTCCGCCTCCTGCACCAAGCGCTGTGCGAGCAGGCGCGAAGTGAGCACCGTGAAGGCGCGGCGGCGGTTCTGGCGAAAATGATTGTCAGCCCCTGTATTTGCGCGATGGCAGCTGGGCCGCGTCGCGCATGGAGGTCGGTTGCGTCGCGCTTGGAGGTCGAACGCGTCGCGCTCGGAGGTCGACCGCCCGTGCTCGTGGCTCGGCTTCCGACGCGCACTCAACCCTTGAAGGTCGAGCAACCCGACGAACATTGGATAGATCACACCAAAAAAACACTCACCACATGCTGACTCCGCTCATCCTGCATCGCGACCACAATGCCCGTCGGTATGTGCGTCAGCCGCACCGCGGACTCGGTCTTGTTGACGTGCTGGGGGAGGGAAGTGTTAGCTTTGGTTCCAAATTTTCTCGTGTTCAGGAGCAGAACTCTCGCTTACCTGCCCGCCAGCACCCCTCGCCCTCATGACCTCGATCCGAACGTCCTCCATCTTAAAGAGAGGGGTGGTTGTGGGGGCTGCATGAGGGCGGCGTCAGCGTGTCATCAGCAATTACAGTCACAGGAATCAAATTGGGTACGAAGGACGACAAGATGAAGGCAGCGACCACTCACCACTACCCTCCTCCACGAGCGGGAGAACCAGGACGGACGCGGTGGACTGGGTTCTGCGTGAGCTTCACATTGCTCGTCGTTGGCGTCTCCCATATCAATACAACCCTCCCGTAGGAAATAGACACGTGAACGCACCACTTGGTGCACAGGCTACAGGGAGACGAACTACCCGCGGGACACAAAGACAGATTAATTGACTCACCGTATGCACCCTTCCACTGCTCTCAGTCGCCGGTATTCGCTGCACGCGGTGCGCGCCGGATTCAAAGCTGAGGGATGGCGTCAGTATGGAGGGTGCGAGGGGAGTTGGTAAAAACGAATGTAGGCGGCGAAAGCAGGACAAGGAGAAGGAGTAATGAAGAGAGAGAAGGAAAGATAGACTACTCACCGCAAACTCTCATACACGCCCATCTCGCCCTCCTCAGCTGTCGGGATTCGTCAGCAAGAATATACTTCCTTCTCGCCCGATGCGTCGAATGCCCGCCAGCAGCGCTGTCGGTTTACACCCATCACTGATCCCCTCTCCAAGATGGAAGCAGCCGATCAAGGTCACAGAGCAATTCGCCACTTCTTTCTCGGTATACTGGCCTCCCCCGCCCCAAAAAGGTTCGCAAGGCGAGGCCAACAGACAGACCGACGGATGACCGCAGAGCAAGATCTACGGGAACAAGCAGAGAATCCTTCCACTCACCCCGCCCCTTCCCCTTGCGCACCTCCATGAGCACCTCACGCAGGCCGCCGCTCTCAGTCTCTGACCGGTTCACGGGCGTGAGCTGCCAACCGTGCTCGGCGGCGTATCTGGAGGTTAGGTGTGGTCAGTTGAATGCGAGGGAGGAGGAAATGAATCGCGAGCAGCCCGCGAGTGATGCGAAGAGAGGTATAAGGGACGCGAGAATCAAGTGCATGGACCTCCCACTCACCTTGTATACATCCTCTCCAAATCCACACAGAACAGCGCGCCCTCCGCGCCCCCCACCCCCGGCTTCAACTCAAGCAACGCCCCCAACGCCGCCGGATCCCCCGCCGTTCCGCTCTCCTGCGCCTTCGCCAGCTCGACGATCTGATTTCGCAAGTCCACGGAGAGAGTATGGTGCATCGTGCCTAGCAGACCTTCGAGCTCATCTGCCGCCAAGGAAGACATGTCCTCATCGGGTTCGGATAGTAAAGGAACTGTAGACAAGTACGACTCGCGCAGGGATGTGTAGTGCGCGAATGTGCCGGGGAGGGGGGAGTGTTTTGGGAGGGCATAGGGCTGGGAGGGGGGGTTTGGACGAAGAGGAGGAGGGTGTGTGCGAGGGCGAGGATCTGGCGAGCTAACTGTTAGTTATCCGGCTTAGCTCAGCATGATCATAGAACTTACGAATCATGCGAGGATGAGTCTGCGCGCGTACACACTGCCCGTGCAATGTTGAGCACCCGCGCGTGCTGGGATTCTAGTTCTTGGAGGGCTTCGCGCGCGATGGTGACCGGCTCGGACGCAGACGACTTGCTGGCGTAGGTGCGAGCCCATTGAGGTCCTCGCACTAGATGTCTTCGGCAGGAGAGTGTATACCGACATGCTGGCCGTGCGAGGAAATGCGTAGGATGAACCGAGCCAGTGTGCTTCGTGGTGGCGCGGGTGATGTACGTCCGGGGAAGAGGTACAGACGCGCGAGTTCGCGGCGCACACGCTCCTCGCGCAATCCTAGACGGGCCAGCTACGCGTACAGGACAAAGCATAGCGCGAAGGGGAGAGGAATATGCGGACTGTTTGCGCTAGGCCTGGGGCGAGGATGGCGTCGACGCGAGGGGCGCACTGAAGAGCCGAAGAAAAAAACGGAGCAGAGAGTCCCCGCTACTCCTGCTGCTGCTGAAGCGCTGAGGAATTCTGAAGACGGGGGAGACACCGTCACGGACGTCGAGCGGAACGTTGCAGACGACGAGCAGGACGCGATCGGTGAGCGCATGCGGGCCGAAAATCCGTCTGCTCGAGTTCGAGCCCTGCGCACACAGCAGCGCACTGAACATCTCCTAATTCCCCGCAACGCAGAAAGCAAAGCTACTCTCATACTGCGGCCATTCACATAGGCAGTGCGTATTCGAAGCTTGAATTTTCTATCCTACTGAGTACAACAAAAATCCCAAAAACAACAACGTGAAGGGCGTCGTATAATCATGACGGGAAGGAGATACAAAAAAGGCGGGCTGAGGGTGAATACGAAGGTAGCCTGATAGCCTACGTCAATCGTTTGCAGTAGTCCGGGTTTCCGGTCGGGTTTAGAGCCCATGTGGGGAACTGGAGGACGTTCGTCAGCTCTTCTTCATCTCAACAAACATTCAGACAAAACACTCACAGGCGTAGCATTCCCAGACGCTCCTCCGACTGCGAACGAGTACACAAACACCATAATCTGCGTACCGCCATCGAGCGCGGCCGAAAGAAGGAAGTTGTACTTCCTGAACCACCGCGCGCGGTACTTGCGCAGGTAGTACTGCGAGAAGATGGCCATGAGGAACGACATGAAGACCTGTGATGGAGAAAAGCCGCGTCAGCTTCAAAAGAGCGCGCCATGAGCGCAATTGACGTACACCCGAGTTAATGCCGACACTGAGGTAGCCCAGCTCGGCGGTCAGGATCGGCGTGAACACCTTGTCAAAGCCAAACTTCGGCCAGCGCCTGTGCGCCAACCAGAAGGGAATCGGCCACGCGAGGCCGACGAGCAGCATCCACGGGACGAAGCCGTACTGCGTGCCCGGCTTGTACAAGTCCTTGCCGAGCGCGCCCCATGCGATGGCCCCTAGCGCGCGTCAGCATGCATACTTCCTCACACGGCCCAGCCCATACTCACCCGTGTTGTAGCTCTGGATCTGCTGCCCGCTCCACACATTGCTGCCCTGCACGTCGAGCAGGATCTCGCGGTTCGCGGTGAGCACGTTGTTCGCGACGACGAAGTTGAGGATGCCGCCGATGATGCTGCCGAGGACCTGGACATGGCGTTATTTTCCCAGCTCATCACTGCCCAAGATGCGCGCTCACCTGGCAAGTGAACGTCACCCGCGGCGGCAGCTTCGTGTACTGGCCCATCTTCAGGTCGCGCATGAGGGACGTCGCCTGCGTGACCGAGTTGTAGCCGTAGAGCGTGGCGTACATGTTCGCGACGGGTTTGCCCGGCACCATCGCTGCCGCGACCATCTCGATGAGGATCTCGATCGACGGCGCGTACCCGACGGTGCAGTACAGCGTGCCGATGATGGGTAGGAGGAACGCGGCGAGGAGAAGGGAGACGATGAGGGCCCACCAGCTGGAACGAGGTCAGCATAATTGCCGAGGCTGAGACGAAGTCATAAGCTCACGGCAAGCCCGAGTGCGCGGTGTAGCTCGTCGCCATCGCCATCGCGAAGGACGCGGCAAAGAGCGCGGCATACCACCAGAGCGGGCACTCCTTGTACACCTGCATCTTCTTGTAGTGCGGGTCGTCGATCTCGGACGCCTGCCAGCCCCTGTCAGTGTCCATGAACTCCCCACGACATCCCCCCCGCACCCACCTTCGTCGTCCACACCAGCTTCCACACATCCTTCGCGTGCCACACCACAAAGTGCATGATCGCCGCGCCGATGTACATCGTCCGCGACACCTTGTACAGCACCTGCGAGCCCGCGTAGTACGGCAGGCCCTGCTCCGCGAGCTTCGTCGTGTTGAGCGTGAAGTCGTCGTTGAGGATCAACAGCTGGTTGTACTCCGTGCCGTTCTCGTAGAAGAGCAGCTGCGAGAGGAAGGGGAAGTTCTGCGACTTCCACACGTTCTGCTGGTACACGACACAGAACGTGATGCTGTGGGCGCGGGCGATCAGCACCTCATGAGGCGACGCGGAGCAGGGCGACTCACATGCACACGAGACAGCCGCCATACAGCGAGAGCTGCGTCGACAGCGGGGTGAACAGCGAGCCAATTGCACCTCCGCCCGCGCCCACATAGTTCCAGTCGAAGCACAACGAGAACATCCCCAGACCCTCATTACCCGTCGCGCCACCGAAGATGCGCGAGAACCACGCCGAGTCCTGGTTCGCCAAACAGAAGATGCTGACACCAGTCAGAGTCGGCGCGATGTACTCCGGGAACCACTCCCAGACGAAGATGGCGACGAGCGTGCCCCAGAAGAAGCGGACGCGCTTCTTCTGGAGGAAGAAGTTTTGCCCGCGGTGGAGGACGTCGAATAGCTGAACGGTGGGGATGATGTGCGGGTAGACGGCGAAGGTAGGCCAGACGAGGAACACCCGCATCATGCCCGCGAGGCCGTAACCGATGAGCTGGTGGGGGTGAGTGTGAGTTGGAAGAATGTGTGGAGGGGGGGATAGAGTAGCGCACCTGCGAGCCGATTAGGGTGAAGATGGCGGTCGCCGCGTTGGGCTTGACATTGTAGTACAGGTCCTGCGCGGCGAAGATGCTGATGGCGAGGGCAGAGTCGCTGGAGGTGGCACCCATGATCGTGATAGCGACATGTTCCTTGATGTCTACAGCCATGGTCAGCGTTTGTCGCGTCTCAACAGTTCAATACGCGACGTACTGAAGGGTCCGGGATTAAGGAAGCGCGCCCACCACGAATCGCGCAGGGGGAAGCGAGAGTTGGGGTTGGTGCCAGGAATCACCTCCTCCATGGCCTTGCCGAGGATGAAGCTGCGTCCACAAGGCGTCAACCACGACAAACATCATAGACGCAAGTTATCCACGTACGCAAAGATCTGCAAAAATAGCTGGCTAACGCTGATCGTTTGCGGGCGGAAGTACTGCGAGCATCGTTAGTCTGGCAGCATAGCGGGAAGACCATTGTCGTGTTCGATGGCGTCGACTGACATCGCAGGACAGCGCACGTAGGCGCCACCGATAGCACAAACAGCACGCGCTGATGCGAAGGCAAGAAGGCGCAGGAGTGCGGGGATGAAGACAACAGGTGACACTCACGAACAATTGGCCAAGCACGGACGCGAAGGCGGCGAAACCGATGCCAAGCACCACGCTCCGGAGAGTGAAGATGGGCAGCGTCGGGTCGTCCTCGAGCGACATCAGCCGCGTCGCGTAGTCGCGGGCGCTCTCTGCGGATTCGTCAGTTCATGCTCAGTAGATGGGGGAAGCACTGGCCCGGTGCGTAGATAGCAGACGTGGTGGGTCGATAGCAGACATGGTGCGCAGCGAGCCGCCATAGTGCGCGAGCACGCACTATTTCCGCGGACAATCCGACTGCTAACACCCTAATCGCAACTGCGACTCACCGATAGGCCGCTCCTTCCCATTCTCGTCGAGGTCGATGTCGCGCACATCGTCGAAGACCTCTCCCAGGTCATCGCCAACAACCTCAACCGTGGGCTTCTCCTTCCCGCTCCCCTTCTCCTTCTCGGATGAGAAGCTGTCCGCATGCTCCGGGGCAGCTGGCGGCTGCGTCTTCTCCAGCACGGGGGCGTCGATGGCGGCCATCGTCGATGCGGCTCGAGGAGCTCAGCGAGAGAAGCTCGAGGGGCTCGGCGGCGCGAGAAGCTCAACCAGCGAAGAGCGGAGGTTGTCTAGGATGCATCTTCTTGCTTTTTATACTCCCCTCATCAGCCGTAAGTGCGTCGCGCATCCTTCGTTATCGCGCTATCAGGCACCGCTCCAACGCCAGCCTGGGTGCGAACAGAAGCGCGGGCACCCACATCTCGGATCTGCTGGCGGATTCCTGGACGGGAAGCCGGGGCCTGTGACGGCGCACTCGAGCCTGTGGCGGAAGAAGCTTGGCGCTGGTTGGTCCGCGTGCGAGCTGTAGCTTGATGAGCGGGGTCTGGGACGGACGAAGTCAGGGACCCGGCACTTATCGAGAAGGAGCATGTGGTGGCGAGGGAGATAGGACGCACAAATTGATACACAAATGGCCTTCTCGGAATCGCGGCGTGGCTGGCCATAAAGGCGTCAAAGGGCGTATGGGAGATTTGGCTGGATTTAGCTCAAAATTTTAGGGCAATCAGGAGTGGTGGGTGGACGAGGTACCTGCGCTGTCATTATCATCACCTAAGAAGTCGTTAGCATGTAAGTACGAGGACTCGACGAGGGCTTCTCCTTTCGGAACAAGGGTCGAAGGATCCGCGGGAACTTGTAAGACTCGGACAAGATAGAGAGTCTTCGGAGGAAGAGAGAGTGGTAGAACCCAGACGCTACAGTGACGATAATGCACTCTGAATGCATCGGTCGAGTTGCTGCGCAAGCGTAGCCCTTCAAGGATGTTGCAACTTTATAAAAGCCAGCGAGGCGTTGCGGTTGTAATTTATACTATCAGATGTGTTGGGTCCTGTCGAGCTATCCGCGCCGCGGGCAGCCATTCGAGCAAAATTGTTTGAGTTGGTTGAGAGCAAGATGGCCAATTCGTCACGCGTGACTCAAAGCCCCGGCTCGGCGTTCGCCGTTAGATTCCCACGCATTCCCATCGAATGCATATTTCGAACGGCCATGTCTTAGTGTTCCCGCTGTTTGACGACCACTCCAGTACTCGCAAAGATGGTCAATTCGCCAAGAACTGGCTCTAGGAGCGCTCATGGAGAGATGCATCCATGATACACGCCAAGGAAGGTCACCGCGCGGTGTACGATTTGAAGCAATACAACTGAGTTCATTGCATTCGTCCTGGTGCGATAAGCAAGTTTGTGTCGAGTCTCACCAAAGTTCTTGGGCATACGAAGGCAAGTATGCGCGTACTTTGACGCTCTCTTTGGTGGGTGAGGAGGCGCAAAGGACGAGACCGATGAAGCGCAACGTGGCGACCCACAAAGCTGGAAGAACAAATCGTGCGTCCCTGCCATTGTTGCTTCGGACCTTCAACTGACGTGCTAGAGCTCAGTTTCTGCTCCTCCTTCTCGAGGCGTCCCTGTGCCTGCCTCGATACCTCGGATCTCGTCGATGGCCATAAAAGAACCCGGAGGGCGAGCTAGACGCCGGATGGGAGCCACCGATAGCGTGCTGGCCACAAACAGCCACCATCGGTTTCTTTCCACCAAGCTATTTTTTTCTGCGTGGGGTCTATGCAAGCGCTGGTACCTCGCCTATTCTTCGGGAGGCCCTCCAGTGAATGGGTGTGAATGGAGTCGCGGAACTTGGTCTTCTGCGGGCTGCTATCTCGAGTCCGTCTCCCAGCCTTTGATCTGCAGGAACGTCTACGCGAATGAAGGATATATGGCCAGTGGGCGAAGGTGGGTTGAGCGAAGAAACGGCAGACCTGACGGATCAGAAGATAGTTATATGCAGCAGAAGGACTTAAGTACAAGGTTGCCGGGACTTGCCCTTCTGGAGATCGTGCGTCCTTTGCTAGCTGGAAGGGTACCCATGACCACTCACAGCGTTTACAGGCTTCGACTTCGCGGATGGGAGCTATCCATCTACGTCAGATACTTCGTCTCGTCGGTCTTCTACTCGTCTCGTCAGCGTTCCCCTCTTCTTCGCGTCAGCATCATCCCCTTCTCGTCAGTCATCCCCTCTGTCCGCGTCACCATCAAGACCCCAGTGACCCGCTGATCCTCTGCTATGTCGACCTGGTCGGCTATCTCGGGAACATTTGACCACTCGACGCTCATCGGCATCCCGTGGCGCTGTTGCGCGACCGGCGGGACCTTGGTGTTGTGGCTAAAGATATCCAAGAGAGTGTCTATAGCCGCCTTCAAGTGCCTATGGGCGTTTACTGCTTGGCGACTTACGCGATGGCTCATCGCCGGGCGCGATGGTCCATCACCATACACGCCACTGGACCTAGTCGAGAGCGCATTGAACAGAGTCTATGGCCAACATGGATGCGAGTTACTTCCCGATGCACCGCCACCATCTACAAAGCTTGCGGAGGAAGTTGAACTTGGGCCATCAGTTCTGGTCACGCCATGGTTATGTGCCCTACCGTGTTCAATTCGTGAAGAAGCACAAGGGTTACAACCATCTCGCACGCAGCAGTTCTCGCGGCGGTCGCTGCTTCTTGCGGGGGTTACTGCTTCTTCCTCTACTATCCAATGGAAATCCACCTGTTTGTACGTCCCATTGCTTCGCGACCCCCTTCGACCCCGCGACCTCAAACACTGAGCCTTCGAGATGCCAGCAAGGCGCCATCTCGCGTATATCACTCCGCGCGGTTCACCGACCTCCCACCACATGCTTTATGGCATTGTTTAGAACTACTTCCGTCACAGGTCCGTCCGCCGCCCAATGGACTCCGCGAGCCGCCCAACAGACCCCGCAATTCGACCAACAGATCCGGAATCCCAATGCATCTTCGCACCGTGCGCCCGGAGTGCATCTTCGCGCCGTCCGTCACGCCTTCTGCCCTCCTCCTGCATACAGTGCACCAGACGTTGGAGCTGTGCCTGATAGCGCCATAGCGAAGTATAAAGGTTGCGGTCGCTCTCACCGACCGGCCTACCTCTCTCGGCGTGCTCCCTCTCGAAGAGCCTCAGCCCCCCGTCTCCTACGAGCGCCCCGCCTTGCACGATGGCCGCCTTTGACGCGCCGATCCTCAAGAAGACGCAGCCCCCGGTCGCTACGGCGCACTCGGACAGCTTCCTGTCCGAGTCAGAGAAGGACAAGGACTCTGGCATTGACAAGGACTCGGAAAAGGATAAAGAGGCGGGACATGTGCAGCCGCCCGTCGAGGTCGCGACCAACGACGTTGGTGAGGTGTTCGACGATGTGCGAGTGATTGACTTGGATGAGAACGGGAAGGAGCGTCCGATTGGTGAGCAGCATCTACAACGCAAAAGGGACCAAGTTACTGATATATCTCCAGAGAGTGCTCGCGACTATGCCACGCGCTTGCTCTCCTTGGAGGATGACCCATCCCTACCGATATTCACCATCCGGACCGTCATTCTGGGAATTGGCTTCGCTGCTTTCGCTTCGGTGCTAGGCCAGCTCTTCGTAGGTCCGGCGAGCAGCTATCAATTCGCTTGCTCACCTCTCGCAGTACTTCCGTCCGCAGACCATCAGTGTCAGTCAGCTGTTCCTACAGATCTTCGCGTGCGTCGCCTGCAGCTTATCTACTCGCTTCCTCTGACGTATGTGCAGGTTCATAATTGGAAAGGCGATGGAGGAGGTCATCCCCGGAACCAACCCCAACTCACGGTTCCCTCTGCGGGATTCGTGGTGGGCTCGCTTCCTCAACCCTGGCCCCTTCAGTGAGCTACTTGCATACTTCGCAGATCATGTCTCATTGGGACCGCAGACATCAAGGAGCACGTTGCAATCACCATCATGGGCGCCACTTCCAGCGACTCCGCACTTGCTATCAGTATCTTCGCCGCACAAGATTTGTACTACAACGTCAAGCCTAACGCCGCAACCGCCATCTTCACCCTCATCGGGTCGCAGGTGCGCCACCATATGCACAATCACTTCCCAACCATGCCACTCACTCACCTCTTCCTAGCTCATCGGCTATGGTCTCGCGGGCATGATGCGCGTCTTCCTTGTCTGGCCCACCTTCGCCGTCTACCCGCATATCATCCCCACCGTCCAGCTCTTCGACGTCCTGCACAGAGGCCAGAAGTTCTTCCTCCAAAAGAAGCGCGTCCGCTTCTTCTGGGGCACCCTCGCTGCGATCTTCGTCTGGGAATGGTTCCCCGAGTACATCGCGCCGACGCTCACTGGTGTCAGCATATTCTGCCTGGCGAATCAGGACTCGCCCTGGTTCTCGCGCATCTTCGGTGGCGCGACGGGCAATGAGGGCCTTGGCATGTTCTCGCTGTGTTTCGACTGGAACTATGTGGGCGCGGGTGGTGGGGCGATTGGCTCGTTGTTCACGCCACTGTCGACCCAAATGTCGATGTACGCGGGAACCGCGGTTTGCATGTGCGTTCCAGTCACCTTCCGTGTCAAGATAACGATTGACCTTGCCCTTACTAGCATCGCCTTCTGCGCAGTTTACGCGCAAAACGTATGGAAATCGCAGAACTTCCCCTTCCTCTCTCAGCTCTTGTTCTATGAGAACGGTACCGAATACAATCAGCTGCTTATCCTCAACGACGACTTCACGCTCAACTCTACAAAGCTTGCCGAGCAAGGTCTGCCATACTACGCTGGCTCGCAAGTGCTCTTCAAGGTTTCGCGAACAATGTACATTGGCGCGGCCATCATGCACTTCGTCGTGTGGCACTCAAAGGATGTCTGGAAGTTGCTGAAGCATACGAAGGTATGCGGTTCATGTGTGATTGGTGTCGTAGGGGCGCTGATTATCTGTTGTAGTCTGAGGAGATCGACGACCCGCACTACCAGAAGATGCAGGTATACAAGGAATGCCCACTGTGGTGGTACGCAGCGTTGTTCGTAGCCTCGTTCGCGATGGCAATCGCAACCAGCTACACCGCTCACTCTGGACTTCCGTGCGTACTTCCTTTCTTCAGACGTGTCTCCTGACTGATTGGTTCTGCAGCTGGTGGGCCCTCATTGTCTCCCTCCTCGTCGCCGCCTTCCTCCTTCCCATCATCGGCACCCTCTACTGCACCGTCGGCTACGCGCCCTCCATCGAGATCCTCATCGAGATGATCGGCGCCGCCATGGTTCCCGGCAAGCCCGTCGCGAACATGTACGCCACGCTCTACGGCTACAACTCCGTCACGCAGGCGACCTCGCTCCTCCGCGACCTCAAGATGGGCCAGTACACGAAACTGCCGCCGCGCGTGACATTTGCGTGCCAGGTCCTCGGCAGCATCATTGGCGGCGTGCTCAACTTCGTCGTCGCAAACAATGTGCTGACGGCGAACCGGGAGGTGCTGCTGGATGTGCAGGGGAGTAATGTGTGGAGCGGGCAGAACATCCAGTCGTACAATACCGGCAAGCGATATTTCCCTCTCCTGTTGTCACGCGGTCTGACCAGCTGGTTTAGGTGCCATCGCATGGGGAGCCCTCGGCAAAGACTTGTACAAGCCGGGTACGCAGTACGGCTTCGTCCCCTGGATGATCCTCGTCGGTCTCGTCTGGCCCATCCCTTTCTGGCTCGCGCACAGGCGCTGGCCAAAGTTCGGCTTCGACAAGGTCTTTACTCCCATCTTGACGGCCGAGTTGGGTATTCTGAGTGTCGGCATCAACTCGGGTATCTTCATGTCCTTCCTCCTCGCCGTCTTCTCCCAGTACTACCTCCGCAAGTACCGTGCGCGCTGGTTCCGCAAGTACAACTTCCTCCTCTCGGCCGCGCTCGACGGCGGCACACAGATTATGGTCTTCGTGTACTCCTTCGCGGTCGGCGGTGCTTCAGGGAGCGCGACACCCGTGAGCTACTCCTCGTGCTACGACCAAATACACGTACCTAACGGTCTCCTTCCACATAGTTCCCCACATGGGCCCTGAATCCCGCGGGAAATCCGGACTACTGCAAGCGGTTGACATGATATTGACATTGTCCTTGCACAGCCTAATTTTCCTCACACCCTCACCTACTAACCCACCACCATCCCTGCCCCTCTTCTTACTCCCCTTTTACTCGCCGCTGTTTTGGGATGCCTTTTGGCTTGTGTTGTAACTTGTAGTTGTTCATGATAAATTCGGATTGTTCGAGTAGAGGTTTGTCAACATATCGTAACGGGACCCACGAAAGGCATTCTGGACGTGCTGCGTCTGCTGGTGCCTCGAAGGCTACATCAACAAAAATCTGCTTGGAGAAAGCAGTCTACCATCGCTCGGCAGTAGTCGCATGGCAGCTAGAACGTGGGACGACCCCCATGCTACTAAGCCTCGCTTCTGTGCGATCCACTCAGACTAGGACGGCCGAGACAAGGAATGAAAACGTCTTGCATCCTCCGAATGCCCTTTAGCTTACCCTTAATCAACCTGAGCAAAGCAGCCTTCCAACCCGCGCAATCCTGTTGTACACTTTACATTTGTTACATCTGTACACTCTACATCCGCTACTTTTCTATTGATCCTCTTCCTGATCACACCGATAGCACCATCCGCGTCGAAAGCGCAAGCGTCTAAGCGCCCTTCACGTTCGCAATCTGCACGAACTCGGGCTTCAAGCTCGCGCCGCCGACGAGGAAGCCGTCGATGTCCGGCTGGGTGGCTGAGGGTGAGAGCGTTAGCAGAAGCGTGCGCAAATGATAACGGTGAGGAAGTCCCATCCTCAGGAGCCATGGGCGGACAGTCATGAAGAAAGTTAGATCTCACCCAACTCGCCCGCGCTCGCGCCGGTGACACTGCCGCCGTAGATGATGCGCGTCGACGCCGCAACGTCCGAGTCTGAAAATTCGCCAGCGTCAGTACGCAACTCTCACTTCACAGCCGCCATCGTCGACTCGTAGGTGGACACTCACTGATCGCCTCGCCGAGGTACGCCCTCAGCGCCGCGTGCACCTCCTGCGCCTGCGCCGGCGTCGCGACCTTGCCCGTGCCGATCGCCCACACGGGCTCGTACGCGATGACGACGTTCGCCCAGTCCGCGGGGCTCAGCAGCTTGACCGCCGCGTCCGTCTGCGCGCGGCATACCTTGAGCGTGTCGCCCGCCTCGCGCTCCTGCAGCGTCTCGCCGATGCAGAAGATGACCTTGAGGCCTGGAGAAGCGTCAGCAAGCCTTTTCAAGGTATTCGTAAAAGCCACACTCACCCTTCGCCAGCGCCGCTTGCGTCTTCTGCGCGACGAAGTCGGAGGACTCGCCGAAGATGGTACGGCGCTCGGAGTGGCCGAGGATCACGTAGGGGATCTTCGCGTCGGCGAGCTGGGCGGGGCTAATCTCGCCGGTGAAGGCGCCCGAGTCTTTGAGGTAGCAGTTTTGCGCGGCGAGGTGGATTTCCTGGGGTGGGGTTAGCGGTATGTCGGGGAGAGGAGAGGAGGTTGCGAGCGTACCTTACGCAGCTTCTGCTGGAGGGGGAGGAGGTACAGAGCAGGCGGCGCAACGACGACATCTGCGATCCAGAGTCAGCGATAGTCTTGACAGGCTCGTGGCAAAGGAGAGGCTTTGTCGTATGAAGTCCACTGATGGGCGCGATCTTATCGCCTTCGTCCCGCGTTCCCCTCTCGTCTCTTTTCATCTGCCCTCTCCCCTCCTCTATATCCCCCCTCTCCATCTCCATCTACTCATCGCCTGGCTATAGCGCACCACTCACCCGCCGTCTCATGCAGCTGCGCCTTGTTCAGCGTGTCCACGATCGCGTCCAGCGCCGCCGCGTTCGCGGGGTTCATCTTGAAGTTGCCGCCGACGAAGAACTTGCGGGCCATTTTGTTGCTGAATTTTAGTCTGAGAGGGTAAGAGGACAGGATGGGGTCGTCGGGGTAGAGTAGCTAGGTCGTCGGGGTAGAGTAACTAGTTCGTCGCCAAAAGCAACCTTCGCGGTCTTATAGCCCATCTCGCCCATCGATGACGCGCTTCGCGTGGCGGCGGAGTCCGGTCTGGCCCGCGGGCCGCCCGCCTCGGCGCGACGGAGCGGCGGCAAGGGCGCATGCGAGGGCGGGAGCTGGACGCGCCCCCAGAGCGAGGGGCAGGCATGCGAGGGCTGGAGACACAAGGCTGGGCTATCGTCGCTGCCGCTATGGCCATGCTTTCGCGACGTCGAGGCTCCCTACTCCTCGAGCGTCGTTATTGGCCGAGAAAAAGAAATCGTAATATACTCTAGCCCGACAAGGAATCACAAGGATTGACTCTCCCAAGTAACAGTAGAAATCAAGGTTTGAAGCGCGTGAAAAGTGACTTGCGAAGGACGTTTGATGCACGTCGGCTTTCAAGTGAAGACACAGAAAATGGGTATCGCACACGCACTCGTCCCACAGCGCAGCTCATTCCATCATATCGTCGTCCCCCGTCTTTTGGCCCGGGCCCTTGACGGCAGACATAGCTAAGGTCAATTTGTTCGTCCGATCCTGGATCGCTGCCTTCATCTCCTGGTGAAGGACTTTCGCCGCGTCGAGGGCGATTCTGTCCAAGAATCAGCATTCGCACACACAACACCCGTGAAAAAGAAAGACGACTCACCTAAACATCTCCTCAAACCTCTGCACATGCAGCCTCGTCTCCAGCCCCACCATCACCACCTTCCCCGTCTTCGGCATCACCGCCGCATTCACCCACGGCAGGTCGTTCTCCTCCAGCGTCGTGAGATCGAGCATGCTCTCCGTGTCGTGCACGCCTGCGGAGACAGCGCAGACGAAGTCGAGGAGGGGCACGCCCGCGCAGATGAGCGCGAGCGTCGTCGCGTTGATGCACGCGGGGATGAGCGAGCCGTCTTGTTGTAGGATGGTGATGAAGACGTCGATGGTAGAGCGCGGATAGATGGAGGTGAGGACTACGGGCTCAAAGGTTTGTTGCACGGTATAGCACAGCTCCTGGGTGCGTCTGGAAGTTAGCTGAGATGGGTTGGTTCGTGAGGGTGGATGGATGTTTCGCGAAGTGTGGGCAGGGCGTTGGGGAGGGAGAAAGGGATGTGGTAGTGATATGTGAAGAGAGCGAGGGAGTCAAACGCACTTGTCCCCCCGCCCCCTCTTCCTCCTCTCCCCACTGCTGAACGGCGCCGTCCCAACCTCCACATTGATCGTTGCGCGGTCATGCGCGGATTGCGACCTCTGCTTCGGTTCCCTTGGCCCATATACGGAGACCAAGACTTGCGTTAGACCATGCGACACAAGCGCGCTCCCGTCCGCGGATGCCCTAGGGCTCAGGTCGATCGTCATATCGCGCAGCTCATACTGCTTGCGCCCGTCCGAGCGATACCCGTGCGCGTTCAGGATTTCGATTCGCGAGCCCTGGACCAATTCAATGAGCTACAGCGTCGAAGTAATATACACGCCACACACCATGCCGTTCGATATCCTGAAGAATGACACTGGGTACCTCCAAAGGCAAGAAGTAGCAGAAAACAATGGCCGAACAATGGAATGCCCAAATCGGAATGCGAGCGATCGGCGTCCGGCAATCGCCGGACCTTCGATCCGGTGGCGTCATAGGGCAATAAGCGCCCGCCGGCTCGCCCGATAGCGACTGGCCGTATCTCATAATCTACACTTTACGCATCCTGACCTGAACCATCATCTCCCGCGAAGCCAGCCTTGTGTAGAAGGAACAATCAGCATTCATAGGGCAGACGAACCTCACCATGGCCGCGTATCCCAACCCCGACGATCTCGTCGTCCCACCCTCGATCCTGGACACGGATCTGTACAAGGTGCGTCCTTGGGCAAGTCATATGCAGGGGAAAGTGATGCTCAATCCAACTTACCCCCCCCCCCCCCCTCCAGTTCACGATGCAGCAAGCAGTATTTGAACACTTCCCGAATGCATGGGCGACGTATCGCTTCACGAACCGGAATGCAGACACGGTATTCACGCGAAAGTCGATTGATATCCTGCGCGCGAGTGTCAACCGTGCGTGTCGATCACTTGCTCTACCACCAATGCGTTTTCTATCCCGCTCCTCAAATGCTATCCCTTCCCCTCACGTATCCCACCTCCTAGCCTCGAACCTCCTTCACGCGTCCGTCCCCATTCCTCCTTCCATGTCTACGCATTCTCTCATCCCCTTACGCCCCTCATGTCCATCCCACGCCCTAACTAATCACCGCTTCCAGAATTCTCCTGTCTATCTATGTCAGAGGCCGAGAAGGAATGGCTCGCGAAGGCCTGCCCCTACTTCAAACCCGCATACCGCGATTTCCTCGGCACCTACCGCTTCAAGCCCGAACAGGTCGAGATCAAGTTCATCCCCGCCGAGGGCACGGAGGAAGGGCCAGGTCAGTGGGGTGCTGAAGTCGTTGACTGAGCAGCAGGCTTACGCATTACCTTCAGACCAACACGGAAACCTATCCATGACCGCCTCTGGGCCATGGATAGAATCCATCCTGTGGGAGGTCCCTTTGATGTCCACGCTCTGCGAAATATACTACAAGCATGTCGACATGGACTGGAGCTACGAGGGGCAGGAAGGTGCGTGGAAGGGTCCCTCGCTTCACACCACATGCTTTGACCAAGTTTCTTCCCCTTATCTTCAGAGCTCGCCTACCAAAAGGGAAAAGCCCTCCTTTCTCATGGCTGCGTCTTCAACGAGTTCGGCTCCCGGCGGCGCAGATCCCTGAAAACACACGACCTCGTCATCACGGGCCTCATACGTGCGATGAAGGACGCGGAGGCGGCGTCAGGTCAGTCGCGGTCGCCTGTTCACGATAGGGACCGGGTCGCATCAATTCGAGCGAGCCTGGGAACTAGATCGATGATAGTTCTGAGTGTGATGAACTGATAATCCCCTCAGGGAAGGGCCACGAGGGCCACAATGTCGAGGGCATGCCGTCGGGAGCGAAGGGTGAGCCGGGGAAGTTGAGTGGGACGAGTAACGTGAGCTTCTATCTTCCTTGCGCTGTTTGTCACGGAAGCAAGGATGCCAATGCAAGACTTGGACGCTGATGTCTGGCTAGGTCTATCTCGCCATGAAGCACGACCTCACGCCGACGGGGACGATCGCACAGTGAGTGGTGTCATCTTCAATCCCTCATCATTCGCTGTTCGATACCTATATTTACCTTACGGAGAACCATACTCATCACCTTCCACCTCCAGCGAATGGTTCATGGGTGTCGCCACCGCAAAGGGCTACGAGAACGCGAACACAGTTGCCCTGAGACTGTGGCAGGAAACGTACGGAAACGTGCTTTTGGTAGCGCTCACAGACACTTTCTCAAGCGATGCGTTCTTCAAGGTATGTCCCTGCGCATTTTCAATTCTTCGGCCACATTTTTCAACTCTTGAGCCACCCCCTTGCATCCTGCCCTCGTATATCATTCTTTGCATCCCATCACCCAATACATAATCCTGTCCATCCCCTCTCCCAATACATCATCTTGTCCATCCTATCGCCCAATATATCATCCTATCCATCCCATCTCCCAATATATAAGCCTAGTAGTAGTAGCAACCCACTGACGCTCATCCAGAACCTCGCCGCCAGCCCCGACATCGCGCGCACCTGGGCCGGCCTGCGTCAGGACTCGGGCGACCCCTTCGCCTTCGCGCCAAGAGCGAAAGCGGTGTACGAGGGGCTGGGAATCGACCATAGGGAGAAGGTGAGTTGGAGATCTTTTGAATGAGGCCGCAAATGCGAAGCGGGCGAAGGAGAGCCGCAGGTGCGAAGCGGACGAAGGAGAGCCGCAGATGCGAAGCGGGCGAAGGAGCGAAGGTGGAAAGAGATGATGCCCTATACTCACGACCCCTCCAGGTCATCGTCTACAGCGACGCACTGTCCGTCGAGAAGGCCGTGAAGCTGCTTGAGCACGCGGGGCCGAAGGGGCTCGGATTCAAAGGTTCGTCAGTGGACCTCTATATGTCAATCGCTCCTTCTCTCTTTCTTCCCTCCTCTCGCTTCCTTCCCTCCTCCTTACTTTTCGTCCCCTCTCTACGCCCTGCTTTGCTTACCCCTCATGCGCTGACGCTGTCCCGCTCCAGTCGCCTTCGGCATCGGCACCAACTTCACCAACGACTTCCGCAAGAAGTCGACCGCGGACCCGCAAAACCCAACCTCCACCGGCGCGCCCAGCGAAGCACTGAACATCGTGATCAAGCTGGACAGTCTGGACGGCAAGCCTTGCGTGAAGATCAGCGATGATTTGACGAAGGTGAGTGTGGGTTCGTCTTCTTCCTTCGACGGGCCAAAGGAGAGGGCAGCGTGCTCTTGCAAACGGGCGGCGTGCTCTAGCAAACGGGCGGCGTGCTCTAGCAAACGGGCGGCGTGCTCTTGCAAACGGGTGGCGTCCCCTTCGCGCGCGAGCCATGCTGATTTACCTTCCCCAGAACACCGGCGACAAAGAGACGGTCAAATACGTCAAGCAGATATTCGGGCTCCCTGTATGAGGGAGGGAATAATTGAGTCTCATTCAGAGGCATGGGCGAGGCAGCACGATCCGAAGGTGCTGAGTATTTCTGGGAGAAGAACAATAGAATTATAGACTGTATGTACTATGTAGCGATGATCTGCACTATGCATCATTGTCGAGTGACATCAACGACTGTCCGGTACCGGCACCATAGCCTACTATTCGGTTCTGCCGTCCATGATATCCTGATACCTCCTGACATTCTCCTCCGCCGTCCCATCCCAGCTCGTATTCTCCACAACAGCCGCCTTCCAAGTGGGCGTTTCGCGCGACGCCGCAAGGATCTCTGCAATCACGTCGTTATTGAGGGCTAGCGATTTTCCTGATTTAGGCTGGGTGTTCGAATTGCCAGTGTAGACGGGGGCGACATGTTGCTGGTGATAACGACGAGGAGGTGGTCCCTCGCGGTAGAAAAGCGAGTCTTCCGTAGCTGGTCGCAGAATATCCCACGTTGAAAGCCAATCCTGCCACGCAACCTCTTTGGGTAGCAGAGGCGAAGGGTCGCAGAACGGCTGAAATCCGCGCACGCGCTGCTCGTGAAGAAGGAACAGCGCCGGAAAGGGGGCGTGCTCGTCGCTGATGTCGAGCGCGACTGCCTTGCCATGATGTTTCCGGCTGGATTCATGATCGTTGTAGTTGACGAAGATGAACTTGCGTTCCTAATAAAGAAGTGGCCGTGAGTTGTTTGTGTCTTGAAGCACGAAAGACGATCCTACTTACAGACGGCACATAGCGGATGAAGCACGTATAGCTCTCAAAAAACACTTTATGATTGGGGCACAAGATGAAGGCGTTGCGCGGTTCGTGCTCGGCATTCTCATTGGCCCATTCTGGCAGCCATCCCAGCTTTCTGAGATTATCCCATGCGTTGGAATACTGCATTCGGGTGAGTTCGCTAGCAGATACCTGAGAGGTAGAACACACCTTTGTCTCAGCTATGATACGACATACTAAAGGTATACATTCGCCGCATACCACACAGCGAGCACTGCCCCTAAATGTATCACGAGCATTCACGCATGCCTCGACTGTTTCCTCTGTGAAGGTAGTAGAGAGGCTGCGGTCATCCCATTCAAAACCGGGAGGTACTTTTGAGAGAGGAAGCTCAAATGCGGGGAGCGCGTACATGGCGGGGTCGGTCATGGCGATAGGAAGTCAACATGCATTCTGTGACGGTCACGACTCAGAGTCACAGCAAAGTTCAAAGGGGTCATGTGAGACACGGAGCCGCTGCCACGTGCCTTTCGTCACATAAGAAGTCACGGTTCAGAATCCCCCCTTGACTCAACAGACCCGGAGACAGCAAGCGAACCTCTACTTAGCGTCTTATGTTACACCCATATTTCAAATCTTTCTTCCAAAACCCTGAGCACCAAACGATGCATTCCATGACCTATACCCTCAATGCTCGCTGTAGATGCGCTCAGTAACGCGGGCCGGGCCTAGGAAAGGACCGCCGCACATACCACATGTTGAATTCCTGCCAAAGCATCGGAAGATCAGCACATAAGCTCAACCCTCGTACCTCGCCCACTCACATGCGTAAACATCCCATCCCCATACTCCAGGTCCACCGACCGCTCCTTCATAAGCTCCTCCCTAATCCTAAACGCCTCCTCCCGGGTCATTGTCCCTGGCGTCATCGACGCGAACGCGTCCAGGAGCTCGATGGGCATTCGCGCCAAGCGGCTGTCCTCCCCGGAGGTGTAGAGGGTGTGCCTGAGCCAGCCCTCCTGCTGCGGGGCGATGTCGGTGGCGGAGGGGATGGTGCGCGTCGGGTCGACGAGGAAGAAGACGAGGATCTTGCGGAGGCCGGGTTTGGTGGGGTCGGCAAGCTGGAAGGGGGAGACCTATCGGCGAAGAGAGGGGTCAATCAGTTCACGACTGAGTGAAGCGCGGGATGGTGAATTCACCTTGTGCTGATACAGGTTCGGGAACGCGACGCAGCGGCCCTCCTTCGTGATAATGCTGCCGACGTCCTGCACGCAAGGCTCGTCCCGCGACATGCCATAGAGCGTCTTCATGCAGAACGAGTCGTCCTGTTCGTGATAGAACGGCTCGGCGGTCGCCTGGCGGAAGGACAGCCGAGTATCCTGAATGTTCTCCGAGTGATAGTAGTAGATAAACGTGGAGACAATGCCCTCGTTGTACATCCCTGAGAGCCAGATGAGATCTGTCGCGAGCAAAAATCCAGAGAGGCGCGAGTCGCTAATCTCACCTTCAACATGCCACTTTCCGCCCGGATATTCCGGCTTCTCCGGCGTCAGCACAATGTTTGCGAGCTTGACGATCACCTGGAGCTTCTTCCCCTTCAACCCAACTAGCCCCTCTCCTCTCTCCCCCAGCGCCCCATCATACTCCGCCGGGCAATCCGGCAGCGTTAGCGGTTGGCTTGCGTACCACGCCTGCAGCGCGTCGCCCTCCAGATCCTCGTCATCTCCCTCCGGCCACCGCATCCCGTTCTCGCCCCAAATGCACGGCAGGCCCTTCTCCGCACCGATGCCGTAGTCGTTCTCGACGATTGGTCCCAGCCGCATAGGCAGCTCCCCGCGGCGCAGATCCGATAGGACGCGCTCCCACAGCGGTACCGCGCGCCCCATGATGCGCTCGATGACGGGGACGAGCGCCCCCGCGCGCTCGGGAGGCACATTGTTGATATACGGGGAGACGAGGGCGACCGATCCATCCTCCTTGACCTCGAAATCCGACGGCAACCACTGGAACTTATCCGAAAGGAAATGGTCTGCGAGCGGTTCGTCAGGCTCGGGCGGGGAGAACGTGGAGATGGAGCCGTCCTTCTGCTTTCCCTGCGTCTTGCCGTAGACGAGGGGGTAGAGGGAGGGGTGGACGAGGTCGAGGACCTGGTTGTTAGAGTTCGGGTGCCAGTCCTTCTCGGCTTCGGGGACGTCTTCGAAGGGCTTGACGGCGGCTTGGAGCGCGGCGCGCAGGTCGTCCGAGATCGGCTGGTCGGAGAGCCAGACGCGGTCATACGGTCCGGCCTGCGACTGGATGAGCAGCCCATCCTTCACGGAGATGCAAGACGGCGAGGAATCAGAACGTACCTCAATCCCTGTCTCCTCATCCCGAAGCTGCGCGTAACCTTCCAGTTCGCCGAGGGTGTAGTTGATCTGCGCGCCATGAGCAAATCAGCGGAGATAATCGCTGAGCCACGGACCATATTATCAGTTAGGCGCCAGCGCTCCTCCACCTCTGCCTGCTGCGCCTTCGCCTCCTCGAACCACTTCTTGCGGATTTCGGGGTCCTTGGACTTGCGCCACCACTCGGGCTTCTCGCGGATTGTCGCGGAGAGCTGGTACATCCTCAGCTCGACCAGCTGCGTGCAGGTCGCGTCGATCACGAGTAAAGGTGAGGGGTTAAAGAAGGGGTCAATTAGCCTCGCTCTCAGTAACGTCATACAGACTAGCGTACCGATCGAGGCGCCCACGTACCCGGCGCAGGCTCTTCGTAGTCAACGTGCGCGAAGGGATGAGGGAACGCCTCGTCCTCTTGCGAGTCATCCCCAGTCTCCTTGAATGTCACTTGCACGAACGGGTCGGACATGGCGGTCGGATTCCTCGCTGGCGTTAGATATCGACGAGAGGCGGGGGGGGGGGGGGCAGAGACAGAAAAGGGATGGCCCTCCTTCTCCGAACAAGCGCGCGCCTTTTGTAGTCGTCAGCGGCAAAGAAGCAATGGCGATCTCCGACAGGGGCTATTCATCGGGATGAGTCGCGTGTACAGCATGCAGGCGGCCCCGCGTCCTACAAATGGAGGGCGGGCATAATGAGTCAACGCCGAGCGCCAGACGCCGCGCGCGACGATCATGGGGCGCAGGGCGGGACCGTGCAGCGCCTCATCTCATCATAATGGGCGCTATGTTGAGTGGACTGAGCCACGTGCGTTACTAGGCTACCGGTGACTCGACGACAGGCCCGAGCAACTGAGACCTTGCGGGGCTGATGTAAAACACGCCAGGCTTGGCCTAGAGGGGACCGCATTACTCTTGAGGACCACGCTGGTGCAGCAGGCGCCGAAGTCGCATTCTTGGAGCCAACACGCTTGTTGCTGAGCATGATGTCGAGAGAGGTGCTGTTGTTCTGCGGTGGAGGTCAGTATGCAAGGGATGCCCCGTGGTGTACCGTTATGTGGTGCTTCTTCTCGCACGCGTCGTACATCGAGTTGAGTTATGCCGCACAGAGCTACGGTGATTGACTCTGCATACTGCGTTCAATAAGAGCTATTTTGTGTTGCGTACCATGTAGTTCGCCGTCTGAAGCAGCAGCCAGCTGTCGTGAGGGTCGGAATCGAGTATCGCACGATGAAGAACGCAAAGGAATACGCAATGCCGAAGCATTCATCCATGTTGCATGTGTAAACATGGGAAACGACGACGCAACGCAAAAGGGATATCGCAGTGCTCAGGCACTCTTCCATGTTGCCGAAGCGAACATGGGTAACGCAGTAGACGCGGAAGTGATGATGGTCATGAACGCATGACGCCGACGCGCGAGGGAGGATGCACGCGCGATCGCTCCTCTGAGGGAGGAACCGGTATGTACCGGGTGGTGGGGACGCCGCTCCTGCGCGTGCGGAGGAGACGCGGACGGCATGGGCAGGAGGAGCTCTTGCACTCTGGTCGTGGGAGGCGCGCGTCCGTTGCTTTGCTAGGTCGTTTACTAGGTGGCCGACGCGACCCGTGAGTCTCCCAATCTTCTAGGAGGCCATCTTGAGCAGTGAAGACGATGCGATCGAAGTGCCCTTCGGGATACACAGCGGCATATGACTTGTTCCTTGAGACGGGACGAAATGAAAAGACGACATTGTCAACGCGACGCGGCGCGACGCTGCCAGGGACAATTAAATGGTGGGCAGAGGCAAGAGGCGGCGGCTCGGACCGGGCGCTCCTGCACGAGCATAGACCTATTCTGCGGCACCGCTCGTTCCTCGTTATGCCGCAGATTGTCAACAAAAGGTATACTTACACAGTTTGATTACAGTGTGTATTCCAGCATTATGCCCTACTTTTGATTATAGCGCCCGTACAGCTGCCGAGTCGTCTCCTCCTTCTTGGGTTCCCATCCATACAGCGACGACGACAGCTTGCCGCGTATGCGTTCCAGAACGACACCCACGCCCAGAACAACGCTAATGTCCACAACGAGCAGCTCCGCTGCAGCCGCCATATACCGCGGTGCGAAGACCTTCCACACCATCAAATGACGGCGGAGGACCGCAGCACTAACCGCAGCCCCGAACAGCAGGACGGCGTAGTAGACCATCACACCAACACCAGCGAGCGTCGCCTCCGCCTTCACGCGCGAGTCGGGCCCGATGCTGTCCGCGCCATCGCCTGCATCGCTGATCTCTCCTTTCTCCGCCGGCGCCTGCTTCCCCCCAATCTGCGCCGGCGCCCTCTTCCACAGTGCCAACAACGGCACCGCGCTCGCGGCCAGCATTACCGCCCCAAAGAAATTCAGCACCACGCTGACCGGCGCCCACGGGTACACCACCCGCCCCGCGAGCACGAACGCGGCCTTCCACTGGATCGTCGCCAGCACCGCCTGGTGCCCCGTCCCGAAGAACGCGACCGTGCCCAGCAGCGCCAGCGGCACGACCTCCCCAAAGCCCACGCGCGGCACATTGGCGGGCAGGCTCTCGCTGTCCGGAAGCGAGCCCGCAGCGAAGGCGGCCTGCATGGCGGCGGCGTCGCGTGCGGCGTCGGCGGCCTCGAGGAAGGCGAGGACGGCGAGGAGGAAGAGTGCGAGGACGAGCTGGCCGGTGAGCTGCTGCATGAGCCAGACGCAGGCGCCGAGGGCGGCGACGAAGAGGAGGTAGGGCGCGCCGAGGCTGTTGGCGTAGCCGAGGACGGCGACGCGGCGGGGCCCTGCTTGTGGTGCGGAACCAGGCTCCGGCTGCACGAGCTCCATGGACACACACTTCGGAGCAACCCAGAGTGCTGTGAGCGCGAGCGCGGCAGCCCCGAGCGCACCGCGCGCGATCCACGACCGCAGAGGGCGCGCTATCGACGTCGACAGCAACTCCGCCGTATCCGCCCACTCGAGGAGCCAATGCAGCGTCCCGCCCGCCAGCGAGCCGCGCAGCATGATGAGCACAATCGGCGTTATGCCCAGCTCCGAGCGCGACGTCCGAAGCGCGCGGTGCAGCGCCCAGGGGACAATCAAGGCCGCCGGAAGCGCGAGCAGGAGCGCAGGCAGCGGCGGCTCCGGAAGCGACGACGACGCGTAGAACGTGACGTGGCAGTACGGCTGCTGCTCCTCCCGGCAGACTGTGCTCACCGAGATGAGGCGCGCGCATGCGAGGAAAGCTACAGACCATCCGAGAATGCGGGCGCGGAGCTGCCGAGTGGGTGCCGTGAGCGCACGACGGAGGAATGGCACCATAGACGCGGCCAAGAGCCACTGCGAGACGCGGTCCTCCCAGAAGGTGAAGGAATTCGAGAAGAATGAGATTCCGTGAAGAGCGAGGATGAGGATGCCTGGGATCTTGCGGAACGATACTGCAGGCGGGGAGACGAGGACGGAGGCGAAGCAGGATGCGAGCGCAGCAGCGAAGATGGATGCGTTCAGGGGGTGGATGACAAGCGAGGGCACCAGGACGGAGGCACTGGAGCTGGCAACTGCGCCCACACCAGCGCCTTGACCAACGAGGGTGAGGTGCCTGAGTAACCATGGTTCGTACGCAGCACCTTCCCTTGCGAGGGAGGAGTATACACCCCATGCAGCGACGATCCCAATTGCCAGCAACGCCAACCCCATCCCCATACGCACGGGGTCGAACTGCGCCCAAATCGCCCGACACGAGCCCAAAGCGACGCGATTGAAGTTCGACAGCGTGATGAGGTGCGCGTCGCCCTGGTACGCAAAGCTCTGCGCGGCGGCCCATGCAGACTCGATTGTCGGCCACGCATCGTCGAGCTCGCCGCCTGCGCCGCTCGCGCGGTACGTGTCGAGGTACGCCTTGATCTGCGCGGTGTTGATCTCGAGCGCGCGCTGCAGTCGCGAGCCTGCAAACAGGTCCGGGATGACGGAGCCGAGGCTGTTGAAGGGGATGGGGAGGCCGAGGAGCAGCGCAATACTCGGGACAAGGTCGATCTGCGCGACGCGGCGGTGCGGCTCGCGCGCGCCGGGGAAGGTCGCGTAGTCGACGAGGCCCGACGGCGGCGCCTCATCTCCGGCAAGCGGCACACCCTTCGAGTACACCCATAGCGCCGCGGACGTCTCGAGCGTGCCGTCGCCGCCGTGGTCGCCCGCGCGGTCCATGCCGTGGTCCCCGAGGACGACGAGGAGCGTGTCGTCCGCGAGCGCGTCGATCACGCGCGCCAGCACGTCGTTCATCTGCGCGAGCTTGTCGCGCATGCTCGGGTGGTCGGGGCCGACGCGGTGCCCGACGTGGTCAACGCCGAGGAAGTGGCCGACGAGGAAGTCCGGCGGAGTGGGGGAGGCGAGGGCGGGGAAGAGGTGGCGGATGACGCCCTCGTCGACGCTATGGAGGTCCTCGACGTTGAAGGAATCATAAGGGAAGGTGCTGTTGGGCTCGAACGCGTCGGGGAAGACGGACATCCAGGTGTCGTCGCCCATGAAGGCGCCCTTGCGACGATGTCAGCGAGGGAAGAGGGATCGGTGCAGCGCGCGCACCTTCTTCCCCGCGGCTACGAGCTGGTGTATGAGCGAGTCCTCGTCGATAGACGACGCGCCAAAGTTGTTTCCGAGGTCGACAAAGGTGGGAAGGGAGCCTGTCGTGATGCCCTTAATGCGTTGAAGGGTGGTAGTGGGTGGGTCCGCGTAGGAGTTGTACAGGAAAGAGTGTTCGGGTCGTGCCCGTGTCAGCTCGCGGGGAAGGGTGAGTATGTTGTGATGAAAGGGTGAGTGCGGTTCAGGCGGGTCGGGGGATACAAAGTCGAATCGCAGAGCGTCAATGATGAGGACTACGAGGCGGTTATGCGTTGGGGGAAGGGTGCATGCCCCATCGTCGCAAGTCGTCCTGTTCGAGAGGGACAGTCTGCTGAGCAGAAATCCATTCGTAAATAGGTAGATTCCAGCCGCGTGAATGAGCGTGAGCCATAGAAGGACAGCTAGTCGCTTGTTGAGGACGGACATGGTTTGCGCGTGTCGCCCTATGTGACACAGGATCCCCCAGTCGTAGAACGCGCCGAATTGAAGTTCTGGATCCTCTTCGCCAGTAAATCTAACGAGTGGCGCTCCCCGTCGGGACGTGCGGAGGACTTCAGAACACGTCGATCCCGGTTTCGCTAACGGAGGTCGACAATGAACCTCGGGCTCGTCAGTCGCTATACCAGCGCAACTGACCGTCGTCCCTCGGGCTTCGTTGCCTTCCAGTAACGTCTTATATGAGAGTGTAGACGAGTCTGGTGTATAAAGGTCGTCGTGGTTGGGGTCAAGAGATGGGGGGTACGCGTGATCGGACTCAGACGCGTTCCTGCGCTATCCCACCAGCTCTCGACTTACGGTCCTACGACGGCATTTACTGTCACTTCCGCCCTTAACCATCTTTCTCTGAGGGTAAGGTAGACACGAGGCATGCCTACAGTACTCCTCCGCCGCAAACGGCAACAAAGTCGATTTCATTGTCTCTATATCGGGCATCCTCGAGGCTTCGACTTCAGCACCTTGTCCCGAACCACCTACATCCCCCCCTCTCTCGCCACCCCCTGCCCCTCATACCGGCAGCCCTCTTGCCCAACTTTATGCCTCTGGACATCAGTGCTCGCGCTTGAGGAGGTGATGCATGATCATGCCGCTCCTCTACCACCCATCGTCGTTCTGCGATATATGCTACGACACATATTCCGACACCGTAGAACCCTATGTAATAGGCTGTGGCCATGTATTCTGCAAGACGTACGTGATCTTCATTCCTTGCGCGGCTTTGTGCGCTTACAATGATCCCACAGCTGCCTGGAATCGATACCCAACCAAGCGCCTGCACGAGGGACAGTCATCTCCAACCCCGTCTGCCCTACATGTCGAAAGACGTACTGGAGCAACAAGATCCGCCGCCTCTACGTCGACCTCTACACCGGCGAAAACCAACCCGAAGAACAGCTCGCGCGCGAACAGGCCCTCGACGAGCTCGAGCTCCTCGACAAACTCCTTCACCACTGGGACGAGGACGAGGACGAGCTTCCCCAAGACATCGTCGCCGAGATTGAGGCGTGGCTCCAAGTGCGCTCGGGAGAGAATACGCCCGTAGTGCAGCGGCTCACCTCGTTGTTGCGCAAGTACAAGAAGGTGCGCAAGCGCAGCAAGCAGGATCGTCATGAAGCGCGCCGCCTCCGTGACCGCCTTGAGCGGCACGACACGCGGCACCAGCAGGAGGCAGAGATGGCGACGGGCGTCGAGCGCAGCCTGCAGGAACAGATCATCGAGCTGAGATGGTGCGTGCCCGGCGATCTATTGCGCGCCACGAATATATTCTGATACTTCTCGCCTGCAGCAAGGTCACCGAGTACGAGACGCAAGTGTACAGCCTGCAAATTGCGCTAGCGGAGCGTCAGCAGGGTCCCCCACCTCCGCCCCCAGTCCCCACTCGACCTAACGAGCCGGCTCTCACTCGATCTAACACCGAGCCTGCCCTACCTCAGCCTGGCCTCACGCGAACACTCAGCAATCCCGCCTCCGTACGATCTATGCCTTCTGCTTCCTCTTCCTCGCGAACGGCGCCATCTATACCCGTACACGCTCCCGCGCCATCTTCAGGATACCCTCCATCCCAGCGGCCGTCTGAATACCCTCCATCTGAGCCCTCAGGATACGCCGCCTCCATCCACTCCACTCACAACCCATTACCTCCCCCTCCGGAACCCATACCACTGGACCAGTACAGAGGTTTCACGCCCGCGGCCCTCCAGGCATTCCCAGCTGGCGGGCATGGCTATCCAACGAGTCAGACCTCGGGTCCGGGAGCGCGGCAGACGCCGGGAAGTACCCGTGCAGGGCAGACGCCAGGCGGCTACCCTACCAGCCAGACGCCTGCTGGTTATCCTGCAAGCCAGACTCCAGGCTACCCAGCGACCCAACCTCCGGGTGGCTACCCACCGAGTTCCCCAGATCATTATCCATCGAGCCCTCCGGTTTCTTTTCCACCGAGCCCCCCGGCCCCTTATCCACCGACTCAGCCCTCCGCTGTCTACCCAGTGAGCATGACTCCAGGGCCATCTCGCCAGACTCCAGGGAGTATACGCTCGGGACAGACTCCAGGAAGCGTGCATACAGGACAGACTTCAGGGACTACATACTCGGCGCAAATTTCTGGAAGCGTACACTCGGGACAAACTCCAGGTAGCACTCGCTCAGGACAGACGCCGGGGAGCATCCGCTCGGGTCAGACCGCACGGTCCTCGACGCCTCCGGACGGCATCATCCCCGGCGCATCCCCGACCTCGAGGGTGCATCCATCGAAGGGGCTGGGTGGGGCGGCGCGGTGCCTAACGCAGGACGCTTCTCCACCGCGCTCGCATGGGGAATCCTCGAATCGGGCGCATGCCGAAGCGTCCACTCGCGCGCCAACCGAGGGCTCCCACCGTGCACCCGCTGAGGGCTCCCATCGTCCTGCAGAATCCTCCAACCGCCCTCCAGGGACCTCTCACCTCGTCCCCGAGTCCTCGCACCGCTCCCGCCGCCACCGGACGACGCGCTCAGAGACGGCTGCGACCGTTCCCCAGCAGCAACCTGCAACCATGGCTCCTCAGCAGGCTGCTGCGACCATTCCCCACCAGCCGACACCCAGCTATGCGTGGGACCCCGCGGCGTTGAATGATGCGGCGGCTGCGTTGGCGTCTTCAGCGACAGTGGCAGGACACGCACCGACAGGTTCGACACTGGCGACGGGACATGTACCGAACGCGCCGACACAAGCAGGACCAAACTACGCTCCACCCCCGACCACGCATCCCACTGCGCCATCAGGGCCGAGAATCTACCCACCACCGATGGCCGTCTCGACATCACAGCGTCAATTTGACCCGAATGACTTCCTTCTCCCCGCGGCTATGCAAGGCGGTCCCAATGGCCAGAGCTTCACCAATGGTACGCTCGGACTTAGCGCAACGTTGAGTCGCGCAGCTTACGCTCGTACAGGTCACGCTCGTACCGAATCATACCCTGATGGGTACATGCCCTCGGATGCTTACATGAACGCGTATCTGACATCGTATGACCAAGCATACGTTGAAGGCTACCAGCGGCATGCGGACAGGATAGCAAACGTGGCCGGTGGTGGCGACCGTGAGCACCGCAGGCGACGGCATAGGCGCAGCGAGCCAGAGGCGCCGACCCGCGCTCGCGAGGTGTACGCGCAGTCGCAACAAGCACCGTCGACGTCCACACATAGCACCGACTCCGCCGCTCGCACACCTACCGCGACATCGATGACCCTCTCTTCCTCCTCTGGTTCCACGGAAACCGCCCATCCCGCCCTCCGCCGCAGCGGCACGACGGGGCACGACTCCCTCGCTGCCTCCGGCTCCCGCCGCGCGCTCACGGCGGCAGAGAGGGACGCCCGACGGCGCGCAGCGTTCTCGCAGACCGATGAGGAGCGCCAGCGTCGCGAGAGACGCGAGCAGCGCGAGAGCATCACGTCCTCACTCACCAGCTCCGCGCCTTCGTGGACCGGCACCCAGGTCTCCGTCCCCGAGTCGCAAGCCAGCGTCGGGCAGTTCCGGCTCGCCAACTTCCCCACCTCGCCGCCCGAGCTCACGGGCGAGGTGCCGACGGTGAGCCCGCACATCCCGCCGGCGCTGCTCTTCGTGCCGCCGACCGCCGCGAGCCCCGGGAGCCCGCCGTTGGAGCTTCTGAACAGCCCGACCGGGTCTCCTGCGGACCTCGCCGTGCCCGGGGCCCCGCGGCAGGGGCCGCGCGCGCTGTCGGTGTCGACGGGCGCGTCGAACACGCCGCGCGTGTGGTCGGCGCAGTCGTACGGCTCGCGCGGCTCGGGCGCATCGCGCGGGTCGGGGCTCAGCAACCTGCTCGGCCTCACGGAGATGGAGACCGTCAGCTCGGCGGCGCCGCTGAGCATGCCGACGCCGAGGCAGCCTGCCCCCGCTTTCTTGCGCGCGCTTTCCGAGACTTATTCGGGATAATAATGTGTTTGTATATCGTGCGCGTCAACGCCCCGTCCCTCCAAAACGAGGCCTTTCGGAACCTGACTCTGTGTCTCAATCAACGAGTACTTACTAATGCATCCACCTTGCAGACTGTAGACCATCTATCCATCTTGCAGCAATTGTGTTGTTCCTCGCTCTCAATGACTGTATGTATTTATACGTAGTAATCACGGATTCTAGGATGTTGCTCATACCCTAGCCGTAGTGTTGTCGTCTGTCCAGCTTCTACATCTATTTACGTGCCATCGTTTAAGCAATCCATTGTGCTCGGTACCACACAGCTCGGCAAGGGGACGAACCGTGACTTCGGTCTCGTGAACCATCCTCCAGTAAACTAGAGTCTGGCGCATCCTGCGCTCGAGCGCCAGCTCGCCGTGCCTCCACCGTGCGGCCGCGTAGGATATTGGGCAGCGAGTCAATCTCGAAGAAGGAATAGTGTCTTGTTGCATAGTAGCATCATTCGCCTGAAGCTCCTCAGCCAAGCTCATCAATTGCGTGAACAACCCTAATTGCGCGGACAACGCATATATGCCGCCTTCTCCATCAGCTTTGCTACGAATACTTCCCTTTTGCCGTCAGCCATCGCGGTGTGCAACCCTTTCTCTCGTCTGAACTAACTTTTCCCCGTCCGAACTACTTTCTTCCCGTCCAAGCTAACTTTTTCCCGTCCGAGCTTGCGTCTGAGCGATCAGGACGAAATGACAGAAGGAGAAAAGAGAATCAACAAGCAAAACCTATGGATACATATACACAATTATACCGACTGTTAGATGCGTGACTCATGCGCGCGACTAGCATCCTCTTCAAGCTCTGCGGCTATCGATCCTCTTCAAGCTCTGCGAGATCCCCTTCAAGCTCTGCGAGCTCCCCTCCCCTCCCCTCACGAGCGCCCCACCCCTCACGGGCTCCCCTCCTCACCCCTCACGCACTCCCCTCCCCCCCAGTCGGCGGCGCCTCGTGCTTCTTCTGCCCGCACTGGTTGAGCCCCGCACCGCAGAACTGCGCCATGAAGACCCAGACAAGGATCTGGGAGTGCATGATTAGTATGGTGTCGACGATGAGCCCGGCGTCGACGATGAGCACCGCGTCGATGATCAGCACGGCGTCGACGATCAGCACCGCGTCGATGATGATGAGCCCGGCGTCGACAATCAGTGCGGCGTCGATGATTGGCACGACGACGATGATCAGCCCGTCGTCGATGATGATGAGCACCGCGTCGACAATTTGCACGACGTCAATAATCAGCCCGGCGCCACCACGACTGAAAAATCGAAAAACAAAAAAAAAACAGTAAAAAACTCACCACCCCCACCACCACCCCCAGCGCCACCACCCGCGTATTCCGCCACCACATCTGCCTCCGCACCGTGCGCGCGCCGCGCCGGAACGCCGTCGCCTGCCCCGCCATGTGGTCCGTCTTGTCCACGAGCAGCTCGATGCGCTCGCCGCGGGAGAGGATCTGCTCGACGTTCTGGACCATGATGTCCTGCAGGGGAGGGTAGTTAGAGAGGTGGTTTCTGATGGGATGCTTAGAGGGGCTATCCGAATGCCTACAGGGGCTATCCGGATGCCTACAGGAGGAGGGGGAAAGAGCAGAGGGGAAGGAGAGGGGTAGAAGGGGAAGGAGAGGGGCAGAAGGGGGAGGGGCGGAGGAGTGGCGAGTGAGGAAGAAAAATGGCGAGCGAGGAGCAAGAATGACGAGCGAGCGGGAACGAACGCCACCCACCTTCACACTCTGCAGCTCATTCTGCGCCCGCGCGAGCTCGTCCTGCGGCGGCGCCGTGTTGAACTCGTGCATCAGCTTCGCGAGCGCGCTGCTCGTGAAGGCTTCCGGGTCCTCCAGAAACTGTGGGCGCATACGTGAGTATGGGTACATGGTTGGAGAGCATGAACGCATGCTTGGAGAGCATGGATGCATGATTGAAGAGCAGGAATGCATGATCCAACAGCATATATGCACTCTCTCAGAAGCCCATCCACCCAAAAGAGCACCCACTCACATGATTCTTCACCGCGCCCAAGAACCCAAACGGCATCCGCCGCCCCGCGCTGTCGTCCGCCATGACGAGGTACGTGTAGCCAGCCTCGGAGATGTAGTGGAAGAGGTAGGTGGACCAGACATAGGTGAGCTTGCTGTGAGGAAGGGGGGTGAGTATTGGGCTTGGATACGTGGATGAAGAGGGAGGGATTGCGCATGAGGAGGGATTGAGCATGAGGAGGGATTGAGCATCAGTAATCGAGGAAGACATTGATGTGAGCGAGCCGGGTACGCGGGAGGGGAGGACGTATGCGGGAGTTGAGGAGGTACGATGGTTGCTTGAAGAGTACACCAGGCGGGGCGAAGCAGGCGTATACGAGATAGGGAGGGCCGTATGCGCAATGCAAAGGTATCCGAGTGAGGCGCGCACCTATCGTTCGGCGGGATCTTCTCCAGGATCGTCTGCGTCGCCTGAGCAAAGTTGCCTCTGGAGAGGGGTGGGTAAATGCGTCAGCTGGGTCCATGCGAACGAGCGCCGCGCGCCACGCACCTGGAGGTATCCGTCTGGTGCTGGGCGATGATGTTCGTGCCCTGGGCGACGCATGCTGTTATCTGCATACCAGATTAGGCCGGGAGCGCCCATAGCATCGATAGACTACGCACCAGAGACATGTCGAAGGTGGGAGAGCTCGATGTCTTGTACAAAGGTCAAGGGTGTTGCGCAGGAGTTGTGTGTGTGTTGAGGGATAGGTGTAGTATATGCGCAACGTCCGAGATCGCAGCGAGAAGATTGCAGCCCAGATATGAGGGTTTCGCAGCAGTAGATTCAGAAGAGTCAGTGGAGGACCTCTCAGGACCCTGGTGTGAGCGTGGCGACAGTCAGGAAGCAGGGTGGCTGGATTCAATCAATGACGACAATTCGGAAAAGCCCCTGTGAATTACTTCCTTTTGGGGAAAGTCGTTGCGTCGGCACGTGGTGTGGACCCACACAGCCAGGTCGCGCATACATAGCAGCGTTCGTCCGTTGGCTTAACTTCGAGAATCATGTCTGTCTCTGCTAATTCGCCTCCGCATGCTTCATTCTTGGGGGGCAACCGCACAAGGAGACGCAGCTGCGCAAGTCTTCAGCAGAACGACCTCAGCAGAGGGGAAAACAACGAAGAAGGCAAGACACTAGAGCGTGCGCTCTCAGCTCAACCAAGCGGCAGCTCAGTCTCACCAAGTAGATAGCCAGTTATCACACACGAACAAGAAAGTTATCACACAAAAAAGAGGAGTTCGGGTATTATACGCTTCATTCGGTCATTTGTGCTACTAGTGTACAGGAGGCAACATTACAATGCCTTGCGTTGATAAGTTACTTCTGCTTTCTATTTCCCCAGTTCGAGCCCGATGTCATCGTCGTTAGAGAGCGATGCCATCGTGGTTAGAGAGCGATGTCATATCATTAGGAGCGAGATTACGCTCGTGGAAGAGGAGGGAGTCGAGGACGTAGCCGGTTAAGCCATTTAGAACTTGAGAACGATGCGCCCGGCGATCTTGCCCTCTTGCATGGCGTCGTAGGTGCTGGAGAGGGCGTCAGAATGGATTCGATGAGAGTGTAGGTCAAGAAACTAACCTCGTCAAAGCAGGCAAGTCCTTCAGGACATACTTGCACACAACACCGCCGCGCGCGGCGATATCGAGCGCCTCGTACGCGTCCTGGCGGTTGCCGACGTACGACCCCAGGATACTAATGCTCTTAAACACCGTGAAGAAGATCGACGCCTGGAGCCCCGCCTTCCCCGGGAGGCCCACCGCCATCAGCGTCCCTCCCGGGCGCAGGTAGTCGACGGCCTGCGTGTACCCGCTCGGCGACGCCGTGGTCACGACCGCCGAGTGCGCGCCGTAGCCGCCCGTGATGCGCTTCACCTCGCCCACGATGTCCTGGCACTCCTTGAAGTCGATGAACGCCTCCGCGCCGAGCTCCATGCACAGCTTGCGCTTCTCGTCGCCCGTGTCGATCGCGATGGGCCGCAGGCCGCGCACCTTCGCGTACTGCACGGCGAGGTGGCCGAGCCCGCCGCCGGCGCCGGGGAGCACGATCCAGTCGCCGAGCTGCGTCTGTGAGTACTTGATTGCGCGGTACACGGTTACTAGGGAGGGGGGGTGAGCCGGGGATCGAGGCATATGATAGATAGGGAAGGGTGTGGCCATATGATAGGGAAAATGCTTACCACCGGCACAGAGGATTGATGCGGCTGCGTAGCTGTCAAAGCCCTCGGGAATCGGGGTGACGTGGTTGGTGAAGGAAACAACATATTCGGAGAAGGTGCCGTCGACGGTGTAGCCGGAGAGCTCGGCGTGCTCGCAGTCTACAAAGGCGAGTCAGCACAAAATAGCGAGAAATCATAGGAGCTGCGTACTCTGCTCGCGGCCCTTCTTGCACTGCTCGCAGTTGAGGCAGGAGTCGGCGAGCCACTTGACGCCGACGCGGTCGCCGATCTTCACCGGCGAGTTCGCGGTGTTCGCGCCTGAAGTCGAGGTTAGCTGACAGCCCCCGTCACGATGAGACAGCTGCGCATACCAATGGCGACGACGATCCCTACGCCCTCGTGCCCGCCAATAAGCGGGGTCTTGGGCGGAATGGGCCAGTCGCCGAGCGCGGCGTGCAGGTCGGTGTGGCAGACGCCCGTGCAGATCATCTTGAGGAGGCACTCGCCGGGCTTGAGCTCCTCGGGGCGCTTCACGCGCACGTCCTTGATCTCGATGGCGCTGCCCGCCTGCGGCACGACGGCCGCCTTCATCGTCTGCGGGATGGTGTGTTGCTGGCACATAGCGGGTACGGAAGCGGAGAAGTGGCGAGCCCGGAGGTCGCTGGGGGAAGTCTAAGTCTATGAGGTGTGTGTGTGGATAGCACGCCGTCCTCACCGTGCGCTCGCGCCTTTTATCCCGCCCGCGAGGGTGCTGAGCGCCGGGTACGCGGCGCGCGCCCACTGCGTTCCAGGCCGGCGCAGGAGGAGGCTCATCGAAGACGACCTGGACAGGGCGATAGTAGAGGCCATGCGGGTAGCGCGTCGGTGCTGTGTCGGGGTCGGTGCTGGACTGCGCAAATACTTCCGAAGCGCGGGTAGGCCGATGTAGAGCGCGAGCAGCGCGCGCGCGCGGCACGTATAAATGGCCCATCGCAAGTCTAGGCGGCTCCCGGAATTTGTCGCCGGCGGGCAGGGGCGGGCGCGCCATCGCGGTCTCGATAGAGAAAAGTCTACAAATTCGCAGGTGCAGATGACTCGCAGATGACCAGAGTGCGGGGACTGGGTCCTTCCGGACGGCGTGCGCCTACTAAATGTTGCCCCATAACTCGGCCGCGTCAAGAGAGGGGCGGGCGACCGTCGGGATCGAATGTCGCGCGGAGGATTGGGAGGTTGTCGCACGGTGCTCGCTCGAACATACCAGGTATAGTAACCGCGACGAGTATGGCATTCATAGAAGCACGAGCAGGAGAAGCAGACGAAGGGAATCAGACACGCTCAGACACGCCAAGGAAGCCCGCGAAACCGGACGGAAGAGCGGCGGAACGGCGGTCAAAAGCGATAATGGAGCTCCGGTCCGAGATCCGGACAAGGCCTCGGCCCGGGCGATCAAAGAAAGTTCAACTTCCCACGCTGTTTTCTCCCGTCATCACAACCAGACTCGCCAGAAGGACTTCGCCATCAGTGAACGAAATCAAGTCTATCTTCACACTATACCATTGATGCTCCCATCTACGATGTCGACGAGGCTCCCTCGTCAGTCTCCTGCGCGCTATCCTTCTCTAAGAAAAATTCTGACGGACTCACCCTCCTTCTCAAGATGCCACCTCCGTGGAACCCTTCGAACCTAGAGTAACCTCCTACGGTGGTCGTGGACTCTTTGCCACAAAACCTATCTCTGCTGGGACTCTGCTACGCACCTGCCCTGCGCCCTACGCCTCGGCGATTTACGCGCCCTTCCGCAAAGAGGTCTGCGCGCACTGCTTCGCCTACGCCTTCGACGCCGGGAAAAATGCGTGGAACGTCAAGCACGACGCCTCGCCTGCGTCGCGATTTTGCAGCGTGGAGTGCATGCAGTCTTGGGCTGGGGAACACGACCTGTCGCTCGTGGCACGCGTTGAGAAGGCGGTGCAGGGACTGGCGAAGTCTAGCCTTGGTGTCAAGAAACCCGTGGTGGCGCCGGTAATAGCATTCGACGGCGCCGCCACAGATATCACGATGCAGGACCTCGACGAGGCATGGCAGGCGGCGGAGGCGATGGACGTGAAGGCAGGAACACTCGTGCTGGACGAGATGGAGGAGGAGATTATGCGCTTCGTGCTCTCGGCGATTTTGCGCAAGTATCATGAGGACACTGCTGGACACGCCGCTAGCGCTCATGACGGGGTGCTTTCTAGTACTCGCGACGACGGCGTTGTCGGTCAGGTCGCCCCTGCAGACTCTAGCGCCGCTCCCACCATACCAACGAGTCCGGCCGGCCCCTTCTCCGCCTCCATACCGACCTATCCGGCCGGCCCCTTCGCCGCCTTCCTCGAGCTCCAGGACAACGAGCTGCAGCACGTGCGCACCAACCCTGCCATCCTCCCCGCGCAGATCCGGGTGTGGTTGTTTGTGAGGTTGGCGGTTATGGGTCTTCCTGCAAGGGGCGGAAGGGGGTCGCGGGAGTCGTCTGCGCGCGGTTCGCGGGATACGTCTGTGTGGGGGTCGCGGGGCACGTCTGCGCGGGGCTCGCCAGACACGTCTGCGCGCCAGTCGCGTGAACCATCTGCGCTCGGATCTCGCGCCTCCCCTGCTCCTGGCGCGCAGCGGACCTCCCCTTCACGGGCTTACCCCTTCACCGCCACCCCCGAACTCCTCCGCAAGGCTGCGGTGCCCGAGCCCCTCCCCAAGGGTACAGTGCCCGAAACCCTCCCCAAGGCTGCGATATCAGAACCCCTCCCCAAGGGTACAGTGCCAGAACCCCTCCCCAAGGGTGCCGTGCCCGAACTCCTCCCCTACCTCTCCACGCCCCACCTCCTCCGCGCCATCCTCGCCCGCGACCACGCGAACGCCTTCGGGCTGTTCGACATGCAGGAGACGGGCGAGAGCGAGATGCTCGGCTGGGCGGTGTACGTCGCGGGGAGTTATTTCAATCATGGTGAGTGTGGGTGGTTTTCTTTGTTCGGGGAGAAGGTCCTTGTTCGGGGTGAAGATTATCGCCTTCATAAAAAGAACTTAACAGAGGCAAGGCGCTGTCATACCCTCTCTTTTCCATCTCCCTCCACCTCTGTCCCACCTCCCTCATCCTTTGTCCCATCTCCCTCCTCCTTATCCTCTCAAGCCCTCCTGCCCTTTCTTAATTATCCCAAATAAAAAACCTCGTCTAACCACCACCCCCCCTCCAGACTGCGCCCCCAACGTCCGCAAGCTCCGCCGCGGGCGCGCGCTCCAGTTCGTCACCACGCGCGACGTCGCGCCCGGGGAGGAGCTGTGCATCAGTTATGTGGATACGCAGGTGGGTTTGGGTGTGGGTTGGGTCGGTCGTGCGTGTTAGTAGGTGGAGGAGTGATATGGCTGTCGAGGGAGGGTTGAGTCGGTCGTGCTTGTTAGGTTGGGTGGTGATATGGCTGTCGAGGGAGGGAGGATTGGGTCGGTCGTGTTTGTCGGGGTGGAGGATCGTGCTTGTTGGGGTGGATGATCGTGGGCGGGGGATGTGCGATTCCGCTCGCGCGTGTGGCGTCTGCCTGTTGGGCTGGCAGACGTACGCGCGGCACCCGCCCGCCAGGCTTCCATGCAGCTATGATCTGCACGCTGTCGCTGGACAGGAACTGCACACTGCTGATGGACAGGAACTGCACGCTGCTAATGGACAGGAACTGCGCGCTGACCCGATCTCGCAGGACACGAAAGCCAGCCGCGCGGCACAATTTGCGCAACACTGGAACTTCGTGTGCGGGTGTGGGCGGTGTCGGGGCGAGAAGGTCGAGGTTTGCGAAGCGACGTGCGGCCTGGATTGTGACAAGCAGGCCCAGCAGAGCTGACAATGATGGACTGACGCGGAGGGAGTGCTCGCGGATGTGATCGAGGGGAAAGGCGCGCCAGGGATGAAGACCATGGAACATATAGACGGGTTCTGGATTCTGGGAACACGGGTAGAGATCGCATAACATGGGTAGAAATTGCATAACATGGGCAGAGATCACATAGAGGCGCGTAGACGCACATATAGTAGAACATAGACTTATGTATAGAGCATAGTCGTACACAGTGCACAGAATCGTCGATGCATAGACCACGCAGATTATCGCTGCATAGACCTCGCAACGGACTTGCATCAAACTCCCAACCCCCTCGAAAGGAGCGCGGCGTCGGCGTGTATCTAGTCGCGAGGTAGTCAGCGGATCAAGCGAGGGGCCTACAGCGGGTCTAGCTAAGGTGTCTGCAGCGGGTCCAGCTGAGGAACCTGCAGCAAATCCAGCGAGCAAGCATGCCGTCATGATCAGGAATATTGTAAGAACCGCACTTGTGGGTCGACATCACGTGCTTACGGAAATATCGCTTGCCCGATACGGTATACAGTTGCATACGGGATGGTCTAATTTATCTCGAGAGATACAACTGGATACGGGATTTATCTCAAAAGCTGCCGAGTTGTTCGAGATTGTCCCCGGACCACCTAACATGCTCCTCCGCCTTACCCTCGCGGCGAGTTCAGTGTATCTCTGCCATCCATTGGATGCGTAGGTATATCGCTCAATGAGTGCGTATCTCTGGAGCTCGTCGAGTGTGTAGCTCTGCCATTCAACGAGAGCACCAGCGCCGCTCTGCCTTTGTGCGGACTCGAAGAAGGGGTCCATGACCCGGCGAACAAGTCCAGCCCTGCCCTGGCGAACAAGTTAAGCCCTGCCCTTGTCCGCATAAGGATATCTCTGTGGTGCACGAGGTGCACCCTCTATGGCGCACGAGGTGCACCACAGATGGGCGTCTATCTCATTGAGCGGGAGTGCTAGAAGTGGCGCTTCATTTATGGGATAGTAGTGGCGCTTCAAATGCGCGCTCAGGGACAGGCCTACATTGAAGGGCGGGGCTCCCTTCAAGTTCAGCACCTGGCACAAACCTAGTAGCTTAGCTTTCGCTGCGATGGAGGCGCCGATGCGCCGACGCCAGTACAGTACTGTTACTGTTACTACTCAGCACAAGGAAACGTAGAAGTGCCGATACAGTACAAGGGGCTGGCCGAACCAATCTATATGGCGTCCCTAGCTTACCGATACAATCTGCGGCTTGCTGCGCCAATACAAGGACGCGTACTTGTATAGAGTCCTTAGCTCGCCGACCCGGGCCTCCGAGTCGACGACATAAGGAGGACACGGGCCGAGAGGAGAGTTCATGCGGACCTAAAGAACTCTTCGAATGCATGGACCTCTACAGCCCTTCCACGGGAACCAAGGACATTGCCGAGGGGAAGAAGTAGGCCAACACGCATCACTCACGAGTTCGATGGCCATTGCGCGACTGAGATATGCGACAATCCCAGAAGGTGGTTTGGTTCGGGGAAGTAGGCGTTGTGGCGCAACGCGAGGGGGGGGAGACGCAGGAGGAAGTTTAAGAGAGGGAAGGGGGGTCCAGCGCAAGGCGAAGGGGCGGGGTCAGGTGTTCGAGAAATACAAGGCGAAGTGGAGAGGGTAGCCAGGCCACCACTATGGCGTCGCAAGCGTTCAGCTGGCTCTGAAACAATGCTTCAGGAATCCTGACGCAACGCGAAGAGCTCTTGACAGTTGACGCAGCGCTTGAAGCGTTCTTGACGCAACAGCGAAGGCGCACGTCGATCCTAGAAGCTCCAATAGGATGGCGCTGGTATACACGATGCGAACGACGCGCTGGTATACAGAACGCGCATGCCGCGCGGTAAATAGTGCTTTTAAGCGATGCCCACAGCAGAACCCGTATAATATAGCCCGGAAAACATGCTGCAGCCGTACCTCTTCCTAGCCTACTTCGTGAACGCCTTGATAAGCTTGGCGGAGATGTGAAGGAAGAAGATGGAGGCAATGAAGGAGACGGCGAGGACGACGACGACGTGGGGCTCGCTGAAGGGGGGAAGACGTCAGAGGGGGGCTGGGGGGAGTATCTCTGGACACGCACACTCGCCACCCGGGTGAGTCGTCGGTGTACAACTTGAGCATGGTGCTCGAGGAGCCGCCTGCGCCGGCTGCGCGGGATGACGCAGGTTTTGCGGCTGCGCTGGAGGGGGTGGCGCGGCGCCTAAAGGTGGAGAAGAGCTCGTCAGAGGAGCACGGCAAACGTAGCGCATTGACACGCACCTGAGCGCGCCTGCTGGCCTGGCAACTCCTGAGGGGCTGGTGGGGCGGACCGCTTTCGAGCTATCGGAGTCAGACTGTGCGCAACGTCGTTAGTCCACGACAGTGAATACGCGGCTTGACTCATACCATGGTGGAGGGGGAAAGGAACGTAGGGAGCTGGATGGATGTTGGCGTGCTGCAGACGTGGAGGAGGAGGTGCGCTCCACGTGGAATCAGAAGGGGGCACGTGAACGGGAGCCTCGGAAAACAACACGAGCAACGCGAGGCGCGCGGTTTACGTCTTGTTCCCGACGTCCATCTCCAGGCTTCGGCGACGGCTTTCGTCAGTGTATCGCCCTTATCGCGTCTCAATGCGCCGCCAACCTTCGAACCTTCGAGTGTGTGTCCAGCGAGAGGCAGCATTGTCGATGACATGTTCGGCGCAAATTAGACGACGGTTATCAGCTTGCTTCGACTGAGGATTACGCAGATTGGGTTCAATTACAAGACCTTTACTCTTGGTGGTTCTCTGAACATCTTGTTCTCCTGCTTACTTGGTCTATCACGCTCCTCGGTTTTCGGGTGGTGGCGCCGGTGACACTCGCGCTATCTCGCCAAATTCCGCGGCCTTCGGTGCCTACCCTCTGGATAGGCCCAACCTAGGCAATATCGACGATTCTCCTCCTGACCTTCGTCTCGAAGGCGACTGTGGGTCCATCGATAACGGCCAAATGGAGTAGCCCTTGACACTCGCTCACATGTCGACTTTGCGCCGTTGTCTCGTCTGCGCAGCTTCCCACAAGAACAAGCTAAAGCCCGGGAAACCGCTGACCACACGATGTGACCAAGAAGTACCCTTTTGTGTGTCCATCTGACCCGCAACAAAGGCATCTCACGGGCACCGGTCCTTCACTCTTCCTTTCTCTCTTTCAGCTTTACCAGTGTTCATCGATGTTGCTACATCGAGCAGTGTACAAACTCAGACAGGATATGGCGAATGCTTTCTCAACTTGCTATCATCATCTTCAAGCAGTAAGACGATCCTTCTGATCTCCCGCACCACTGACGCCCAATCGAATCGGGCGCCTCGATATCCCTTCCAAGATGAGCACGTCCCATTGTCTCAGGATACCACCCGCATGCAGGCAGCTTGGTTTGCGCTAGCGCCCGCTCAGCTCCTTATCGTCCCAAAAGCGGTTTACGCGCATCAGCCAGTTCGCCTCGAGGCCGTAGCACCCCCGAAGGAGCGCCCCAGAACGCCCCATCAGCGTGTATTCCGAAGAGTTCATTTCGGACTCGTGTTCGTCCAGCACCATGACTGCCGCCAAGGGTCAGCCTCATGTCGCTCTATATAAGCGCCCGCACGCTGATCATTCGCCCTGGGATTCACGCCCCTCCATCCGTACTTCCTCACCTCGAAACGTGTCGTCGCGTCGACGCGCGGGTTTTTCGGAAACCCGCCCACCGCAAGTTACTTATCACCTTCGCTTTTGAAGCACCCATTCCGCCGCCCGCGCTGGCGCTGCGATGACGCTCTCGATCGCGGCCACGTCCGTGTGCGATGTCTGCCTGGAGCCCTTCAACACGGAGCGCAGGGCGCTCTGCTCGATCCCGTGCGGGCACGCCTTCTGCTTCGAGTAAGCCTGCGCGCGCCTCCACCGCGATGCAGAACATGTACACTAAGTCTGTGCTGCAGCTGCCTGAAGCGCGTGAAGCCCGAGTGCCCCCTTTGTCGCCAGCCCTTCGAGTGGTCGGGCATCCTGAGGCTGCACATCGACATTGAGCCGCCGATCAACGCGAGCTCGCCCGCGTCCTCTGCGGGTGCGCCGGACTCGCCCTCCTCCGTGTCCTTGGCGACAACCCCGGACATGCGTGCGCGTCAGCTGCAGGAGGCGATCGTCACCGTCGCAAACGTGGGCGCGAGCGAGGACCGGTACCGTCAGCTCATTGCCGAGTGCCGCGCCTTTCTGAAACCACTCCCCAAGAACTCGGTGAGCATCCGTCCCTTTGCATGATAGTAGTGGGGTTGTGATTTTGGTGGTGCTACGGTGTGGTGGTACTGGTGGCACCGGCAAGGCTGACCTCTAGCCTAGTACCAGGAGCTACGCGTGAGCATGCGCATGATGTCGTACGTGTATGACATCAAGAACGAGCTGCACGAGATGACGAAGGCGAAGAACGCGCTCGACGTGGAGTGCGCGCGCCTGCACAAGGACGTCGCGCGCCTCACGCAGAAGGTCGCGGACCTCGAGGCGGTCAACCGGGAGGAGAAGGACCAGGCGACGGCCGCGCAGAATAGCCTACAGGCGAAGGTCGACATGATGCTCCAGATGATGACCAAGTGCGTTTGCCTAGCCTATCGTGCGCAAGGGCGAGTGCTGACTGCCTTCCTCCCCCTTGCCTCCCCACTGTACTTCTTTGCTTCTCTTCCATTGTCCTACAGCGAGGTACGTGCTTCTTTCATATCTTTAAGCCTAGACTTCGAGAACTGACGTGCTTCTCTTCTTTTCTTCCCCTTCGCACAGTTCGCCCAGCTACGCACCATGGCGCAGTCTACACAACCCCTCCCCCCGGAGAACGCATCCATGTCCGAGATGCTTGACGCCACCGTTGCGTACTCCAACCCCGAGTCCCTCGAGAACGAGCGCCTCCTCTCTGCGTTCATGTCCCCCATGCCGCTCCTTACGCCCGCCCTTGCGCGCCCTATGGACGACTGCGGCGCCAGCAGCCCCGCGCTCAACCTTGACCTCGACGCGGCGGGTGGGGAGTCCGCGGTCAAGTGCGCCGCGGTCGGGCACCCGTACTCGTGCCACTGCGTGCCGTGCAATGTGTTCGCGGACCACGAGGAGGCGGCGCAACCGGTCCCTGAAGAGACCCCCACGCGGCCCGCGTCGCGCGCGCCCTCGCGCCGCGCGAGCACGAAGCGGATGAAGAGCGGGCTGTCGCTCACGGCGCCGGGGAAGGACGGCGAGGCGCAGGAGCGGCTGGCGTCTTCTGCGGCGGGGCGCCACGGCCGGATGCGCTCGGTCACGACGGTGGGCTACCGCGAGGGCGAGGCGGTCGCGGGCGGGACGGACGATACGGGCGACGGCAACCCCATGCTGCGCAACCGGCTCCACGACCTGCTCAACGACCCGCGGGGCGCGCGCAATACGCCCGCCACCGTGTCCGCGTCCATGCCCGCCATGTCGTCGATGCCGTCGCGGACACGCCCGGTCGTGGCGCACTCGTCGTTGTCTGCTATACCCGACGCGCCGTCGCCCACTCGGGAGGAGGCGCCATCGCGTAATGCGTCCGCCTCTTCCTCGTTGCTGTCCTCCTCCCTGCGCCCCCAATGCCTTGATGAGGCGCCGACAGAGCCGACCACTGCCACCTCGCACATCACCAGCGAGCACGCCACGCCCCGGCGCCCCTCCGTCGTCTCGCACGCCTCCAAGGCCGCGCTCGCGCTCGAGCAGACACGCCGCCCGCACTATTCCTCTGGCCGCGAATCCACAGAACCCACGCCCGAGGACCACCTCCGCGCGACGCAGCCCATCCCCATCCAATCCCATTCGCGCAAACGCTCCGATGCCGCCGACTGCGCGTTTGGCTCGCTCAGGGAGTACGGGCCCAGCGAGGGGTCCTTCGGGGGCGCGTCGTATCGGGACAATGGGGGCACATCTTACTCTAACATGGACAACAGTGGCACGTATAGGGAATCCACGCCCGACCGTGACGTCTTTGGCTCGCCACCTGCGGAGCCACCATACTATCCATCCGTATCGCGCAAGGCCAGCCTCCGCCGGCCGAGCGCTGCTCAGTCCTTGGGGTCGAGCGGGTCTATCCGCACGCACCGGGACACCTAAACAACACCGCCTTCAGTGTGCTTTCTTTGGCGCCCTTCCTCCTGAGGCCTCTGCTCGGCGGTCTGGCGTACTCTTTACACAGAGGCGTCTCCTTGCGAGGCATCTCTAACCGTACTTCGCAGCGCACTCGCGACCTGCTGTGTGGAATGATCTTGTATAGCGTCCCATCTCATCCAGACTGTCTCGTCCCATTCCACTCATACTGTCTCGTCCCATCTCACTCATATCTAATGCTCACTAACTGGATCTGGAATCATCTGTATGCCACCGACTTGCACTCACTTGTTATATTATCGTCAATACTTGCTAGCACCAATTGTATTGGACTTGTAGTTATCTCGCAACAGTGTTGTCTTGCGTCAGTTGGGTCTGCTGGCTGTCGCCAGAGCCGACTGGCGCAGTTCTGCCCCTTCATTGTGCTCGGCATTCACTGGAGGAAGCTCCGGCGTCGCCGACTCTAATTCTACCTTGCGCCGGAGAACTTGGGTACGCGCACTGGAGTCTGCTTGCGTGCGTGTGGCTTTACAATCGTTCTACTGATCAGAGCGCATTCCAAATCCATGGGATTTGGCGGGAGAGACTTTGCGAGGTAAAATGGATAACACAGAGCGCGAACATCGGCTAGCTCGTGGCATCGAATGACGAACGGATGCATTGTCGCGTATGTACGTTGTGATGTATAAATATCTAGTTGAGTGAGGACGTGCGAGAGAGAAGCTGGACAGGTTGGTGAGCGATACGAACAGCGATTATAGCGATAGAATCCAGGGCTGTCAACAAAACGTACTGAAGCGTGAGGGGAAGTACCATTCGCGTCCGTCAAACCTTGAGCGTATCCCGAATCTGCTCGCCCACCTCGCGCGACCGCTCAATGAACGCCCGGATCTGCGCCTCGCCATCAAGGCGGATTTTGTCCGCGGCCAGCTCCATCTGTGCGCGGATCCACTCCTCGACGGTCATATCGAGGTCCTCGTCCGGGATGCTCGTCAGCGGCGGGAACGCGCTCTCGCTGGTCATTGGCTGGCTGGAGGCGCGCGCGTCTGCGGTCGATTCTGCGAAGGGGTTGGCGACATCGTCGCCGAAGACGTCGGCCTTGTGTCCGTTCGGATGCGGCGCAGGCTCGTCGACGTACATCTTGCCCTCGGCCGCTCGCTGCTCTTCCTCTGCGCGGCGGCGTCGCTCCGCCTCCGCCTCTGCACGACGCTGCTCTTCCTCCTTCGCAGCCCGGCGACGCTCTTCGGCCGCGCGCCGCTTCTCCTCTTCCTCTGCGCGTTTCTGCTCCTGTGCGCGGCGGGCCGCTTCCTTCTTCTCCTGCGCGCGCCGCGCCGCCTCTTGCTTCTTCTCCTCCTCGGCGCGACGCTTGGCCTCTTCCTGTTTGGCCCGCGCCTCCCTCGCCTTCCGCCGCTGCTCCTCCTTCTGCAGGCGTTCTTCCTCCTTCCGCTGCTCCTCCTTTCTGCGTTCCTCCTCTTGCCGCTGCGCCTCCGCTTTGCGCTGCTCGGCGAGTCGCTCCTGCGCCTTCCGCTGCTCGTCGCGACGACGCTGCTCTTCAGCCGTGCGGCGGCGCAGTTCTTCTTCGGCCTTGCGAGCCTCAGCAGCCCGGCGGACTGCTTCGCGCCGGGCTTCGTCCTCGCGCTTCTTCGCCTCCGCTTGCCGTGCCCTCTCCGCCTCCTCTGCTCGCCGCGCCTCTGCTTCCCTCTCCTCCTCTTCCCGTCGCCTCTCCTCTTCCTCCCGCTGCCTTGCTTCTTCCTCGCGCTCGCGTCGTTCCTGCTCTTCCCGCTCCCGCCGTTCCTCCTCTGCGCGTCGTATCTCTTCCTCCGCCCTCCTCGCCGCCTCCTCTGCCTTCCTCGTCTCCTCCTCCTCCCGCCTCATCTCCTCTTCCTCCTCATCCCTCGCATCCTCCATTGCCACATCGTCGTCTGATGAGATCTCGACGACCCGACTTGTCTTCCCGCGGCCATTCGTCGTCGGCCGTCGCGGCGGCACCTTGCTCGCCCGCTTCGCCTTGCCCGTCGCAGGGTCCGCGCCGCGCAGGGTGTCCACGCTCGGCTTGCCGCGTAGGGTGTCCACACTCTGCTTGCCTCGCACCGTGCCCTGCCCCCTCAGCGTGTCCACGCTCGCCTTCTTCTTCAGTGTCTGCACGCTGCTCGTCGACCGCGGCTTCCTCGGCGGGGGCGCGTCCTCATCGACGTCCATATCGTTCGCGTCGCCGCCGTCAGTTGACCCTGACGGCGTCGGTATCGACTCGGGCGCCGAGTCTTGCACGACGGAATCCGAGTCAGGCGCGGGAGGCTCCGAGTCGTGAGCAGCCAACTCAGGCTCAGAGTCTTCAGCAATGGGCTCGGGCTCCGAGTCAGAGACGATCTCCTCCGCCGGCGGTTTCTTCTTCTTGGACTTCGACGCCTGGCGGGACAGCGGTTTGGGCGGTGGTGGAGGCTTAGCTTCGTTGTCCTCGCCCTGCTCGCCCTCGGGATCTGCGGACTAAGGATCATGGTCAGTGCTCGGCAAAGAATGAATCGCATGTGCGAAAGCGCTCGCGAAGTACATGGGAATCAACGCCCCCCTTCGAAGCAAACCACCAGTAGAAAGAAATGCAACGCACCTCGCGCACCCCGCCCGCTGCTCCCTTCTGCACAGCCGCCTTGATCGTCTTCGACGGGGGCTTGGACTTAGACGGTGGTTTCGCCCGCGTCCGCGTCGACTGCCGTAGGACGATCGTCTCGTCCTCCTCATCCTGCATCGCCAGCTCGTCCTCCGTCGTCGATGCTGCTGGCGCCGGCGCCTTCGCCTTCCCCTTCAACCGCGGCTTCTGCGGCTTCGGGAACGGCGCCGGCGCCTCCTCCCCCTCGTCCTCCACCCACGCGCCCGGGAACTGGATTGTCGACTCGGCAGAAGCCTGGCTAGTGGACTCCGCAAGGGCGTTGTCGGCGGCCTTCTTCCCCTTCCCCTTCGCGCGCGTCGCCTTCTTCGGTGGTTCGGGCTCGGGCTCGGGTGACTCTTCCTCCTCCTCTGACAGCGCCAGCGCCGCATCCTCGTCAATAGTGTGCATGCTGGGCGCGACGGAGGGCACACGGCCCTTCGTCTTTCCCTTGCCCTTGCCCTTCGCTTTGGTCGTGTCTTCGGTGTCGCTGGCTGCCTTGCCCGCCGCCGTGCTCGCGACGCGTTTCCGCCCCCGCGGCTGCGCGGGCTCCGCCTCGCTCTCCTCTGTACCCAATCGCGACGGCGGCCGCGAGCGCGTACTTCGTCGGAGGCTGGTCGCTTCGGTTTGCACGCTCTGCGCGTCGCTCTCCTCTTCCTCCGCGGGCGCGGCGCTCTTCCCGCGCTTCGTCTTCGTCGAGCGTGACGGCTTGCGCGCGAGCGGCGCGTCCTCCTGAACGACCGACTTCGTGCGCGAGCGAGTCGATTTACGCAAGTTCTTCCGACCGCCGCCATCGTCATCATCATCCGACCCATCGAACTCCTTCACGCTCTCAACGACGTCCTCGTACTGCGACTGCGAGGCCTGTCGCGACGCGGGGCGCGCGGACGAGCGCGAGGGCTGGCGCGAGTGCGATTTGCCCTGCTGGGAAGTGGATCTGCCCAATTGTGATGTCGACGCCTTGCGGGACGCGGGCTTGGCGGATGATCCGTCGGACTTCTTGAGCTGCAGGAAAGGGCAGGGGGTCTGTAATTTGAGGCCGCGTTTGTAGTGTTCTTCGCTGTGCGAGGGTCAGTTGCGCGAGCTGAGAATGGTATGCTACACACAGAGGGTCATCGTCCGCGTCCCATCCGCTGAGTGAAGTGCCGCAATAGAGGCACATCGCGCCGTCGTCGCCGGGGTGTTGGGGCATGTAGATGAATCCTGCCTCGGCCATCTGCGGTGGTCGTCAGGCGACGGTGCAAGGGAGTGAGCGGGGGTACGCACCCTCTGCGAGGACGCGCCGTGATCCTTCCCGGCGTGCGGCCAGCCTTTGCCCTGCGAGAACGTCATAAGGCGGGCCTGCACCATCATCGGCGTCGTGGGGATGCGCGTCTTGTCCGGGTAGGTGTATCTGCGCCATTGTCAGTTCGCAGATCGCATCCCGTATCCGACCACGCACTGTCCGTTCCTGTCCATGTCCGTGCTCAGTCCACAGCGCAGCACCGCCCACGCACAACGTCGGTCGGTGCCGCATTTCTGCCAGTGCACCTCGAACGGGTCATCCTCCTCCTCCCATTGCGACAGCGACTTGTTGCACATGAAGCACGACACGTTGTCGCGCTCGTCGTACGCCGGGTCGTAGTAGAAACCGGCCTCCGCGAGAACCTGGGGAGTGGCCAAATGCTTCGATTTGTGCGGCCATTTCGCGAGGACGGTAGAGTTGGCCTTGTTGGGGTTCTTGACGCGCTTTCCCTTGGCAAACGAGGCTTCTCGCAGATCCAGGCATTCCATCTTGACCGGCGACGCGATGGTTCAAGATCAAATATTGCGCTTACCGGGCGCTTGCCATGATAGCACGTGGTACGCGCCGGCACGTGACATTGTTTGTGCGTTCCAGGTCAATTCTTTTTCTCTTCTTTCGCCACCACCACCTCCTCCTCCCCTGTTCAACATTCATGAGCACATTGACGTCTGCAACCCTTGTATTATTTTCTTTGATCTGCAGCTCTAGAAATGCATTATCCAACATTGCAACTGCTAGGTGAAGACGCGTCTAGATGTCATTATAGATGTCTTGCTGAGGAGAAATACCATCCATCCCATATCCCGAATGTCTATTGCCCCTCCTTCGTCTCCTCCACCTTTACCTTCGCATCAACAAGCCCCGCCTCGTTCGCCAAGGAGTAGAACAGCGAGTCTCCCTTGGCGAGCAAATTCTGTGGCGTGTCAATCTCCGCGACCTGCGCACAACGTCAGCGTTCACCCTCGACAACCAAGTGAAAGGCTCATACCCGCCCATCGCTCATGACCATGATACGGTCGGACTCCATGATCGTGTTCAGACGGTGCCTGCACGAGAGATGCTCAGTCACGATTCCTCCCTCAACCACGAGAACCGGCCACTCACGCAATCGTCAAAATCGTCACATCATGGAACGCAGGCCCACGGATAATCTCCTGGATGGCCTGGTCCGTGTCCAAATCCACCGCCGACGTCGCCTCGTCGAGGACCAGGATCTTGCACTTCCTCAGCAGCGCGCGCGCAAAGCACAACAGCTGTCGCTGGCCCGACGACAAGGATTGTCCGCCTTCGCGCACGGGAGCGTCGAGCTTGCCTGGCAGAGACTCGACATACTCTTTCAGGTGTGCCTGGTAGAAGATGGGTCAACTTCAAGAGTCCACTCTTACATGCACAATATGAATCTACCTGACCAAGGGCCACCCAGATATCCGCATCTTGATGCTCGCCGACAGGGTCGATATTCTCTCTCAGCGTACCCTCGAATAGATCAGGCGATTGAGGAACGATGGAGATGTTTGAACGCACTGCAAGTTCGCGCCATCAGCATAACATGCAGGAGAGACATAGCACCACTACTCACAATCATGCAGCCCGATCTTCGTTACATCGACATCGTCGATGAGGATGGTGCCCTCAACCGGCTCAATGACGCGGAAAAGCGAGAGCAACAACTGTGGGCAAGATCAGCAATGCAGACAGAGCATTCGTACCCATCCCACCCACCGAACTCTTCCCAGACCCCGTACGCCCGACAATCCCAATCTTCTGCTTCGGTTCCTGCAATGGACGTCAGCGAATGCGCCTCCCGTACCCCAATGAAATGAAAGACATACAATAACGACATTGATATCCTTCAATACCAGATCCAACTCCGGGCGATACCTCGTCGAGTAATGCCTGAACTCGACCTTGCCCGCCTTCGGCCAGTCCTCGAGCTTGTTCTCCGGCTTCTCATAGGGCGCCTCGGAAGGAACCTGTTGCTCAATGAGTATACACCCTCCACGCGTCCACATGCCCAACGCAATCACCTCGATCTGGTGCATAATCCTCTCCACGCTGACGATGTTCTGCTCGACCTCACTCGCGGAGCGAATGACCCAGTTCAAGCTCGACGTCGTGTTCAGCGCATACGACAGCACCAAACCAACCAGTCCCGCATCCACGCCCGTAGTGATCAGCGCAGAAAGCGCCAGCAGCGCGACAAGGAAGATGATCGCCGCGCCAATGCCCTCCAGGCGCACCTGCAGCCACCGGTTCACCGACACGCTCGGCAGGTAGCACATCTGGTTGCGGTCGATGCGCTGCTGGTTGGCGATGACGAAGATGCGCTCCTGGCGGAAAGCACGGATCGTGGGCAGACCCGCAAGAGACTCGGAGAACCAGGCGAAGATGGGCGAGCGAGAGACAGCGTCGAGACGCTTGAGCTCGCGAGAGGTGGCAAGGTAGTATGTCATGACCCGAGAGTAGAACCAGCCTGCGGGCAGATCAGAATCAAGTATGCATTTGGCGCAAGATTTAGTGAGAACGCACCAAGAGGTATAACCGCGATCAAGAACGGCGGGAAGCTCACGCCAATGACCACGAGGATAGCAAGGCAAGTCGCGAAGGTCCTGAAAGTCATGCCTAGCAAGCGCGGCAGCACCTGGTCGACGACGTAGGTGTCACGCGAGAACAGGTTCAGGACACTACAAAACATCAGTCGGCTTGTCCAATAGCAGTGATGAATGCACTCACCGCCCCGTCGGCGTCAGCTCGAAGAAGCTCAACGGCGCGCGCATCAACCCATCCAGCATCTGTGCATCTCGTCAGCCTACCTCTGCGTATAGATTGCACGCTACCATCACTCACCGCATCGTGCATCCTCTTCGCACTGCGCATCCCGCAAGTCACAAACATCAACAGCACAGCGGCAAAATTCAACAGGATCGTCAACAGCGTCGACGCGCCGTATATGCCCAAGTAGAACCACACCGCATCATTAGCATCCGCGCCGCCCTCCTCATTATGCTCGCTCCAGCTCCGAAGGACGAGCGTCGACAATACCGACGCCGCCTGCTGCAAGATCGTAGCGAGGATGAAGAGCCAGAAGCCCCAACGCGACGCGGCCTTGATGTACTCTTGGTACACCCGCAACTTCACGCGACCCTTCTCCGAATGCTCCTTGGTCAGACCGGTCTTGCTCGCGGCGCGCGCTGACGGGACCACCACCATCGCCTTGGTGAAGCTGCGAGGGGCCTCACGCTGGAGCTTCTCGGACAAGATGGACGCGCGCTTGTCGTCCTCCACCAAGGTGCTGCCATCTTCCGTGGGTGTGGCGCTGCTTGCCCGTGTAGTGACATACGGGGTCGACGTGCCGGACGCATGTCCGACTCCATGTCCGCGACTATGAACGATTTTAGAGGACAGACCCTCGCAAGAAGAGAAAAACTCACACAAGCCGACTAATCTCACTCTCCTCATTGCTGATCAGCTCCGGGTACGTCCCCTGCTCGAGGATGATACCGCGGCGGATGAACGCAATGTGGTCAAACTGGCTGATGAAGGCGATGCTGTTTGTGACCAGTATGCGAGCCTTGTTCGCAAGAATGCCGCGGGGGCCGATGACATGATCTATGAGATATGAGACGCAGAGTCAAGGAAGCAATGTACGCAACACGCACCGAACAGATGTCTAGCAACATGGCTATCGACAGCGGCAAGCACATCGTCAAGGAGGGTCCTGCAAAGCGTCAGTTCGCTCGCTCAATTTCTGTTGGATTTCCGCCCTCACAAGTCAGCCCGAGCGTAGACAGCCCTGGCAAGAGCAACCCTAGCGCGCTGACCGCCGCTCAACTGATTATTGTAGTCAGCTAATGACCCAACACCTCTGATCCCGATATACTTACCGTGATTCCCTTCTCGCCGACCTCCGTCATATCACCTTCCGACAGAAGTGCCAGGTCAGGCTTCAATGCGCAGGCTAATTGCTTGTCAGTAATCAACCGCGATGCTGTATAGCTCCGCTTACCTTCCACGACCAAGTTATAGAAATCTTCCTCGTAGACATGGTTGAAGAGGATGTTCTCCCGCACGGTGGCTGACAAGATCCTACGCACAGTAATTGTATCAACTTCTGGAGACCAGTCTTGGCGTAAAACTCAACTCACCAAGGATTCTGCGGCGCATACGCCACGGCGCCGTTCACCAGCACTTCACCCTCGCGGCGGGTCATTTCGCCCACGATTGCACTCAGCAAACTCGTCTTGCCCTGTCCAACGCGGCCGAGGACACCGACTAGCTCGCCCATACGCACGGTAAGGTTGATGTCCTCGAGGGTGGGCTGCACAGCGTCCTTGGACCACGAAAAGTCGGCGTGCTTGATGCTCAAGACCTAGAGAAATGGAGGGTAGCGACTGATCAGCAGATAGCAAATGACAGTTGTTGGGCAGACGCACCTCATCTCCGACCTGCAAGTTCGGCCTCTCTGCTACCACCCGTGCATCCGTCTGCAGCTCATCCGCATTCAGGAAGCTCGACAGACGCTTGACGGACACGACAGCCTCGATGATATTGGATGTAACTTGCGCGAACTGGTTGATGATCACCAATGAGCTAATGCTCTTTGCACCTGAGGAGAGTTGCCACGTACCATAGCCAGCGGGAACTGCAGTAGCATGAACAGCGACATCGCCGGGAAGATGATATCCGCAGTCAAGGGCTTCGGGTACACTGCAGCGGCAGTAGCGAAAGAACTCAAGGCGACCTGAAGCGAGATGAGTATGACTTTCAGATGCGGTTTCAATGCAAGTAACTCACAATAAGCGGGATTCCACTCCACAGGGTGTTGCTGAGGGACTAGTGCTCTTTTGGTCAGCTATTGCCCGAACTTTGGAGGGACGATCACTCACCGTGACGATGCCGATCCGCTTGAGCATCTTCATCTCGAGGTTGTTGCGCACTTCGAGAATTTTGCGCATAAAGGCGAACTCCCATGCGTAGAGCTTGATGCTGGATTAAGGCGACTGTCAGTTTCGGACAAAGTCTTTGAAGACCAGCACGCACCTCTTGATGTTCGTAAGCAACTCGCTCATGAGTCGCGTACGCTGATCCCTGTTCTTCATCTGCTTCTCTTGCATGCGCTTCAGGATTGAGGCAATGACTGCAAAGGAATCGCTGGTCAGCGGTCGCCCTTAACAAGCATCGTGTGAACCACTCACAAGTATTCAGCGGCAACGACACAACCATGATCGCCACGCCCACAAACGCTGACCACCCAAGGATGTTGTACAACGAGATGAATGCGAGCGTGATCTGCAATGGTCCGCTGATTGCGATAAGCCCGTAGCCGCACAACTCTTGCATCCGCGTCGCGTCCACGCTCATGAGGTTCACGATGTCCCCGGACGCGCGGCTGCGCTCGTCGTTCGAGATGCGCAGCGCCTTTTCGTAGATGGCGGTGACGAGGCCGGCGCGGACGCGCATGCTGGCAAAGTGATCAGCGATACTAGACGGTCTCGACAACAAGCCCTCGCTCACCCCGTTTCAAACGTCCGCTGGAAGTACTGGTTCAAGATAATCGTCTGCGCCATCCCCGCCACAAACATTATGATCGCAATGAGGAACCCCTCTGCCTCCGTCGGCGCCTCACTACCCGCACCGAGCACAACCTGCCTCACCCACAGCGCAACCCGGAAGTCTGTCAATTCTTGACCGCCCCTAACCGCACGCTGATACTCGGAGATGTACGCCAGCAGCCAGCGCAGCAACTGCGGCTGCAAGAAGTTCAGGCAGTCCTGCACGACCTTGAGGCACGCCGCGACCGCGTAGGGGCCACCGTACGACAGGAAGAGCGCGACCCACAGCGAGCGGCCGCGCGCGAGGTGCCCGGCGAGCGTGTTGCCGAGGTTGCGGGACTCGTCCGCGGGCTTGAGTGCGGGCAGGTCCTCCTCGGTGATGTACTCCGTCGCGCCCTTGCGCATCAGCGGCGTCATCCAGCTGAAAAACTGGGGTAGGGGTTAGCGAATGTGCGAGATGCGAACCGGGCTCAAGGAATCTGCGAGAAGACTAGTGATCACCCCGGCCTCCGCGCAGCTACCCACCGGGTGTTTGACGCGCTGGGTGGGTGATAGATAGAGTACTGAGAAGTAGGCAGTGGGAGTAGAAGATTATCATAGAATGGGAAGGAAGGGAGGAATTCCCGAGTTGCTCAACAAGCCCGATGACTGAACGTACCAATTTGCTGTACACATTCGCCGTCGTAAGGGGGTGCTCCTGGTGGCCAGTAACCTCATCTATCTTCGGCGGGACGTCGAATTCGGGCCGCCAGCATTCCAGAACGCATGAAAGCAAGCCGCACGCGAGCGTCCCCGCTTTGAGCGAGACCAGAACGCGGACGTCGGCGAATGGGTGCAGGGAGAGCGCCGTGCGCAGCCACAGCCCGAGAGCAGTGGTGTAAGCGGGCCAGAAAAGCAGCAGCGTCGTCGACGACACCCGCGAACGCGTGTGGTTGAAGTAGGTGAGGAGGATCGCGGATGCGAGCGCGATGGGCTCCAGGATGTAGACCTGCCGGACCGCGACGCTGATATGCCGCAAGGCCAGCAATATAGCGCTCGCCGCGCTCAGCCCCAAGGCACCCAGAAGCAGAATCTACGCGTCGCCAATGGTCAACCCTCGGTTAGATCCACAAATGTCCACCACGCACTAATTTAGCGCCCAAGACCATCCGGCTCGTCCTCTTCCGTTCCTGCGCCTTCTGCAGGCATGCCTTGAGCGTCTTAAAGAGCCCTGAGACGAGCACAATGGCTAAGAGCGCCGACAGCAGTATGCCTTCCTCGAAGCATGGCGTGAGGTCGAAGGGGCGGGTGCGCGATACAACGCGCCAGCCCTCGTCATTATGACACGTCGCCATTGAGCGTGTCGATGGCGCAAGCTGCGTGGGATGACCGCGTCGAGTTCCTTTTTAACGTCGTCGTCGTCGGCGGTGATGACAAAGTGCCTTACAGATGCAGTTAATTTCAAATCGTTTTAGACGCTCAAGAATACAAAGATTTCCAAATGTAGCAGTCATTGTATTTCACGACGCTAACTGAATAAAATCTTCGAGAGCCGGGAGAACTCCAATCATTGACCTATGCCTTCGTTGAGGGAGAAATGATCGAAGCAGGTTCACTAGTGTCAAGGATTGGTTGAGTCAGTGTCACTCTAAAAGGGGCTATTCATCGCCGTATAACGAGCGAGGTTCTTCAAGTACACGAGTTGCAACGTTTCATAGGGAATGCGTTACCGACTCTGAGGCTTGAGCTCACGAAGTCAGTGTTCACTGATGGCATATGAGCTACGTTGCCACTACAAAAACCAACATAACTCACCACATATTAAAACCCTGCCAACGACGAAAAAAAAATCAGCTTCCAGCACAACACACCGCCAACCACACCGAACTTGACGCGACCACGCCGAATTCGACGCAACCACCCCAAACATAAACCGCCCACTCACCCCACTAAACAAAGTCCCATCCCTCTCCAGCACCTCCCCCTCCTCATCCCTCTTGACCGACCTTTCCGCCATCAGCTCCTCCCGGATCGCCAGCGCCTCCTCCCGGGACATCATCCCCGGCGTCAAGTCTGCCTCGATCGTGCTAATGAGCTCCGTCGGCAGGGTAGAGAGGCGGTTGGTTGGAGACAGTTGCGCGCCGTAGAGGGCTTCTTGCATGCATTCTTTCTGCTGCGGGGCGATGTCGGTGGCGGAGGGCACGGGGCGGGTCGGATCGACGAGGAAGAGGGCGAGGATCTTGCGGACGCCGGGCTTGGTGGGGTCGGTGAGGGCGAAGGGCGAAACCTTTGCGCGGTATGATTAGTATACAAGCGCAGATACGTTTGGAAACATGAGGAGTTATACGGACGGGTCCAGAACTGAACCCACCTTATGCTGGAACAAATTGGGAAACGCTATACAGCGGCCCTCCTTCGTCTGAATGCTCCCTATATCCTGCACGCACGGCCGGTCCCGCTCCATGCGGTAGAGCGTCCACATGCAGAAGACATCGTCCTGCCGGTGGTACAATGGCTCCGCGGTCGCCTGGCGGAATGCGAGTGTTGTATCCTGGATATTCTCGGACTCGTAGTAGTAGATGAAGGTGGACACAATCCGCTCGTTCCACATTCCTGTGATGAGCGCACGTCAGTTCCTCACGAGTGACGATTGAAGATGGTCAAAGAACGGTTAGGATGAGCAGAAACGATACACACCTTCCACATGCCACGTTCCCCCAGGGTACGCCGGATTGCCCGGCCCCAACACAATATTCGCCAGCTTGGTGATCACCTGAATCTCCCTCCCCCTCAACCCAAACACCTCTCTCTTCTCCACCAGCTTCCCATCATACTCCCCCGGCGCCTCCGGCAGCGCCATCGGCTTGCCCGCGAACCACGCGTCCCTCCGCGCCTTATACGTCTCCCATTCCAGGGAGTAATACGCGTAGTACTCATCGTCCTCCGGCGGATCCTCCGGCTCCCCGTCCCTCCACACGCAGTCCAGCCCCTTGCTCGCCCCGTACCAGCTCTTGCTCTCCAGCACGGGCCCCAGCCGCATCTTCGGCTCCCCGCGCCGCAGATCGCCCAGCACGCGCTCCCACAGCGGCACCGCGCGCGCGACGACGCGCTCAAGGACAGGCACGAGCTGCTTTGCGTGCTCCGGCGGGACGTTATTGATGTACGGCGACGCGAGGCGCACGCTCCCATCCTCTCGCACCTCGAAATCCGACGGCAGCCACTGGAAGCGCGGGGAGATGTAGCTGCGCAGGACCTCCGCGTCCCGCAGGCCATACTCCACGGCCGGGTCGCCCGGGCTATGGGCGGAGGGCGAGGGCGGAGCGAAGGTCCCCATCGAGCCATCGGGCTGCTTGCCGAGTGTCTTGCCGTAGACCAAGGGATAGAGCGAGGGGTGCACGAGGTCGAGGACTTGCTTGTTGGAGCCGGGGTGCCAGTCCTTCTGTTCTTCGGGAACGTTTTCGAGGGGCGCGACGGCGGCGCGGAGGGCGGCGCGCAGTTCGTCAGAGATGAGCTTGTCGGAGCGCCAGATGCACTCGTAAGGGCCGCACTGCGTGTGCTTGTGAGCTATACACGTAGAACGCCCCGCATATATCCACGCACCTCAATCCCCGTTTCCTCATCCCGGAGCTGGGCGTAGTCCTGCAGCTCACCAAGCGTGTAGTTGATCTGCACCGATCGAGCGTTAGCGGCCCATTTGCACATCTTCAAGACGTTTGCTTACCATGTTATCGGACAAGCGCCACCGCTTCTCCTCCTTCTCCTGCTGTGCCTTCACCTCCTCGAACCACTTCTGCCTGATCTCGGGGTCCCTGGCTTTGCGCCACCACTCAGGCTTCTCGCGCAGCGTCGCAGACAACTGATACATCCTCAACTCGAGGATCTGCGATATGTATCAATAATCGCGCAAGGAGGTACGACGACCACGCACCGCCCGAGGTGCCCACGTCCCCTTGGGCTCTTCATCGTACTGCGAGCGATCAACGAAGGGGTGCGGGAACTCTGGCTCGTATGCAGTTTTCGCGGCCTCCGTCATGGCGGTGTATCAGTGACCACTTGTACTTGAGGGGACTGGTATCAACGACAGCTGGTCCAAATCCCAGCGGGCTCGGGATGAGAAGTATCCGATGAGGTCTGCGTAAGACACTGCTCGCGCATGACCTTTATATGGGCGCTCGAAGGTACGATCGCGCCAAGGATGAGTCCGCCCTACTCAGGGTTGCGTTGTATGCAGAGATTCTGTTGCGTGCTGTTCCTGAGGTTTGCCAGAGTGCGCTTCCGAAATTGAGTCGCCCGGAACGAGGACGCGCGCGTTCGCCTGCGAACGCGTGGAGTCACATCAATGCACGTGGCTGTCACAGTTCGTTTTCGGCTCCGTCCGACGACGAAGGGCTCCCCGCCTCAATGTGTCAAGTGAGCAGGCCGATAGCGTGAAGACCAGATGGTAATCCTAGGTTATTACTCAACAGTATCTTCGCACATCCCCTGCACTTATTCCGTTTTCCTTAGCCAGTGCTCACTGCAAAGTGATCAGTCACTCCCCCCAATCATGCTCCTCCCTGTTGTACGAGCGATCCACAAAGGGATGCGGGAATTGATCTTCTTCATACTTACTTCCTTTGTCAGGCACAGTGAGGAGCCTTCGGGCGGATGTGCTAGAGAGATTTCTGAGATACTTCGTATGGTGAAGGTCACAATCCAGGACAAGGAGCGCCTGCAGCTGCATTGCAGGCCCGGTCATGAGTTCTACGTGCGCAGGGCTATGTTAGATGTCTGGGAAGGCGCGCGGCGCTTCAGCATATGATTACCAGGTGCACGGCGATTCCGCACATGAGTGGACCTAAGTCGCCGGCTGGGAGCGACAACCAACACGCGCGCGTCCACGACGAGTCACGACCAGGTGATGCGTGAGTGTCACGATTCGTTTTCGGCTACGGTGCCACTGCAGCGCAGGTGAAGCTTTTTCTGCAGGTACCAAGACAGGGAGCAGGCTAGACTAATTACACGCATAACATGTTGCATCGCAATTGCAAGTACAGAGCAAACACATTGTTCCACACACAGATATCCAAAACACTGAGAAATACACCTTCATATGTTCATCTCCGCCGATAGCTCTGAGTCGCCTGTGAGCCACCCTCAGGCGTACCCGAGGGCCTTGAGCGCATGCTTCGCCCCGCGCTCCTTAGCATCGCTCGCCGTCTGTCCAAACGCCGTAATGATTCGCGTCTGGTCAAGCCTGACCGACGTCGCCCACTTGTACGTGCTCTCGCCAAACTGTCAACGCAGTCAGTATTCCGCACCCTCGTCAGCATCGAACCACCCACATAAGCCGTCGCCCGACTAATCTGCCGGTACATATCCCCATTCACCATCCATAGCGCGCCCCTCCAGTTCGTTGCAATAAACTCCACATCCTCGCGCGTGCACAACTCCCGCAACGCCTCCTGCGCGCTTGCCGCCAGGGGCGAGTGCAGCAGCGCCGCATTTTCGGACGCCCTCCGCAGCGTCTCACCCTCGCCCACGGCGCGCGGGACACCGCCGAAGAGGAGGAGGACGCAGCGGAATTTCTCGTCGGGCCCGATAACCGTGTCGAGCCAGTTTTCGAAGTCAGGGGTCACGAGGAAATGGCGCTTGTATATCAGGCGTCTGGCGGAATCGGCGGGTGCATGACTGATGATATCGGGTGGTGGGACGGGGTCGATCAAGGTCGAAGCTGGGATCTCTGCATCGTCGTGTTCCGAGGAGTCGATGAACTCGAGCCCGGAGGAAGGCTCTGAGTCCAGGACTATTTCATGTGCAGGTGCGCTAGAGGAGTAGACGACGTCCGGATCGGGTAGGGGCACATCAATGGCAGGAAGGCGCTCTGGATCATGCTGCATGGACGAAGAGGACGCAGGGCCAGCCATATGCATAGCATAGTCCGGGGAGTCCTCTGAGGCCTCGTACAAAGGATTGATGTTCTCTACGCCCTGCTCCGTTTTCATTAGTTCCCGTCTACAAACTTGTATGAATCGTACCTCTTGCTCCATGGCCGCCTTCATCGCCTCCGCACGAATCTGCGACGGCTGCGGCTTCGGTGTCGCAGACTCTCCACCGTCTCCGCCCTCGGTTTTCGTCCCCGCCAACCGCTTCTCCAACACATCCAATGGCAACAAATACCCATGTGGCGTCTCTTCGTCCCTCTCCTCCCTCACACTTCCCTCCACGTTCTCTTTCACTCTATTCTCCCCCCTCTCATCACTCTGGCCTCTTGCCTCCGTACTCGGGCCTCTTGCCCCCGTACTCGAGCCTATTCCCACCCCCATCCCCACCTTCTCCTCCACCCTCACCCGCCTCCCAAACCGCCTCTTCCACGGCGAGTCATTCGTATACCGCACCATCATGCTCTCCTCCCCAAACCCCGGATCCTGCTTCTTCCTCAGCTCGAACGCGCGCTCGAGTTCAGCTTTGAAGATCGGCCGGAGCCACTCGCGGACAGCGTCCAGCCCTTGGTCGTAGTAGAGGCCGCCGACGTAGGCCTTGGGGGTGGGCGGGATATGGTGAGTAAAGCGATGGGGTGGGAGGATAGGATGGAGAAGGGGGGCATGTATGGAGTGGGGATGATGGGATGTGGTGAGTCCGCTGGGGACCGAGCAAAGCCAAACCTCACCTCGAACAGATCCGCATGAATCTTATGCTCATCCAGCCCGTCGACAAGCTGATACCCCGGGTCCAACGTGAGCGAGCGGTGCAGCTTGTACTTGACCGCTCTGCGTGTGCGTTAGATGCAGAAAAGGAGTGTATCGGGTTATAGGTCAACGCACAAAGAGCCCAAAAACCGATTCGACGCCAGGTCGCCTTTCAGAATCTGTCTAGGGGTCAGTCAGGTATTCTCGTGTTATCGTAGTGGAGGGAAGGGATTACGGGCCCCTAAAGGAAAGGGCGCGTCTCGGAAGGGAGTTTTCCATAGACTAAAGAAAGAGAAATCATCTCACATGCAACGACATAAACTTGACGTTCGGAAGGTACTCGGCGAGGTAATCCCAGGCGAGCAGGCTGACGATGGCGTCGCCGAGGGATTGATATCTGTATAAACGTACGTAAAACTGAGGATCGGCATGAGTTCGTAACGTTGAAGCTCACATCGCATTCGTATGTGCTGGCGGACGAGGCATCTGCAGCCCTCCCATGCGCATCTTATTCGTGAACACGCGATGGTAGATCTCATTTGACTGGATGAGGGGGAGCGGCGGAAAGCTGCGTCGAAGGAATTAGTGAATTTGCGCCATTCAACTTCCATAGTTCCTTACTCAGATTCGCCCGTTTTCGACTCTTCACCAGCCGCGCTCCTGACTGGCCCAGCCATCGACGCCAACTGCTTTTCCAGGCCGTGAACTTTCTCCATAAGCTTGGAGACGTCGTCCGACTGATTGCTTGTAGGCGTTCTTGGCGTCCTTTTTAGCAGTCTTGTCTTGCGCCGCCCTCGAGTCGGTGGACGATTCTGCGCCACATATTCCTCCGAAAGGTGCGAACATGCGTATGTCCTTAAGATGAAATAGTATATATATCAGTAGTCTCTTTTGATACACCTGAGTGTGGACCTAGGAACTTGTACTCACCGGAACAACGCAATCCTATGTCTTGGGAAAAGCCGGCCATTGCATGTCAATGCTCGTCGAATCATCCCCACAACGATGCTCATAATCCAGAGAATCCAGGTTCGCTCATCGACTGCGCTCAAAATGTCCTTCTCGACACGGTCATATGCCCTGAGCGAGCCTCGTTGTTAGAGTCAGCTTCAACCTGCGATGTCGATGGCGGACGGAAGCAAAAGGTCACATCGCACGTGGATCTGAGTTTGTGGCGTCCCACGGCTTTCGCCGAGGTCGAGCTTCCCGGTATCACTCAAGAGGGTCTTCAGTCATGGCATCACGGCCTTCGGGCAGACGGCGAGCGATGCGAAAGAGCGTGGGACGAAGCATGCGCTGAAGGCTCTCGGGTACGCCTGAGACTTCCAACTAGGACATCATCGCCGTCGCTCGCCGTAGTACTCAGCGGAAAATGAACATGAAGGTGTACCTATCCGCGATCGGGAGATGTGTGGTTCAATGTGTTGAATTTGTACCTGCTATGTTGCGATGTACTATGTTGTGAATCGGACCTCTGATTTCTGAGCTGCATGCGTTGCCGTGGCTTCGGAGCCGAAGTCGAACCGTGACGCTCACGTGTCACATGATTGTGACTCGTCGCGTCGCCCCCAGGGTCCAGGAACTCGGAGACGCGTGTCGACCGTCGTACCGAGTCGGCGACGGAAGTTCATTCAATTGCGGACGCACCATCGTCTCTCAAACATCGAACATAGCCTTGAGTACGTACGACTCATGACCGGGGCTTACTCTGCCGGCGACGGATTCTATAAAAACATCATTCCTTGTCTTGAACCGTGACCTTCTTCACAAGAAATTTCTACAGTACATCCGCTGGACGAATCTTCACCATGTCTGACGACGGAAAGCAGTACGAAGAGGATGAATTCCCCCATCCCTTCGTGGATCGCTCATACAACATGGAGGAGCCTCAGGGAACGTGGGCACCGCGAGCGGTGAGTGGGTAGTGTGCCTTCTCTTCTCTGTTTTTCCAACTCAAAATTGACTACATACTTGCCACCTTTGTATACGTGCTTATCGCTACCCTTAGATCCTCGAGCTGAAGATGTACCAGCTCTCGGCCACGCTGCGCGAGAAGCCGGAGTGGTGGCGCAAGGCCAAGGATTCTGATATCAGGAAGAAGTGGTTCGAGGAGGCGAAGGCCCAGCAAGCGAGTGAGGAGGAGCGGTGGCGGCTGTCGGACAATATGGTATGTTGGTTCATCCGCACAGGTGAGGATACTGCGCTGAGATTGGATCTCGGGATAGATTAAGTACACGCTCGGTGAGTTGGAGGGCTATGCCCAGCTCCGGGACGAGGAGGCGGGTATCGAGGTATGTTGTAGCCATATATCTTTCGTTGTTCATTCTCTTAAAATACAAGCCACGGTCACTGACAAGTCCCTTCTACTCAACCCCAGTGCGGTCCATACGACTGTATATGGCGCTCCGACAAGCTCATTCCGGACAATGTCCGCGCTGAGCTCGAAGCCGCCGTCAAGCCGCTCGAAGACGTCCCCGATGCTGAGAAAGACTGGCACCCCGGGTCCAACGAGCAAGTCCTCGACCTGGTGCACCCCTCGCTCTACCCATTGGTGTATGGCAAGACGCTCGGAAGACACCCCGACGGCTCCATCGCCCCCTTCGAGCCACCGGACCCCATCCTGGACAAAGGCCCCCACGACGCGGAGGTCCTCGAGGGCTACGCCTCCTCCCGCTTCCAGTGGCTGCCATCCGACTTCGAGGTGCGCGCGGACGGGAGCGTGAAGCTCGCGAGCGAGTACATCAACAACGTCCCGCCCGCGCACGCGCCGCGCCTCGTTCCCGCCATCGAACGCGTCATGGCGCGCGCAGTACCGCTGTGGGAGCGCGTGCTGAGCGACCTGCGGCGCGGGGAGCCGCCTATGCGCCTGGGCCCGGTGGTGCGCAACGAGAGCGGGCTTGGGGCGCGGAAGGGGCTGGAGTGCGTGTGGAGCAAGAACGAGCCGGAGCGCTTACAAGACGAGGATGACGAAGACGATTGGGAGACATATCGGGCGCGCAGGGATGCGTGGTATGCCAGGCAGCCGATGACGCTGCCGGATGCGCCCAAGGAGTACGATGGGGGGCTGGCGGGGAGGGGGGAGACGACATTCAGCTTGAAGGGCCGGACGATACAGGTGATCACGAAGTTGGCGAATATCGTGCTGACGCCGGAGAAGCCCGCGTATCCTGGGGGGACATGGCATGTGGAGGGTGAGTGGTGGTTCTGAGCGCTTTTACCTCGACTGGACATGAACTCTCTTAATGCCGAACTTTGTAGGAATGTGGAACGAGCGCATCGTCTCGACGTTCATCTACTACTACGACTCAGACAACATCCAGGACACGACCCTCGCCTTCCGCCAGGCGACGTCGGAGCCGCTATACCACCGGCAGGACGATGTCTTTTGCATGATGACGCTGTACCGTCTAGAGCGGGACAGGCCGTGCGTGCAGGAGATCGGGAGCGTGCCGACGAAGAAAGGGCGCTGTATTGCGTTTCCTAATTTGTTCCAGCATAAGGTGAGTACTCGAGCCCTTGCTACGCTTACATCTGACGCCCAATCCCACTTCGGCTTAGGTTTCCCCCTTCGCACTCGCAGACCCCACCAAGCTAGGCGTGCGCAAGATCATTGTCTTCTTCCTCGTCGACCCCACGCGGCGTATCCCATCTGCCACCGACATCGCCCCCCAACAAGAAGACTGGCTCAAGCACACGCTCCATACGGCGAAGAGCGACGAGAGAAGCAGGCTGTCCACTCTGCCGTTGGAGTTACTGGACGTCCAAGCGAACTTGGTCGAGGGAATCATGACGAAAGCGGAGGCGCTGGAGATCAGGGAGGAGCTGATGAAGGAGAGGTCGGTGAGGCAGGACGAAGAGCAGGGGGATTTTGTGGAAGGCGATGGTCTGTTTTCGATGGTGAGTGGGGTTGTGCGAAGGTTTGTATGAAAAAAGCTGATTGATGCCTTGTTTTCAGGGTTTCAACATGTGGTAAGTCGTTTTGTGGACGGCTTGTAGGGGGCGGCACAGCTAATTCACTAACAGCGAGCACTAATCGCGCTATGGGGACTAGCATCGAGCACAGAGTACGTGGGCATGAATCGAAAGTCTAACAACACGATACTTAAGGGTACAGAGATGTTGTGAAGAATAAAGCTGGGATGTCATTTGGTCTTCACATATCATCTGAACCGCATACTTGAGCTCCTGGCTCCTTTACACGGCGAATTCGGGACCGGCAGGTCATCGTCCAATATTGGACACGCACAAGGCCGGGTTTTGCCGAGTTGAACTTTCCGGGATCACTCACGAGGATCGACAGTCATGGGACTCATCATTGCTATTCTTGCCATTCTTGCTGAGGACCACGACAATCTCCCTCGATAAGATACAGTAAACAATCCGGAAGTCAGTCATGCCTGCAGGATTTCTCGCCGTCGCATCCGAGCCCGGGAAGGAGGTAACTCAGGACGAATTCCAAGGTTCGCGATGTTCCGTTCCGGTGAGATTCAGTCGAAGCTCAAGGTATTATAGATTGGTACAACAATGAACACGTTCCCCTTCGCCTCAACCACCTCAAATCCTTCCTCAACGGCGCCCGCTACACCGCCTACGACGCCCTCACCCCCACCTGGCTCGCCCTCTACGATATCGACGACACATCGACCTTCCAGAAGGATGAGTACACGCGCCTACGCGCCAACCGCAGCCCGCGCGAAGCCGACCTCGTCAAGCGCCTCGCCCTCCTCGACCGCCGCACCTACGAGGCGCTGGAGGACTCCGGTCCCTCACCGCTGACGTCGTCCATGGACTACAGTGACCATCCGAGCAGAGGCCTCATCACGCACGGGATATCTGCGGATGCGGAGGCCGTGAAGGCGTGGACGGCGGAGGTGGTGGCGTCCCTGCGCGCCGTGGACGGCTGGGTCCGCACGCGGACCTTCCATTGCATCGACCACCTGAAGACCGGGCTCACCGTCGCAGCGGGTCCAGAGGCGCAGGTCGTGCCGGAGTACCTGGCTGTGCATGGTGAGGCGTCTGTAGCGTATGTTTGTATCTTCGATGGCTTATGGGTGGCATCGCCGCTAGAATTCGCACAGCCCACACATACCCGGTCCGAAGGCGTTCGGTCTGCTGTCGATCGCGCAGCAGCGGCTTCGGGAATATCCATCGAGGAAGAACGCCTCTGGGAGCTATACCGCGTATATCCGTGCATCGCGCAGGGGAACCTGCCGACCGCATCGTCGTAGGGCCGACCGCTTCGGCGTAGGTCTGACCTCGCCCATCGAGGGCAGATCAACATCGTCGAAAGACAGATCGTCACGGTCATAGGTCAGATTCTCGTCGCCGTGGGACTGGCCCTGATCATCGCAGGTCTGATCGACATCGCTGTAGGACATACGACGAACCAGTGACCATTGTACGCCATTGTATCGGGACGAACACAGCAATCAAACGAAGTTCTTCGCTCATCCCGTCATTGCGCATATCCCGAGCGTACCTTGTGCCCTACCATTTCCTAACATCGACCTTCTACCCCCTCAGCGTTGTGCTACCTCCCATCTCGTGCCATGCTACCTCCAATCCCGTGTCATGCTACATCTCATCTCGTGCCCTGGTCCATCCCATCCCATGCCACGCCGCACCCTCACGGGGCGCGCTTTAGCCCTTCTCGTGGATCACACTCAGCTCTTCTCGTGCATGACGCCCCAGGACTTGTCAGTGGGTGCGCTTTACCCCTTCTCGTGAACAATAACTGCACCCGACTTGTCTCCCTGCGCCCGACTCGTCTTTCTGCACCCGACTCGCCTCCCTGCACCCGGCCGGGTCATCTTAGCGCTTCGGGTTGGGGTGTGGTAGCTTCCCTGACCACGCACCTCACTGCCTCCCATCTCATCCCATTGCTCAAACACCTGCTCTCCAAGCTTCGCATTCGTATCATGGCTCGCAAATCCATGCTCCAGCGTTCGCGACTTCATGATAGACGGCGACTGCCAAGTCCGGTCCAGGTCCCAAATCATGTTCTTCGCAAGCCATGACCTTCGCAAGCCATGACCTGCGCGCATGTCAGCTTCGCGCCATGGAGCGGAACCTGCTTTCCGCCTCGGGACCTTGCTTCCCCCCCTCGGGACCTTGCTTCTACCCGAGGACCTTACTTCGCGATGCACATGTCGGCGTAGCTTCCCACTCCATAGCGCGAAGTGACCACCGGACAGCAAGATGCAGTCACTGTATAACAAGATGCAGACACTGGACAGCGAGACGCAGCCCCAGGTCCACAATGCGAAGCAGCCACCGGATCACTGCAGCGGCGCGTCTTCTAGTCAGGTCAAGCGCAGGTCATCGGGTGTGCTATCGGCTTGGGGTAGACTGCGTAGGCTAGCGGCGCGACTGCATGGACTGACGGCATTGACTGTATAGTCTAGGTCTGGTCTCCTGACCCTCGAGTAAAGCCCGATCCCGACATCGATGCGCATCCCGAGCCTCCAGGAATAATTTTGACTGCTCATGAACAAGTTCAAAACTGCTCGACCATATCTAAAGCTTCTCAAATTCATCAAGCATACTCATGTTGCCTGACTAGCGGAATTTCTCACGCAGCCAGAGACCTGGCTCGCCCACATCCGCTACATTCGGTGCCACAAACGCGCGCACGACGCGTTGGCGCGAGATCCGGCCTATCCTCATCCTCATCCTCATCGCGCACACAAGTCCTTGTCTCGCGAAGCGCAAGCTCCGGTTATCCATGGCGTAAGATGTCTCCGGATTGCGCATAGTGCCTTCCTAGTGCGCCTGTCGCCCCTTCTTCCTAGCGCGCGCGTGCAGTCTTCGGCATGCGCCCACAGCGCCCACAGCCCATCGTAGCACCAGCCGACTTCATATCGATGAGCGCGAAGCAGTCGATGCGGCCGAGTTGTGAAATCGGGAGACAATGAAAGGCTTCAGGCTGTGCCACATCGCGGGTGCATCGTCCGAGCTGGCTCACTGTGGCTACGTACGAGTAGGTGTCATGCTCATCATATCACAAGTCAAAGAGGGAAGCGTTAGGCTCCGGTCCCAGCATCTCCGAATCCAACTGACCGTCAAAGAGTTCATGGGCGTCTCGATGAGCTCACGGTCGCCTCGAGGAGGAGCTGGACTTCTCCCGCGAGTATTGCAACAGGGACTGGACAGCTGCGGCGGCATCACGGCAGAGCTTTGCCGGTGATCGCCGGCATTGAGGCACCCCCAACTGCCTCTCGGGGACATCAAAGTCGTGATGGCGGGCTCTGATGCGCCCTCGTCGGCGACGTCGGCGACGGCGGACCCATTGTGCGCGTTGTAAAAAGTTGTCAAGAAAACAGCATCACACCCACCAATACCCATGTATATGGCCCAGGCTAGAACATCAGAAACCATGAAGATTACCCTTACCATGGCGCACGGGCACCACTGTCGTTCGAAGATCTGTGAAATGACATCAGAGTTTCAGAGAATTGTGGCCATCGTTGAACGTGGCACTGGGCTCATCGATACCATGCAGCCGTACTTAGAGCAGAGCAGTCGCGACGCGTCTCGCGCGTAGCCTGCCTGCGCGGGCGGTCCGCGTGACGTGCTGACGCGACACCCGCGCTACGTGGCCCCGCGCGATGCGTCGTCAGCGCGCGACGTGGTGCCGCTGCGGGACGTATCGAGCGCGAAAAGGGATAGAGAACAGAGACCAATATATATATATCCTGTATCAATGGATATACATAGGGGGATTGGGGATGAACTGAAGAAACACGAAAAAAGCGCGAGCGACAATTCTGCTCGCGCCGATTGCGCTCTCCTGCCGCTTGCGAGGGCTATAAAGCGTGTAAAATGAGGAGGGAGGAAATCGAGGAATCATCCCGAGCTACGCTCGCGCGTACGCATCGAACGATGCGTCCGCCGCGGCCACGTAGCAGCGCGGGGGAGGGAGGGGAGGGGATGGGTACAAGATACCCTGTTGAGGGCGCGGCGCCTGCTGAGGACAGCCCCAGAGCGCTAAGGACATCGCTTATGACGCGAAGACTCAACAGAAAGGCGATTCTACGCTTGTGGGGTAAAGGTGAAGGGAGGGGGTAGGCGATGGGGATGGGGTTGATTACCTTGTCAGCGGACCCGCGCGAGACACGGCGGTGGCGGCATGGTGATAGAACCCGCAACAAACCCATCTAGGACGCGTAGCGCGGCCTAGATGAGGTGCTCGCGCCCTCAGGTGTGCTCTGAGGGCAATGTAAGTATGTAGTGGGCGGGCCAAAATCACCCCGCCCGACCGGTGCTGGATTGTAGGCTCCCCTCGCATTTTAGCAGGAAAAGCATTGTCAGTAACCAGCATGAGCGCGGGACCCAATCACGCACCCCCCCCTCCCCCCTCCTCGCGCGCATCGCCCGCGGGCGTCATTTGGCTGCGCCGCCATCATGTTGGGCAGCGTGATCGTCACTGTCATCTGTCAGCGATCTCGGTGGTGACTAGAAAGAAGGCAGCCGAGGGAGGTGCGCGCGAGGGCAGGGGAGCAAGCAGCGTGGCGATGAGGGTTACAAGCAGCAGGGAGGGAATTGCCTGGCTCGAAGGCCCTACGCTAGGATTCCAGTAAGCGACGTGAACTATCGTTTTGATTTGAACCTGGCGTACAGCATAAGGTGATGGCAAACAGTCCCTTCACTCATGCCGAATATGTGGTAGAGTATGTGGATTGGACTGATGACAATACAAGGTCTTCATCGCGCACAATGCGTCCGCCGTCGCCGACGTCGCCGACGAGGGCGCATCAGAGCCCGCCATCACGACTTTGATGTCCCCGAGAGGCAGTTGGGGGTGCCTCAATGCCGGCGATCACCGGCAAAGCTCTGCCGTGATGCCGCCGCAGCTGTCCAGTCCCTGTTGCAATACGCGAGCCTGAGTTGTGGGATGTCGGCGCTTGCCGGGGCGGACCCACAAAGCAGCCATCAATTTCAACTTCAACTTCCGTCCCGCGCGCGCGCGATACATCCGTTCCGCGGGTGTATCGGGGATCCCCTAGCTTGTCTAGGGCTCTTGCGCCCTTTAATTGCCGTGGGAATCTTGTCCTGAGTAAACAAGGCCAAACTCATTGTGCCCAAGACCGCAGGTTCGAATCCACCTGCTCCCAACTTCCTTTCTTGCTCATAAACGCCTGCCCCCTTTGAAAGTCCTGAACCCCCAAAAGACGTACACATGCGCGGATTACTTCATTTGAAAGAGTGGCAGCACATTATCTATCATAACCACAGCTCGCTGTCGGCATAGCAGGCAGCACGGCGGCCACGGCCGAGAACAGCGCTCGCCCTGCCGACTCTACAGTCTCAGGGTAATTCAGTCAGAGATTTAGCCTGCAACAGCATGTACCGAATACTGAGAAACACGGTAGGTGCACCTTCCGCTCACATTCATTGAACGTGGTAGACCGACCGATGGACAAACAAGGACAAGCAAGCGCCTCAAAGTTGATTGTCCATGCACTAGACGTCGGTGGATTGTAGAGCCTAAGGTCCCTGTCAGCTCGCACGTCCCAAAGCAGCATTAAAAGGTTTGAAACTACTTTCAGGCCTCTGCTGCAAAAGGCAGACCTTGCTTGGTTACAACGCCAGCGGCGAGCCCTTTACTTAAGTCTCAAAGCACAGATAACAACGGAACGCCACTTCGGCGGCACCAGTGCGCCGAGCTCCTCAAGTCCTACAGCCGCGCAGCACAAAGTTTTGGATTGGACGAGCTAGGGCGCTGCTGGCGCAGCCAGCGCTTATCGAGTCTGGGAGCTTCGCGCAATGGTATATCCTGGTATATTCCATGGCATCGGCTCAGCCTCTCGTCATCTCAAACCAAGGTCAAACCAGGAAGATCATGTCAAAGTCGTCAATTCATCCAACGTAAGTACCGTGCCCAAGTGAAGCGTAAGTAGGGCACCAGCATCGTAACCAGTCCATGAACTCGTAAGCAAATTCGTAAGGCGAAGGCAGATGCGCGTCCTCCTGGGTATGTAGTGAGGAGACCATCCGGTATGTGCGTAAGGTGAGCGTGAGGTATAGGTAGGGATGCATGTCGATGAGGAATGCATGCAGATGAGGGAGGTCATGATGATGGTGAGCCATGGCGGGGAGGACCATGGTGACGCATGAGGATGAAGGCAAGCGGTGGCCACCCGAAGACGACCACCTCCCGCCAAATAAACAAGTATGAGGGGAGAAAAGTAAATAGATGCTACAGGGGAAGCGGAAAATAGGCGATGAAAGAATAAGTCATTGAACATCTAGAAGATCCGTAGTAGCCAGTCCAGCAGTGATGATGGTATAGCTGAGGGGGGCGGGCGAGGGCCCGTGGTATCGCCGGGACTGCAGGCTGTGTGGCGTGCGATGCGACATGGTCGTGCGGCGCGTCGCAGACGAGGTTATGCGGCGCGTTGCAGACGAGGTCGTGCAACGCGGAGGTTTTTGCAGTGCAGTCGGGGTGTGTGGCGCACATAGTCCGCGCGGAACAGCCGTGCAGCCAGGGTCGTGGGTGTGGTATAGCCGGGGCTCGTGGTATCGCCGAGGCAAGGAGACGGTGCGGTGGACAGCACTCGAAGGAGGAGGCAGTCGTCTAAAAAGAGAAAGAAAAGAAAAACGATGAACAAAACAAAACCCAAGAGGAAGGCAACCAAATAACCCGTACCGAATAAGTCAAGCAGAACTGTAAGCAACTTTTGGGGCGGCGGCGGCGCTGGATGCGCTACACTGGCAAAGCGCAGTCGCCGCGCGCAGGGGTGCGGTCCACCGCGATTAGGTGTTGGAGAGTGAAAAAGGGGAAGAGAGCAAGCGCGAAGCTGGGAAGAGCACGTAGCGGAGGAGAGCGGGCCGCCCAGACGATAGGCATCCACGCGGCCCCAAAGCACTGCGACGGGGGAGAGTGGGATGGGGAGATAGAAAGTGGAGACGGAGAAAATCGAAATGGGGGCAGATAAATGGGGAGAAGATGAGAAAATCGAACAACACTAGTATGTAGAAGAAAGGGGGAAAACTTTGCTACAGCGCGACAACGGCGACTGGAGGAAAAGGGGAAAAGGGGATAGAGACATTAATGACGAAGTACAGTATGTACAAACAAGCAACGGGGCGGGGCAAGGAAGGGACGGAACGAAGTTCGATGATGCGGGGTCATTGCGGAATAATTAGGTAGATGGGTGAGATGAAGGTGAAGATGAGGATGCAAGCAGAGGGCGAGCGAGTGAGCATGCACGCATGTCACAAGCTAGCGGCCGATTCACGACACCGACGGCGAGCGCGCGTCCTTGAAGCGCGCCGCGGCCGCCGTCGCCATCAGGCTGTTGTTCCGCGACAGCGACAGCGAGAACCTGTGCTTCGTCGTCGACGAGTGCTGCGTCGGCGTCGGGCCACTCGAGTGGTGCTCCGGGCCCGGCGTCGGCAGCCACCGCTCGTGCGCGCCCGACTCGTCGCTCGTCGAGCGCCCGATTTTGGTCGGCGTCTGGATCGACAGACGCCGCGAGCGCGTCGCCGACGCCGAGAGGGGAGTCGAGGACGGTGCGGGGGCGGAGGGCCGCGGGGGCGTCGAGGTCGCCGGCGTCTTGGCGCGCGCGGTGGGCGCGGGGGCGGGCGTGTTGTAGCGCGAGGGCAGGCTGGGCATCGGCGGCACGGGGATGTGCGAGGTGCTTCGGGAGGTGATGCTCGGTGTGTGCGAGCGCACTGCGGGCGTCTGCGACCTCACGGCCGGCGTCGCTGCGCGAGAAGGCGCCGAAGAGGTAGTGCGGCCGACAACTGACGGCGCTCGCGCAGGGGCCTGCGAGTGCGAGCGTGTGTGTGTGACAGAAGGCGTCGCGGACCGTGAAGGCGAGGAGTGTGCAGCCGCGCTCGCAGACGACAAGTGTTGGCCCATGCGGCTGAAGAACGATGTTGGCTGGTTGTACGGCGTCGGGGACGTACTCGGGGACGACGCCGGCGAGGTTGCGGCCGACGTGGGTGCAGAGGTCGCCCTTGACTCGGGTAGCGGGATGCTCGAGGGTGAGAGCGTCGTGTGGAGGACGCGCAAGGAGTTCACCTCCTGCCTCAGGGAGCTCGCCTCCTCGCGTGTGCGGCGCAGCTCCTCCTGCAGCTTCGAGTTGGACATTTTGACGTTGTCAACCTCGCCCCTCAGGTTCGCCTCCACCGTCCTCGCGTGCTTCATCGCCTCGGAGTGTGCCAGATGGTTCATGAGGATGGCGCGCAATAACGCAGCCGACAGGGACAGCGACGTGGACTGCAAACTTGTCAGGAATAATCGAGATGAAAGGGCATATATGCGCGCTTACCGAGCTGTCACGCTTGGCGTGCAGGAGCCAGTGATCCAGGTCCGCCAGCAGGTTCTGAATCGCCTCCACGGAGGTCTTCGTAGCCGCCAACTTGGCGACCTTGTCTTCCAGTTGTCGGGCCTCTGGGCGCCCGCGTGAGTTATCCGAGGGGTGACTGTGCTCCTTCCAGATGTTACCAGAAAGACTGGGAATACGCGTCGGGTTGTCGTTGATGGGTGGCGCGACGGACTGGGATCGCGGCATCACGGACCAGTCCACCCGCACGACGCGTGGGTCGGATGCCTTGAAGGCCTCGCGGCAGAAGGGGCATACGGGTTCGAGACGAGGTGGACTCTTCTCGACGATCGCGTCGCAACAAGCGCGGCAGAGTACATGTCCTGAAAGAACGTCAGAAATATTGCGATGGCAGATGGAGCGTGGCGTACCGCATGGTAGAGTGTAGGGCGGACGGTGCGCGGAGAATTCTTCCGCGCCGATGTCGCAGGTAGAGCCGGGGAGGAGGGTGATCATGGTGGGCCAAGTTAAAGTGCGCTGTTATGTCTGCGTGAATGACGCGTCAGTCTTTATACTCAAAGGCACAGAGTGCGTGCGCTGTGTACGCACCAGGATCAGTTTGGCCAACTAATCTTCCAGCGCGAAATGAGTCAGCGGTCAACAGGGTTTGTCGCGCGACTTCTTTTCTTCTCCTGCGTCCTGGAAGGGTATGAGTCAGGCGATGTTTCGCCGCGCGTGTGTTGGGTGTGCTCACGTCAAGCGGGAAGTGGAGACGCGTCGCGTAAAAGCCAGGTTTGTTTGATGCCTGGTTCACTCGTCGTGGGGGAGGGGGCGGAGGCAGAAGGAAGAAGAGCGGGAGCTTTCTGTCGTCCGCGGAAGGGCAGTGCCTGCAAATTCGTAAGAAAAAAGACAATGTGAGGTTTTGTTGTTCACGCACCAACAAGGGCGGCAAACTGCTCAGGAGGGGGCTCAGACGTCGAGATCGACGACGACGGCGGCGAGCACGCTAGTGGGGCGCTGCTCTCGGTGGGAAACCCTGATATATGCGCTCGTAAGCGTCGGCAGCGTCGGGGGGGAGCGCAGGGGACGCACGCAACGGGGGCGGGGATGACGGAGAAGGGAAAGGGAAGCAGGGGAGGCAGGGTTGTGGGTTATGTAGAAAACTGCGTTGATCATGCATCAGATCCCGAATTAGATTCCTCCGATCGCGCGCTGTGTCTTTTTCACGTGGCCGCTTTCATTTCGATGACATACCGCCGCCCGCGCCTTGTCCCGTTCCTTGGATCGTCGCCCGTCCTTTCAGCCTCCAATCATCGCCCTCTCTTTCGTCCGCCAAACAAACGCGCCGCCCTTCTTGCCTTTCACCACCACGTTCCCCCCATCCCTCACACCCTCTGCCCTCTGCCCAGCACCGCCGCCCCAGGTACCGACGTTTGATGCGTAAAAATTTACCATTCATTTCCCGGTGATGCCATGACACCGTACCCGACGCGGTCGCGGTGCCCGCCGCGAGCCCAGTCGTGTCCAGCAGCTCCCTTCGCGAACGCACTCGAAGCTCCTCTCTCTGACGTCCAGCGCATCTACCGGGCGCCTGGCCTGGAGCACAATGGGGCCATAATTAATTTGCGTATACGCCCGCCGGCGAAAGTGTATACATAAGCGCGCTGCCGAGCTTCATACGACTCTTCTCCTGGGCTCTTCGCCTGCGCTTACACCTCTTCGCCCAGGGTCGGCTCAGTCAGACGCGGCCCTCCCCAGTGTCCTGAGCGCCGCGCACGGTCACCCACAATGTGTTTAGAGTCCCGCGCAATGTGTTTGCCTCGGCGCCACCATCGATTATCTGGGTGGCGGGACGCGCGCGCGAGGTGAGGCGAAACTATCGATTTTGCACTGGCAGCGGGAGGGGGGATGGGTGACCCCCTCTTGGGGAATGTACGTCCATCCCGGCGATTTAACGCTCTGGCTTCTTCCCGGTGAGAGCCTTCGCTGCCGCTCGGCCAAGCTGCGTGGAAGCCCAACATATCTGCGCATGGAAGCTGGACATATCAGCTCATGGAAGCCCTCCCATCTCGGCGACCGCGCCGTGAAGCTTCTCCGACCAGGACCAGACTGGGCGGCTTCTCGGCGTTCGCGGGCCTTGTATCGCGGTCCGAATGACCTTGCCTCACAGGTGCGGCAATAGTGAGTTACGACTTGGGTCTTCTACTGACCACCTTGCAGATAGAAGGTCTTCACTAATGGGCGTCCTCGTTCACGAGTGGGTGTCCTCGCCCACTAGTCGGGTATCTTCGCCCACTAACGGTCACACATCTCCCCATCGGTCGCACGCATGTCTTCATCCATCGCCTTGTCGAGTAGCACTTACCTATCGCCTAGTCGGGCGCTTCTATCACCTATAGCAGCCTTTCTATTGCGAGCGCGACCTTTCGATTGCGAGTGACCCGCCATCGCGAACATGCTTCCCGTGGCCTTTCTATTGCGAGCGGTGCCCTCCGAGAGCAAGTGTAGGCTGACCTGGTCCGCTGCTCAGGATGGTGCACTAGCGGCTCCTCTTCAGTTGCGCCTATTGACAATGGATCGTCCACGCCTCGGACTACGACGACCATGACCTATCCACGCCCTGCGATGACCTATGGACAGACTGCGATGGCCTATTCATGCCCCCGAGGGCCCATGCAAGCCTCCGAAGGGCTGTCCGTGTCTCCGAGACGCGCATCCCTCTGAATAGCACCGTCGCTGCTCCTCCCGGATCGCAAGCCCAGCCCTCGCAACTGCGCGATCCTCATCGCCAGTCGCGACCTGTCCTCACCGACAATAAACTTGCTCTGACCGCAGCTCCGTGTACTCACCGCCAGGCCTCCCTGCATCTTGATAACGATATGAACGCGATCTTACACGCTATACGCCCCGATATCTTACACGCGCGCATGCGACCTCACGATCCTCGTGTCCGAGGCGTGTTCGAGAGATATCATCACAGGGCGCGTCAGCCTCGAGGCATCGCGCGAGCTCACGATCCTCGAGGCGAATGCGACTGATCTCATGCGATCACCCAAGCAACCTATTCGTCCTCTGCCAGCGCTCAACCGTGCTACCACGCCTCGAGGATCGCACCCTCTACCCTGTCCCAATGCTTATTTCGCCTCGCGCTCGCAACACACGCGACGATTTTGCTTCCACCGCCTCGAGCTGCCTCCGCCGTCACCGAAACTTGTTGCCGCTGCACATTTGACTTGCCTCCGCTGACACGATGACTTTCCTCTACTGACATCGTCACGATTCGCCTCCGTTGTCTTCGTAGCTTCCCTCCGCTGCCACCTTTTTTTTTCTCCTTTTCTGCCCGATCCGCGGCCGCTTTCCGTCGCAAAGAAAGCTTCTCGCGACTGTGAACTGTTTTCGCGAGTACAGTCTGTTTTCGCAAATCGATTTGCTTGCTCGAACACACCGTCACAACACAAAACAAGGTCACACTCGACCCTCATTCGCTCGCGCCTCGTTGTCGCTTGCCCTCTGCCCATAGTCGCCGGGCGTCTCGAATCATCAAGCTATGGGCAAAGGGTGTGGAGTAGCGAGCGGTCGACGAACGCAACGAGGCGCTCTACGAACACAAGGTGGCAGTCAGCGAGCGCCAGGAGGCGCTCTGCGAGCACAAGGAGGCGATCCGCAGAGGTCTACGGTGACCATGATGGGCTATGGGCAGAGGGCGTGGGCTGTTTGAGCGCGCAGCGCCGGCTTGTGGAGATCAGGAATTCCAGGCGCGTATTTGCTTTTCAGTGCAGCATGCGAGACGCTGGCTGACGGCTCCATATCATCAGCAGTCGCTGTATTCTCACACATCAATCATCGTATCCTCTACCGAACACACGGAGACTACCGAATACACGGACGAACGCATCAATGAAATCGCTCCCTCTTCACTTCGATAATGCCAACGCCCACCCTCGCCGCGTTCTCCCTCATTCGGACACTGCTGAATCGCCTTCCTTTCTACACCTATATCCCGCCCTTTCACTTCGTAACCCTGGTCTGCCGTAGCGATAAGCGCCTCGCAGCAGGCGCGCGGCTGTTGATACGGGTTGGATTGCAGTAAGGGTGATACGACTGGAGGTGCGCACCTTATGATAGAGCCCAAGATCTGACCAGTTCGAGCTGTACTTGTGCATTGAGAAGCACAAGACGTAGGTGCCGCGATACAGTGTCGCGCGGGAGTCTCCCGCGATTCTTGGGAACGTACGTGAGCGTCCGCCGTCCAGATGTTGCCAATTAGTTTGCTTAACTTTGCTCTCTAGCCATCATTTCCACAGCACGTCGCTCGAGACGTCCACACTCAGCGACTATGACTACTGTAGCAGCAATGCGGCGGCACCCGAATGAAGATTCACACTGCTATCTAGCTATCCTCGGGAAGCCTACCCATTCATAACTGCCCTACTAGTGAGTGCCTAGCTATCCCTCCGAAGCGGCCGATTGCGGCTGCTAACGAAATGAACGCCTAGCCTTCCTCGATACCGCGCCCTGACTTCTAGATGCAGAACAACAGCTACCTAACCCAGCGAACAAGCGCGGCCTAACGCAGCGGCGCTTCTAGGCGCCGCGGGAGTGATCCTTCGTTAGTCCTCTCGTACTTCAAGACTGATCCCTCGTAAGTCCACCCACCCCTCGTCGGTTCACTTCATCACTGAGCCTTGATGAGCTCAGTGCAGCACCGACCCTTTATGGATCCTCTCCGGACTGCTCCTTCACTAGTCCCCTTCGCCACTGATCCTTCTTTGGTCCGTCTATCACTACCGCTGCCCCCTTACGCGCGCCCAGGTCCTCGAGCGGTCTGCGCTTCTCTTATGTCCTCCACTCGGCGGCGGCGGCGGCGGCGTCTTACTCAACTTATCGCAGGCGCCCTCTGCATTGACGGGGCTGCGCTTCATTCATCATACTCGTCCTTCTGCTGTCAGCCGTCTACGCTCCCTCTCATATCGCGCCTACTACGTACAATTACCCTTCGGCCTTAAGACGCGACCTCGCCCAACAGCCTATTCAAGCGGCCTCGTTGAAGCCCCCCGTACGTTTTCCCTAGGTCGTAACTTCCTCCTTCCCGAGATGAGTTCGTAACCTCGTCAGCGCCTCGGCCAAGTTCCTTACCCCGCTACGCCCTCGCCTCGGCCAGTATAGGGTCGGGATTGGCGCGTGAGCTCGATTATGATCAATTCCTCGCCTTTCTTCCGGCATATTTGGGTTGTGCACTGTGCTTCGCGTACTTCTCGTGTCGGCTGCTTGTGCGACGTCTTCCCATCTCGCTCAACCCAGCTGATAGAATATTGACTCCAACTTCCTGGCTTCGGATCCCCTTCAACGCGTGCACCTCGTACGATCTTTCGCGTCTTCCAACGACCTTCGTGGATGTACTGTACTTTTTCCTTCGACCTCTTTTCATGTGCGTCTCGCCCGGAACCGAAGAAGAGAGAAGGGTACAGCTTCCTGGAAGAACACTGACTTCGATATGCATGGGGTCCTGACGCTCGGCAGGCATATTCCGGTCAGCTGCCTGGAATTCTCTGATCGTAGGGCTTCTGCCAATACCATGGCGCCCCTGCCAGTTACAAGAGCTGCGAGACGTGTCGCAGGGCTCTCGCGCCAGATCTTCGGTGGCACCATCATGTCTTGACCCTTGTATTCTGCTAGTCACGTTTGGCAACATGAATCGACGGCGCGCCCGACGTGATCGTTGTCGGGCGCGGTCTGTCTTGTCCTCTTGTCCCCTTGTATGTTCGGACTGATGCAGTTCCTTTTGACGACGCCACGCATCCATGTTTCGACCACGCCTCCGTCTAGGTTTGATGCGCCTACCATGAATGTCAAGTTACAAAACACACCTGCGACACGTTCTTCATCGCGTTTTGCCGTCCTGATTTGTAGACCTGCCTTTTTCGTCCCTTGTTACTTCTCTTTCTCTACCCACCGCTCATCTCAACATTCGCCGGGCTCTCGCATCTTTCCATTCAGTATCGTCTCATCTATCGCTTCGTGTCCCTCGTCTATCGCTTCGCTCGCCTCAGTAACATCTCCTTCGCCTCGTTGACGTCTCATTCACCTCATTGACGCCTCATTCACCCCATACAAGTCATTGCCATCGCGATCATCCACCTCATTCCGCCCCCTCGTTCACACACTAAGCCCAATGTTATCAGCCGCCTCGTGCCAAGTCTATTCAGTCTGTCATACTGCCGTACAATGCCAAAGCAACGTGTCTTACGAGATGCCATCGATGGAAGGTGCTCTGCTCTGATATGCTAGAAGTCCCTTCTCGTTAGTCCACACCAACTCACCCACCTCTCGTGCAGATTTACGTTGCGGGACAATGAATGCTCTCGATATTGCGCCCTGGCCGTGGGCGAGACGACGGTACGTACTGAGCCATGCGGATTCTTGGACTCATGGAGACTCTGGAGGAATTTGCCTGAATTGTTCTACCTCTCCGAAGTGCAAGCAATTCGCGTGCATGGAAGGACGCGAAGTCGAACCGTGACATTCACGTGATCTGTGTCACATGGCTTGATCCAACCGCCACGAGGCTCGCAACCTCCTCTGGGCACCGCAAGGGAATGCCCGATGGGACTATGTGCGTACCTCTGCGTACCTGGCAGGACTGCTCAATAATGAGCGGTCGTCATGTTGATCAACAGTCAGAATTCGGGCAGAATTGATCAGAGTGTGAGGTTCATATTGGCTCAGTGCCGCTCCCGATACATCGTACACAATGACTGACATCCCACCCAAAGTATTGACTTCCTACGCAAGCTGGAACACGGCGGCGATGCCCACGACATACGACGCAAGACCGAGCCCAACACGGACAAGGTGTTGCTTCTTCCATCGCTGGATGCGCTTCCAGCTGTCGTCGGCGTCCTCGGCGCTGATCGCGCCCGTGGAGACGTAGCGGTCGCGCATGCCGCGGAGGACCTTGATGTTGGCCATCACTGAAGCCAGTCTCAGAACACATGTGTTCGACGAGCAACGTTGAGCAGAGGAATATGTAACAAGGCGTGCAGGAGGTTACGCCTCGCATGCGTTCACTTCTGAATAGCAAGCACTCACTCGTCGCAAGCGTGTACGGGATGTTCGCCGCGCAGAGCGCGCCGGCGCCATACAAGTACGGGCGGATGTTCGTCGACGGGCCCGTGTAGAGGTACGCTGCCGTCCAGAACCCAACGACGGAGCCAAGCGCACTCGTGATGAAACGGGGCTATATGAGTCGTTGATCAGTGTCAGTGATGTGCGCAGTGGGAGCATGGTGAGGGGCATGTCAATCCACGGCGAGGGTAGGCCATGTCTCTGATGCACGAGGAGGGGTGTCGCGGACAGTGATGAAGGAATACTCGGGACGCTTACTGCTGCAGTCTCGTACAGGAACGCCCACAGCGAGAGCGCCTTGCCAGGCTCGACCTTCACCGTCTCGATGGCAGGGAGGATACCGTACGTCGCCATGCCCAGGTTGGAGAAGATGAAGTAGCCGGAGGAGCTGAGGCCCACCGCGAGCGCGGTGGCAGTGGGGAGACCGACGCGAGAGACGAGAGACATGGCGTTCAGAGGAAAGACTCGAGGGAGCTGTGAAGAGAAGATGAGAGACAAAGGCAATCTTGGGCGCTCCTCTCCTCAAGTGGGTCGCATATATATGATTGAGCGTTTGATCTAGATCTCGCTTTTCTATGCGGGGCGTCAATTCATTTGACGAAGTCATTGAATGCGGAGGTGGATCAACCGCTCTCGGGACGCGTCAGTGACGCGGCGTGAGTCGAGGAGAGCCACGGGACGCGAGACGCGTCTCAGCGGCGGGACATTTGCATTCCCCATACGGTCCAGCCCCGACAGGTCGCTCCCAAGGGTTGCACTGTCGGAGAACTTGCGAACAAGTCGACCGTCTGGACCTAGATGGTGGGAGAAAAAGCGAATCTCGTGAATGTCCGATCAGCGAGGTAACGGTTAGAATTTGGGGCGCAGACTGCAGGCGGTCGCCACCGTGAACATCGTCTTTCACTTGCCCTGATTCTGGCAAGGATGGTAATAGCTGCTGATAGGATGCATGTAAGATAGATCATAGAGACGCAGCTCGATGTCAATAGTGACGAAGTACAGCAACTGGGAGAGCAGTACGAGAGCACAATGGTCGCGATTCGTCGGGCGCCTCGACGAGATGACTGCCTTCCGCAACGACAGGATTGCTGATGCCCTAGTTGCCAACACCCATGATCTTGTCTATCTCCAATTTGATGCGCAACCTGCCAGCAGTTCCCTCGGGGCTGGTGCCGCCAAGGGGCTTACCCTCGCCGATGCCATTGTTGACCAAATCGTAGATGAGGGCGAGGACTTTGGTCCACTGCTTTCCCCAGATCTTGCGTGCATCGGCACCAAAGATTTCCAAAGCAGCTGAGGAGCGCGTCAACGATGCAATGGGTAGGACGTTGAGCTCAATCAAAACTCACCATGCACCAAAGAAATGCACACGTCACTCGCCAGTAGCGACCGACTATTCAGCACCCGCGCAAACCACACCCAATACCGCGGTGTCTGGAAGAACCGGCTCGCAATGGGCTTGTCCCTCGGCGGCGTCGCCAAAATATGGAAGTAAACCCTCATGATCCCCGTGACGCGCTCGATATGCTGCGGCGTCGTCTCCATCGCGCCCGTGTCCTGGCTGACGCGGTAGCCGAAGCGCTCGTGGCTGTCCTTCCACTCGCGGCCGTCGAAGTCGGCCTTGGGCGGGATGGCGGGGACGGGCCAGCCGCCGACGCGCTGGACGAGTTTGGCGAAGAAGACGTCCGCAAGGCCGTCGAGGGTCGCGAGCAGGCGGTGCGCGACGCGCGCGATGGGCATCGCGCTCGCTTTCTCGGCGGTCACCTCGGTTTCGGCCTGGAGCAGGACGGCCTTGGCGATGGAGGAGTAGAAGGCGTTGAGCAGAATTGATGAACCGCTGGCCGAGTTGCGAGATCGATGATTTCGTGGCTCTGGGTGGTGTTAGCCATATAAATGACAAACCAAGTAGAGATGCTTACTATGCGAGTGATCTCCGACTCGTCGTTGGTGACCTGGCCAATTTTGCGCACGACCTGGCGGCGAAGATTGCCCCATGTAGATTTAGCCTGCGCGTTGCCCTTTACGACTCGGGTGTTTTCCTTCTTGAGGCGCTGAGCAAGGATAAGCTGATTTTCTCCGCGCCAATGTGAAGGCCTACCATCAAGTTCTCGCGAGCAGCCCGCCAGTCATCCATCGCAGTCGTCTCGCCCAGAGCTTTCCGCTGCTCCGCTTGCTCGTTCTTCGCCTGTGCCGCCTGCTCGTCCGCTTGCCGCTGCTGGTCCTCCTTCCGCTTCTGCTCCTCGTCCGCCGCCTTCTTCTGCTGCGCCTCCTGCCTTTGCTTCTCCTCTGCCTCCTTCTTCTGCCGCTCCGCCTCCTCTTTCTGCTTCTGCGCCTCATCACGCTTCCTCTGCTCCTCCTGCCGCTTGCGCTCTTCTTCCTCCCGTACCTTGCGCTCCGCCTCGAGCCGCGCGAACTCCTTGTCTTGCTCGACCTTGATGCCGGCCTCTATCCGCTCCCAGAGCGACTTCTCGCGCACTTGCCAAGACTGCTCAAATTTGGCCTGTTCGGCGGCCTGCTGCATGGTGAGGTTCTTCAGTTGCGCTTCGACCTCGGCCATCTGCTGGGCGTGAACTTGCGCGAGAAGAGCGGTGTCGCGTTCGTCTTGGACTTCGACGACCTTCTCCTCCGCTGCTTCTTTGCGAGCGGTTTTCTGTGCCCAGTCAGAGTAGTTTTTCACGCGCTCAAAATGAGAGCGCCTACAAAAGCATCTCGCCGCGTTGATTTCTCCCATTCTTCGTAAAGGTCGTGATGCCGAGTGCGTAGGCGTATAGAAGCAACAGTGTCTTCTATGTTTCTTTGCTCTGCAGCTGTTCGTCGAAATCGTGACTTTCTGAAGGAGCTTCAACCGCCGCCACTTAGCAACTGAGCGGAGGGAAAACCAACCGTGTAGGTGTTGCTTCGTTGTCGGACGATGTTTCTGGCTCCGACGTTGATGGAGTAGCAGCATCTTCGGATATGTCATCCTCCTCGTCAGAATCACTATCAGAGGGTACGGCGTATGAAGATCGCGGCCGCGTGCTGTCATCAAGAACCTCGTGTCATGTTCAAACCCGGTGGCGCCACATAATGCACTTACAGTCGCACGGGCGACGGAGAAGGTGACCTGGGAAGACCAAATCTCATGGTTTTCTCTTATAGTACTTTGCTGCGGCCTGAGTAGGTCCTGGCCGCTCAGGAAAGCAACGGAATTGTGGGTGGCGTCGCGGTCGAGGACAAGGAGCGTTCAGTCACGCCTGTGACTAAATCACGAGAAGTGACTTTACCACGCGCAACAACCCGCTCTCCTCACCGGCCTCACCTCTCACCACCTACAATCATCTACCACCACTTTCCCAGGACTACTTCGTCTTGAGCTTGCACATCGTCTCCATCATAGCCATGCCGTCCGCTTCTATGACGTATAATGCGCCTCAGTACGCGGTTGATTCACCTTCAAGTTGGGCTATCTCGTCAAGGGAAATTCACGACGCCTTGTATCATCAAGTATTCAAGCATACTTACAATGGTTGATACTTATACGTCTTCTCGAAGGGCAGGGTCATACAGGATCTTGGTTTCACCCTCCGAGGCTTTGTTATAGCCCTTCGCAGTAGGAGTGAATCGTTGATACAATTGCCATTTTCCTTCGAGCGATACAGCAGAATACATGGTTCCAGGATCCGTACAGTATAATCAAGCGGTGGAGTGCACGCCAGTATGGGGGACCTATGGAGAAATGATATCAATATACGTCGAGCCGACGAGCATGGGGTGACAGAAGACGGTAATCGACTCACGCTCTCCTTGATCCCAAGGGCGCCAGCCAGAGCGTTGAACTCAGCTTCCGTCGGCTTCACGGTGCCAGTGCAGACTATGGCAATCAATGTCATGTTCGATTACGGTAAGGGAGGAAATGATAGGCCATGTACCGTCGATAACATGCTGCTCAGGCTTGTTGATCTTCGCAGCGATCTGAGCGTACGAGAGACCTGCGGGTGGCGTGAGTTCGCCACCGTCAGTCTACCAGGACCAGCCTCCTCACCGCTCTTGTGCATCGCGGCGGCGAGAGCGCTGCACTGGGGGTCGGGGGCCATTGCAGTAAGTTGAGTGGTGATGGGTGAGTGGGACGAAGGTGAGCGTAGGAAGGAAGAAGTGGTTCGTCGCGAGGCGAATTTAGGGCTGGATCCGCATCGATAGCGAGCGCGCACGCTGCACGCGTTTGCCTAATTGGAAGAGGGCGGGGTACGTACGTAGCGTGGAGCCGTCGAGCCTGCATCCAGTCCCCCTGGGCAGCGCATGACCGCCCAATCAGATTGGCGGGATTGGTGCGCCGCGGCGGCCCTGAGGTTAGTGATCCTCCAAGCCATATTTGAACGTTCAACGCTGGGGCGGGTGCAGGCGGACAATTTCTGAAACTAGTGGACGGGACAGAGTAATGGTGCGCATAGCACGGGGAACTGGCGTGATAAGCTGCAGGAACATGAACTTCGCCAAAGCGAACTTCGTCTTCGAAGAAGACGGGTCACCTGCTTGATACATACGATGTAGGTCCCACTCGGGCTCGCGTCCTACGAGACACACCCATTCGAACTATCGTATAACGCGCCACAGCTCCTCGTCGCCCTGCAGACGGTCCCGAGCTTTCGACGCCTCCCGTCTCGCAGTCAGCAGGCGGCCAACGAGCGTGAATTTCCACGGGCGTCTCACTTCCGAGCGAGGCGCTGCTCTGCCCGCCGTGTCGCCCTCCTGTAGAGAGTTCCTGGGCATTGTCTCGCCCTCCCGCGCCTTCTCGGCCGTCGCCTCCTTCTTGCGCCTCTCCTCGCCCTCCCCTCCCTTCCTCCGTGCGTGTGCATTCTCCGCAATGACTGGCGGAGCATCGTACACGGGCGACGTCTCCTCATATCCCGGGAACATGATTGCGAGGAATATATTTGTTGAGGCGACGCATCGGCGGAATCTGTCGAATCAAGGCCAGCTCGAGAAAACAAGACAAAGAGAAAGACGAAGACGTACATCCTTCTGTTGCCTGAATAATTGGCGACAATGAGTAGGTGTCCAACATCCAAGGCAAGAGGCGAGACGAACACACCTTCCGCAAATAGATCATGCCACGCCATCAATGTCTTCAATGCCACATACCCCATCGCAAGCTTGCCCATTCGCGAGCCCACGAACAAAGATATATACCGGGATAGCGAAGGGTCCGCATGCGCGGTCAGTCCTCGTAATGCTCGCTGGAAGAGTCGACCAAAGGCAGGTCCGTATAGCCTTTTGATAGTCTCGAAAGCGCCCCAAAAGCCTAACCCCAGTCCGAGACCGCCAGCGATCGCAGACACCTGCGCCTGGCTCTCCGGCTGGTCTCGCCGTGTAAGAACAGCCGTGGCGGCGTACGAAGCGGCATAGGCGGGGAGGTAGACAACGAGCGCCGGCAAGCAGAGAACCGTACGCGCTGAGGCTTGCAAGAAAGCGAGGAGAGCGCTGACGAGGAAGGGCCCCCTCATAGCAAGCGAGTGATTAGGAGGGACAAGCGATAGCAGATCGGCGTGACTGATCTGCGTGTGGATTTGAAGGGCATGATAGCGAGCGAGGATGGCCTTGGCGGCTTGTTTTTTCTCGTTGTCCACCACTATCTTGTTGTCCGCGTCGGAGGCTTCGTTATCAACGTCCTTCGCCACATTGTTCTCGTCGTCAGAGAGATATTGGATGCAGCTGAAAAAATCCTTGAGCAAACCAAGCGCAAGGGACGAGAAGAGCGTCATACCCTTGCATCTTCAGGACCCAACCCCGGACGCCTAATTTACGCACAGGATCACTGTAGTCAAAATCAAGCATGACCTTCGCGGCGTGAAGCGTCGGCCTTGAGAATGAATATGTCAGAAAGATGGACCCAGACGAATTGACACCGTAAACCCAATGTCAAAGTGCTCACCAGTCCGGCGCGTTAATTCCATCGGCCTGCAGTGTATGACGGACCGCGTCCATCATCCGCGCCGCCGCCTCCTTCCGCCCCTCCAGATCGTCTTCACCCGCATTGGTGCTATAGTAATCGGCGGTCTTAATAGCAGGTCCATACCTGCAAAAGATGCGAGCACGTCAGCGACCCGCATATATGCGCCCTAGGACCTCCCGTCCACCTCAGCAAGAACACCAATTCTACCCACCTGACAAGCACTTGGCTCTGGTACGCTGGCGTGTCCGTATAGACGATAGACACAGGAACGATCCGTGCGCTCTCCCAGGCAACCCCCCTTTCCAACGCCGCCGGCCGCGCAGCGCGATCGTGCTCGACCGCCGCCCACGCCGCGCCGCTGCGCAGGTCGCCGAGACCCGGTAAGGTGGCGCTGAATCCCTCGGGGAAGACGCCGAGCGTGCCGCCGCACATGAGGCAGGCAGTAGACGCGCGGAAGAGGTCGCCTTGGGTTTGGCTTGCTGCGCGATTGTTGTCTGTATTCGAAGAGCTGTGCGTAGTGATAGAAGCGCTGGCGGACTCGCCGCCGCGCTGTACCGGGATGGCGCCGCTAGATTCCATAATCCATCGAAGGATGGGCTGCTTGAATAGAGACGACTTTGCCCAGTACGACACCTGTCGTCCGTGCGGGATGGTCACGGCTGTAGCTACATTCAACGAAAATTCTATAAAGTAGATATGCAAGGTAATACCTAGTACAGCGACGTCGATGCTCTCGTTTCGGTGCGTTGCGGCCCTAAGAATGTTTGTCAGTCTCAACCATTAAATGAATTCTGACCCCGCAAAATGCAAGTGCAGAATACATGGCAGAGAGAAGATATGCCAGTGCTGTGTCGTATCAAACGTTGTGAGGAAGAGGTCGACTATATTCACAGAATTACTGGTCCCGTCTTAGGCACGTTCTCCGCGCCTTCCACGACTACCTCACTGTAGTAATTATCCGTGACCCAGACGCTGAGTTGGCGAAGGCATCTGTAGACGAGCTTGGGTTCCATGGCGTGAAAGGAGAGGCCAGAGAGCTCGTTCGCGCGTGGGGGACCTGGAGGTCAGATGCAAGGCGAGATGGACGTTAGAAGCAAGTTGCAGAGCAGCTTAGCGGGCGATGGTTGCCACCCGGCAGGTGCCGAATCAGATGATGTCACGCCACGAGCTGTCAGTGTCACTGTTGAACTTGACCGGGAATTCCAGCCGGTGCGCCGATTCTGCCATTTAGGATCGCCTTGGGAACGTTTGAGCCAAGCAGTGGGCTGACTTGAGTGGCTGGTGGGGTCCTAGCGCAATATTCACTGGCTCCAAGAATTTCTCCTTACTGCACCTCTCGAAACCACTCATCGCTAACAATTTCCGCCGCCGACAGCCTTTTTTCCGGTTCAAGCACCAAAATGCTCTTCAGCAGCCTTGTCAACGCCTCCGAATCTTCATCACTCTCGCACCCAACCCGAAGCCTCGTCCGATGCTCCATCCACCATGCTTCGGGATTCGGCGGCGGACGCGGCGTGCTTTCCCACCACTCCTTCCAACTGGGCGGTATCGTGGGTGACATCGCTGCTGCACATTGCGGGAGGCCGTTGATGCCAACGCCGTGGAAGAGGGAGGAGCCGGTGACGATCTCGTATATCTGCAGGTATAAGGGCTCGATGGTGAGCAACATGGAGATGAGAAACGCAAAGTAACATACGGATGCACCGAGCGCCCAAACATCTGACCGCGGCTCGACAGGAGGATTTCGCACTTTCTCGACCACACGCGCGAACGCGACCTCTGGCGAGCACGCCTCGGGTGCGCACTGAAAGGCTATAGGCAGAGTGCCGGCTTTGTGCGCTGCGAGGGTGCAGTGAGCGTCGACGTTTAACCAGTACGAAAGGTAATCTTACCATTCCCGAAATCAAACAACTTAGTCTGCGGCTCAGTCTCGCCAGCTATCCTATCGTAATACGCAGCCAAGTCGCACGGCTTTACGACGTAGGGCGGTAGAGAAGGCGTCTGATTCGCGGGGTCAACGGGGAGGACGACAGTGAGCTCGTACGCGTCGAGGTCTTGCATGACGTCGAACGGGTCCTGCTCGGCCAACTGGGGCATCGCGACGCCGACGTTCCCAAGGTGGAGGTCTGAGACGGTGTGAGTTCAGTCTCCCGGCAAGTAGGTAATATGTGCGCAGAAAGTTGCGAAGCAGGCAAATGAGAAATTCGACCTGACCTCCATGCACAACTCCCGCAGCGTGCAACTGTGCCACGGCTTTGGCCAGCCCATACGCAGCGATCTTGCGCCACCTGGGCAGTCGTCGCGAGATATGGAAAGACAGAAGTGGCGCGACAACATCAGTCACGATGACCCAGTGCACACCATTGGGCCCTCGGTGCTCAAATCTATCCAGCAGCGTCAAGACATGCGAGGGACCATCGATACCCATCCCTTCAGCATCCGCTTTCCCCGATCCCGTCGCCAGCTCGAGCATCTCAGCCTCCTTGTCGCCTTGCTCATCTGCTATCGTGATCTTCAGAGACACAAAGCCTCCCGACGTGGTGCCTGTCTCCGCGTCCGACGCAGCACTTGTCTTTCCTCTCGCAGACTTCACCCTCTGCGCCAGCCAGACCGTTGCATACGAGCCGAAGCCCAGCTTGTGCATGACGCGATACGAGCCACGAGCTCCTTTCAAGAAGTCCCCGATAGTGACGGGATGATAGCCACCGCGGCAGTAGCGAACGATGTCCTCGGTGGTGCCCATTGAGTCGAAGTGGAAGTCATCGGGTGAGAGGGTCGGAGGTGGCACCATCGCGATTGTGAGGCGTGACTTTGAGCAAGACTGAGTGCTGGAGCCCCTGGGATGCGCAAAGAATCTAGTTGAGAGACGGAGAGTATGCAGGCAGCGAGCAGGACGAGTAGCGAGAAGATGACGGTTGAGGCGAAGTTGCGAAATCGGCATCTGCCGCAGCTAGAGCTACGCGATGGCTGTCATCACCTGCCTGGGACGGCTGTGCAAGCACGAAGGCGACAGGCGAGCGAGGGTGCTCTAAAGGCGTAAAGACAGGTTGCATTAGACCGCGCCATAGCAGTACATGACAGCCGCACTCTGTGTGGTATAGATTAATGTCCTTGAGTCCATTGGTACGCTACATTGTATGATGTCCGTCGTGGCAAAGTTCGAAGTCGTGCAGCACCTCGCACTCTCCCGATCACTCACGGCGTGCTCTCGAGCTACGGTAGCCTTGAGCGCAATGTGTAGAATGAAAGACGCCATCGTTGGGATGCGAGCGAGGGTACCCTGTGATCTGAACTTCGCTGGAAAGTGTCTATCCGTCGTTCACAAACGAGGGGCCTCTGCATGACGCTCCGGAGCGTACTTCGCCTACGAGATGGTCAGCACCTGACAGACAGAACCTGGTATATCCACGCACCATCTCATTCTCCTTCTTCTCGAACCCGCACTTCTGATAGAACGCTGTGCATGCCGTCAGCCCCCGTCACCGCCCCAACCAACAGACCACGCACGAATGTTCGCGTCCGAGCAGTTCAGGATCGTCTTGTAGCACCCCGCGTTCTCGCTGATGTACGTGAGCGCCTGGATGATGCGCAGCCCGAGCTTCTTCCCCTGCTGAGACTTGTCCACCGCGATGTCCTCGATGTGCCCCACGCGCCCGAGCCCGCGCAGGAACTTGCGCTCGAGGAACACGCAGCCGACGCCGACAATGCGGTCCGAGGCGGTGTCGACGATGACGATGGGGAAGTATGTCTCCGGCGCGGCTTGCATCGCGCGGAATTGTTCCCGCCAGGCGGCGGCGCCGACGTCAGGGGCGGCGGTCAGGACGCGTAGGACATCGAGGTGACCACGCGCGTAGTCGTTCTCTTCGAGAGGGCGGATCTATACGCAGGAGAGACGCGTCAGAGACCGGCGAGCGATACGTGGACTTGGCGACGTACTTGGAGACCGGCGGGGAGCGCTTTACGCACGTCCGTGGAGATGAGATCGTCGGAAAATGCGAGGTTGAGAGCGGGGGCCATGTTGCGCGGTGGTCGCAAGGAGCGATAGCGAGGTGCGAGAAAGGATAAGGAGGGAACTGGAAGAGAAGATGGTGGTAAGAAGACAGTTGGAGCTTCGCCGTCACGGGCGATGGAGTTATTCAATGGCACAGCCACCATTATCCGGAGAACAATGGAGTTGCTGCCGACAATGAAACGTTGCGACACGGCCTCTGCTTCACAATAACCTGTGCTTCAAACTTGCATAGGTGTATAGGCTATGTACCACATGTCATGATAGTAGGAGGATGTGCTATGTTAGCTAGTTATACAGAGTCAGAGCCAATGCAGGAGTGTACGATGACCATGCCAGATGCCAGTACGCTGCTGTTATGTTACTTACACGATGTAGAATCCCGACCGCGAGCTGATCGCCAGATCGATAGCCTCATCCCCAGAGTCAGTCTCGGAGTCCGTCTCATGCTCGACCTCATCCTCGCCTTCCTCGTCCACCCGAGGCATTGCGTCCACAGGGAACGACAAGGACGAGCGCCGCCTGCCGGACGACCTATCCTCTGGCGTAGCCATATCACCCTTGCGCTCGGGCGACGAAGGAGGCGACCGACCACCCACAGAAGGCGCCCACTCGCTGTAGATCCCCGCAGCCTTGACTTCCACCGTCGCAAGCTCATCGCTCGGATTCATCTCGACCGGTCGCGCTTTCTTCAGCACCGACCCCTCATTGAACGCGTTCCAGTCAGTTTCGGTCCACGACGCCTTCCGCTTGAGGCTCTGCCGCAGGTACTTCGCGCCACGGCGCAGCGCGGTCTGGTTCACGTCGTGCGCGCTCGTCTCGGCGTAGAGGCAGTAGCTCAGGTGCGAAGGCGTCGGCGTCTTCTTGGGGCGCGGGTTCTCGTACTCGATCGCCGGAGAAGTGCTTTGGCTTTCAGGCTCCGGCTCCGGCTCGCTGGGATAGATGGCAATGGGAATCGAAGAGACCGTGTTCTCAGTGGCAACTGAGGCAGTGTTGTCGAACGAGGAAGACGTCACGCCACCAGGGATGTTCAGAGGCAGGATGGTCGCTAAAGGCGGCAGCGTCACAGGTCCAGGACTCGGTGGCGACGGCGATGCATCAAGAACATAGGTGAGCACCTCCGCGTCGTCGTCTCCGTCGCCATAGTCCGGCGTCGGGGTCCGCGGGCGGTCGACATCGAATCCAAGCATCACAGAGTCAATGTCCATGACGAGTTCGTCCGAGCTAGACTCGGGTGGCGGGGTCCACTCGCGCGTGTGGCGACGGTCGGTGGGCGGAGCGTCGTCAGACTCATCGTCGTAGCCAGGTGGGGACGAAGGAAGGTCGAATATGGGGTACGCGTCGTCGCTCTGGGGTTCTGGGGTGTCAGTCATTGGTGCCGTGTCGCTAGTGGGCTCGTCGCCGCCAGTCGTCGCCCTCGCGTCCTCAGTCGCAGTCTTCGCGACGTCGGAAGGTTTGGACCCCTTGCTGGATCCACCAAAGCATCCGACCCGGATGTCGTGCAGAAGAGTCTTCAGCTTCATGTGAGCGAACGAGAGAAGAAGATGAGAATTGGTGGCACTCAACGGTTCCGGGCTGGTGTTCGGGCATGACCATGAGCGAGGCGAAGGGTGCGGGCGCTTAAGGGTTTTGAGGCGGGGTAGTCTGTCGGCTATCAAAGGACGCCTTCAGGGTAAAGCGGGGATGCTGGCGCGAGGTGAATGTTGGTAGAGTGGCTGCAAGGACGAAGAGCAAGTAGAAGCAGAGAACAAGGGAAGGCCAAGCAGAAAGGCGCTCAGGCCGTCAAAGGCATATATACGATCAAAGCACAAAACATAGGCCAGGCCACAGCACATGAAAGGGGCGACATGAATGATCGACACAAAAGCAGTTCATATGGCCATGGGTTTGTGTCCTATGTTATGACCCTAACTGGCATGCAGTGCTAGTCCGTTGCGTTCGATCGGTCAACGTTTTCGAAGGGAGTAGTCGACTTCGAGCATTGCCAGAGTCTTGTATGATATCTCCGCAGCAGTTCTGGGCAGCGAGAGCGCATGCAGGTGAGGCGAGTGAAGAACATCCTGAGGAGTAAGTGTGAGTTGTGCACAACCCCGGCGGCGAGGAGATTAGAACCACGTGGCATTGTTGCGTGACGGCATGTGACAAGTACACGAAACTTTCGAGCTCTCTCAAGCAGCAAGCAAGGCCACCCCCGCCCATTCCTCAAGGTGAGCCCAATTGCTGCTGCAGGACGCCAGGATGGAATGCCACGGAGCGTACGAGTCGAAAGAACCACAACAATCCGGGCATCTTGCGCTGGATGACCGCTCCCTCCCTCGGATGACGCGAAGTACGGATTGCTGATCTTGCCCTGTCCTCCCTCTTTTTCCCTACAGATGGTGCGTAGCCAGTCGTCCTTTGCGAAGAGACAGCGCTGACACGTATGGGGAGTATAGAAGGTCGAAATCGACTCGTTCTCGGGCTACCGTATCTACCCCTCCAAGGGCAAGCTGTTCGTCCGCGGCGACAGCAAGGTACCGCCTTCACCCTCCACCCCTACCCCTTCCCTGAGCCCCTTCTAGGTCTTCCGCTTTAACAGCTCCAAGACCGAGTCGCTCTTCCTTCAGCGCAAGAACCCGCGTAAGATCGCCTGGACGCAGGTCTACCGCCGCATGCACAAGAAGGGCATCACGGAGGAGGTCGCGAAGAAGCGCTCGCGCCGCACCGTGAAGCACCAGCGCGGCATCGTCGGCGCCGATCTCGCGTCGATCGTCGCGAAGCGCAACCAGACCGCGGCTGTCCGCGCGCAGGCGCGCCAGGCGGCGATCAGCAAGGCCAAGACGGAGAAGCGCGAGAAGGAGGCGAAGAAGCCCAAGGTGCGTTGCCGCAGCTAGTCATCTCGGAGCCGTACTGATCGTACACCTGCAGACCTCTGCGCGGCCAAACGTTGCCTCCGGCCCCAAAATGTCGAAGCAGCAGATGAAGGGCAAGGGTGGCCGATGAGCGGGTCGATCATTTTCCCTGACCTTCTGTCCCTCCCTACATGTGTATGTTTGTATGCGTACGACGATCCACCTACCATTATGACCCTATGCGCATTCATGGCTTCAACATGGCACTTTCGTGATTTGCTGTCAGATTGTTCGGTCTTGCAATGCATAGCGCCCCCATACTGGGAGGCAGGTAAAGGAGTTTGTGAAGGTTCTGCTGGTATACAAGATGGTTTGCATAGGGCTACAGGCAATTACGAATACAGTGGGGTGCCTTCAAAGGCGTCTAATCCACATCATCGACCTTTAGTCAATTCTCGGCTCGACGAACCCCTTCAGCTGTCGTCCTCGGAAGATGGGCATCCAGTATTGACGGAACTCAAAGTCCGTCTCACTGTAAAACCTCGTATCAGCCACCAGTCCTTGCGAGGGAACCATCACAAACTCACTCGGTCTCGAACACAGTGATATCCGTCTTGCGTAGGACGTTCGCAAGGACGAGGTACATCTCGCACCACGCAAGGCTGTGAGGGTCAGCGTGAGTCACTCCATTGTCGCCAGCCTGAGAGCTTCGACGCACTAATGCCCCAGACACATCCTCGGGCCCTTCGAAAAGGGGATAAAGTATGCACTCTCGAGTGCCTGCGCGCCCTCCTTCAGCCATCGCTCGGGCTTGAACCTCTTTGGGTCCTCGTAGATTTCCGGGTTAAGGTGCACGAATGTGGCACCTATGGCCACGGTCGTCTGCGCGGTGATATTAGCAGGGATGTTCTACTTGCATGAATCGAACCAGCACTCACTCCAGCAGGAATTGGGTGGCCCGCGATGACGGAGTCCTGATGCACGATGCGAGGGGCAGGAGTGACTAGCGGTTTCTAGTTATCGGCAAGCCTGGCATACTGACAGTAATATATCGACATACCGACACCTGGCGCGAACCTCAACGTTTCCTTGATGACAGCTGTCTGAACAGACGGTCAACGAGCACCGTGAACAGCTCACAACGTTCACTCACCAAATACGGCAGCTTCTCGATCTCCTGCGCCGACAACCGCATCGTCGGATCTGGCCATGCCTCCCTTAGCTCCTCCATCACCCTCTCGCGGATGCGCTTGTCGTTCAGAACATGGAAAATCGCCGTTGTCACCGCCGCCGCCGTCGTCTCGCTCCCCGCCCCAAACAGTGTGATTGCCTCCTCGATCAGCACCTCCTTGCTCGGTCTCTCTCTCTTCCCATTGATCAGATGATGGAATACCGTATCATGCCCGGCGGCCCCTAGGCTCTCCGGCTCGCTCAACACCTCATCCACCCGCTTGTCAAAGTGGTCGAACAGGCCCTGGAAGCCAACGGCTACGGGCGAGAGCCGGGAGGTGATGAAGCGCGGACCGTAGCGCACAAGGCTCATGAGGAAGGGGAAGTAACGCAGGGTCCAGGTGAGGACGTTGACCTTAAAGATGATGGGGATCATGGGGTGGGCGAAGCGTTCGTGCTCGAGGGAGTGGTAGGAGGTGGCGAAGCAGTAGGACATGATGGTGTCGAAGCTGAAGGAGCGGAAGGCGAGGAAAAGGTTGACGGGCTGGCGGGTGGAGCCCTCCTCGATGAGGCGGTTGACGAGGAGGTCGACCTGGGTGGATGGGTGAGCGGGTGAGAGGTCATGAGCAGGTGAGGGTTGAATGAGCGGGAGATGGACAACTGCGTTCAATGACAGGGAAGTACCTTATCCTGAATGACGAACTCGAACTTGCGAATACCTTGACGTGAGAAGAGTGGTCCCAAGGTGTCGCGGCGGGTCTTCGCCGCGACAGGATCCACCTGCCCGAAGGACGCCTGTGGCAGGTCGAAGGCACGATACAACTCGGGGTCCTTTGCAAAACGGTTTGTGAAGTTGTGGATGTCATGGTATGCTGCGGGCTCCGCGAAGTGTAGCTGAAGGTGGGCGTTGAGCGACGTTCTCAAGACAGCCCGGACGACGAACGTACTTCAGAAGCAGCGACGCGTACGACAGGGCCTGCCGCGTGATGAGCTGCGATTTATTGAGGGGTTGATAGCTACTGACCATACTGACGATGAAGCTCCTCCAGGTGCTCAAGCCAACCGCCATCGTGGACGAGGTCGAAGTACGCGCGGTACCACTTCGTCAACGCCGCAAGTCGTGGGCCAGGGTATGAGGCGAGGGGATGCCACAGCAGGGTGTAGAGGCCATTCCCGACGAGCAAGATGCAAGCCGCGCCTGCTGCCAAAAGAGCATACGACATGGTGAGAGGTGTCAAGAAGTAGAGGGGAACCGACAATCGATTTAACAGGAGGGGGATTGGCGCGAGAGATCTTTATACCTGGACTGCCACCGGTGCTAAACGATAGGTTGACGAAGCATGCGATAGGATTGCGCTTCTGCCGCCTCGTGCAGGGCGTAGATGGCTAACATGGAATCCCGCATGAAGGACCTCTGGCTTCCCTATGTCATGCATGGGCGCAGGGGGAGCGCCTTCTGAATGCAGTGACATGGGAGTGAACTGAAGTATACTCGATTGGTGGCGAAGCGGCGCAATATATCGCTCCGCGTGAGCGCGCATAGCAGCCTTCGCCTCCTTCGGTGAGCTCATCGGAAGGCGGACTGGGCGACCTGATCGAGCACGAGATGGGGAACCTATGCAGTCTTTGACATCAGTCATAGATCTCCGGCGTTAGCAAGGAAGCGGTACGCACCGTCGATAAATTCGACTCGGAGGATAATCGTGTGAACGTCAACGGGACCGAAAGGAGGAAATATAGCGCAGACTTTTGGTAGCGCAGACTTTTTCTATAGCGCAGACTTTTGGAGAAGTTTGTAGCGCAGTTGAGGTAAGAGTGAGAGTTTCTGACCACATGGTAGACTGTGCGCCCAACAAGTTCGAGCCATCCGACGTTTGCGGCGGGTAGAACAAAACATGTCACGATGACCAGCGGTGACGCAGGGGGCGCCCTTGTTGGCCGTTCTGCACCAGACCAGATAGTAGATATATTCTCATCGATGTGCCTCTTTCGATGGGCTTGACGAACAAGGGCGTGTGATTGCAACGTACAAGAGATGACCGACATGACGATTGCAGCCCCTGGGCAGAGCCGCCATACCATTTCAGGATACAAGAAAATCGATAAGTCGGCAGAGCGGAATAACGCCAAGCAGAGATTATCGTCGCGCACGTTCTTGAGACTCCGAGTTCGGTTGTTCAGGTCAAGTCGCGGTCGATCCCGAAATTGAACGTGGCAAGTCCGGCGCCACGTGAAGCTACTGAGCGCCCGAAACGGCAGGCAACGGCAAGCGGCAATCGCCGCATCCTTTTTGTTCTTGCGCTCACGACGTACCTCGCCTTGCCCTCTCGCACTCTGTTAGAAGGCCGCTCTCCATATGATGACTCTAAAGCTTATGCCTCTTTCCCCGCGTGCAAGCATGTCCGCGCCGCGAAAGACAATAATCGAGGCTGCCGTACCGAGATCCGACGTCCCGAAATACCTACTCAGTTTCAAGCACTCCTTGTCCGTCCCGAACTTGGTGTGTTACATAGCTCTGAACATGAAGCCCGTTGGGTGTACCTGGACTGAATCTGTATACCCACCGCCCTTTTCTTCCGAAATGACCGGCATGTGCCGCATAGCATGATGGAACCCTCTTCATGATACTCTCCGAGTCCTTGTCCTCTGCGCACAGATACCAGCAGCTCGGTGAGGCGCGGCGATGACTCAGATAAGGATTCATCCATTGTTTGCCAGCAGGATATATAGGTGTGCTGGTATGTGGGCACTCCACAATCGGAACTTCTCATCGGTGCCACAATGTTCAGCCTTCTCCGACGACACCTTTACACCCTCTTCCTCTTCACGTACAGCGACATGAAGACCATCTTGCTTCCAATAGTGCGTGCTTCTCTCCCCTGAGACTCAGCCATGCCTTACCCTTCATCCTGTAGACTGTCTTTGCCTCGGTAGCAGCACCTGCGCAGTCGCCACAAGGCCTCCTACTCGGAGTCTTCTGGACATGGTTGCACCAGCTCCACGCCAACCTCTCAAACCAGTACAAGGCGCTGGAGGAAGACAAGATGAACAAGCCCTGGAGACCCTTGCCCGCGCACCGCGTCACTCCCCGGCAGGCCGAGCTCCTGCGCTGGACCCTGATCCCACTGACGATCGGCTTCTCCACTATCGGCGGCCCACACGCCATCGCCGCCAGTATCTGGCTCGCAACAGCCTTGGTCATCTACGAGCAGCCCTCCGTCAGCGGCCACTGGCTCGGCAAGAACATCCTCAACTGCGCCGGCTACATCGGTTTCGAATACGGCGCAACAGCAATGCTGGGTGCGTGCTGCTTCACACACGTTAATTTCGGGCATCACTGACTTCGGGCCCGCAGGCGAGGGCAGGCCTCTGAGCGCGTCGGCGGTGCTCTTGCTGCTATGCAGCGGCCTCGTCATCCTCACCACCATCCACGCGCAGGACTTCGCCGACATCGCCGGCGACTCCGCCCTCGGCCGCGTCACCTTCCCCATCCGCGCCCCCGCCCTCTCCCGCGCGTTCATCTACCTCGGCATCCCGCTCCTCTCCCTCGCGCTCTCCGTCGCCTGGGATATGTTCTGGGCGGCCCGCGTACTGTTCCTCGCGCTCGGCTCCGCAGTCGCGTGGCGGTTCTACGCCTTCCGGACGATCTCGCAGGACGCGCGGTCGTATGTGTTGTACAATGTGAGTCGTGGTAGCATGAGTTGTTGTGATGTAGACTCGCGCTCGGGGTGTTGCTGACACGCGTCGTAGGTATGGCTATTCAGTGTACACCTTTTGCCTGCCACGCAGCGGCACTGGATGTGATCGCCGTGCTTCGCTGAATGGCCACGATATCCATGCTTCCTTGCCCAGGGTTCCCATGCTGCTTTACATAGAATGACCGTGCCTCTCATTTGTCTTGTACCTACCCTTTATTTATCGCTATTTATTGGAAGCTGGCTCCGGCCCCGGCCCCTCCTTATGTTTTGTATGATACTATTCGTTCTGCATCACTTTGTATCTGTAGTAGAGTACTTTTCCTAACGTTGCACGCTGTGTTCCGTGTCGGTCGGGGGACTTGAGGTAGTATTTGTGGCACACCCTCAAGGTCCGAAATATCTCTATAGACATGGAACGACGACGCTGCGGCACCATTTACGGCGCAAGAGAGGGACAAAACACGGCAAGTGACGATGTTTGTCAGTTCATTGGATCGGTCAGAATGAGGGTAAATGGCGCTAGCCCTGGCGTGAACGCCGTTCCACTTTGGAATAATCCGGATGATCAAGAGTGTTCTACTGGGACGTCGCAGAGCTCTGATGAGAGCTGGTTCCTCTCAATGATGGCATTGATATTGTATTCGGTCCCGATACTTGACGCAGGATGAACAAAGGGCATTGTTCTCGCATCGCGCGTCTGAGCCTGTGACAGTTTTCAGGTGCTGCGGGCGTTCTAGGGTCCACTAACAGTAGGACTCAGATTTCCCTTTTGAAAAAAAGATTCCTCCATGTGAGGCGAAAGCAGATACTTTGAGGCAGAGGCGGAGGTCGCGGTCAAGGAATATAATGTGTGACACACACGTGACAAGTTCAACAAGGTCACAGCATATCCCACCTGATTTGGGCAACTTGTTCCCAGCGGTCTCAGTCCAATATTCCTACAGCCCTTGGGAGGCTTCCGCCGCCCTCCACTGCGATTGGACCGCGATTACTAAGTAGGAATCGTCTCATCTCTGCTACTATGAGTAGGACTTGCGCTCTACGCCCGTCCGGCATCCTCAGGCTTCAGTCCGCACTCGACTCACCATGCGCTCCTTTCCTGCGTACGAAGACAGAGACGAGTACAGGCATGGATGTCGCAAGTGGACCGACCGGCAGCTGGCATCGGCTGCTTTGTGACCGGGACTTGGATGCGGTGAACCCTGGCCGACGGAAGGCACGACGGCAGAGCAGCACTTCACGGCGGAAGCCAAGCAGCGCGATAAACAGGCATGACATGCTCGAGTGCACAGCTCGCTATCCCTGCAACTGGCATCCCACGGCGACAACCACCTTGACACCCCAACGGGTCGAATCCGCTTGTGCCGTCACCCAAAACCGCTCATGCCGTCTCAGATCCAGCGGACGGCATCCGCGTGCACGCGCCCATCGAGCGCCATCAGTAAGCGCCTGCTGCCTATTTAGGTTGGGAATCCGTGGCGCATCGACGTCAGTTCAGTCACTTGAGTACCCTCAGCTCCCAGCGTTTGCTTCTTGCCTCCATCGTCTTCACCAACCACCTTACCAGCAATCAAAAGCCCCCTTTTACAACCGCCTTTGCCAACCAAACCGTCCAACCTTCTCATACTCCTCATCATGGCCTCCATCCTCAAGTCGAAGTGCGTCCTCGTCACCGGCGCGACCGCGGGCATCGGGCGCGCGCTCGCTCGCGCCATCCGTGACCTCCCCTCGAAGCCGACTGTCATCGCGATGGGCCGCCGGCAGGAGCGGCTCGATGAGCTTGCGAAAGAGGGCTTCAAGACGGCCAAGTTCGACATGAACACGACGCCCGACAAGATCAGGGCGTTCGTGGATGATATCACGGCGCAGTACCCGGAGGTAGGCTGGACAGACAGGGCTTGTACAAGGCTAGCGAGCTAACTACGTATTCCTCCAGCTGGACGCGGTCATCCTGAACGCGGGCGTGCAGTATATCTTCGACTTCACCAAGCCCGAGAGCGTGGATTTCAACAGTGCGTCGTGTTTCTCCGCTAAGTAATCAATACTTAACTCGCCGGTCCCCAGAGATCAGCACCGAGTTCAACGTCAACTACCTCGCCGTCGTGAGCATGATGACGGCCTTCCTCCCGCACCTAATCAAGATCGGGGTAAGTTCTCGCGCATGCGTCCCTTACCCAACATCATACTGACCGACTGCACAGAAAGAGCGCCCCACCCTCCTCGTCCCGGTGACCTCTGGCCTCATGACGATCCCCCTACCGAGCACGGCGAACTACTCTGCGACGAAGGCGGCCCTCCACAGCATCTCCTTCTCCATCCGCATTCAAATGGAGAACGCCAAGACAAACGTGCACGTCCTCGAGATTATCCCTCCGTGAGCTCTCCCCCTCTTTTCATATCTCCCTCTCGCTAACTGCCTTCCTTTCATCAGCCTCGTCGAGTCCGAGTTGCACGACAGTAAGCTCCATTTTATCTCCTTCACAAGGGTCGACTCACTCACCCCTTCCTTTTAGACCAAGGCACCACGGAGGCTCTGTCCAGATTCTGGATGCCCCTTGCCGACTTTATCAACGTCGTCCTCGACGGCCTCAAGGAGGGCAAGATCGCCATCACCGCCGGCGCGGCCACCTCAGCGTACCTCCAGTTCGAGAAGGGCAAGGAGAGCTACCGCAATGGGCTCATGGGGCTGCCAGTTACGCAGTAATTGGGTTTTCCTATAGCAACGGGTGGGACCGTCCGTGATGAAGTCGACAGGTCTCCCGTCAGTGCGAAAGAAGCTCCCACAGAAGAGGTAGATACGCACAAGGGAGGGAAGTTATGTTGTGAGATCATGTAACTTTTTGATAGATATTCGCTTGGTGTTCAAGTGCGAGTGTTGCGTTCAGTGTCCGAAAAGCAAGAGTATACTGTTTACCACTCAGGATGGCGCGCGGGCCGCACCATGCACGTGATCGCTTCGCGCTGACGCCGAGCTTGCTTTCGACTATCATGTTCGTTGCTTCTGCGTTGTCTCTTGTCCTTGTGCAGCGTATGCACAGCATAGAATACCCCTAACCTCATCCCATTCTGCGTCTTCATCCATGATTCCGCTAAAGTCTGCAATTGAACCTTCGGGCGCCTCGCGTCAAATATCAGCGAACCAACCCTAAGAACAGACCCGGACGACGACGACGGTCTCTTTTGGAGGCCCGCAAGATAGTGCTCGGGGATGAGGTCTACGATATATCGCCTTGGGGGGGGGGGGTGCGGTCTGACGATCTGGCGGGCTGACGAGCTTTAATCACCGGTGTGTCTTGCTAAACTCTGCGGCCACGAACCTCGCGTTAACTCGCGCGTAGCAAGCAGAACATGGAGGTGTCTTGTCTGCACTCAAGCGATATGCGCTTTATCTGCACTGACCATGGCGTCGAAAGTTGCGACGATCCCAATCTAGCAAGCCTTGTTCCGAGCTTCATGTGATCGGCTTGTCGTGATTGCTCATTCCGCCGCTCATCATCATCTCTCGCCGTCGGCATCCTTCCTTATATACCCACCGCGGACCACGGTGAGCGCGATAGAGGATCGCGCGGACGTGAAGCTCAGCTCCTGCTATCACTCCATTCGTGACTCCGAGTCAGCAGCAGGCCGCTATCCTGAACATTCCCTCCCTTCACACGACTCACATTCAGCACGACTCCCACCGACGGACCACTATGGCCAGCGACAAGAAGGCGGACCCGATCTTGCTGACGCTCTTTGCCAACCGCTTTATGAGCGTTGCAGAGGCGATGGGCCGGTCGCTGCAGCAGACGTCGATCAGCACGAACATCAAGGAGCGCCTCGACTTCTCCTGCGCCCTCTTCGCCCCCGACGGCGACCTCGTCGCTAATGCCCCCTTCATCCCCATCCACCTCGGCTCTATGAGCTTGTGCGTGCACTCTCCCCCTCTCCCCAATCCCATACTAACCTTCCCCTTCCCGCTCCCTTCCCCCTCCCCCAGCGCCGTCAAATACCAAATGAAGCTACACGGCGCCACCATGAAAGAAGGCGACGTCTTAATGACCAACTCCCCGCACGCCGGCGGCTCGCACCTGCCCGACATCACCATCATCACGCCCGTCTTCGACCCCGCCTCGCACGAGATCATCTTCTTCACCGCCTCGCGCGGGCACCACGCTGATATCGGCGGCATCCTCCCCGGGTCGATGCCCCCGACCTCGGTGAACATCTTCGAGGAGGGCGCGGAGATCGAGAGCTTCAAGATCGTGGACGGGGGCGTGTTCGACCAGAAGGGGCTGCACGAGTACATGATCGAGAAGCCGGCGCGGTATCCGGGGAGTTCGGGGTGCAGGAATATCAGGGACGTAGAGAGTGACTTGAAGGCGGTGAGTGGGGTGCGAATGAGAGCTGGAGTGCATGAGCTGATATTCTGCGTAGCAAATCGCCGCCAACCACAAGGGGATCCAACTCATCCATGCAAGTGAGTAGACACGACCTTGTCCGCGCTACAGCACTGAATTTGCTCAGTCGTCGCCGACTACAGCTTGCCAACGGTACAGAGCTATATGTACCACATCCGCAACAACGCCGAGCAGTCCGTCCGCACCCTCCTGCGCAGCGTCGTCGAGCGCCTCGGCACGAACGAGCTCTCCGCGGTCGACTACCTCGATGACGGATCCCCGGTGCGTGTTTCCGCGCTCCTATTTCTTTATCCCATTCTCCATCTCCCTCCATCTAACATCTTGCCATAGATCGCTCTCAAGGTCACCATCGACAAAGACACCGGCGGCGCCGTATTCGACTTCGAGGGCACCGGCTTCGAGGTGCGCGGCAACCTCAACGCACCCATATCCGTCGTGCACTCCGCCATCATCTACTGCGTGCGCTCGATGCTTGACATGGACATCCCGCTGAACGCGGGGTGTTTGGTGCCGTTGGAGAGTGAGTTGTTTGTGTGAAGTGGGTAAATGGAAGTGTCGTACTGAACGATCTCCCTCCTTTCTCCCTCCAACCCCACCTTCCAGTCAAGATCCCAAAGAAGTCACTGCTGGCGCCCTCGCGCACGGCAGCCGTGTGCGGCGGGAATGTACTCACATCGCAGCGCATCGTCGATGTGGTGCTGAAGGCGTTCAATGCATGCGCTGCGAGTCAGGGGTGCACGAAGTGAGCGTCTTCACTGGTCGACTGCCCTCTGGAAACTGAACAGAGCACCCAGCAACCTCACGTTCGGCGCCGGCGGCAAGGATAAGGAGGGCCGAGCAATCCCAGGCTGGGGCTACTATGAGGTTCGCAGCGTCCGTTGACTGCCAGTACCATAGCGGCTCACGTACAACCCATCATAGACCGTCGCCGGAGGCTCAGGCGCCGGCCCGGGCTGGCACGGTACCGACGGCGTCCACACGCATATCACCAACACGCGCATCGGCGACGTCGAATTGCTAGAGCGGCGATACCCCGTCCTCGTCCACCGCTTCGGCCTGCGCAGCGGCTCCGCGGGCGTAGGCCACTGGCACGGCGGCGAGGGCGTCGTCCGCGACATCGAGTTCCAGGAGCCGATCCAGGTGTCCATCCTCTCCGAGCGCCGCACCCGCGCCCCCTACGGCCTCGAGGGCGGCGGCCCCGGGGGCATGGGCCGCAACACCTGGGTCAAGCACCCGCGCGAGGCCGACGGGGATGTCGTCGAAGGAGACGACAGCCCGCGGTACATCAACATCGGCGGCAAGGCGACGGTGTGGATGGGCAAGGGCGACCGGCTGGTCATCGAGACGCCTGGCGGGGGCGGGTGGGGGGCACCGGATCCGGAGCGGCCGACGCTGAAGACGCATGCGCACTCGAGTGGGTGGGAGCCGAGGGGCTCGTTTGCGGACCGGGCGGCGGAGCAGGCGGCGTTCTAAGCGCGAAGTGGGCGAGGAAGGGCAGATGAATGTATGAAGTTTGTAGCATGAATGTTGTACCAACAGTGAATAGATACCACATCGATGAAAATATAGTTACTGATCGAACTATCGCTTTGAGCGGGACACAAACTCAGAACAGACTTTCGGCAGTTGCCGTTATCGTTCTGTTGTTCCCGATATGGAAGGCTTTATTCCTGCCTCTTGTGTTCGTGATCAGAACCTACAATAATTGCCCTCGGGAGGCCCTCGCGGAATGCTTGAACCCCCAGGAAACCGACGCAAGGATATCTCGATGGACTAAATGCCATAGGGAGAGTGACAGATCCCAACCCCTTCGCTTATTGACCTCACCTGGCCGCTATATACAATCCGTGAGCCTATGAGCAAATTTGGCGGACGCTTGCTGACTGCAGTCTATGCTTATCTAGAGAGGAAGCATTGATGTTGAAGCGTGAAGCCGATGTCAGGTCTTGTGGAATCGAGTATATATGGCTCTATCACCTTCACAATATGGCGTCCGCGCAAGCTTTGACCTTTGCATCTCGTCCAAAAGTGGGACCGCGTACTGCCTGAATAGAACCTCCCGAACGCGGGTCCTTCGTAGAGGGTATCTCTCCGGCGAAATTCGAGTCTTTCGCCACTACTCATGCCTCCCTACTGCAGCAAGCCCTTCAGTACATGCGCCTTACCGCGCATTTCACCCGCGTCGGCCGAAGTTACGCCTCGCGACACCCGCCCGCGATGCCCCCGCCTCACAGGATGAACACAAAGTCCCCCGGGCCCCATCACCATCTGCAGACTTCGAAAGCACGCGACGACGCATGACGTTCGCCGTGCCCGAGGCCATCTCCGAAATTCTCCCCCGAACGCGTATATAGGGCGACTGGTCAGGTGCGGCGCTACACTTCCCTCCCTCATTCCCTGTTCCGTCGTCATGAGCGCCTTCACCATCCTTGCCGGCGGCTACGATTCGTCGATCGCCGCGTACGCGTTCACGCCCGACAACGCGTCGCTTACGCTGGTGAACACGTACCCCTCGGGCCAGAATCCCTCCTGGATCAGCCTGAACCCGAGCAACACGAGCGTTCTTTAGTGCGTAGTCCACCTTGCAGATGCATCAGAGCCTAACCTAGCCACAGTGCGACGAACGAGAACACTGAAGGGGGACTGCAGTCCTTCATCATCGGCTCGGACTTTTCCCTGAGCGCGGCTGTCGATACCGTCGCGTCTGGCGGCGATGCGCCAGCCTACGCGACCTGGCTCAGCACCGGAGAGGTTGCTGTTATGAACTATAACAGCGGCGACGGGCGCATCCTCCCCACCAGCAGTCCCGAGACCTTCACCGACGACGCACCTCTCCTCACCTTCCCCGTACTCAAGAACATCTCGCATCCGCATATGGTCTACGAGTACGAGGACGAGGTGTTGGTCACAGATCTGGTGCGTCTGTCCCACTCCTGTATAACAACCAACAGACTGACCCGCTTGTGTTCAGGGCGGTGATGTCATCTGGCGTCTCAAGCAGCAGAGCGCCGGCAACTACGAGATCCAGGGCCAAATCGCGCAGCCAGACGGTAGCGGACCACGTCACATCCAGATCGTCGGTGCGTAGCGATGCTCAGAGCCCCAGTCCACTACTGACAAACCCTCAGACGACTACCTCTATACCCTCCACGAGCTTGCGTCCACCCTTACCGTGCAGCAGATGCCCGCTGCGCCCAACGGCACCTCAGATATCATCTCGGACGTTTCCATCATCCCCGACGACGCGCCGGAGGGCTCTGCGTGGGGTGCAGCAGAGATCCTCATCCCTGCCACTACGGACGCCTTCCCAACCCAGTACATCTACGTCTCTAACCGCAACATCGGCAACGTTACGGACCCGAGAGGCGACACCGTCGCTATCTTCGAGCACGTCAACAAAGGCGAGGACGGCGAGGAGCTCAAGCTCATCAACCAGTTCTACACTGGAATCAGCCAAGTCCGCGGTGAGTACCTTCATCCCTCCTCTTCAATCCTTTCGCAAGCGCCACTCCTCGGTCTCGCTCGCGCTTGTCTGTGTATGTACTGACCATTACATCTGCAGGCATGGAATTCAGCCCAGACGGCGCAGAGTACCTGGTCGCAGCTGGTGTGGTTGGCGAGGCGGGCACGATCGTCTTCCGCCGCACCGAGAACGGCACGAACTTTGAGAAGGTGGCTGCCAACCTGGAGATCCCGACGCGGACGAGCTTCGTGTGGCTGCAGTAAGATCATACTAAATACCCAATGTAACACTCACTGGTCCAGTGCGGTCCCCGCATTTGCCATTCGTTATACAAGATCAGACGGAAATGATGAGTGTGGGAGCTACGATGTAGACTTTGAACCTTTATCTAGCAGCACATCTCACTGGGCAAGTTATCGAGCCACGGATATGCCTTGCTGGACCTTCCGAAAACAGAGCAATGGGGATCGACGCCACATATTGAGCCGAACAATGGCAGCGTAGCTGCATACGCCCAAAATCATACTTCTCCTCCGCCTTTCATTGCGGCTTCGATACGCTTTTCTACACCGCTCCTCTTTGGATTGGACGTATGTCACCCTCTGAGCATGTCTTGCAATTGTCCTAACGATTCTCTTGCCGATAGGGCACAAATCTGGCTTTGTGCCGGCCCAAATAAGCGTGCTGCTGATCCGAGCAACCAACAGATTTCGTCTTTGCTGGGCGTGCTGGCCCACTCTGAGCATTGACGCCGAAAATCGACTTGGCTATAGTCCTGAATGACTTTTATCAGCACAAACTTGGAGGTCTTTAGATGCGTCAGAATATGCGCCGGCACGTTTACATTTTCCTGCGAAGCGCCGCCTTTAATGTGCGTCTGACCTATAAATCCTGGCTTGAGGACCTGACCGAAGCCGTCCTGCAGAGCAATCTTCGAACATGCAAGTAGAGGCCGCGGACGTTGTGGGTCCACCGCCAAGAATTGCCATTTCGCCGCCGAACATGCCGATTTCGCCACTGATCGCCGCTAACTCTGTCTCTCCCTTTCATGCGGCCGCCAACGTTTGGGCGACGTGCCCTGGACGTGCCCGCGTCTAGCGCCACCCTCGAGACGCCGGCCCTGTCTCTGCGACGCGCCATTCGGGTGGACTACAGGCGGCCAAGCGCGACAAGCGCAGGCACCCCAGAGTAACGACTTTTGACGCGTATTCCGAGGCATTCGGCGCTCTCCCGAGCTCGAAATCGACTGTAGGTTCCAAGGCCAGAGATCCTCGTCCGAGGTGTCCTTATCTGCGCAAGATTAGGCGTTCCCGATATAACGAAGGATCAGCAGGGGCGTCAACCCGCTCGAAAGCCCACAAGCACGCAAAGGGACGCGCTTTGTTTCGCGCCGCCTGCCATCAGCGCCTGATCACAAGGCGACGCACTTGCCCCGTCTGATGAATGGGCGCCCCGCAACCCTTTATAAGGCGTTGGTCTAATCGTCGGCAACATCACTCTTCTTTCTTTCCCCCGGTCAAGCACTCTCTTTCCTTACGCTCCCTCTGTACGCCCCTCCTCATGGTTAGCTTCAAGATCCTCGCGGGCGGCTACACGTCGTCCATCGTCACGTACCTCTTCGACTCGGATGCGGCCACTCTCACGGTCGGCCCGCAGAGCACGTCGGGGAGCTCCCCTTCGTGGCTCACACTCGGCGCGAAGGACCAGAGCGTGCTCTAGTGCGTATTGGTGGCGTCTCATGCGGGAGGGGCAGTGCTAACCTGTCTGATAGTGCGACGAACGAGCTCTCCCCCGTCGGTGCCCTTGAGGCATTCAAGATCAACGACGATGGCTCCGTGACCTCCACGGACTCGATCTCGTCGCAGGGCAACGGCCCCGCGTTCACCGTCCAGCTCTCGACTGGCGAAGTTGTTGGCCCCAACGTGCGTATCACGCGGCGTGTCAGCAGCGGTCCAAGCTCATCATTGCGCAGTACGGCGACAACACGGTCGTGTTCGCGCCCACGAGCGCCGACGACCCCACCAAGTTCCAGCAGGACGCCGCCTACAAGGTCGAGCTCCCGACGGACGAGGGCGTGACGAACCACCCGCACCAGGCGTACGAGTACAACGACGAGGTGTTCATCCCCGATCTCGGCGCGGACACCATCTGGCGCCTCAAGCGCGGCGACGACGGCAAGTACATCCGCTGGGGCCGCATCGACCACGACAAGGGCTCCGGCCCGCGCCACATCGCCATCAAGGACGACATCCTCTTCACCGTGCACGAGCTCAACTCGTACCTCACCGCGCAGGCCATCCCTGACGCGACTGAGACCTCGTCGCCGTTCATCGCGAACGTGAGCGTCGTGCCCACGGAGAACGTCGCCGAGGGCTCCAAGTTCGCCGCCGCGGAGCTCATCATCACCGAGTCCACGGACGAGTTCCCCGAGTCGCTTATCTACGTGTCCAACCGCAACATCGGCCAGATCGCGAACCCCACCGACCCGGGCGACACCATCGCCATCTTCCGCTTCAACGGCAACGGCTCGACGTCTGGCTCGCCTTCCGGCAGTGCTTCAGGTGCTTCCTCGGCCGCCCCGACGCAGAGCAACGCCGCTGAGCGCCGCGCTGGCTTCGACCTCCGCCACCGTATGGTCAAGTCGCGCCGCCAGGAGGGCGGTGACAGCGCGCTCGAGCTCGTTGCGCAGATCCCCACTGGCCTGCAGCAGGTGCGCGGACTCGCGATCGGCAGCACGGCTACTGGCACCGACAAGTACGTCGTCGCTGGCGCCAACACGGCTGGCGGTGTTGCCGTTTTCGAGCGCACGGAGGGTGGTGCGAACCTCGAGTTGGTCGCGCGCAACACCGACATCGCATCGGCGACGAGCTTCGTTGTTGTTTGAGGAGCCTAGTGTTGTTTGAGGGATTGTATGGGTTGCTTGACGGCAAAACGACCTTTATCGTTATCTATTTATTGAGTGTTTGTACTTCTGTGCAATGCTTATTGTTGCGAGGTTTTCTGATGCAGGTCACGTATACCATCTGAGGTCTGAGGAATTTGGGAAATTTATCTCATCGAGAGAAGACACGATAGAATTGAACGATTGGCATACATAGGATTCCAAGACCGGCAAGTGGGAACGAACTTGACATCTGAACATAACGATAAACCCCGCTCTTGTCCCCAACTTCCATCTTGCGAATAGCAAGGAAGACCTTTGGATAACTATTCCCCTTCTACGTCGCGAAGACACACATGGACGCGGCACAAGCGATTTTCGAAAACCCATCCCAAGTTTCAGCCATTCCCATCCTCGCTGGCTCGTTTCGTTCACTCTCCCTCTTCCTTCTCGCCTTCACCTATGCGCCCAACAATGGGTCCAGCATCTCCTTCATCCACCAAAGCGACACCGCATTCGGTCCCCACCAATATATCGCGCTAAACGCGCGTCGCGATCGCGCATACACAACCAGCTGGGGCTCCCCACCCATCCTCTCCAGCTGGGAGATCGCGCGCGAGCAGCAGATCGAGCACTGGCGCGTCTCGCACATCAACAACGCACCGATTACAGCGACGTCTTCGTATATCGCCCTCACGCCGCCAAGCAACGGGCAGCACATCTACTCGATGGGCGGGCCGACGGGGGAGGTGCATACAGTGGACCCCGAGACGGGCGGCTTTGGGCAGAAGGTGCAGGAAGTCTTGTTCGTTGAAGAGGGGGAGCTGGAGAAAGCGGATAAGACACGGAAAGCTTTGGTGAGTGTCAATGCGCTGCTGTGATGAACGAGGATCCTGACCAGGGCGCACGACCAGCGCGAAGGCTCGCACGGCATCGAATTCTTGCTCAGCAGTACACCCCGACTTGCATTCGTGCCTGTCCTTGGGACGGACGCAAAGCCAGGGACAATAGAAGTCTATACCCACGATCCCGCCACCGGCCTATTGTCTTACCTGCATTCCACCCCTCCCCCACCAGTCAGCAAGGATAACGACGGACCCCGACACGTCAAGCTCCACCCTAATGGCAGGGTATTGTACTGCGTGACCGAACACAGTAAGCTCACCCGCTAAGGCTCGGCCGCACCCGTCGCTCACATATACTCACTCTCAGCCAACCGTATCGACGTTTACACCATCGATTCTACTTCGAAGACACCCCTGACGTACGCAACCTCCCATGCGCTGATGCCCCCTCCGCCCCCACGGACCCACTACCGGGGCTCGACCCTCCAGCTCGCACCTTCCACCTCCCATTACCCCGCCCCGCGCGCAATTCTCACTAGCACGCGCGGCGGGTCCGAGGGAACGAACGGCTGGATTGGGATACATCCCCTCGACGCAGCTGGAGACTTCACCGGCACTCCACGCTACCACGAGCTATCCACCTCCGGTGGCAAGTCCCTCGCGCTTGCAGTGATGTCAAAGCCGGGGGACGAGACCCGGTCATGGGTGCTCGTAAGCGACGACGCGGAGGGCGCGGGCGGCGTACGCGTAATCGAGTGGAACCACGAAACAGACGAGCTGGAGGAGCTTGCTATGTGGGGCGGGGATGCGGACGTGGACATGCAGGGCTCGAGCTTTTCGCTCTGGTTGGATTGATCGAGAGCTGGAACAACGACCGGTCTGGACGACAGTGATCATGACAACTCAGCGCGTTATGATAGGCATACGAAGCTCTTCACCCTCCGACGCGCGCGTACCCCCACACAAACCTCACTCCCGAAGCCCTTCCTTTCGAACCCGCCACCAACGCTCGCGCCGGACCATCCTCGTCAGGTGGGAAGCGGTCCGACCACTCGCGCGTGGGGATGCGGGGCGTCGGCCACGGGCGCCTAACGGGCTGCCCCGATCGGTGATCAGCTGGGAAATGCCCCCGCGTGCGGGGCATGTATAAATACAACGAACCTGATTCAGTCCTTCCGGATTCAGGCGCAGAACCCGATTCAGGCGCTTGCCACCGCCAGCGATGTTGCTCTCCTTGTTCTCCTCGGTAACGCTGCTTGTGGGCGGCGTCGCGGCGCACAGTGAGCCCAAGACGCCCGCGGAGGTGGAGCGGTTGAGGGCGCTGCAGGCGGCGGCGTATCATGTGCGTGGTATTCTCTTGTTGAGGGGCTATCTACTTACCTGCGATCGTCCCACAGTGCGCCCCGGAGGTCGCGCAGTTCACGTCGGACAGGCAGAAGGGATGGGGGCAGCAGCTCCTGTACGGCGTCGGCACGCAATTGCCGGGGTATGCAGATCTGTTCGCGCCGTCTAAAGACGGGTCGGATCCTGAGGACGAGATCATGATGGCCTGCTCCCCGGTCCCACATCAGACGAAGATACAGAACAACACTTGCGTACTAGGTGTGTCGACTACGCTGTCTGCCCCCGATCAGCTCTAACGCCCCTCACAGCACCCGAGGTTACCGAGGGGCCGTACTACCACACCGTGGGACACCCTATACGGCAAAACATCGCGGAACTACAGAATGGACTGCTGACTGTACGTCCCCTCCCTCGAATCCCTTCATGCATCTCAATGGAACTTTCAGTTCCTCGACATCGGCGTCATCGACGTCGAGACCTGCCGCCCCCTCCCCAACGTCCTCGTCGACATCTGGCATGCCAATGCTACCGGGCACTACGCTGGGCACCCTTTGCCACGCCCAGGCCTAGAGAACGAGCAGCCGCAGGTTGGCGGCAAGCGCGCGGGGCTGCTCTCCGCATTCCCGCGCACCAACTTCGAGGAGACCTGGCTGCGAGGCGCGTGGGTGACGGACGCGAACGGGGTCGCGAAGTTCACGACGATCTTCCCGGGCTATTATACGGGGCGTGCGGTGCATGTGCATAGTGAGTAATCCAGTCATCATGACGAGGGACAATCTGTACTAATGTCTTTTGCAGCCAAGGTCTTCACCGACTGGAGCGTCCTGCCGAACGGGTCGTTCGTCGCAGGTAGACTAGCCCACACCGGGCAGTTCTTCTTCGAGGACGACATCACGGGCGAGGTCGCGGACAAGATGCACCCTTACACGCAGAACCCGATCGCACAGACCCGCGGACGGACGAGGAACTGGAGGGACTCACTGAACATCTTCGAGGACTCGCACGGTCCCGAAGGGCAATACAACCCCATCTTTGACCTGCACTTCCTCGGTGGCGTCCTCAACCAGGGCTTGGTGGGCTTCATCACGATGGGCATCAATGTCAGCGCGTCATACGACAACTTCTGGAAAGGCTGAACGATGGGAGGACTTGAACGAGAGGAGGCATTGACGATTCAACTCATCGGCAACGGGTACTCATGGGGATAGCGGAACGCACACTACTTCGAGGCTTATTCACAATGAGCGACTAACGGCTACGCCCATGTATCAGCATCTACTGTAAAATATTCATGAGAAAGGTCAGGCATGACGGAAATGCGTGTCCGTGAATCAAAAACAAGTATTAATGTACAGAGCATCCGAGTCGTATGTGACCTCCCCGCCCGTCAACCAAATTAATCTTGCGGCGTTATACTGATTTACTCCTGTTCGGACCACTGTACTGATAGCAGCCCTCGGGGTGCACAGCGCGACCGGCCGCGGGTCCCAGAAGTCAGAGACATTACCTTTTGCCATTCCTTGTCCCGTCGTTCAAGCTCTGGCTTCTTATCGAATTCGTCCAGTTCGTAACCAAGGTCAACCCTGACCCCAGGCCCAAATACGTGCTGCAGGAAAACGGCAACCTCCTGAGCATTGCTGATGTCCTTGGGATCGCCTAGCACAATGCGAACGACCTCCGCATCGGTGGCGGGTCGGTTGGGAGGAGCAGGCAAAAGCGGAATAGTCGTCGCCTCAAAGGGCAGGTATATCCTTGTCAGTGCCGGGCAGTGCGCCGCGAGAGTAGCAAGCGTTGCGAGCGAGCAGCAAGTCGTGGTGGGTCCATAGAATGCGGTGATTATCATTTCTAACATGAACAGATCGGGCCAGGACCGAGCCAGATGCGTCCACTGCTCCTGCGTAAAATGAACTCGCCAAAAGTTACCGAGTCCGAAACTCTTGAGACCAGATATCGAAGCGAGTGGCGCGATATGCTCGTAGGTGAGTGTCCACTGATACGCGGCGTCGTTGAATTGGGCGTCCGAGGTCCTTCGGCAGAGGACGACATCCTGGATATACGCAGGATCACAGACCCGCTCGATGGTTTCCGTCAGCGCGAGGACGTTGGCGGGAGGTTCCGTTTCCGGGGAGTCCACGTAGACGCTGTTCAGGAGAGGCCGTCTGGGGCAGCTCTGGAGGAGTGCCGCGGCATCAGCGAAGGGGACGCCGTAGACGTGGAGGACCTCGAGTGCAGGGAAGGCGCCTGCAGGATATTTTGGCCGCCGCTCGATCCACGGTGACTGCCCGGACTCCTCGATGGAGCGGAATTCGACGCGGAGGAAGGCAAGGCGGCGCAAACGTGCAAGGCCTTCGAACAATTCGGGATGGGGGCCGAAGGGAATATATATATCCAGGTGCCCCAGCAATCGATGGCTGGTGAGACTTTGCACTACTTGAAGCTGAGCAGGGTGCTGCTGCAATGCGTCGACGACCGATTTCGAAGGGAGGTCACCATCACGCGTGAGCGAACTAAGCCGTGGAAAGTGTGCCTGTCTTGTAGCCAGCCGGTGGGCGTTGTCCATGCTGAGAACTGTGACATGCGAAAATGATAAGATGAACTTCAGGAAATGGCAGTAGTAATCGACTGAGCCACGCGAGAAAAGCAGCAAGCGCGCCTTGTCCTGAGTGAGCCGAACAGTGTCCACATTCGGCAGGAGTTTGTGCGTAGGATTCGCCTGTAAGATTTTCTTCTGTCTCGCCCAAGGGATCGGATAAATGTCGATATATTTAACCCGGTTTGCCAGCTCCCGGATAGGCGCCCAGAAGTCTGGCACGGGCCGGGCGCAGGTATTGGGGGCTGAAGCTGATTTAGAAGCCTACATTGCTGTGCGTGAGCGGCAACCAGAAGAGTCAAAGATCTGAGCTCACCTTATATGCATCGTAATAGACGTTCAATGATGCTTCTGTGGAAATAGTTAGCGAGGACGAAGACATTCAGGGTGAACGTGCGGCGCACTATCCCATGATTTTCGAGGCATGAGCTTGAGGAGGGGCTCAAGCCCAGGAATACGTTCCCAAAGGATTGGGTTGGCAGCCAGATATAGTGCCCTGCAAGTCAACGCCACTTTGGCCAAGTGGATGTCCGAGAATCTCTGTACCACCAGCTCGCGGCAGATTTCTCGAAGAAGCTCAAGAGGAAGCTTGAGGAAGGCGGGGTTGTATGCAGTCGACGACATCTCTGATGTGGACAAAGAAAGAATGTGGCCTTCGACCCGGATAATGAAGCAATGAGGTCCAAGAGAGAGTTGCGGACCCCGATCGACGGTCCACTTATAGTGGCGATTCGGCAGAATCCGATCCAGTCACGTGAATGGCACGCTTTGTTTGCGACAAAACAGAAGGCCGAAATACGAAGCAACGGCGTTGTACAGCAACAAAAGTTCTTTGGGGCATTGACGATGGCCCATGCTCTATTCATGCTTGGCTGACACAGGGGCGAAGGTAGCGACATACGCATGTACAGCCCATGGTGATCAGTCCTGCCACTGGTCTTCGTACAACGCGCTGACATTGATTCCCTATAACCCCATTAGTGATAAACCCCCCAAGAACGCAGACAAGGACCACCGGGCAAGTTATGCAACCAACCACTCACCATCGTTATAAACCCCACCAACCCCTGGTTGATGACACCACCAAGCAGATGCATGTCGAAGACGGGCTTGTATTGCCCTTCGGGACCGTGCGCGTCCTAGGAAAATCGCGGTTAGCCACAGTAAGACCAGACATCAGTCAGGCAATCAGGAGGCCAACCTCGAAAATATTCAGCGCATCCCTCCAGTTCCTCGTCCTGCCCCAGGTTTGCGCAATAGGGTTCTGCGTGTACGGGTGCATCTTGTCGACCACCTCGCCCGTAATATCGTCCTCAAAGAAGAACTGGCCGGTATGCGCGAGCCTGCCGCCGAGGAAGGTGTTATTGGGGAGGACGGTCCAGTCGGTGAAGACGCGCGCTGAAGAGGACGATTAGCGTTCGGAGTCCTTCTTTACGGAATTATCCCCCTTCCTCTCCCTCCCTCAAAGATACTCAGAAGAAGACGGTCACTCACAATGCACATGCACCGCCCGCCCCGTATAGTACCCCGGGAACACCGTCGTGAACTTCGCCACCCCATTCGCATCCGTCACCCACGCGCCGCGCAAATACGTCTCCTCGTAATTCGAGCGCGGGTACGTCGTCAGCAGTCCGCCAAACTTGCCCCCAACCTGCGGTTTTTCGTTCTCCAGACCAGGATACGGCGTAGGGTGCCCAGCGTAGTGCCCGGTAGCGTTCGCGTGCCAGATGTCGACGAGGACGTTCGGAAGCGGGCGGCAGGTTTCGACATCTATGACGCCGATGTCAAAGAACTGGGTGAAAAGGCGGTGATTAGTTGAAGGGGAAGGGGAAAGAAACCAGCGAAATGACAACGTACGGTGAGCAACCCATTCTGCATCTCGGCAATATTCTGGCGCAGAGGATGACCCGCGTGGTGGTAGTATGGGCCCTCGGTAACCTCGGGGGCTGGTAGGGAAAGAGGATGATTAGTCTAAGGACGAAGGGTGACAGATAGGCGCCCGCGCTAACGTACCTAGCACGCACGTGTTGTTCTGAATCTTCGTGCGAGGGGGGACGGGCAAGCAGGCCATCATGGTCTCCACCTCAGTATCGGTGCCCTCATCATTTTTTCCGTCGATGGACGCCGCGAACAGGTCGGAGTACTCAGGCAGCTGCGTGCCGGCGCCATAGAGGAGCTGCTGTCCCCATCCCCGCTGCCGTTCGGAGGTAAATTGGGCGACTTCAGAAGCACACTGCAGACAAAGAGAAGAGCCGTCAATGACCATATCTCCGATAGCGGAGTACGAAGAATCACGTACATGATACGCCGCCGCCTGCAGAGCCCTCAAGCGCTCGACCGCAGCGGGAGACTTTGGCTCAATGTGCCCAGCGATACCGAGCGCGAGAGAAATAACAGAGAATGTAAGGGAGAGAAACATAGCTGGAGAGTTTTGCTTGGGGACCCCGTTTCGCTTGCCTGACTTTTATACTAGCCCCGCAGGCGTTCACGTCTACCCCATACGCAAATGCATTTCGCTGAGGGTAGTTGGCCATGAAGCGCCCGCAGTACACCATACTCCAAGAAGTGCGTGAGTCGTCGGACTGCATACGGTGCGGTTTAGTGAGCCTCTCATGAACACACTGTTCTCTTCAAAGTCTGCCAACCAAAGTCAAGAAGTCGAACCGTAGCTTTCGCGTCAGCATGATCATCACAAGATGTGTCCCACGCCACATATGCCCTTTTTGGTGTCAAAAGGCAACGCTTAAATCTGTCGTCGACCTCTGTCCACGTTTGTATGCTGCTCTGCCGCCATATATATGGTTTTCGACGGCTCCAAGACCATCAAACAGGAGTATGTGGATTTTAAGCGTCTTTTTTCAAGGAGGTTTCGAGGGATTTGGACTGTGTCCTGCCGCAACTGTGTCTATCCAGCCGTCAGCGTCTTTACAGAGCACTGTCCTGCCTTGTCAGCTCAAGCATTTGCGCGTAAACCATTCGCACGCATCTTTACCGGGTGCGCTATAGAAGAGCTGGAGGACAGGAAGAGAAGGATAATGAGATGACAAGCATGCCCGCATTCTTCCCATCGGTTCCCGCCCATTCCCACCACGAGGTAGTTGGTGCAGCGACGCTGAAGGGGCGAGGGGGCGAGAAAATAGACTCGAGTGGCTGAGCTGGCGCAGCGAGTATACATTGATCATGGCCGTTACGGTCAAGTTGCGGCTGGTCCTCGCCATCAGACACTTGACATTCACGCACTTGATCCCTTACTCCGTCTACAACCATCCGCAAAGTCAGCGACCTAGAACGCGACCTGACTTGAACGTGACACTCATGACCAACGCCTCGGCTAGCGTCATCCATCCCCGCGGGAGGCGGACGCACCTTCGCTCCTGCCATCACCGACGTGTCGCGGACCGCGGATATACATATCAGGCGATCCCCCCACATCTCCTCGCCCTCGGCACGCCTTCTCGAAGTAGCCTGTGTCGAGTCTTGAACCAGCTTGCGTCGTGCCCTTCAAGTCAACCGTCAAGCCTCGGAAGCGGCCCGCGATGCCCACGACAACAATGACCGCGACCACCGCGCACGTTCTACGCCCCGTCGCCGACGCGCTCGTCTTCCTCACCAACACGACCGTGCACCCGACGCTGTTCCCCTACCTCTGGGGCCCCACGCTGCACGCTGCAAGGTACGTGGCCGCTCATGCGAGGGGAAAGGGCCGGGCGACATGCCGACCGAGGCTATACACAGGATATCCATAGCATACCAAACGAATGCGCGGAAGCAGCCGGGGTATGCGCGGATGCCTTGGGCAACGTACATCGCGGGATATCTGATCATGGTGCGTTGGAAGTTGGCTGGGAGCAGAAGATGATCGGGAAGCTTACGCTCATTCGCAGTGCTGGGGCGGCACACTCACCGCACACTTCCTCTGCGGCCTTCCTCCCCCACAGCTATACTCCTTTCACCCGTACATTAACTACGTAGCGGTACACGTCGCGCTCACCCTGCTATTCTCCGTCTTCCCCCAGGTGTGTCAGCCTCCTCATGTATCCCATTTCCTCAGATCCAATGCTTACTCCCTCCCCTTCGTCCCTCCCAGCTTCTCACCCACCCCAAACTCCTCGACACCGCCCTCCTCCCCATCGACGCCTCCATGCGCACGAACGCCGTCACCGGCGCGCTCGCCCTCCTCCAGCACCCTCGCACCGCCCCCGAGCTCGTCACCTCCCCGCTCTTCCACCTCATCCTCGGCGCCGCGGGCTCAGCCGGCGGCGGAGTCCTTGCTGGAACCTTCAACCTCTGGTCGGCGGACTGGCAGTTTAGCACTCCCGTGTTCCTCCGTGGTGGCGGCGCAATGGCGACGCTCGACCTCTGGGGCGGGTCGGTTGTCGGTGAGTAGCATTCTAGCCATTATGTGCTGGACGGTGGTCGATCTAACATGGGTTATAGCCGCCGTATACAGCACCTTCTCCCTACACCCAGCCTTCGCGCCGGTTTTCGTAGGCCTGGTAGAGCAAGGTCTTGTCGCGAAAGACCTTACACTGAGCACGCTCGGCGCTCGCGCGATGGGCGCGCTGTCATTCTTGGCGCTCTTCGGCTCGCGCGTGTGGTATACTCATTACAGCTTGCCGGCCGCCCCGCAGACGGCGCCAGCGAAGAAGAGACAGTAGTATCCTCAATGCCACACAATTTGATCATGCCACAGCTTCCCTGATCCATGCCAAGTCGTGCGCCTCCGCTAGGTTCAGCAAACACGATCAGGTACGCCTCCCATTCATGTCTCTTTGTCCTGCTGGTTTGCCTTGGATCGCCTATTGTCCCCACCGGACCCTTTCTTTGTGATCACTTCCGAAATCACACATTGCCGGCGGGTGCGCACGAGGCGGCGTTTGTTGTCACGGCAACCTGCCTAATCAGGCAATTTATGGAAACGTGCATGACCGAAACAAGTAACCGACGACAAAAGCCTGGCCATACCCGGACATAAGCCCGGTTATGGCAATGTTCAGTGCAAAGTTGATGTCGTGCATGCGCTGGTCTTTGTTTGTGCTCGGGCCTTCGGGGCATATAAGAGGAGTGTGGTATGTGTTGTTGGACAACAGGACATCTTCGAGCGTTCGTGCAGCCAGCGCACTCTCGTTCGCAACGCTCAGCAGCTTCTGCTCCTCTAATTAACCCTCGAGAGGCCAACTTCAACAAGTACAACAGAACAATGCCTGCTGAACGGCGCTCTACCAGGTGCGTGGCTCTGCTCAGCATATTGCCACTCCACTGACTGTCACATTAGACTCGCATCTATCGCGCCCACCGCCTCCCCTGCCACCAGCCCTTGCAGGCCCACGAGCGCTCGCAAGCCCACCAGCTCTCGCAAGCCTACCAGCACCCGCAAGCCAGCCACCCGCAAGAAGCCCGCCACTCGCAAGACCCTCTCCTCCCAACCCGCCGACACAGAAGAGACCCCGAGCGGCAACTACGAAGTCACCTTCCGCCAGCTCTGCGAAGAATGCCCCAGCGAGTGCGGCTCGTCCAGCGAGGAGTCCGACGAGGGCTTCGACGCCATGCGCGGCCACGAGTACTATCTCGCGCAGGGCCTCACGGAAAAGCAGATCAGACGGCGCTATGCGAGGCGCATCAGGAAGCTCGCTAAGGGGGTAAACAGCTTGGAACAGGAGCAGGCGTGGACGGATGAGGAGCGTGCTATGGCTTGGAAGGCGGCGCGCAACAAGGGCCAATGCCGGGACAAGCAGGCCGAGATGGATGTCGAACCCATCAAGCCCGTGCGGCGCGGTTCCGAGGAGACGTCTTCGAGCGAAGAGGAGTCAAGCTCGGACTCAGACTCTGGCATGGAGTACTAGGACTTGGGAGGGAGGATGCATCACGCAGCCTGCCGCCCTCGAATTGCATCAGGCCACGGGGCAGGCACCACGACCCTTGAGGCGCTGCAGCCCACCTTCTGCTTGCCAGCCTCGGCAAGGTTTATGCACTCTTCTGCCCCTTTATCTTCGCATACTCGTAACCTGCAATGACTCTTTCCAACCCTACGATTCCTCATGATACGGTAGTTCTCGTGCTTCTCTTCAAATATCATCTTGTTATCCTCAGCTTCGGTGTCTCTTCATGGTTTCTATACGACTTGCTAATGATATGCATTTCCTCATTGTATCTATGTATCTATACCATGTATCACGCTTTTCACGCAACCTGCATCATATACCTCTCCAATTACAATCCTCCTTGTATCACTGCGTCCACGATTGCCAACAAGAAATAAGGTCTGAGAGCTGCTTCGCATGCCCAGTCAGGTGCAGGGCAGCAGACTCACCTATACAGTGCAGATACTGACAGGTCGCGGAAGCACTCGAGCGGTTTCCCAATCTCACCAATGTTGTAAAGTACATATAGCTAATAACGATAACTCGATAGATAGAATTGGTATCCAATGTCCCTTTGAAAGCGAAGACGACGGGCCCCGTGCGCCAATTGACAAAGACTCCTACCGCGCTCAACTCGCCCAGTAAGCGCCCACTGCTCTCGACTTGCGCAGCAACACGCACTCCGAGCAGCAGACGCCCACTGCACTCAACAGCAAGCGCCCACTCCCCTACCTGGCCTTCCCCGCTCCTCCACCTGGTTCAGGTGCACCACGCTCGGATTGTCGTTCTCGCCGAACCCCATCCGCCGCTCCTCGCGCTCCCACCTTTGTATGACACGCCGCGCGACGTACTCGAAGATGTCCGGGACGTTCTCGCCCGTCTTGGCTGACGCGAAGAAGAGGCGTGGGCCGAGCTCGGGAGTGGCGTCCTGTACCGCGCATGCATCCTGCATCTGCACCCCATCCGCATCGTGCTCGCGCGCGAACAAACTGGGCGTGATAGTCACCGTGCTCGCGCTCGCCTGTGTGGACCGCCTCGAGCGCGCGTACGAGCCCGAGGGGGAGATCGACGGTTCGGGCGACGCGCGCGCGGAGTGAAATACGTCGAAGACGGATGATGATGGTGTGTGGTAGATGGACATGCCCGTCGCGGTCGTGGTCATTGTGCCTGTGTAGAAGCGGCTGGAGGAGCGGGAGCGCGAGCGCGAGGCGTTGCCGCGATCGCTGGGGGAGCAGGATGCGCGCACGGAATGTCGCGATGGACGATGGGGGGCGACGATGGATATCGACTTGGAGCGCACGCGACCTGGTGAGAGGCCAGCAAGCGGGGATGCGGGTCTTGGGGAGGATGCTTTGGTGGGGAACTCGACTGGTGGTTGGTATGTTGTTGGTGATTCTGTGTGCAATGGAGGGGGTGTATGCCATCCATTGGGAAATGGGGTATGCCAGCCATTCGCCCTGGCCTGCGCTGGTGATCGTGCGACAATGGGGACGAGCTCCTCGAGAAAAGCTTCCGCTTCTGCAAGGCCGACGGCCCCTTCTGCACCGTCGCGTACAAGGTCTGTCTTATTCCCCACAACCACGCAGCAGTACTCTTCGAGGTCCTCGTCCGCCACTGGCGTTCTTTGCTTGAACTCGTCCCACCACTTGGTCAGCGAGCGCATTGACTGCCGGTCGTTCGCATCGAAGCACAGCACCGCGGCGTCCGCCCCCCGGAAGAACGCAGAGGAGAGCGACGAGAAGCGCTCCTGGCCGGCTGTGTCCTGCGTATCCGTCAGCTGAGCGCCGGTCCTACGGCTGGGCACGCACCCATATCTGCAGAACAACCGACTCGTCCGGCCTTGAGGGATGGGGGAGTGTCTTTGTGATGAAGTCTGCGCCGATGGTCGCGCGATACCCTGCGCTGAACCTGCCGGATATGTACTACTCGCTGTGTTAGCTATGGGCCATACAGGGCGGCGGGGGAACACACCTGTCCCCTCAAGCTGGTCTTCCCTACGCCCGACGGTCCGATGATAACGAGCTTGATTGTACTCGACGAGGCAGACATAAACGAGGGGGATATCCCATCCATCTCAGAGAGAAACATGGGCCCATGGACGAGTATGAGAAGCAGAGGGAACAGACAAGGGAACCGGACCGCGGTCGCTCAGGTGCTTCGCCAACACAGTTGATTCTGCGACGTCGCAAGCGCTGCTGAGGCCTTGAAACTTGCTGCTTCTCAATATTTTATCTTCTGCTACTTCTGGAATGGACAGAGTCGACTCAATGCGGCTCAGCGCTTTCAGGGCGAGCCTGATGGTGGTGGGGGAAGGAAGAATATTCGTGTGGTCCGACCGGCCCGGTTCATCCATCGAACTCTTACACTCGTGGGTGCTACCTCAGAATCAAGATACAGAGAGCGAACAGTTGTATATACGAGAATTGTTCACACACGTACGCCGTGGTGGGCCATAGGCTATGCAGGTCCACATATCAAGCCCTCACCGTGAGGACCCTAGGCCTCTAGCCTTGGCAAGCAGCATAAAGCTCTGACCCCGACCCCAGCATCGAGTCTATGTCTGCGTGCTTTTAGCGTCCGCGAAGCATTCTCCGCACAAGAAAGTCACTCACAATCGATAAACTTATCCACAGGAATCAAGTTCAGTGTGCCAAGCGGCGTCGACGTCTCGAGCGGCTGACCGCCGAACAGAACACGGATGAAGTGCTCCCCGGCCTTGTCGTATAGCTCGAAGACGATCTGAGAGCGAGAGGTCAGCCATACGAGGACACTTTGCCAATGGAGATTCGCGTACCTCGGATCCCCTGGAAGAAAATGAGCGTGTCACTGAGTAGAACGAACGACAGACGACTCGACGTACATCCCCGGCCAAACCATCTTCGAAACCTGCAGGAATCCAAGCAGCGCGGAGATGGAGCCGTCGTGCGCGACCTGCAAGTGTTTTCTTCAGTACATGATCCCGCTCTCAGATCAACGAGCTCACATTATGGTAGTACTTCACCTGCAGCAACCTTTGCGTCAGCCCTCGCTCTCAACGTGTTCAACTAGATTGGCCGCAGCATAGCACACGCACCGTCGACTCTCCCGTGATCGCATTCTCCAGATGAGCCCTCAGCTCCAGCACCCACGCCCCGTATTTCAGGGCCGAGTACAGTGTCGAGTTCGCCGCGTCGCGGTAGATGTACGAGTATTCCCAATTGCCTAGGCGGTAGACCGTGTCTGCCTGTTCGACACATCGCATGTGAGCCGGGATGTCGATGCTTGTTGCCTGCAGCAGGTCGCCCCAGTCAATAGCAAAAAATACGCACCTCCTCCTGCGTCACACACAGCGACGTGTCGTTCACGCTGCACGGAAGCGCCTTCCCGTGGCACTGCTTCGCGCTCAGGTTGTCGTAGTAGCTGCACCATGAACATGTCAGCGTTGACTCCGCTCCTCTCCTCTTTTCCTGCGCCAAGCGATCGCGGGCAGCACCATGCACTCACTGATCAAACCACGTATGCCATCCCGCATCGTCCTCCTCCTCGATCCCCGACACCGCATCCAGCGTTGCGAACAGCGGCGCCGTCGTATTGAGATGATGTTGCCATTCTGCGCCACTGTCGCCCGTCGTGTACGCAGCGCGCACCGCGTCCGCCGCGGGGCACGGATACTGCGGCTCGAGGCTGTCGATGCCCTCGGGCTGGACGTGTACCTGGAGTGCAGTCAGGACTTGCATTCGAGCGTGAGGCAGGACCTCAATCGTGAGCAGCGGGGCATCACGTGCGAGCGCCCTCAGGCTGAAGAAAAACCGAAAATCAAGCTGAACACGCACCTGCACATCGGACACGCCGGGGAAGAGCCCGCGGAGGACGCCGCCGGCGACTTGGGAGGTAATGACGTTGTTCGTCACGCCTGGGAGGGAGGTGAGAGGTGTCAGCTGAGGGTGTGAAGGAAAGGAGAAAGGTGAGAACGAAGGAGGCAGGGAGACATGGCAAGAAAACAAGAGGACGAAAGAGGGGAAGTACGTACGAATCTTCACCGTCTCGGTGTCGAGCGTGTCGTTCCAGCCGAAGATGTCTGCGTACACGGAGCGGAGGTCCTACAATTTCAAACCGCGTAAGATTTTCTGTAGATGAGTCCAGGGAGTGATGACTTACGACGCCATGCTGGTACGAGTCTTGCAGACCCTCGGCGGTGATTTGGGGCAATTGACAACTGAAGAGGGATGTAAGAATACCATCTGGCGGCTTTGTAAAGGCAAGGAAGTTCACGCACTTTGTCCCCACAAAACCCGGACCAACCGACGAAGTCCAGGGATTCTGATCGTCCGTAAAGGCGTTCCACTTCAGCATCATCAGCAACGCATAATGCCTATAGACGAGAAGCGTGATTACCTGGATGACCGCAGGGTCCGCGCCAGGACCACTGGGGCTGCGAGCGGGCTGTTAGACACGATGTGCGGGCGCTGAACAGCGCCGGCCCGAAGACAAGATTACGGAAAGGGAGACTTCCTACTCACCTCTTGACATAGTGCACAACGCCCTCGCCCTCGCACTGCCATTCGACGTCCTCCTTGAAGAACGTGTTCGAAGCATAGGGCGTGCGCTTGTGGTGCCGATGGATGACCTCGACGTATTTGAGCTTGTAATCCTCGGGAGGTGTCCTGAGCCAGCAAAATAACATCAGCCACTGGCAGTCGTTCCATTCCATTCCAGGATACCGAGGGTGAATGGCCTCCCGCGTTCCCAACATCACAAGTGAGCTCAGCGAGGACCACGGCACTCACACATACTCCCCCGCCCGCACATGCGGCATGTTGCACCAGTTGTACACCCCATACTCGGGCGACTGCGACGAGTTGTACACGCCCGGCGCGCCCGAGCCGTTCAGCGCGAAGTCCAGGTCGTTGATATATGTGGAATTGGGCGGGTAGTGGACGACGGACGCCAGAGTAGACCGGCTTGACACGACTGGCCCATCGCGAGCTGCGAGGGAGCTTGCACTATCCTGTCCACAGACCGCCCCGGCCTCCCTTGCGCAGACATCCGCCACACGGGCAAACTGCGCGCGCCCAGCCAGGACGATGGACGCGCTAGCGCCGTTGAATATGAAGACCGAGCAAACGAGGAGAAGCAGAGACGCAGGGATCATAGCGAAGCAGACTCGAGTACGACTGCTCCTTCAGGATCAAAGCACGCTCCGCAGATGAACGGAGGAAGCCAAGGGGCATCTTCGCGTGAGACTGTATATATTCCCCGCATGCTCTTTTCTGATGATTGAACGTGCTGAGATTGGCGTGGAACGTGTGACGGGCGGGATCAAGGTGGAATCTGAATGGGCGGACGGGAGAAGCCGGAGATGAGCACGTGCGTGATATGAACTGTGACGCTACCACTGTCACGCCACAATCCCGTCGTGGTTTAAATTGACCTGCTACCTCTTTGAAGACCAAGTCGCATAGGCTAATTGCATTGATATTCAAATAGATAGATCAAAACGAACCGTACAGCACGTGAAAGCCGAAAGGAAAAGCACAAGAGGGTCAAGTCGATGTGCAACGCTGAAAATGACCTCTCAATCGCCTAAAGATGCTGCGACAAGGCCAGGAAAATCTGATCCTGGGTCGCTCACCACCTCCTCATACCCCCTAAGGATCCGTCAAGTACCCCTGAGCGGCGACAACGACATCGACCGCATATGCAAATGGTTAACAACGCGCATTATACTGCGATGGAACGTGCGCGCGATCGTCCGCGGTATGCCCGATACGTCCGGCTTCCGGTTTTCGTCGTCGACTGGTGGTGAGGGAGGTCAGCAGAATATTCACTTTGAGAAGCGGAAGGGTAGGGACAGGAAGGGAAATGACATGTCTGACAGCAAAGGGGGTGATGCGAATGAACGCAGAAAGATGATACAGATAGACTCGAGGACATGGCATGAATGAACTTCAGCAACGCACCATACAACACCGGCGCATCCAACCGATGGTCAAAGTAGAACGTCAGGGAGCCATCCACAATGAACGGCGCCCCGATACTATTGGCCTCCCCCGGTTGCCCGACCACGCACGCCGTCCGGACGCCCTGCACCGTCACCGCGGCGATCTGTCCGGGGCGCATGCCGCCCGCGCACCCCAGCGCAAGCAAAGTCTCCGGCGAGACCCGCGTGTACGGAGATGCGGTGTCGAGAACGAAGTTCGCGACGATGGCGTCGGGCGGCGTGTCCGTGTTCGCGCTGCTTGACCGCACAGTGTTCCTTGACCTCGCCGAGCTACTTGACCACACCGTGCTCGTGCTCGTCCGGCGCGAGCTGGCGGTCATGCTGTTTGAGTCGAAGCCCGTGCCAGCGCCGTTACTAGAGCCTGCTCCCAAACCATCGCCGGCACCTGTACTTAACGAATGGTCCACCCGCACAACGAGGCGCCACGCAAATAGGCCCTTGAGCGGGCCGTGCATGATGCGGAGGCCCGCGCACGGGATGGTGTCGATCTCGGTCGTGTGTGGCGCGTTGTCGTCGCCGACGATTCGTTCTACTTCGCGGGAGAGGAGGCGGGCTGGGGGGAGAGGACACGACAACGCGGACGGAGAGCGGTAGGTCGTAATTGAGGGCACAGGCCGCAGAACGGGGAGTATTGTACAGGTCAGATAATGCAAAATGTAAGTTCGCCGCCGCTAGCGTCACAATTCACGGAGAACGCACGATTCGGCAAGCTCGCCAGCGACTCCTCGTCGCGGATGAGGGAGTCGAGGTCCGCGACGGATCTCGAGGGTTTGTGCCATGAGCCGCGGAACGTGGAGGGCGCATATGTGCTCTCGTCGTCGAAGTCGAGGTAGCCGCCCTTGCAGTCGGAGTAGCCGCCCTTCGAGCTGCGCGCAGGGGACGAGGCGCGGGCCGGCGAAGGGGAATACGCGCGGACTTGCGGAGGGGGATACGGGGGCGGTTGGGATGGGGAGTACGGGCGGCTTTGTGACGAGAAGGATGAGCGGTCTGGTGGCGAGAACGAGGCGCGGTCGTCTGTCGCGAAGGATGCACGCTCCTGCGCGAACGACGCGCGATCCTGCGACGGGGAGTACGATCGTGACGGAGGACGCGAGCGGACGGACATCGAAGGAAGAGACAAGATGGATGTTTACGGTCAAGACGGAGGGTAATGACGGGGCGCAACACGGGCACTTGAAGCATGATATGGCCCCCGTGGGGCTTACAGCGGTCATGGAACACCGCCTCCTCGATCTAGGCAGCGCCGGCGTTGGACATCCCTCTCGTTCGGCGACTTCGGAGGGGCCCCTCGCTTGTGTCGGGACATAATACGGACTGCTGAATTCCCATCCTTGACAGGGTGCAGGAAAAAAGGAATATTCATCAGGACGAAGGTGGTAAAGATCAAAAGAACAATGGTACCCAAATACGGATGGTCAAACCAAACGACGGGCCGAGCCGCCCCGTCGTACCGGACTTCGTCGCGACTTTCGGTCAACTCTTCAAGTAGACCTTCATCATGTTCCTGCGTCTAGGGTGTCGCCTGAGGACCGCGAGCGTACCTAGGTATACAGCCATTACTCCTAGACTATACCGCGGGTATGCAGTTGACCTGCACCCGAAGTACGCCGACAAGGTGAAGAAGAAGGCCGAGGAGTAAGTCCCTGGATCCCCCTCCGCATTCCTGAAGGTGAATATTGAATAGGCGCCTCCCTGGTGTATAGGAAGGGCGTCTCTCTTGAGCAACTTGCTGAAGAAGCCAAGAAGAAGCTTGAAGAGGAGAAGGCCGCGGTGCGCGAGGCCCTGCGCAAGCAGCGCGAGACGGAGGCGGCGCAGGCATTGAAGGAGGAAGCGAAGTCCTCGTCCGCACCCCGGACGCCGCCGCCAGCGATGGCGGCGCGCTCGGATAGCTCTCCTGTGAAGGTGCGTTATGGTCAATGACCATATGTTGCGACCACCCTGACTGACGTGCTTTATCCAGCCGCTGGCCTCCATCCTGAACGTAGAGAAGATGCTCGACCCGCCACACACCGCGGAGCAGGTCTCTCAGATCTGGACCACCTATCATGACCTGCAGTCTGGCGGCACCGGTCGAGGCTTCGTCTCCGCCTCCATCCCCCTCCCGACCTACGAAAAGATGCTCTCCATCGCGCGGCGTTACCCCACCTTCGTCATTCCCCTCCCCCGCCTCGTCGAGAAGGACGACGCGCCGTCTTCCACCGAGAATCCCTCAACCTCACCCTCTGACTCCCCTTCCTCTGAACCCGCAAAAGAAACCGCCTACGAGTTCTACTTGATGCAATGGGACATCCACCCCGCGCCACCCGCCCCCACCACCGACATCTTCGCCCGGCCGCAGGCGAACGCCTCCCCGAACCCGCCTACCGCGACCATCATCTTCACGCCCTTGCAGGAGTACAAGCTCCGGCAACAGTTCGCCACACCGTACATGGTGCTGACGCAGTACACCGACCTGGCCGCGAGCCACGGCGTCGTGCTTGCGCGCGGGGAGATCACGCCGTCGACCAGCGAGTCGGGCAAGTTCATGCTGGGGCAGGAGGACGCGCGGTCGCTGGTGATGGCGATCCAGAAGTTCTACCTGTGGGACCAGGGGAAGAAGGAGAATCTGCTGCAGGTGTTCCACGAGCGGCCGGAGGAGTTCAAGTGGGAGGACCTCATTCAGCAGGTGAAGGTGGTGGCGTGAGTGGGCGCGGTGAGCCACGGCGTACTACATACTATCTGCAGACTATCCGTCGCGCTAATGACCACTGCTTTGACACTCGCATGCTTCGAAATGTCGCCTTCAAATGCTCATACTCTCCCAGTCCAAGGTGATGTACACGTCAAAGGTCTCCGGCGCTTATGCATTCTTTCAAGCGCTCGTCGAGTCAATACACGCATTTCTAAGCGCCCAACATACTCTTGATTCTGTGCAGATAACCATGCTGCAGCGCCTATCTGGCACTTATAAGGCTCGACCAACGCCGCGCTTCCCAACTGCCTACCACCATAAGTACTACGACTACAACCACAACCACGCGCCACACCCACAAGATGACTTCGCCACCGCCCGTCTTGTCACTATACCGGGACCCAAGCCGAATCTGGCCCCACGAATTCCACTTCGGACCACCGACGGACGAGACAGAAGATATCACTTTCTACATGCCCGGCGGCTATCATCCAGTCCGCATCGGAGAAGTGTTCAGCGGCACCAAAGGCGACTACAGGATCATGCACAAGCTCGGCCAGGGCGCGTTCGCCACGGTGTGGCTCGCCCAAACCGTCTCCTCGAGGGCCTTTGTGGCGCTGAAGATACCTACAGCCGGCGAGCATGGGTTCGATGAGGCCGAGATGCTGGAGCTGGCGAACACGGCAGCTGGCTCGGACCACCCTCGCGTCTCCGAGTTCATCAACAAGATTCCCATCCGCGGCCCAAATGGGCTTCATTGTGGCATAGTGACGGACGTTGTCGTCCCGCTGGCCTCAGCAGGAGTCGGCTTTCAACCTCGTTGGTGGCGGAAAGAAGTTGTATATGGGATGGTGCAGGCGATGGCGCAAATTCACCGCGCGGATATGGTTCACGGTGGTCAGTTGCTCAGACTGCGCTCTGTCCTATACCATATTGATTGTTCTATTCCCGCAGACTTCCACATGGCGAACATAGGTGTCACCGTCCCACTGCCCACTGACGTTCAGGCTCAAGAAAAGCTCATGCAAGACCTCGGCGAGTACGAGCTAACCATCGTCCTCCCTATCGATCCGGCGAAGCAAACGGCCTCCCTACCCCCTTACATCGTTACGCCATGCCGATGGGCTGACTACTTCTTTAACGATCTCGGTGAGATGAAGCCGCAAATCAAGGTCTACGACTTTGGGAACGGCGAGTGGGGCCTCTTCGCAACGGCTATCACCACCAACTAACGCATTTATTCGATTCTAGCGTACAGAGTGGGCACAGAAAACCCGGCCTTCAGGTGTGCTGTGGAGGCATACGCGCCCGAAGTCGCCTTCGCCGAGTGTTTCAAGAAGAAAGAGCGCGTCCCCATCGCATTTTCCTCTGACGTCTGGGCCCTCGGTTCTGCGGTGAGTAGTATACACCTGATTACTTACCACTTCGTCCCTCGTACTGACTTATCTTCAACCATTCTCAGATCTTCGAAACCATCACCGGCACCACCCTCTTTCGCAACAATCTGCCCAGCATGCTGCCCGAACGCGCTGTTCACATGGCAGGCAAAGTCCCGCCAGAGTGGCAGGCCTGGTGGGACAGCAAACCTCGCGAGCCTCTATCTGGGAACCCAGACGCATGGTGGGAATCCCCGGAGCAGCGAGACTGGATCGTTAATGGGTGCGCGGACGAGCAAGATGCCAATGCGGCCATTTGCTTGCTCAGAAAGCTGCTTGCGCTGGACCCCTCCTCGCGACCTTCTTGCGAGGAGATTTTGCGAGATCCGTGGTTCAAGGGCATGGCACCGTAGCGAGCTCAGGGAAGAAGGACGCCGCACCAGGCGGACACGAGTGACATCGTGAACTTTCAGTCCATTTTCGGTCCTGGCCACGGACCGTCTCACCAACTCCACGTCGACCTAATGGTCCCTGTTCTGACGCATCGACAAAGCAGCGGGCTCGCTGTATTTCACGGTCATGCGTATCGTAGTTGATACAGCGAATGGGAACATCTGCGAAGGAATTACAGGGCGTACATGTAGGATGCGTCCATTGAACAGTAATTTATGATGGGCAGGGATCCTGTGGTTTCCCTCCAGGTCCATGAGTCCGAGGAGCGAGTTCAATCTCTTCACTGCACGCAATAATGATAGTACCGGAACAATCGGTACCGGACGTATGGTATTCGTCGCAGAGCGGCTCTTCGAGCTCAAAATTAGTGTCTGTCCCCCGCCGGCGCTCGTCGCACTCAAGAGCGAAGTGCAACGACTCGAGAAAGGTGCTCGGTTGTCCTTCGGCAGAGTCTTCGTTCATGCGCTGCTGCACAGTCACGATGACTACGACGAAGGTTGGATAAATGCCCTAGTCACTCACAGTGGTCAATAAGAAGTACGCCTAAATGCAGAGGCGAAATACGTACCGCACACAAATAGAAAGTCTCGTGCATCATCTCGAAATGGCCCGCGACGTGCGGGTGGCCTTCGATCTTCTCGCTGACTTGGACGAAGATGTTGATAGCCTGAAAGGAATTATATGTCGTGATGTAAGGAGCCAGCCATCAAGTACGACACAAAACAGAAGCGTACCCATAGCACCGTATATACCACGCCAGACTCCAGGAGCAGTAGCAGGACACCTCCGACCATGCCGCTAGAGTTCGGAGCGAGAAGTTTGGACACGTCCCGTCTATACATCCTGGAGTCGCGCATGACCTTTTGTTCGCTAGGAGTGATATGGACATAACTTACCAGTACCTCGCGCCAATGAGCGCCGTCGAGACAACATTCGTCAGACACAGCGTGATGGCCATCACCGTGAGGGGAAGGCCGAGAACAATATGCTCGGACACCATTGCAGTCTGTGATACGATCTCGAAGATTGTCCCGGCTGAAGAGGTAAGTTCATCAGCAGTGGATGCCGATGTAAGTATTTTTTGGCATGGCACATACACAGACCAAGAGTCATGCAGCCCGAGAGCAATCCCCGCACGAAGTTGTTGCTAGGCCACATTACCCATGCTCTCCACACGACAAGTGCATCGCTAAGCAGATACTGAAAGAGTGATTCATCGATACATGCCTCAATCAGTACGCGGTCACCGAACGTACGTTCAGACAGGAAAGCACCGTGAACATCAAGGCCGTCGTGACCGCTATATCCGGGTCGTAGCCGAATATATCCCAAGTCATGGGGAATCGGATGGCGGTGGTTATCGTCGAAGAGACGCAAAGCACCGCGAGAGCTGTTGCTAGTGGCCATACGCGTCCCTCCTTACGCCTATGGATAAGAGCAATTGACAATCAGCTGCGCGTCATATGCCCGAATAGTATGCAGACTGACGCTAACACGGGTATAGCTGCAATTGACAGTGCGACGTGCACGCCTATCCGGTGCTTTTCAGCATAAAAGGACACGCGAGCGAGGCTTCACATACCGTACAACAGAAACACGGCGCATATCTGCCCCGCATCGTACCGCAGATTGTCGACGTCAAGTTTGTTCAAAGGATGCTGGGGAGCAGGCGGAGGGCCGCGCAGCATGCGGCCGGATGTGGCGGCCTGGAGGGCAACGCCGAAAAGTCTCTGCTTCGCCGAAAGCGATACTTATGGGTCGGCAAGCTAACGCACTAACCACGCGCGACCCTGCTCCAACATCAGGAGGCTCAGGGACAAGACGTGGGTTATCAATACGTACTTGCGACAAGCGATGGTCAGAAGCTGGAAGATAGCCGACTCCGGAGCATAGGAGGAGGCGAGGTGGCGAGGCCTCAAGACGGAGGAGGCCGCGGCGGTGAGCCGACCTGCAGGGCGCGCCCTCTGGCGAGCACGGACTACGGGGTCAGCGGGTAGTAGGGCCAGGGAGGTAGACTCCGAGACCCGTGTCCTCGAGTAAGCCCGAAACTCGCGCCTAAAACACGAGGTGGCCCCAGCGGATGATTGCGCCTCGAATTGATGTAGGACGAGGTCAGATCGTCGAGGGGGAGGGAGAGTCGAGGGGAAGGGAGAGTCGAGGGGAAGGGAGAGCCAACAGAGGAGAAGACATTCTTCAGGACCGTCTGATTGTGGGAGTGCATGGGAGTGCATCGCGGGCGCGGTTCGCCAACCGGGAAAATTCCTGACAGTGCGGTCCAGTATGTCACCACATTTGGGTCATTCCCAACCCCGAGTTCGCATAATTCCGATGCAGAAATCATCGCGCACAAGGTGCATCTTACGTAGTGCTCGAGTTGGTGTGCTTTGTCAGTGCTTGAGATGGGGGTGCGAGGTTGGAAACTTGGAATTGAGGCTCGCTGAGTTTGGAGTGCGTACTCTCACGCCCCACGTGAGCATTCCTAAAGTAGTAATGTCCCAGTTCAACTCCTTGTCGAGCCGCAAAGTCGCTCTCAGGATACGTTACTTCCGGATGAAATGATCAGAAGTATATTCCAGTACATTTCATAGCTGTCTGTGTAGGTGAATGCACTCTGGGTGGCGCTCGAGTTGCACTCCTATACCGCTAAGGGAGCACCTACCCCTTGTAGACAAAGTCATGCACGCTGCAATTTTTTGAGACAATCACGGCAAAAAAGCGTTGCTGGAACTGATGTCACAGCTACGCTATGTCTCGGAACCACGGGTCCTGCAAGATATCCTCGCACGACGGCCTCGCAGACGGATCCAATGTAAGAATCCTCCGCAACAAACAGATCGCCGCATCCGTATCTTCATCGTCCACGCAGCCCTGGCATATGTACTCCCGCGACTGAAGCCAATAAGTCTCGGCGTCGTTCGTCAAGGTCAAGTGATCATTGCTGTCCCACCAGGCTTGCCACATTGGCGGCACGTAGCCAGCCATATTGCACGCGCGCTCGATTATCGCTTTGTGCCCGATCCCGTGGAACAGGGGAGCCTTGGTGAGGAGCTCGTATATCTGTAGCGCATCCGTTAGTGTCTGAAGTCAGTGTAGACGCTAGGCGAGACGCACCGTCGCTCCCAGAGCCCAGATGTCTGCCTCCTTCGTAGCCGCGATGCCCTCCTTCCCTTCTCCAAACCGCGCAAAAGACACCTCCGGAGCACATGCCTCCACAGCGCACGACCAAGTGGGCTGCATAGTTCCGACCCTTCGAGCTACATAAGGACGAGAATCAGCTAACTTCCATGTAACAAACACGGCACTACTCACCATTCCCGAGGTCAAGAACCTTCGTGTGCGGGTCAGCGTTGCCGATAATCTTCAAGTAGAATTCAGCTAGATTGCACGGCGTTACGATGTAAGGTGGAAGGGCGGGCGATTGCTTGGCTGGATCAGCTGTCAGGATAACCGTGATATCGGGGTCGCGAAGTTCCTGCATGATTTCTTCTTGGCTTAGCGTCGAAAGCTGAGGAACGGCAACGCCAGCGTTCCCAAGATGGAAGTCTGTGCAAGTGATGAGTATATTTCTTCTAAGGCATAGGTTGGGCCAGACAGTGCGTACCTCCATGCACGATGCCCGCGCGATGCATCTGCGCCAGCCCCTTGACCAAGCCGTACGCCGCAGCCTTGCGCCACCTCGGCGAGAGCGGCGCGTACTTCAGCGACAGGAAGGGGACCACGATGTCAGTGACGAGCACGGCATGGGTACCGTTCGGCCCAGACACTTCGAACCTGTCGTGCAAGCCTAACACGTGCGAGGATTGTGGACCGTCGTACCCTGCATTGGCCTCTTCTAGCATACCAGCCTCCGCATTTCTCTGGCCCCACCCCGTCGTGATTTTCAGCGCCACAAAGGCCCCTGACGCGTCGAGGCTTTGCGCAAGCCATACTGTGGCGTAGCCGCCGAAGCCGAGCTTGTGCATGATTCGATATCTGGCTGGGCTGCGAGTCGGATACCTGGACTGGAGCGAGCTGGGGCCAGCACCGCCGAGCACGTCCCCGATCTTGACTGGATGGTATCCTTCTGCCCGATAGCATGTGACGTCCTCTGTGAGTCCTAAGAACTCTGGATAGATGAGGAAGTCGCTCAACTCGAGGTGGTCGGAGGTGTAGCAAGTAGATGCGGAGGACATCCTGCGAACGTTGATGCTGGAGAGGGAGGAGGTAGTGGAGGCGCAGTGTAGATGGACTCTATATACTGCGAGACAGGCGTCGCAGACTTAGCTTGACTCAGTCCGTCACGTCCGTGCAAAGGCGCCCACAGCGTAGCATGTCTTCAACGTGTTCACGCTAGACGCCCGACGTGCCAATACACAAAGCAGATGCGGGAAGAGTCATGTAGAGCTGATATCGAGTCAATAGCGTGAGCGGAAGACAAGGGACACGTATGGGCCGTACGTGACGGTTATGGTCAAGTCTGTACAGGAGTGATAACGGAGGCTTTGAAGGCCGGCAAATGCCGGGCGTGGACCCACAGCTCATCACGTGGCGAAAGTTGAACCTGAACCTGGCCTGTTTCCCGGTCCTGAGCGCTCAGGACCGGGAAGCCCGAGCAAGGACTCCATGCTCTCGAGAGCTTCATAATAATCATATTTCAGCATTTCATCATGTACATCGCGAGTCGCGACTCCGAAGCACCCGAAGGCCTCAAAGCTGCTCATACTCGATGCTGGCTAATATGAATGCCGCCAAACCCTTGAGATCATTCTCAACCGTATCCACGCTGATGTAGTACTGCAAAATACCGTCAGCCCCAGCTCGCCCAACGGATTGATAGTCACCAGCCCAATCACCAAACCCCAAACCACTCACCTCATAATCCCCCGCCCCACTCAGACTCCCCACCGACACCGTCGCCTCCCAGTCCATCGTCCCATCCCCGGCGTCCACGACCCAGTTGTCGACCATGTACTCGTACGCCTTCTTCGCTGCGGCGACGATCTCCCCATCGCTATCGGATACGTATCCCTCCCTCACCCCCTTCAACAACGCATACACGAACATCGCGCTCCCGCTGCTCTCGAAGTAGTTCCCCTCCCGCCCCGGCTGGCTCATCACGAGCCACCAGACGCCAGAGTCGGGGTCCGCCGCCTCGATGAGTTTAGATGTCAAGTCATTCAGCTGGGTCAAAAGGAGGTCGTGCGCCTCGCTGTCGGAGGGCACGATGTCCAGCGCGTCGACGAGCGACATCATGTACCACCCCAGCGCGCGGTCCCAGATCTCGGGCGAGTGCCCGCGGTCCGCGGACGCCCAGGGCTGTGCTTTGGAGTAGTCGTAGCCGTGGTAGAGCAGGCCGATGTTGGTGTTGTTGGCCGCGGTGATTTGGAGGGTGTTGTTGTACATGAGGGCGAATTGGAGGGTAATGTCGTCTGGAGTGGGTGGGTTAGGTTGAATGAAGGGGGGAGGGGGGGTTATTAGAGCTGCGTTCGAAGTATAGCGCGTGGAGATCGTCACATACCCCAAGCGGTGGTGTTGTCAGGTTCGATCTGCGCGGTGTACTGCGCATAGAAGATGTCGCCCATGTAGATGCCGTCGAGCCAGCCTGGCGGTGCGGAGGATCAGTACTAGAGCATCATACGAGTGGACTCAAGAGTGCGGGAATGACCCTCACCTTGCTCTGGGTACCGCGTCTTGTGCCAGAACTGGCCTTCGGCGGTGCGAGGGTGGACGTCGAGCTGGGCGCGGAAGACATCTGCGGCGGTCTTCCACTTCTCGTCACCGGTCTTCTCGTATCTTGGGAGATGAATGAGTTAGAGCATCGTAGCTGACCCCTAGAATTGGGCTCACAAGTACAAGAAAGTCGGCCCGACGCGGATGGAGTCGAGTTGGTTCTCCTCTGGCCTTGTGAGAATGCGACGTCAGCAGTACAGCCCAACACGATGCAGATCCAGCTCACTTGTAATCAAGGACCGACCCATCATCGTCCACGACGTTTGACGCGCCGGAGACGATGTAATCGTAGTACGTCTCGTTGCCTGTTGCTTCGTAAAGCAGTCGCAAGGCCCATTGCAGTTCGCCGTGCTCGTACGACAATTCGACGGCTCCGTCGGAGTCGAGTCCGTGTCCTTGGCCTCGCGCGATGGCCGATTCTGCACCCCATACGGCGTAGGATGCTGGTGCAGCTCGCGACGCTGGGTGAGCTATCGCCGAGGACAGAAGAGCCCCAATAGCGCAAGTTTTTGACAGCATTCTTTGAGGACTGAGAAGCCGGGAGAAAGCTCGCCTGCGGTGTGGTCATGATCCTGGATGGCTGGGCTTATATACGGAGCGCGAGGTTGCCGTCGCGGAGAAATCGATGACAGGCGTGGTTGCTAGAGCACAGAGTATTGAGACAGGCACAGTTCACGCGCTCTATGAGATGGTGCGTAGCGAGCGCGGGGTTCGGTCAGCAGATGTCCAGAACACTGGTGGTATATGTGCGAGGCGGGCCGGCTTACCATGCGCGCCGTGGGTTGTAATGCGGTCTTCGGACAATCAGGAAGTCCTCGTCTGCAACAATAGCGAGTGACAGAGCCAAGAATGTGTTCGTGTTTTCACTTTCCTCCGAAGAAGCCGTGGCGGGCGATAGCAACCCGCAAGTTGAACTTCGCGTTCCCACGGCCCAACGCGTCGCGGTCACGTGAATGTTGCATCAACGAAGGCCTCGTGCCTCGTGCCGCATCCGCCGTTGTTACGAACCGCCATCATCGCCGTTGAAGCCCTGCACGACGTCGACACGATGGCGCCGCCGCCGAATCTGACGTCCCTCTTGAACTCCCTACATACCCATCTACAAACGCAAACGCAGCTCCTGCCAACGCTCCATCACCAGCTCGGGCTCGCTTCAAATGCTTTGGAGGAGGAGCTTACGAAATTGCAAGCACAACTTCTGGCGCAGGTCGAGGAGCTCGTGCACTCGCGGCAGAAGGAGGTCGAGGAATGGGTCGACCGGTGCGAGCAGGTTGAGGATGCGTGCATACGATATTCGAAGGCTTTGGGAGGAAATGTGAAGGCTACAGGAAGCTGTGTGGGTGAGATACGGAAGGAGAAGGTACTGCCGAAGAGGTATGAGATGATAACAGAACATCAGGAGAAACTACGACAGGTGAGTGGCTGATTGGGCTAACACGAGGCTCGCCACTGACCAGCCATCTACAGCTCTATCACACCAAGCTTGAGCAGTTGACGACACTCACCAATCGCATCACCAACTTGTCGCGAATACTGGGACCCCACTTCTATGCTCACGATATCACGACTCCAGCCCCTGCCCCAGGCGAAGACGGGACGGATCCGGAGTGCAACAAGGACGTGTCGCCGGAGCGTTTCTCCAAGCTGGAGAAAGAGCTAGTACGAGGCAAGGGCGAAGTGGTGCGTTTGATTGTACGCTTTACAAACCTGATACTGACTGTCTCTGCCAGACCAAGCGTCTCGCGCAACTAGCCGGTATCTTCGCGCAGATCGACTGGCTCTACACCGAGCTCGGCATGAACCCCCCAATGCTCGAAGACCTCTCCATGTCCACCTCCAACAGCGTCTCAACCCCCACCCGCTCCCCCGACAGCGACCCCTTCCTCGTCTCCACGCCCACCCCCATCACCCGCTCCACCCACGCCGCCACGCCCATGCTCATTCTCCCCGAGAACGACGAACGCGAGTACCAGCGCATCTTCGCCAACTACCTCGCGCGCGTCGAGGAGGCCGAGGAGGAATGCCTCCCCGAGAGCGTCACCCTCGAGAACGTCGAGCCCTCGCCGGGTCTCCTGGAGTGGGCTACCTCGATGCAGGCGTCGCTGGAGGACCTGAAGCGGCGTCGGGAGACGCATATCCAGGCGATGTACGACCAGCTGGAGGGGCTGTGGCGGAGGCTGGGCGTGGAGGAGGCGGACATGGACGCGTTTGTGGAGGCGCATCGGGGGAGCACGGAGGAGACGGTGCGCAAGTACGAGGAGGAATTGGAGCGGATGCTCGAGCTGAAGCGCGAGCGGATGAGCACATTCATTTTGTCTGCACGCGAGGAAATCATGCGGCTGTGGGACGAGATCATGTTGAGCGCGGACGAGAGGGAGGATTTTGCGCCGTTCTATGATGGTGAGTTGTGCGCATATATGGTGTTGACGTGCATATATGTTGTATGCGTGCATGTATGCTATGCTACTGCAACTGCGACTATCCCACATCACACGAAACCACTGCAACTCATGCTAACTCACCCCCCAGACGAACACACCGAGGAACTGCTCACCCTGCACGAGGACGAGATCAAGCGCCTGCGCGAAGAGCGACGTCTGAAAGCACCCTTGCTCGCCAGCATCAAGAAGTACTTCCAGATCTGCGACGAGGAGAAGGAGCTCGCTGCGGCGGCGACGGACCAGACACGGCTTCTGGGTCGTGGTGCCAGGGATCCCGGCCGTTTGCTGCGCGAGGAGAAGATGAGGAAGAGAGTATCGAAGGAGAAGCCGAGGGTGAGTTGAGCGTTGTCATCCCTTTTTGAGCGCCATCATACCTCCTTGAGCGCTATCATCCCTACTTGAGTACATGACTGACGACTCTGCAGCTCGAACAGGACCTCCTTGCCTCCATCCCTGTCTGGGAAGAAGAGGCCGGCCGCCCCTTCCTCGTGCACGGTGAGAGCATCATGCAGCTTCTCCTCGCCTCGGCGAGCGTCGCCGACCAGGAGAACAAGCGCAAGGGCGGGCAGCGGCCGGGCGGTGTGCCGAGAGCGGGTGGTGGCTCGGCGTCGTCGCGCGCGACGACGCCGACAGAGAGCTCGCACGGATACGACCCGCGCGCGCGCACGGGCGTCGTGACACCCGCTGTCCGCGCCGGCTCGTCGATGAGCGGCGCGCACTCGGTGCCGAATAAGCGGCAGAGGACGGAGGCGACGCCGAGCTATAGTAGCAGCAAGCGCCCGCCGCTGGGTGCGCATCGGGGGACGAATGCGCTGGCTACTTCTCAGGGGCACTCCACTGCACAGCACGGCGCTTCACAACACGGCGCTTCACAGCTCTCCACCTCTCAGCGCGCGCAGTCGCCGACGAAGATCGCGAAGATGTCCATGTCCTCCCTCCCGCGGCCCGTGCCATCGATGGTCGTGCCCAAGCCCGGGACGGCGCACCATGCGCTGGGTCATGGGCGTATTCCCAGTACGGTCGTGCTCACGCAGTCGTCGGGCTTCGGGCGCAGTCTGTCGACATCGACGTCGTCCTATGCGACATCGACGTCGGGGTACGCAACGTCGACATCGGGATACGCGACATCCACCTCCTCCTATGCGTCGTCGGCGTACGCGGCGAAGAAGAAGGCGGCGCGTGTACGGCGAGAGAGCTTCAAGCCACGACCGTCGTCGGAGGGCGCGCCCCTGCTTGACGCGAGGTTCACGTTCCGCGCAGGCGTGTCCGTGAAGGAGGAGGAGGAGGATTACTGAGAGGCCCTCGCTCATTGAGGCTCTCATTTTTGTTGAGGCGCCGATTGGCGAGTGCACTGCACGACGACCTGGTCTCCATGGACGACGGCCTGGTCTCCGTGGACGACGGCTTGGTCTACATGGACGACGACCTTTTACGACCCCTTATGCGTCTCCCCTGCCCTTTGTTATGTATATCTATCGCCCTGCGCTCCTTAGGACGGCGGGGATCCTCCATCTACGTGTTACTCGTGAAGTTTATGCTTGTACAATAGGTGCATGTCCACCGTTCTAACCCATAGATCGTACCTTCGAATTTCTACCATCCACATTGAATGTCGACGCTGGTTTTCGTTGGCAAGAAACTTCCTTGAGCTTCATGATGAAGGAATTCCTCCAAACCAAGCTCGCGCGAAAAATGATTCACGGTCTTCGGAAGCGACGTCCATATGCGACAAGTCCATTCATGTGGGGATATGTAGGTGTACTCGAAGCTATATACAAGTGTAGCACGAGTACGCGCGATGATGCTGGGCGTCGTAAAGACGACCCGTCATGAGTCAGAGACCGGTTCCAATTCCAGCCAGTGGGGAGGAGAAAACAACACTAGAAACTGCGCAACATAGTAGAATGGCACACAAAGAATAGGATAGCGGAGTCTGTCTGTAAAAGGGGGGATATAGGACAGAGATATGAACAGCGAACACGCGCGTATAAGTGGGGAAACGCACGCACACGTAACCAAAGATGAATATGGACAAGAAGAATGATGTCCTCCGTAGTCTGAACCAAGCCGCCAGCGCCGTCGTTCGATCCCTCGCACGCCATCGTTTACTCCTCCTCCTCTTCGTCCTCTTCCTGGATCGCCTGCTTGAACGCGGCGCCGGAGCGCGCGGGGAGCTGCCGGCGACCTGCGCGTTCCGTAGGCTCGAAGTTTGTCTCGGATGGCAACGGCGACACTCGCTCGCTCGGTGACTGGCTCGACTTCGATCGCCCGCCCGACGAGCTGCGCACGCGCTTGCTTGCCGACGTCGCACGATGGCCCCGAGAAGGCACATTGACACTTTCCACACTCGCGCTCCCAAATGGACTCGGCGACGAGCTGAATCCATTCGCCGACGCATTGAAAGCGCTCCCACCAACAAAGCCTCCCGACGATGAGGTGCCCATCTGCCCGAGACCACCGGCAAACGCAGGCACATCGTCATCCTCATCGACCCAGTCGCTCTCATCGCCCATGTTCAGCGACGTCCGACCGCCGGAGAAGACGTCTCGAATGGAGGTGCCCTCAGCCGGCGAGATGGCAAGGACCTCGATGGGTAGATGGGCAGAGCGCGACTGCCAGCCCGGCGGCTCGAGACCCCACGACTTCTTCCAGCTGCTGCGCCCCAGTGTGCCCCCGCCGTACACCGCAAACGGACTACGCTTGGAGGCCACGAAAGTCGAGCCGCTGCTCCGAGACTCGCTCCGGCGCTTGTGCTTGTAGGGTGACGCCGTCCGACCGTAGTCCTCGCTTTCGCTGGGTTCGTAATACGACGCCGGCCGCGACGACGGTGGCGAGTGGATGGACGACGTCGCTGAGTTCGAGCGCGCATGCGGCGGACGCGGCTGGCGCACGACGCGCGTCGTCGACGAGTTCGAACCTGCGCGGTGATGGTATTTCATCGGCGATGCAGTTCGGTAGTGCGAGCCCGTCGAGCCCGCGGAGGTAGACTTACGGTGATGTTGGTGCATGCTAAAGCTCCGCACGGACGACGGGCGGGACGGGTAGTCCCCGAGCTCCGAGTTGGGCGTGTGCGCGCCGAAGGAGCGCCTGCCGCCGGACGTGGACGGGTTGACGGGCTGGGGCGAGTCGAGCATGATCATCTGCACCGAGGCGATCGAGCTTCGCCGCGAGTTGACGCTGCTGGAACGCCGAGAGGAGACGGATGGGCGCTGAGGGCGATGAGTGCCTCGGCGGGTACCACCTTTAGTGCTGCTGCCCCGGCGCTTGGCGGTTGTCGTACTGTACCCGACGCCGGGCGAAGGCACGGGGCGCCCATACGGCCGAGCATCCTCCTTGCGCTTGCCCTTCCTCTCCTCATTGAACCATAGGCGGAAAGCCGAGAGTATATTGGCCCGATTGCGCCGCGGATTCCCAGCACCGTAAGTCGGACTTGAGGTTGCGCTGAGCGGGCCTTCCCCTGGGGTGTTCGACGGTGTCGGAGGTGGTATGTACTCATGGTTCTGTTGGGCGCTCTCCTTGTTCGTGAGTACCCACGGCGAGCCGATGATCTGAGCGTGTTCAGACGGCGGCGGGGTGGAGGGCGACTGTAACCTGGGCGGTGGGCTCTTCGTCAGACGCGACGACCCGCTTCCGTGCGACGACCGCGCGGCATCCTCTGCGATAGACCCCGTACTGCCCTTGCGCTCGGGTCCTGTACTTCCCTTCCTCTCTGGCACCTTGCGCTCGGTATGCTCCTTCGCTGCCGCTTGCTCGCGTGCCTCTCGGACAGCTTCGTTGCTCTTCTTCCGCACTAGGCCGGCCGCCTCAAGCGCTGTCGTCGCCCGCTGCATGATGCTAACGCTGCCCGACCGCGCCTTCCGCGCACGCGTATCCTTGTCCTTGATGCTATTCGACGGGGTGTTGGGATTGGAGCGTGTGGACGCTTCGGTAGTCGATGCAATGGAAGCGTCAATGGTCGTCGTCGATGGAGATAGGAAAGGCGACTGTGTAGGCGTACCCGACTGCGGCGGCGTCGACGGACGCGCAAAGGTGGGTGTAGGTGGCACGAAGGAAAACTGCGGCATCGCTCGAAGAGGCGTAAGCGCAGGATCGGTCTGAGTGCCCGCGTTCCTGTGCTTATGACGGCGGTGGTGCGACCTCGGACGTGGCGAAGTGGTTTCCGGGATGGCCTTATCTTCCGCGATCTTCTCTTCGTCCTTCGCCTCCTCCTGGCGCGTCTCCTCGAGCACCTTCTTTTCAGCTTTGCGCTTAAGCATCCACCAGACGGCGCCAGCGGCATCGCACGCGTCACTGAGCACCGAATGCACCATCTGGCCCGTGTCGAAGCCCAGCATGCTGAGGCTGTTGAGCAGATCGCGCTCAAGCTGTGTCGAGAAGATGATGGGTGCGGGCGTGGTTAACAGATTGGTGAAGTCAACCGGCTTGTCGAGCGTCATGGGGATAGGCAACGTAGACGCCATAGAATCGTCCGCAAAGCTGTCCCCCACTATGTTGCCCGGGTCGGACAGCTGGGACGAGACCGACCGCCGCTTGGTTCGCGCTGGTGTGCGGGCTGTATGAGCTGGCCGCGAACTCGTAGAGTTGGACCGTTGGGGAAAGTCGAGAGGCGCTGGTGGTACAGCATTCTGATCGAGGTCGTCATCCTCTTCGAATACTGTCTCGGGATGTCGAACACCATTGGACTTGAATGGCACCCTGGGGCCGCTATTTGCGTCCTTGATAGTAGTCTGGCTGCCGTTCGGGTGCTCAACACGGAAGGGGTCGTCAGAGGTCGTGCTGTCGTCAGGAGTCGTGGGCGCGGGAGTATTGATCTCTGAGGATGCCGATTGGAAGGAGGAGACAGAAGCGTCGGAAGGGGGATTCGAGTCCGTAAGCGACGCCGCTTCCTCCACACGTTGCTCGGGCGTGGGAGGGCGATCGGGGAGGTCGGGCTGGAACGTCAGATCCTTGGCAGTAAACCACGGGTGTGCGAGGATCTGGGGGATGGTGAGCCGCTTCGTGGGATCCTGCTGCAGAACGTTCTTGATCAGATCGCGCGCCTCTGTTCACTATCAGCGTGTGCGATGCTTCGCGGGTGTTACGCCGCACCTAACGACAGCCACGCGGGGTCCTCGAACTCGCCGCGGATGATCATGTCGCGCATCACCCCCTCGTCATCGTCGTCGAAGGGAAGAGTGCCTGTAAGCAGGGTGTACAGTATGATGCCGAGCGACCAGACATCAACCTCTGGGTGTGAGGTCAGTGATGGGAAGAAGTATGGAGGGAATCCCCCACCTGGCCCTTGGTACTTCCTCCCCTGCAGCATCTCTGGCGATGCATATCCCGTCGTGCCGCAGAAGGTCTCCATGAGGTTGCCGCGCTCGAACTCGCGCGTGAAACCGAAATCGCCGAGCTTGACACGGCAGCGCTCGTCTAGCAGCACGTTCTCCAGCTTGAGATCGCGATGCACAATGCCCTTCTCGTGGAGGTAGGCAACTGCCAGACACAGCTGGCCGAATATGATGCGGGCTTCGTTCTCCTCTAGGCGCCCTTTCTCAGCCAGGTAGTCGAAGAGCTCGCCGCCGCAACAGAGCTCGGTGACGATCCAGATGTGGTTCTCTGTCGCGATAACCTCGAACATCTGGGTAATGTGAGGGTGGTGCAGCTGACGGTGGTGATGGATCTCGCGCGTGAGGGTCGCAGAGACGGCCTTGGGTATTTGCTTGATAGCGACGCGCGCCTGCGTGAGCCGGTGCGTTCCCATCCGCACCTTCCCGTACGCGCCTGCAGATCCCGTCAGCTCTCTCTTTTTCTTCGCCCAGGCTTCACCACGTACCCTCCCCAATCACCCTGCCCAGGGTGTAGTTCCCCACAACTCTGATCTTGCTCGAAGAAAGCTCCTTCCCGAGCTCATTATACGCGTTCGCCAGCTGCGCTTTGTGGTTCTGACTTGTCGAGCCGGTAGGTCGGTGCGTTTTCATAGAGGACATGGCATAAGAGAGAGTAAGGAGAGGCAGAGGCTAATTCCTCGAGAGTGAATATAGACGAGAGGCACAAAAGAGGTGACGGTCAGGACCAAGAAGTTCAGACGTCAGCAACAGAATCAATTAACCACGTGGTGAGGGGGACCGACAAGTTCATAGCCGACGGTCGGACTCGGAGTGGTGTTCTTTATTGCTCTGTTGTAGATGAATGGACTGTATATACGCAGAAGAGGCCTGGTGACTGACAGATGGCTTTGGGGACAGCGTTCTTGGCAGGCAATCTTTCGGGCTGTGATTGTGGTTGATGCACCTGAGCAAATAGGCATAACTTGATATTGGGATCATCGTAGAGACCATTGATTTGGTCAAGATATATAGATACTGCATGCCGCGATCGTTCTCTGCTTATCCGAGGCCAAAGTGCTTTCCTGCGACCCGAATTGAACAACGTCACGTGTATATCAAGGTCGCAATTTCGGATTCCCATTGCACTACTCTTTCAGCGGTTCCAAGTCCTGCACAGAGCTCATAGGTGGCAGTAAAGCAGGCAATTAGTGCTTTCCTTCGACCGCTATAACACGATATTGGCAGAGGCGCCACAGGATATGAATTTCAACCAATTGGCACGTGACAAGGCCGCTCCGGACCACACCCGGCCGGCGGTCGCGTGGCACAACCGTGGGAGCACAGCCGAGGTCGTCGCCGCTGACGCCGTTCTGCCTTACGCCGCCATCTTCATCGTCTGAGACGGTACGCACGACGGCTCGCTTAGGCCTCCTCGACGCTAACCACTAAGCAGATTCCTTCCTCCCCCATTAACGCTTCATAATAATGTGCGTGCACATCATTCCCCTTGTCCAGACAGCTTGCTGACCTTTCCGTGTTCATTCGTTCGTTGTCTCGCTCCCCTATCCCGAATTCATACGCTACTACGACATCATGCTCACCGCTTATGCCGTCTCGTCTGCCGATCCAACACAATCTGCACAACGCACCTACTTCGTTTGATTTAGGTCTGAGCCGTACGACCCCTACGTTCCCCGCAATGGCGGCGCCTCTGGCTCCACTGGCGGCAACGCCAAGACCGCCGCGATTCAAGCACAGATCGACGACACGGTTGGTATCATGCGGGAGAACATAACCAAGGTCGCGGAGCGGGGAGAGCGGCTGGATTCGCTACAGGATAAGACGGGTGCGCGAAAAGCCATTTTATCCATAGCCCCAACTAATGAGCCCTCTCCCTCACCTTCGCCTCATATCGTGCTCTCTGCTTCTCATTCCGCTTGTCTCCTGCTTGTTGGGATTGCATGACCTCCTCTTGGCTACTGTGCGGCTGCGCATAACTAGACAACCTCGCGGTATCCGCACAGGGATTCCGTCGCGGTGCGAACCGGGTTCGCAAGGTGCGTACTGCCTACTTTCCTGTGCGACCTCGGTATACTGATCCCCGCTGTTTTAGAATATGTGGTACGTGCATAGCTTCGATAGGAGACTGTTCCGTGGCTTACGAACGTTTTCCGTGTCAAAGGTGGAAGGACATGAAGGTGCGTCGTTGATCGTATAGACCCCTACAAACAATCAGGCTAACGCACTTGGTAGATGCGCATCATAATCGGTGTTGCCATCGCGGTCATCATCATCATTATCGTGGTCTCCGTAGTGAAGGCGACGAAGTAGGCGCCGCCCTCACCGCCTATGGACGCCCGCCTCTCCGGGCTGGCGTCGATTTGGATTGGATCCTGTATGCTCTGACTGTTGTGCCCTCCTGTACATATAACGTATCTAGGCCGCCCAGCCATCCGTCCCGCTACCTTCCTCTGCCCCCCTCCCCTTCGCCTAGTCACCGAAATCTCCAGCCATTCGACGACTCGCTTACGGTTAACTTTATGCATGAACTTTCTGCTATCGACCTGTCCGCGGTGGTGAAGAGGGAGTGGTGTGGGGATTTGGACCTTTTCTCTTTCTTACTAGGCCATGTAATTTGCTGTCAATGGTATCTACTTCTTTGGACGGAAGCCCGGCTGTGCGAATGGTGCTTCTAGCGAAAGGTGTTCAATATTTGTGTCGCTGGAAGTCGAACCACGTGAACAAAGGGCACAAACAAATTCTTGCCTGAGTTCGTCCCTCCATTTCACTTCTTCTTCCTTCCCCTCACCATCCCCTACTCCGCTCAGTCGACTTTGTCTGTTCGAGGGCCCCCAACACCCTCAAGAGCGCGAGTGCTGGTGACGACAGTGACCCGTGCCTTACTCCGGATCCGGCACAAAGAGATTACGACATAAGGGCGCCGAGATACCTCGGCAGACGACAGCTTGAGCTCCCACCATCTGCGCTGCGCGCGCACTGCCCTCGCTGCCAGCTGTACACGATACCTCCCACCTCCTGCTCCCCTCTCCTTGGACTTTAACGACTTCCTAATCTCACTCTGACACCCACAAACTTTCGACACACACCCTTGTATCTTCGACACCCGCGAACCACCGCACGATGCCCGCGCAATCTACCCTCAATGCCGACGAGAAGGGCAAGGTGAAGGCCGCGATCCCGGCGCCGTCGAACAAGATTTTCTTCGCCGCGCTCGCGCGCATCTACTACGCGCACCCGGTCCCCAGCGAGTGGGCGTACGCGGGGCTGCAGGGCGCGCTCGCGATCGTGCGCGACGCGAGCAAGGCGAACGCGCTCTTCTTCCGCCTCGTCGACCTCACCGGCACGCGGGGGGTTATCTGGGAGCACGAGCTGTACCAGGGTTTCGAGTACAACGCCGACCGGGCGTATTTCCACAGCTTTGCGGGCGATGTGAGTGGCAGTGGTTCATGTTTCGTGGGACGCGAGGCTGATTCACGCGCCAGAAATGCATGATCGGGTTCGTGTTCGCGGACGAAAGCGAGGCGAAGACGTTCGTGAAGAAGGTGACGAAGCAGAATAACCAGAAAGCTTGTGAGTCACAGCACCAATCTATCGCCAGTTTCCCGCCGACTGATGTTCTGCAGCCAAATCCTCCTCGTCCTCCTCGCAAAAGAAAAAGAAGCCCGCCAAGGGCGGCAAGATTGACAAGTCCATGATCTCCGGCCCCGCCTCGGGCTCCTTCATCCACGTCGCGCACATGGGCTACGACGCTGAGAAGGGCTTCACCACTAAGGGCGTCGACCCCTCCTGGACCGCCTTCCTCGGCCAGCTCGAGGGCTCGGGCGTCGACCGCGAGACGATTGCGCGCGAGATGGACTTCATCAAGGACTTTGTGCGCAACCACCCGCAGCAGCAGGCGCCCGCCGCCGCCGCCCCGCAGCCGAAGGAGAAGAAGGCGAAATCGAAGCCGCCTCCGCCTCCGAGGAGGGGGCACGGGCACACGAACAGTGCAGGCAACGCACCACCCCCGCCCCCAGCGAGGGGTTCGCGTGCGTCGCAGCCGCCGCCTCCGCCTCCTTCGAGAGGGCCGGCGCACCCCCCGCCACCGCCCGCGCGGGGATTGAGCCGTGCGTCTGCGCCACCGCCTGCGCCTCCGCGTCCGCAGAGCATGGCGCCTTCGGCTCCGCCGCCAGCGCCTCCGCGCCCTACCAGTGCGGCGCCGCCTCCACCTCCCGCTCCACCGCGGCCCACGAGCGCAGCGCCGCCTCCGCCTCCCTCGCGTCCGACCACTGCTCCGCCGGCGCCCCCGCCTCCCCCGCCGCCATCGGGTGGGGCGCCACCGCCACCGCCACCTCCTCCCCCTCCACCCATGGGAGGTGCGCCGCCGCCGCCGCCTCCTCCACCCCCTCCTCCAGCAGGTGGTGCCCCGCCTCCGCCTCCGCCGCCCCCGCCCCCTGCTGGCGGTGGTGGCCCTCCCGCTGGCCTCCCACCCCCGTCAGACGCTCGTGGCGCGCTGCTCGCGTCCATCCAAGGCAAGGGCGTCCACGCGCTCAAGAAGACGGAAGGTCCTCCGCCGCGCCCGAGCCCAGGTGCTGTCGTCGGTGCAGCAGGCGCCGGCGCCGCCGTGGGTGCTGCGGCCGGAGCCGGAGCTGCTGCTGCCAGCGGTGGCGGAGGCGGTGACCTGACGAGCGCCTTGGCGGCGGCTCTGATGCAGAGGAACAAGGACATGGGAGATAGCTCCGACGAGGATGAGGACGACGAGGACTGGGATTAGAGGTCCGTGTATATAGTATCTAAACCTGCGATGCCTTTGATACCACTCCTTCTCCTTCTAATGCTAATGATTTCTCTGTTTTTCACACAACCGCGAATGGATGGCCAATGTCCATTAGAGCGGGCGGCTGTAATGGAACGGTAGGAGTTCATCCTACCGTGACTTCCATTAGAGCGTACAGTATTAGTTTCGATAATTATCAGAGAATTCCTTAACGAAAGCACAAATGAAAAATCATCAAAAAGCGTACTTCAAGTGAAAGATCGAGACGACAAAATGTAAAGAGGCAGACGGTTCTCAAATCGATGAGCCTCCCGCGGCATTCTACGCCAACGCGCATTCCAGGATCCTGCCGATTATATCCCTCATGCGTGCACGCCTGCACAATCTCCTTCGAACGTCCTATACACATGCCTTGATGTAGGTCAGAACGGCAAGGATATCGAAGAGACCGCCCTTCTCCTGAGCGCGCACGAGGTCATCACATGGGCACGCCAGAGTTCGAATACCAATGATGCTCCTCGGTTTTCGGCCTGCACCACGAAGATATTCATTAGCCTTTTCAAGTTCTGCATTACCCACTGCATGAAGTGGAGCTGCATATTTCAAGTGAAGAACTTGATAATTATGCTAACTAATACGCTCTATTCATGTCACAGTTCATTTATGCCAAACGTGATGTCGTTCAGAACTGCAGCAGCCGTTCCACGGACAGATTAGATATACCTGTGCCAGGGCATACTTCTATCAAGCACGTAGGTAGTCGCGCTCCAAGTCTAGTGTTTCTGTCAGCGAACACAGCGCAACAGCCGCGCCGATGGTTGACAAAGTCACGGCAATTGCCGGGCGCCCGTCGAACTGACCGAATCCAGGTGCTTGTCCTGAACTTCCTTGTGGCGCGCTGCCGCCGCGGCCTCTGCTTACCTCCTTCATAGCTTGCCTTCAGGACGTTGCTGTCTCCCATCAAGATACTACCCTCTGATTGCGCGTACGAACAATGAACTTCTTCAAGACGAAGCCGCGCACGCCGCCAGACCTCGTTCGCGGACTGCGCGATGCTGTACCTCGCCTTGAGGCAAGCGCGCCGGGCGGGGAGTCGAGGAGAAAGGTGCGTAGGGGGGTCAACAACTGAATGAAAAGGTGCTAACGCGAGACACAGGCGAACGAAGAGGTGTCGAAGAACTTGCAGCAGATCAAGGGCATCCTCATAGGGGACGGTGGTACGTGGATGTTCCCTGAGTTCTTTGCAATCGCTAAAGTCACTTCTTACAATCTTCCCTCGTCAACTCACCCATCGCCACGCTCCCCCTGTTCATCGTCGCTATGCACCGTCTTACAACCCCATTCCCCTCCGGCATGCAGACCCGCTGCCTGAACTCGTCGCCCAGCTCGCGCAAGAGACCTACAACACCGACTTGCTACATGTACTCGTGCAGAACATGGGCCGGCTCGAGTTTGAGTCGCGCAAGGACGTCGTCCAGATCTTCAACCACCTTCTCCGCCGGCAGATCGGCACGCGGTTCCCGACCGTCGAATACCTGGTGTCGAAGCCGGACATCCTGTTCGCGACACTCGCAGGTTACGAGAACGAGGAGATCGCACTGAACACTGGGATGATTCTGAAGGAGATGTTGCGGCACGAGCAGCTGTGCAAGATCTTGCTATACTCTGACCAGTGCGTGCTTCATGTGCGAACGAGGGTGGCGCGCTAACGATTTCGCTCTCTTCACAGATTTTACAAGTTCCCGCACTACATCGAGACGACTACATTCGGCATCTCCTGCGACGCGTTCGCGAACCTCAAGGAGACGCTCACGCGCCACAAACCCATGGTCGCGGAATACCTCGATAAGAACTACGATCGGGTGCGTTGCCAGCGACGTCACGTGTGTGTTGAACTTCTATACTGACGCCCTCGCCAGTTCTTCTCCTCCTTCACCACCCTCATCCTCTCAAACAACTATGTCACGAAGCGTCAGTCACTCAAGCTGCTCGGCGAGATCCTGCTCGACCGCGCGAACTTCAACGTGATGACGCGCTATATCGCGAACGAGGCGAACCTCAAGATGATGATGAACCTGCTCAGGGATAAGAGCAAGAACATACAGTTCGAAGCCTTTCATGTATTCAAGGTGAGCTTGGCTGCGGCGCGACTTGCTTTACGCGAGCTAACAGCTGTTCTCAGGTCTTCGTGGCCAACCCCAAGAAGCCGCCGCAAATCGAGGCTATTCTGCGGAGAAACAAGGAGAAGCTCCTTGTGTTCTTGCGCAACTTCCACAACGACAAGGAGGGTGCGTAGCTCTCGAGATGCCCGTGGATACGTTTTCCCAAATTTGCCGCTGACAATTTCTTCTAGACGAGCAGTTCAGCGACGAGAAGCAGTTCCTCATTGTACAAATACAAAGCCTGTAGACGCTTGTCGTACAGAGGTTGCTTTCGCCTGCATCACCAGAATCCGACGTGAGACGGCGGATTGCAATCCTGCTCATATCCGTCTCATCCTTAGGAGTCTAGATAAGCAGCACTAGCGGGGCTACCTTGCTTGTGGCGAAAGCACGACCGGTCTGTTTGCGGCCCGACATATGTACTGCCACACTCGCTGCTCGTCAAACGATACCTCTTTCCCCATCTCGCACCTCCCCTATCTCCTCGACGCACATCCCTCACACCCTGCCTTTCTCCGCTTCGAACACTGCTTTTGTTGCACGCATCTAATTGCTGTTGTCTACCTGTGCATATGTACGCAATTGTACACATCTTGTCTGTCCGATCCTGCTTCTAACGCTCTGCCTGGTAGCTTGTAAGTCTGTAAGGCTGCTTGCGTAAACCTTAGCAAGTTCGTGTGACTTTCCTCGCGCTGTACAACCGTGGTGCAGAGAAGGTGAAGTATATTCGTATGCGCGCTTCTGTAGGATGCGCTGCTGGAGTAATGCGCATCCCAGTATTCGTGTAGGGACAGGTGAAGTCCAACTTCTCGCGCACATGATGACCTGTGGGTCCACGCCCGGCAATTGCCGTCATGCAAATTCGCATCCAATCCTGCTCATGACGCTCCCACTGGGACTGCTATGCATCTAATAATCTCATTGACCAGTTGCTTCTATATATCGTATGCTTGATTTGCAGATAACGCATCCTACGCACAAAGAGTAGAACTCACGCGCCGGGAAGGTTCTATGTAGCACCACTGTACGCGAAGCAGCAATCGCGAGACAAAAGCCTCGGTAAGGATAGAGAAAAATTGTGCAGCAGACCCAGAGTAGTCTGAATCGAGTTGCGCCGTCTCCGATGAATTAGGCGTGCCGCGAATTGCACTCAAGGGCGTGCCATGGACCACGCTTCAATACCCTCCCAGATATGCCCCCTTGCCCCCTTGAGCAGCGCAAGTTGCGCTCGGGAGCTTACCCCCCTATACCATCCAGCCTACGCTCACAAATCCACACACACGGCCCTCCGCCGAGCCGCTATGGACCCGAGAAGAGACGTGAGGGCGTCTGCGCAGCACCAGGGAATGACCCCCGATGCCAGGACGATTGTCGGGAAAGTAGAACGACCGACCCCTCAGGCCTTGGGGCCGACGGCCCACAAGCGACTGCGGTGCGCACCGATGGCGCATTCACGAAGCACGAAGCCGCAACAGCGCGCTGTCGCACTAGCGTGGACGAAGGCAAGGCGCGGCGGGAAAGGGTACCGGCAGCGGGTACGACTATGGCACACCCAGGCATCGCGACGATTTCAGCGACACTGGCTCCAAGGTCCTCCACCTCCGTCGTTAACGTTCGGAGGCATCATGGGTAACCTCTCCCCAGCGTACGCAGGGACGGGGGTGCCAATGCCGGGATTTCTGGTGCGTCGCTGGACATGTTGCTCGGCTGATTACAGTCGGCGACCGGCTAGGTGCACGAGGATGCATCACTCAGACCTTGGCCCGCTCGCGAAAAGGAGACAAGTCCTGTGCGGGGCGAGCTTCGCGGCCTTGGATCTGCTGCATGAGAGTTAGGGAAAAGAGGAGAGCGATCGAATGTCTTGATCTTATCGTGTTGTGGGTCCGCGCAGGTCCGTTTTGTGGCGTTGGCAAGGCATGACCCACGCGAGCTGAACCAACCTCAGCAACGACCATCATCATAGCAGTACTCATAAAACCTTCATCAGTCTTTCCCCTGACTTCGACGGACCTTTATGGACGAGCGGAAATTAGTGGTGACTCGTGAAGTCCTCTGTTCACGCAGATCGTGCATCGTACGCTCTTTGAATCACCTTTCCCCGCGAAGCTCGCCCAGCGACGACCAACCCTGTCGCTCATGTTGATCGTCGGACCGTCGATTGTCGAGGCGCATTACACGGAGCCGCCTCGTGCTCGCAAGAATCGTTTCGGGGATCGTCTCATCAACGGCGAGTAGATCCACCGGGCTCGGAGTTCAAACACCCCGACATTGCTCTCCTTCGTTCTCGTATATCTTCAGTCTTCTCGGGAGACGGCAAACCCCAGGGAGCGGGGCCGACAACCTCCAGCAAGCGTGCAGGTCTTCGTTAATCGTCATCTCATGCACCAAACCCGTGGACCAACCCCCTCCAGTACGTACATATTGTGGTCTGACCGTTCGGTACTCGAGCGTGCTGATGTTGGAGAGGATCCCCAGCCATGCGTCCGCTCGGTAACCCTTAAGTATCGCTGCAACCCATGTAGGGTCTTTTTGCGTCGCCCCTTCGGCCGCCCTCTGAGCCAAAATGTTGCGCGGTCCTCCGCCGCTCCCAGAGCACCCTCTGAATCCGTACAGTGTGGGCGGACTCAGGTATGATGTGCTGCAGTTCTGTGCCATATTCTTACTCTATGGTAAGTGCAGTTCTGATGCGACACAGTAGCGTCTCCATGCTGAAAACAGAGAATAGGCGTGCACGTTGCATTGTCACTCGCAGCTGTTCCCATATTGGCGTGAGTACGCGTGTTATCGTGGACGACCGGTTGGCGTTGACAACGCCGTGTCTCCTCAGGCGCAAAGAGGGACGTACGTGGCCGCTGACGATGGCTCTCTCGATTCTCTTTCTCTCTTCGACGCTAGCGACCGCCATCCGATTTCCTATGACCTGGGATGTGTTTGGCTGGGACCCTGATAGGGCCGCCAGAACAGCTTTCATGTACCTAGTACTTTCGTGCGTGAACGTAGGTTTGGTTGATTGGTTGTAGCTTTCGAGTGCTCAGCAGATTTACAGTACCTGATCAGCGACATGCTCGTCGTCTGGAGAGCCTGGGTGATATGGCCAGATAACATCGTCGTACGAGGGCTACTTATAGCCAGCATGAGCTGCAGTCTAGGTGACCATCCTTGACTTCCGCCTCCTCGTCGTACATTGCCTGATTTACAACTACACCGATAGCTGGAACGCTCTTCGAGCTTGTCTCCCAAACGGCGTCGTACACCTGGATCGCCTACGGCCTCCCGGTCGCCTTCATGGCCAGCACGCTCTGTCTGACCAACGTCATTGCTACGATGCTCATTGGTATCAGATACTGGTATGTGGCCCTCGTCTCCAGCGCTTATGGGTCTCTCGTTTCCTGCACTGTTGAAGCGCAACTCACCGAATGTTGCCAGGATCTACAGACGAGAAGTCGCCGCGTGGCTTTCCCCGCACTCCACGGGCGCTCAGGTTGGGGGAGTTCTCCTACTCCTCCTGGAGTCCGGGGTGGCGTACACTGCTCTTTGGGTACGACTTGGTCCCGTTCCTCGTCGTCGACTTTGGACTCACCATTGCGCAGGCCATCAACATCTTCATCCAAGTCCACGAAACCTTGGAGCACCACTGGAACTTTGCCACGCACTACGAGATCATGCACGAGACCTTCTACCTGTGCGCGGTGTGTATCTCCCCAATCCTCGTTTAAACATCCGTCCTGCTACACTCCCCTCTTATCTTCGCCTATATCGCCCGTACCCTCGCTCATACTGACTACCACCAACAGGGCATCTACCCCACCTTTGTTGTCGTCATCATCATGCTGCAACAGCAGGCCAGTGCAAAGTCAGCTCTGAACCACCCGAGCAGCTTCCTGGAGTCCATGCACTTCGCCCTGTCGTGCGGCGGGGCGCCACAAGAGACGGGGCGGCCTTCGGAGGACGAGAGGCTGTTCTGTGACAGTCCCATTCCAGTTTCACGTACAAGCAGCTCGTACACACCGACGAGCAGCTCGTTCTCGCCGTCAGGGTGCTCTTTCGCGCCGTCAAACTGCTCGTTCACTCCCCCAAGTACGAGCGAGGCATGTAACGAGGAGATCGCAGTCACCCCTCGGTCCAAGCGCATGGAGAGCGAATGTGCCAAAGAACAGGAGGTGACTCGTCACGACTGGGTACGATAGCCAACGATGCGCCATGCGCCTTGTAATTACCAACTTTAGACACCTTACATGTACTACGATAATCATGACTAGTTACGCTATCGAGCGATTCACGAAGCCTCTGAACAATAGCGCAGACAAAACAAAGATGCTCCGTGTATATTCACTTCACAAGGGGCCCATGATTTATCGAGGATCAGAGAATGAATCGGTCGTCTTCACCCGCGCATGACTAGCATGAGGTGAATTGTCAAGTGTTAGTAAACGTCTGAGAGCGGAATTGAAGCACACACGTACGTTATGCGGCACATCTGAGCGTTGGCCTTCCACGATACTCAGGAAGGAGCAGAACCGCCGCGCAACGACGAGACCGAGGCCCAGAAAGCCCATCCAAGTCATGCTCCATGCGCACGCCAGCAAGAACGACCACAGGGCCACGTCCATGTATACGCATGCGCGCGACAGCTGCGGGGATCGGACGGGGAAGGACCTCCTTCCAAGCGCACGGTCTCCTTCTATGCCAGCGAAGTCCTGCGCGTGCAAGGTGGTTAGAATGACCAGGCCGCTGCATAGCAGTGGTAGAGCCGCTGAGGAGCTGCGTGGCTTGCTTCCAGCTGCGACTTCGGTGAGCGACGCCTTCAGTAAACCCTTCGAATGGAAGGAGAACTCACCCAACACGACTGTCGCGCCGAACTCGAAGCCTAGATAACCCAGAGAGTTCTTCATGTTCTTCATGGAATGGTAGCTGAAGCAGAAACGGGCAATTGCCTGTCATTAACGCGCGTTCACAGACTCGCCCCACAGGGTTGCCTCAGGACTGTAACCACAGCAATGAAAGCGTACCCTCATAGGCGTTCGCCTACTGAGTTTTCGAAAGCTGCGTAGCTTGGATCATGAGTACCCATGACTGCCGCGTGAACCTCGGAACGCGGTGGCGGGCTGAGATGAAGACCCACAATGAGCTCAGGAGATGACCGCCAGAGCATGATATGTCTGAAATGGAGAGGGACAAGTGCGTAGGGAAGGGCAGCCTGCAAGCGCCGGGCATAAGTGCTGCCCGATCATTGGTTGAGAGGCGAAGGTAGGACTTCATGTAATGCCGGTCATCATAACATTGCACGAGCGATTTATGCTTGTAGCAACTTGAGAATCTGGCTCTCGACGTCCTTTGCCGGAACGTTCTCTAGCTCAACATGTTTCTCCTGTCCCTTCTCTGTCGGGCAAGTTAGGTCTCTGAAAGATGTGATGCAACATAACACGCACCAAACCGCGCGAACACTCGCGCTGGCGTACCCGTTGCTTCCCGGATGAGTACTGGCAAGTCTGGGTTGTGCTGCTTGATAGTCAGGTAGTTGTTCTGGATGAACTGGCTGTAGAATCGAGTCCCGTTAGGCGCCGAAGTCGCGTTTGAAGCAGGCAGACGCACCGAGTGCCCGCGGACGCCGGGCCCGTTTGCGAGCACAGTATCCTGATCTCGCGGAGTGCAGGGGAGAACGCCTTGGCGAACGACATGACGGCGAGGACGACGGCAGCGAGGACGAGCGGAGCGGTGAGGGTGAGAAGCCGAGAACGCGAAGATAATTCAAGTCGCCAAACAAGTGTAAATTTCCCGGTTGATTCTGTTCACCGTCGTCAACGACGACGCCGAGCGACCCCTTCTCATCTGCGCTTTATTCTCTGGACGACATCGAGCGATAGAGTGGGCGAGATGGACGAGAAGCAGCGGCAAGATGAATACGCGAGCAGTCGGGCCGACAGGCTCCCCTCCCTGCAAGAGGTACTCTCCAGGCGAACGCGTCCGCCGGTGGACCTTTTCATGTTCTAGTGAGTCCCATCTCTCGAAGATCTTTATGAGATCCCCATTCTCTGTGCCAAGCTGCTCAGGGGGGCGCGTTTGCCCTCAGGGTCCAGAGGACGCGATCGAACCAGACACCTAGTCGACCCATACCACTGTCCACGAATGCGTTGTTTCTCTGCGTCTCTCAGTCTATCAACTACCCAGATACTTACCTGATACACAGCCTTTTTCTTCAGCGTGAAGGCGCCGAGGATATCCTCGACTTCTGGCTAGATGTCCAGCAGCACGAGAACCTCTGTCGCGCGTACTTCAAGGACATTCGCAAGTCCGGGCGCAACCTGAAAGAAGAATGGCCTGAATACTGGGACTACGCTCGCCGACGTGGCTCCATTTACGGCACCGTCGTCGGCATGGGTGAAGCGAAGCGGAGTACGGGCAGCATGGACCACCTCATGACTGGCGACGACGAGAAGTATCGCCCTCGCTCAACCTCGCCCCGCCCTGGCGCCAGCACCGCCCTTTCCGACCACACGCGCGTCGCGTCCGCGTCCCCCAAGAACGCGAACGACGACCCTCCGCGCTCCACCACTCCTTTCTCCTTATCCGGCCGCACGCCTACCCTCTTCCACAAACGCGCCTCGCGCGCACCGACGATCATCCCCCGCTCGCAGGCAATCACGCGCCAAAATCTGATCGCGTCCGCCGAGCGAATATACTACCGCTACCTCTGCCCCGCGACGACGGTCAGCTCAACGGAGAACCACGAGATCTACCTCCCGCCCGCGCTCCGCATCCACAGCTTCCCGCTGAGCTCGGCACACGAGCCGCGCTCGCCAGCGGAGATGCAGCTCATGGCGCAGATCCCGGACATGTTCCACGCGCAGAAGGATTACTGCTTCCGCGCCATGGAACAGGACGCGTTCCCGCGCTTCCTGCGCTCGAAGGCATTCGGCAACCTCACGCCCGTCTCATCCCTGGTGCGCCTCATCGTCGGCCTGATTATTCTCTGGATCGGTCTCGCGGTCGGGTTCTCGCTCATCTTCCTGGATGTGCACCCCAAGTCGAAGCGGTTCTTCGTGAGTATTTCGTTTCTTGTCCGTCCCTCGCTTTTGCTAATGCGATACACAGCTCTTCATACCATATACCATTGCCATCCTCTGCCTCATCTCGCATCAGTACGAGTTGGACCCTATCCTGGTGTTCCTCGGCCAGTCGGAGACCACGCCGTTCCGCACCCTGCACATCCGCGAGCCCTATGTGCGCAAGCTGCTCCTCGGACGCGCCGTCTGGGTCAGCGCCCTCGTCGCGGCCTTCTCGACCGCGTTGACCATGATCTTCTGGGCCGTCCCCGGGCATCGCCTATAGAGATGACCGGCGGTCCCTCGAGGAATCCAATGGTCCTTGAGATATCCGGCGACCCTCAACAGATCGGATGTTGTGCGCGGACTGGACGTGGACGTTACGGGCGGAATGATGTAATGGTATATCCTGGGCTATCTTGTACGCGTCCATCTCCCTATATTTCACGACCTCTTTATGACTTTTTTCTATTCTATCCGGTCTTCGGTGCAAAGACAGATGTCCTGTTCTCGCTGCACAGACAGATGCCCGAGCCCTTCGTCGCTATTTGCGCGTGCTGCTTTCGCTGTTCGTTCACCCCTTTCATCACTACACCCATCCGTCTTCACTGCGTTGACTTCGCTACATTGGAACCGCTCGCCACCGTCCTCTAATCTGCATCCCCTTCCGTCTTGCTAGCCTCCTTCCTCCTCGTTCGCCTCGACGACCGTTTTTGCCTACCACCTTTTTTTCTCTGCTTTTGTTTAGTTGTCTGTACGCGCTGGCTCATTTGAACCTCCCCTTGGCCTAGGATACCCCCGCCGCTATCTTATACTCTTTCCCTCCCGCCGGGACGTAATCGCCGTTGAGACGTCCAAGGACGTTCATCTGTAGCGTCGTCGACAAGGGTGGCAATGCGTGTGGACGTCCGTAGTGTCGCCTGCACGTCGAGGTCCGTCAAGCATTATCGAAACCTATCCCTATCACGCTCCTTCCATCATGCCTACAATGCGAATGCGCCGCTCCTTTATGCGAACTTCTGGACTATCAATGCTACGCTGGCCCGTAGATCGGACATTTGGACCGTCGATTCATTCCGTCAGACCTCAGTATTCAGTGGCCAAGGCATGATTAGCTGGTGATTATGGTGATGTGTACAATAGGTATGGTACATGATCTTCTTCCTATTCCTTCCCGTTGATCGTTTAGCCAATGTGCTTCACCTTGTCGGTGTTGCCGCCACGGCGCTGATGCTCAGCATGCTCAGTGCCCTCAGGCGCCACAGTCGCCGCGCGGTCGACGTGGTGCTGGTGTTCCTTACCACCAGATGCAGTCGCGCCCTGGCCGAATGGGTTGTCCTGTCGCTCTCGTCAGCATACCGCGACGCTGTTCAATCGGACCCGAACACACCTGCTCGTCCGCCTCCTGCTCGCGCTTTTGCAATTCGCCAGTGCGGCGCTCTACACCCTTACGCGCGAGGTCCGGGTTCCCGGTAACCTTGCCCTTGACCTGCTCCTTCAGGCCAGTCAGCTTGTCGCCGGTGGTCTGCGCAGTCGTTAGTGAGGTGCACTGGTGTGCTAGCGCATGCACAATACGTACGGGACCATTATGATAGGCAGGGCCGTAGCCTACGGCTCCTGCGTGCTTCTGTTCCGGGTAGGACTCGTTGGTGGGCGCTGCGGACTCGGTGGTCGCGCGCTCTGACTGGCGGTTCTGCGTCGGGTCGATGCCACGGCCGACAGCGGAGGAGTGGGCGTCTATGTTGTGTGTTGGCGATTGTTGATCACTGGCAGACGCCATGGTTGACTTACTGGAGCCAGTGGGGTTGGGGGATGTGCCAGACATGTTGAAGTTGATGTTCGGTGGTTGTACGTGTACTGTAGGTGGGAGTGCTGAAGTCGAAAATACTGATGCCTTTGCAGGTCTCACCTCTCTTATACTCGAGTAAGATAGAACTGATGTCATGGTAGGCTAAGTACAATGCAGTGGATAACTATGTCATTGTGGTGTCGCTGTCGCCAGTTCGTCCAAAATTGCGGGGTCAGGACGCTGTACCCATCTTTAGATCTTCGCTAACCCCCCCCCCCGCAATATCGAGTGAAATGGACGAGCAGACGCTGGGTCCTGAATACTTTGCCCTCGGTCGCCCCCTATGTTGCGGCACTGAGGAGGAGGATGTAAGTTCGGGAGCAAAGTTGAACATGATGTCATTACTGTAGTCACGTTACCTTCACATGACCATGTTGAACTTCAACATAGTTCAACCCAATTTAGGCCCGGCCATTGCTCTCCGCCATGAATTCGCAAGGATTGGCGTTTCGGACTCTCAGCACTGAATTGTGGCATCCTATGTCCCCTCTCTCTATTATCCATATACTAACATGGGGCTTGTATGTATACTGAACGCCGTCTCGGAAGCTAGCGCAACCAAAAGTTCGTGAGTTCGGCAAACCATTAGCCTACGGTACAATTACCACAAACTCGACCAGGGAAAGGAAAAGGTATTATTAGTAAAGAATGGCAACTCGCTAGCAGTAGAGGTAGCGTGCAGAGTCCCAACCAACAGACAGGTATACCGACAACGGCTCTATGGACAGCACGGCCAGACCCTGGAGCAGCCGGCGGGATATGCACCTCCTTCGATACAGGTCCACACTCGTGCATCCGGCATGAATCTCGTCAGGCATGGGGGGCGTCATTGCGCGCGTTGTGAAGCTGTGGATTGTCTACGGCTAGAAGTCAGCACTCAATGCGACGCCCACACGAGAGCAGGCCGACGCACTGGTGTATAAATTTAGTACTCCAGGCGGTTGAGGGTGCGCTTGGCGGCCTTGGGCACCGGCGAAGCGCAACCGTGCGGGAAGTCGCCGCACTTGCCGTTGCAGACGGTCTTGCCAGTCGGGCAGATGCACTGCGTGGGCTTGTTGGTGGGGTATTCGACGAAGCCGTCCGTGCACTCCCAGCCACAAGGGTCTTGCGATGAGCAGATGGACTTGTAGTGCTGGGGGTATGAGCAGTTCTTCTTGTTGTGGGCAGCGTTCAGCTGGAGGTAGGGAATTGCGTGAGTCATGTGCAAAGAGCGTGCAATCGGGCGGACGTACGAGGGCCTCGAGCCTGGCAGCAACGACATCGTGGCCAACGAGCTTCACGGCGGCGGCAGCGACGGCGTGAGCCTCGAGGAAGTTAGGGAGGGCACCAAGACACAAGCAGACATCGATGTGGCCAAAGACAACTGCACGAAGGCCAGTCAGAAACGCCTAGCATCGAGGTTATCGCACCACTCACGGTCGCGGTCCCCGAGGTGAATGTCCAAGTCAATGTCCAAGTTCGCGCAAATATCGATGAGGCCATGGCGCGGGTTGAACTGGCGCGCCTTGATGATGTCGACGCCCTTCTTCGTCGGGGTAGCGGACCCGACCACGGACGAGACAGCGGCGAGGGCCGCAAGAGGGAAGGCGATGAGCGACGAGAACTTCATGGCGTCGGAGGGGTGGATGCAAAGAGCGTGGGGGGTAAGGAAGGGAGGGAGAAGCCGGAGTACCGTGAGGAACGCGAACGCGACGGTGAGAGGGAAGGCCTGGTGCGCGCCGCGCCCGTTATATACACCGGACACCCCGCAAATTTCGTTCGGGGGTCAGAAGCCTGGATGCCCGCCTCTGATGGGATGTCGGTGTGCTAAATTACTCGTGCGGAATGAAATGACAAGAGGCATGGTTCGCCCGGGCTAGTTGACTTGCTGGGAAGTTCGCTTGAACCCAATCATGAGCGTGCCCTTTCCGAGCCGGAGGCATTTGGGCGGACGGAAGGATACCCAAAGGCTGACAGAATACGTCCAGATTATTCCTCCGCCCCCATGGCACCGCCAAAGCCGAGTACGAGGGCGCACAGAGAGGGCGTTTCTCTCTTGTACGCGTCAGCGAAAGTCATCTCTTGTCCCGGAGAAATTCCAGCGCTCAACTCGTGTCGATTGACGCGCCGAGCCACACCCCATTCATTTGGCTGAACCTTCGCCTTTCAAACCATCAGCTCGGTAGGTGTTCCGGACGAACGGACAGCATCATTGCTTCGCGTTCCTGCTGCGTATCTTCTACGATATGGGTGCATCTTCACGATGTCCTGTGAAAGCTTCTTTATCGGCAGACTTTCGAGGCCACAAATGAGCAGGCAAAGGCGGAAGGTAAGCTGTGTGGGAGCGACGGAACGTGCCCAGTGCCGGCGGATCGCGGACGGCTCGGGAGAAGTATCGACTTTCCCACATTCCCGGCAACTGCCGCCATGACTTCAACGTCGGTCTCCCGCTGCCATGGCCCATGGGCGGGCGAAAAACACCGCGGGTCGTCCCGGGGCAGTGAGAAGAAGGCTACGATGCTCAGGAAACTGGTGCTGAAGACCTTCTCGCGCAGCTAGACGTACTCGCAAGCGATGGAATGCGATGCCTCGCGAGCGCACAGCGGCGACCGACGACCGCACTCTGGTCAGCTCGGAGTGACCGATTCGGCGCACCCCATTACGCTGCACGTTCCATGTCCATGGGGGTATGCTCGTCCTCCTGTCGGAGGCCGTAAAAGACTCGACCCACTTCGGAATCCTCCCTTCAATTCACAGGCAAATTGAACAATAGAAATTTCCCCACGTGCGGCGCCCGAGAGTCCGTGTCGAGCTTTCCGAGGCGCAGATCACCCCCCAAGGAAGCTCAGGGTTTTGTGAAGATGCATAAAGCCCTGCAGGGTAGTGCGCTAAGGCTGATGCGCGCCGCCGGTTCTTAGCATTTCGTAGGGACCGACACCGAACCGGTTCGCGCTCTCCCGGACGTCCCCCGATGGGCGCGCACCCCTCGTTCGAGCCCGAGTCCACCAAATTCAATCTGGACGACCGAGGTCCCGCCCAATCTCTAGACAATAGATTCGTCAGCCTCCTCCTCGAAAAGAGACTGAGAAGACTCTCTCTGCGCGTCGGTTTCAGCCTTACGCGTCTACCCAGCCCACCTACGCGCCTGCCAGCACGCAAAGGCCACGTAAAAGTAGAGCAAACCAGGTACCGCCTGTGCGCAGGATCGCCTCCCAAGCTGCCAAACCGCTGCGCTTTCAGGCCCCGACACTCCTTGACCTGCACTGACACTACTCTGAGTACATATTCGGTCCTTGCGGACCCCCTACGCCCGTTTACAGCCGTCGTCGTCAATGAATTAGGCCGCACGGTCGCGCGGGCTAGTCTATCGAGAAGGCAAAGGACGCACGCGCCTTGCCACATTCAGTACAATAAGACTCGTCGGGGGATGGTATACACCGCAAGGCGTACCGCTGAGAAGGTCTGATACGCGGAGGAAAGGAGCAGATAGATCACCTTGGATCGCCCGTGGCGCACCAGCGCAAATCGCTAAAAAAGACCAGGAGACGGCGCCGAGTGCCAATTCGCATAGACCTCACGGAAAATCGCCGTAAGGCCTTTTGTCTGTTGACGGAAGCGCACAACGATAGGGTCGACAACGGGAGCAGGATACATGACAGAACACCTTACGGCAAGTAACGGCAAAGGTCCACTAACCACTGAGCAATGGCCTAGAAGGCAGGTACAACAAGACATTGTCTTGGCCACGCCAGAAGGGCATCCGCCACGTCGCCCCCCAAGCTCAACAAGTGTCCATCTCCTCGTCTTTCTCCGAAGAGTCCACCTTTTCTGCCTCCTGAACCCCGATGCTTCCTGCAGGTCTCCAGACATTCCCTGAGGTAGCCTTCCATAACCGTACGTGGCCATCGTTACCTGCGGAGGAGAGCACCGTCCTAGAGCAGAGTCAGATAGACAATCACATAGCGCTCAGTAGACGGGATGCCTACCCCGTAATATTCCACTCTACGCGCCCGATAGCAGACCTGCAACGACCGTGCATCAGATTCTCGTCACCATAGACCGCAAAGGCGCGCGGCGAAGAGCAAAGGCCGCTGTCGACAATCACGGTAGAGGAACTCACTTATGCTGGTCAAAGTCGCCCACGATGGACGCCGTCCACCCGGCCGTGTTGTCCTCCGACTCGTCGTCTTCGGGCCCGGGCTTGACGCGCCATATCCGCACGCGCCCGTCGCGTCCGCCGGTAGCGATGAGGTGGTATGAGCGCCCACAGGACGGCGCCCAAGATACGGACGTTATGGAGTATGGGGAGGAGGACTGCGCGCCCTCGTCCACGTCCATGCTGCTGGTAAAGGAAGTTGGCGAGGGGTCTAGCGTGAGCAACGTCGTTGGCCTGCGCGATGGCGAGAGCTCGATGATCTGTGCTTCGTGTCAGACCTTGCTTGACATATTTGTCGAAGGAGGTCCACTCACCCGAACAGTGTTGCTCGTTCCGGCCGCGGCTGCCAACACCTCTCCCCAGTATCGGTCCTTGCACCACGACACGCTCCAGCCGCCGTCCGCCTCCGCATTCGAAGGGCCGGGCGCCTTTTGCGACTGCTGCAGGTTTGCCGAGTTCAGCGCCTGGGTGACGAGGGGCGCGGGCGCGCTGTCGTGCTTGTCATGACTTTGCGTGGGGGTCGAGATCGCCCGCGTATTCGCGCCGCGCGTATGTGCTGAGGATGGGGGCAACGACGACGCGTCGATATCATCGCACAGCTGCCACGTCGTGAGCGAGGGCTGCTCCAAGCACTCATACACGCGAATGTGGTTGTCCGAAGATACTGTCGCCTGCGTGCGGCCAAACAAGGATGCGTGAGCGCGTCTCCTACAGTGGTGTCAAGCCTACGTACCAGCTTCAATCCAAAATGGTGTGGCGCAAACTCCACCGAGCGCACCGAGCCCCGCGCGTCGGTGAGGATGGCGCGTTCCACCCATCGCGAGGGCCCGGCGGGCGATCCATCCACGACGCCATTGATGGAGGGCGCGGGCTCGTCCGTGGCGCGCACCTGCTCCCAGATCTTGACGGAGTGGTCGTAGGACGCGGACGCGATGATGGAGCCGAACTCGGGATGCGCCCAGGAGAGTTTGGCCACCGCGGCTGCGTGCGCCTGAGGGGAAGGTGGTTCAGCGCTTCCCTGTCGTGCAAGGTTGGAGACGGGCGCACCTTCCAGTCATCCTCGACCACCCAGGTCCCGTTCGTTTCGTCTAGTTGCCATACCTTGATTCTGTGTGCGGTGAGGGGGTGTCGAGGGGAAAGTATGGAGGGCGCACCTTTGATCGAGACTGCATGTCGCGAGCCTAAGGCCGTAAAAGTCGTAAGCGACGTCGGTGACGAGGTCACCATGGGCATTCTCAATTATCCCTGTTTGTATCATGCCTTTGACAAGGGGAATTGGGGAAGGGGATCGTGCGTCGAGGCCGTCGACGTCGTGATGATGGTCAACCTCAACAAGTCGTGCACGCGCTTGGACACGCGCGACGCGTTCAGCTTCCTCCTCCCCTCCGTGACCATACCCACTCAATAAAGTCCTTGCGAACATGATTTAGGTTCAGAACGTAGGATACGCGCAAGCTACCGGAATTCGGGTAATAATATACTACGGTATGATTTACACAGCGCTGTTCTCTCTTTCCATACGTATAACGAAGCAAGAAGGACGATTACTTGGAGAGCATCATCTTGACGAACTCTGTCGACGATATGAGCTTCAGCAACACGCAGGAAGTACGAACACATACCCTCGTAGTTGATCTGACCATCGCCGTCAACATCGGCTTCCCTGATCATCTCATCGACCTCCGTGTCGGAGAGCTTCTCCCCTGGCGGCGTGTTAGGCCCGTCTCCCGCTGCGCAAACAGGTAGCACGCACCAAGGTTCGTCATGACATGCCTCAGCTCAGCAGCTGAGATGTAACCATTTCCATCCTTATCGAAGACCTTGAAGGCCTCCTTGATCTCCTCCTCGCTGTCGGTGTCGCGCATCTTCCGCGCCATCATCGTCAGGAATTCCGGGAAGTCGATCGTGCCGTTGCCGTCCGCGTCGACCTCGTTGATCATGTCCTGCAGCTCAGCCTCGGTTGGGTTCTGCCCGAGGGAGCGCATGACGGTGCCGAGTTCCTTGGTGGTGATGGTGCCATCGCCATCTGAGGTCGTATGTGTTAGATCTTGGGAAGTACGCGTGCACTGGCGAGCCATTTACCTTTGTCGAAGAGGGAGAACGCCTCCTTGAACTCTGCAGACGCGTTCAGTACGGATACGAAGTCAACTGTCCTCGCGACGCACCAGAAATCTGCTCTGTAGCCCCATTATGTCAATCGATAATGCTCAAGGGCGCCGCATCGTCATACATACCTTCAGACTGTCGCAGGGTCAGTAATCACGTTTGCACTTGGCATCTGCAGACACACCAATTGGTCGGCCATTGTTCAGTTAGATGTAAGGAGTTGGTGGTTGCGGTTCAAGCTGCAGGTTGAGGCAAAGGGCAACCGGAGCATCACCGGCAATCGCCGGTGATGTGACACGTGTCACCGTCCGGCACTTCATCAGCGCCTTCATGTTCATCGTCTGAACCACATCTGAGCCACGACCGCGCTCGACTATCGCACCTGCTGCTGATCTAGAGGCTATACTTGGTGCCTGGCCCTTCATGCGGAGTCGCTATCTCACGACAATCCTGGATGCAGCTTTCATCTTGTCGTCACTCGGTCTGTCATCGAGCGAATGTAATCTTATTAGGCTTGACCTGCTTTCCGAAGTCTGCTCTGCCGCCACCGCAAATCTGTAGACCCCGAACGACCGAAAAAGAGCACTCGAGAAGGAATGAAGCTCTACAGCGATCTACTGGCTTGGAGGCTTTTTGACCAGAGGTCGTCTGCACTTGTGCTTGAAGCTTCTAGCAGGCGGCCCTACATCCCATGTTGATCTGGCTCTCCTTTTGTCTGGAAAATATGACAAGACTCTTCTCTGTCAGGCGACATACCACCTTGCTGTACCAAAACCAAGGAACTGGCTGCGTAGCACTTGCAGCCCACCGAAGTTCAACTTCGCGATCACATGACCCCATCAATATCTCGCCGCTTGGGCGCGCTTCTTCACCGCGTCTATTCGACAAGTGTGGCAACGGCCTTCAATTCTGTTCCGGGCCCCTGTGGAAGGAATATATACGCGCGTCTTACTAGATGTCCCGATCGTTCTTTGTTTCCTACGTTCTCGGTCGTGAGTGCAATGTTTCCCTCGCTGCCTCGCCCGCTGACGTTGAGCCCGCTTTCAGACATTACTAGGCGTTCTTGAGCTGCGCTTCACTATACAACACTCATTCTACATTTTCACGCTCGTTGTTTCAGGTGCGTTGTCTTTGCGTAGCGATTCAAGCAATGACTGACCTGCAATAGAAAACATGAAGCTCGCTGTATTTACCCTTGTCGCTATATCGGCGACGGTGGTCGACGCGTCCCTCCACCCTATCATTGCTGCTCGTCGTCTCAATCTCAAGCGTCAAGACCCGGCAAACGTCTGCACGGTGATTCCAGCGCAGACGATCACGGTGACAGGCGCAAACCCAGTCGAGCTGCCCGCCGTATGCCTCTGCTCGAACACGGTCGACGCGTATGCGGACGATCTTGGACTAAGCGAGGCCGCGACCGCGGAAATTAGCAGGGATCTGCAGACAGATGTGCGTTACCCTTCCGTATATCGGCTGGACTGCGCACTGATCAATGCTCGCAGATCGACGACAGCGACACACCGTGTACCGCACCTGCCAACGGCATGCCGACATGCAACGACGACGAGTGCGACTTTGCGTGCGATGCGGGATTTGTGAGGGATGGAGACATGTGTGTCTGCCCGACTGGACAGGTGCAGTGCGGCGCGCGGTGCATAGCCGTGGGTGCGCCCTGCGCGTCCGGCTCGTTCGGTGGCTGAGCGACGGGCGGCTATCGCAGCTGGGGTGGTCTTGACTACGAACCGGACGGTGGTATTGACTGCGAACCAGAGGCGTAAGCTGAACGACCTCATTCAACGAACGAAAGGAAACCGCATCATCTGTACTTGTATCGGGCACGCACATTTCTACTCAGCGCACAGACTAGGGACTTATAGCACGGCTTCTTTTGGGATCATTGTCTGGGTGTGATTTGGCGGGCGTGGACGACGAGGGGACTCGTGGACGACGAAGAGCAAGGTATTCCTGCAGGAAAGTGGGTATATGCGCTGATTCGCGTTGCTCCTACCCTTCATCGACGTGTTCCCGGCGAACCTCACTTTCTTCCACGATGACGGCTACCTTTTTGACCACATATGTTGATGCACACCGGCAAATGCCGATTTCTCCTTTGCATCAACCGCCATCTCGCCCAGTACGGGCGTGCGAATGCATCGCCCTTTCCTGTGGCCTTGTTACCTCTACTCACGCCGTATCTGTTCAGTTGATTTATGCAAACTCAGGATGTCCACCCTCCCTTCGCCGCTGGAACCAGACGACTTCCAAATCGACTCGATGGGCACGACAGAGGATATGATTCGCTATAGTCCGGGAGGGTATCACCCCGTCACCTTGGGCAACATCCTCCACGGAAACGCGGGAGCGTATCGCGTTATGCATAAGCTGGGCTTCGGATCGTACGCGACGGTGTGGTTGGCGCAGAGGACGGGGCCATCTGCAGAATTCGTGGCACTGAAGATCACGACATCCGAGAACCAGGGAAGCACAGAGGCGGACATGTTAACCGAGGTCGCAAGAATTCCGCATAGGCTGGAGCGCTCCCATGTTCTCACCTTGCTCGATTCGTTCGAGCATCGTGGGCCCAATGGGGTCCACTCAGTGCTTGTCACGGATGTGGTCGTGCCCTTGCTCGCGTTGAACCCCTCGAAGCGGCCCCCTGCGTGGCGGAGAAGCGCTGCGCATGGTCTGGCTCGTGCCGTCGCGCAGCTGCATGCTGCAGGTGTTGTCCATGGAGGTGAGCCCATCGTTTGGTCCCTTGATCCCAACCAATACGCGCGCAGACCTGCACTTGGGAAACACCGGGATCGCCATACCCCAGCTCTCGGGGCAGGACCCTGGGGATGTCATGCAAGACCTTCCGGCGTACGATCTTACTGTCGTCCTTCCTGTCAACGCCGCCCACCAGACGCCGTCCTTGCCGCCATACGTCGTCGCGCCGTGCGATCTGGCCGCGTACTACGACAAAGTCGCCGGCGATGCTAAACCGGAGACGAAGCTCTTCGACTTCGGAAACGGTAAGTGCCCTGTCTCCTTTCGCGAGTTCACTCTCATGGGCTTACTGACACTCCCACGTCCAGCACACAAAGCCGCAACCCTGCCATCGCGCTTCCAATGCGCGCTAGAGGCATGCGCCCCCGAGGTCGTCTTCGCCCTAGTCGTGGAGCAGATCGACAACCCCCCTGTCGAGCTTCCCGCGGACATCTGGGCGCTCGGCGCAACCGTACGTTGACGTGTCTTTACCGCTTCGGCGCTCAGGATGACTGACCCCCGGATAGGTATATGAGATCTTTACGGGATCCTCCCTCTTCCACGGCGTGGGTATGAGCGGTCTGCCAAAGTCCATGGCAAGCATGTCCGCGACTCTACCTCCGGCATGGAAGGCGTTGTGGGATAGTGCGTCACGCCCGTGCGCATCTCCTGATGCGTGGTGGACGGAGCGTCGGGAAAGGCTTCGAGGGGCGTGTGCAAACGACAGAGACGCCGACGCCCTGCTAGACCTGCTCAAGCGGATCCTCGTGCTGAATCCCGCCGAACGTCCTTCGGCGGCGGAGATTGCCCAGGACCCCTGGTTCACGACATCAGGAAAGGGCCTGTCCCTATGTCGGCCATCACCAATGCTACGCACGAGTCACGTAGTTCCGCACCTGAGTTGACGGTGAGATAGCTCGTCGTAGCACCTCATAGTTGCAGGCCACACCGAGCAGCGTGGGTAGACAGGCGTAGGCAGTGCCCCATATATGATTGGGCATGTAGATAAGCGGAATATTATGCACCAGTTGGTAGGCATGCGCGAGGCTATGCCCGCGTACTGCAGCAAGTCATAGGGCAATGATCATATTAGCGAAATGACGAGTACTGTAGTGGTGATATACTAACGACGGCGCTTCCTTCGTTTGGCGGGAGGTAGATCTGTCGGTGCAGGACGCGCTCGGGCGCTTGAAGCGCTGGCTAGGCGGTCATGTTCCTGACGTTCTCGCTCGAGGCGCTCGCGTTCACGGCGATAACGTTCGTAGAGGTAACGAAGTAGGTAGAAGTCATGATGGCGTAGGTAAGGATTCAGGTAGAAATGGGGTGCTTCATCCAGGACGTTGGTGGCAGTCCAAGTCCGATCGACGGACCGTTTGAACTGGGGGATGAGATGACAGGAGCGAACGATATTGGTCACTGGGATGACGGCGGAATGCTGAACTCCCTGGCGCGTCGCGCGCTTGATGCGAAACATCCCGAGGTCGGTGTTGTAAGCTGCGCTATCGGAAAGCGGAGTGTAAAAGTCGACATATGCTAGAGGATGTGGGTAGGAGCCGATGGCATTGGGGAGCTTGAACAGGAGTCGCACGCGCGCGGGAGTAAGTCCTGGTAGATCAAGTCAGATGCGACGGGGAGTAACTAGTATGGTAACGCACCATCTAGAGGACCCCCGTCCTCCTTCGCCGCACGCTCCCTGACGAGTACTGTGCTAAACTGCGCTGGGGATTCTTGAGCTACGACACCCATCTTGGAGACGCGACGCGGCTTCGGTGGCATTGCAAGGACCTTGTCGTCTATAGATTCGGATGCGGCCTCGGGAAGATGTTGGAGCTTGAGGCTGACCTGCTTGTATACAGGAAACCGGATAGGAGAGTCCAGACCAAGGTCCGTACGCAGCGGGGTGATGCCTTCATTGTCGAGAAAGCCGAGGAGGTGAAAGGCGAGTTCGTCGACGTCGTAGTCGCGAAAGATAGAAGCCAACGACAGTCGTGGGAATGCCGCGGTCTTAGCCACGGCGTAATTCTCCTCATCAAACATCTCCTCATCCTCACCGTCCTCCCCCATGGTGGCGGCGCCGGGCTCAACCTCCAAATCGCCCCCTTCCATGGCACGACTACGCATATCCTCGCCCCCCTCCTCATCGTCGTCGCCATCGACGTCTTCATCGTCATCGTGGTCGTTAGGTGAATCCCCACGCAGCGCATCATAGCCAGGCATGGCCCAGAGCAGGTACGTGTCGAACCGCCAGACCGCTTCCTGCCGCGCTAACCACTTCGTCATCTGCGCAGAGTATTGCTTGCGGTTTGACGCCCTGTACCCCATCTTGGCGAGGTCGATGTGCAGGCGCTCGGTCCCCTCCGTGTTGAACCCATCAGCAGTCCCCCGTGAGCGTATCGCATCCGCGTAGTGCAGCAGTGCATGGATCTTGCTGATGTTGAAGTGCTCCCGAATGCCGAGCTCAATGAAGATATCCTTGTGCTTGTGGAAGACAGCGCATGCTTTCGAGATCTCGGATAGGGACTCGTCCGTGTGTCGCTCGAAGTGGCCGAGATAGATGAAGTCGAGGAGGCCGCGGTTAGCCCGAACAACCTCGACATCCACTGCCTCATCGAGGGTCCCAAGGAAAGTTTTCTCCATGCCCTTCTGTTCCTTCCCAGTCCACTGCGTTGTTCGAGAGATGCCCTTGTTGAAGTGGCGCAGCGTGTGATGGAGCGGCGTGGCCTGGTAGCGGGCATCCATTTCCCTCTTCCGTGCGCTCTCATCCAGTTCTTCGCGTGGAAGACCGATGGCTAATGTTGACCACTTAGCGACGTGCTCTTTGAAGACACCTTTGTGCACTTGGTGCAGGAGATCGGGCGTCATACAGGAGAAGATGTCGGTGTGCGGGAGGTTATGCCAGAAGGGCTTGACGGCGCGCAGGTTGAGCGCGTCGAACGCGGGAGGGTTGTTGCCTGCGGCCTGCGCCGTAAGCACCGTCATCGCCTCAGCCTGCTTTCGCAAAGGCGGGCGGTCGAAAGGCGGCCCCTTCCCGCGGTCGTCAGGACTGATTTTGCAGCACGGACAAGAGTTCTCGCGGATGCAGCACACCAGACACTGCTCCGGATAGTCGGCGATGTACGCGGCGAGGATCGGATGAATGCGGCGAACCCATCCGTCCGCGCAAGTCATCTCCACGCCGTCCTGCCCAGCCGTCACGAGCCCGTCGAGGATCTGCGACATGCATTCGTGGAAGAGACGGTATCCCTCCAACGAGCGCTCCTTCTCGCGGAAGCAAGTGAGCTTGCAGACAGGCAAGTATCCCACTAGCACGGTGGCGCGCGACGATGGCTGACGACGAATATCCTTCGAAATATTCCCAATCGTCAGGTACACCGGCCACGCCTGCTTGTCGCCGCTGAAGGCTGACAGCTGCGTCTTGTCCGTGGACAGGATGACGGGGCAGACGGTCGCGTTCAGTCCCAGCTTATCCTGATATCAAAGGTCAGCCCGAGTACCCGTTTGTCGTATGTATATGGCTCACCTGGACTTCCCACCACCAGTTCGCCGTCCACATCTCATCGTACTCGCGATTCACGCCCTCGCCTTGGTCATTGAGTCTTTCGTATACTCGATAAGGTGCGTAGGTCGAATGATCTTTGAACGACGGGTTGCCGAGAAGCTCACGGATGCATGCGATAGGATCGCGCAGCCAGAGCTCGACATTCTCGGTCTCCACCGCGCCGTCCTTGCCCACGACGTTGCCCTTCACAGTCCAACTGCGGCACGACCACCCAGGAGCTTGTGGCAGCTGATCAACCGCACGAAAGAAGCTCGCCTTGTTATGATACGGCAGTCCTATCGCATGAACCTACGACTGGTGAGGCTCAGCGTGCTGAGAAGAGCAGTGTACTCACCGACTTCATCTTCAGATATTCGTCAATCTTGCGCTGGCTCGTCCCACTTGTGACGAGCCATCGAAGGTGTTCCCACTCGTCAAGGCTGCCGAACGGTGCGTAGGGGGGCAGACCGTGCTCGGCTTGTGTATCTCTGATCTCTCCGAAGGGTGTTTTCCCTCGGCGTAGGCGTGCTCCTGCTGCGCGATCGGGCGGATATGCGGTCACGAAGGGTCCTTGCGGCGGTGTCGTCCGTTGTGGTTCCTCTTCCAGGGCGTCGTTGGGTGGAGGAATGTCGGGAGGAAGGTCGTATGTGGTGTTCGAGCTGGTGACTGTGTTGATGCCTCCAGCCTGCGATGCTGCCGCCGCTACTACTTGGTCCATAGCATCACGACACGTCTTCTTTTGCGAGAGGTGCAGCTTCAGGCCTTTGGACCCGAAAAAGTTCGCGTCTTCACAGTACGGACATTGTATAGGCGGCATTTCGTCGAAGTTGGCCACCGTACTGGTCGAGGAGGTCACTGCCAAGAATCACGAAGACTTTTCTGCCTCAGCTAGCGCGCGATGCTGCCTCGTGGCAATCATTCATAGTCAAAAAGCTGTTTGCATCCCTTTGGTCGTTGTGTCTCCTCTCCTGCCATCACCATCCTTCAGTTCCGTTTTTTTCAGCTCGCCGCATTGATCAATGCCTTCGTCCAGAAAACGCCCCGAACCGTGCAATGCATCCGAGGAATCTGATGGTGGTAGACTGCCCTCATCGCCGAAGCGTGCCAAGGCCTCTCGCGCCAAGGCTCCAATCCCAGCCGAGGACGTGGAGGACGATGACTCGGCCGGTGAAGAGCAACCCAAGGTTCGTCGCTCAACGCGTGCACGAGGTAAGCATGAGTCTGTACGCAGTCTACCTCATGTTCTGACCAACCTGCAGCGAAGGATGTCCAGACGCGGAAGGAACGAGCGCCTGCATCTGGTCCGTACATGCCTTTGCTGCATGCCCATGATGCTAACGGAAACTCAAGGCGATGAGGCCGACAGGGAGAGCGAGGAGGAAACCAGGCCTATTGACAAGTTTGGGTCATCACCAGTGCGTGCTCCTTGCTTCCGTGTGCTTCATATGCTGACCAGCCTGCTAGGCTGTTGCTAAATCAGTCACGACGGCCAGCATACCCCAGGTCGACTTCCGTCAAACTCTCCTCAAGTCGGCCCAGGCTCAGCAGTTAACACCTTCCGTGGCGAAACCGGTGCCGCGCAAGATCTTTTTGGCGCAGGCAAACAAGACACGGGCCTTGGACGAAAGCCCGACCGTCGATGATGCAACGGCACCTGCTGCCGCTGCTGCTGCTAACCTTGCTCCGAATGGTCAGCCCTCGGTCCAGCCGTCATCGACGGCACTTGAGTCTTCAACAACGATGCACGCACCACCTCCACCGATGACTCCTGCACCGCCCTCGACGACTACTCCTCAACCGCAGGGAGCTATCAACCATTCTCCCTCTCCCCCCGTTGCGGGTATAACGCCTCGGGGGCGGTCCCAGCTTCAACTTGTTCATGGCTTCGTCCACCATCCCAAGCACGACTACAAGGCTGGTGATTACACCGGGATCTCCAAGCAGCTCATCCTGCGAGTCTGCCGGGAGTACGAAGCGCTGATCATGTGCAATGACCCATTTCCGGATAGTATCGTCTCACGTATCTGGTTTAAGAGATGCTGGGACGGTGCCTGCTTGAGTCTCGACGTTGATATTGCCCCGGACGACCATGTGCAAAAGCTGGTATGTACAACCCAGTTCCTTTGCTGTGCTCCCTAGAATGACGAACTCACTTCAGGTCATTGATCGTGGATCTCGTATCCGGGGTGATATGGTTCGGTGCACGCGCGAAAAGGTGGAGGCTCGCTTCGGCTTTACCAAGTCGACACGGAAGACCACTATTCGGCAGAATATCAAGAAGTATGACGAGCTCGTCAAGGACGGTAGCTACTTGTATCAGGTATGTTGCACATGGTCTTGTTGTTGTCTAGACTGTTGACGTGCATATGTGCTATCAGAACGAGGCGAAACAGACTGGCTACTGCGAGTCCAAGCTCATTTCAATCATCCTCGGGCGCATCCTTTTCGGCTCGCAAGGGACTTCTTTCGCCGTCGTGTACCGCAAATACTTCGACCCGATCCCCGCCGTGACGCTCTCGCTCGTCTACGCCATGGTCTGTTCGTCTTCTTGCGATTTTTCTCATGCTTACTCTTCAATAGATCCGTCATTGTATTGGCGAGTGGGCTACCGGCCGTCCTATTCGTCGCCATTTCAGCGAAGACCCCATCAAGAAGGAGCGCTACTTACCGCACGTCAAGGTTATCAAGGATTGGGTCGAGGACGACCCTCAAATCACGAAGAAGATACGACTACGGTGGTACAAGAAGATGCGGTACGTTGTGCGCGTGCTAGTCGAACCCTCTCTCACTCACATCGTATCAAATAGGGCCATCGCAGGCATCGACGATGATGTTGAGCCCGTAGTAGTCATCTCGGAACAAGCTCGAGCTCGGGCTCGTGCAGCGTTGAGTCAGCGCACCGGCGATACAGACACGGAGGAGGAGGAGGATGACGACGCCGCCGCCGCGTAAGAACTTTCGCGTCGCATACACAACTACTATCCCTGTACCTATTCACTCTTTTTCTTGCAACGCCTGGACCGACCTCGCTTACATTCAACTAATTGTACCTTATGCTCGTACTCGTTAGTCTTACTTTATAATCAACATGACTCTGTTCTGTTAACCTTAACGTGTGATGAGGCGAGAAGCGAAAGGACGAGGATTGGCAGCCATGCTATTGGAAAGAGGTCCAATCTATGACCCGTCATATAGCTCGGTATAGCCTACTCCAATGGCACATCTATGCATAGGACAATACCCTGACGAGACCGAGATATAGTGTCATAGTGGTAGCGCAGCGCTACGGCGCCCTATGGTGTCCTACGGGATAATGTCAGCAGACTATGTGACAATGGGTAACGGGGACTGTTCGATTTAGGTATGGGAGCTATCCTGGCCGACATAGCGTGAGATAGACATCACAGCATTCCCTGATGGAACGGGATTTGATCAGCGTCGGGGGAAAGGTTGGATGGCAGACTGGCGATGCTGTTGTCGATACGCATGTTCGTTTCTTGACATTGAAAGCTGCGGCGTCGTCTCGTGCTCAGCAAATCGCCCAAGGTTGCTTCCATGCAGCCTCTTCACTGTCACGTTGTGCCTGCAAAGTGCGCACCGCATTTACGCTTCGACCAGGTCGCGAGCCTACCTCCGCGGACGCCGGTGGCCATCCGTCCGTATAAAAGGGCAAGCCAAGCGTCCACATCCTCCTCAGAGCCCTATGTCGAACGTCACCAACCCAGGGCACGCGACCATCGCCGGCGGAACTGTGTACTACCTCTACGCAGCCCCGACGGCCAAAGCCGACCTCAAGCACGAGCTCCAGGTGCTCCAGACTTTCCTCGCGCAGTGGAATGCGGATGCTGGGGTATGCCACCTATCGTACTCATTTTTTCCCATTTGCTCATCGCCTGGTAGGATTATCAGAACCCACCGGTCCTCCCGTCCGCTACGAACGCTCCTCCCCCGGCGACTCGTCTTCTCATAACGTGAGCGCGATTGTTCTACTCCCCGCAGCTGTTCCCCTCTACGCGACTGTTCCCCTGCCTCTTCTTTCTCCCTCTATCTGACCGCGCCACCCCCACACAGCGCCGCCAACCACAAGTCCACGCACGCGAGCTCGCGCAACCAGCCAAAGCACCTCAGCGCCTACGTCTGCACGGACGCGGGCTGGGCGCTCAGCCCGCACGAGTACGGCGCGGTCGTGCACGTGTTCGCGAACAACGAGGACCCGGCGCAGGGCTACCACGAGTACTTCATGTACTCGAAGAAGAGGCAGAAGATCAACGCGGCGAGCATCAAGGCGGCGCTCGCGCAGGCGGAGGCGAATGATTTTGGCACGCTGGGGCAGGGGGATCTGGCTTGAGGGGTTTGGGTGAGCGAGAAGTCAGACTGCGGCTGGGTAGGGAAGAACAAGTGTAATTGTAATGCTCGACGGAATCGCGCCGTATGTTGAGTTCGCTGACTACCAAAACCGTCCGATCAGTGAGCGTGTTGTAGTGTTAGGCCAGCATCCATCGCTGGCCACAAGTCAAGGTGGAACATTGAGAGAAGAGTGGCGGGCAGAGTGGCAGAAGGGTGGTTCGGAAGGGAACGAGAAGGGCAGAGTGGCAGAGGCATGCGACACAAATCCAGACTTCAGTGTGTGTTTATGCGTCTCTGTGCACTTCCGCTGTGTAATGTAGTTCGGACGGGGTTGAGTAAATCACGAAGGAAAATATATATCTCGCACGTGCTACTTCCTGCCACCATGGCGGCTATTCTTCGCCCTCGCCGCCGTCCCACCCTTCTCCCTCGCCTCCGACCTACTCTTACTATGACTGGCCGCCTCCACCCTCCTTACATCCTCGATGATCCCATGTTGCAAATCTTCCAAGATTCGGATACCGTAGTCGGCCTTGTCGGCCTTGCGCGTAAGGAGCTTGACCGCGCGGGCTTCGTGTGCGGAGGTGGAGGAGTAGTGGGCTTGGAAGAAAGTCTTAGTACGCGTAGTGAGAGGGCGAAGAACAGGTGGCGCTTACCTGCAAGTACTTCGGAGTCGTCGGCTCGCAGGGGAAGAGCTGGAAAGACAGCGACCGGCGGTCGGACTTGGGTAGCTGAACACCTTGTCAATAATGGTGTCCGCGCCCCTAAGAATACGTGTTCGTACCCAAGCTCAACTCTCTCAGTATCCCCTCCACCCCAACGCGGCCGTGAATCTTAAGTAGGGCCTTGACTTTGCGAGTCAAATCATCGTCGTTCAGACCCGAATTTTGATCATTTGACTTGAATACAACTATACTCTCCCTCAAGCCCTCCACCCGCCCCATCGCGTCGGTGGCTTGCGCCCTGAGGGGTGCGGAGAGGGCCGGCGCGGCAAGGGTGGTGAAGTCGGAGGTCTAGAGGGAGAGAGGTGAGCCTCAATGTGCACACGGGGGATCGGAAGAAAAATGGGCAAAAAGTTGAAGAGAGACTATACGCACCACGGCGGACAATTTCTGGCAGGCAACCAGGTACGACAGCGACATGTCAGAGAGGCGTTGGAGGTGGGTTTGTTTGGTGGTCTGATGGGTCAGAGAGCATCAGAGACAACATATAATATAGGTGACCCAGAAGGGAGAGAAAGCTACGCACCACATCCTCGTGCAACTGTGCGATATCCTCAAGCAGTTGAGCGTTCGACGTGGCGGGTAAGAGGGACTTGTAGCGCGTGCTGAGTATGGAGTAGTCAGCATGAGCATGAACCTCAAGATACAGAAAAGATACGTACCTTTGCACGGTCACCGCGCTCCCAGGGCCATTCAGTAGACTGTTGAGGTGAACGTGGTAGGCGTGCAGGTTCTGAGGTGGATAGTAAGTTCGGTGCGCAAGACGACACAATTTATTGCAGTGAAGACGCACATGAAGTGTGAGCGCAGTATGGTTCTTACGCGTTCGTATCATCGCCTTTGAGGATGCGGGTTGTTCTGCGGGTAAGGGTTTACGCTGGACAGTGATGAGCATAGACTGCGCAACACAGAGAGCGAGAATGTGAAGCCCACCTTTGGTATCCTTGCTATTCGAGCACGTAGCTCATCGTAACTCTCTTTCGCTCGTTTGAGGCGCTCCGTTCGCTCGCTCTCGAGCTCATGCAGAGAAGTCAGGAGATAGAGGCTCCGTTGCTTTGAGTCTAGTTCGGCGGTGACTTGGTCGAGCTCGCGTTCTAAGGAAGTCCATAAGCTTCAGAACAGACGCCAAGAATGACAAAAGCCATAACAACAAGCGGACTATATGTGTGCCAGCGGGATGCATTACTTACGGGATTTGGCCAGAGCACCTTGCCGCGCGTTTAGCTCGTCTTGGTAAACCTCAACACTCTTCTGCGCGGCATTCAGGCGAGAAGTGGCTCGTCTGAGGTTTTCGAGCGGTTCGTCTTTTGAAAACTTGTTGCCAGCGCGTGGGTCGGCTGCTACCTGATCTCGCCTATGATTGTAAAGGATAAGTCGCAAGTCAGACCTAAATCAAAAGAAGATGAGTACCTCTTCTGTATACCAGCTCTAGCAGCAGACACGCGTTGCCTGCCTTGCATATGGGAGATGATAGAGTCGAGGAGTTTCCCCATTGCACCGCGATGAAGGCGCTCGAAATCCTCGAGTGATATTTCCGGAGCGCCCAGCAGTTGAAGTGCCTGAAGCGCCTCTTCCGTAGTATACCTCAAGCCATTTTCCTTCGAGGTGCTGGGCTTCATTTCGAGACGATCTGAGCTCCAAGAGTGGGCCTATTCCGATTCGTGGTGGCGGCTTCGGACAAGATTCGAACCGTCACACATCACGAGGGTGTGACGTTGACATCAGGACGCGTCGCGTGGCTCGCGCAGCGCGTCGGCGAGTCGGGGACGGCGCTTGCAGCGATACGGCGCGCACTTGGCAACATTTTATTCGTTCTCCCTGTTCTTAACTCTCATCTTAACGTCTTTGTGCTCTGTTGTACTTTCTCAGAAATCCACGGGCGCGGCCCATGGCAAGGGTCTAAATCACCTAAACTTCTGCTAGCCGAGCGAAGTAGGGGAACGAGATGCTGAACGCTATCCTCACTCCGCTGCGCACCTCGTTCAATCTTTCCCCGCGCGTTGATACACATCCCGTGCCGCCAAGTCCGCGACCCGATGAGCAAAACCCGGAGGAGTTCGCTAGGGAGGTCATGATAGAGCTGATGCGGAACGCTGTGGAGGACCTGAAGCTGGCGGAGGACAGGAAGACGAGGCTGAAGGTGCGCTACTTGATCTTGAACACGAGAGTCAGGAAGTCACCAAAGACACGCAGATCCTGTCCGAAATCCTGCAGATGATGCGCCAGAACGATGTCACGAAGGAGGTGTTCCGCGAGCTGGACGGCTTCCTCATGCTTGTCAACGTGCTGGCCACGCTGAGCGCGCCCGAGGAGAGCCTGGTGGTGGAGCCAGAGGAACAAGTCGCGGACGAAACGAACGAAGCGCTGCGTCGCGTGTTCACTGTACTATCAGAGGCGCAAGCGAATTATCCGGACAATGTCAAGTTCTTCGAGGTACGTCCCCCATTCTAGAGGACTTGTACACAGCGCTCATGTTTGGTCAGGAAAGCGTCACATACAGCGCGCTTACCGATGCCATACATCCCCTGGTGCTAGAACCCAAGACCTCGAGAACATGTATGGGCTGCCTATTCGCCCTCGCCCTCGAGGACTTCTCATACGTCTCCGCCTTCGACCAGTCCGACAACAAGGACGCCGACCCCGGCCTCTCTGTAATTCGCCGCCCCGGTGCCCTTCGCGTCTTTTGGGACTTCATCCCCTACTTTGCAGGCGGCAACCCCGAAGTGCGCTGCGAGCTCTTCTCATACATCGAGCGCCTCCTGCACGTCACGCACCGGAACCACGCCATCCTATGTAGTCTCGAGCTTGCGGGTGACGCGCTGGAGTACTTCGCCGCCGCCGAGCCGTCGAGTGTGGAGAAAGCGGTGTTGCAGAAGCTGCTCAGGCGTCTGCTGGATATGGGCGCTACAGCCCATGTGGCGCGGAGTATTATGCAGAGGGTGGTGAAGGAAGAGGGCATGCTGGATAGTGACATGCTTGAGATCCTCCGAGCTGGTGCGCGGTCGAAGTGGCCACAGCACTTCTCGATGGCGGCGTACTCGCGCTTGCTGGTTCCTCAGCCAGACGCGAGAGGCCTTCCGCCTAATGGGGTGACCTTTATGGTGCGTTAACTCCGGGACATCTAGCGGCCAATCTTCAACTTAGTTATAATCTAGGCATGGTTGTGGTTCGAACGATACCCAGACGGTACGATGCACACGCTCTTCAGCGTTACCTTGGGGTCGCGCAAGCCTCTCGCACTGCGCCTTCGCCCAGATGGCAGGTTACAGGTTGACTGCGATGGGAACAACACGATACTGGGGAAGTCAAAGTTGCCCAAGGCACGATGGGTGCACGTTGCTCTTGTACATTATCCGCATCGGAAAACGGTGCCCTCAATCCGTGAGCTGTCTTCTGGCTGAGATTACCGCAGACGCTCAGTCTTTCCAGGTCTCTTCATCGACGGTGTCATGACTGACTCTGCGAGCAACATGTACCCGCGGCCCGAGAGCGGCGCTCGGACGTTCAAGTATTGCATCGGCAGCAAGGGCAAGGAGTCGAAACTCAATTGGTGTCTGGCGTCTGCTACTCTGCTCTCGCAGCCCCTCAGTAGGCTTCCTAGACTTCTCCTTGTTGACCTTGATCTCATGGACCCTCAGGCGACGACATCCCCCGCCTAGTCCGCAGCCTCGGCCCCCGCTACGCTGGCAAATTCCAGGACTCCGCCCTCGCCCGGTTCCTCACCTACGAGGCCTCCACCTCCCTCAACGTGCACATTTTCAACACGCCCGCGTCCGGCACCGAAATGGTCAAGCTGCTGAAAAGCGGACTCGAGATCCCGCTCTCGGCGTTCGTTTTCCACATTGCTGCGGACCACCAATTGTACGCGTCGGGCAGCATCGCGGCGCACGGGTACGAGGTCGAGGGCGATGTGTTTTTGGTGAAGGCGACGACGCTGGACTCGGCGGTGTGGAGCTTGGGCGGGGCGGCGGTTGCGTTGAGGTTGTTGCAGTTGGCGAAGGTGAGCGGAGAGGTGCGGGTCGTTGATGTCCTCGCTGACCGTTTGCAGACATCGCACGAGCTCTCACGTAGCTTATCGATAACGGCCGATATCCTTCGCAACCACTGGGGCAACTCCGAGGATATGGAGCGGCTGCGTAAGTGGGTTCATTGCTCTCTCAGACTATTTGCCCACATGTCATATAGGAGGCTACGAAGTCCTCGCCGACGTGCTTCGCCACAAGACCCAGCTCATCAACCTCACCGGCTTCGAGATCGTCTTCGAGGCAATGGGACTCAATTTCCGCGTTCCCGAGCAATCTACAGTCACGAACACGACGGCTTACCGCGCTATCGCGCTCGACTTCGAGCTCTGGGCGCATACCCGTACCGAGATACAGCGCGCCTACCTGGAGCACTTCGTCACCCTCCTCGACATCAGTCGCTATCACCGCTTTAACGCTCGACACCGCCTTTCGAAACTCGGCCTCGTACGCCGCATGCTGTTCGTACTGCAGTTGGACTGGTTCTCCCCTGATATCATCCCATCGCTCGTCGACGCGCTGCGCGTCACCGCGCGCAACCACTTCAGCAAGGAGGACGCCATCAAGCCGATCGTGTCCTATCTCGCGGTCAGTTTACATGAATGTGAGATCATTTGTGTACGTAGCCATTGGCATCTGAGTATTGAGCGACGTTTTAGCGCAGGGTGCGGCCTCGCCCATGTCCATGTCTTCGCGCATCGACTACAAAGACCGCCGATGGAAGGCCGAGCTCGTCTTCGATGCGCTCGTTGACATCCTGTCCGACCCGCAGTGCTACACTCAATTTACCTCCGCGCTGCCGATTACGCGAATATGCCTACTATTGCTTGGTGAACGGCCGACACCGCGCACGGCTACCGACGTCCTTCGCATGATCAGCCTCAGCTTGAAGAAGTCAATCACGTTCATCCGCAAGTTCGAGCTCATCAGCGGCTGGAGTGTGCTGAAGACGGTGCTGCCGGTAGCTTGGGACGCGGGAGTGGCGGATGCGGCGTTCGACGTGGCTCTGGGTCGCGATTGGAGATCACCGGATGCGAAGGCAAAGGCGGAGCAGCAGGTCGTGTGTCCGAATATTGTGCCTGCGATCCTGTCCGCGCTGCAGACCGGCTTGGTCAATATGGCGGGCGGGGCGCAGCTCTCCCCGGACAACTCTGAAGGTGTGATGACATGCATTCTTGCTCTTGCTCTAGCTGACGCAATGGTGCAGCTGCGGCTTCCGGCTCGCCAGAGAAGGAGATGGAGACATTGGTCGAGCGGTTGATCGAGCTGCATTCCCAAAGTGCCACATTCCGCCAGATCTTCAAGTCCCAGCAGTCGACGCAGATAGTTGTCGACGCGTACAAGCGCTTCGTTGAGAAGCTCAGCACTGCATCCACGATCGCACCCGTTACCATCCGCGTGCTGGAGAAGATGGCGCACTTCGGCATGGCGCTTGCGCTCGACAACCTTGTATCTGGCGTGCAGAAGCAGGAGATCTTGGAGACCTTGCAGAAGGCCGAGTTGATCGTCAACCCGTCACAGGAGACAACCAGCATCGATCCGCAACTCATCGTCGACCAGCGAAGTGTCAGGCAACGTATCGCTTCTGCGAGGTTCAGTATGCAGGTCGGCGAGCGCACGGTTATCAAGACCATGTTACGCATCGCAGAATGGCGTAGGACAATCCAGACTTCGGAGACGAAGCGCCTGCGGAAAGGATTGCTGGACTTGTAAGTCTGTCTTCCCACGTACGTGCGTTGGCTTGACTTTGGTGCGTAGGCGTGAGGATCGTCGACAGGCGGCGTCGCTGTACGACTGGGTGCACATTCTGACTTCCGAGCGCGGACTGTGGCCAGAGCACAGGACGCGGCATTGGAGGCTAGACGAGACCGAGGGCCCACATCGAGTGAGGTATGTGCATGTCTTCTTTTCCATCTCCAAGGAGATCACTGAAGACCTGCCCAGGAAAAAGCTCGAACCCCAAGCAGAGAAGAACCTATCGCGTGTCGAGTACACCACCGATGTCCGCGACGTGCACATCCCCGACGGCGACAGTGAGCTGGCCGTAACAGAGGCTCCACCATGGGCAGACCAGTACGAAATATCCGCTACTGAGATGTCAGGTCAGATTCATTCGTCTCATGTTCGTACTGGGCTAACACTGTCGCAGAAGACCAGCTTGCAGAAGACATCTCCGACGACAAGCATCGTCGCGTGCGCCATGAGCTCGAGCCTGGAGACGTTATTGAGGCTGTTGCTACTGTAGCGCGCGTCGCCGGCGTGGACTCTTCACGTGGGATATCCTTCGTTTGCCAAGCATACCGCTGACTGTGATCATAGCCGGTCTCATCATACTAGGTCGGACGCATATCTATATGCTGGACGGTATCGTCGAGAACGATGATGGCGAAATTATCGACGCACGAGATGCACCCAAGCGACTTCTGTTTGTTCCTGGTACCACAGTTGAGTTGGACGGACCTCAGAAGGCACAGAGATGGTGCGATAACCACCATTCGACGTATATGCATGATAGATTCTCACCGCACCTGCAGGCCTCACGATCAGATCGCTACATTCAGCAACAAGATGTTCCTCTTCAGAGACGTCGCGTGAGTATGCTCACTAATCTTTCCCCGCCCACGGTTTCCAACTTTCGATCTGTCAGATTAGAGCTGTACTTCAAGGACAATCGCTCTCTCCTCATCGTCTTCGTGGACAAGCGGCGTCGAACTGATATACATGGCCGCCTTTCGCACATCACTGGAACCAGCGGTGTGGCGAATGCCCCATCCACGCCGGCACTACTGCGTACGCCGTTGTATGGTCTAAGCAAGGCTTTCTCGGGTTTCCGAGCGGATGAACTGGCCACTGCGCAGCGAAGATGGCAAGCCCGAGAGATCAGTAACGTACGCATCTACATTCAGGAGTAGTTTCCTATCTCACGACACCCCAGTTCACCTACCTCAGCATACTCAACCAGATCTCGGGCCGCACGCCGAGCGATGCAACGCAGTACCCCGTGTTCCGTTCGTGAAATTTCATTTCTCACCGCAACGTCGTCTAATATTTCTCCTAGCTTGGGTGTTGCAAGATTATGCATCGGAAACGCTTGACTTGTCTTCGCCAGCGTCCTTCAGAGAGTAGGTATTCTAAGCTCTTTATTGATAACCCGCTCATCATCGTCGACAGCCTCACGAAGCCTATGGGTGCGCTCACGGAAGCACGGAGAGAAGCTGCCGAGTCGCGTTATTCTAGTCTCATGAGTGTAGGCGAGCCGCCTTTCCACTACGGCACCCACTTCTCTAGCTCGATGATCGTCTGTCACTTCCTCATCCGACTTGCGCCTTTCACCAGCATGTTCAAGACGCTGCAAGGCGGCGACTGGGACTTGCCTGACCGTCTGTTCTGTGACATCGCTCGGGCCTACCACTCCGCCGCTATCGACGTCAGAGGCGATGTCCGTGAGCTTATTCCGGAATTCTTCGTTTGTCCTGAGTGCGTCAAGTATGCGTTGTCACCCCCTTTTCTGATCATATGACTGTTAGATTCTTGGAGAACGCAGACGACCATGACTTCGGTGTACACTCGAGCACAGGCGAACGCGTACACCATGTGAAGCTGCCGCCTTGGGCACATGAAGACCCCCTTCTGTTCATCACCCTAAATAGAAGAGTGAGTGCATAATTGCTGCCTGGATACACCAGATATCTAACCGGTCCTAGGCTTTGGAAAGTCCTTTCGTTAGCGAGCACTTACCTGGGTGGATAGACCTCATCTGGGGTTGCAAGCAACGGGATCGCGACTCGCTCAACTGCTTCCATCCATTATCGTACGAGGGGTCGATAGGCAAGTCCACTGTTGTGCGCTCAGTACTTACGCCTCATGATTTGTTCAGACCTCGATGCTATCACTGACGAACTCGAGCAACAAGCGACCGTGGGAATCATCCACAATTGTGAGCAGTCTTCCTGCCCTGTGATGTACAAATTCTGACGGTATATAGTCGGCCAAACGCCGAGGAAGCTGTTCCATACCCCGCATCCAGAGCGTTACACGCACGGCTTCTCGACTTTACCTATCGGCACGCTGCATGGGATAGAGGAGGATCCATATCTTCTCGTGCAAGAAACGCGACCTCTCAAAGGTATGCAAAAGTATGGCATGCATCCGGTGCCGTGCTCAATCATACCTTCGCCAGCTCTACCCCTCAACATCGCCGTTCGAGACCTTTGTATCGATATGATCAACGAGAATGTCCTACCATGCCCCGAGGGCTGGCTGTACGTCCCGTTACATACTAGTGAACAGATACATTGGGGACCGTACAATACTGGAGGGGATCTTCATCTCCGGATAGACAACAAGGTCAGCCTTCCCGCGAATGTGCGACGAAGTGCAAGCTAAAACTTCCATTGCAGGTCGTGCAGACCATCGAGTCTGCATCGTGTACTTGCGCCACCTGGGTCGACTCAAACACTCTCGTAACGGGAGGCTTCGATTTCGCCGTTCGCCTATGGAAGCTTACGCGCGACACTAACCACGACGGTCACCCCACGCGTCTGAGGGTGACCCATGTGATGCGAATGCACACCGAGATTGTCGTAGCCGTAGCTGCGTCAAAGGCGTGGTCTATCATCGCCAGTGGTTCAAGCGACAGTAGCGTCGCTTTCTGGGATTTGAACCGGGGATCTTACGTGCGCTCGGTGTGGCATCCAGAGGGCTCCGATGTACACCTAGTTGCAATCAATGAGTCTACGGTACGTTTCTTGCTGTATACCATGTCGTCCTTGCACTCATATGATCACCTCACCGTAGGGTCATGTCGCGTCATGCTCCGACATGTTGCTTCGCCTTGACACAATAAATGGGCGACCGATAGCACAGCTCGACCTCAGAAGTCTCGCGCCGATAACTTCCCTGGCTTTCCACGAGAGGGAGTACTCACATCTCGGAATACTAGCTACGGGCAGCGCCGACGGCAGCATCACTTTGCGTACATGGACCGCGGACGGAACACCCGCCGGAGAGAAAGCGCAGTGGGAGTTCTTGGAGGTTCGGACAATGAAGATCAGGGGGACGGAGCCCAAGGAAGGTCGACTACCCGCCGTCACGGCCTTGAAGTTCCTGGGGTAAGCTTTGCGCTTCGCATCTTCGCCCTGAACTTATCTTCCACACAGGGAAAGCCTATGTCATGGAGAGGCGTCAGGGCAATCTTATATGTGGACATTTCCGGAGTAGCGGTCTGGCGCTATACATTCAGTATCACACGGACTTCAACATCGACAGTTATCGCACGCTATCAATGCAGTTGTATCTTGCTTTCGACATTCGACCAAAATGGATATGTACTATGCAGAGCTATCCTCTAGTGACGGTCGGGCATTCTGCGAGCGGTAAGGTAAGGGTATGAATACTACTTGGAGCGAACGGCGGTACCAAAGGAGCGTCACCGACCATCAGCAACGAAGCAACTCCCGTGGATGCCACTAACCCCAATTCAACCGCGCCGTATCGCCGCAGTGCGTGGGCAGCTAGGGCTTCCCGAAACTTGCCCTGACCTACACCGTCTATACGCCAAACTTATCTGAATCAGCCCCCGCCACCCAGCTGATGAGCGTGGTCTGTATCGCTGCGGCGGCGCGGGGCTTCGATAACACTTGGCGCTAACGTTGATATCAGCAACCCACGCACAATGTGGCACCCATGGTATAAGTATTCAGTGGTAGAGATAGCGCCTCTGTTCGGTGTCTCTTCCCTCCCCCCGACACAAACAGCTCAGGATGTCCGCGGAGGACAAAGTTGCCTTCGGCGACGAGAAGCAGGGTCATGATGTGGAGGCCGTCGCGCAGGTTATCTCTGCCGGGAACGAGGAGGACGACATTGTGGAGTTCGACGAGAAGAAGGATCTCAAGTGCGTATCTCGAGCAAAGAGAGCCACACCATACTCACCATGCCCGCAGGCGGGGTCTACACCAGCGACACATTCAGATGATCGCCTTAGCCGGAACGATTGGCACTGTACGTGCTCTTCATGCTATTAGACAGCTGGACTACAGCGCCTGATAACTTTGGGCAGGGCTTGTTCCTCGGATCTGGCGAGGCCATCGTGCAAGGTGGACCACTTGGTGCATTCCTCGGGTACCTCATCACCGGCATCCTGGTATCCTGCGCTGTCATTTCCATCGCCGAGCTCAGCGCGCTTGTGCCGCTAAGCGGTTCCATCGTCCGCCATGCAGAATACTTCTTGTGCGTGACCAAGCTTATCACCTACTCATCATCGCGTCTTAGACTCACACAATCTGTGCCAGCGACCCCGCTCTCTCGTTTGCGCAAGGATGGAACCAGGTGTACTCGAACTGCGTGGGCCTTCCCGCTGAAATGACTGCCACCGCGGTCCTCGTGCGCTTCTGGACAGACGTCAGCAATGGCGTATGGATAACAGTCTTCGGTATCCTCCTGCTCGTATCCAACCTATGTCTCGTTCGCGTATACGGAGAGCTCGAGTTCACCTTTGCTATGCTCAAGATCATGCTGGTGCGTCTCTACCATCCATCTCCGCATTCCCTCCGCTGACTACATATAGATCATTGGGCTCATCATCATGGGGCTCGTGATCGACCTTGGAGGCGTTGAAGGACAGGAGCGCATTGGCTTCCGCTACTGGAATGATCCTGTTAGTCGTCTCTCCCTCAACGATGTCTAAACCCCTGACACTGTCCCTCGAGGGTCCTTTCGTGCAATACCTCGACCTCCCGGGCGCGCTCGGGAGGTTCGCAGGCTTCTGGACGACGCTGGCGAACGCGGCGTACGCGTACTCCGGCATTGAGAGCATCGCGAGCGCGGCAGCTGAGACACGTTCTCCACGCCGCAACATCCCCAAGGCGGCGCGGCGCATCTTCTGGCGCATCTTGATATTCTATATCGTCGCCATCCTCATTGTGACGATGATCGTCCCGTCTAACAACCCGAATCTGCTCGCATCGACTGGCGACGCGACGCAGTCTCCTTTCGGTGAGCCAACTGCGACAAAACCATTCAGTTCGCTTACATGTCTTGCAGTTATTGCCGCGAACTTGGCTGGCATCAAGGTCGTGCCACATATCATCAACGCTGTGGTGCTGACCTCAGCATGGTCGTCGGGCAACAGCGGCTTGCTCATCGGCTCGCGTACCCTGTACGGTATCGCGCGCGAGGGCCATGCTCCCAAGATTTTCTTGCGCTGCAACAGATGGGGCATTCCGTATGTCGCCGTGGTGTTCATCGGCATGTTCATAGTACGTGGACATCTGCCATTCCCCTCACGCGAAGCTAACGCACGCCCAGTCTCTCGGGTACATGACGCTGGATAGCTCCGCGTCCTCGGTGTTCGGCTGGTTCCAGGACCTCGTCGCAAGCGCGGCCCTTGTGCTCTGGTCAGTACTCGTTGACTGTTGCAGCCTGTCGCTCAACCATCCCCAGGATCGTCATCTGCATGGTTTACCTGCGCTTTTACTACGGCTGCAAGCGTCAAGGCATCGACCGCAGCGAGCTCCCCTGGGCGGCACCGTTCCAGCCATACGCAGCATGGACTGGCCTCATCGCCTTCTCCATCATCATCCTCACGCAAGGCTATTCAGTCTTCATTCACGGCCTCTGGGACACGGAGAAATTCTTCTCGGCCTACTTCAACATCCCGCTGATCTTGGTCCTGTACTTCGGCTTCAAGGTCATCAAGCGCACGAAGATGGTACCGCTCGACGAGATGCCCATCCGCGACTTCATCCGTATTGCACAGGAGAATCCCGAGCCTCCCGAGAAGCCGTTGAAGGGATGGCACAAGCTCGAAATTCTCTGGAGTTAATGACCGCACGATTTTATACCTTCTCTATCTTGTATCCCGATGTACTTCCCCTCATGGACTGACTTGTATTGATTGACTTTAGGTTTTCCTCCCTTCTCCAGATTTGTTGGACAAAGTTCAGCCTTAGCATTCCCAAGCAGGTGATTGGGCGCTTAGACTCATCCGGCCATAAAATGTCGAAGAGTTGTCTCACGGTTTCTCTCCCTCATTCACAGCCGTTCGCGCGCTGTTCTCGCGATGCAGGAATGGCGCCATTGGATGCAGACGCCGTCGCTCCTCCTACCTCATGACTCTTTGCTTTCCGATGCTCCTGTACCTTCTGAGAGGCCCGTCCCGGGTCTGCGCAGGAGCAGCACACCATCCGCGGCTTCGCCCGCACCATCACGTCCACGCGGATCTGCTCCCCTGAATAGCCTTTCTGCACAGTATCAGCGCATCGGCAGTCCAGTGGTGGGAGCCTCCCGCTGATGGACAGCCCTCTAAAGTCCTCTGCGCCTGCGGCGCATCGGGCCTCGACGAAGTGCGACACCGGCACGTGCGATGCAGCAATGGTGGTTATAAAGGCAAGGTAGGCGCTTGACGCGGTTCCGGTTCGGCTGCTTCTCTTGTCCTCAACGTCGAGATGTCGTTGGACGAGAAGTCTGTGCTGGGCGATGATAAGCGGTCGGGGGATGTTGAGGCGGTGGCGGAAGCCTTGGACGGCCCAGAGGAGGACATTGTCGACTTCGATGAGAAAAAGGATCTGAAGTAAGTCTATGTGCGGGTGACAGTTCGCGCTGACTGACTATGGCTTAGGCGCGGCTTGCACCAAAGGCATATTCAGATGATTGCTTTGGCAGGGACGATTGGCACGGCAAGTAGAAGATACACTCGTCCGTGTGTTGTTTGTTGAGACCCGCCTTTAGGGCTTATTCCTCAGCTCCGGCCAAGCAATCGTCCAGGGAGGACCCCTCGGTGCTTTCCTCGGCTACCTCATCACAGGCTGCCTCGCTGCGTGCGCCGTCATATCTGTGGCAGAGATGAGTGCTTTGGTGCCCTTGAGTGGTGCAGCTATTCGCCACGCGGAGTACTTCTTGTGAGCCTTCAGACTTCGCTGCCTCCTTCCGTACTCATACCATGCACCATGCAGCGATCCTGCCCTTTCCTTCGCCGAAGGGTGGAACTCGGTCTACGCCTGCTGCGTCGGCACGCCCGCAGAAATGTCCGCTGTTGCCGTCCTCATGCAATTCTGGACGCCGGTCAGCAATGCAGTGTGGATCACCGTGTTCGGTATTCTACTGCTCGCGTCAAACTTGTTCTTCGTCCGCGTTTATGGCGAGATTGAGTTTTCTTTGGCTATGCTGAAGATCATGCTCGTAAGGGGCTTCTATCCGACCTCGTCAAGACTTAACCCTCGGCGCAGATAATCGGCGTCATCCTCATGGGCCTCGTCATCGACTTGGGCGGCGTCGAAGGACAAGAGCGAATCGGCTTCCGATACTGGCGGGATCCTGTGAGTCTTGGTTTTTCTACCCCCAACTGACACAACCACTCACGCACCTCGCCTTAGGCCCCTTCGTGCAATACCTCGACATCCCCGGCCCGCTCGGCCGCTTCGCTGGCTTCTGGGCGACCCTCACGAGCGCCGCGTACTCATACTCCGGCATCGAGAGCATCACGAACGCCGCCGCAGAGACCAAGAACCCGCGCCGCAATATCCCCAAGGCGGCGAAGCGCATATTCTGGCGCATCCTCATCTTCTATGTGCTTGCGATCTTGGTGGTGACGATGATCGTGCCGTCCAATAACGAAAACTTGTTGTCTTCGACCGGGACGGCTACGCAGTCGCCTTTTGGTGTGTGCTTACACGGGGGTGCAGGAAATCAATTCTGATATGTGGGCAGTCATCGCAGCGAATCTGGCGGGGATCAAGGTCGTCCCGCACATCATCAACGCCGTCGTGTTGACCTCAGCGTGGTCGTCGGGGAACAGCGGTATGCTCAATGGGTCCCGCGCGCTCTATGGTATCGCGCGCGAAGGCCACGCTCCCAAGGTCTTCACGCGATGCAATCGCTACGGCATCCCATATGTCGCTGTGTGCTCTATCGGGGCATTCATGGTTTGTGGTCACCGTTCACGCAACCTTTGATCTGGCGACTGACATGCCTCAGGCGCTCGGGTACATGACGCTGGACCGGTCTGCCTCAGTCGTCTTTGGCTGGTTTCAGGACCTGATTGCCAGCTCAATTCTCGTCTATTGGTACGCTTTATTGCCGCTTTCCTTCATCTCTCTTAAGTGACCGTCCTAGGATCGTCATCTGCCTCGTCTACCTCCGCTTCTTCTACGGCTGCAAGCGCCAGGGCATCTCCCGCTCCGAGCTCCCCTGGCGCGGCCCCTTCCAGCCCTACGCCGCCTGGACCGGCCTCTTCGCCTTCATCGTCATCCTCCTCACCCAAGGCTACTCCGTCTTCATCCACGGCCTGTGGGACACCGAGACGTTCTTCTCCGCGTACTTCAACATCCCGCTCATCTTGGTGCTGTACTTCGGCTTCAAGATCGTGAAGCGCACGAAGATTGTGTCGCTGGAGGAGATGCCCATTCGCCACTTCATTCGCATCGCGCAGGAGAACCCGGAGAAGCCGGAGAAGCCGGTGAGGGGGTGGCATAAGCTCAATATTTTGTGGGGATGAGGGTGCACGCTACTGTCTGGGGCAGACGCGTGCAAGACGCAGGGTTTAGGCTTTGGAAGAGGGCAAACTCCCTGCTGTACGTACTATATGTATTGAGAATAGAACCCACTGCGGTACAATGGTGTTATCAGTACGAGTTGCGAAGGCAGTGGACTGATGGTTGAGGCTTGAGGCGATATTCGAACAGACAGTGTTCACGGCAAACGCCGGTAAAGGTCCTACAGACGCCCATATGTTGATGTTGCGGCGCCAACAAGGCGTCCGTCCGTAGACAGCAGAGCGCAAGCCAGCACGCAGTCACAACTTCATCGAACTGTCTGCAAACCGCCATAATTCTGACAAGTGAGAATGATGAAAGGCATGTAGTCCTCTAGTCCAGGGCAGCATGATGGACGACCATGTTCGAGCATGTTCGTGCCCTCCCTGCAATTTGCCTGCGGGAATTTACGAACAAGAATCGAGCGCTGCCATGTAGATCGTCAAAGAATTGCATGATGGGATAGCTATCCGTTTACGAAGACTCGGAAGAGGCTTTCGTTCCGAAAGTGCGAGATGCGTTGCTTGTCAGCGTCAGCGGGCCGCGGTACAATACCGGTGCGGACGTTCCCAGAGAAGAACTACCGTGAAAGATTTCCTTGATGATGTTGTACGTACAATCAGGGTTGGCCACAACAAAGGCGCACGGGCGGAACGAACCTCTACAGCAGAAGTATAAGACAGGATTTATTTCCTATCCAGCAATAGGAAAAAATAGATCAACAGCAGGACAATATCTGCCACAAGCAAAGAGCGATGGCGCCAACGCTCGAGTTGTTCCATCGCCAGTAGGTGTCAGTGGCGAGCTTTAGAGCAAGTCTGAGGTACCAAAGGCCGGAATTGGAGTAAAATGCCTCCGTCGACGGAGGAGGGCGTTGAGACGGGGGCTAATATAGGGAAGGTCTCAGTCGTGACCTGAGACGCGCAGCATTCTGTCGCCTATCTTTCGTCGAAAGCAGGGTGAAAGGGAGTGAACTTTCGGGGGAGGACATGATATCATGTCAACCGTGACAGTGGGTGGAGCTAGGCGTGACGCCCCAGGCCACCGCGCAGATATGCGATAGTGAGGGCTTGGCGAGCGCTGGAAGGACACAGAGGCCTGGATGTTAGTCTTCAGAGGGTCTTCTGAGCGTCGAGAAGAAGGAGGAGAAGGTCTTGTTTTACCCAATTTTTGATTGCGAAGTTCAACGATCAAATGAAAATGCGAGCGTGGGAAAGGAAGGGAGGGCGGGGACCATTTGGCGACGCGGCGTTCGCTCTTGCCTTCATCTTTCGCCGTCGTTTCCGTCGCTCGACGACCAAGGGTCCCGGTAAAGGTGTCTCCATAGTCGAATCCCGGTCAAACCAGAGCTGCCCGCTATGAAGCTCGATATCCTCGACACCGACTATCTGTCGTCGACAGACGCCCCCGCGGGAGGGCCGCTTAGGGCGGCGTACGACTCCGCCATGTCCCTCGCCCCGCTCTCCCGCTGCGTCCTCGTCTCATTCACGGCCGCCATCGTGCTTCTGCTCCTCGCGCGCGCGGCGATCTGGGCGCTCAGGACCCGCGGACGGACCCCCAACGACAACGGCATGGAGAAGCGGCAGCAGGGACTCGAGCAGCCCCGCCGCTGGCCACGGTACCCTGGCCTCAAATGGGATGCGCTCCCGCCGCTGAACCTCCCGGTGTCGCTCACCATGCCGCGGCGCCCAGCGCGCGGCGTGGGTATCGGTCTTGCAAGCACTACTCCCGCGCCCCAGATGGCTGAAGCGCCGCTACCTGCCCGTTCCGCGTCGGCCACGCAGCCGAAGCGCAAAGGCTCTCCCAATCCATCAGGTGCGTTCATCTCGCCTCCTGAAGCCCACAATAGACGCTGATGATACACGCCACTCAAGGTCCACACGTATACCAGTCTGAAGTCCCGGTGTCGATGGCCAAGATCATCATGTCAAGACATGTACGTTACCGCCTCCCTCATTCCTTCCTGTCGCCTCCGCCACCATTCCTTGTGCCATTCCTTCCCTCTTCCTTCCCGACCAGCGTGTGATTTTTGCTCACCTTGCGCCTAGACCTATCGGAGACCAGGCACCCCTCGGCCCACCAAGCGCCCCGTTGCGCCGGCGTCCGCTCCTTCATCCCCAGCGACACCCGCACCTGCACTTGCACCCACAAACTCCCAACACATTTCGACCCAACCCCAGCCCTCCGCCGCGCCTCAGCAGGACTCTCCCGCGGATGGCCCGCAGGAATGCATGGTGTAGTCCATGCCCGCGCGAGGCTCGACTTCCACGTATGCGCGAGGCTCGCACGCTCGCGCAAGCGGATGAATCGATCGTGTCAACGCAGCGCATAACGCGCGCATCCACGTATGCGCCGCGAATGACGCGCGTGCGCACGCGCATCCGTCTCTCCCATGATATCACCCATCCGAGCCTCCACGATATCGCCGACGATGTATATATTCGCATGAAAGCCTATTTATGACCGCACGCGCCCCCACGTCTTCTCTTTCGCGCGGCCCGGCTTCCCAAGCCGTCGTCCTCCCGACCAAGTCATCGTCTGGCTTCCCGAAGTCATGGTCGTGGCTTCCCAAGTCAATGCCCTCCCATCCGAAGTCGCCGTTCTGACTACCGAGTCGTTGTCCTCAATTACCTGTCCTCTCGCGCTTTTCCGAATGTCCTCCGGCAAACGACCCTCGCACACATCGATTCGCCGCAGGATCCTCCGCGCAAATGCTGCGAGGTGCGCGCCCCGGCCCCGACGAGGTGTATGTGCGGCTTCGCCATAATGGCCGTGCCTGCCACGTACTCGAGCAGGCCCGCCTACCGTGCACCCGCCTCGGCGCGCCGGTCGCCACCCTGCCGGGGCTCTCTGGAAGCTTCGGTCACCCCTAAAGGAGTGCTTCGCAGATAATGGCCCGCCTATCAAGAGGGTGGCGTCGTGCGAAGATCGGGGGTACCGACTGTCGGGTCGGATGGCAGGACCGCGCAAGGACTACCGGGACACGGACAGGCGTACCCATCTCAAGGACCCCAGGACTCGACTCAACTTTCCGGGAGATGGACCTCGCATCAGGACCGGCAGCCCCGACTCACGGACCGCACTGGAGACGGAGGCGGCGCGCGGGGTTCTTAGACCCACGTCGCCAGGACACGGGCCGCACAGACTTCCTTTCTTTTCCCCTTCGGACTGTAAGATGTACGCGCGCTTCACCTCACATCGGGACTTTTATTCTTTACTCTCTGCTTCTCGCCCGTATGCTCTCGGACTTGGACTTCCGTGCTCTGTTCGAGATTTGTGCTTTGCTCGCGCCGCCGCGGAGGAGGAGGGCGGCGCGGGATGATAGCGGGAGGGGTGGTGCGCGGCGGGGCGGTGGGTGTCGTGCGCAGGCGGCCTTATATCAATATGGCACTATATCAATGAGGCCCTCGTTATCGACTCCCCGCGCCCGCCGATGTTGCGTGTTGTCTCGTATGCATCGTGTCGTCGTGGCGGGCCCCCATAGACTCACTGCGCTATCTTTCGTCCTTTTTTGCTTTCGCTTTTTACCCCCACGACAGTCACCTGCTACGCTACGACGAACATTTATTGAACACCCAGCTACCTATTCACCACTGGCTTGCCTACTACCACCGGATAACGTACACTCGCATAAACTAGAATTTGCATGGCTAGAACGGGTGCACGCTCCCCTTTTCAACCTTGTTTTGTGTGCGGTGCGACAAGCCATAGCTTCAGCCACTGGCGTAGCGAGAGGAGATTGCTTTGCAGGAGCAAGTGTGCTAGCGGTTGTAGCATTACCAGCAGCCATATGCTGCGACTCGCGTTTAGCGAACTTGGAGGTGTACTGGAGGTACGATGCCCTTGTATGTTCTCGGTTCGGATGGGCTGACTCATGTTGTTATACACACTTCCAGCCGTCTTACGTGCTTAGGCTTGATGGTCGTCTTGCACGCCTCCACCTTCGCGTCCTCCTATGCGACGAAAATCAGTCGCATACAACGTTGACTCATAGCGGCTTGAGCAGCTGAATATAAGGTGTCAGTGCCACGAGGGGCCCCCTCATTGATCATTGACAGGCCAAAAGCTTCCTTCTCAGGCAATTTCGAGGATTATATGCGAAGCAACTAATCATCGATTGAACTTTGACAGACTTATGGCGTATTCGACTTCGACATGGTTATGAGGCATAACTTTCGGTTCTTTAGATCAAGACAGTACAACGATGGCATCAAAGATATATTGTGTACGGGTTTTACACCAGGCGCTTGTTCGTTGGGCGAGTACAACTGGAACGGCAATCAGCAGACGCGCAGGACAGTAGGCGCACGCATGACTCACGTTAGAGGGGGTTGCGGAAGCCCTTCTGGACAACGAGCTCCATCGCGTCGATGGTCGCCGAGAAGTTCTTCGACGAGCTGCTCACGAGGCCCCACCAGGACGACTCCTCCGTGATATCCGCCTCCAGCTTGATCGTCGTCACCAGCGAGTAGAAGAAGTCCTCCAGCTCCGCGTTCGGCACCGCGAACAGGATGCGGTACTCCCACGACGAGTTGCTCGACGCGCTCGACTTGCTGAAGTCCGCCCAGCCGTTCGACTTGGCGCTCTTCAGGTTCGTGAACGTCGCCTCGATCGTCGCCGCGAGCTCGCCGGCGTCGATGACGACAGAGAGCGCCTCGAGCAGGAACTTGACGATCTTGTCGACCATGACCTTGACGGTGGCGTCGCTGCGCGCGATGGTGTTCTCCTTGAACTTGTCGAAGGTGAGGTCATCGCCCTTGTAGCCGTTGACGGCGTTCTTGAAGCCGCCCCAGTCGAAGGCCTTCTTGTCGTTGGTGACCTTGACGAAGTTTCCGCTGAACTTCATGACCTGGAGGCTCGTCGAGACGAGCGGCGAGGGGAGCTTGGAGAAGCCCTGGAAGTCTGCGAAACGTGTCAGCATGGAGGGAAAGCCATAGTGCAAGGATACCGCTGACACTTGGGGTCCCTTCAAGATAGTAGATGAGTCCGACGCCACCAAACTGTCGCGAAGAGGTACTCACTCGTCCGTAGACATGTTGTCGAGTAGGCAGTGTATGAGGCGGGGGTGTTCTGTAGAGAGCTCTGGCTGAAGCTGCTGAGGGAAAGCGAGTGACCATCGCATGCTTTTAATACTCGTCGAAGGATGAGGACTTCGCGCAGATATCGACTGGTGACAGTGCTCCCTACACCGAGCGCAGCGAGTGGCATGAGCAACTCTACATGCAACCCGTCAGCTTCAAGGCCGTTGGTAGAGCTTTTACGTGGAGGGCGCCGGCGTTGAAGGTGAGCCTTCGTTGAGTCCCGTCAGAGATTCATACTTGATGGGCTCTGACCAATTTCGACAAGTAAGCGGTGAATGCTCTGGGAGCTGGTGCTAAGCAGGAATACGTCCAGATGTCAAGTTGATTGCGCGTTTGGCGAGTTCTCTGGTTTGCGTAGTCGCGTAACGACCTTTTCGACTTTTGCCTTGGTTGTCATTCCCGGGAGAGTGACCAGTATCAACCACCCTTGAACGTCGGGAGCCCCGATCAACCATCTATCCGACAGGATGTGACCCAACTGTGACAGTCCTTTGTGGCCAACCTACCTCTTGCGTCCATCCCCGTCGCCTCCATGCATGACTCAGGTGCTCACGGATATCCTGGACTCCGATCCTTCACCTTGTCAGCGTGCACTGCTCCGGTCTTCGTGCATGTCCGAACTTCGTCAAGTGGTGGCCATCGTCGATGTCCTTGGCTTGTTTATTTAGCCCCGCTTTCAGGGTCTCGTTCTCTCTATCTCGAGAACTGCGTCTTTCCTGTCGTTCCAACTCCCAATTAATTTTGGTGAGCCGAATTGCTGTCTGCAAAGAACGAGACTGGTCATATCTGACCACGCCCGTCCTAGTCCGTCGCAGTCTGCGCGTTTCCCGGAGCCAATTCTACCTATACACTTTCCGAAGACAGCCTAAGGCGCGTTGCTTTCCCACCTCAGTCTAAATTTCTCTGCTGACGCCGACGCAGAGATGGATTTGACCTTCGAGGGCGGTAACATCTTCAACCGGGACCACTACCCGCGCGACATCATGCTGCAGGCCATGCCCGTCATGAAGAAGATGGGCAACAACCTCGACATCAAGTACGCCACCGTCGACTCCGCCGGCGCTAAGCGCGATCTTGCCGCCGTCGGCTACGGCCTGCGCGAGACCTCCCACACCGAGACCATGGGTACCGTCGACTCGGGCGCTGTCGACGACAGGATTCGCTACCTTCTACGCGACCTCTTCGAAGAGGACATCCGCGTCGAGCGCGGGAGCGATCGCATCCTAGTGCTCATGTCCTGCGCCATCGACGGGCTGGTTGCGGAGACGAAGGACAACTTCTTCGGCTCGACGACGCGCAGCGAGGGCAAGTACTTCTCGTACCAGATGGCGTTCTACTCGATGCGCCGCGCGTCGTACTGCTTCTTGGTACTCTCCCTTATTGCATTCAAGGACCAGACCAGCGTTTTTGGGATCCCGACGGGCATGCGGAGCGGCATCAGCTACAGCGCGCAGGTGTTCGAGTGCAAGCGCGTGCGCCCGACGGTGCTATACAACTTCGGGCGCCTGCACTCGGGAGAGAGCATGGAGTCGCCGGATGGCAGGCACACTGCCACCCTTGGCAACGACGGCAATTTCGTCGTCGACGGGCGTTGGGAGACGCACAGCGGCGGCAAGGGTGTAGGCCCCTGGTATCTCGTGCTGCAGGATGACGCCAACCTGGTCATCTACGACAGTCGAGGAGAGCCAACGTGGGCTTCTGGCTCGCAGCCCGGAAGATTCACGATGCGACCGTGGCGGCTGGACATGCAGAACGATGGCAATCTGGTAATTTACGACAAGAATGACAGAGTCCTCTGGGCTGTCCGTGTTTGATTTGAGTGGTTACGTCTGTAATCATAGCGAGTTAACGTGGAACAAGTGGAGCTGGAAACCAGGCCCTGTCGATTCTGACTTTATTGGATAATTATTGGTGCGATCACCATGCCTCACGCTGCTTTCCTATGCATATGTGAGGCTACCAAGCAGATTGAGAGTGCCAGCGGCTTTCAATTATATACCAAAATTTTTGAGGAAGATGGCTATGATGTGGTTCAAAAGGCCCGAGGGGCACTGACCATGGTCATTCGATCACCCACTGTGGCACTGAACCAGGACCTTACGGTGGCGCGGCGAATAGCGTTCCCGCATGTCGGGACCTCACAGAGACACATACATCATGAAGTATGTGAAGATAGTTTGTGCTTGAGATGTCCTTGATTCTTTCTTCTCAATGTAAGAGCCATACCTGACCCAAGTTCAACCCAGGTTGGCCAATGGCCATAAAAGGGAGCGTTACTTTCACAGTTACATTTGTCACGCTTTGCTTCGTGACCCGAACCATCTTGCGACCGCGCATTCAGCGTTGGCTTCGTCGTCGTCTGTAATTTATCTTGCAAGCTCTACCTATCGATGCCTTTCCTTGGGTATAAGCGAGTAGGTACTTATCAATGACCGTCAATGACCTACGCCTCCAAGCCCATGAACAGAAAAATGAGAACTAGCTTTCTCCGACATACTCCTCGGATGTCCCCCAATTACAGGATCTCCTTAAATTTACTCTCGCTGCGCTCAATGTGAGCAGGCTCTTGGAATTGCACATGTGGCTCCTGGCCCTCGGGTGCCTTCTCCGCCCGACGCTGGCTCACCTTCCGCGATACGCCGCCCTCCGACGTGGTATCCGGGCCCACCGCCTCGCTCGACGAGCGATCGTGGCGTGTGGCCTCCTCGTGGTGTGCAATCCCATCTTGATGTGCGACCTCAGCAGCCTAGTCATGAAGTCAGAAAATCGCAGAACTCATGAAAAACAATTTCCCACCTGATGATCCTTCAAAGCCTTCGCATCAGCGCCAACGACGCGCTCGCCCTTCTCCGTGTAGCTTGGCGGCTTTGTTGAGGTCGTCTCGTGCCCGTCGCTCAACGCACCCGCCTCGTCCGCGCTCACATACATCTCCTCATCGCTTTCGCTGCTCTGATATCCAGCACCGCGCACCGCCGCAACCACCGGTCCCGTGTGGTCTGTGCCCTCCTCCACCTCAAGCGCCCTTGCCGCACACGCACGCATATCCTCCCACCACGCCTCCATATCCGCGCGCGTCCGCGCCTTGAACGTCCACGCGTACGTGCTGCGTTTGATGTGCAGCGAACCCGCGAGCGTCCCGTTGCTGTCCTTCCTCCCCTCAACGTTGAACTTGAACGACTTCGACGTGGCATCCGACGGCGGCCCCAGCGTGCACGCGGGGAGGAAGAGCGAGAAGATGGGTGCCTTGTCCTCGATGAGACCCGGGTCCGTCGTGTCGTACTCGTGCAGGAAGCCCGCGGGGGTAAGCACGTAGAGCGACTCGGAGTAGCGCCGCGTGTAGCGCTTCTTGCGCTCGAGGACGCCAACGCGGACGGGCTGCACCACCTTGTCATCCTGCAGCGGGTAGCTCAACTTCGTCGGATCGCGCAGCGGCGTCTTGGGATCGAGGTGGCCCTCCGCGCGCCGCTTGAAGGCTTCCCACTCTGCACTCGGTGCGAGTCCGCCGAGCTGCGCGGCGAGCGCCGTCTGCACTTGTTGCACCGCGCCGACCATCTGAGCATGCAGCTGCGCGTAGCGCGACCACGCTGAGTTGATGCCCCGCACGATGCCACCCTCGAAGTCAGCCGACTGGGCCTGCGCAGCGAGGATCGCGTTGTGCAGCATGTTCTCGCTCTCGATCTGCTTGCGCATTTGCTTCCGAACGGTCTGGTTCACAACGTACCTGCCGGCATGTTAGCTTCGCATCGTACTATAGAATTGGGAAGAACATACGGGTCGTTCTTGGGGGTAACATTCATGGGCATCTGCTGCATGTTCGTGACGCTGCTACCCAGCTCAGCCATGATCTTCGTGGAAAGTTCGCGCTCCTTTGCGACAGCCGTGGCGAGCTTGCCTGCGTTGCTTTGGATATTCTTGATATGCGACTTGATGTCGCCGTGCGTACGCTGGAGGTCTTGGACGATCGTCGCCTCAATGTTCTTCGCTAGGCTGGTGTTGTGGTCGGCGATCACGCGCGTCTTGTCGCGTATGCTAGCGTAGATGTCCTGCGTGGTCGTGAGCTCGATGTATCTGGCTAAAGTATGATGGGAACGCACCTGGATTCCTCCCTCCTCACTAAACTGGTTGCCCGGCTTGAAAGGCAGTTGTATAACGGCGCTCAACTTGGCGAGCTCCTTCGCATTGTCGTGCTCTGCCTCGGCTATGCCCTGTTAAGATCGTCAGCTCCCAAGCTCTCCAAGAAGTGACCACCACGCACCTCAAAGTACGCAGTGAGCTGCTTTATGGCATGCTTCCACGCCGTGAACCGCTCGACGAGCACGTCCGAGGGCTGCGTCTCTTGCGGATTGACATTCCGTCTAACCAAGGTGGTGTTGCGGGACAAGCCAGAGAACTTGCCCGACGCAGACCGCGATAGTGAGTCCGACATTGTCGTTGGATTCGTATGGGAAAGGGAGAGGGTGGTGGCGGTAAGAGAGAGGGAAAGGTGAGGAAGCAGTAGGAGCAGGTCGATACTTGAGCGTCATTCCCCACAGGCGCAGGGCGGTGATGTCATCGATAGAAGTTCCTCATGTCGGATGCCAGGATCGAAGCTAGTCGCGATCCGGAAGTTCCGACCCGGAGGCGGCGAGATGAAGGGGCGCCATTTTTGGAGTGAGGTCCAGGCGGAGGGGAAGAGAAGAATGCATTGCAAGAGGGGTCGGGCAAGTACAGACGGGACAGCCTACGTTTGCGCATAGTTCAGAGGGCATGTCAAGCGGCACTCGCGGGTGATCAATTGTTTGCTTGCAGCTGATTGGGACACCGTGGAAAGGTGATGGTTAGGCATTTTCATTGGACTCCTATTGCGAACAGTACATAGCACTGCAACTCGTGAGCTTCGGATCGGAGCAGGGAGATAGGAAGTTCAATACGCACTACGATTACGATGCCCAAAGTTCACTCTGGCAGTAGGCCGAACTCGCTACCAGTGATTGGTGTAGGCTCCTCGCCACCCTTGAACCCCATGCACAGGAAGTAGGTCTCGCGTGAGTCCGAGCGACTTGCCGGCGGCTTCACTAGGTGCACCTTTCGGAAGTTGGGCTGTAAGTTCTCTCGACTGAAGTCTTCAAGGAGGGGATGGGCGAAGTACTTGATTCTGAAAGTCACGTTCGCGTCAGTCAGGCTCGTTCAAGCGTGATGAGATTAATCACGCACAATAGCACTCCGCCCCACGAATCCCCCGTTTCTTGCATAGACCGCAAGTTACGCGCAGCGAAACTGTATACGCTCTCGCAGATGTCCAGGCTCGACTGAATGTCGCGAACGCCCGTGCCAGATGCATTCGCTGCCATGTCGGAGAGGATGATGTCGGCCTTTCCCCCAGGGTTCTCGGAGGTCGCAAGGAGCGTGCGGACCTTCTGCACCGTCGATGGCGCGAGAAAGTCGCCCTTCAGAGTCCGTACGCCCGGGATCGGCACCATAGGCAGTAAGTCGACGGCGACGATCGTCCCGCGGCCCTTGAGCGTGTGCAGCTCGTCATCAATGTTCAGGGGATCGTAGTCGTCATCCAGCGTTTCCACCCGAGCTTTTCGGGTGCTCTTCTGCGATGCAGACTTGAGGTCCTTCCCGCTCGGTGCGCGCATCGGTGCAGACCGTTCCCTCGACCAGCCCAGCTTGCGCGAGACGATTTGACTCCAGCCGCCGGGTGCCGCACCGAGGTCTACGACGCCCCTGACATGGGGCTTGTCGATGAAGTTGTGCTGTGCTTCAATCTCGAGGAGCTTGAAGGCAGAGCGCGAGCGGAGGTCGAGACGGTGCTTGACGTACGGGTCGCGAAGCTGGCGGCTAACCCATGCTTTACTGCTCGGTGTGCTTCCTAGGGCGACACGCGTCGCCTTGAGCATCCAGTTCCCCTGTTGCGCGAGGGGTCAACGAAAGGCAATGAATGGACGTTGTGTGAGCGTACAAGCGCGCGTAGCGGAATTTACTTCCACGCGAGCTCCGGCAATCGCCGAAAGTGGACCCACAGCAGGTAGATAAATCAATCACCTTGCCTGCTTCGTAGACTTCGGCCTGCTGAGCCCTGTTATTGCATACCGCACTAGGGACACAGTACAAGACCCTCCCAAACGAGGTCCAGATCTAGCGGCGCCTGAGCCTCCTCTGCTTGGGGGAAAGACCTGATTGTACGCCGTACACTGGACATCCGGTTTCCAGAGGCGAATATATAGCAAAAGCAATGAAGGAATGTCGAGTGATAGCGTACAGGGTGGCAACAGTCTGAATCCGTTATATACACATACATGAACGAGCTTGTATGACTACTTATGAGCAGAAGAAAGGATGGAGGGATGATTAAGGCGCTAGAGCGCATCTAGGAGGCTGCCGCGCTGCGATGGGATATGGACATGAATGTGAGGATACGGGAAGGCGTGAAGACGTAACGTGAGCGTAAAGCTGACGGGGCGCGCAAGGAGGCGCACGTCCGCACAATATAAGCAACGATGATACGGACAACGGGGAGGGGGTTATAATGGGCAATGAGTAGCAGTCCAATGTCTAAAACGTCGGTCTGCGTACGATCCGGTAGTCTCTAGCTAAGCAGATCCCACCCCAACCTCAACGCTTCCTCTTGCCGGCCGCGAGCGTGGCGTCGGCGGGGAGCACTGACATTCCGCCGTGGCCCTCCGCGCCATCCGCAGGGTCCGCGAACACACCGAACTCACGACCCTCCCCACTACCCGACGCCTCGCTGTCTGTCCGCCCCGCATCCGCGTGCATCACATGCTCAGCGTCCACCATATCGATGTCCTCGGGGTCGACGATGCTCATCCGCTCGTCGGCCTCCTCTAAGTGGCTGCCGCCCAGGTCGACGAGCTGGGCAGTGGTCAGCGTGCGCCGGCCGCGGGCGGGCATCGCGTCGGGCTCAACCTCCGTCTCTGCACCCGCCTCGCGCTCGCGCTCGGCGCTGGCAGCGACGACGGCCGGGTGCACCTCGGTGCTGGCCTCCTCCTGCGCAGAGTCCTCAGGGTCGTCCATGAGCTCGACCTCCACATCCTCTTCGAGATCGGCGAAGGTACGACATAAGGGGCAGGAGAACGCCGGGTGGTGGCTCTCGAGGAGTGGCCGAATGCACTTGTAGTGGAAGGTGTGGGAACAGGGGGCGATGAAGAGGGCTTGCCGGATGGTGACGGCGAATAGACCTAGGCACAGGGTCAGTACACCATGAAACAAAGCAGTACAGGCCTTCCAGCATGTCAGGAGCCCGTCACGTCGGAGTAGTTTCCTAGCGCAGCGACCTCCGACCTAGACGGCGCGTCTGGCACAGACACTTACATATGCAGCAATCTGGGATTGACGACTTCGGTGCGACCTTGCCATTGCCCGTCTTCGCAGGATCAGTAGACACGGCCAACGTCTTAAGATTCTTGAGTGCGTTCGTACTGGGATCTATGAGCATCACGCCACACAGAAGTAGATGATGTAACGCACTTGAAGGCATTGGCTGCCGCCTGCCACTCCCTGCCCAACTCGATACGGATTTTGACGGACTTGTAGATGTCCTCCGTGCCACCTTGGTAGTCTACGCCAAGCTGAAGTATATCGCCGTCCTTGATCTGGTGTGGCCGCGAGTCGGTATTGGCGGGTGAAAGGCGGACGTGGTTGAGGAAGGTGCCAGAGGACGACTTTGTGTCGCGGATATAGAAGCGCCCTCCTGGCTCCACCCAGACCTCAGCGTGCGCGCGCGATACGACCTTGGACTTGAACGCGAGCTTGTTCGAGCCGAGCGCATTGACGGCGGCGAGGCCCATGCCCGACCTGTCCGTGAACCGTCCGATGCGCAGGGGCGGATCGCCCTCTTTCAGATCGCGGGCAATAGCATCGAAGCGCAACGAGCGACGCGACTCGAGGTGGGGAACGAGGCGGATACGGTGGGAGGGGCCGTTTGGCTGATTAGCGACGGCGGGCGTCGATGGGGCGGTGGTTGCGCCTGTCGGGCCTGGCGGGCCCGAGGGTATGGCCGGGGGATTGAGGGCGCCCGCCGAGCGTCTGCGTCGCAGCATGTGCGAGATTCCGAGGCCTTGGGTGCCCGATGGCGCTGAGCCTTGGTGGGAGGAGGAGGTCTGTTGTATGCCACCGCTTGGTGATGGCGCAGTGCGGCGCCGGTGCCCCGGGATCGGGATGCCCGGAGACGGCGGTTGCGCGGCCTGGCCGGTAGGGGAGGGCGAGAGCTCGCGCGCGGCGGCCTCGACGTTGATGTGCGACTGGGATGAATTCCGCGGCCGGCCACGCAGAAAATTACCCAAGATGTTGGACCGCGTGGGCGGCGAGTCTGTGGTTGCGCTGTGTGGATTGGGCTCCATGATAAGGTGGGAGATCGCACGAGGCTACTTCTAAGGGCTGGGGAGCGCGCGCGAGCTCTACGGCGGCGGTGATGGTTCTGAACAAGCTGACTGCGAGCTCAGCGGAAAGCCCGAGGACAGAATATTCCAAATCAGGCAGTTCACAGGCACACAATATGTTGCATCACGGAACGTGGCGGCGATGGACCTACAACATATAACTGCGAGCTGATGCAGCGGAATGAGCTGCCAGAGGACCCTGGTACTATCAAGTAAGGCTCGCCACCTCAGTCAACTAGCTGGCTTCGCTGCGTGCGGTTCCTTCGAGGCGCATCTTCGAAGCACGTTTTCCCGTGCGTATGACAGAACAGTTCCCATAGCATAAGCCGATATTACTTCGAGTGCCCGCTCGTCCGATCGAGGAAGAGTCAGCTCAGGTACTGAACATCGTCTTAGAACGTCGAAGAATCCATCTCGTACGTATTGATCTCGTATATCAACCAACCAATGCTTCGACAGTGCTCTACATACTATAGGTGCGCGTACGGTAAGGACGATGCGAAGGTAGATATGACATGCATGTGTGTATCTGTAACCGTATATCTGCATGAACCCAAAGCGACATGTGCAGCAGCCCCTCATAAGACCAGACCCATATGCCCATTATGCGTGATAAATACGTCTGAGAGCCCATATATCTCGTATCCCTACACCAGAGTGCTATCTCGTATCCTGTACACCGAGTGGGGTGCCGACGTCGTTCAATGGTCGGCTGTGTTATGCGAAGGGCAGCGTATGTTGATGCCTCGTTTTCGAAGGGCGTATATTGTTGCCCGTGGGTTCGGAGGGCCGCGGTATAGCAGCGGCCGTGGGTGATTCCGCGTATTCTCGTGCGGCGGGTGCAACTTCGATGGTGTGGGAGACCAGTGGGCGGCGCACGATGTAGATGCTGCGCGAGGGAAGAAGGAGGGCCATCATTGGCCGAGTTCTAATGCGCCGACTACTATGAGCAGTGCATGCTGCGATATGCAGTCCACCCTGGGCGATGAATCAGTTCATCTGTAGATAGAGTCTAAGACAGACGACGCACCTCGGTTGTCCATATATTTGTTCATCGCCGAGAATGCGCATCGGCTCATCTCCCGCTCAAGCAGCCACACGTCCTCGCACACGATGACGCCGCAGTCGTGCAGCACGCCCACCGCGTCCATGAACCAGGCTTTGCTTGAGAACGGGCGCTCGCCGGCGCGTGGGATCGAAACGTTGCGAAGCATTGCGAGCAGCGCATCCTGCCCGACGACCTCCTCGTAGTTCCCAAGCGGCGCAAGGTCCCCCAACGCGACGATCGCCACCAGCATCGGTTCGGCCAGCACGCCGCGCTTGCTGTCGACCCTGAAGACCCACTTGCCAGTGGACGCGTCGCGCTCGACGGAGAAGGCAGTGCCGCGGGTGCCGATGGGAAGCACGTCTGGATCGGGGACGTAGAAAGCCCAGTGCCACGCCGTCGTCTCGCCGCGGTAGTAGAGCAGCCCGTACAGGAGGCCCGGCTCGAGGAGGGGCAGGAGTTGGAGAGGCGGGCTCGTCATCGGGGGATCAGGCAGCGGCGAGAGCATCGCGCGGTCGGGCAGGCGAGGCATGGGGAGCGTGCCGAGCGTCGCCTGGATCGCCGCGCGAAACCCTGGGGAAATTGCGGGGTGATCATGGCCGAGGGAAAGCGGTGGCGTCGCCACGGACGGCATCGTGGTGATGGCGGGGGACGTCGGCGCCGTCGACGGCGGTGGCGGCGTTGAGTTTGCAGTCAATTTGGATCGCGTTGTGGAGGGGGAGAAGAAGGGCCGAGTTCGCGCGCACCGCGTATTTATTAGCTGGCGGAACCTGTCAAATAACCTTCCCAGGCCACGATTCGAGAATTGTACCGAACTTCCCACATTTGCTCTTCGTCCCGAAACGCCATCTCCTCGATCTCGCCATCTCTCGCGCACAGACGTTAGCTTGCTTTCTCTCTGCTTTCTGCACCCCCTGAACTCTGCGACAAAGCTTGGGGCGCGGCCTCGTAACGCCTCCGCCAAGGACTCTGGAGCGATATGACGAAGGAATCTGCGATCGATTCAATAGCCCGCGCAGCAACGCTTTCCCAACTCCCTCGCAAGCTCCAAGTACCCACTCGCAGAATCAGTGGCGGCCTTCGCCATCGCTCACAAGGCGCGCTCGACTTCGGCTTCCCTCATCCCAACTTCAGGCTACCGGCACGCACCCCACTCGCATACGCACCGTGCTCCCAGCGGCTCTCAACCCAGCTCCTTCGCAGTCGATGGCTTGAGAAGCCGCCCCTGCAAGACTCCTTGAGCTAACTCAACGTCTTTGACTCGACTACTAGCACGACCCACGGGGGTTGTCACTGCGCCCAAATTGGCCTCGCTTGCCGTGAAGCGCGATCGTGCGAGCGCGCGTAATCTCATGTAACGCTGGCCTCGGCCTTCGTGTCTTCTAGCTTGTTTCTTCGACCGAGGCCATTCAGTTCATGATGCTCATCTGTGCAGTGTTGCTATCTTCTGATATCTCGTTGTCCAGCAGGACGAGCATCTGGAACCTGCGCAGTAAGCGTCAGCTGGCTCGTGTGGTGCCCGTACGCGACTCGAACAAGAGGTAATGCCGCTTTCAAAGTCAGCGAAACTGCCGTTCTCTGTGTAGGTAGCTGCACGGAGCGAAGATAACCTTGATCCTCGCACGCACTCGCTTGCACCTGCTGAGGTACACATCTTGCAACTTCCAAGTACCCCCTCAAGCTGCCTGCATCGCTCGAGTCAACGGGCCTGCAGGCTCTGCGCTTCGGCAACCCCTTCGTGCACGTAGCGCACGAGGGGAAGACCTTCGACTGCGTCGCCCTCAAGAACGCCATCAGCGCTTGCAAGGGGGACGTCCTCACGTTTGACGAGTTCGACGGCACTACGATCGCTCACCGCCAGAGCTTGGTGATGCTGAAGACCGTGGCCGTACAGCTGGGGGGGGGGGGGGACCTCCTGCAGTCTGCCGTTGTGGTCAACGCCTCCGGCGGAGCACGAGCGGACCAGCGTCTGGGCGGCCTTCAGCAAGACGAGCTCAACGATGACCGGGCGAAAGTACCACTTCTTATCCGCGGTGCCGACTCAGGTGCAGAGTTCACGCGCTCGTCCCGAAAATGACAGTAGGCTGGAGGCGGACAATGAGGAATCCTTGCGTTGGAGCCTCGTTCAATGATCACCTACGACATGGGCAACGGCGTTCTCTGGGTGCTCGACCTTCTACTGCAGAATATAGGATTGGATTGCACTTGTTCATGATTCTTTCAGCGCTGATGTTTTGAGAGTACACACCGCGTCGTTCGAATGTATAATGCATCATCTCCGTTGTTCGAATGCGCCGTCTATACCACCTACGCACCGTCTATACCACCCACGCACCGTCCATCACACCCACGCATCGTCCATCGCACACCTACGCATCGTCCATAACACCTACACGCCGTCCATCACACCTACACCTCATTCTCGAAAGCATATTCCAGCGTTGTTTTCAACTCCTCCCACTGCTTTCGCTCGAGCGAGTCGTCCTTCGACCGGCCCTTGCCTACCCGCTCGCAATCGTCCACGAATTTCTTCGCCCCAGAGACGCTCCCGTGCACCTGGCTGAGGACCTTATGAGGGCGTCGCATGCCCGTGCTGGCCCACCACTGCAAGTTGAGTGAGTTGAGGAACGAAACAAGCGGCAGATAATAGGGTGTTTCACGTTCAGCTTTGGGTCCTTTTTCGAGCCTTTTTGGCAGTCCTTTTTCTAGGGCGTTTTGCGCCAGCGTGACAGCTTACTAATAAGGTACGAGCAGGGGAGGGCGGAAAACGGCCTGAAAAACGACTGAAAAGGGCGCAGAAAGCGCTTGCGAGCCTTTTCTGCGCCTTTTTTGGTCCTTTTTCGAGTCTTTTTCCGCATCCCCGTCTTTGTCAGCCATGTGACGCCGTGTGACATGCCGAAAACGCGTTCGAAAAAGAGCTCAGAAAAGGACTCGAAAAAAGGCGGGCGACTTGAACGTGAAACACCCTATTAAATAGTTATCACTGGACAGTCCTTACCTTCGAATTCCAGTAATCCCCCTCCCTCCTATGCAACTGCTGATGCACATAGTCGCTCGTCGCATTTCCCTCGTCCCCCTGCGCTAGCTCGTGCGCATTATGCATGTCGTCGTTTAGCAGATGCAGGATCGCCCTGACGGGGACAGGATCTGGTAGTGCGTTTATGTTGGGGGTTAACGACGGATCCCATGGTGCTTTAGGAGACAATGAAGGGAGCGGGCGGGAGAGGAGGGTCTTAGCGATTTCCCGGGCTTGGGCGGACATGATGGATGGACGAGTGGATGGATGAGCGAATGAATGAAGGTGGATAATGGGAGGCGTGAAGGGGCGCAGAGCTGTTAGATAGTCCAAAATATGAGATTGAAGCGCAGAGCAGAATGCCAGAAGACACGGCTCGGTGGTAGTGATGGTGGTGGCTAATCAGGAGGAAGCGCGCTGATGTCATGTTCCAGAAGTTGAATCTCGACACGTGACATTCACCTGACCAAGACCAATAACGACTGAGAGGTTGGTGTTGAACTGCAAAACTCCGAGCTCGACTTCGCCTGTAACTGTCAAAAACCTTTGGGCGAGCATGTGCGCCTGCGATACTATCCTGTGACTAGCCGTGAGGCAGTCAGGGGTTGTACTCTTCTTCCTTTAGAGCATCCTCCTTCAACGACATGATTTCCAAGGTGGGGTCCGAGTCGCAAAACAATGAACACGCAGGTAGGTAGCCGATCCAACGACAGCGAACGGTAGCCATATGTACTTGTACTTCCAATTTTATAGACAGCAAACGTATCGAAGAGCGCGACATATCCACAGCGATCATTAGGGGAGATACTGCAATACCTGCACGTCCGTATGTATGAGCATAAATAGTCTTCCGCGTCTGTACAGGGAACAGGGGAGATGGCATGCACTTGCGAGTGATGCAGGGCGCATGAACGACGAAAAAGCATGAACGTCTACGAGCCTTGAAGGTCGAGAACACATGAATGTCGAAGAGGGCGTTCACCTGCCATAGCGGGAATAAAGAAGGCTGCGAACAGTATGGACATGGTTTCCAAACATGGACACGAACAAACGATGTCAACGAGAGTGATCGCGCGCGGACAAGGGGCGCGTCGCGGTCGAAGTGTGAAGCAATGGCTGCGACATCGGAAGCGAGAATGATTCCAATGGCTTGAGAAGCAAAGACTCTAATCGCTCGAATCCTCGTCCTCTTCCGGGGGCGGCGAGAACTGCATTGACACCAGCGGCGTCGTGCGCTCCTTCTGGTACTGGTATCCGACGAAGTTCATGACGCTGTGTAATCATGTTAGCATCACGCAAATTTGCTCGAGCCCATGATGACGCTCGAAGAAAAGGAAAATGCGCACTAGATCGTCCCATCCGCGCAACCGACGACGACCTCCTCATGGCTCAGCTGCATCGACATGGGATTCTTCTCCGGCGTCGCCAACCCGGCGAACTTGGGCGGGAGGTTACCGAGCAGGCCCCGCGCAGAGCCGCCCTGAGCAAGATCGCCCCAGACGCCCATGAGCGGCGAGATCTCCGTGTCGATGTCGACGGTGGGCATGGGCGGCAGGTGGTCCCGCAGCGGGTTGGGCTCCTCGCCGTCCGCTTCCTCCTCCCGACTCTCGTTCCCTTGCTCGTGGTCCTTGTCGACATGCGTCGAGACGAAGATCTGAGTGACTGAGTAATATGTAGGCGAGGGATGAAAGGGGTAGCACTCACCCGCCTATCCGCACCCGCGCGCGAGCTGAACCGCGTAGCAGTCACGACGCGTCGCTTCAGCGGGTCGACAGCGCCAACGGCCACATCCGGCGTCACGACGATGCTCACGAGCTTTGGCGGCGCCGTCAAGATCGTCGCACGACCGAAGCGCACCGGGAAGGACACTGGTGTGGAGCCGCGGGGCGACGCCGGCATCCCAGGCGTGCTAGCGCGTGGGTTGAAGGGGTTGATCCCGCTGACGCTCAGGCGCGCTTTGGACATTGAGCCCTGGCTAGTCGCCAAGGGGCTGGTCGGCGAGTTGCTGGAGCTGTTGAGGATAGATTGGCGGCGCGCACTTGAGACTGCCGAGGAGGTGGAGCGGCCGAGCGCAGACGATGCCGAGCGGTTCAGCGTAGAGAGGGTGCGCGGACGTTCTGCGCTAGGCGGTGGCGACAGAGAAGCAGGCGAGGTCGAGGTGCCAGACGCCTTGTTGTGTTCCGCAGCCTGCTTCTCGTCACCTTCCTGCCACTGCAAATGCATGATGATTGACTTGGTAGCGCACTGTTGATGCGTAAGACAACTCGGCTTAGTCCAAGAAAGACGAGACTACGAACCGTCATCTGGTTGCCCTTCGCAGCGAACCACTGAAGCATGTTGTTCGGCGCCGAGCCCACATTGAACAGCTTGGGCTGCAGGAATGGATCCCCAGCAGCGAGCTCGGACAACTTAAACTGCGAGATCATCTCCCGTCGCTCTGGACTTCCTGTCAGCTTTACTCTAGTGGCACCAGATAACGTGTACCCACTGATGCTGAAGACGCGCACAATGCCGTCGATTGTGACGCTGACAACTCGCTCTCCCTCATCAGGTGTCCCAGCGACAAGCTGCACGCCAATGTTTACCGTCGTCTGCTGCCCAAACCGCACGATCTTCGTGCCCGCGCGCCAATCCCAGCACACCAGGGCCTTATCGGCACCAGCCGAGACCAGGTTCTTCGACGAGAGCGCGACCGCACGAATACCGTTCAGGTGTCCCGCGAGCTGCTGCAAGGGCGAGAAGGTAATGGAAGAGAAGAGGTGAACGCGTCTGATAGCGGATATGAGCCTTCTATCGATAAGAGATGCAAGCAGAGAATATACCCAACGTCGTGGAAGCCGACTACGAAAACTTCTTCCTCCGCAAGGAAGTCCACGCAGCTGACGGGCTTCTTGACCGGCAAGCACTTCTTCATCTCGCCGGTTTCGATATCCCAGAAGCGGATGGTCTCGTCGTACGAGCCACTGATCAGGCGCTTGCCTCGCAAAAGCAAGGTCGTACAGAAGTTGGTGTGACCCTGATGAAGATTCAGCAAGCGTCTTAAACCGAGTTCCGGAACACATACGTTCAAGAAGCGGAGCGTCTGCGGCAGTGCATTGAAGAAGTTCGACTCGCGGTGGTGTAGTGACTTGTACAACGGCTCCCTAAGAGAGGTACATCAGCTTTCCTCCATGAGCACCATGTCGATGGATGAACGTACCATCCCTCAGGCTGCGCAGGCGGCTTGACTGGCACCGGATCCGCCGCCGTGATACGCAGGGTATGGTGCCGCCAGATAGCTGGGTGGTGCACCATAGCCTGCCATTTCTTCGAGACCTGTGCAGAGATTTACATGTGAAGAAAGAATTGCGGGATATGAGATGAGTTCCTACCGGCTCTACAGCAAGCAATTCCTTCACACTAAGCCACTTGAGGACGCGGAACGACAGGTCTGGCGAGAGGCTGCCAAGGATATCGAAAGTGGACTTCATGTACTTCTCGAGTAGCAGAATCTGCAGGCGGATGTCGCCGGGCATGCAGGCTAAACCATGATGAGTACGATGAGGTGTGTTCGCCGACGCCACAACTCACACTCTAGGATGATTGCAATCCTGAGAATGCCATCAGCTCACCGTACCCTTCCGCAGAAAGAGATCTGGCGACTTACAACCGCATCCTATCGTCCCTCGACAGCTTCCGCAGAGCCTTCCTCACGGCCCTCTCGTTGAACCCACCCACGCCATCGCCCTTCAGCGCCGCTACCAAATCAACGTCCTCTTCCTCATCTTCATCGTCTTCCCGGTACCCGGCCCAGTATCCTCGCCGTTTCTTGCCACCGCACACGCAGTACTTGTCTTCGTCCCAGGCTATTGGTGCTGCGCCACCTCCCTGCGGGTTATTCCGTAGCTGGCGCACCTCGGCCTGTAAGGCGTGCAGTTGCGCTGCTGTGGCCGCTTGCGCACGTTCAAGCAGACGCTTGTAGTGGAGGATTTTGCGCGTGTGCATAGTCATGATCGACCTCAGCGCGGAATCCATCTATGAGCAGAACCGTCAGCAGGTGCCTGCCTATAGTTCTGACTGTACGCACGTCCTCATCGACATCCCCGTCGTTCACATCAGTGATCATGTCGAGGGTCATATCATCCCCATCCCACACCGATAGCGCTGGGTTCGAGCTCTCGAACCCAAGCTCGCTCGTCGTCATCAAATCTGCACTTGCATCGAACGGGGATGACCCCAACGAGTCGTGCCGCACACTCGGTGGTGACAAAGCATTGTTCGCCCGCGATGCCGCAGACAGCGTCAGCTGCGACATCCCCGAGCCCCCTCGCGGCTTCTGCTCCCTGCTCGAGCGCGGTGTCGAGTGTTTGCTCCCCGGTGTGCCTCCCGGCAGACTCAACTTCGGCAGCAAGGGAGATTTGTTTGGCGTCCGCTGCGGCGTGCGCGGGCCGCCATTCGTTTGCGGGGATCCCGGCGTGCCCTTCGACTGTGCCGAGCTCCTGTGCGGCGGCGTCTTCGCAGGCGGCGACCGCACCGTCTGCTTCGGGCTCGGCGTAAAGGCCTCCTTGAGCACGGGCTTGCGCGACGCGGAGGTCATGACCGAGGACGCGGACGAGAGCAGCGACGTCGTGCGCTGGCGCGGCGGCGACTTGGTGATGTCCGACTCGTCCGTGTCCGACTTCGGCGCGGGCGGCGGCGCCTCGAACATGGACACGGGCCGCGGCTGCTCCTTCACGGCCGATACGCGACGCGAAGACACGATGGACGGTGCTGTGCGCGACTTGGACATTGCGGAAGCAGACGAAGTGGACTTGTTCGGGTTGAACGAGTTCGCCGCGCTCGAGGGCTTGATTGGCACCGAGAGGCGGCGATTAGGTGCGGGAATGGAGGAGGATGGGCGGTGGGAGCGTGAGGGCGAGGGGATAGGCGTCGCGTTGGGGTCCCGCGCACTGGATGCGGTGGAGAGCGACCCATTGTTGCGCACGGTTGTGCCGCCGCTCGCGGTGCTGGACAAGGAGTGGCCGCGCGGCTTGCGGATGGAGGACACGGATGGAGACGCGCTAGTTGACTTGGTGCTCAATCCTCTCAGCGAATTCGTCGAGGAGACGCGTGTGGAGGACTGTGAGAAGCGTGTGGAGGTCTCGGAGGGGGTCGACGGCGTCCCTCTGAAAGATGTCGGGGGAAGCGCGAGCGACCTTCTGTCTCCTGCCGCCATTTCTTCGCTTGAGTACTCTGGAAAAAGGAAAGCCTTAGTGTCTTGGTGTCGATCGCTTCAATGCGTCGATGGCTGCGCCTGGCAGTACGCAGGTCGTGGGCGGGTTGGTCTGGCGACACGTGTGCAGGCTCCTGCAACCGCAAAGCCCTCAGTCATACGTCGACTTCACTGCAGCAGACACGCACTGCAACAGCCCACTGAACGATGGACGCCCAGAGTCACCGTATTCGCCGCGTGAGGGGGCAACTTGCGCGACGTTCCAAACCTACTGCCTCGGCGCAGCCCAGCAGAAAGAAAGGCAATCCTTCGTGATGGAAGTCAGAGACAAAATGTTATTCGTTACGTTCGAGGATGATTTGCGACGCGCGCCGGCGACGTGTACGACGTTGAGGACAAGTGAGGCGAAGACACGTGAACCGGCACATAACTGGGTTCAACAAACAAACCCACACCTTTATTATACTTTCATGAATTCAATTTTACGGACAATTATGCATGGGATCCTCTGCGAAGTATACGTGGTCATTGCGCAGAAACTTGGTTCTGCCGTACGGAAGGTGTATCTGGGAGGCATCTCACGCTGCCAATCTTCGGTCGTCCACACAGCACGCGGGTCGAAGAGAACGTCCGTACGTACAGATCGTGGGGCAGGTAGCTTACCTGCTGGATTGTACAGTAGGGGACTGTAATGTTTCTGAGTACCGTTACTGACACTATGTTTGCTCATATCCGGACGAGGAGTTGTAGGCGTGTGTGTACCTTCCCGGCGACTCGGCCCGTGCCGGAATTTCGAACTTCGTTCTCCATCTTCGACCTTCATGCTACCTTCCCCTACGCGAAGTACAGTTCGCACTTTGGACGAAATCAATGCCTACAATCCTCAGTTCCATCTCCTATGAGCCTAATTGTGTTTGTCTGGACCAGCGGGGGCCATCAATGAAACAGCGCTAGACGTGCTCAACCATATCAAGGCTCAATGGCTTCGGGAGCCGGAGGGACCGCGCTCGTTCGTACTTCTACCGTATCTCTGTCGCGGGAGGCTCGACGGCGTGGTGTACTGCTTCTCTCAGGGAACTCATGTGGTTTGCATCGAGCGGTCCGTCAAACTCGGGCGCCACCTGGTAACCCTTCAATAGGTAGGACAGCCGTAGTGTCGCTGCGCGCATTAGTCCCCTGGTCTATTGTCAGTCCACCATCAAACATCCTGTGCGAAATCCGCCATTGTTGAGCTCGGTGTTCTCCACCGCCGTGATATAGTACGTACGTTTGAATGATATATCGGCCAGCGGCACAGCATCACGGGCGCTTAGCGCTTATGTGCGGCCTCGTACATATATTGACCGAGCTCGACGGTCGATCTTCCCTCGACGCGCCTTTCCCATCGCAATCCACGGCCTGTCGCGGACTTCAACCGTCGAGGTAAGCACGGGACCTGTCAAGCTGCCTTCTGATGGCTAACGCGCGCTTCCTGAATACGCTTCAGAACTTCGTCATCACATCCTTCCTGCCAGACTCTGCTTCGTAAACATCCCGAACTGGTCCAGGATCCGACGTTCCTTGCCTCTTGCCACCATGTCCATCATTCAGCGCCTCGCTGGCGGCGCCGACTTCGTGCTCGCGAGCACGGCGCCCGTCGACACCGACGGTGGAAAGCCACGACCGCGTTATGTCGTCGGTCAGAAGCTCGATGAGCTCGTTCAGTACCTGAAGAACCCGCCCGCGCAACTCGACAGTCTGGTGAGCATCAGCATCCCCTACATTCTGGACGCAAAACTGACGAAATGCTCCGAGCCCGCTTACCTCGACGCGGTCAAGCACATGCATTCTGGCCTTGACGATCGCAAGCTGTTGGTGAGCAACACGTCTACTTACGATGCGCTCCTCGCTTAGCCTGCGCAGTTGGAGCACTTGCTCACCCTCATGGCGCGCCTCGGCAGCGGCAATGACTTTTCGAGCAGGGTCCAAGAGGCGGTCATTGATTTACGTGAGTAAATAACCGCATATATGCGCCTCAAATCCCCGCTAGTACGACTGCTGACCGTTTTCCAGTCTACAAGGACCTGCCCCACCCTCCGGCATGCTACCTCTCCGTGCTACACCAAGCGGGCCTCAATCTCAACGTCCCGCTCGCGAACGTCAATTACGCCTATCGCACCGCGGACGGATCCTACTACAACCCTCTCTTTCCTACCCTAGGCATGGCTGGTACGCGTGTCCGCCCTTTGGAAATGGCTGCAAAAGCTGACTGAGAATTTAGGTACACCATACGCCCGATCGGTGCCCTCAGCGAACTGTACTCCTCTCAATAATCTACCTGACGCCGGCCTTGTGTTCGATACACTACTTCGACGCAAGGAAGGCACTTTCAAGGAGCACGAAGGCGGGATGTCAAGCCTTTTCTTCGCTATGGCCGACCTAATAATTCATTGTATATTCGATACCGACCATAAGGTGCGTGCAGAATTCTCGTGTATACTGCTGAAACCTTGCGCTGACCCCAGCCCAGGATATAACGAAGAACAACACGAGCAGCTACCTGGACCTGAGTATCCTCTATGGTAATTCGGAAGAGCAATTGAACGGCGTACGTAGGCAATTGCCTTGCCGCTTCCAATATGTATGCGCATACTGAAGAATGGTCGCAGGTCCGCCGCCACGATGGCACTGGGCGCCTCTGGGACGACGTATTCGCAGACCGCAGACTGCTCCTCATGCCACCGAGCACGTGCGCGCTGCTCGTGCTCTTTTGTCGCAATCATAATGTGAGTGGACTGGTTCGCATGATGTGCCCATACAAGCGCGCATATAAGGTGTTTTTTCGCGTGCATAGCCTGGCTATATGCAGTGAGATTGACCATCGACCATATATGCGTCGAGGTAATCGTCTGTATATGCGTCGAAACTAATCGTCTTTCGCAGCACATCGCCCAGCGCATCCTCGATATCAACGAGAAGGGCAAGTACCGCTCCGTCGACAGCTTCAGCGACGATGCTCGCAAGGCGCAGGACGATGAGATCTTCCACCGGGCGCGATTGGTGAATTGCGGGTTCTTTATGCAGGTCATCTTGGCTGGTGCGTATATCTATCTTTTCGTTACACAATGCCGCCTCATTCGTACGCTGGATGCGCAGACTACGTCGGCGCAATCCTCGGCCTCGTCCGCGACGGGCTACCGTGGCGGCTGGATCCCCTCATGACGATGCGGAGGGAGAGCCACGAGTTCTCGCCGCAGGGAGAGGGCAATGTGGTGTCGATTGAGTTCAATTGTGAGTCCTATTGCGGCGCTTGTTTTGAATACATCTTGAGTGTATGCCTGCCTAGTGTTGTACCGATGGCACGCCGCCCTCTCTGCTCAGGACACCAAGTGGACCGAGGGTCTTTTCAAGAGCGTGTTCGGTCAGGACGTTGACTTTGATAAGGTGAGCCTCTCGACCCTTTGTAGCGACTGTGCCCATGTTACTCCAACTTGTGCCCGTCATGCTCATTGTTCGATCCTTTTACCAGGTCACTCCCACTGACTTCAAGCGCGTCGTCGGACGCATGTTCGGCCAGCCGCAAGACCCGCGCACGGCGACGTTCACTGACTACGCCGGTCAGCGGCTCGAGAGGCATCCGGAAGAGGGGGCCGCCACTCCAGATGGTGCCGGCCGTTTTGCGGACGCGGATCTGGCGCGGGTGTTGCAGGACGCAACGAGTTGGCGGTGAGCCATTGACAGTCCCATCGACAGTGCGAAAGGCAGGCTGACGTGCTTTGTAGAGCCGGCTCGTACGGTGCTCGCGCTATTCCCGCTGCGCTCCGTGTGATCGAGGTGATGGGTATCGAGCAAAGTAGGGAGTGGGGGACGTGTTCGGTACGTGGTCGTCGTGCATCTTCCGGCTGGAATTGCATCGTCGACTGGTGCTGACGCAGTGTCTTCCAGCTCAACGAGTTTCGCCACTTCATGGGCTTGAAGAAGTACGACAGCTTCAAGGACTGGAATCCGGATCCTGTCGTTCACAAGCAAGCCGAGACGTTGTACAAGGACATCAACAACCTTGAGCTACACGTAAGCTATCTTCCACATGTCCAGACGTATTGACATGACTGACTTCGCTTGACCAGGTCGGCATGCAGGCAGAAGCCATCAAGACGCCAGGTCCAGGAGCAGGCCTTTGTCCGGGATACACAATTTCGCGTGCGATTTTGGGCGATGCCGTTGCGCTGACGCGAGGCGATAGGTTCTTGACAACTGAGTATACTCGTGAGTGGCTACTTCGATCCCTCGAATCTGTCTGACGCAGCGCTTTGTAGCGAACAATCTGACGCGCTGGGGGTTCAAGTACAGCCATGTCGATCCGGACGATGGTAAGGGGTGACCAGATCACCGTCAGTGGGAATATAACTGACGAAGTCGTCAAGGCTCTGTCGGTGGCATCCTTCCGCGCATGCTGCTCGCAACGTTGCCGGACCACTATCCCTCGGGAAGCGCATACACCCACTTCCCGTTCCTCGAACCCGCCTACATCCGGAACGAGATGCGCAAGCGAGGAGACAAGAACTTAGACAGGTGCACCTTGATTGGCGGAGGCGGGTCGGTCACAGCTAATCGCCGTTTCCCCTAGATATACATGGGATCGCCCTGCCGTCCCTGCGCCCTTGACTGTCATATCGACCTGGGCTGAGGCAGTGGAGGTGCTGGACACGCAGAAGGCCCGCTTCGTGTCGTCGTACCCGCAGCGACTGAAGGACGTCACGGGTGTGGATGCGGACTCAAAGCTGGTAGGCTTCATTGGTCTACGGTACTGGGTCCAAAGCTGACGCTCGAGCAGCTCGCAAGGAAGACCTTGCTGCGGCTCGCGCCACGTTTGCCGGCATACTTCGCGTCCAAGACCATGGAGTTGATCAATGCGAGTCCGGTAACATATGTCGATGCGGATACGAAGACGGTCGATATTGGGCGCCATGTTATCAACTTGCTACCGGTGCATTGGATATCGCAGCAGCTCGTGGGTTGCATCTTGCTCGGTAAATTTCGCGTACTAACCATGCTTCAGGCTTGCATTGCGCTCAAGACGGAGAGCAACCCATTGGGTACGGAGTACGAGAGCGACGTGTGCGACATGTTCGAGAATGTGTGCAGGTCAGGCGTCGCCTTTTCAAAGTTGGACGAACTTCAACTGACTCCGCATAGATACGTCTACCTCGACAACGACACCTACAACCACTTCCGGCTGCAGACGGACGCCAGGAAAGCGTTCGAGCATCTCACGTCGTTCACCGCCCGCAAACTGCGCGCGATGACTGGCTCGAGAATATCCGTGTCAGGCGTGCGTCCGATGCTGCCTTGTTTCTTCTCTTTACTAACCCCGTCGCGTAGATCACTCAAACCCTGTCGCGTTTCATACTCAAGGAAGACGATAGCACGCCTTTCCTCCGTGCTCTTCTTGAAGGCAGCGATGGCGCCGACGCTGATACCCTTGCGGCACACCTCTTCGCGGAGGTCGTCCCTACGGCGGCGCACTTCTCGCGCATCGTCATGCAGGTCGTGGACTTCTTCCTGGGCAGCGACGAGGAGGGCGACGAGAAGAGGCAGGCGAGAGAGGCTATCGTGGCGTTGGCGTCGCAGTGCACGGCGGAGGCGGACAAGCAGGTTATGAAGTATGTGGATGAGGCGCTGCGTGAGTGTGCATGTTCGTCGTTGGGTGTGGGTGGCTGACTTGCCTTTCAGGCCTTGAACCGGCGGTATCGGGCGTATACAGAACTGCATCTGCTGCTGCAGTCGTCGGGAACCAGCGCATTGAGGCGGGTCAGCGCGTGTATGTAGCACTGTCGGCGGCGAAGCAGGATGTGAGTGACTTTGTCCTGCGGCTTACGAACTGCTGCTGATCCTGCCCTAGTCATCGGTCTTCGGCGCAGACACAAGCACTGCTGACTTCAAGAGGAGTACGCCATCGTCGACCCGTCTTGGGCTGCCGGACTCCGGGTGAGTTATGCGCTGCTATCTGTGAAGAGCTCGACTGAGTTTTTGCCGTAGCTTGCTGATACCACAGTTATTCGACCGAATATTGCCGCGTGTGCTCGGGGTGATCTTTGGGTTGAAGAACCTTCGTCGCGCGCCTGGGCAGTCGGGAGTGATGAGCAGGTGTGTTGATATGTTAGGTGAAGGCCACAGCGGAAGCTAAGACTTAACCTCGCAGCTTCACGCAGACGCTGCACGGTGCGCCCGAGAAGCTGTTCTTTGACTTCGATGGGAACGTTACGCCAATCCCAGAGTCACTCTTCGTCGAGGTGAGAGCGCCGTATCCAGCGGCTTGCTGCGCACACTGACGCACACCTGAAGTACGACTTTTGATGAGATGCGTTCGCAAAGGCGATGTTGAGGTCGATGGAAGGTAATGGTTATCGTGTAATCCGCAACGCACGTACAGATAGATACACAATTATGAGATGGAACCGCTAGGGCTTGAACATCTAGTATATGCCCCCGCATATCCGGGTCCGTGGGGGTATGGAGGGTATATGAAGAATAGGCGGGTGAGAGCTGTTTACATGACGACGCAGCACGAGTTTTGCTGGGTTTGGTCAGTATGGGAGGTATGTGGATGTGGCGCAACGTACCTTCTTCGCGGTCTTGTAGAAGGCCTTGCTCTGCATGGAGAGCTGGTTAGACCGGTCGACGAGGTTGTCAAGCTTCTCGCCGCGCTGGAGGACGGACTCGATCGTTTTGTGCTGAATACTTCGTGAGCATGGGCAATAGATGCAGAATACGCCGAACATACGAGAACGATCTTCGTCTCGTCCAGTTCCTGCTGCACGCGCATGATCGTGTCTGCCTGTCGCGGGTCCTGGTACTTGGAGACATATGCCTGCAGCTCGGGGAAGCTGATCGCGGAGGGATTGGAGAAGGAGGATTGCGGGACCTGGGACGGTATCAGCAGGTGTGCGCAAGGTGGCCACAGGGAACGCACCTTGGCCGTGAAGTCGTCCAGGACTTTCGTAAGGAGGGAGAATGCCGGTCGCACGGGGTACTCCTGGTCGGTGATGATAACCGCTAGACGTGAGATATCATAAGCAACAGTCACTTCCCCGCGCGCAGCCATACGCCTTCACGCACCCGCAAGCTGCTCCGCGCCGCCGCGGTTGTATATGTGCGCCGTGTACTGGTTCTCCTGCACGCTCTGCCTCTGGCCCTGCGGCGTGCGCTCGGCGACGGTCTTGCTCATGAAGTTCATGAACTCGGAGACGCTGCCGCGTTGGTAGAAGGAGAAGCTCGAGAGGTCGTTCGCGCTCGCGAGCGTCGTGCACGGGCCGGAGGGCGGCGCGAGGATGACGGAGATCATGTAGATCTTCATGGTGGGCTGAGTGTGTGGGGAAGAAGTCTAGATGAGGATGAAGGAGGAGAGCAAGCCAGTAAGTATGCAGTGAGGCACGCGCGCTGACGTCGGTTCCTGCCGCCCGGGCGACGGATTCGGCAAATGCCGTTGTTGTGGGAGGGCCGAACTATGGAAAGCCAGGTGGCGTGAAGGAGCATTTATATTCTATGCTGGATACAGAACACGATGGTGAACTTGAGAAAAATAAGAGGCTGTCTTCGAGGACGAGGGAAACCTATCAGGCAAAAAAATGCATCAGCCGGGAGTCGAACCCGAGGCTAGAGCAGTTAACCCCCATTTGGGGCCCACGTGGATGGGAAGCTCCAATGTTACCGTTACACCACTGATGCTTGTTGAGTGGGACATCAGCCGCCAGTACTCGAGTGTTGCCTTTACACTACTACCAGCGCGGCGACCTCCGCCCATTTACTATCCCCACCCCGACGTACAATTGTAGGCTAGTCCTTGTAAGAACCATAGCTCTGCTGTATAGCACGTCTAACCGGAGAATAAGAACATTTTTCACGCCCAAATCCTGATTCCAGATTCCATTACACAAGAGCAACTACGAATAAGTAGAAAAGAAAGTCTGACGAGTCACAATGTCGGTGAATGCGAGCAGTAGATATCGACATGAAAATAGCGATTGTTTGGCTGGCGTCCGACGGTAATGCGTGACAGGGAAGGATATTAGGCGGCGTAGGGTGAGAGGTGCGGAGGGTAGTTGGTACGGGTGAATGGGGTGGACAGTACGGTGCGGTGCGAGAGAAGGATGCGTGCAGCATGAAAGGTTATGGGAGGATGAACATGGTGAATGAGTACGATGGGGTGTCATAAGACAGGTGAAGCAGTGTCATGAGGCCGGGGATGCAGGTATTAGGGGTCATGCCAGATGCGCGCGTCACAGATACTACCCGCGGGATATCACTAACGACGGTGAATAGGGTTCGTGAGGGTCAATCGTGAGCAGCGAACCCCCTAAAAGGCTCGCTTCTACTTTTCTCTCGGGCTCGTCCTCCGCCAATGCCCATATCAGAGCACCGGCCAGCCTCCGTCTCGCGAACTGCAAAGGTCCTCCGCGAAGCGCTCAAGCTGAGGGACGCTTGCCTCGACAGGCAAGCCCCTCGCCTCAAGGCACGCAGTCCCCTATAACGCGAAGGAAAGCGAGAACAGGGTCGCCGCAGCGCCGAGCAACAGCCCGTGCGCGGAGGATACGGATGCGGAGGCGCCGTTATTGCCGCCGTCCAGTTGGCGCTGGTAGGTGGCGTTGCGGAAGAGCTGTAGAGTTGTCAGTAAGGCGAAGCAACGATCGACAGTCCCAGCGAGCGAGGAGGGATATAAAAATGACAATGAGAAGAACGGTCAAGCAACCCCGCCAAGCTGACAAGAAGGAGGCGCCTACGCGCCAGCGAGGAGCGCCGCGCGTCTCAAGGCCATCCGACCGTGAGAACGACCCCCGAATGAACATGCGAGGGTGCAAAAAGCCCGCAGCTGCGCAGAGCCCGACAAGATGAGATCGAAGGACCGACACGACGAGGTCCGATCGCCCCACGCCCAAATCAAGCACCCAACACCACGAAACCGAGAAGCCCAACAAGCCAAAATCGCAGAACCCAAAAGCCCGAAACCCACTACCAAAACCCAACTCACCCTAGTCATCCCCTGCTCGCTCCTCGTCATGCCCTCGCCGTCGTGCGAGACGCCCTCCACCCAGTCCACCGTCTGGTTCTCGGGCAGTTTCCCACCGTTCAGGCCCTGTAGCATGTTGATGAAGTTGAGGCCGCGCTGGTAGTGCGTCAGGCCCTGGGTCTGTAGGAAGTATTTGTTAGCATTCAGTGCACCGCTGGCATTCAGGCTGCCGCTGATGACACCAGGCTAGCGCCCGTGACACGGGTCTACCGCCCATGACACAACCGAGAGGACGGGAAGAAAAAGAAAAGGAACCGCCGAAGGAATAGAGAAGGGAAAGGACACAGCCCAGAATCGATAGAGCGGCAAGTATAGCGAAGGGGTGGCGCCTAACACACGCGCAAATATAGCAAGCGCGAGATGAGGACCCGAGAATGAATTGCCAGCGAACACGGAGGAGGGATCCTGACGAGGTAGGGCAGGCGTGTGACGGATGGAACAAGGAGGGAGACGGGATAGAACAGGAAGGTGTCGAGACAGAACAGGGGCGTGACGAGGTAGAACAGGTGTATAACGAATAGAACAGGCACGCCAACACACCTTAGCCTGACAGCGCGTGTCGCCGGGGCCGTCATCGGCGGTGCCCCATGCGTAGTGGATGTAGTGCGAGTTGTAGCGCTCGACGATGCCGTCGCGCTGGTAGTGCTTGTACGCGTAGGCGCCGTACGCCGGGAGGCCGTCCGAGAGCCCATACTTCCAGCGGTCAACATTCGTGCAGTTATCATCGGGCAGCGGGCGATCTTCCGTGAGCCAGAGCAGGGAGCCAGGGTTAGCGAGCCAGTACGCGATGCGCGCGTTGTGACTGCGACTCTTGCGAAGCGCAGCGTAGCGTTGGCCGAACTGCGCGCCGGCAGAGTGACCCGCGAGAACGACTTTCTGGAGGAATGTGAGCGGAGTGGGGAATGACTCGAGCGAGGTAACGCACATCAAGCTTGGGGAAGCGCTTCTTGTCCAAGTAGTAATCAAGGAGGTCGTCAACAACGTCGTAAGAGCTGACGTTCGTATTGGACCCTGGCCCGATGCTGTTGTGGCCGGACATCCACGTTGTCCCGTTGAAGATCAGGGTGGTGTTGGTACCCGCGCCAGCCTTGATGTCTTTCTCGTTGAAGAGACTGCGCATTGTCAGCTATATTGATCGCGTTGATGGAAGTCCGACGCACGCTGGAGCCATGATGGCGATGGACTGGTAGTCAACATCCTCGTACGTCGCCGCAGCCTGGTACAAGGCCTTGTCCATGACCCAGAAGTCTGGCAAGATGGTTAGGGGACTGCGGATGTGCCGAGCTCCGCCACTCACAATACCAGTTGTCTCGTAGCTGTACGCGCGGTCAGCACCGAAAGCGGGTGAAGTTACTCTGCACTCACCTTTCCTGGAGGTACGATGACGGCCCGGGTGATGTTTGCGTCGTCCTTCCCGGATGATACGTACACGGGCTGAGGAACAATGAGCAATTGCTTTCGCTGAACTCGCTGCACACGCACTATAGTGGCACCGTCCGTGACCGACAACGGAAACTCCATGATCGTGTCCGCGTTCGCTACTGCTGGCAATCCCGCATATCCATTGTCTGCGTCTCCTTGCGAGATCGGTTGTGAGGCGTAGCCGCTGGCGTCTGGGTCATCCCGCCGGACATTCCGCGCTGCCGCGAAGTGGTTGTGGCGAGCCGAAGCATAGAGGGCGAGAGAAAGAACGACGGGGAACGCAGAGATGCGCATGGCGACGACCAGCCGGGGTATGGGGGAGCTGGAGATGACCGTTGGGAATAAGAGAAACGATGTCCCTTATTTTGGCGCGCTGCGGCAAAGTCGCCGCGGAGCTCGGCACATGCCGACCCCTTGGCGGGTCACATGTCACAGTTCAACTCTGTCTCGGCCCTGAATTCGACCTTAGCCAGGCACAAAGGATTTACTGGGCATGAAAGCTTCCGAAAGGAGTCCAAAAGGCGGCATGAAAGCAGGAAATATTCGCTGGACTTGGACATTATTCCCTGTCTTCTGGGCGAAGGTCCCAGGAAGTCTGGAGTATCATCCTGGTCGCGAGATCCTGCTCTCTTCGCCAGCGCCCAGCAGCACTCTGAAGTTGCAAGGCGAGTCTGGATGCCACTTTCAACCTCGTCGCTCCACGAGTGGACCATGCCTACACCTCAAAAATCATACTGCTTCTTGGCCGCCAATGATACGTCTCGGAGGATGGATAGCTCCGAATCTGCTCAGTCTCGGCACATAAGTACGTGCGGCTTGGCGACCATATTATATCTCCTGAACAACGTCGAAAACAGCCTGTCCGTCAGGTTCTACACCCATCTCAGCTTCGATTCCCTTCAAGGTCGGTACTGATAACGGCTTCGACTGCGCCCGCCATTTTTTTCATCTCTTCAAAGGGTACCCGACGTGCAAGTGGATCGTACTCACTAATGACCTCGACGGTTCAAGAAATCGCCTGTGGCTATTCACGCAATGTTAAAGCCTGGATGTCTCCACAAGATTGTATACTCTTCTACGCGGCGTGCTTAGCATGACGAGAACACCAAGCAAGTCGATAATACTGCTCACCTCATGTCTTCCCGCCCAAACACCAGGATCGTAGCTAGCACTCGAGCTCTACTAAAACTCCATTCCAGACCCCGTCCCCCGCAGCCGCTTCCTCACCTCCAGTCCCCATCCCAGACTCACCACGACTACCGCACCAACGAAGCACGCCCCCGTGAACACAATCATCTTCTCAAACCGCCCGCCTGCGACCTGGAAGCCCAGGGTAATTGTATTGCCACTGCTGGATGTAGTCCCTGGCGTCTCAAGCGCCGTCGAAATCGGCGTGGATAGGACGTTAGCAACTCCTCGCGTGAGCAGGAGCCATCCAAAGAGCGTCGTCGCTAGGTTCGGGTCGTCCTCTAGGGTTGGCGCATTAGTTGATCTGTCGTGGATATATTGAAAAGATAGGGCGAGAAGAAAACTAGAGAAAGAACGAAGTCTCTGCAGGGGATACGCACTTGCGATAGGCCTTACAAAACCCGTCCACAGCGTCGTCCACCCCGACGAGATGATACCAAAAAGCACGCTGAACATGATGAGGCCGGGGAAAGTGTGCGACAGGACACCCCAGAAAATAAAAGAGGCAGCCGCGGTCAGTGCGAGCATGCCAACGGCGATACCCCAAGGCTCGAAGCGGTCGGAGAGGAGACCGGTCGCGAGACGTCCGAAGGTGGCGGCGCCTGAGTGAGGTGCGGTGTGATTAGAAAGCGAGGGTTTTGCGGTTGCGAAAAATAGTAGAATCAGGCATACCATTCAGCAGCGCCAAAGTGAGCGACGACTTGCTCGCACTAAGGTCGAGCGCGCTCGCAAAAGCTGTCGACAACAATCTCATCAGATACACATCATCAGTCCACAGCATCCCGATACTCACTCGGCAACCAAAGCGTCGGCACGAAATACCCAAACGCATGCAGCATATTCGTCGCAAGCAGGAGCAAAAACGAAGCCTCCTTCCACCACTCCTTCCTGTTCCGCGGTTCCGGGCCGCGAACCTGGGTATGCGTCTCGGGAAGTCGGCCTTTGACGAATGGGAGGAAGGGGAGCAGGATGGCGAGCGTCAGCCCGGCGAAGATGCGCAGAGAGGTCGGGATGCCGAAGCGGGCGATGAGTGGCGGGAATGCGAGAGGTAAGGCGACGCCGCCGACGGAGGTTCCTGGAGAAACAATCCACTGCATCAGTCTCCAGTATGTTGAGGTCTCATAGAATGTGCAGCGAATTACCGGCAAAGATTACACCATTAGCAATGCCTCGCCTATCCAAAAACCATTGGGACATGTAGAAGATGATGGGCGCGTAGAAGAGCGCTGTGCGGGCCAGTCAGTCAACTGGGCGATGCATGTAATCATATGTTTACGCACATCCGCCGATCGAATAAATCACGCCCTGAAGCGCAAGCAGCTGTGGCACCTATCGCAGTAAATATTAGTGAAGCAGCGCTATCATTTCACATACGCGACCGAGTGCCTACCGTCTTTGCGTAGCTTGACGCGAAGAGACTGACAGCGCAGAGCGCCATTCCAGCCCAACACAGAGGACGCCCACATCGTGGGTATCGGTACAACATGGGATTAATCAGAGGTGCTGACACATAGTGTCAGTCCAGTAAGACTTGAGCGACTGGCGCCAGCATGGCTCGAACGAAAGTAAAGCAGGGTACTTCGAACGTACACGAGCAATGCATAACCCCAGAAATCAGCGGCCCGATAAGCGCCAGTTGAGAGGTTGCACCGGGCTGAGAATTGTACTGAGGATCAGCGAGGTATGCTGCGCAGATCGTTCGTCAACTAGTTCGCGATACAACGTGATGCCGGCGTATATACAACCTCCATTTGCTTACCTTCAAGCAGCGTTCCGTATGCGGTTGGGAAACCCCAGACGATCGTTTCGACCATGAAGGCGGCGGCGAGCTGCGAAGGCAAGTTGTAAGCAGTACCTAATGAGACCAGTATGGCTAATTTGTCAAACTCACAAAGGACCAGGCGCCGAAGCCTCGGTCAACGGGCGGGAGCTCGGATACGACACTGACTTGGGAGGCCGTGGTCGTCGTACGTGACATCCTACCCAGGTCCGTGTCACCTCCGGGGACCGACACCGTGCCCACCGCCGGACTGAACGGCGTCTGCGGCACACGAATGGTGAGTTCGATGGCCTCCGCCTTGCCCTCGGGTTTGATCATCTCGTTGCTCGTGCTCTGAAATTCAACGTGACCTTTGCTGGTCAGTACCGCGCTGGAGGACCCTCCAGCATGTACACTGGACAAGGGCATGGCGACTGATAGAGCGAAAAGAGCTGGTAGTCTGCAGAGATAAGCTTTATGTACATGTCGAACACGTGCAGAACCCTCCCACAGAAGCGCACGAGCAATGACCAAGATTGACTCAATCTGTTCCCCCGAGGTCATTAAGGCTTTGTGTACCTCTTGAATGTGAACGTTCGGCGCGGCCTGCCACAGGTCGATCCTCTCGTGCGTTTGCCCATGACCGCTCATTTGCAGTTCAAGTTTGACAGCTCCAGACAAGACATCGTTCCATATACCCTTGCATGTCCACGTACACACACTTTCGCGAAATTTACCATACTCGCCATTCCTAAGAGCGAGGTTCATTACGAGGACGATAGAAGCATCAACGAAGATACTGCTTACCCAAACCCGTATCTCCCATTTCACTGTATCTGACGAATGCTCACTCAGGAGCGGCAAAAGGGAACGTCTCTTCGTGCGCCGTGAAGGGCGAGATATCGTGGTAGTCCCGGTCCGTCTCGGTCCCGAAGAAGACCTTGTTGATGAAGTCGGCGACGTTGGTGCTGGGCAAGCGAGCCAGACTTAGTGACAGCAGAGCAAACGGAGACCGAGATCACTCACTTTCCACTGGGATCGCAATGCCCACTATTGCGCAACGCGATGCCAACGTTGTCGCCTGCGCCGAGCCATTCGTACAGGGCAAGTGTGGCGGGGAAGGTGACGGCGGCGGTGCCCTCGGGGTTGGTCTAGCATGGTGAGGTCGTTAGTTCGTGCGAAGGCTGTGGATCCACTCTGCTGGAGCGCAGAAACGCCAAACAGCACGCACCCAATAGTCAGTAGTCCCTTCGTCCCAGATCAGAGCACGCTGTGGAGGAAGAACTATAAGTGGTAATGAAAGAGGATGCGAAGGCCGGAAATCATACCGGTGCTACACCCGCGGTAATGAAGTTGGAGTCGACGGGCAGACGCGCTGGGTCATTTCTGAAGGAGACCAGCGTGTCGTCAGGCCACGAGCTCGAGGTGTCGTCCATGTCAGAGAGCTGCTCGTTTGCTCCGTCTATAATTTTAAGTAATCGATGAGCTATTCGCTCTAAGACCGGGCAATAAACACTTACTCTCCTCGTATTGGAACCGGAAAGGGGCCATGCCCATGAGCCCGCTCGACATAGGGACCGTGAGAGTCACCTACCACCCATCAGTCTCCCTCGTCTGCTCTGTCAAAAGACTTTCCCTCTCACTCACCCGCTCATCGAAGAACCCCGCCGCCAGCGCCGCCTTCCCATACCGGCTGCACCCCGACACCGCGATCCTCTCAATATCCACCTCCGGTACCGCCGCCTCCAGCGCGTCGATGATCTTGCTGAAGCCCCACCCCCACGCCGCCAGCACCCCGATGTCGCCCTCATACAAATCCCAGAAGGCGCCGGTCTTGAGGGGCCCGTCGTACGCGACGGACGCCGCGTCGAAGGACACGGCGGCAGCGCCCGTGGCGGAGGGCCCGAAGCCGCCGAGAGTGATGATGGCGGGAACGGGCGCGTCGGCGGAGGCACCGGAGGGGAGGGTGAGCGTGGCGTTGAAGGAGGCGGACTTGCTACCGGAGGCAATGGTAATGGCGAGGGTTTGGCCCTGCCAGCCGGAGGAGAGCTTGGCGGTGACGGTCTGAAGAGGCGGATCTGTGTGAGTATGCGAGGGTAGTACAGGGGCTGAGCTAGGAAGGGCTACTTGCCTCATCAGATGTATCTGGCAAGTATCCGTAGAAGTAATGCTGGACTAGCTGCTTGATTTCCTGCTGTCTGCACGCCCAGTCATCGACAGAGGATAGCGGTGTGCCGTTGTAGAAAGTGAAAGGGTCTGGGAGTGTGTTCAAAGCATCCAAGTCGTCAACTCCCGGCAGAGTAGACGGCAACTCAGCGCACTGTGCGCGTGCGCGCTCGAAGAAGAAAAACGTCAAGACAAGCGAGGCAAGCAGCATGGCGTATGTAGGCGGAACAGAGAAGGCAAAGCGATGGTTGTACGCATTGTGACAGCCTCTCCGTTATAAGAAGAGTAGCGCTCTGTGAACGGCAATGATTTACATCGAGAAGAAAGCATCGGAGAAACTCAGAGAAGGTAAGCGCGTCGGGGCAGATCCAGGGAGTGAATAAGTGAATGGGCGCCTGATCTCGAGGGCTGGGCATGCTAGAGCTTCTTTGTCCGAAGAAAGAGCGTCGTGCAGATCTCCAGTATACAAGACGGATGTCCGTTAATACAACTCCAGTCAGAAAGAATGGAGAATAGCGGAATATCCCTGAGCTATGGTGGGGAGCGGACCTTGGCGGTCCGTCGCGCTAGAATACCAGTCGATATATTTTGCTCTTGTATGCACGCGAGGGCACTTTTCGGAAGATGACTAGTGAACATGATGCAAATGCGTAGTTGACGGTTAGAACCAAGCCCAAGTTGAACCGTGTTCGGACTTTGCCGAACGCCGACGCCCATCGACTGTACAGTTGAAAGCACGTGACTTGTCCTGCCGAGCCTCGGCACCAAAGTTTGAGAGGCGCCCACCCCGCTCATCGACGCCGCCGACCCCCAAGATTCCTCGTCAAGATGGTGCGCCCCCTTGCTGCTGGTACTGCGTGTGACCCTCTGACCTCCATGTCTCTAGCCGAAGGAAATCCGTGACATCAAGCAGTTCATCCAGATTGCTATGCGGAAGGATGCCACGCGTATGTCGCTATACTGTGAACTCAGAGCGCGCGATCTGACATGGATCACAGAGGCCCGCATAAAAAAGACGGTCCCCAAGAAGGGCCAGAAGCAGCAGACGAAGTTTAAGGTCCGGTGCTCACGGTATCTCTACACATTAACGGTGGACGACCCGGAGAAGGCGGAGAAGCTCAAGCTCGGACTCCCCCCTGGTGCGTACTCGCACATTGCCTGCTGTCGAGGGGATACTGATCATTCGTGCAGGTCTTGAGGTCCGCGAGATTGAGCCCACGAAGAGGAAGTAGACGTCGATCGCTCTCCTTCTCTTCTTTCACCACCTTCGGCATGCCGGCGTTGGCGGCGGGTCTTATGCATATGCACCGGGTCACAGCAGGCCTTGTATGACTGTACCATGCACACATTCAATTTATGGTCAAAAGCAGCATCGCGAGAGTCCTCAACCTTCCAAGCGAAGTCTTCAAGACAACAAGAACCAGTTCCGACCGCCTCAAAAGCGCACCTTTCCCTGACATCCTGAGATCACATACGACTTGCGCGCGTTCTCTACCTCTTCTCTTGAGTTTGGAAATGGGGAGCTTCACCAAGCTCTTGAATTACACGGGCTCAGAGACGCCCAGCATAAACACGCATCTACATTAGTCTATCATTGCGACTTCTTCTCTGTCGCGCTCGCTTGCTTCTCCCCAGTTGCAGCGGCAAGTTTCTCCTCCGCCTCCCCAAGCTGCTTTAGCCGCTCCTGCTCAGCGCGGCGCGCCTCGCGCCGCTCGCGCCCGCGGGTGACCATCTCCTTCGGCTCCAGGTCCGCGAACAGGAACTTGCACGTCTTCTCGATCACATAGCAGCCACCAAAGTCGAGGATCATGGACAGCGTCAGGCGGATCTTGAACTATGAGGGGGGATCAGTTGGGCTCAAAGTCGACAGGGGAATACATGACCACTCACAGCATCGGTCATTTCCACAATCTGCAGCCAGCGGTTGAGCTCGGGCATGAAGTCGGTCGCACCGGAGAACGCGACGGCGCTCGCGCCAACGAGGCCCCAGTACAGAGCAGAGTTCTCGCGAATACCCTCACGGAAGGGCCGGCCCTGGAAGTTGATCGCAAACGTCGACACCTGCTGCGACAAGCTGAGCAGGTAGATGGCCGTGTTGAGCAGGTTGGGCTCGAATTTGGCGTCGAGGTCGATCTCTCCGCGGCTGAGGACCCATGTTAGCATGGCTGAATAGAAACGAATGTTGGGAGAACACTCACTCCTCATAAGCCCTCGACAGGTTCGTGATGAACACTAGCGTTCCGATATGCAGCGCGAACTGCAAGAGGACGGACAACAGGACGTAGAGGTTGAAGATGTTGCCGAGGGGCCGCTCGCGCGAGAGCTTCTCAACGGGCTGCATGTCTCGTTAGCACCACATCACTAACGACAAGCATACTGCTCACCTTTGCGCGCGAAATGCACAAGAAGCAGACCGACATGAGCATACCCGTCACCGTGACCTGGTAATCGCCGAATTTGATGCCGTCGAGGTACTGCACACTCAAGCTGTACGCCGTGATGAGGCAGTTCAACGCAAGGATCTTGTACATCTGCACGGTCGCGACGAGTGTGCTGCGTCCTTGCCTGATGATGTGCGCGACTGCAGGATAATCAGTTCGGACCCTTGACAGCTGCAGGGAAGCAACATACTAGACGAGACATTCGACAACTTCGAGGTGAACGGCGCAGCACAAGACGCGTCGCCGAGCTTGATCTTCGGCGCCTCGTCCTCGTCCATGTCCGCAAGCTTGTCCGTGATCGCCGTCATGTCGAACTGCGCGCACCATCAGCCAACCCACCCAGACCTGCTGCGACCACAACCCACCTTCTGCAACGGATTCTGCTGCCTCGCCACCTGCTGCGCCGCCGCCGCCTGCCTCTGCGCCTCCGCCACATCCGGGTACAGGTGCGCAATCGCCGGCGGCACCGGCGGCACCGGCTGGTTGAACCGCCTCGACAGCTTCAGCTGGCTCTCGTACACCTGCTTGATCCGCTCGAGCCGCTGCCGCTCCGCGATCTTCTTCAGGTCCTCCACCGTGCCGTCGAGCAGCGCCACCCCGACGTGCGCCTGCTTGAGCGCGCCGACGTCGTTCGTGCCGTCGCCGGCCATGAGCGTGACGTAGCCGGCGGACTTGAGCGCGGTGAGGATGTGCTCCTTCTGCGCGGGCGAGACGCGCGCGTAGACCCAGGTGTTCTGGACGAGGAGTTCGAAGGCGGGGGTCGGTTCGTAGAGCTTGAGCGCGGCGCCGGTGACGCAGATGTCGTACTGCTGGAAGAGGGAGGTGTCCAGGGGCTCGTCGGGGTTGACCGGGATGACCTTGCTTTCATCAACGGTATGCCAGATAAGATCTGGACACTTGATGAGTACTGTGCATTGTTCTGGGTCTTCTGAAGGCAAGCTTACCACGCTCGTTCGCTGGGTTCTCCTTCAGGTCCAAGATGAGCGCCTCGCGGTCCACGATCTCAACGTCGCGAGCGACGTGTACGGCAGTCAAAGGGTTGTCGCCAGTAATCATGATGCACCGATGAGACGAGTCCGCCAGCATCTTCAGCGTGTCAACCGCATCCTCCTTCAGGGGGCAGTGGAAAATGATGAATCCAGCAAAGTCAAGCTCGCTTTCGACCATTTCGCGGGGAAGCTTGTTGATCTGAGACGGCAGTTAGCACGTATGTTCTGCGCCCTCCTGAATCCTCAAGACAGTGGCACGTACCTTCTCCACAGTCAGCGCCTCCTTGAGCTTGACGCCGAGCGCCAGGACACGGCTGCCCCTGCGAGTGTACCACTTGTATGTCTCGTCGTACCCCTCGGGTACGTTCTTCAGCATGCCCTTGATAGTCTCAGGAGCGCCCTACAATCACCGTCAGCTCGCATTCATCAAGCAGTATAGCGCAAGATCGTACCTTGACAGCGACTACAATCTCACCACCAGGCAGCGAAGACACCGTCGACATGCGCTTGAGCGCCGAGGAGAACTGGAAGCGGCGGCGGATCCTCAGAGACGCCTTACGGTCGTACTTTGAGTCCGGGCCGGGGTGCACTTGGTCGCCCTTGTCTACCACCCATCCTAGGCTCTCTAAGGTCGTCTTCTCCATAGGGTCTCCGACGACGGTGCCGTCATCAAGCCTGACCATGGCGTGCGCAGCGGCGAGACACAGAACGGTATCCCGAGGGGCCTCCTTCACGTTGATGAGGTTCTTGCTGTTGACAAAGATGTTAGTTCGAACTTCCTTCTTGTCGACAACCATGCACGAACTCAGTATATGTGACACCCTCCAGGACGAGGTTCTCCGCGGTGATCGTGCCGGTCTTGTCGAAGCAGCAAACGTCCACGCGTCCGGCAAAGGGGATGCGGAAGGGCTCGGTGCAGAAGATGGCTGGGAGGATACATGAGTGGTTGGAGAGGTAAGACTCGGCTGGGACGCACCATATTTGGACAGGGCGACAAGGGATGCATTGACCGCCATTGACAACTCCATGGGCAGTTCAGGCGGTACGACACTCGTGATGATGAGTACACAGTCGAGGAGCAGCTTGCCCTTGGGCATGCCACGCTCGAGACCTATCAGGAAGCAGTGAGTGCCGTAGTCGAGAGCAAAAGATAGCCCACGCACCATGCACCCAAACATACCAACTCGCGCAGATCGCGAAGATGAGCAGGAAGCCAATGAAGAGGAAGCTCTCGAGGTTGTTCGCCGAGACGCGCTCCGTCGAAAAGATCATGGTGCGCACAAGCTGGCCCTGCGCGGTGCCGAAGCCGGTGCGGAGGACAACGCCGAGACAGCCGCCGTCGGGTGTCTTGATCGGGGATGCGATCTGGACGGAGGGCGAGGCTTGCAGGACCTTGGTACCGCTAAAGAGGACCTCATTCTTGTGCTGGCCGTCGACGTCGAGGGGCTCGTGAGCCTCCAGAAGCTGGATAGATTCCTTGAGAAGGGGGGTTGACTCGCCCGAGAGCATGGCCTCGTTAACAATGCAGGTGCCGTTGACGAGAAGGATGTCTGCGGGAACCGTAGTTTCGTGTTGTCCGCGTACGATGCTAACGACGTCGCCCGGGAGCAACTTGTCGGTCTGCATCTCCACCCACTTCCCGTCGCGATACACTTGGATTGGGAATGGCTGCACGCTCATGGTGCGAAACTCGGTGAGCGTGCGCACGCGCTGCCAGACGACCGTGCACTCGAACACGACGAGCATGAAGAGCGTGAAGAGGGAGTAGTACCAGTACTCGTCGAGGCACCACAGCGCGACGCAGAAGATCTGGAAGACGAAGAAGGGCGCGGTGGCGTGCTCGACGAAGAGCTCGCTGAACGTGGGGATCGGGATGTCAAAGTCGTTGCCGCCGTACAGCGTCATGAGGCCGGGCACGTCCTGCTCCTTCAGCCCCTTGGGCGCGAGGAAGGTCGAGAGGGGCGGGTGCGCGCTGCTCGGGTACGGGAGCCGGCCGAAGGTGAGGGGGGACGTGGAGAGGGCTGTGTACGTGTCGCGCTGGTAGTTGAACGTGTACGTGCCGTTCTTCTTCTCCAGGGGGACGATGTCGCCGTGGCCGCGATGCTGCTTGGGGATGATCCGGATGCAGTCCGCCTCCTCGACCGAGCGCGCCCGCCGTGTGGTGATCCACGCTCTTGCTGCCGCGCTCCACTTCGTGAAGAGAAAACTGAGCGCGTGTGTCGTCCCGAGGGCGACGCAGTAGATAAACGTCCACTCCTCGCTGATGATCCACTCGTCGTACTTGACGTAGTACGCATATGCGAGGAGGGGGTAGAGGGTGAGGAAGGGGACGCCGTATATGTGATTGTACCAGGGGACCGCGATGTGCAGGCTCGCGGCCTCAATTTCCGGCGACTCTATCGCCACGGACGCCCTGGAATATGTCAGGAGACATGTTTTTCGCTGTAAATCGAGGACTCACATCTTCGAAAAGTACGAAGCCAAGGTGCGCGCGCCTTTCTCACTGCCGACGTGCTCAGCTTTGAAGATCACGTGTTCATTATTTATTCGGTCCGGATTTGCAGAAGACTCCTTCGGACTTGGTACTTTGATTTTGACCGCCACCACGCCTGCCGCTGGCCGGCGAATATGTCATATGGCTCTCTCTTCCTTGGAATAACCGCCTTTTGGATCTTGGTACACGCGACAAATCAGCTGTATCTATCCCGCAGCGAGGGTTCGACGCTACCAGCTTTTGCTCCCCGAAGACGAAGGACAGGGAACATAACTGTTTCTGTCGACCGACTACACCTCCGTGTGCAAACGACGCGCCTCAATAGCGTCCACGATCTCTTTGCGCAATGGTCCTCGAAGAATCTTCGACTACGACGAGTCTTGTCTGGTTTTTATAACTTGGGTACAGCCGCTTGTTGCATGGGCGTGCTAACTGCTCTAGGCCTACTTTTATGGACCACATGGGGTTTGCTCTCTGCTACCTTCTCTGCAACCACGAAATCTGGTCTCCCCCCGCCTGATAATACGCTGACGAAGCGCGACACCCTACCCCCCGAGCCGTCTAGCTCAACGGCAACTTCCAGCTTCGGTATCCGACCCCTCGTTCGTAGACTGTACGATCTTGTCGTGGCACTTATTTGACTTGCAAACCTAAGATCCCAGGTGTCACCGTACCCATGAGCCATCTGCCTCTCATGCTCCTCGCCGTTCTCGTCGGCCAGATCGTGCACGAAATGGGACACGCTGCTGCCTCTGCACTGTGCGTCCTTCCCCCCTCTTCTCATTGTCCTTCATATTCTGAACTTCGTGGTCACGTTTGCTTCTCTAGTGAGCAAATTCACATAACTTCCGCCGGCCTTTCCATCCTCGTCCTCTTTCCCTCCGCCTTCGTCGCCCTGCCCACTTCCGCCATCGAGGCTCTCAGCGCCCGCGCTCGACTACACATCATCGCTGGCGGACCCTATCACAACTTGTGCTACTTCGTCGCTTTATGGACAGCGCGGTGGATAGGGGTGTTTGCTGTCCTTGCGCCGATTTCGGGTACATTGGCGGGGTACGAGGATATCAGTGCGCTGGGCAGAGTGGTTGTGGGGGTTGATGAAGTGAGGACCTCTTTTTCTTCGTTCTCCTTTTTTGCTTCTGGCATCTACCTTTTTTTTTTTTACCTAAATGAGAGTTTACTAGACGTCGGTGCTGACCTAGTAATCCAGGGCTCAAACTTGCACGCCTACATCCCGCGAGGAGCCATATTGACCCACCTTGACGACGTCAAACTTGACAGTGCGACCGCCTGGGATGAGTACTTCACCGCGCCGTCCTCGAGCAAAGGCGCAATGGGATGGTGCGTGCCCCGAAGGCACGTCGCAGGTCAGTGACTTTTTCGTAGGAGGGACTCGCCCGTTAGATTACTGCCCCCCTTTTCAGACGCCCCAACAGATTGTTGCGATCCCAGCCTTTTCGGCGTTCCGTCGACGCTCGCCTGCTTCGTCGAGTGGGGCGGCGGCGGCGGCGCGCAAGCATGCTTAAACCCCGTCCCCCTCCTTGGGAATCCTCGCAGTCCGCGGTGCGACGCATCAGCGCCCTGCGCGGATGAGGCGACATGCGCTCAGCCGAGCGACGCGGCACACCTTGTGCGAATATGTATGCAGGCAGCGGCAGGCCCGAGTGAAGAAATAGTCATCTGGAACGGCGAGCGGGAAGAGGTGCGGGAGGCAGGTATGCGTATAAAATATACCCGTGAAGTCCCCACTTACTGACCTGCGTTAATTTCACCTCGCAGTGCAAACCTCCACCTGGCGCCCCCGATTATTCTTTCTGCCTCTCGGTTTGCCGAGCACGGTGGAGGCTTTGTTGCAGTGCGTAATGTCCCCGGCAATCCTCACTCATCACGTGCAATGCCGATTCGCGTCACCGAATTTACCCTACCCGCACACCTGGCCTACCTACTCACCCCTCTCCTCAGGTACCTCGAACTCGCCACCCTCTCCCTCTTCCTCTTCAACCTGCTACCGCTCCCGATGCTCGACGGGGAGCAGTTCCTGCGCTCGTTGCTGGATCTGGTGCTGGGCGATGCGTCACCGTATGATGAGTATGATGTGGCGGCGCTGGAGGATGCAGAGGCGGGATTTGGCGCTGCTCAAAGTACGGGAGGGAGGACGAGCAGCGGTAGTGTGCGGAGGAGACGATCATGGAGGCCTCAAGACGCGGAAAGATGGAAGGAGCGGGTATGCAAGGGCGCCACGACGGTCACGATGGGCTCACTGGGGACCTGCGTGGTGCTGGGGATGGCTCAGAGCGTGCGGTGATCTTTGCAAGAGCAGGATGGGGCAAGGGTTTGCCTTACTACTACTCCACGTCAAGTTCTGATCAAGCACTCTGAAAAGTGATACGAGTCGGGTGCGCTACTGTATCCTGGCTCACGGCAAAACAGCTGCTGCATACAAATCTAATGTCTAAGTTCCGATACCGTGCCTACTTGCTTGAAGCATGAAGGCGAAAGTCCATACTTCCTCATTACCCGGCCACCTCCTTCACCTTTCCTCCTCCCTCACGCCGCCGCCCTCCTCGCAACACCCTCCCTCACCCCCCGCTCAATCAACTCACTAAACTTCTTCCTCCTCTGCACATGAATCCCATGCCCCGTCCCCTCCCACTCCTCAAAGTCCGCAATCTCATCGTCAGTAGACCTCAAACCCGCCACCAGCCTGTGCGAATTGGACGTCGCCACCAGATGATCCTCGTCCCCACAGACGACGCCGATCCAGCCCGCCCCGCGCGCGCCGACGCGCCGGCCGATCTCGGAGAGCCGGACGACGTCGACGTGATGCGAGAGCGCGGCGAGCATCTGCGAGAGGTGGCCCATGAGCTGCTGCGGGCGCGTGTTCTTGACGCGGAAGTGGAATTCCTGGGATGGGGGGTTAGCAGAGTTCTTCGCAGCGGAGGTGAAGGCAGCGAGGGTAGATGAGCACATCGCGAGCAGACGCGTACCTCAATCTGCACCTCCCGGTTCGTGCGGCCCTGCGGGTCGTCCGGGTCGCGCTCGTCCAGCCACGCCTGTGGGAAGAGCATGTCCATAGCAAGCGGCGCGCGCTGCTCGGGCGGGGTGAACGTGAGACGCGCGAGGGTCTTCAAGCCGTACCACTGGAACGCGCGTGTCAGCTAAAGGCATAATAAGGTAGTCATCAAAGAAGGCGTACTGGTGCCATGTTTTGCCACCAATGCGGGTTACCAGGCGTGGTGACAGCGAGCAGGAGAGATGAGATGCGGTCAGGTATAAGGTATGCGAGTTCTGGGATGATGATTGGTTTCACACCATAAGAAGTTGAAGGAGAAAAAACCTACCCTGAGATATCATTCCGCCCAGACTGACGCCAATGATGTTCAAGTCGCGTTCCTTCTTCCAGTCGAGATAGTCAAGAAGCGCAACAGCATCCGCCGCCATTCCTGATGTGCTAACATAATGTTAGAGGGTCAAATGCGTTCAGCGCGCGACTTCGTACGCACGTATACGGTCCCCTCGGTGTACCCGAGTTGCCCACACCCCGGTTATCGAAGACAAGCACCGTGTACTTAGCGCGCAACTCGGGCGTGCTTGTAAAGTACTCCACCTGCGGCTTCCACGCAAAGCTCGAGGAGTTCAAGCCCATGATGAAGACGAGCTTGTGCGACTCGCCGCGCGCGAGCGCGTCCGCATCGCCATGGACCTCGAAGTAGATGGAATGGGACTCGATGGGGTTCGCTTCTTGGTGGCGGAGCTTCGTCACGGGGCAGAGACCCTTGCGAATGCAGTGGGCCTCTGGAAATATAGTGTGGGGCGTAGCCTCGCTCATGGTGGTAAAGGAATAAGGTGTGTTACCGTCGCGCCGCCTGCTCCCGATAGGCGCCCGACCCGGATCGGTTATTCGTCCGGGCCGGGCTGACGTCGCTTGATGAGGTTCACTGATTTATCAAAAGTTCAACTTGTTCACGACCACCATCCTGTCCTGATGTGTATCGCTGCTCTCAATGTCGTTGCAGGAGGATCCTTAGCAGCACTAACCCGAGGCGGTCACAAGCATGCAACTCCTTGGCAGAGCCAGTCCGATATCCGAACGACGACATGCCTTCTCAATGGCGCACGCGCGCGTCTTCTGTCGCAATTGACGAAGAATGTCTCGATGCACAATATATTCCCCGCACTTCGACATCATAAATGAACTCCATATATTTGTTGGCCCAGCCACAAGTGGTAGAGCGCAGCATCCACCCCCGGGTGTTCGACACCAATATCGTTCCGACTCATGAGCCCATATATCTTCAGCCTTGTATCCCAACGGAAGTGGCTACCTTGAAGGTACACCGTCTTCCCGTCCCTTTTCATCATGATATGTTCCCCACATGGCGGTGAGTAGCGCTTGTTCTTCTTTCGAACAGACATCGCCAGCGGCGTCTCAGCCTGAGGACATACATCGGCGGTTATTCGGTGCCATCCTACCGACCCACGGCTCACCTCCTCGTCTATACGCAAGGTCTATCCATGATTTCAGGCTCCGATCTCCCTTCTGACGCTCGACCAATGCGGCCCAATCACAGCGACTCAATTGCCACGACAGCCCATTTTTCCGCCTCATAACGCACAACCAGGCCGAGGTGTACCCGTGCAGGCTATTCCGCCTCCGCAGGAGGGACGCAAGGCACGGGTCCCGCATCTAGGATCAGTGCTCTATCGTCAAGCGACCATGAAACGGAGCTTCTTCGCGTTTGGACGCGCTTTAAAGCTGCAGATCATGTAGAGAGGACCACCTTCTCTTCGTCGCTCTTGTGGTGGTGCTCGCAGGATGCTCTGGCGCGCTGCCCTCTCCGCTTTGCCTCTCGTAGGCTGCGGTACGTCCGAAGTTCATCTCGTCGCGTTCCTCCTGCTCATTGGACCGACCAGCGCTTGCGCAAACGGGGGCCCAGTACACCGATCCCGACAATGGTATCACATTTTGGGGCATTACAGTGCGCATCCACATCTCATCCACCTTTCCTTTCCTCAATATCTTCCCTAGGATGCATCGCACAGCGTAACCTACGGCTATGTCTTCCCCGAGACCGACACGGGCGAGTTCATTGGCGAGATCGTTTCTCCGATCGAGGGAGCTTGGGTCGGTGTCTCCCCCAAAGGCACCATGCTCAACAGCCTGCTGCTCGTGGCTTGGGCGAACGGCGGCGAGGTCGTGCACTCCGCGCGCATTGCTTCGTGCGTGCTTCTTCTGTCTGCTTCTTCCAGTCTGTTCTGATGCACCCCGTATTTCGCAGTGGATACGTGTTGCCAACGTACGTTAGCGCCAAGGAAAGCCTAAATGCCTATTGACAGCATATTCCAGACCTCTGGAAGGACCTGTGATCACCGATCTTCCATCTACGACAGTGAATGCGACGCACTGGAAATGGGTGTATCGCTGCCAAAACTGCACCAGTACGAGAATATTTGCCTCTGATTCTCACTCGTGCTGATTATGTTCCTTCATAGCTTGGGATGGCGGCAGCCTCGATCCCACAGGCTCCGGTGCACCTGCCTGGGCCTACTCGACCAAAGCCGTCGATGACCCCTCGGATCCTGACTCGGACTTCGCTCAGCACACCGATTGTGAGCCCTTCCATTCGCATAAGTCTACGTCTTACTAACATAGAGTTAGTCGGTTTCTACGGCCTCGACTTCGCATCCGCGCACGCCTCGCAAGCTGACTACGACAACTGGGCCGCAGGCGGCACAGGTGGCGGTGGTGGCTCGCCGCCCACAACGACTACGACGACAACCACAGCGCCTCCTACGGCTACTGCCACAGTGAGTCTTCTTGAGTGAGCCATGTTTGGTGAGATGACCGCCCTCCAGCCTGATCCTGTCGACTATATCGTCGTGGGTGCTGGTCCGGCTGGTATCATCACTGCGGATCGACTCTCCGAGGCGGGCAAGAGTGTTTTACTCCTCGAGCGCGGTGGGCCTTCTACGGGCGAGACTGGCGGCACGTATAGTGCGCCGTGGGCTGAAGGCAGTGGTTTAACCAAGTTCGACGTCCCTGGTCTCTTCGGTGCGTACATATGGGCCTTCGCGGTCTCGGGCTGAATCTGACTGCGCTACAGAAACCCTCTTCAACGACGCCAACTCCTTCTGGTGGTGCAAGGATGTCAATACCTTCGCCGGCTGCCTCCTCGGCGGCGGCACGACCGTCAATGGTGCGCTCTACTGGTACCCGCCCGACATCGACTTCTCCACCGACAACGGCTGGCCCAGCGAGTGGACCAACCACTCCCCGTACACCGCCAAGGTCAAGGAACGGCTCCCCAGCACCGACGCCCCCTCCACGGATGGAAAGCGCTACCTGACGCAGGTCCACGACGTCGTCGCGGAGCTTCTCAAGCCGCTCGGCTTCAGCAGTATTACAATTAATGACGAGCCGAACCGGAAGGACCATGTTTACGGGTATAGCGCGTACGACTTCCTTGACGGCAAGCGCGCGGGCCCGGTGGCGACCTATCTGCAGACGGCGCAGAAGAGGGAGAACTTCAAGTTGCTGATGTATACAAACGCGCTGAATGTGGTGCGGAATGGGACGCAGATTTTGGGCGTGAAGACGAATGATACGTCGATTTTGGATGGGGTCTACACGTTGAACCCGGGCGGAAGAGTAATTCTGTGAGTGCTACCCAATCCTTGCCTACTAGTCATACTGACAAGCTCGATAGATCTGCTGGCTCGCTGCAGACACCGCGCTTGCTGTTCCAGAGTGGCATCGGCCCCAAGGACATGATTACGCTCGTGCAGGGCAACACAGATGCGGCGCCAAATCTCCCGGATGAGGCGGACTGGATCGACCTTCCCGTCGGCGAAAACGTCTCGGATAACCCATCGGTCAACGTACGCTGCGCTCTGTCCTCTTCAGCTTCATCTTCGCTCATCCATCGTCATCCAGCTCGTCTTTACCCACCCCGATGTCGACTCCTATGACAACTGGGCCGAAGTCTGGGATGACCCGCGCCCCGATGACGCTGACCAGTACCTCAAGGACCAATCCGGCGTGCTCGCAGCCGCATCCCCTCGCCTCAACTTCTGGCGCGCCTACGTCGGTAGCGACAACGTGACGCGCTACATGCAGGGAACCGCGCGCCCAGGCGCAGCCTCCATCGACACGGACAACGACTACAACCTCGCGAACGTCTTCACCATCACCTGCTACCTGTCCACGGGCGTCACCTCGCGCGGGCGCGTCGGCATTGATGCTGCATTGCGAGCGGGGCCGATAGTGGACCCATGGCTCACCGACCCGGTCGACAAGGAGGTCCTGTTGACCGGTATTCAGGAGATCGCGAGCGCGATTGGGAACGTGAGCGATCTGGTGCTGATCACGCCGGACAATACGACGACGGTGGCGGCCTACTGTGAGTATCCTTGCGCACTGGGTCGGCTTGTACGAGGCTAATGCAGTCCCGAAGTGGACGACTATGATCTCACGGCCATGAACTCCAACCACTGGGTAGGGTCGGCGTCAATCGGGTCGGTCGTAGATGTCAACACGAAGGTCAAGGGGACGGATAACCTATTCGTCGTGGATGCATCCATCGTGAGCGTCCTTTCATGAAAACATGAACTTAAGCGCTGACTGACATTACGCAGATTCCTGCGCTACCGATGGGCAACCCTCAAGGAGCGCTCATGTCGGCAGCGGAGCAGGCCGTCGCGAGGATTCTCGCTCTAAACTGATATCTTGGACAAGGGGGGATAGGCGTATATAGTATAGGTATTTATTCGTAGCGACGCAATGAAGCATTTATTTCAGTGTACAATGTTCTTGCGTGACAACAAGTCGTTTACTCTTGCCGAATCATCGAAGAGAGGGGGAGCATGAGTCAGTTACCGCGCTCTGCCAAGCGTCAAAATTCAGGTACTTGGTAGAAAGGGTCCTGAGAAAGAAGTCGAGTGTGGCCGCGTCTTCAGGAAAAAGGTGCTAAATTTCCACCAAGAAAGTCGAACATGTGGGTCCACATCACGTGCCATGCGCAAGTGGCTTCGGCAAATCCCGATATTCACTGTACAGTCGATCGTGCCGAGCTCGGCAGGCGCGCCATCGCCAATCATCGGAAAGCCGTGCTCGTCGTAGTCGTCCTCAAGCCCAAGATCAAAAATGTCGAAGCGTACGTCCGCTGCGCCCTCGTCTCGATGCCCTATCTGACGAAGTTCTGCTCTTTTGTCGCCCGTCCTCCTCGAATCCGTTAACTTGCAATGTGATCGGTGTCCTTCTCCCCTTCCTGTGCTCGAATGCGCCAATCGCTCCCTCCACATCCACACCGACTCTATGAACAACCCCATACCCTTGAAAACCATTGCAACGTCTAATAACCCCAATATGTGACATGACGCTGCGCCCAACCCACAGCGACCGGTTCCTCTGGAACGAAGTTCCGCCTCACCCTCGGTCTGCCCGTCGGCGCCGTGCTGAACTGCGCGGACAATAGCGGCGCAAAGTCGCTCTTCATCATCGAGCCGTACGGCTTCGGCTCGCACCTCAACCGGCTGCCGGACGCTGGTGTCGGCGACATGGTCGTCGCGTCCGTCAAGAAGGGTAAGCCCGAGTTGAGGAAGAAGAGTGCGTGGTATCCCTTCATGTTTCTCCTAACCATCACGCTTACGGGGCGATTACTCTCATTAGCTATGCCCGTGGTCGTCGTCCGCCAGCGCAAGGCATGGCGGAGACGGGATGGTGTCTTCCTGTACTTCGAGGTGCGTTTTGGTATGAGATGATGTGATCGGAACGGTGACTCACGTTCATCCCCTCAGGACAACGCCGGTGTCATCGTCAACCCCAAGGGTGAGATGAAGGGCTCTGCGATCACGGGCCCGGTCGCAAAAGAATGCGTAAGTCATGTTCGCATCTGCGTATGCTTTCCTCGTCTGATCACCTCTTCAGGCTGACTTGTGGCCGCGTATCGCGTCCAACGCCGGTACCGTGGTTTGAGCGACGGCCTTCCTCCCTCTACTGCCCTCCATATCCACTCTGTACGCACATATGCCTCATGTTGCACTATGACTATGAAGACATCTCAAAAGCCTACGATTGTGAGACCTGTACCGTTTCAGTCGTCTTCCCTTCCTCAGCTCTTGTACGCCTTCGCAACCGCTGAGCGTACAATCGAGCCCCTCAAATGTCATTCATGCTGACCTCCCATGCGGTATAGTGCTGTACTTGCCGCAAAAGACCTGGCTTGAGCGGGTCGACGTCTGCTTAGAACGATGCGTTGCCAGAGAATATCTTGGGATAGGTATTACATGACACGCAGTGGCAGAAGAGCAAGTGCACAGTCGTAAGTTGAGGGATATGAAGCCGGAAGGCTGCTATCTTGCGGAAGGTTGCCCCCTGCGCGCACGAAGTTACTCACACCTCTGGAAATGAGAGAACAAGGCGTCGGCAATGACAGCGAGAGGGAGGACCGGACTTGCAGCGGGAGCATGTGTGAGTTCATGTCGGAAATGAGGAGGGCATCCATCGAGATCAACCTTCCCAACGACGTCGAATGAGCGACTCGTTCTTCGAGCTTGCCGCCAAGCTCCCTGGACTTCGTGGTTGACTTCAGAGTCGTAGGCCCGCTGATAGATTAACGTTGACGACACTTCAGACTGTCTGCTTGAACTACGCGAGACCGGCACACAATGAACGAAGATATAGGAGAAGACGGTGCTTCGCCGGTGAGGGGGATAATGGCAGAAGACGTTTGCGGTCATGTAAAGCGATAGAGGGGGTCGGCACATAGCCAGAAGGTGCCGACAAAGTCAATAAGCATGTAGGCCGAGAGAAAACGAAGACAGATCAATGAAGGAAGCGGGAAGAACGTGCCGAAGGACGCGGTCAGCAAGTCGAAGACGAAGTGACAGTAACGAAAGCGAGGTCGAGACATAGGTGGGGGCCAAAAGTCGAGAAACTATGTAGCCGTAATCAAGAGGCTAAGTATTATCTCTGTGAGCATCCCGACTCGTTACAATGACTAAGAGAGGGGCTTTTCGGCATGACTTCCTCTGGTTGTCCAAGCGAGCCTTTGCCATTGCGCTGATCATGAAAGCTGCCATGCCGAGTCGTACGTCGTAAGCCCGCCGACAGGCTATCGTGCATACCGTCGTGATAGCGCAGACAATTCGAGCTGTCTGTGCGAAGAGCGTCGGCTATCGGCAGATGAGCTCCGTGGATTTGAAGATATGCCAGAAGACGTTCGAGAGGCCATAAGAGAGATAGATATAAAAGAGCAAGGGGCTAGAGGGTAGCTAGAATATCATTGAAGCGTAGCTAGAAGATGATAACAATGTCCAGAAGTCCGCAAGAAATACCGAAGCAAGGTAGCCGCGAGGACTCAGAGCCCAAGAAATGAACGAAGCAGGGAGCGTGCGGTCGAGGCCATCACATAGAGGACGCTCAGGGAGGAAGAGCGGAGGTGGACAAAAACTCTAGAAAGGCGAGGGTCAAAGGGCTGGGTCGAATAGCGTAGCGCTGACGAGGCTAGGGCACCGAGATAGAGCGCATTGATGAGGGTAAAGCGCAATGAGTCGACGATGCTAGCTTGAGGGTTAACACCTTAGAGACCTGGTCTAGCGAGGTTCATGATGCCACGTCAAGGCCACCGTGTCGCAACGAGGCCAGAAGGCGCAGATCTGGCTCGGGTGCTTGACAGCGCGCAGCAAGCCGGAGCAGACAAGTTACGCGAGGCTTTTGCTTGACAGCCGCACGTAAATGGCATCGATAGCGGATGGAAGTCCGGACGGGCATGCTGCAGGTTCGAAGGGTATCGGAGTTGTCGCGCGCAGGGTTGCCGGATTGTATGCGTATCAGGACCTTAGACTTGTTCAGGCAGAGCAAGCTGACAGCAATCGTCAGGCTCGTAGTCACCTCCCTGCTCGTGGAGCAGCCCTGATTTGTGTTTAGTTGGAGCACGTACAAACAAAAGAAGTCCGCTCCAGGCAGGCGAGACCGGCGCTTGTGAGCCCTTGTACCTTGTCAAGTTTGGGCTTTCCCGGCGCATACTAACCTCTACCCATCTTCCGGCACCAGCCGAGGCACACTTCAAGCATAGAGCCTGCAGGTGCTCCCTCTAGGCGTCCACGCCACGTGCTGTCTGCGCTGTTTGTTCCCGCTCCACATAAACAGAGATCAGGCGTCGCTCCACGAGCGAAGAGGTGACTACGAGCCTGAAAATTGCTGGAATAGACAAGCTCGCCATATTGGGACCCTGCCGTGAATGGCCAAGTAGTTTGAGGAGCGTCGAAGAGACCTCGAGCGCTATGATGAAGAGCTGGAACTTGGCTGACAGGAGATTTGACGAGATAGCAGGAGCGCATACGGCAGAGGACGTACAGAAATGAGACGGTGAAAAGCGCTAGATTGAGATCATCATGGTTGAGGTGAGTTAGCTGAAAAACCACCATTCGACAGCATACGCGACGCCCATCTTCAAGCAGATGAGAACGGCATCCAAGATTGGGGCGGGTGACCCTCGCGTACTTCCTGCCTCGCTGTTGCCAAAGACGTGAAGTCTTACATCGTCATGTTCAAGTTCACGACAGTGGCGACCGCAACCGACGCTACATCGTGCTCTGGTCATGTTGCCCAAGCGTGGTGAGGATGTGCACAAGTGTGATGCAAGGGTGTGCACAAATAGCCCGTCGTCGAGCCTCTTACGGGGCTTGCGCGGAACTTCGTCGGCGACGGCTGGGCGCTGTTGTATAGCGGGCGGTATGCGCTCCGCCACCACTGTATGGCGGGCAGCTGGCACGCTCGTCATGTCTGACGACATGGACGACGAGTCCGTCGGGCTCGAGTGGACAAGGTGTGCGCGCAGTGCGGTCGTCGGGCGTCGTGATCGATGAAAAATTACAGGGCGAAACGGGAGCTGAAGGGCGCCGAAATGGTCTCCGACCGCCCGCAGAGCGGATTTTCGAGGAAAAGGCGCGACGAAATCCACGAAATTGAGCAGAAACTCCCTTCCGGCTCCGGAAAGAGAAACGGTGGAAGCCGAAGAGCGGCCTTTCTGCCTGATTTGGGCAACGAGCAACAATCCACGTGCGGTTGCAATGACGTCGATCACGGCCGTTGCTACGGAAGGTGCCTTGACGAATGAATGACATCACTGATAAGGACGGTAATTATGGTCAGAAGGGGTTCCCGCGCGGCTGCAATTGTGCCCAAAATTGCCTGCAATCGCGAAAAATCAACGAGACTGGGGGTCCTCGATGTCTCTCGGGACGTCTGCTTGTTCGGACGCGGAAGTTGAACTCGCTAGCGCGGTTTCGGAGAGCGTGATGCGCTGAGGACGCAACTTGCTCTTGACCGTCATGTCGCGCGAACATCAGCGGTGGCTGCGCGAGCTCCGTCGGACCAGTTTGTTGACAATCTGGCAGCATCAACTCGGTCATGTCGGCTTTTGCAAAAAACCAGCAGTCGATCTGTGCGTGGGGGCGAAAACCCATGCACCCCGAATGGCCGGGTAATGATCGTTATAATTTGCATACGCGCGCGCTGCGCCCAGCCATCCGCTCCTCGTTTTCTTCTGTCGCCCACCACCACCTCTCGTCGACAGACAAGTGCGCGAACGCCTGGTCCCCTCGCCGCCTCGCCGCTTCTTTTGTCGAAAGCGTACTCCCTGCACATCAACACGCGTCTGCCATTGTTATCACACTCAAGGCACCCACGCATCCCTTGATATAACGCGTTCCCACGTTCCTTCTTGACGGTCCTTACCTTCTTGTCCTCCTCCCCCACGGACAAGGTGCGCACTTGCCGCGCGGTCCCCTCCCCCCTCGCTCATCCCCCAGCAGACTGCACACCCAGCAGACCGTGATCCCAGCGCTCGACTCATATCAGCGCAGCCATGTCGCGGAGGCCCACCACTCCTACGTCTCCCCTCTCCCCCTCGTCCTCCACGCACGGACGACGCCTGCAGCGCGCGGGGCGGCCCACGTCCGTCTCATCCGTCTCCGCTATCTCTGCCGGTTCCGAGGCCGACGCCCCGCTCGCGCCCCCGCGCCCGTCCTTCCTCGCGCACCAGGGCTCCTCGTCCAGCTCCGACGCTGACGACTCGGACTCGACCACCCCGCCTGTCCGCTCCATCCTGTCCAAGAAGCCCTCAATAACGAGCTCCAGTACGTGTCAGAGCTCCATCTCGTGTTATCATCCTTCCCCTCCACGCTCCCGCCGCGCAATTCGCCGTATCCGCTATTCACTCGACGGCCTTCGATGCATGGGAACATGCCGTGAGGCATTCATGCGCGTGGGATACCCTCGCGCTCACGCGAACTCTATCCGACGTCCTCGATTTACCACACCCTATCCGCTGTCCACACTTCAGACTGACTACCCAACCCAGGCGGCGCACGCCTCCGCTCCAAGCGCCAGAGCACGTCCGGGTCCTATCAGGCCGTCGAAGCGGGCGGCGACCCGTTCGCGGATGCTGGTGAGCGCATTTAGCGTGTTATCGCCTCGCTCGCGTAGCTTATCGCGAACCTCTGCAGGCGCGACCCCGTATGCAGGCCCAAGCGCGGCCACGGGGGAGTGGAACCCGGCTTCGCTGTATGCGGAGGGCGGGCAGAAGGTCGCGAGCCCTTCGGTGGGGCAGTTCGCGAGCCCTTCGGCGGGGCAGTTCGCGAGCCATTCGGCGGGGCAATCTGCGAGTCCCTCGGCAGGGCAATTTGCGAGCCCTTCGGCGGGGCCATTTGACGCGCCACGTCGTCGGTCGGTGGACATGACCCACGCGGGGAGCGCGGGGAGTATGCGCGAGCGCGCGCGTCAGGACAGCGCGCGCAAGCCGCCGCCGTCTTCCTTCGCCTTCCCGTTCCAGTCCCACCCTGGGAACCCGGATCCTTTGCCAGGTAAGCTTCGGTCGATGATTTATTGGTGACTACTACTAATCAGCGCACAAATCACCCTTCCATGAACGCGTATAGTCGGTCGCCGCAGCAACGAGTCCTTGCGTCGCCGCGGTAGCACGAACGCCGGCGATATGGGTGGTCAGTGTGTCCTCATTCGCAGTGATCGTTCATATCTGACCGGATACGATGATACAGCGACTGGTCCTGGCTTGATCCGCAATCGCTCGACCTCGTTTGACGACGGACAGTATGCGCACGGGTACCCACCTTCGTCGGAGGCGCACGGCGGATACCCGTCCGACGGAGGTGAAGATGCGGGGCACCATTCGAGCAGCCACAGCCACGGCGATGAGGGTGAGTCGTCAGTCGGAGTGAGCTCGCTGGAATAATCTGACCTGTTCCTAGGTATCGTTATGATGCCCCGCCCGAACGCGCCCTACATGTACAACGGTGCGAGCACGCCGCCCACGCCTACGAGCGGCTTCAGCCCCTACGGCTACGAGCAGAACCCGAACAGCATGTACGGCCCGCCGGTCACCCCGGGCGTCTACGGCACCTCCGCCGCGGGCAACCTGCGCCACTCGCCGAGCGCGACCGCGCTGAACGACGGGTACGCTACGGCCGTACCCCGCGGCTCGATGTCCGGCATCCCGCGCTCCGCGTCCGCGACGACCTTCCGCACGCCGTTCCTGTCGCCCGCGAGCCGGCCAGGCTCGAGCATGTGGACGCCGCCGTCGTACGCGGCGCCGAGCTCGAGTACGAGCTCTCTGGCGATGCCGAAGGCGCCCGCGCCGCACCCGTCGACGCGCCTGCAGCAGAAGCTGACGAAGGAGGACAAGCCGTGGCTGAAGGACGAGGGCAAGGGGCGCGCAAGGCTCAGTTGGTGGCTCACGTTCGCGTGCCTGCTCATCGGCGTCGGCGTCGCCGCGATCCTCTGCTGGCGCGGCTATACGTCGCAGTTCCTCATCCCCGATTCGAAGCTCTGCCTACTGATGGAGGACGACTTTGATAGCGGGGATTTGAACACGGATAACTGGGGGTACGACATCGAACTCGGTGGCTTCGGGAACGGCGAGTTCCAGATCACGACGAAGGACAACGTGTTCGTGCGCGATGGGAACTTGTATATCCACCCGACGCTCACCTCGGAGAGCATCGACGGTGGCTACGACTCCCTCTTCGACGGCGGCGAGTGGGACCTCGGCGACGACTGCACGACGAGCAACAAGACCGCGTGCTCCGTCAAGGCCAACTCCGACCGCAAGCGCGTCGTGAACCCCGTCCTGAGCGGGCGCATCAACACGAAGGGCAAGGCCGAGATGACGTACGGGCGCGTCGAGGTGCGCGCGAAGCTGCCCTCTGGCGACTGGCTGTGGCCCGCGATCTGGATGCTCCCCGTCGACGCGAACGGCACGTACGGCGACTGGCCCATCTCCGGCGAGATCGACATCATGGAGGCGCGCGGGAACAGCGAGGAGTACCCCGCGCAGGGCCGCAACTACGCGCGCTCGTCGCTCAACTACGGCCCGCTGGAGAGCGTGATGAACAAGATATACGGGTGGTACAGCGTCAAGCACGGCACGCTCGCGGACGGGTTCCACACGTACGCGTTCGAGTGGGACAGCCAGTTCATGCGGTTCTACACGGATTCGCGGCTGAATGCGATGCTGGAGCTGCGGACGCGGAATGAGAAGGAGAGCTTCTGGACGCGCGGGGACTTCCCGGAGACGGCGCAGAACGGCAGTGCGCAGGTCGTGGTGGAGAACCCGTACGAGGGCAGCTGGCCGAATGCGCCGTTCGACAAGCCGTTTTACCTGATCATTGACGTTGCCGCGGGCGGTACATCCGGTTGGTTCCCCGACAACAAGGGCGATAAGCCGTGGTATGATGGCAGTCTGAGTGAGTAGTATGACCAAACCTCGTGTAGCACGATCTAACCGCTTGTCTAGCTGCCATGTACGACTTCGCTAAGGCTCAGGACACCTGGTCTGCCACCTGGCCTGACAGCGAAGAGGACCGGTCGTTCCGCATGTATGTATCCTTGCGATTGTCATCGACGACGCGCTAACAATTTCTCAGTGACAGCGTTAAGATGTACTCGATGTGCTGATCGAGTTGCTTCGCCTCAGAATTCACAGCCTATCCTCAGTCTACTCCAGCTTCGTCTTCCTCGCTTCCGTGCATTTAGACGAACGACATACACGACCGTCGCTATACCCGTTGTTGTTGTGTATAACTTACCTGCCCCACTGTCCCTTCATCGTCCGCGACCGTCCCCCTATCTGCGCCCCCCCTTCGTCCGTACCCCTTCATACACACGGATATATGCTTCATATAGGCCTCTCGCGCTCACCCGGACTAGAACGACTCCACGACCTCGTACCTAGACTTTCTTCCTATACGAAGAACACTGATCGACTACTATATCTTTGTATACCACCCTGTTGTGTCCCAGTCGCGTAGCGTGCACGCGCGAATCCGAAAAATGGTAGCCTACTAGACTCTGGTGTTGGCTTCTGTTGGCTTGTGTGGGCAGAAAGAATGTATCAAAGGAGATCTCATCTACCCCAACTGCTCATGCAGTACTACTCTACTGGTAGATACATGCTCGCTATAGACAATCCTTTGTACTTCGTTTGTCTGGGTCAAGACTCGAGCCGGTAGCACTTCGGAAGTTGCCGGGCCGGCCTGCTGCGGTCGACACCGACCTGCCAGTGCATCTCACCAAGCCTGCAGTTCTAGGCGGACTCACTGAGTAATATTTTCTTCTTCCTAGCCTTGGATATCGCTGAATATAGTGCCAGGACATGCCCAATGTCACCGCGAAGCCGCTTGCGTTCGACTTGCAGCGACTGGTTGCAGCCTACCCTAACCTGAGTAAGCAAGAGCGACTGCAGAGATCCCGTCGCTTGTCGAAAGAGGTAGATCGCAAGGACGAATTTGCGGCCCTCAAGGCCCCTCCACCAGAGAGCGCCTGCGATACCAGCGCCCCCATAGATCTCGATAAGCCATCCCCTTGCCGCAACGCCTTCCTCGCGCTGCTCTCTTACAACATGGCGCTGAGACTCAGCGCATATGACACTCAACTCAATCCGGAATCGACGATATGGATGTCTATCCTTCGCTTCTGGCCGGCCGTCGCGAAGTGGGTAGAGCTCTTTCATCCCCGCCTTGGGAACCGTGCCAAAAGCCGACAATGGGACCTCGACATATTAGCGGCGTATAGGACCTTCTATAGCATTACCTGCACGTATCCTCAGGGCAGGAAGAAGTTGATGGAGACGAAGGACGCGTTGCCAGTACTGCTGGATGTATGGCTCAACTATTGGGACTACGCTCCGGCGCCTGCGTCGCCTGCCGAATGGGAGATGTGTCTGGACCAGGACTTCTGGTTTTTGGAGGCTATCGCGCGCCTCCGAGATGATATACCAAAACCAGTCATAGGCCATCCGGATGGGCAGCGCATCGAGCAGGGTCTGCTGCAAGCGGTGGGCGGGAGTCGACGCAAGTTCTATCGGAATGCTCTGCTCCAGCGACTGCAACACATCGTCGCCAATCAATGCCTCCCGACGCACACATATACCCGTGACGCCTTTCGCATGTCGCAGTACCTCGTCCGCTTCTTCAACGACATCCGGATAGAGGGCGCTCCTCGCGATGTCGTCTCGGCCGTCGTCCAGGCTTGGAAGGATACTCTCGACATCACCGACGGTGACGACATGGGGATGTCGTGCGCCCAACTCCTCATTTTGTTGCACAGTATCTCGGACGACTTCCGACAACTCGCGTGGGCCGTTCGGGATGGTGCTCTTGAGCTTATACTGCGCCTTGTGCGCGTGCGGGACCAGACGAAGGAGGTGACGATAGGCCCCTCGTTTACGCTGATGCGCTTGATGCGCGTTCAGATGATTCATCGCAACTTCCTACGTGTGCTACGCCGCTATGGAGGCTCCGCCCTGGTCCTCCGCAAAGACGATCCTCCGTGCATCCGGAAATTCATAGAGGTGTATCAAAGCGGCATCCAAGTACTGGACGGCGTCGATGAGTGGATTCGGAATCGCCCGTGCTACAATCCCACGGTATGTCCAACAAGCATCGTCGTGAGACTTCTGCTAACATGTTCTATAGTGCGACACAGACGTCGCCTCGCAATCGGAGTCTATGAAGAACTGCGAGTGCGGGATGGCGTGCTACTGCTCTCGTCGTTGTCAGCGGGAGAACTACGCAGAGCACCGCCCGACGTGCGTCGGCTACATCATGTTCAAGCGCAAGTCCTCTTCCTTCCTTGCTCTGATATCCCCGATCTGACTGTAGGTACATCCAGCGCAAAACATGCGTGCCGCCAGCTACAAATACATCACAACCATCGCACGCACCCTCGTCAACCAGTCCCGGCGCTCCATCCTCGCCGACCTCGCCGACTTCGCCGCCGCCAATCCCGACTGGGACCCCGAATGCGAGCCCGCCGTCGTGATGGTCAACTTCTGCGTGCGGAACAACACCTTTGGCGTCCCGGGCTCGCTAGAAGGGTGCTTAGCCTCGGATGACGGGGCCTACCACCGGGTGTCTGTGACGACGACCGGCCAGAGCGAGTGGAAGTCGGGTTCGGTGCGCGCGCAGGTGCCGTGCGGAGGGCGCAACGCGGTGGTCATGCACTGTGGGGCGTTCGACTATGAGAAATTCAAGAGGGAGGAACTGGACACAAACGTGTTCCCGAAGGAAGGGCCCAAAGCCAAGATCAGTAAATTCTACTTCCCCAAGCAGGGGGCTAACACGGAACAGTCATGAGGAGCTTTATGCGAGACAGACATTGTACTGATTGGGTAGCTGTATTGAAGAAAGGCAGGGCAGTCCCTTTGACGTGACTTCCCTCTTTCGCACTGACCGAAGTCACATCAAACACGCGGCATCACAAAGGCCTTTCATTCACGACCTGTCACGCCCTTTCACTCAATGCTCCTTCGCTCTCTGCTTGTCCCCTTCGCCACTGCTTCTCGCACTTTCATTCAACGTTTGGCTCGTACTCTCATTCACCGTTTCACGACGTTCATTATATAGAGCCACACCAGCCCTTCCGCCCTCGCTTTCCTTCCACTTCTTCGCACCCTGCAGGGCTCGACGCGTTCTCCGCCACTCGCAGGCAGACCCTACTGTTTACTATGACTGACTCACACATGCAAGCCCTAGCCGGCCTCGGCGGCATGTGGGGGCGTAAGTCTCTTGACGATCTTCTGCGCTGGGCGCATGATTCACCTACTTCTACGGTACGCATTCCATCTCGATATATCCGGCATTCCTTGGTCCACTGGTCAAGACACGCAACTCACAACATGTCTAGACCTTCCCTTCAGACGAACCCTCGACCACTTTGCAGCGTCGCGCGTCGCAGACCCTCGAACGTCGCGCATCGCAGACCCTCCAGCGTCGCGCTTCCCAGCACCTCGCCCGCCGGAACTCCCAGAAGCTCGTCGCGCGGCGATCTCTAGTCCTCTCCCGGCGCCCCTCGCTCTCACAGGCGCCTTCTTTCACAACAACCGGTGATGCACCGCCGCAGGCGCCCTCGAGGCGGCCGTCGCAGGCACCGTCAAGGCGTCCTTCTCTGACTGGCGAGGGATCTTTCACCGCAGGCTCCAAGGGCTCTTTCACCGCAGGCTCCAGGGGCTCTTTCACTGCAGGCTCAAAGGGCTCCCTCACCGCCGGCGCCAGGGGCTCCTTCTCATCCAAGGGCCGCGCCCTCTCGCGGCGCAAGTCCCTCTCCATCCGCGTGCCCTCCTTCTCGCTCTACTACGCCGACTTTGGGAAGCAGCGCACGCCGCGGGCGCGCGCGTCGTTCTGCGACCTGAGCGTACCCATCGGCGGCGGCCCAGCCATCGACCCGTACGGCGGTCCCGCCGTCGACCCGTACGACCCGCAGCACAATGGGGCGGACTTGGCTGGGTCGGGTTTGGGAGAGCTGGATCTGGCTAGTTTTCCTGCGCTTCAATCGCCCACCTGCCCCGACCTGGGCGGGCCGAACCTCCCTGAGCTCGACGATACGTACTTCCAGGGTTTCTACGACGGCAGCAACCTCCGGTTCTACGACTTTGATGAGAATAACCAGTTGATTCTGACCGGGGGAGATTCTGTGGGCTCTGCCTCCACGGGCGGGCCCCCCTCGGGTGCTACGAGCGGGGGCGCTGCTGAGACAAACGAACCCTCTTCGTCGAGCAAGGAACCTTCGTCAATTCAAGACGACTCTTCTTCGAGTCGGCACGAGCCTCCCTCGGCAACACCGCTCGAGACTATCCCAGAGGAAGATCCTGAGGAAGTGGAGGTCGCTACTGTCGACGTACGTATCTCGAAGAGCCTTCATTATTGGATCTGACACTGAATCGCAGAAGGGTAAAGGCCGCGCGGAAGTACAAGAGCCTACGACGAGCGTGGCGTATCCCACTCTGGACGAGGCGATCGAAGGGTTCTTGCATGGTACACCGTCGTCGGGACCCTCGACGTCGGCCAAGAAAACCCACAGGCGCAAGAAGCTTCACCGGAGGCGCTCACTTTCGGTTCCGAAGCCCACCGCGTCGCCTGCAGATGTCTTCGGGATCGCGCCGAATGGCGTGTATTCGTACCCTCCGCCGCCGACGGCAGCCACTTCATCGAGCAAGCGCAATGGCCCATCGTCGGAAAGGCGCGAAGGGCCATCAACGGAGAGTGGCAGCGGCTCGTTGACAAACAAGCGAAGTGGCCCTTCATCGGACAAGCGCACTCGCCCGTCGCTGGACGACGTCGCCGAGAACGCTACCCATTACGAGGAAGACGAGGAAGACGAGGAGGATGGCGAGCACGACCTTGACGAGGAAGAATTCGACGACGATCCTCTGCCCCGACGCCGCCGTGCCTCTGCTACGACGGTGGAAGACGACTCGGACGACGAGTACATCGATGACGACTACTACATGCCTCGTACTCCCGCACGCCGCCGTGGTCTCGCCTCTAGCTCCCGGCACACGCCATCCTCATCGCGCAACCGTCGTTACCATCCGTACTCCCCGGCCACGCCTTCTTCCTCACGCTCGCACCGCGCTCATGCCCCTACGTACCGATCGCCTGTAGCCAATCGCCCCTTCCCCTGCCCAGTCGTCGGCTGCGACCACGCATGCATCAACCGCAACGATCTCGGGCGGCACATGCTCAAGCACGACCCGCCGGGGTGGTCGTGCTACAACTGCAGGCAGCGCTTCACGAGGCGGGACGCGCTGGTGCGGCACGTCGACAAAAACGCGAAGACATCTGCGTGCTGTAGGGGAGTACACTACGCGCGCGCTGCTGAGATGCGCGTGCATCCGCACGACAGGTTTCCTGCGGAGTGGCTGGACATTATCGAGGCTGATCCATGACTTTATGAGACTGTTGAACCACACTTTCGCTTTCCCTCCCCTAATTTACGCTGAGCTTTCCCCCTTAATCGTGTAGCCACCTTAGCAGTACGCAAGTCCCCGGGCTATGACCTACAGCTAGTGTATCGTTAGATCAATGAAAGAGTTGTACAAGTAATCCGCGGCCTCTTAGGGGTGTCTGCCAAGCAGAGGAACACAAAGTCTTCCATTTTGGGAAGACCCTCGGCTAGTTCCGCAACTTTCCGGCGGAGGCGGCGCACCGAGTTGCCTTTCAAGTTCACCCTCCGCCTGCCGAACCTCGTTGAATCGTGCCCAAATGCCGCCGCCGACTCAGGGAATATGTGTATCCCCTAACGCCTACTCTCAGCCGTCCTTCTGACTTCGCGCACCGGGTCTCGCCGTTCTTCGACATCTGAGGGTATCAAGACCCGACCGAGTCCGGGTTCAGCTGGTAGTCTATAATCGCGCTGGGCGCTGAGGATGGCCTGGAGTACTAATCTAGGATACACCCTCCGGATACCCCGCATCGCGAAGGGCTCGAAGCTCTTCAGCTAGTCGCCTACCCTGGCCTGCCGCAGAGTCATCTGCCCCCGACTTTTCACGGTGCTGTCCGGCACGCATCGACTGATACAAGCGCTGAACCAATGGCGATTGCTTTCGAACATCCCAGAACTCTTCCTTTGCGCACATGTTGCCAGCGTCGCATTAGTCAACCCTGACGCCGAAGAAGAACTCTCGTCCGGTCGAGGCCGCACCCTTGCCCACCGTGCTGTACGACGGCGTCGTGGTCTCCTCGCTATTGCCGACAATGTGCTCAAAAGATGGCCTCAGGCGGCGCGGCAGGTGGCATCGACAAGCAATTCCAGCCTCGACGCGGCGCGCCAAGCGCGCGCAGCCAATCGCGTCGGGGAGCGCTGTTTGGTCTCGGAGGCCCATTGTTTGTCCGATCCGGCTCGCATGAATGGCCAACCATGGGACCGCGCCCGCCGCCTTCGCGAACCTCGGCAGACCTTGGCGCCGTCATGGGCCTCATCGCGACTTCAGCCGAGCGCGTCTCGCGCGCGGCGATATAAAAGGCTCGCCTGCGATCGCCGTCCACCCCGTCACCTCACGTTCAGTGACTTGCGCTCTGCAAACTCGCGCTAAACAACCCCCGCGCTCGCGCCCCCTATCGCCACCGCTTTTCGTCGCCTGCCGCCTGGCTAGTTACCGCCCAGCGCCATGGCCGAAGTCGTCAGCATCCCGCTTGCGCTCCCCCTCCTCCTGGCCATGTTCTTCACATGGTCATTTGGGATCATCACGTTTGGCATGTGTATGTCTCACCCATCTTTATACCTCTTGCCAGTCCTTACTTCTATCTAGGCATCAACTCCTACCGCGGGCTCAATGGCACTCTGAAGAAGGATGGCGCCGACGTCGGCGGTACGTGCTCGTCTTCTGCTGCTACCCCTCCCTCGTACTGACGAACCCCTTCAGACGTCTTCTCTACTGACGGCGTCATCACCGCGGTCAGCGGCTTGACGTTCTGCCTCACCTGGCTCGTCCTCTTCATGATGTACGCCTCCCCGATGCGCGTCGTGCGCTCCTTCAAGGTGCTCGCCGGCATCTACTGGTTCCTCACCCTCTTCCTCTTCGCCACCCTCATCCCGTACACGCAATACATCCGCAAGGACCGCCCCCAGTGGTACGACGGGCGGAACGAGGAGTGGCCGAAGGCGTACAAGGACTATGACTATCGTGAGTGCTCGAGCGTCTGGGATGGCGAGTCAGAATCTGGCTGACGATCTGTGTAGTGGTTTGGATATCTATCTTCGGCTGGATAGGCTGGTTCTTCACTTTCATCACGGCGTGCCTGCTGCCCGCGGCCGCGTCCGCGTCACAAGGGTACTACACCCGCCGCGCGTACGAGGAGAAGGCGAAGGCGCAGCCCACCCAGGCATAAAGCGCTTAGCCTGCCCTGCGTTCAATGCGTCAAGACCGCCCGTCCAATCAATGCACCCAGACGTTCGGACTGCTGCATCGCATCTTCGGACTCTCACGCTGCATATCTCATGTTCTGGGATGCGTCAATTCCATCTAGTCCCCTGTCTTGCCCTCCCACCCCTTTCATGGTTGGAGGTCTTTTCCGCCATTCACCTTGTGTTGCGCTCGCGTCTCGAGTGTCACTTACGTTCTACTTCAGATTCATCTCACTTCCCCTTCTCGCATCTCCTGATGACTTTCACGCTACCTTACGATTACTGTACAACTAGAAGATCGGAAGTTGAAGACGTGCGTTATGACGCACCTAATGTAGAGCCTTTTTCAATGAAGCTTGGGCCCTTCTGTAGTGCCTACAGTCTACCGTGGCGTCAACTTTGACCAGGGAGTCACGGTCACGAGGCCTGGTCAGAAGCTCTCTACTTTGCGTGACCGAAATGCTCTGGGCTCGAGCTCAGGGCGCTTGCACAATCCCTGTGTCTTGAATGAAGGGACGTATACACAACAGCGGATCTTCAACGCGCGAAGGTTTGAAGTTGAGGCGAGGCCCTCTGTGTACGGCTCTGAGGCACATCGGCTCTGAAAGATTCTCTTGACTACAGTATCCCCTAAGGCGGTCGCGGCAGGGACGGTACAGCTCTGCGTCGATTCTACGCCAGGGATCACGGAAGCATATCGGTGTGGGTCCATGGACACGTTCGGCGTTTGCCGGATGGACCCCCAACGCGTCGACAGTAAGTAGTACACTGCACAACATTGGTGAACGCCAGGGTAGTACAGACACAGGCATGATACACTGCGATATATACGACAAGATATTGTACACAGAAGGGAGGACAAGGAGTCATCACCTTTCTTAGCGGGTAATACGGCGAAAGCCTGTCGCTTTCGCCTCCGTCCTTTCGAGCCTTACCCGCCCACGAGGCATCGCATCTATCCCTCGTTCGCGCCAGCATCCTCAGTCTTTCCACCACTGGCATCCGCCTTCGCCTCCTTATCCTCCTCTACCTTCTCCGCGACCGCCTCCGCAGCCTCGTCTGCCTTCTTGTTGCCGTCGGTCGCGCCGTTTGCCTTGTCCCCCTCACCCGCATCCGCGCCGTCCGCCTTCAAGTTGCGAATGAACTCGAGCGCCAGCCGCGGGCTATCAACCGGCTTAACGGGCATCTTGCGGTCGAGAAGCTGGTGAGGCATACAGTCAACGATTGACCCGAAACGCGCACAAGGGCAAAAGCCAGCCCCTCACATACCTTCCCATCCTTCCCAAACACGAAGTGGCTGCGCGCCGTCTTGCCTCCTTTAGCCGCGCCGAGGGCGCCGATGAGTGTGCGCTCGGGATCGGAGAGGAGGGAGTAGGGCAGGGATTTCTGCGTTGGGCGTCAGAGTCGTGTCCAGCTTTCGAATAGTGGTGTCGAGCTTTCGAATAGTCGTGTCGAGCTTTGGGACAGGCTACATGGACGCACCTTCGTCTGCCATTTCGCCTGCGCGGTGGGCTTATCCGCGCTGACGCAGTACACATGGAAGCCCTCCTTCTCGAAGTCGCTGTAGACATCGCGGAAGCCGCATGCCTGGGTGGTGCAGCCGGCTGGTGGGGCGGATGCAGGCAGGTGGCGGGGCGGATACAGCCAGGCGGTGGAGGATCCAGCCGTTGGGCGAGGTGAATGGACGGCACGAGGGCCCGGCGTGTCGAGCGAGGAGGAAGGAGGGAAGAGCGTGTGGACGGAGTTAACATATCGAGGAAGCGTGTTGAGACAGGCAGCGTGTTGCGCAGTGAGACGAAGCGGCGGGCGGGCAACGGAATGAAGGCGGACGGGGAGCACCAGACGCGTAAATCAGCATGAACGCGTAGATCAGCAGCGGCTCACAGCAGTTGGTGAACGATACACACGCGTATCCGCCTTCGGGACGAGAAAGAGCACGACACCGCGGTCGGCCTTCGCGGCGAGGGCGCTGACATCGACATCCTCGTCCTTCTCGTTCTTGAGGGTCAGGGAGGGCAGGACGAGGGAGGTAGGCTAGGATGTGGTTGCGTCAGACATGAACGTGATAAACTGCTAGGTGGGCGGCGCATTGAATTCAAGGAACGAGCCAGGCTGGATGAAGGGGAACAAGTGCGGGGTATGCGGACGATCGAGTCTCACCTTGTCCCCCGCGCCGTCGGCCTCTGCGTCCTTCTCGGCCTTGACCTGGTAGTCATAGACACACGCGTCAGATCCCCTCTGGACCGCTGATCACACCTCACGCACCTTTTTGGCCCTGCGCGCGCCCGCCGCGTCGCCGTCTGCGGTCCTCTTGGCTGTCTGGACACACGACGAGAGTGAGGAATGCGATGGTAGTGCAGTAGAGTGAGGAGAAAATCAGTCAGGAGTAGTCCCCCCTCCATTCAACATGTACACGCACCTTCTTCGTTGATTCCTCAGCCTTCGGCTGGGCCGTGATACGCGACGAGCGACGCGGGGCGACGTCGGGGTCAGCAGGCGCGGCTTTGCGAGGAGGCATTTTTACAGACGATAAAAGACACAGTCAGAGATCGACGGTGGGGCAATACTTGGGTGCACTCAGAGTGGTACAGCCCGCAGAGGTTATCTTCGCGAAAATATTCGAGTTCGAATCGAAGACGCGCCTGCGCGCCACCGTGACCTCCCACGTGCCCGGGCCGAATTAGGCCGCCAACGCGTCACGCTTCCTCAATTGCGGCTTTCTTCTGACGCTCATGCTGGCCACCCTTCGATTCAGTCGCTTCGTATCGCTGCTCTATGTACACCCTGGAAGAAAACATGGCTCTTTCTGTGGACTCGAAATGTCGACGTCAAGCTGCACGCACAGACTGGATGCAGTCAATCGTTTTGGGTTTACCTAACCAGCGCAATGGCATTCACGCATGTACTATCCGACCGCATAGCATGCCGTTTTTGCAGCCATATATGCGATGGTGCGCTCTGTATTTGGATCACTGCGCAATCTCTGCGTCTTTTCCGATGCTTCGCTTCCCGGCCACGCTAGTCTCCCGGTCCCCTCTCATCCTATCTTGTGATCTTCTTCTGCCTCCCTTCTACCGTCCCAGGTTGTTACTTCAGCTGGTCAAGCTTGTGCATTGGCGGTATACGGTTTCTGCATTCTCAGCTTCTTATATCATTTACTCGCGTTGTAAACACCCCATTCGCCACCCATTCTCCTCATATGTACCCAAAGCCTCCACGGTTTACTTCTGGAATACATCAGCCACATCTCCTTGTTTTCAATTGCTATTCCTCGGAGGCTGATACTATATACTGCATTTTGCTCTCAGACTTTAACCTTCAATCGCTGACCCCCCAAATGGCGCCAAGCTTAGGCTACGCTTCATCCTCGAAAAGTATATGTGTCGGCTGCGCGAAAGGGTGGGGTAGCTGACGCGTCTGCGCAGGCGTTACAGATTATACTCGTGCGAGTCTGTGCCACGAACTATGGGACTTCTCTTTCCGCCGGTTCTGAATTTACGAAGCAGGGTGCGCCTCCAAGTCCACTTACTCGATGGAACTGATACGACCTCAGCTTGCAGGTCAATCCTGGATTGATAGGCTGTCACAGTCGAGCTGCCGTCGCGAATCAAAAACTGTGCTTTCCACTGTACGCACAAATGAGGATATCACTCATAATCGCCAATACGCTCAGGCATAGTCATCTACTCTATCGAGCTGGTGGCTTTCTCCACCCCGCCACGCGATTCTGTACTAGGACGCCGTCCGCGCGTTGCAGTTTCGTATAATACAGCGAAGCTAGGTACGTCCTCCCGACTGCGCCAAGGAAACGAGGTTCCTCAATGAACACTCCAGGGCGCGCCAACACTTGTGCGAAATCGGCATACCAGAAGCCGAGTATAACCAGCTGACGGGGCCATGAACGAGCTGAGGGCGTGAAAAGGAGCTTCGACCGCGTGTAAGTGAGCTTCTTACTAGTAAGCTGCCGGTTAGTGAGTTTCCTGCATATGAAGCCGCATACGGATGACTTATATACAGCGCGCACCCTTCAGTGGAATGACTATACGCTCTACGATGCCAAACGCGGGAGTAACCAGTACGACGCCTCAAGGACCCAACGGAGTGCCCGAGTCCCAGAGGAGCCGACCCAAAGCGAAGAGCAGTGAGTACAACTTCAGCGCTATGTGCTACGTCGGCCTCGTTAACATTTTCACTTACCAGACGATTGGCGCGGCTACATTGATAAGTACGAAGACGATCGGCTGGGCGAGGAGCTGGGGAACGATGCGCGCGTCTGGAGGGTTCTCATCGACGAAGGCCGCGACTTTGATGCGGCGATGCTTCAGCGCTTTCGCGACCACCTGGATGTGGACCTCGTTTTTGTGAGTATCTGACCTTACTCGCTCGAGGAGCATCGCTGAACATACCACTAGGCTGGCCTCTTCTCGGCTGTCGTAACAACCTTCGTAGCCCAAACGTCCGCGCCAAATCCCCCGGACGACGGCAGCACCAGCATTGCGCTCCTCAGGGAACTTGTTGCAATCCAGCGTGCCCAGGCGAACAATATGCCCTTGAACACCGTGCTCGCAGCCGCTTCCTCCGCGCCGCCCGGCTTCAGTCCCTCGATCAATCGCTGCTGGTTCCTCAGCCTGGCCTTCAGTCTGTTCTCGGCCTTTGGCGCCGTCGTCGTCAGGCAGTGGATACAGGTAGGGTACTACGATCGACCCGGCGACTCCCTCGCTGACCTAGCTCGCAGGAGTACGAGAGCGAGATATCTGGATCTCCCAAGCGTCGAGCCCTCATTCGACACTTTCGCCATATCGGTCTGGAGAAATGGCAGGTCAACCTCATCATCCCGATCCTACCGATGCTCCTCCACGTCTCCCTCCTTCTCTTCTTCATCGGGCTAGTCCTCTACGTTCGCCAGTCCGACCCCGTCATGTCCAAAGGGATCTTCTTCCTCACTGCCGCTTTCTACGCAGTCTACTTTACGACGAGCTTCCTGCCAGTACTGTTTCCCCAGTGCCCCTATCGCTCTCCGCTGTCGACCGGCGGGATCTGGCTCAAGTCGCTAGGGGCATGGCTCGTACACGCGGTGCGCCGTAATCCGCAGCAGAGCGGCCCGTACGTTCTAAAGTCCCCGGCTGATCGCGAGTGGGAGGCGGTAGCAAAGTGCCCGAAGGGTCTGATCCCGCACAGTCTGGAGAGGGCCATGCGGGAATCCCCCTCGCTCTCCGTCGCTCTGACGGTCATCCAAGCTGCGTCCAGCTTCACCGTCGGCCTCGACCACGACCACAGCCAGTATCCCGACAAGGAGCACCGCAAGTGTGCTCTTCTCCGCGAAAGCATCTTGGCGTGGCTCTACGGCGCCTTGACCTCGCGAAGGGCCGTATTCGAGTGGGCGCCGGGTCGGGAGAACGAGCTCCAGCGCCTGGCGTGCTGCCTCTTGCTCGTTCCGGTAAACAAACTCCACAAGGAGCTCGACAGGCAGCAGTACTGCATGTGCGGCATACGCATCTGGACCGCGCTGGAGCAGGCGGTCATGTCGCGAGAGGTTATGGACACTGCTGCACCGGCCGTGTGCGCGACAATTCTCGCTCTTGGGCAGAGGCTCAAGACCCTCGACTACCGATATAACGTCCCCATCAATTGCGCTCTGCAGAAGAGGATGGTTGAGGTCTACGCGGTGATGGCCAAACGGGCCCCGCACACGCGTCTGCGTTTGCGACCCGTCGTGTGGGACGGTATGCTCGAGTCCTTGACGAGCTGCCACGCACCCACGGAGATTTGCGTTCCCTTCGCGCTCGCGCTGTGGCGTAGTCTCAATTGCAGCACGTCTTTTCCGACCAAAGACGAATCGCTCGGGAATACGTCGTCGTCCACTATCATGACTTTGCAAGCTTGGCTGTATGCGACGAAGCAGACCAGCCTCGTAACGCAGGTCGTTATGCATCGCTTCTTATGCCGCCCGTCATGCAGGATGCTTCCGGTACGCCTTCCTTTTCGCCGCCTATGTTCAAGCTAATCATAGTTCTCCCTTGACCAGCTCCCCGACGATCACCTCTCAAGCGCGTCCGATGCCTCGACGATCAGCAGCACCTCCACCGCTCGGAATGACAGTGCTTGGTTGCACATGGCGTGCCGTGCTATCCATCTGTACGTTCAGACTGACCAGGCAAGCAGAGGCGCGGCCTTCAACGATCACCTCGGGTTCTTGGCCGAGCAGTTGATCTCGACGCTCGCCACCAACCTGGGATACGGTCCCCTCTACACCGCTCTGCAGATTGCCGGACGTCTACGCGTTTCTTCCCTCTTCGAGTCGAACTTCCGCCTTCGTCCCAGTTCAGGTCTCGAGGAGATGATCAAGCCCGACGCGGATGAAGGCCTGCACCATGACCTCGTCGGCCCGTTTTTCTGGTTCCTTGTCGGTCTCATGCGGGCGGTGGTCGACGCGCCCGCTAGCCATGACCGCAACGCAGCACCTCAGGGCGACAGGGCGACGAAGGAGGTCGCGCACGCGACGGAGCGCCACGTCGAGAGGCACCGCGAATATCTGATCAAGATCCTTGTCGAAGACGTGGATTCCCTCGAACTTCTCCGTCCTCTGGCGATGACGATCATCACTCATCCTGAGCTTGCGGCTCTCTCGACTTTCACGGACGCGCTTGCCGAGAAGATGGCTTTACTTCTACGCCAACTGGCTTCCGGCGACAGTACGCAGTCGCCCACCGATGGTGGTCAGCCGCAAGGTGTTGACGCAGGGCCCAGCGACCAGCCACCGCAGGACCTCGTTTGGTGCATGTGGGTGGATGCCTTCTGCAGGGGTGCCGGACAAGCGAGCGCGGCATCCTCCGATGCGCTGCATGGTGCATTGCTCTCCATGAGCCGCATACACCAAGACTCATGGGCACGAGAGGTCGAGTCCGTCAATTCGCAGCCACTCTCCGTACCCAAGGGTATGACGCTGCGAAGCCCGCGGAGTCGCGAAGTACTCGCAGAGCTGGTGCCAAACGCTCAAGTGGTACTTTTGAATGCAATGGTCTCCGTTCCACCCATGCTGTACGTTCCTCAGCTCCTCCAAGCTATCTCATCTGCTAACCGCATTTGTCCCCGTCAGGCGTCGTACCTTCGTCGTCGACCCAGGTCTACGCGACAATGACTCGGACTCTTCCGTCTCCATGTCGGAGATCGTCACGTTCGACGAGTGCCACAGGCGAATGAGAGCAGGCACGCCTGCAGACGACGCTCACAGTCATGCTCCAGACGCTGGGAAGGCGGAAGATGATGGTGAAGTCGGCCAGTGGACGACTTTAAGGAGCTATTCGACTCTGAACGACACATGGGCTGACTCTGCCTTGCGCTGGTTCCGCCGTCAGCTAGGTCAGTAGTCTCATACCCGTTGATCTGACCGAATCCTATTAACTTTGCCCCAGCTTCAGCTCGGAGGTCAAAGGTGGTTGATGAGGAGATGGCTTCGAGCTTGTGCTACCGAGCGCCATCCACACGTGCTAGCGATGTCGAAAGCAATGGCTGTAGTTACGGTGAAGGGCGCAGAGGGCTGCCATAAGTAAATGTTGGAACGAGGGCGCGCTGACGTATATATATCTCGGGATTGTTTCTACTTAATCATTGCATTTACTGTATCATATAGGTATCGGAGGGATCTTTCGCAGTCAACTTCATGTTGCTGCTTCCCAGGTCTTGAGTCGCCTAATAAGTACTAAGATCCTGCAAGATGGCCAAGCGCGCAATTTGCCGAGACTTGTCCACGTGACCATACCTGTCCGGCCTCCCGCGGCCCACCTGGACCTTGTTTACAGCAGCGATGGGAGGTCGACGCATCGCAAAGCAAAGGGTGTAGAGAAAGCTGAACTACCCGCGTGGATTATCTGAAGCTATGCTATGTACAGCGTAAAGGCGGTCCTTGCTTGGCTTCTTCCTATTTCCTATTCAGCTCAACCTTCCAGGTCAATGGTGAGCTGTGCGAGATCTTCTGATTCATATAGGGAGTACGTTGCCGGGAAAGACGGGGGCTCAAGCTATTGATGTTCTCGCTCGCCTCAATGCTGCTCTGAACCGGTGAGTGCAATGAATGCGCTGTCCATCACAGCCAGCTATACGTACACGGCGATTCAGTGCAGGATAAGTCAAGTCATGAGGTGAGTGAACGTCCCATGGGTCCTTCCTGCCTCTTTCCTTCTCATACTGCTGTCATTCTCCTCCGACAACGAGTCCAGCAGTGTCAAAACCAGCAGTGAGCAAGGGTATCCGAGCGCCGATATAGGCTCAGGATGATGCCGGACCTTAAGGGAGGCGCCCATGGGACAGGAGCATTCAGTGCGTAGTTCTCTGCTCCGAATACATTGCGTCTAATTACCCCTTTAGACGGTCCTTACGATTACGAGGAGAAATATGAAGAAGATCGATACGGCGAAGAATTCGGACCCAATGCTCGTGTCTGGCGCGCTCTTCTCGATGAGGCGCGCGCCTACGATTCGACAACGGTAAAAGGCTGGCGGGATACTTTGGACGTGTATCTTGTATTCGTGAGCTCATTCATATTGGCGACCTATGCGACCACCTCATGCGCCTCCCAGACCGGGTTGTTCTCTGCGGTTGTCACCACATTCGTCGTTCAGACGTCCCAGTCGCTGCAGCCGGACTACGGAGAGATCAATACAGCTCTTCTGATGGAGTTGATCGCCGTTCAACGAGCGTCGGCGAACGGTCGGTCCGTCAATAACATTCCCTCGGCGAGCCTTACGGCCAGCTCCATAACAGCATCTCTCGTCGACTACTGGGGAAACCGATTCTGGTACCTCAGTCTAGCACTCAGTCTGTTCGCTGCTTTCATGGCCGTCCTTCTCAGACAATGGCTTCAGGTGCGCATATTTCCTCCCCAGATATATTTCGTCGTTCTGACCCGTATTAGGAATACACAAGCGCCGTATCCGGCAGTGCGAGGCATCGAGCGCGCGTCTGGCAGTACAGGTATCTCGGTCTGCAGAACTGGAGGGTACCTCTACTGGTGGCGCTCCTACCTATGCTGTTACACGCCGCCTTGCTCGTCTTCTTCATCGGCCTCATTCTGTACGTCACTAAATCCGACCCTTCGATGGCGTGGGTGCTCGCCGCACTCACGGCTTTCTTCTACTCCCTCTATATTCTGTCCAACGCCCTGCCCATGCTCTACCCACAATGCCCATATCAAACGCCTGTGTCCCACTACGGCTATCTGTTGTTCCATTCGGCATTCGCATGGCTGCGGCGGCCATTTCGCCAACAGACTGCGTCACCCCAGGTGGCCCTACCGCCCTTCTTGCGCGCGAGGACGCCCGGGGCGCGAGAAGTGGTCCATATATCGACTCGCAAGAACGAACTCGCCCTCCAAAGCCTTACTTGGGCCTTCTCGACGTCATCAGATCCGTCTTTAGCCACAATTGTGGTGCAGGCTGCCTCTGGTCTGCAGCCGGATTGGTGGACCAGCCCTCTGCGAGTCAGCCTTCTGACGTGGTTTCGCAGTACTTTGACTACTCGGACGACGGACCTTGATTGGGAAATCGGCCGCGAGCGCAAGTTGGAGCGCTACGCGTGCGCTCTCCTGCTATCCACCGCCGATGAGGATCGCGACAACGGCCACAGCGATGCCGGCGGCTATCGTGACGACGGCGACGACGACGGCGATGGCGATGGCGACGATGAAGGTAGCGAGGACGAAGTGCTTCGCATGTGCATTTCGCGCGTCTTGCGAGCTCTGGGTACAGCGATCCGCTCGAAGGACGCCGACGAGCAGAGCAAGCCGATCTTGGAGGCGACGGCGCTAGCCCTTTCCGACAGGCTCTATCCTAATAGCGAGGTCCTCACCGAACAATTCCCAGCTCTATTCCTAGGCCCTTCATCCGCCCTGGATAGGACTCGAAGTGCGTCCGATGCTGACTTTTCGTGGGGAGGATCGTCGCTCGCGGGCCCAACCCCGCCCCAGTGCTTGCGCCTGCGGCCAATCGTATGGAAACACATGCTCAAGAGCTTGGTGTATTCGAGGTTCATGCCGTCTCAAGACTGCCTCTACCTCGCGCTTTTCCTGTGGCGCAGCGTAGGCCTTGCCTCGAACTTTAGGAGAGACGACAAGCGCGATGTCAAGGGCATTGTAACGCTACAATGGCTTTGCACGACAGAAAGCCAGGACAGGGAGTTGTTCCGAGGGCTGGCGCAGCAGGCGATTCATCATCTCCTACCTTGCGCGTTAGAATCTTGTGACGTGCTAGAGGTGTGTCTTTCGGGGACCGCTTTCACAAGCTAGAGAATCGGTCTGACATCGACTGCGCAGAGCGAAACCCACGCGAACGGCACTAGCTCGACAAGCAGCCGCGCGCGACCGCATCATTCACGCATCCAGGAAGATCACGGCGCTTGGCTGCATATATTGCGCCGCGCTATGAAGGAATGCGCTGCTCGCCAAAACGAGTTCCCCGTCGAGGTCGGCCAGATCACTTTCGCAGACATCATCAGGGACCTGGCTCGCGACTTCATCCACATTCTCTACTTCCACCCTCTGCTCGCGCTCGACTTCCCCGACGTCAGCGCGCTCATCTTCGACAGCCGTCACGTATCCGTAGAAGTCAAGAAGAAGTTCCTCCGTCACCAGCGACTGCTCTTCAGGTTCCAACACCGCCTGGCGATACACGAAAGTCACAACTGGGCAGTCACGGGCGGCGCCGCGCGGTTCAATATCCTCGTCAAGCTCTTGTCGGCGACCACCGTCGTTTTCGACTCCGTACCCATGAGGTATCACGCCCAGCAGCAGATCTTCACGGCGCTTCATCCCATGCTTGACGGCCCAACCGATGCCTTGTTCGACGCGGTCTTCGCGGACGAGCTGAGTTTCCTCGAGCGTCTGCGGCCTTTGGCCGAGACCAGCTTGAACGAGCCAGAGTCCGCACACTACGCGAGGTCTCTTTCGTCGGTGCTCGCTGCGTACATTCAGCACGCGACGCATGACAGTCAGACCTCGGCCAACGACATGCGGAGCTGTCGAGATGTTATCTGGTGCATCTGGATAGACATTATCGCCACTGCCAAGCTACTACGTGCGTTTAGCCCGCTGCACGACGCGCTGCTAGCATGGCTCGGACGCGACGTGTACCAGCGGGATGTATTGCTTCGAGAAGTTGTTAAAGTCACGAAGGGGACCCTTCCGCTTACTCTTGGAATGGCCTTGAACGACGCACGCGGTACAGAAGCGCTCACCGATATTTTGTCTGCTCTCAGCGTCCAGAATCGAAGAAGATCGTCGATCGAGCCAGGGAAGATTGTGGCTGGGCTTCACGTTCAAGTTCCGCGGGACGCGAATGGGGCAGTGAACGAGGCATGGTGAGATTGCATTTCATCTCCGCTCTACCGTTCGTTCACAGCACGTTACCCGCGTCAGGATGCGCGCTGCGATATCCGATCCTGAAGAGCCCATAAGTGGCCAGACGCTGCCGGTATCAAGGCTTTTGTCTTTGGAAAAGTTTCACGAGCGAGCAGGCGACGCGCCTCCAAGCATCATCCACTTCGACGTTCATGGCATCTGGAGCTGGTCCGGGCATGGCGCGCAAGGAAGCACTCTGCTCAGCGCTGAGGAAAGGGATCAAGACGAGATCGTGAACACACGCCAGGGCCGCGCGTTCGGTGATGTACGGCCGTATGGTCTTAGCGACATGATGGCTGCTGAAGACTACGCACAGGATGATGGCGAGGGCACGCGTCGAGCTGCATATCTGTGGAAGGTGCTTCGAGCTGTGACAAGTGAGTGATTGACACTGGCTTTCCACGGCGCGGGGCTCGTACTTACGCTCGTCATACAGACGTTCACGCCAGCTATCGCCAGCCAAGGCGAACTCAGGTCAATGGCGGTGGCGGGACGGAACGGGCTATCGCGAACTCCGTCTGACCATAGAAGGGTCCGAGTGTGTTGATCCTAGTGAACTATCCAGGGGGAGTATCTCAGACGAGGTGTCCTATATATAATTACTCCAGATTATACAGGTATGTTCGTGTCTGTGACAGAAAGAGGTGGACCAGGACGGCTGCGCAAGCGCTCCTGCAATGATAGCAAGAAGAAAGGACGATTTCGTGTTGTGTAAGACTCAGGTGTGGTGGGAAATGGCGCAGGAGCTGCCTCAAGAGGCGTATACGTGAAGGAGGAGAGGCGTAGGAGCGGAGGAAGGCCACGCCTTCGCAAGGGGCTTCGCCTCAAACCGGGCGCGCTGTTCTCTGATGCAAACTGGCGGCGGAGAGAAAACTCGTGCCCTTACATCTCGTGTGACTGCATTGCCGCTTGATTGCCTGAATCAAAAGGTAATCAAGTTGCGCACCAGGCGAGCCCAGTTGTCACGGTTGAATCAATGTGACGCTGTAACGTGGGACTATGAGCACGTGCTTCGGGCAAGGCCCGGGCCCCGGCCTAACCTCAACCTGACGCCCACATCCTTGAGCGATATGCATGCGCGATGCTTCCGCGCGGTCACCTCGCCCATATTACAGTATTCCTATGAGCGAATTCCCTTTCACCACGGATACCCATAAATTAATGACACCCTCATCCAGAATTGACTCAGGTTCTTCGCGCCACGAAGACGGAGCTTCTATCTGACAAATGCGATGAACTACCACATATCTATCCGCCCGGCGCATGCGAAAGGCCGTAGTGTCACTGCTCTGAGCTTCTGTTGTTCGATGGCGATGTGTTTTCCCTAGTATCATCAAGGGTGGGAACGCGGGCCTCACAGCAAGCAGCTTGTCTCCTACACCCATCCCCTCAGCAACCCAAACGCTCGTCGACGATGGACGATCCGCACGATCCGCCCGCCTCAAGCGGTAGAAAAACGTTCGGAATTCACAAGTATAATCCCGAGTACTGTCTAGGTGATCATTACACGCCTCTCTCGCTTGCCGTATCGCTCACCACTCACCGGCCGTAGGTTCGGGGGCGCAGCGCGAGAACAAGCAACGCGGCTGCGAAGGCAAATACGAGGACGACGCGCTTTACGAAGAACTCGGGGACGATGCGCGCATCTGGCGTGTCATGCTGGACGAGGGTCGGATCAACGACGCTGCGATGCTGCAGCGCTTTCGCGACCATCTCGACGTGGACCTCGTTTTTGTGAGTGCATGATCTGCGCTATCGAGATCCACGTTAATCGTACTCTTCAGGCCGGTTTGTTCTCGGCCGTCGTCACGACCTTCGTCGTCCAGACATCGCAGACGCCCCCCAAAACTGGCGACACTACCATCGCTCTCCTACTGGAAATGATTGCCATTCAGCGAGCGTGGGCAAACGACCCTCGTGTGGATGACGTTGCCTCCTTCAGCCCTCCCCCGCCGTCGCCTAGTCCCAGTCCCTGGATCAATCGCTGCTGGTTCCTCAGCTTGATCTTCAGTTTGTTAGCTGCCTTTGGCGCCGTAGTTGTCAGGCAATGGTTGCAGGTATGCTGAATGGGCCGTTTACGCGCGCGCGGCACTGAACGACTTTACAGGAGTACGAGAGCGACATCGCCGGGTCTCCGAAGCGGCGCGCGCTCGTCCGCCACTTCAGACGCGTCGGCTTGGAGAACTACAAGGTCCACCTGATTGTGCCGATCCTCCCCATGCTCCTGCACGTCTCGCTGCTACTGTTCTTCATTGGACTCACTCTCTACGTGCGCCAGTCTGATCGCTCCATGTCGAATGGGATCATCGCACTCACCGTCATAATACTACTTGGTATACCTGGCGACGAATCTCATGCCAGTCTTTCGCCCCCAGTGTCCATATCGATCCCCGCTTTCCACGGGTGCGCACTGGGCAAAATCTCTGGCTGCTTTAGCATATGCCCTCCTTCCCAGAGGGGTCAGAATAAATGTTCGGCTGTCATTGTTTCCTCGAACCCACTTGTACCCTGCATTGTATTTCCGCTTTCTGGCGATGCGGAGACGTGCGCGCTTTCTGGTGATACAGAGACTTCCGCGCTTTTTGGTGACGCGGAGACGTGCTCGCCTCTCTCACTCTCTCAAGTCAATCTTCTCTACCCGCGCCAAGGCGGTCAAGCTCCGACTGGAACGAGCGCACACAATCGTTTGCGACCAATCACGTATCATTTGGAAAGTACTGCAGAACGGTTGGAAGGAGGTCTTTAAGACACCCGACGCCCGTGAATGGGAGGCCGTGCTGAACTCTACCGACACGTTGATGCCCGACAGCCTTGACTCGATGGTTCAGACATCCTCAGACTTATCCGTCATCCCACTTGTTGTGCAGGCCGCATCCAGTCTTCCAATCAACCATGCTCGTTATGACGACCGTGCTTATGCGGATCCGCGCTACACCGAGCTCCTCCGTTATCGCCTTCTTCCTTGGTTCATCAATGCACTGAGTACATGCCATACGGTCTTTGACTGGGTGCCAGGTCGAGAGAACGAACTCCAGCGTATGGCATGCACTCTGTTGCTCGTCCCAACTCTGCGAGAATCTTCGAGACTTTTAACTCTGTCGTGGAAGGAAATTGACATGGCTCAATATTGCACGTGTGTCTCACGGGTCTTGCGATCCTTGACATCTGCGCTTCTAAATCCTCCCAGCACACACACGGCTACAATGGCCAATTTGGCCACACTGAGCATGACTCTTCTTGCTCTCGAACACCGACTCATCAGCCTTGACTCCGAGTCGAAGCACCCTCGCGATGATGCACTTCTGGAAACTATTGCCGATGCATATTCATCACTCTCCGAGACAAACTCGCTCACGGTGTTGCGTCTCCGCCCCGTGATTTGGAGAGAAGGGTTGGATCTCTTGGGCTGGTCGGGGCAATCTGCATATATCTTGTCGCGCTGTTCGGGGAGGTCTGCAGACAACAAAGCCTATCTTGCGATCGCTCTGTGGCACAGTCTGTATTCTGAGGCACCACTTCCGAATAACGATGACCAAGTAAAAAAACGCCTCGCTGGATCATCTCGTGTTACCTTGCAAGAGTGGCTATACCTGCATCCGGCCTCCAAGTTCTCGCAGAAGGTGGTATACTCCTTATATGGTCTTTCGTGCAGTCAGTCCTGCAAATCGGATAAGGTATGACCTGAAATCTATCTGGGCGGTTCGGGCTAACCCTCCTTGATTCATAAGCATCTGGTTCCATACCGTGGACTACATCGACACATTCGCTTACACATGATGGGCCACGCAATCGACGCGCACGTCAAGATGGGTAACGTCAAGGGAGATGCATCCTGTGACGATACCCTTGGCTTCCTGGTCATTCGATTTACTGAGGACTTGCTTCAAACTCACTTTTTTGAGCCAATCACCTCTGCATTGCATATCATTGGATACGCGAAAGTCTCAGCCCTGTTCAAGTCAACATTCCTTGCTCGGGCCACTCTGCCACTCGCGAGCTGTGCAAAGGCAGTACGCTTACCCGCGACCCTCGCCGTATCGTTGTTCTGGTTCCTGATCAAGACCATGGTAGCAGTTGAAAGGGCTGCCGTACGCTTCGTCCCGCTGGCAGGCTGGAGTTGCGCTGTCTCCGGCATCTTCCGCGTGCTGAATCGACTTACAACTGAATATTGTGGAGAACTAGCGAACACCCTTGGTAACGACGACGTATCTCTCATAGACCTCCAGCTGGTCTTTGAAAAAATCATGGAGGATCCCAGGCTTGCCGTTCTGGACCTTCCAGACGCTTTAGCAGCATCTTTAACCACACAGCTCAGCAAAGTGACAGGTCAGGAGCAGTCGAATCTTGAGGTTTGGCCTTCCAGCAGCACTGACGACTAGACTTTAGATCTGACACCATCCGACTGGTTTGCAGAAAATATGACATGGTGCCTATATTTGGACGTCCTCTGTGCCGCGCGTGCCAACACAAAACAACTCGACAGGAAGTTTCCTGATGCATCGCGCAAGTTGCACTCGACGTTGTCAGGACTGAAAACGCGGAGAATTGAGTTCACTCGGAAGCTCGACGCCGGTTTGTATCGTATTCCACTCGCCGTGTCCTTGGCGCTCAGGAGCGCGCATGGTCAAAGCGTGCTAGCAGAGTGGGTAGATGATTTGCCCAGCCTATTACAGGACCCGAGGTCTGGGTTGAAGGTTCCGGGTCCGTCAGACTCGACTCTTAGAGAATGGTGTGCTCCTTAGTCGCTTGGCCCATCTCATCTGCTGATTTTCTGCGAATCCGTCAGCTCTCATCACTTCACTAATAAGCCATACACGCAAAATGGCTACCCCCACGAAGATTGGCACAAGGATGATCGGTGGCACATATCCGAGATGGTCACCTTCGAAGAAGCTGTCGAACGGATGCAGAAGGCCGCCGCTGAGCCCGCCGCGGTACACCCACATAACGCACAAAGAAGCTGGCTAAGTGATGACTCTGAGTCTGTCATTGACGACTCTGCTAGCGAGTATGACAGTCTCGATGGTCAAGGAGACGCCGAACATACGCAGAGCCAGATCATCGCCCGACTCAGAGCCCTCGGCGCGTGGATACTCCCCCCAATAAAGGGTGCTCGCGCACGTATATGTGCGCCTGTCCTTGCCGTCATTCGAAAACCCTCTCAAATGACGGTACGTGCAACAGCGAGCATGCCCTGTCCTCTTCGTCGCGGTGAGAGCGACCGTCGTCCGTCGTCCATGGTGCTCGACGATATAGAGAGCGGCCGCGCAGGCCTAGCGGTGGCGGACCGAAATGGAGGTGGCTCTCCCATCTCGGTCAGTCAGCCGGTAGGACGCGAGGACGGCGACGCAGGCCTGGCGACGATGGAGCATGGCGGCCGCGAGTCGCTCATACGAGCGGGGGAGTCGGAGGAAGGACAGGGTGGCATGCGCGCTCGGGACGGCGGGCGGAGCCGGGACGGCGAGCAAGGTCAGGACAGCGAGCAGAGTCGGGTCGGCGAGCAAGCCGGGCCGGCGAGTCGAGTCAGGACGGAGGAATACCGCACGTCCAGACGCGAGAGACGGTGGAGGGAATGAGCGCGCCCATGGATGCGGAAGACGGAGGGACGACCAGCGCGAGCGAGGTTCCTGATGCCGGACAATGCGGCGAGCGGCGGCGAGGCGATGAACAGGGGCGGGTCGACAAGCAGGATGAGGACGACGAGCAGGATCATGACGGCGAGCAGGATCATGACGGCGAGAAGGGGAGCTGGGACGGCAAGCAGGGTCAGGGCGGCGAGCACGGACGGAATGATGAACACGGACAGGATGGCGAGCATCCTCAGGACGGCGCGCAGGATCGGGACGGCGCGCAGGATCGACGCGACGAGCAGGATCGGGACGGCGAGCAGAGCCAGGACGACGAGATGACGCACGTCCAGTCACGAGACACGGAGGTGGAAATTCGTGCGCGCGAGGACGCGGGCTATGAAGGCGGGGACTAGGGCTGACGAGCGCGGGGACTAGCGCTGGCAAGCGCGGGGACTAGCGCTGGCGAGGCCGCTGGGTAGTAACCCTCAGGAGGACGCTGGGGAGTACCGCCCTCGAGGACGCTGGAGAGCAGCGCCCGCAGGCGGCGCCAGTGGAAGAGCTGCAATAGGCGATGAGCATGAGTTTAATTTAACGACAGACTGGAAGATACATACACGATGGATTGGAAGATATATACACGACGGACTGAAAGATACATACACGACAGACCCGTATCCGCGTACGACGCTTGAACATTGCGACTCTTTCTCGAGCTACATACGAGCTTGCGCCCTAGTACTGCATCTTGTCCTGTAAATTCCCGAGTTACTGCGTTTCTGGCCGTCCGCGCCTTCGTCGCTAGCTTCCCGAGGCACCTAATCACTCAACTGGTAGTACCCTCATGGCAAGCGGTGCACAGAGAGTGAAGATGAGGACATACAGTGAAGACGAGGACATACAGTGAAGACGAGGAAATATTCGCATTGTGGTCATACGCGATGTACATGAGCGAGCGGTCTCGTTCGCCTCTTGTCCCATCCCCTTCTCCCGGCACGTCTCACGCCCTTCTCCCGGCACGTCTCGCCCGCATCTCACTCGTCGGCCTCCCAAAGCGCAGACTTCACCCTCCATGGACCACCTAGCACAACCCGGCTCATTCTCCCCATGAGGTCGTTGCAACCAGCACGCAGCTCTGCTCGCTGCGTGCCGCAGTCCCCCACCCCTCACTGACCCTCCCCTCACTGACTCTCCCCTCACTGACCCTCTCACTCCATCCATCGCCTCTCTTCTCTCTCACTCCGCCATCTCTCTTCCCCCTTACTCCCTTGTTCCTCTTCCCCCTCACTTCGTCTTCCGTCTTCCCCTCTCCCCTCGGTCGCGCCCCGCTTAAGATCAGGAGCACCATGCGCCCGACACTCCGCCCGACGCCAACTCTCCTTCCTCATACGCCAACTCTCCTTCCTTGCACGGCCCACTCCTAACACGTCAACGCTCTTTTCTTCCTCATACGCCAACTCTCCTTCCTACTACGCCCACCCCGCTTCTATGCACTCTTCCCCAGCTTCCTCGCGGTCGTTCAGCTTCAGGCCATCTTGCTCCCCATACACCCCTCCTCCGTCCTCGCGCCTCCTCCGACCTCGCACTCGCACTCCCTCCCGACCACACCCTCCCCTCCATCCCTCCCGACTACACCATCCCAACACGCCCTCCCCTCCACCACTCTTTCACTCTCGACTACAACCTCCCGCCATCCCTCCCGACCACGCCCTCCTTTCATCACTCCCGACTATACCCACCCCTCTCAACAGACACTACACCCCACACACCCAGCCGAAGACGGTGAGAGGAGGGGAGGGAGGGGAGGAAGGGGAATGGAGCGGGGAAGAAGGGGATGGAAAGAGGGAGGCCGTGGGCCGCAGAAACCAGAGACGCGAGGGGCGGGAGAGGGGAGAGAACCTCCGAAGAAGGGGCGCAAATCCCCGGCGCAGGGGCAAAAATCCCCATTCCACGCGGTGGGCGAGGACCCCCACCCCATCCCCCTTCCCTTCCTGGATAATTAGGCTCATCCCTCCGCCCGCCCCGTGGTCGGATACGCTCATGCTCTTGTCCAGTTACGCCTACCCCCGCTAGTCTGTCGCCCGGCACTGACCGGGGAAGGGAGCGGGTTATGAGGTAAGGTAGGGGGGAGTAAGAGAAGGAGAAGGAGAAGGAGAGAGGAGGGGAGGAGGGGCGGAGGATAAGAGGCGGGGTAGGGGGAGTAAGAGAAGGAGAAGGAGAGAGGAGGGGAGGAGGGGCGGAGTAAGAAAAGGAGGAGGAGAAGGTGTGAGGAGGGCGAGAAGGGAAGTGAAGGAGGCGAAGCGGGTGAGGAGAGAAGGGACGGCAGGGAAGAACGGGGGAGACGAGGATGAGATAGAGGAGGATGGGAAAGGGGAAAGGAGGGACGAAGGGGGCGTCAGAAGGAGAGAGAGAGAGAGAGAGGGCGCGAGTATATGGTAGAGAAGGATGAGCGAGGGTTACGGGGAGGGAAAGGATTGCGAGACGAGAGCATACAGCGCGGAGCTCCTGACGTCTGTCTCTGCAACGCCCGTTTTCGACACTAGCTTTCCATCCAGCCTTCGCTTCGTACGGATTGCGCCTCTCTTTGAGCCCCACTGATCGACCGTTACACTTCTCGCAGGCCTCCTCGTCCTGCATGTCGCGCTTGCAGTCCCGAGTAGGCGTAGTAGGCGTATTGGTGTGTTGCGGATGGGTTTTGGATTAGGAGGGCGGACGAAAGCGGCGAGAGAGAAAAAAAAAAGGCGAATGCATAGAGTTCACATGAGCGTTGGTAGTGGGGCCGTGCAACGCCCGCCAGATGATCGGAGTTTGGCGATGTTTACAAGGGGTCCTCCCACGGCAAGAATTCAGTCCATGCAGTTTTCCGTTTCGCGCACTAGCCGGCTCGACATCGGCAAAGGTGGAATCGTGTCGGAAAGGCGCTACACAGGTTTTGTTGGGACGAATAGTCAGACCGACGAATATTGATTGATATAGAAGAAGAAACTCGACGATAACTTGTCGGCCCAGGATTTCCTCCCAACAAAACCTAGGCATACTAGCCAGGAATCGATTCCGTCTTGACCGATGGGATGCCAGGACCATCGCGGAACGCAAAAGTGCTGGTGATGGGCAAGCCAAGGTCACGCTTTTGACCATTCACGTGACGCGGGCAACGGCGCGGGCCCCGGTCGGTGGACGCGTCCCAGCGCTATCCTCTCTTCTTTCCGCCTCAGAGCTTCGGGGGCTCCAATTGCTGCCATATACTCAAGAGGTTTCATCTGTTCGAGCCTCTCTAGCCATTTAAAACTGCCTGTATGGGGTCCTAGGCTATCCACTAATGCTCTTGTGCTATTGAACATATGAGTATATATCAGCAGCACATACCCACGGGTGATTGCTCAGGATGATCCAGAATGAGGCCCCTCAACACCAACAGCAAGGGGGGAGAAAGCTCAAGGATCAAGCACATTAGCCAGTATAACCAGATCCATACATCCCCAGGCAAGAGACAGAGTACTCCTAAGCAGTATAGAGCGTCTATTTCCTCTCTGCCCCACTGAATGACCTAACCCCAGTCCTTGTTAACTTTCATCGGGCACAATTCAAGTGTACCACCATCGCCGGATCCGTGTTGGACCTTGTGGGCGCACCCGGCACCTGCCAAATGCGGTGGTCGGCGAGGTCGGGACGATGATGGGGGGTCTGCTTCCATCAAACCGATCGTTTGGCGGGCGTTGCCCGGCCCCACTACCATTGGTAGCAGGCGCAGGCCGCTCCGCGCGGGCCGCAAACCCCGAGGAAGCGGCCCGATGCTCCGACGCCGCTTGTTGGCGTACGTGGCGGCCATCGCGCCTCGTTCCCTCTACTCTACTCCTCGTCTTCGACACGCCCTCACCGTCAGGCCAGCACTACTCCTCACTCATCGAGATGCTTGCGTTTCTCTCTTACTCTCACAATGACGACTACCATGGCCATGTTTGGTAAGGGTCGTCGCCAGCAATGAGCATCGATCGCGGATAGTATGAGGAGACCTCGTACAACGACAGCATGCAATGACCAGGCTTTCTTGCTTATAACTATAATGCCCAAGGACTGTGCAATGGCTTGATCTTATGGTGCTCTTTTGAATATTGACGTCGGTGTGGGCCATCGCCCACGTCCGTGGGTCCATTGCCATCTCTCCCCTCTCCTCTCCTCTTCCCTCCGCTCTTTTTTCCTTCATCCCATCACACTCCAAGCAATCCTCCCGCCATAGCTCACAATCTCACGTCCGGAATGCGGCGCAACGAAGGCGGGGAGCACGATCATCGCCGTGCTCTGCAGATCAAGCGACGCTCCAGAGGAACGCCGGGTCATGACGGCAAACGACGTCGATCGTCTGTGACAAACTTGCCGGGCTATGTGTGCGGAGGACGCAGCATCATACCAGAATGGATGCGGATTGCAGGACGAACGGAAGGGCGCGACCGCTACTCATTCTTCTTACCTCATTCCTCCTTTCCTCTGACCTCCTCGCGCCGTCCCTCCACCCTGCCCATCTCGTCATCCTCCTCCCCTCGCCGTAGCTAGCGAGGTGTATCCCGCCGCTAGCTCAACGAGCTGCATCTCGCCGCTCGCTTGGCGAGGCGCTCCACCGCCCGCCGTGATGACTCTTCAGCATCACGTCCCAACTCTCCCAACTCCCCCGAAGCTCGCCCCCCAACCCTCGAGTAACACGCTGCCGGATTCTGTATCGGGAGCCACCGTACCTCGTACCAGGAACACCATGTCCTATCACACGAGCCGCCATGTCCCGCATTAATGAACACCGAGACTCGAGGGCTGGTAAGGGTTCGATGAGATGGCCATGGGCGACGGGTGGAGAGTTCGAGGAGAGCGCGGTTGTGAGTTCGGAGAGAGTGGTGGCGAGTTTGGTGAAGGAGCAGTGGTGAGGTCGGAGAGAAAACAGAGGCGAGAGGGAAACGGGAAATGAAATGGAACGGAAGAGAAGGACGTGAGCAGGGGAGGAGGGAGAAGGATGGATGGGGATGGGATGGGAACGGGGACGGGAAGAGGGGAAGGAAAGGAAGTAGAGGAGGAAAGGGAGGACGGAGAGGGGACGAGTTACAGCTCGAGATGCGAAGAGTGGTGGAACAGCTCGTTGAGGCGAGTTACACCTCCTTGAGCGAGCGGAGGAGCGCCTCGTTGAGCATCGGCGAGATAAACCTCGTCGACCCTCCGCAGGATACACCTCATCGAGCGACAGGGTGGAGCGGCTCCTCAAACGAGCGGCGGAATACACCTCGTTGAACGACGGCGATCTACACCTCTTCGAGGAGCGGCGAGCATACCTCGTGTAGCGAGCGATGGTGCAGTCCATACTGCTGTAGTCGGGGCACGGCATGGCCGGTGAGTGGCGGCGGGGCATCTCGCACGACGCGCTCGGCGAGCGGTAGTGGGTCATCTCGCACGACGCGCTCGGAGAGCGGCAGTGGGGCGTCTGGCCTCGAGTGGCGGTGGGGCGTCGCGGACGACGCCTTCGGAGAGCGGCGGTTGGGCGTCTCGCACGAAGGGGGCGGTTGGACATCTCGCACGACGCGCTCGGAGAGCGGCGGTCGCGCGTGTTGAAGAGCGGCGGCTTCGTGCGAGAGGCGGTGGGCGGTGGGCATCTGGCTTCGTCTCGCAAGCCTGGGAGGGCTGCGACCTCGCACGGCTGAGCTGCGTACGCCTCGCACGGCTGGGCTGGGTACGCCTCGCACGGCTGAGGCTGGGTACGCCTCTCTCGGCTGAGGGTAGGGTCGGGCTGAGTACGTCTCGCACGGCTGGGGCTGGGTACACCGCGGCTGACGAGCTGCAAGCGAAGTCTGTCGGAGGCGCGCAAGTTTGTTGGTGGCGCGGGCGAAGTCACGGCGCGGGCGAAGTCATGGCGGCGCGGGCGATGTACGGGTGGAGAGGAGCATTGAAGGAGCGCGGGCAATGCGCGGATGGAGAGGAGCCTTGAAGAAGGGGCGCGGCGGGTAGCGGGCTTTGGAGGGACGCTCGCGCGATTCCGGGCTACGCAGGCGGCTAAGGATGGGTGAATGGCGGAGGGGACGGCAAGAGGCGACGCGACAGGCAACATACGGCGCGCTGAACCGCAAGCAACAGACGGCGCGTTGAACAGCATTACTATGGCCGCCGCGCGTTGGACAGTATGTACCATAGCGCGCGGACGCATCCTGAACATGGCGTGTCCTCGCGTCGTCATCCACGATGCATCGGCGCGATTCAACGGCGCAATCAGCGCTATCCGACCATGGCGCATCGGCGCATCATCAGCCAAGGTAAGTCGATCCTCCATGAACGACGCGCGTCTTCCTATCCTGACGTTCATCCTGACAGCTATGCGGACCCACGGGCTGCGGACAAGGAACAGTACCATCGGCCTACGACACTACGATCGGCCTGCGTTCGCTGCGCGAGAGCCGGCGGATGGAGGTGAAGTAACGACTCAGTTGCGTGTCGTGGGAGGGGTCCATTTGTCCTTTCCTCCTCGACTTCCTTCCCTTTTCCCTCTTCCCCATCCCATTCTTTTCCCTCCCCCCTTATTCATCTCCTTCTCTTCCGGTCCATTCCTTTTCCCGTTCCCCTCTCGCCGCTGCTCTTTCTCCCGACCACTACCGCGCTTTCTCCAATCTCACTACCGCTCTCTCTTCGAGCTCACTACCGCCCTCTCTTCGAACTCGCCGCGGCTCTCTCTCCGAACTCACCACCAATCCCTCTCCGAACTCACTACCCCTTTCCCATCTCGTCGAACCCTCTCCTGCCCACAGGACTCAATGCTCACGTATACGGGTCATGGTGATATCTGATACGCGATATGGTGGCTCCTGATACGGGATACGGCAGCGCGTTTAGCGAGAGCTAGGACGCGGTGTTGGAGAACTCGTACCGCGGGCGGTGGATCTGTTCGTGCAACGGGTTCTGTACCAGCTTGTACAACAGGCGGTGGACCAGCTCGTGCAACGGGTGGTGGACCAGCTCGTGCAACGGGTGGTGGGCCGGCTTGTGCAACGAGCGGCGGGGTATACCTCATCGAGCGACGAGGGTGGAGCGGCTCGTTAAGCGAGCAGCGATTTGCACCTCGTCGAGCGACGGCGAGGATACACTTCATTGAGCGACCGGTGGAGCAGCTCGGTGAGCGACGGCGAGATACAGCTCGTCAGGCGACGGCGAGCACCTCATCGAGCATCGGCGGGATTCACATCGTGGAGCGTCGGCGGGATACTGCTCGTGTAGCGAGCAGCGAGATACAGCTCGTGTAGCGAGCGAGCGATGGTGCAGTCCATACTGCCGGAGACGGGGCACGGCATAGCCGGCGAGCGGCGGTGGGACATCTCGCACGACGCGCCCGAAGAGTGGTAGTGTGGCGTCCGGAGAGCGGTGACTTTGTGCGAGAGGCGGTGGGTAGTGGGCACCTGGCTCTGCCTCGCACGGCCGGGGAAGGCTGCTGCCTCGCAAAGCCGGGCAAGGCTGCGACCTCTCGCCGCTGAGGCCAAGTACGCCTCTCTCAGCTGGGACTGGATACGCCTCGCACAGCTGGGCTGGGTACGCATCGCATGACCGAGGCTGGGTACACCGCGGCTGACGAGCTGCGGGCGAAGTCTGTTGGGAGCACGCAAGTATGCTGGTGATACGCAAGTTTGTTGGTGATACGCAAGTTTGTCGGCGGCGCGGGCGAAGGGCGAAGTCATGGCGTGGGCGAAGTCGTGGTGGCGCGGGCGATGTCTGGGTGGAGAGGAGCGTTGAAGAATGAGCGCGGGCGAAGTCATGGCGGCGCGGGCGATGTATGGGGGGAGAGGAGGAGGAGGCGCGGCGGGCAGGGGGATCCGACGTGGCGTTTTGGGGCGACACTCATGCGATTGCGGGGTACGCGGGCGGCTAGGGATGGGTGGATGGTGGAGGGGACGGCAAGAGGCGACGACAAGATGGAACTGCCAGAGGGGAAGACATGAGGCGACGCGGCAGGTGACATACGGCGCGTTGGATAGCAGGCGACATACGATGCGTTGAACAGCGTGTCCTCGCATCATCATCCACGATGCATCGGCGCGATTCTACCATGGCGCGTCGGCGCATCATCAGCACGGTAAGTCGACCCTCCATGAACGACGCGCGTCTTTTTATCCTGATGTTCATCCTAACCGCTATACGGACCCGCGGGCTGCGGTTAAGGAACAGTACCATCGGCCTACGTTCGCTGCGCGAGAGCCGGCGGATGAAAGTGACCAGGGAGTAGCGGGCTGAACGACGATTGCGTGCCGTTGGAGGCGTAGGTATAGTGGGGAAGGGCGCGCTAGTTGCTTCAAGAAGCGTATGCGTGAACGAACAGAGACGTAGGATCGCGGGGGAGAAGGGGCGTTCGCCTCAATCTTGGGTGCGCTCTCCTATTGCAGTGCGAGCGAGTCCTGAGGTACTTACACCCTAGTATAACTACCTTTTTCGCCGCTTTACTGTCTTAATTGAACTGCAGTCAAGTGGCTCAACAGGCGGGCCAAGTCGTCGCGGCCGAATCGTATCGCTGTGACGCCGTAACGTCACCGTGGGAGTGCGCACGCGTGCCTCACGTGCCGTGCTTCGGGCAAGGCCCGGGCCCGATCTCAATCTGACGCCGACGTCCTTCATCGATACGCATGCGCGAGACCTTCGCGAGACCTTCGCGAGTTGTCCGCGAGGCCGCCTCGCCCATGTCAATCCGGACTTGGAGCGCCTACGAACCGAGCGACTCCCAGATACCGGTAATCCAGGCATCAACTGCACTGCGTAAACGCGCCTTTCATGTAGCAGATGCGACGGATTCCCATCGATATATGAGCCCGGCGTATGCCAAAGACCGTGATTGAACAGCCCGGAACTATGATTATGAACACCCTTGATACCAAGACCATGCTCGCTGTCAGAAGCGTGTTGAGGGTGCGCTTTCCCCTAGTATGACGAAGGTCAGTAGCGGGGCTTCACAGCACACCGTCAGCTTTCCTCCTACTCCCATCTCACCACGCAAGCGAACGACCGTTGACGATGACAGACGTTCAGGACCCCCCGGCGTCGGGCGGGAGTAAAACATTCGGCATCCACAAATACGATCCCAGGAGCTGCTTAGGTGAAGTGCACCGATGCTGTCTGCTGGCTTTCGCTCATCGATCTCCCGTGAAAGGCGCGGAGCAATCGCGCGAGAATGGGCGGCGCGGCTACGCAGACAAGTACGAAGACGATCCGCTCTACGAAGAACTCGGGGATGAGGCTCGCATCTGGCGCGTCATGCTGGACGAGGGTCGGATCGTCGACGCTGCGATGCTGCAACGCTTTCGCGACCATCTCGATGTGGACCTCGTTTTTGTGAGTGCATGGTCTGTGCCGCGGGGATCCACGTTAAACGTACTCTCCAGGCGGGTTTGTTCTCGGCCGTCCTCACGACCTTCGTCGTCCAGACATCGCAGACGCCCTCCACTACCGGCGACACCACCATCGCTCTCCTACTCGAGATTATTGCCATTCAGCGAGCATGGGCGAACGATCCTCGTGTGGATGGCGTGGCCTCCTTCAGCCCTCCCCCACCGTCGCCTAGTCCCAGTCCATGGATCAATCGCTGCTGGTTTCTCAGTCTAGTATTCAGTCTGTTGGCTGCCTTTGGCGCCGTAGTCGTCAGGCAGTGGCTGCAGGTACGCTGGATAGGTCGTGCACGCGCGCGAGGTGCTGAGCCGCTGTGCAGGAATACGAGAGCGACATCGCCGGGCCTCCCAAGCGGCGCGCGCTCGTCCGCCACTTCAGACGCGTCGGCTTGGAGAACTACAAGGTCCACCTGATTGTGCCGATCCTCCCTATGCTCCTGCACGTCTCGCTGCTACTGTTCTTCATCGGACTCACTCTCTACGTGCGCCAGTCTGATCGCTCAATGTCGAATGGGATCATTGCACTCACCGTCATAATCTACTTGGTATACCTGGCGACGAATCTCATGCCAGTCTTTCGCCCCCAATGTCCATATCGATCCCCGCTGTCCTCGGGCGCGCACTGGGCGAGATCTCTGGCTGCTTTAGCATATGCCCTCCTTACCAGAGGGGTCAGAACTAACGTTCGGCTGCCATGTTTTCCTCGAAGCCACTTGTCCACTGCCTTCCAGGCTCTGGTGATGCAGATACGTGCGCGCCTCCCTCCCCATTTTTGGATCTTCTATCCTGCGGCAAAGATGGTCAAGCGCCGATTGGAAGGAGCGCGCGCAGTCATCTGGGAAAGACTGCAGAACAATTGGAAGGAAATTTTCAAGACACCTGACGCCCATGAATGGGATGCCGTGCTGGATTCTTCCGACGCATTGATTCCTAACAGCCTTGACTCAATGGTTCAAATATCCTCTGACTTATCCGTTACTCCCCTCGTTGTGCAGGCGTCATCCGATCTTCCAATCAACCCTGCCCGTTATGACAACATTGCTTTTGAGGATCCGCACTATGCCGAGCTGCTCCGCCATCGCATTCTTCCCTGGTTCATCAATGCGCTGAGCACACGCCGCACGGTCTTTGACTGGGCGCCTGGCCGGGAGAACGAGCTTCAACGCATGGCGTGCGCTTTGTTACTCGTCCCACTCACTCACTCGGGTTCTGGCTTTGTCATGTACTGGAAGGAGGTTGACACGGCACAGTACCGTGCATGTGTCTTACGGGTCTTCGAATCCACATTGTCTGCACTTACAGATCTTTCAAGTCCGCCTATGGCCCCAAATGTTGACGTGACGACAATGTCCATAACCCTCTTCGCGCTCAGCCATCGACTCCTGAAGTTTCATCCGAATTGGACTCTCCCTGAAGATGTGGCAGTCTTTGGCACTGGCGCTACAGTGTATTCATCACTTCCCAAACCACCTTCGCTTGCATCGCTGCGCCTTCGTCCAGTGCTTTGGCATGAAGTATTCCTACACTTGCGCTATATCACGATGCCTATGGACGACTCACCACACTTCGCAATCGACTTGTGGCGCAGTGCCCTCTCTGAGGCACTGTCACCAGGCAAAGATGATCAGCTGAAGAAACGCCTCGCTGAATCGTCTCGCGTTACCTTGCAAGAGTGGCTATATCTGGGTCCGGATCTGTTTGAGGATGCGTCTATCATCGTGTACCATCTTCTGTGTCCTCAGTCATGTGAATTACACGAGGTGTGGTTTACATCTTTTGAGGATGACTCGAGCTGATCTGTCTTCACGCATCAGGATTCAAAAAATGTTCCCATACTGAGCAATGCCTCTCGTTTACACGTGATGTGCCATGCAATTGATTCGTACATCAAGGAAGATCGCGCCGAAGGGAATGCAGCTTTCGACGATAACCTTGGCTTTCTGGCCGTGCATTTTATTGGCTCGTTGCTTACCACTCTTGGGTATGACTCGATCGACTCTGCGCTACGAACCGTCGGACACCCGGCAGTATCGGCCGCATTCAAGTCGTCATTCCTCGTTCGTCCCTCTCTGCCACTGGCAAAGTTTGTTCAGCCATGGACACGCTTACCCGCGACCTTCGCCGTGCTGCTGTTCTGGTTTCTCGCCAAGCTTGCTCTGGCAACTGACAATCCGGATGAGGAAGTCACCATTCTCAAGGTGCTGTCTTGCCATGCAACCGACTACTGCGAAGTTCTAGCAGAAGCTCTTGACCATGACGAGATCGAGGTCGAGCTTCTCCTCAAACTGGTACCTACGGTGCTACATGATCACCAGCTGGCTTTCCTGGACATCTCGGACGCTCTCGCAACATCCCTGGCTACGAAACTCCGCAAAGCGACAGGTCAGTCCCATTTCCGCACGCGGTCTTCGATGAGCTGACAAGCAGCTCTCAGGCTCGGCGCTTGCAGATGTCATGGATGATTTCCTATATCTGAATGCCCTCTGTGCGGCGCGTGCCAACTCAAAGGAGGTCGACGGGGAGTTCCCTGACGCATCGCGCAAGCTGCACTCGGTGTTGCTCTCGCTCAAGCCGACATATAGCTGGTGGTGCAAAAGGAAGCTAGAAGGGAGACTCAAAGACAGAGACATGCCACTTGCTGTAGCATTGGCGCTGAGGAGCCCGCATGGCCTTGAAGCGCTAGCAGAGTGGGCAGATGACTTGCCCTCCCTAGTGCAGGATCCAGGCTCTGGCTTGGAAGTTTGGGTTCCAGATGCCGCTCAAGAAGGCGAGGACCTGGATTGGTACGATACTCAGCTGATAATCTTGTTTCAACTGCTAACCGCCTATGCATCCATCAGGTATCGCCACTTCACTAGCGATCCCAACAAGCACATCTATGCTCGGCCCAGAAGCTGGTCTCTGCACATATCCGAACTTGTAACCCTTGACGAGGCCGTCGAACGGATGCAGAAGAAGGGCGCTGTGCATGCTCGCGAGAACGTGCGAAGATTGCGAGGTGGTGGCGTTGGGACTGACACCAATGACGCCGAGAGCCCTCGTCGCGAGCATGACGGACTCGACGATGAAGGAGGCGCCCAACATACGCAGAGCCAGATCATCGCCCGACTCAGAGACCTCGGCGCTTGGGGAGTCGCCCCGTTCGAGCCTGTCCCTCGAATCTCAGGTGCGCTTGTTCGTGCTGGCATCCCCGTTCTGTTCATTGACGCTATGAACCAGCGAGCATGCTCCAGCCTCGTCAAAATTCGCCACCGTCGAGCGTGCTCGAAGAAATTGTCACTGTAAATACCGGGGATTCCTCCTTTCTCCCCCTTCTGGGGCGGAGCGTGGTCAATTCTTCCCTTCTGGAGATGGCGTCGGAAGCAGGGCAAGGCGACGAGCACGGATGGGACGGCGAGCATGGTCAGGACGGCGAGCAGGATCGGGATCGCGAGCAGGATCGGGATCGCGGGCAGGATCGCGTCGACGAGCAGATCCAAGTCGAAGAATCACCGCACGTCCAGACGCGTGAGATGGTGGAGGGAACGCGAGGGTCGGTGGAGGGGATCAGCGCGCCTAGAGATGCGGAAGACGCAGGGAGTGCCAGTGTTCGCGAGTTCCCTGATGCCGGAAAGGGAAGCGATCAGGATCGTGTTAACGAGCAGGGGAGCCGGGACGGCGAGCATGGCCGGGACGACGAGCATTCTCAGGACAGCCAGCGGGATCGGGATGGCGGGCATAGTCGCGTGGGCGAGCAGAGCCAGGCCGACGAAGTACCGCACGTCCAGACGCGAGGGTCGGTGGAGGGAACGCGAGGGAACGCGGAGGAAACGCGAGGGAACGCGGAGGTAACGCGAGGGACGGCGGAGGAACTCAGTGCGATTAGGGATGGGGAAGACGCAGGGAGCAGCAGTGTTCGCGAAATCCCTGATGCTGGAAAGGGAGGCGAGCAGGATCGTGTTGACGAGGAGGGGAACCGGGACGGCGAGCATGGCCGGGACGACGAGCACGGCCGGGACGACGAGCATGGACGGGATGGCCAGCGGGATCGGGACGGCGAGCCAGATCGGGACAGCGCGCAGGATCGCATCGACGAGCAGAGCCAGGCCGAAGAAGCACTGCACGTCCAGCCGCCTGGGACGGTGGAGGGAACGCGAGGGTCGGTGGAGGGCAGCGGTGCGCTTGGGGGTGCGGAAGACGAAGGGAGCGCCAGTGTTCGCAAGTTCCCAAATGCCGGAAAGAGAGGCGAGCAGGATCGTGTTGAGGAGCAGGGGGGGCGGGGCGGCGAGCATGGTCGGGTCGACGGGCAGGATCGCGTCGGCGAGCTCGGACGGGACGGCGAGCATGCTCAGGACGGCCAGCGGGATCGGGATGGCGGGCATAGTTGCGCCGGCGAGCAGAGCCAGGTCGAAGAGGCGCCGCACGTCCAGACGCGAGGGTCGGTGGAGGGAACGCGAGGGAACGCGGAGGGAACGCGAGGGACGGCGGAGGAAATCAGTACGCCCAGGGATACGGAAGACGAAGGGAGTGCCAGCGTTCACGAATTCCCCGATGCTGGAAAGGGAGGCGAGCAGGATAGTGTTGAGGAGCAGGGGAGCCGGGACGGCGAGCATGGTCACGACGACGAGCACGGACGGGTCGACGGGCAGGCTCGCGTCGGCGAGCACAGACGGGACGGCGACCATGCTCAGGACGGCCAGCGGGATCGGGACGGCGAGGAGGATCGGGTCAGCGCGCAGGATCGCAACGACGAGCAGATCCGCGTCGGTGAGCAAATCCAGGCCGAAGAGATACCGCACGTCCAGACGCTGGAGACGGGGGAGGAGGAGGAAATCCGTGCCCGCGAGGACGCGGGACCAAAAGGAGCACTAGCGCTTGTGGGGAGTATCGCTCCCGGGCGGCGCCTGGGATGAGCGCTGAGCGCGAGTTTGACGACGGAATGGACTAGTACTCACACCCGACGGACCCATATAGTACGCCCTGAATGCCTCTGCGACTGTTGCTTGAGCTACGTACGATTTTGCGCCCTGTTGTATCTTCTGACCGCGTGGTTGGATTTGCTCTTCATATTTTATCTCGCCGCGGGCTTCTCGACGGAGCCCACTCGCCGCGAGCTTCTCGACGGAGCGCACTCACTGCAAGGTTCTCGACGGACCCCACGCACCACGGTCCGGTTGCTGTTCTCGAAAGCCGCGCCGAGAGATATTGAAGTCGCATTTGCTCATTATGGCCGTACGAGACGACGAGCGTTGTAGTCGGACGAAACGACGAGTGGTTATGCATGCACAAATACTCGCATTTCTGCCCAAGCGTCCTAGTAGAATCACCCAGGCGCTTCCCTTCCCTCTCACTCGCCCCTCTCACCCTCCCATTCGCTCCTCCTCTCACCGTCCCACTCGCCCCTCCGACCGCCTCCCTCCCCCCCCACCCTCCCCCACCCCGCGTCTCTCTTCATCTCCCCCGCACTCGCTTCTCCAACTGCCTCCCACTCGTTCCTCCAAACCCCTCTCACTCGGTCCTCTAACCCCCTCACTTCGACTGACTCCCCGAGATCGGTTCCCCCCGTCTCGCCCTCTTCCCTTCCCTTCCCTCTCACTCGTTCCTCCGACCGCCTCAGGCTCCCGCTCGTTCCTCCGACCGCCTCCCTCGCACCGCGTCCTCTCTTCATATCGCCCACTCCGCGTCTTCCTTTTCTTCTCCCCCGCTCCGCGTCTTCCTTTTCTTCTCCCCCGCTCCGCGTCCTCACTCCATCTCCCCCGCACCGCCTTTGCCCTCCTCCCCATGCGCCCACGTCCTCGCACCTCCCCCTCCTCTCCCCTCCCCCTCCTCCATTTCCACACCCCTGTCTCCTCCCGCGGCGCGGGAATAGGATCCTGAGACCGCGGCACGGGAGTAAGGTATCGGGACCGTAGCGGAGGAGTGGAATCCCGAGATCGCGGCGGAGGAGTAGAATATCGGGAACGCAGCGCGGAAGTGGACTACTGGGAACGCTATGCGGGAGTAAGGTATCGAGACGGAGGGGAAGGAGGGGGAGGGGGAAAGGGGGAAGGAACATGGCCGGACGAAGGGGGAGTCAGTTACTGGGACCGAGAGGGGAAGGAAGGGGGGCGAGGGGAACGGAGGGCGAGGGGAACGGAGGGCGAGGGGAGAATGAAGGGCGAGGGGGAACGGTGGGCGAGGGGAAAGAGACGGTGGGCGACGATGTCTGCAAGAGACGGCGCGTGGTGGTATTCGAAAGAGACGGTCGGCGACGATATCTGCAAGACATGGCGTGTGGTGATATTTGGCAGAGACGGTCAGCGACGATATCTGCAAGAAACGAGAGATGGTCAGCGACAATGTGCAGAGGGTCGGAACGAGCGACGACCCGCCGGTGATGATTCAGATGCCTCTCCCCTCTCCCTCTCGTGTCCGCTTCCTCCCCCGTCCGGACGCCACCGCCCGTCAGGCTGTCCGTCATCCAACTGTCCACCGAATGTCCATCATCCGACTGTCCACCATCCGACTGTCCACCATCCGACTCTCCCGCCGACCAGATCCCTGCCATCCTCGCCTCACCCCCTTCCCCCCTCCACCGACTGCCTCTCGTGACGTCTTGCTCTTCCCATCGGAACTTTGACGTCGCGGTTTGGGCCTGGCGGTGGGCATCGCGCGGCGGGGAGTCGGGAGGGAGGTAGGGGGTACGGGTCGAGGGACGCGAGGTCCCGCCGACGGGATCAAGGGGATGCGAGGTCCCGCCGACGGGGTCAGGGAGCGGAGGACATGGTGAGTGGACGGATGGCGGTGTGGAGGACTTCGCCAACCGCCTCTTTCACGGCTTCGGCGTCACCAACAGGATGCGCGCCTCGCTCGTGGTTGCATTACTCTTCCCGTGGCGGTCGTCTCTTCCCCGTCGCGGTTGTCTCTTCTCTTCGACAGCAAGAAGTACGCTGCCCACCGTCAACGGCGACGTTGACGAAGGACAGTGGACAAGCGACGTTGACGACGGACCCTGGAGAAGCATCGCATTGGGAGTCCATGGAGAATGATAGCACTGGCTGGAGCTGTACACAGGACGAAGAGCGGCGGCGTCGTGCACTGGCAACCAACGTGCAACGCGATGACGGTCGTGCAACGTTGAACGCGACTAGTAAAGTGGCCTGTCGGCAAGGTACGAGACCTGCGGATTTTTGTCGTCGAACTTAGACAGTCGTCGGGAATCGAACATAGATAACACGTGCGCACGTGGCGCGCACCCGCGAGGCCCATGCAGAGACGGAGTTGTACGAGCGCGATGTCGCAGAGGCCGGTCAGAAAAATGCACATGACACAATACAATCATTGCCACGGATCGTACATACGATTGATAAAGGGAGCATGTGTACAGTATGCGCGCTAATAAATGCAAAGAATATATATAGAAGGCACGTTCAGTATTGCACTCGGCGTCTCTTCTGGGGCCCAGAGGATGGTATCGCGCCCGCGGTCACCGACGGATCCTCACGACCGCTACGCTTTGCACGTGTGGAGTACCTCGGCTTTCCGTTCGCCTAGCCAGGACTGCTAAGTAGAGCGAGATGTATTCGTAAAGCGCGACGCACCTTCCAGACTGCAATAGTCCTATTCGCGTTGACGTTGTTGTGCTCGCTTCCAAGGCTGCGGCCGAAGTCCATCCCAAGGCAAACGATGTCGTCGTCGTCGTTATGTTGGTTTGGGATCTGACGTGAACAGTCAGCAAGTGGTTATTATTGATGGGCGTACCACGACGACACACCTTTTCTTCCGACGCGCAGGGCAAGAGGTCGGTAGGACCGAAGCTGTCGAGGGCCAGCTGATGGATGCCCAAGGTACGGACGACGATCTTTTTGACGTTGGTGATGAATCTGGTGTCAGTAGCGTGTGGCGGCATCACAGCGAAGAGAGAGCGCTCTCCTGTACGAATGACGGCTTGAAGGACGGCGGCGACGGTGCGACTGCGAAGTATGAGCGATATGCGGACAGGCCGAGAGAATACAGAGCTGACCTGGTGCTATTGTCGTGTATAGATGTGATGGCGTCTGTGAACGCGTGCAAGAGATCCTTAGTGACGAAGACGCGCGTGAGCGAGGGGTTATGGAAGTCGGCGTAGAAATAGCGAATAATCCGGGGGCGAAGTAGGATATGGCCAACGATGGTCCATCGGAGGGACCACGAGTTGAAGAGTACAGGGTCCAGCGAGCCGTCGAAACTAGCGGTTCATTAGCATGATGGCAAGCGAGGTTGAGGGAACCAACCTATCGTCGAAGTTGATTGTCCATGTATAGCGATCTCCGACGTAGCGCTCGTTGTTGGTTATCTCACCGTGAAGAGATCTACATGCGCGGTCCTCGACAGCACATCGAAGGTCCCATCCACGCTCCCTATACTTCGAGGAGTCGCCGTTGATTGGGTCCTCGTCGAAGCAGATGCCCATGTTGGCCTTGAACGTGCTCTGAGGGTAGAGGGCGTACGCGGCTCTATGCGTGATGATGTTCATAACGACGGCTATGAACGTAAGAAGTAAGCGCGCGGTTGGTAGTCGATGTTCGAAGACGTACTGGAATGGAAGTCCAGCACTGCGTCGATGGGGGAGTGAGCGACCACGATGACCTGGATGACCTTCCCACCCGCGAAGTCGCTGGCGAACGATAAAACGTCCAGAATGGACTCCTTGCTGTACGTGACAGTGTCCCGTATAGATTCCTCGTTGGCTGCGAACGACATGGCGGCGTCGAGGTCATTGTCCTGAAGAGGTCGAGGAGTGAACACGTATCCGAGGTCCATGACGAAAGTGAAAAGCTCGTATGCCCGGAAACGGTCGGTGTACAGATCGAGGTCGCACCCATCGATAGGCTCCCGCGTGAAGAACTGCAAGGCCACCGAACCTGATATGACTGCGCCGGTGGATCGTAAGACGTCGCGAAGTCGCTCAGCATCACCGCGCTTCATGAAGTCCTGGAGGCAGTGGTGGAACTGATACGCGATGGTGGTGAACGATCGAACGGCGCGATGCGTGTCCTTGCATGCGCGCGAGAAATTGATGAGATCGGCGAGCGACATCGACGAACACAGAGGCGAGTCGCATGTATCAGGACTACGGAGCGTCAGTTTGCTCGTCCACGCCGCAGAGAAAGCACGCACAGAAACATGGTTGCGGTAAAGGACGACGATGAACGATAAGCCAAGGTCCATGGGATCGGTATCGCGGGTTAAAGCGGTCCGCTGCGCAACCGATCGTGGACGCACCTCGTTTCGAAATGGAGTCCTGAGTGAAATTGGAGAAGCGAACTTTATGCCGATGGTATTCGATGATGCCCATGCCGGATGGCATTCTGGACTGTATCGCTTCAAAGCGGGAAGTGATCATCGAGGCTAACATGTGCAGTGCGGGCAGAGGAACGGACGGCATCGGCGGTTATGGTGGTCCTGTAGAGGTGAAGGAGAAGAGGAGCGAATGATGATGTCATCTTTGATGGAACCTGGATTAGGAAATTGTTCGCATGTGTACCGTTCACTGGCGTGCCCTTCAGCTGATCTGGATCGCAGATTTAGGAGACGCTTATATTATCGGGCCATAGGAGATTAGGTGAGGACGGAATGCCACGGAAGAGGAGTAGAATTTATGGGGTCTTTGTATCAACGAACCACGTTTGCGGTCTGGGTAAGTAGTGCGTATCATACTGCCGATGTCGTCCGAGCCTTCTTACGAGGCGGAACCTCCGCTTCGTCGTCAGAGTACGACTCCTCGTCATCGTCGGAGGACGCCTCATAGGAGCCGTCCTCATCAGCAGAAAAATCCTCGAAGTAGCCGTCGCTATCGGTCTCAACGTAAGCAGTGCTCCCATTCGCCTCGGACGGTTGGGTAGTAGCGGCGGCCTTTTCGAAGGGCGAACAGCATCAGTATAAGGTGTCCACCGAGAGCATAGTGTACTTACCTCGTCGCTGGGCTCATTGGTCTCCGCGTCGTTGTTGCGATCCGCCTCGGAAGCAATGATCGCTCGGATGAGGGCGAGGTCCTCCGCTATGTCAGAATGCCCGGCGTCGGGATTCGAAGTAAAGGAGGCGCTACCTCCCGCAACGGCGGTCGACGCGGCGACAGGAGCGACGAGGGACGGTTGCTGCAGGACAATGCGACCGGGTTCGTCGTCGATCTGGGCGCAATCAACATTCATCGGTGTCAGAAGTACAGACAACTTGCCTCTGGACCATCGGGGCCGTCGGGGACGAGCCTATCCTCGGGAGCACATCTCATAACCGGCAGGCGAGCACGCCTGTACGTAGGCTGGAAAGGAACCAACGTAATCACGTCCGTAACGCAGGGAGGCGCGAGATCGAATATGTGTTCCTCGGCGCTCTTGAATGCGGCGATCATGAATTGGTCGGGGTTCTGCCTATTGGGATAGTTAGCAACCTGAAGTGCGTACTGTGTACCGGCCGCTCACATCATCTCCACGCGTTCCATGTCCATGAGGGTCGTCATGAAGGACTTCATGATGTCGCTGCTCGCGAAGACACGACTCTGAATCGCGCTGCGGGGAGCGATGTAGAGTAAGCGGGCGATCTGGGGCATGATGTAGTGGCGTGGCCGGTAAGACCATTGCAGTTCCCATGAATTAAGCAAGACTTCGTCGAGGTAAGACGCCGCGCTGAACCTGCGTAAGTGGACGCATTGAGGAAGACAATAAAGGCACTCACCAGTCGTCCAGGTCGATGGTCCACGTGTGCTTGTCGCCCACGTGACGGATGGGCGCTTTGAGCTCGAGTCCTAGCATGCCGTGCACACGGCGGGTGACGCTTCGATGGATCTGCCAACCGAGGTTGCGGTACTTGTCGACGTGAACGTGCGAGATGTTCTCGACGAAGACGATGCCGTACTTCTTCATGAACGTGTGGTTGGGATACAGCGAGTACGCGGAGCGGAAGGAAATGAAGTTCATGACAGGACCTACGGCCGGTCGTGAGCAGAGGAAAGCACTTGAGGAAGGACAAGCACGCACTCGAGTGGAAATCCAATATGGCGTCGATGGCGCTGAGGTCAGCGACCAGGAGGTGGATCTTCGTGCCCTCGCGGTCGAAAGTGAACTTGTCCAAAATCGCGGGCATCTCGTATATAGCGCTGTCCCGGATGGCGTATCGAGAGGTCGCGTGGGCGATGGCGTTATGGATTCTCTGGTTCTGGTACATGCGAGGCTGGTAGGCGTAGCCCAGCTTCTGCACGAAGGCGGCGACGTTGTGCGCGTTGTCGCCCTCCATGTAGAGATCGAGTCCGGACTCCCCGACGTCCGTGCGACTAAAGAAATGGATAGCGACGGAGCCTGAGATGAGCGTACCAGTCTCCCGCATCAACTGCCGGAAGGCCCGGACCTCGTCCACACTCATGAAGTTCACGAGCGTCCGGTGCAGCTGGAAGGCCTGGCTGCTGTACGACTGCACCGCGCGTCGAGTGTCTCGACAGACTTGACTGTATCGAACGAGATCTCGGGTGTTGAAGCACGAGCATAGAGCCACATCGCAGGTGTCGGGCCTGAGGACTTATGAGATGGTATGGGAAAGGGCGGGATGGACTTACAAGATCATCGTAGTTAGACGGCGTCGACGGTTCAGATGATGGTACGGGAAGAGAAGGAGGAGGGAGGCCGTCGTTTTGGGGTCCATGCGCAGACCCCATCATTTCCTTCGATAGGAGAATGCTCGCTCGCCCGCGCGCACCCGAAATGCTGAAATACAAGGGGCCCTTCTACGGCTGGTTCCATGCTGCCGCAGGTGCCGATCGAGCGACGTGATTGGGCGCGGCAGAGCAGTATACGAAGTGGATACGGATCGGGACGCATGCGTGCCTGTACAATCGGCAGCGTAGACGTCGCAACTAAGATGTCGAGCGAACGCTGATCCCGCCGAGATTGAACGACATTCTACCTTGGTAGTCTCCCCGTAGGTGGCCAAAGCAAGAAGCGTATGAGAGTACCCGTAGAGGCGCCTGTCATCACAGAGGTTGGAGTGGGAAAGAGCCAGGCGACATTTGTACATGTTTACTTCGCGGCATCAATCGTAAGCGCCACAAATTACCGAATCAGCACATTCCTCGCAGCCCTCTCCGATGCCCCAGCCAGTCCCGTCTACGCCGAATTGGCTATCGCATCCCTCTAACCCTACCTCCCTCCTGTCCCCCCCACCCCACCTCTTTGCCACCCCTCCACTCCAAATATCCCAGCGTAAGGATGACGTGCTCATCCGCTCACCGTCTACGCTCATACAGGAGAAGAGTCGCAGTCTTAACTGTACCATTGCTCGCTCGCCACGTACCCAAGTCATCCGGTGACACCCTCGCAAGCTCCGCTTCCTTCTCGCATAGCTCACCGTTGATCATACCATCATGCCGGTAAACTGTGCCAACGTTGTCGACGACACGACACGTGAAGTGATTCTGACCTGCGTATACGATTCCTCGAAGGACAAATGCATTGCCTTCATAATCCAGCGAATGCGATATCAATAGAGGTGCGTCAGATCTGTCCAAGCAGAGTATATCCGGTATGGAACGGACACTAACGACAGGAACAGTGGGGCACGAGCAACGGGTGCAGGACTGGCGACGGCACTTTCCCTTGAGGACAGCAGCTAACCATTCAGCTGTCGAGAATCTCTCTCGTCGTCTACCATTCAGAAGGTTCTGCATGTACAGAGAGTGACATTGATGTAGGGCGGTTGCTCCCGTCACGCGCATGGCGCCGCAACTCACGCATCGTAGGGACCTTGTAGCCAAGTCGTCGTCGCCCAGCATCAACATTGCCAATCTGCGTACGGATGCAGGTGCGCTTCCGTTCGGAAAATGCGTAGGATCGCTGTCATGTATCATGCATCTAACTATATCCCTCGTACGCGTCCAAGATACATCACTGTTACTAGCGTGCATCCTCCATTGCCGAACTAGTTCTCTCGCATACGGACTCATTCTTGACATCACAGGAGACCATCTCGTAGGATCACCACTCCACACGCAATGCATGATAGCGAATAGGGAGTCGTACGGACAACTCCAGTCCATCGAGTTCCACAGGTACCCACGGGGAGCGGGTCGCTCGTCGACACGAGTCTCGTTCGTGCGTACGATCTTAGCGGGTGGCTCCCGTTCTGCGTCATTCAGGTGCATCTCGCGCTTTCTCTTAGAAGGTATATTGGACTCGCTCTCATTATCGTCTTCTTTCTCCGCAAATTGCCAACGCTGACGACCGACAGGATCTTCGATGTCGTCCCAGTCAGAGCGCGAGCGCGATCTCAGGGCAGGGTGAACGTCGGGTATCTCGTAAGTAGGACCTTTCCAATCCAGAAAACTACGTATGAGCTGATTTCTCGTGTCGCCACACACGCAGTCCGGGAGTTCTTTTAAGTAGCGCAATCGAGTTATGTCATTTAGTATCTCGAGATTGCGAAACTCTCTCCTCAACTGATCGTTCATTCCCTTGGTAATGAGCACGTCGTTGAAAGAGGATACGATCGCAGTCGCGGCTGCAGACGTTCCTCGAGACAAAGCGGTATAGCAAGCCTGATGCGAGCGCGAATTGGCTAGGTTGACGACATTCACAGATCTGGTCTTCCCTTGAGAAGCATAGTCGGTCATCGAGAAGTTGAGTAGTACAGGAATTTGCTTGCGCTCGATGGTTATGACCTGATCGTTCGGAAGGTGACATTTTACAGTTACAGGAATACGCGATAGGGGTACGACATTCTCCTCTAAATCGTCCAGTTTGACGGTCTTGGGGGGATTCACGAGCTTCACATATAGTACGTCCAGGATTCTTTGTTTCTGATCGCCAATTGACGCTGACCAGTCGTACACGACAGCTTCCTGTCCCTTCGTCATGCACAGCTCTGTAGCGATGTTCGAGCGTATCATCACGGGCATACCCCTACACAAATCCAGCCGACCGGCGACGTTGCCTGTGAAGCACGGCAACGATGACCAGATGATCTTCTGTAAGTCTTCAGGTATGCCTGAGCTAGCGCTGACTTTCTGCTTGCGTGGACGGCCTTTCTTCTTCTTCTTGCTATTCACGGTCGTCTCAGATGCTCGCGAGTCGCACGAATAAAAGGAGGTAAGTTCCTGTCCCGTATCAGATGCGAATCGTTTAGCCCCCAGGTCATTGAATGCGTCCTTCTCCGCGTGCCTCGCCGTGATTATGGATACATCTCTGAATGTGGGGTCGTTCAGCCTCGGTGCATCTGGACTGCTACCGACGACGAGCGAGCGCAGCACCTCAAGGTCCTCGGGCGTGCATGCCACATAGCGCATATTGGTAAGCGCACGAGTCAGAGCGCGATCCGCGACGGTCGCTGATTTCATCCTCATGTTCTCGGACAGTATCACAACGGTCGTCACCTGGTGCCACATAGCTTTGCCTATGATGTTCATCTGCACCGCTAACGACATTCTCTTGCGCTCGACGTCCGTCTGCACCTTTCGATCATACAATAATGGGCCTTGTACAGGCGGTAGCTGCGCGAAGTCGCCCGCGAAAATCATGTTCATTCCACCGAAGGGAAGCTCGTGCGTACCCATCGCCTTAGCCAGATGTGCGCTAATGCGATACACATCACCGCAGTTCAACATAGAAATCTCGTCAATGAAGATGTATTCAACGCCCGCCAACCGATTGTTGATGTTCCTGACTCCAGAGCCATCGATATACGCGGAACCGCCTGAGTTTCCCCAACGCATGCCAAGGACCGAGTGGTAAGTAAATCCGTTCAACAAAGCAGCCGCCGTGCCCGTTGGGGCGAGGATGATGAACCTGTGTTCCTCACCCCTTCGTTTGAAGAACTCTACGAGAGCGCGTATCACGGTCGATTTGCCAGTCCCTCCCATACCGCCCAAGAACATGCGTAATGGATGAGGTTGAGCGCTGCCGGCGTGGTTCGCTATCAAGGTGAACGCTCTCTCCTGGTCAGTGTTCAACGAGAACTGATGCACGATGTCCTCTATAAGAGTCTTCAAGTCGGGCTTATCATCTGCGAAATCTTTGGTGAAGTACGACGCCGGTAGTGTCACAACACCAGTCTCGTGGGGACCACTGCTCGCGGATCCAGTAACGTTGTCAGATACCTTGGCCTTCGGCAAGGCGTTGAATTTACCTTGGAAGAGTGATTGTTTCAAGTTGGTGATGTACGCTGCCCACTCTGATCCTCTCCGTTGCTGAGAAGGGACAGCGGGCTCGGGGACTTCCACCTTCTTCGAATTAGATAGTAACTGAGTCCAACCGGAGGTACCAGCATACGTGCGCGCAAGGGCAACGTTTCTGCTGAAAAGGTAGAAAAAACTGGATGTGGGACACAAAACAGTGACACCCACATTGCGTTGTTTCTCAGTAATTTGTGAGGGTTCTCTCACTAGTTTGGCTCTGAGATTAGTTGCAATGCATCAGTAAGTCTGGCTGTACAACTAGATCAGGCGCTCAATTAGATTAGCATAGCAACTAGTTTTGGCCATCAGTCAGATTGGCCTCAGGAAGAGATCTTGGGCTCATACTGGTAGCAATAAAACACACCTTAGAACTAGTCCTATCCCTTCAGTCAAAATAGGTGAAGAATTAGTTTTTTTACAAGATTTCTATTCAGGACTATCAATTGATGCAAAATTTGTACTGTACAACTAGTTGTGTGCCCTACTAATCTCAGGTCTGTCCCTATAACTGTAACAACACACCCTATAGGTATAGGGCTACCCAACCGCGCTCGTGGCGCCTTCCCACGCCATCCTCATCGTGCCGATGCTTGCGTGCGCTTGCCTTGGCGGTTGCACGTGCTCCCACAAGCCATGTGCTCAAAATTGCACTCTCAGTGATTGCCAAAATCGCGCAAATCTGTGCTCTGCACCGCCGGCACCACTGTACCCTTGCACAGCACTGGCTGTTGAGCTGCGCATACCCAGCTATTGCCCATAGGCAGTCACACTCGTCAGATAGCGCTGCGCTCGCAAGCCCACTCCGACCGCACAGACTGGTCTGCACCATGTGAGCAGCCTTACCTGCAGCCCCGTCTTGCACCTTCTTGTGGATGGCATACACCTGGCAACTGCGCATCATGAGATGCGGGCACACTCTCAGGCCAATGCCACGTCGCCATTGCTATGACAACAACAACACCAACGCGCTTTTGTACGTGTCACGGACAGCTGACGTTGCCGTGCACGGCACAGCGTGAGCGACCGGTAGCACGTGAAAAATAGCATGGACACGTGGTGCGCAGCTTCCATGTCAGAGGGCGATGACGGCAGGGGCGGGCGAGAGGAGGTGGGGGTGGGGCATGGTGTAGATGGGTGCTGTTGATCGCCCTGGCAAATGGGAACACAGGCAGCGGCCACAAGTTGATTTCAAGTCCGGCCATGTCATATGGACTTACCGGCCACTATGGAGCCTGCTCGCCTGCTCGCGCCGGCCAGCCGCCGCACAACCTGCAGCTCCACTTCACGTCCCTTCCCTGTTTGAGCCTTCTCATGTGGAGTCTGCGGCTTCGCGTCAGGTTGGTCGTTATGACCGTCAAGTCAGGTGTGCCCGCCGGTCGCACATGAGATGGCTACTGAGGTTTCTTATCTCGGTCACTAACCATTCTGCCTTCCTACCTTTCTTGCATAGCCCGGTGCCCGGTGCCTATTTCTGATCTTATTCCACCATCATGCGACAAAAGCGATCACCATTGATTCAGTTATAACGGTACGTACTGTGTATACTGGCTACGTAGCTAAACCACACTGTTGGTCGGCACTGGGTTCGACAACATCCCACGCTATAACGAAGACAGTGCGCTAGCGTTGCAGCCAGCACATAACCGTCCCCTAAGCAGCTTGCGTCAGCTTGCCCAATCATACAATGTCATGGCGATACGTGCCGCGCCCTATATTCCTACGCCTTCGCCTCCTCCCTTGGCAAGGGCACTACATGCGCCCATCTCTAGCCCGTGTCTGTAGCATACACAAGGGTTCTGTGAATATGGCTGACAGTCATGAGAGCAATGAATATGGGTCAGCGCACCAGTTGACGCCCTCAAAAGGAGATACCGATCACATATGATGCGACCCGCTTGCTTGTGCGTATGAGGTGGGAAAAGGCAGGACATGTCACCTGTGGTGTGCCCTGCTTGCATGGTCAGTTCTGATTGGCGGGGAAAGCGAGAACACTCACCGCTCAGCAAGGCTCGAGCGCGTCCTCGTATGGCTCCGTATACGTCATCTCGCGGCGGTGACTAACTCGATCACCTCGCTATGCTGTCGAAGCTCTTCCTGGATAGATATATGAAGAGATGTTCAGAGTTCGGGCGATCATGTTGGCGGGGAGGACAGCAATAGATGAGAGTGAAGAACAAGAAGCCGCAGTCGATCGGCAACACGTGTGTAGATGTGATGATCACTCTGCGGGAATTGCCGCTCATACGGCGCCACCGCACTCGCACTGTCTTCGGACGCTATGGACTTTTGTCTGTGCTGGATACTACTGAGGTAGATATCACCCGGCCGATTTCACCCATATCTGAAACTTGGTCTACATATGTTTACAATTCACTCAATGTCTACTGAAACTTCGTTCTCCTGGAATTCTTGAGTCAGAGCCGCTGCGTACCCCATCGTCTCCTTGCAGTATTCCTCGGCGGCACACATGGCTGCATGTTTGGCACTCAGGACATCGATGGCCAAGTTGACATGGCGGCTATAAAAGTCCAACTCGACTTCGCATGAATGGTATGGGCAGCGAGCTTTCGTGCCGTGGGCCATGCAACGGCCTGGGGTCCCAAAAGGCAGATCGCAGTCGCAATCGCGCATCTTATGCCCGCTTTCGCAGATGCTGTGTCCACATGGCACGACGGTACCCACTGCGGGAGCACCGCATACACAGCAAGCGCCGACGTCACGCACAGCAGCACTCTGCCGACCATTAGACATGATGCATTCTGGAGGACACTGGATCATACCCAGCCATTGGAGGCATTGTCCAGTTTCGCTCGCGCTTCTAAGTACTCGCGTTTCGTCGCGACATGATCGTCCTGGTCCTTCCGACGAGCGAGCGTTGCTTGCTGAAGAGCCCCTTCGAGCTGCAGCACCCGCGCTGAGGAATCTCTGAGATCGGACTCCATTCGACTCAGTCGATGAGCGAGTATATCTCGCTCGAGTTCAGCTTCGCGTCTTTCTCTCAACGTCTGCTCCAGGTGGGCGTAAATCTTCACGAAGGCGTCAGCTCGTGGTAGACGCCGTGAAGGCGACGCACCTTGGGGAGGGGAAGGGTATTCATAATTGATGCTCGACACTCCAATGGTGCTCCTTATATTCCTCTTCAATCTGAATACCACCTGACATACGCTGCATAGCAGAGGCAACGGCGGCCACCGCTGATTGCTAAGGCATGGCAACAATCTGACGGCCGGTAACTATCACGGCGCCCGACGCATTCATTGAGCTCGCCGTCGCGCTAATGGTGTGAATCCCCTTCAGAAGATCGAGGGCAGATAGCAAGGAACAAGGCAGGCAGTTGACGTTACGTTACCATCGCAGCTCAGCTTCATCGTCCTTGATATTGCATGACCACCTACCCATATATTGCATGTTTAGAGACGGTCCGGAACTAGAGACATGGCCAGAGCATCCGCCAACTCCAGATGATAACATAGCCGCCGGCCTCGCGTCGCGCGGCAGCCGGCGACTCCGGCCCAGGTGGAGCGGGCGGAGTCCCCACTTGAGGCGGAGCCGCCGACTCACCTGTAAAGCATTGGCTCTGAATGGATGAGCCGCCCGGTGAGGTATGCTAGGGCACCAACGACTGGTAGGGACAGTGAGCGACGAGGGTCTTATGATTTCAAGGAGTAACAAAACCATAGAATCAAAAACCAATCCGGACATGGGAGATTCCTGTATTCAAACCTCCCATTCCCTCCAGTTGTAGAAGAGGGCGGTCTCATTCTCATCCATCGCCTTGTCGGGGTCTTCTTCGAACTGCTCAATCCACTCCTCTGGCCACCCGCTGGAGGGGCATTCCCCTGGAATGGGACCAACGTACATCCCTAGCATTTGGCGTTCATCAAAGGACCCTGCAAATCACCGGGGTTTGTACATACCTGGAGCGAATGAGACACGCGCGGTGACACCGATGCTTTGGGCGAGGTGAAGCAGCAGAGACCGAGCATGCGGCTTCCATTTCAGGCCTTCGTTCTCTCCATAAGGACGTCGCAAGAGACCGGAGGGATAGCGTGCTTGAGACGCCCGATGACCATCGTCCAAGTCACTGTCGGTCGCGCTGGAATCGGTGCTCTCCGAGTCACTTGCCTCGTCCTCTGCGTCGTAGATGATCAAGATGATCATGGAGCAGCGCCGTGGAAGCGCAAATGACTGCCACCATGAGAGCGTCAGGCGATCACCGCATATGCCTGTAACGTCGGCATTGTTCCCCCCTCGGTAGCCTCCTCCACGGCCCATGTCAGAGTAGAAGACGCTCATGATGAAGAATTCGAGGTGAAGCTCGGTGATGGGTGCTAACGCGTCGT